GGGAGCGCGGCGCCTCGTCTCAAAGCACAGGTCGCAGCGGGCCCTTGTCTGCGCGCTTGCCTGGCGATCGCTGCCCACTCTAGTAAATTGACTTGGGAGTCGGGAGCCATGAGGCTGGGTTGCGCATAACGATGATTTCCCGCTCTGCGCGCGGCGCCAGCACCAGCACCGGCTCCAGCGCCAACACCGTCCGTAAAATCGGTGACCCGCCGCCATCGGCATTTCTCGTCGCCGCCGGGCTGAGGCTTCCCTATTTGCGTTGGCATGGCGGTAGAGGCCTAGAAAGAGAGGGGCTTCGCCCGTATACCCCATAGTGAAGTGTCGGTGACAGGCTCGATTTCACGGTCCGCCCCTCGACGGTCCGCACCTTTGATCAATAGCCCGGCTGATCCCACGTTTTGTGACAGCCTAGTTCCACTCCGGTGACGCCTAGCCTGCCGCCGTGAATGCCATCGTTTCGCCGCCGACTCTCTTGGTTCCGGTAGCTCTTAGGTTGGCTGTCATGAGAGGAGAAAAAAAAACTCTCCGGTAATTGGCTTGACTTAGAAAGTTGGGGAGACCCATAGTACGTGGATGAGTGCTAGCCGTGACACGAGAGTCTAGCCATGCCAGGATGGCGCGCCTACAGCGCGTACCTGTTGGGGATGTGGTTGCATGTCTCCCGAAAACGTGTGCCTGCAATGCTTTTCACAGCAAATATGGCAACATTCGGCACTATGCAGGCGTTCACTGTGACCTTTCTCTGGCAACCGCAGCCATAGGCTTGACACTAGCCCAAGTGTGGGCACAGCATGCGACAATGTGTCCAATAACTTACTGATGCACTTTGAGTCAACCATGCATCCTGTGTCTTGTAGATCACGGAGACCCCGACACACGCAGAGCCTGGCACATCATCAAAACGTCAAGGCGCATCTGTATGTCGCACAAATGCGCCGAAGAAAACGTGACGGTGGAATGGGTGTTCCTGACAATGATGTTGGGCCCCGTCGATCGCTGTGTGGTCGATCCTCCAGCTTCGGAAGTCTGTGTACCGCTTGCTTCCCCGTCCGGGGGAATGCACAGCAGTCGGTAGCATGCTGTCACTGCGTGTTGACTTACATAATGCCCTTGGTTGTTGAAGAAGTAATTTGAGGATCGTTGGTAACACCAACGGTTTCTGCCGGCTTCTCAGTGGATAAAACAAGACATTCCAGCTGTTTACGATTATACATCCCAGGCACCGCTGTTCAACTGGCCCTTCTTTTGGCAGGAGATGGGATAGACACCTAAAAATGGTGTTGCCGGGATTGACGCACTGGGCAACTTGTGGTAGTATTGGGCACATGTCGCCTTGTGTTTCGTGCGCCCGGGAACGGCCGCGGAACGTGGTGGGTGTCGCATCACAATAAGCGGGATGTGATAGCGACTTCTCCTAAGCCCAAAGTTGATACAAACGTAGAGCTGGCTCTTCCAGCAACATCCATGCAGTTGACGCACCAAGGGAGCACACATGAAAGTCATGTGAGGAGAGCGCTGATTAGGTCTGAATCTTTGTAAGATTCAATCCCACCACTTCTTGTTACGAACTGGACCAGGAGCGGGCCTTGCGGGTCGGTCGCCTCCACTTGTCATAGAGGCTTTGACCAGTGGTTCGACTCATCCTTGGGTCGCAAAATTCAGGGCGCCATCCTTGGTGTTCTTACATATTCCCACCATAGGCAGCATGTAGCTTGGTGCAAGGTAGGCCTCGCTCATTTCGATGGCCAACTCATGTTCCTAGGGATTTGTTAGGCTGCCTGGTGAGGTCAAATCTCACCTGAATTGCCAATGACTCGTGAGTTCCAGGTGACCCTGTCAGATTGTCGATCTGCATATAGATCCTTCCATCGAAATCAACTGCCGTAATCTAATGGGTCCCCATAATCCGTACTCGGTCATGCTGTTCCCGATCTCTCCCTCGAAAATGACTCGACTGGACCCGCGATTGTTATCCAGTGGCATTGTGTGCGGCACCTATTCCGTAGTGCAAGCCAGTTGACAGTAAGGAGCCTTGGCCCCGATCTTGGCAACGTTTTGTTTCCTTAGCTCTCTAGAAAGGGTCCCCAGCTGGTCAGGGACAAGGGAGCGAGGAAGGAGAGCCCCTCAATGGTGTGTTAATTGCCCGATGTGCGCTAGTTATCCATCTCTAGCTCGTGGCGGATGGCAACCCCGGACGCAGCTGTGGCGCGCTCTTGGAGGGTGACGCCAGGGCTTGGCGTTAGTCGACACCAGGCTGGCTGAGAGGCATGGAGGGTACGTAAAAGCCTCTTCGAAATTGGGAAATTGGAGTTAATGCGGTGCGCCCCGCCAGACCGTTCTCGATTTTGCGCCTGGGGAATCGCCACCGACCCAGATAAGTGGACTAGGGTACCGTCCTTCGTGGCCGTCATTTCGAAAGGTGAAGCTGTCCCATAGGTCAGTTCGGCTCGCCCCCTGAACCTGGAACAGTCCGTGAGCACACATCCTTTCATGGCTCATCCTGGCTCAGTGTTTCAGATCATGCACGCAGTCCTGACCGTGTCAAATAGAACTCAGAACGGTAATGGTCTGCAGGTAGCCCGTCGCGTTGGGATAGCTTCAGAATAATGAGACTCACTGCAGCAGTAAAACAGGTGCTCGGACTGGAGCCTGCATCAAAGTAGATCGGGATAGATAGGGGCAGTGGATGTGTAAAGGACCCTTTTGGATTGCGTCCAATATTGCGTCCTTGGATCAGGACCATGAGAAGGGCCGAGTCGAATCTGTCCCTTGACCGACTCATCTTGAAGACTTGACCGGTTTGGAGAAACACTTCGTGAACTAAACCTTGGAATGATTGAGGACAGGGAGGCCTTGATCGAGTATCAAAACCAACTAGCCACCGGTCAAGAAGACCGGTCATCCCCTCGTAATGGGTGGACAGAATCGGGAAAGGGAGGATTGACCGATGTAGGCACTTGGACGTTAACAGGGCGGTCGCCGTCCCTGTCGCTAGCATATCGGTCAGCCCTGTAGTGTACGGAGTACTGTATTTACCCCGCGCTGGTCAATGTCGTTCGACAGCTAACCAAAACCGTTCAAGCCTGCATCGAGATGAAGATTGAGAAATGGACCAGGGATGGCCTGCGGGGCGGTTTGTGGTCTGATGATATCTATCTTTGTCACAAGGACAGTTGTTTCGAGGCCTGGCCAATAGACTCACATGAGGTGAGCCCGCAAGCGGGAAATTGCTACTAAGAGGTGTCAGAGTGGAGCAAACTACCCACTGGACGACAGCTGTCCGGATGAACTTGGTGTCGACTTAGCTGTAGCCTGAAGCGTGCGGCCACCCAACGGTGATGTGGTGATGCGGTGATGCGGTGATGATACGGTGGCCGCCCTTCAATTTCCTTAGGCTTGAAGCAGAGAATTTCTGGCTTGGCTCGGCTCAGAAAAAAACCGTTGGACCGTGCCGCCCCGTACCTGCGTTGAATACGTGGCTTGACCTGTCGACCGTTTTGGGGCGGACTGAGTTCATTGGGAAGCCATTCCGCAGTGGAGATTGGGACACCCCTGTTTTCGCTCGAGATTCACTCTCGCAACTTGAAGTTTATTCTCAGTGACCCATGTCGAAGGGTGTGGAGGTGTCGCATTAAATCGGACAATTGGGCACTATCGCCGACTCTATAACTAGAAATTAGTTGGAAGAATCGGATCATGGCATGATGGATGAACTAGTAACCGTCCATCCAGTCTGTGGCTGGCTAGACTAGCCGTCGACCTTGTTGTTGAATGTCCAGCCTTGGTTTGTGCGACCAGGCAGTGGAAAGCTATCGATAGCGTCACAACTTTCGGACGATCCAGGCTCAGACTTGGCCATTCAGAGGCCTGGCGTCTTGCACCAGCAGGTGGCTTGGGCAAGGCGATCTAACCCCCAGTAGGGATTGCCGCCTGATTCCGATTGGCTTAGCGATTGACTGAGGAGGAAGTCGAGATATCGCACGTGGCATCTGTTGCCAAAAAAGTTGACCATTGTTTTGGGCTGGTCTCAGGTCTGATCGGGTGGGTCTCAGACAGACCGACGATGCAGTGGACGGAAGCACGGAATGTGGGCACTTGGCAAACCGACCCTTTACCACCATCACCTTGGTCTTAACCCGTGAAAGAGACAGAGTAGTGAACAACATTCGAAACCTATTTCTTGAGAGGAACAGGGAAGCCCCAGGTCGGTAGAGAGTGAGGCAAACGGACAGTCCGTCTTCAGATCAATGCTCAAGCACTGGTGAGTTGAGGAAAAAATAGCACTCTGGGGTCCACTTGCCGCCCGCTGGATCGGAGGTTGACTCAAATAATGCCGTGATTCCAGTTTCATCGCCTGATTGGGGAGCGCCAACGGCATCTCTGGACGAGGGATCCCTGATCGCGGCCTCTGGTCGTGCTGTTGGCAAGGGTCATGGGTGTGACAAGGAGCAGAGAGTTTCAATCGGCTGCATTTTGACAGACGTTGAGTTGTGCAGTAGGGCTGTCTGGCCTCAGGCACTCCCCACCACTGCCAGCCAGTGCCAGCCAGTTAGGGCGCCTGGGGCAGCTTCCCTCACACGCCAACTTAGACCACACAAGAGATTGCGAGAAGGCACGTGTGCAACAAGGGGATGGGCTCAACGGTGCGGAGCGAACCTCTCAGAGCAACGTTGCTCTCCCGGCGGCTGTCGCAGAGAAGCGCTTCCGGATGGTTCATGGCGAGCGCTCTAATGCCATAGTGGTTCTAGCCAATGCCCTACTCCCGACCCTAGCCAGTAGCAGCTGTCAGCGAATGTAAATGCCCGACAGAAATCGGGGTTGTCCTGGAGCGCGTCCGGTTGGGCCGGCACTGCGCAAACCGTTGACCGGTCTTCCTCGGTAGGCCGGCAGATCTCCGTGGCACCGCATGAGATAGATGACACGATCTAAGACAACAGGTTTTTCAGGCCTCGTCGATCTGGCTCATCCTCCCACAGACGTCACATTGCAGGTTGCTGATCATGGGGTGCATCCGTGGGGACAGCAAGCACCAGCCGTCCTGTCAAGCACGTCCTGATCGCTCCCCTCTCCGCTCTGATCATCGACCAGAATGGGCCCGTAGGAGCAGTCGAGAAGAGTCCCTGCGTCCCTGTTGCCATTATCACGTCGACCAGGTCCACGCGAGTTCCCGCCACGAAGGAACAGCTACCCTAACACCAAAAGTCCCTCGTTGTCAAAGTGCGCCATGTAAGTTTTCGTCCAGAGCAGTTAGTCCCAATCAAGTGTTGCATTAAGGTTGGAGATTGCGGGATTCGTGTAGTACAGAGCAGGCCCTTGATTGTCGCGATGCGACGTTGGGAAAACGCTAGACTCACTCCAGACAAGACAACGTTTCTTGTGCGCAGCCGTCTGCCCGCATCTGAGAGGCCTGTAAGCTGTTGATCTCTCGGAGGAACGGCTGTCGACATGACCCCACCCCAAAACGGCGATAACGCAGACGACTCGATGAGTCTGTGCAATTAAGATCCTAGAGAGAGAGACGATGAACCATGCGCCGCATTTGGTTGCATTGCCTGTCTGCCCCAAATAACCATCCCCACATCTTTAGTGTGCCGGAAGCACGCGTGAAATTGCCGCAAAGCCAGATGACTGGCCCGTGGAGGTACGTACAGTATCTGCGACTGTGACTGTGACTTGCAGACTTGCAGGTCCAGCACGAAACAACATAAACGGTGTTTCAAGGCGGTGAGCCACTATCCTGGCACTTCAATGTCTGGATGCGTCGCTCTCGGCCGCGGCATTTGGGCCGCCATTGTTGATCATCATCGTACGACCCGCGGCACTTTCAATGGCTAACGTGTTAGTATTGTTAGTATTGTTACTACGTAGTAGGATGCCCATGTGCAGCTGGCCATTTGAAGCGCTTTATTGCAGGGTTCTAACCTGCTCCCACGTGTAGCATCATCCTTGTTTCTACATGTGTGCAGCGAGGGGCTGGGATGATATTTCGGCACTCGCCCTGAGGTAGTTTGGCAGCACGAGCCCTATGATGTGGCATAGTTTCTAAACAGGAAGCCCAAGGGATGAAATCGACGTTATTTTGAGGACCGGCGTAGGGCCGAGGATAGTGTGGGGGCATGCGCCGATGTTTGTTTCACCGGCTGTGCTTGTTCTTTCTCCGTGTTAGTGTTGTTTGTTGAGTGTTAAGGACCTTTGACAACATGAATCTACTCAATGCATACGAGTGCCGAACGACGCAAAGCTAAGAAGTGGTTTATTAACGTGATGGCCGCGGCATTAGTCCGGAGCGTGATGAGGACAGGCCTCCGATCGAGGCATCATCCTTGTTGCAGGCGGCCAAAGCTTGAGATGCCAAAAACTAAGGCCTATAGTTGTTAGAATCTGACATAGTAAACTGGAGCTGGACACGATGAGCTGGGTGATGTAGTGTGTCTTTGAATCATGGCTTTGACATGACCTTGGTCTGCCACGTGAGATACGGAGACTCCGAACCGTTCACAGGCAGATGGCAAGATCACCCCGCTGCGCCCTGGCGCTTGAGGTCGGGAAATCCCAGAGGCACACTCAATTGGTGCGGCCCGAAGTTTGGTTTTTGCTCGGTCCCCTGTTAAGCTCATTCTGCGAGGCTTCAGGATGAAGTAGCGCCATGGAGCCTTGAACAAGCCGTTGTATCAGCACCCAGGACAGAGGAGGTGGTACCTGCGTTGTGGCCTGATAATTGCATCGTCAATGGCTTGAAAGCCGTTGGCGCATGCAGCTCGACTTCATTAAAAAACAGCATGCTTCTGCTGGGCCAAATCAACTAAGCGCGTTGGGCAGTGCATGCTAGTTGAGCCACAACCCAAAAATAAAAATATGGCCGGGGAGAAGGTCAATCCTGCGGATGGAGGAGATCCCGTTGCTTGACCATAAGAGGCGCATGGGAAAGATGCGGCTGCGAGTCGAGGTCGAGGCGCTAAGGCCTCAGGTGTCCTGGAGATTGTTGGAGGGCGTCGCTTCAGAATTGATCGGCCACGATCGATATGTTTGAAGTTGTGGAGGCGGTCGCTTGAAACATCGGAGTTTGGAGGTTGAGTGAGGTCCTGGAGTAAATCGGTGCTAGCAGAAACCAGGGGTTTCCCGCACCAGCAGTAGACCAGTTATCTTTTGGACAGCTTGAGAGTCTCCACCTGGGTTGAAACGTACGCCCTCCGGAGCCAACTGGGTGTTGAGGATCTGCCCATGCGGAGTGCGTGCTGTGTGTGTTCTTGCCCTGGGGACTGACGAACCAACCTCCACTGCCACAAGAGATAGGGTTCATACAAACCAGTCTTTGATGGGGGTGCGCCTGCGGTACTCGGCAGGCAATGACAAAGTACCGGGCCAGGGGTGGTTTGTTGGTCTGGCCGACGGGGAAACGCACTGGGATAAGAACGAGCTTGAGGAGAGCCCAAGTCAGGAACGGCAAGGTGACAATCGGCCGGGACGGACCAGGGTGTGAGTGGGTGTGGGTGCATGTGGGCGTGGTGGAGATCTCTGGATCACCTCTTTCTTGGACTAAGGAGAGCAGCTCTAGGTAGGTAGCTCTTTGGGTAGGTAGCTACCTTACCTACCTGTCCGTCCGTCCGTCTGTCTAAAGGTTCTCAACGTAGTGGCTCAGTAGACTTTTGCGCCGCGAGTCGAGGACAAGTGGCTCGCTCATTCGCCGCCGTTGCTGGTGCCCCTTCTATCTGAGCACTGCGCGGGAGTGAACGGGATGGATGATGCGACATGGCTATGAGCGTGGGCCGGAATGAGCCCTACAGATTTGGGTGGAGGGACGATTTGTCCACTGACGTGTATATTGGTCATGGGGGCGTGCTTCTGCGTCCTGAGATGGGCAACATGTAACGTGTACTGGGTAATGAGCATGAGCAAAATGAACCATGGGCAAAAACGCTGAACGCCCACCAATTTGGACGTCAGCGCTGTCGCCAGAAGCAATGGAAGTCTCACGCCTGATACAGCCCCGAGACGCGCCGCCGCCACCAGTGGGTGGGCAGCCTTCACTCCAGACCGGGGCGGATGAGAGACTGGAAGCCTCGGCCGGTAGGTACCGTACCTTAGGCTGTACCACGTTAGGCAGTTAATGTGAGGGCCTAAGGATGGTGGATGGTGGGGTCAACGATGCAGCAGGAGAGGGAAGCCATCCCGGGCGGGAAAGGTGCGGAGAGGTACACGGCCTGGCAGGTTGTACTGTGTCTTCTGTACCACCTACATCGTACATCGTACATCGTACCTACCTCCATCGTACGTCCCGCAGCCTCCAACGAACACCTCGCAAGGGTCCTGCAGCACTTTGCTGTACGTTGCTCGGGTCAACGTCCGTGAGCGCGTTGGGAGGAGAGGGCGCGGAAGCACTGGTGGCAGACGCAAACGCAGACGCAGACGCAGACGTGGACGCCCAGAGCACACACTGGGCGATATCCAACGACACCCAACGTCACTCAGAGTCACCCAGGATCACCCATGATCGCCCAGCGTCACCGGTTACTGCACGTACCGCCCTACAACCCTATCCGGAGTGAAGTGGAAGCTCTCTCCGGAACGTTAAGGTTGGCTGGGAGGGAAAAGCCCAACTCCACTTGGTGTACTCAAGTCACTCAAGTCACCCCAGCCTGACGCGGTCCCAAGCCCACCTACGCACACCACCCTGAGCCACACCACTAGGAGTCGCAAACCCCCCCCTAGTTGGCACCAAGAAGCAGAGACAGATGCAGAAGCAGAGCACAGAGCGCAAACCTCAGACTCAGGACTCAGACCGCAGAGAGGAGACAGCAGCTAGGGACGACTGGCGCATGCATGTATGCATGCAGTGTTCTCAGCCTTCCAGCGCTCTCTGGCGGGTCCAATCATCCCCTCTCTCCCTTGCTTTGAGCGCTCGACGCCTTCTTCGATGCAGCCCGGCTCGGCTCCTTGTACCCTGGTGGTGTTGTCCGGGCTGTCTTCCGTCTGGGCTCTCTTCCGTCTGGACCATCTTCCGTCTGGACCAGCGCCCCGACGTTTTGTGTCTCTCTCGTGTTCTTGATGTCTTCCAGACACTGCTACTATCGTTGGCCGTGTCCACGCCAGAGGCCTGAATAACCCCGTCGTCCAATGGCCATGGTGTCGTTGATGCCGGCGATGGGGCTGCCCCTAAGGTAATAAGAAGAGCCCCATGCTTCGCTCTGTTAACACCTACACGACCACTACCGCTCCATCTCTCTCTCTCTCTCGACTCACGCTACGCCAGACGCTACGCTGGGGACCACTATTCCAGGTTCTCTCCCCTTCACCTTTGACGTACCAAGGTCCAAAGGTAAGTAGTGCCCGCCCCGTCTCCATCCCGCCCATCCCATGTCCACGCCCACCACGGCCAATACCAAATACCACGCCCACTGCTACGCCCACTGCTACGCCCACTACCCACGCCCGCTACCAAGCCCGCTACGACGCCCACCATGCCCCTGCCCCATCCACCACCATGTCCCATCCACCAAGCCCTCCACTACAGCCCATGCATGGCCTTTTCCCTCCCTCTCTCACCCGCGGCGCGCTCACTTCCTCTCAAGCCGCCCGAGCTACTGCGCTACCAACTCTTGCTCCAGTTGCCGAACAAGCCCCACTGACACCCGCCATACAGGGCACCCCGGGCATTTGTCTTTACTTGCTGCGTGGCTCCTCCTCTGGCTCTGGCTCTGGCTCATCGCCCTCCTTTCACGGCCGCTTGTGCTCACGCCTACTACGTATAACTAACAGCAACGTGCATCATCGTGGCCGTTCGCCGCTTGCTCCCTGTCCCCAGTCCATTTTTACATCGTCCGGCCCTGGTCCTGGCCGATATCACAACGTTCCCCCAGCCCTTACCCTCCTAATCCCTGTCAAGTCTGATCCAGGCCCAGAACCCACTCGCCTCATCGATATCTCCCACGGCTCCCCCATCTCAACTCTCGACTCAACCTGGTTCGACCCCAATCAACATAATCGGCCCTCCTCCACCACTTCCCGAGCACAGGTCAACTACATCGCGCCTCTCGCCTCTCTGGTCGGCTTCTGATATTAAAAAGCAAATCCTCCTCCACTACCGACTTATTTCCTCCACTCCTCCACTCCTCCCCAGACTCTTTAAGTACCCCTCTTCGACTTCACCCTCATCCTCCTTCACCTCCTAATTCCCCCATCTTGTCCTTTTCCTCTGATCTACTTAATATACCACACTGGTCTCTTCCATACCCCTAATCGGTTCTCTGCCATCTTTACCATCGTCACCCAACAGTCAACCTGGTTGACATAATTGATCACTTGCCGACTCAGCCCACGCTGCTACATCCTCTCGCATACAGAGTCACCTTAGTCCCCTTTCGCGCCGGACGTTGCGCCCGCCGAAGACGCACATCGCCATATTTGGAACCCGTCGCTCCGCCAAGAACAATTTCTGTTGCACAATCTCCCAACTCATTCACCTCGAGCATAATCATTCCAATTCCCGCCAGTGGGATTCTGCACTTCGGCACCGTTGCTCTAGCGTGGATCACGCAAATCCTTCGTCTGGAACCCCGGCCAGCCAAGCAGCTTGCCCGACCTATTCGACCGTCTGCCGTCTATAACCTAGCCGGGACCTTCAAGACCTCGCCATGGAGCTTTTGGAACTTGTTGAGAACGAGCCTACGGCTCGCCCTTTCCAGTGTGACTGGCAATCGTGCAACAAGGTTTGTTCTCACGGTCCCACGACCAATCTCATCAGCTAACATGTAGGATAAAGAGCTTCAATCGCAAGTCTGACCTGCAAAGACATTATCGAATTCACACCAATGAGCGACCTTACTCTTGCTCTACCCCAGGCTGTGGTAAGAGCTTCATCCAGCGAAGCGCCTTGACTGTCCACATCCGAACACACACTGGTGAGAAGCCTCACCAGTGCCAACATATTGGATGCGGCAAACGCTTTTCGGACGTAAGTTATTGCACGTGTGCCTACAGCGACCTCACCCGCTGACAGAGAAAACAGTCCTCTAGTCTCGCTCGTCACCGACGAATCCACACTGGGAAGCGACCTTACAAGTGTGGTCATAACGGCTGCTTGAAGAGGTTGGCAAGCCAACCCAAGTTAACTGACGCCTGCTAACAATAAAGCAGTTTTTGCCGAAAGACCACCATGGTTAAACACCAGCGCAGGTCCCATCAGCAAGGACTCAACCCCAACGACATTCTGGACGATTACTCTTCTGACTCCGACTCTGATGAATCCCCGTCCACTCCACAGACGTCCGCTATGAACTGGACTCCCCAGGATGTGATTCCCGTCAATGCGATGCCACATGAATCCTTACACCGCGCCAGCTCTTTCCCCGAATTTGGACAGCACATGCACGCCTACCCCGTCCAGCAACAGCAGTACGTTGGCCGCCATGCTATTCCCTCCAGCGTCCCTCCCGAGTATCACCCTCAAGCCGTCGCCGAACAGCAAGCCGGAATGCACATGATCCATCGACCAGCAAGCATTCCTCGACAAGCCTACTATGTTACTGACCAAACCAACCCGGGCATCGCAACAATGAACACCACCAACCCCATTCAGCACCAGTATCAGCTGGCCCAACAGCAGGTTGAAAGATCTTCCATGGAAATGTCGTACCCACCGTCAGGGATCCCAACTTCTATCCAGAGCAGCCCGAGCACCTTTTCTGCCGCCTCGGTACATAGTCCCCTGATGCAGGATGGCTTTTACCAGCACCAACAGCAGCACGCGCCGTCATATACCCTCCAAGCTGCGTCGCCAGTGGAATCCCAGAGTATGCCTTCGTATCCTCAATCGATGCACCAGGCCATGGCCCAGGCCCAGCAGCCAGTCACTTCACAGGCCCAGCAGACCCCAACTCCGACGGTCGAAACCTACCACCAACCAGCTGCTCAACCCCAGGAAGAACACTGGCCTCAGTACCAGCCCCCTATTGAGGTGACAACGATTGGTCAGTTGCCTGCATACGGTACTGGTGTCTACGATTTGTGTGGCCCGAAAATCGAGTTTGACGATCCCACGATGCAACTGCCCAGTAGCAGACTCGAGAACCTATGAGCGAGCTGCCAAAATTCGACCCTTGGTCGAATACTACTTCCACAGGCACAATTGCACCCTTCGTGATTCTGGATCGAGCCCATCTCTGTATCAATATCATACCCGGGCTGGACCAGACAGATATTCCCCTGTTTTGAAATTTCTTCTTCTTTGCTTTTGCTAGGATATACCATATGGGATGTACAGGCCCAAAATGCCAACGGGTGGCTCACCTCGCGGATAGGAAGGGCCTGGCTTCGTCGCCCCCCTGACTGAAGGAGAATCGATACCGATCACGACTTGGAGGCATTCCTTGGCGTTCTTCTCCTATCCAGGTATTGCATCTCGAATGACGGGCCGGCTTTCTATTTCTTCTATGGCCATGTCTGAGTGCAGCACGCGTTGCCTCAGCCTTGGTCGGCGTTCCGATGGGACTCTTTTCTTATCCATGGGTTTTTACGTATTACGATTCCCCTTTGTTCGAAGCACCGCGTGCCTAAGGGTATGCCATTGTTGGTTGCTAAAGACAGTTTTGCATTTGGTTCTTGCATTGTCAATCTTTTCTAGCATGAGCGATCCTGGTCACATCTCACGGAAGATGTACTACAGTGGGGGATTTACAACGGGGCTGACGGGACGGTGGGCGAGACGGATGGCAGGTCTGACGAGCCAAAACAACGACTATCGGGCAAGGTTTATAGGAACGAGTGTCACCACAAAAGGATGCGGATGGGTTGAACTGCTCTATGGCGGTAGTGATTGACGAGATGGTGATGAAGTCGTGGAGGAAGAGGCTGGTGGAGATACCCTGAGGACGAGCTAAGGTGATAGAGGCGGGAACGAACGATGAGTTGCATGGCCATGAAAATTTCCCCGCAGGACTGGGTAACGAGGCGAATGTATCTGGACAATGTTAATGAGGGCCATGTGGAGCGCAATCTAGCTATGGATTGTGAGGATAGCATGCCTCTAGCTAGTGTAATTGTTTGCTTTAACTATCCTCTTCCATTCCAACTTGGTGCATGTTTATGACTTCACGAGTCAGCATGATCTGGCCACAATTTCCCAGCGGCAAGTAGATACGCCGGCGAGCTTGTAAGTGCACAAGCTAGACAGATTAAAGGTTAAGGGGGGTGTTCTCTCGGCTGCGCAGATTCATTGCCTTGCCTTGTTATCTTTTACCGATTTGGCGCGAGCTATGTACGTCATAGACGCCGAGGTTTCGGTTTGCAGATGCCCTAGAGCGATACGTTGCGATCGCGAATCTCCGATAGAAACATGGTACAAGGCAATGCAACTTCGAACTACGGAACTCAACCACTTACACGCGCCTTGGCATTTAACGGTCTTAGCCGTTCTGGCTGGCCAATTGAATCGGGCTCTAACAACCTCACCCCAAGATTGGTGGACGGAGCGGAATATCCCTCGGCGAGGCATAGCTGACTCAGCCAGAGCCTAGACAGGAAAAGTCGTCTCGTGATGCCGACGTGCGGACCGGAGTGGCAAGCTAACGAGATCCCATCAACTCGGTGATGCCTGCGCGCAATACCTCACAATGAGTGCAGCCAGGTAGATTAGTTTCCGGCTTCTTCGAACAAAGTTATCCGACACCTCTTTACGCCATCCACGACCCCGATACCCCTCCAGAACCGTCATTAGGAACGGCCCCGATTGCTTTGGAGACGCAGCTGTCGAACACGTCTCCACGTCATCGGCCGGCCGGCTGGCCGCCCTTTCTCTTCGATCTGAGGTTGTGTGACGGCCTTGGAGATATTTAAGGTGTTGAGGAAAGCCTGAATATGGCTTACAACGCCATGATGCTGCCGGTACGACCCACCGGATGCTGCCGAACGTGGTTCGGAGGCTGACTTTGAGAGTGTAGAATGTGGCGGCTGTGACAACGGAACTCTGGCCCTCTGTCGCGAATACCGTCATGGTCCCCTGGAAGAGCTCGACGAGCCCGATTTCGAGACGATCCCGCAACGCCCAGGTTGCAACCCCGGCGCCTTCCACCGATGCAAAGGTGCAGCATATCCAACAAGTGAGTCGCGTGTGCTGCCTCGTGCGCCAACAACGCTGACAGCCTCCTCTAGGTGACCGAGCCCCATATCCCTGAGTTTCTTCGAAACGTCACTCTCCGCGCCTTGAACTCTCCCACTGGCCCCGATGCGATGGTCCCCACTACCGTCCAAACAACCATTGCGAACCTGACCCGAGTGGGCCTTCATGCTGCGAACCCAGTCTTGCGACGACCGTACTTCCAACCCGCCGTCTCCGCATCGCCGTCTTTTGTCCGCCTATTCATGCGATCTACCCCTGGCCTTTGGTCATCTTCCCGAAGCATATCTACGTTCCGTGCAATCAATACCCAACAGAGAGGATTTGGCACATCAAACGGTATTTCTCGCAACCAACTTGCTTCTCTTGAGGAGTCTGCCAACAGGAACCCCGGAAATGCAAATGCCCAAAATGCCTTCTATCAACTTCTTCTTCGAGCCAACATGCCCGCCATTCTGGTTGAACGATACCAGTCCAATCGCTTTGCGACCAACCCCGGAACTGACGACGCCTACCGCAAGGCTCTTGGGTTACTGGGTGCTGGCGTGAACAATGCTGCCAATGCCTCTGCTGCTGGATCCTATGGCCGGACTCAGTGGCCAACTTTCGAGCAGGCTGTTGGAAACGCTGCCGTGGCTGGATCCGGAGCCGCCGGTAACGGAATGGGCCATAAGGGTGAACCCATCCACGTCATTGTCCAAGAGTCTACTCGCTCTGTCGTTTTCCGATGGTTCAAGTTCCTGGCTACCTTCCTCGTTGTTACCTACCTGTGCTTCGCCGCCGTTACGATTCTGATTGAGACGCTCAGCACCTTCCGCCGCGGACCTGGCCACAAGCAGGACTCTGAGGTCAAGGCCGAGAAGCAGACTACCACTTTCAATGATGTCCACGGTTGTGACGAGGCCAAGGAGGAGCTTCAAGAAGTTGTTGAGTTTCTCAAGAACCCCGAAAAGTTCACTGACCTCGGTGCCAAGCTGCCCAAGGGTGTCCTTCTCGTTGGCCCTCCTGGAACTGGAAAGACTCTTCTTGCACGAGCCGTCGCTGGTGAAGCCGGTGTCCCCTTCTTCTACATGTCTGGTAGCGAGTTCGATGAGATCTTTGTTGGTGTTGGAGCCAAGCGAGTTCGCGAACTTTTCGCCGCAGCCAAGTCAAAGTCTCCGGCGATTGTGTTCATCGACGAACTCGATGCTATTGGTGGCAAGCGCAACCCTAGAGATCAAGCCCATGCCAAGCAAACACTCAACCAACTGCTCACCGAACTCGATGGATTCGATCAAGAGACCAAGATTATCATCATTGGAGCCACCAACCTTCCCAAGATGCTTGACAAGGCACTCATTCGACCCGGACGCTTCGACCGCCATGTCAATGTGGATCTACCCGATGTTCGTGGCCGCATTGCCATCCTGAAGCACCACGCCAAGAAGATCAAGGTTTCTCCCGATGTTGACCTGGAAGCCATTGCTGCTCGCTGCCCTGGCCAATCTGGCGCTGAGCTTGAGAACATGCTCAATGTTGCTGCCCTCCGAGCTAGCAGAGCCAAGGCAAAGCTGGTTTCGAAGAACGATCTGGATTGGGCATTTGACCGAGTTACCATGGGCTCCGAGAGGAAGTCGATGGTTGTCACCGAAAAGGAAAAGGAAATGACTGCGTACCACGAGGCCGGCCATGCTCTTGTTCAGCTCTTCGACAAGGAGAGCTCAAACACCCTGTACAAGGTCACTATCCTTCCCAAGGGTCCCTCGCTGGGCCACACTGCCCAACTCCCTCAGATGGATAAGTATTCCTATACCGCTGCCGAGTACATGTCAAATATCCGCGTTCTGTTGGGAGGAAAAATGGCTGAAGAAATGCGCTATGGTGGCGACAGGGTGACCTCTGGAGTTTCATCGGTAAGCCCCCTCTACACTTCACTTCATCACATTAGACTAACATGTATTAATAGGATCTTGAGAGAGCTACCGACCTGAGCTATATGATGGTCACCCTCTTCGGTATGTCCAGTGCCCTAGGACCTGTCGAGTATGGCAGACGATACGAAAACCTCAGTTCGGAGACCAAGGCCGCGATTGAAGGCGAGGTGCAAAAGCAGTTGAGGAAGTCATATGAGGATGTCAGGACACTGTTGACAGAGAAGCGAAACGAACTTGATCTGCTTGCTAAGGCACTTGTTCGGTACGAGACTCTGGACAAGTCCGAGGTCGAAAAGGTCATTCGAGGCGAGAACCTCCCGGGCCGCATCACTATTCCGAAGGGACCCTTGACGTTGCCGATCCCTGACCAGGTGCAACCTCCCGGTCTGGGTGGTATTGCCCAACCCCAGCCACCAGAGTCTCCGCCTCCCGCAGCCGCCGCGGACACATCCAACACTAATAGCTGATGCGGTGATGAGTAATACCGCATGCTAGGGCCAAGAATGAAAGGCCCTTGAGGGCTGGCACCATGATGGTGTATACCGAAAGCGAGGGACTATCCAACGGGAGCAGGTGTGTTCCAAGCGAGCATATGATGTTAATTAGCTGGTCATCGTTCAGGAGGTGCGTCCAAGGATCTGCTCCCTGAACGAGGGCAAGCCGCCTACGCCTGGAGAGTTGATAAGCGGTTTAACAAAGCGATGGTTCTTCACGGCGGTATGAAAAGCTGGACCGGGTCGAGGGCCCAGACAGGGGCCGTTATCGTGGGTGGATGGCCCGGCAGCTTCCAGCGGAGCCTGTGTATCTATGGACAATCCCTCTCGGTTATAAACCTCAATTGTAATATCTTTTCTTGTATGCTTGATGGAAATATGACTTTGAAAGTAAAAATTGCGGCTCCCGCCCACTGGTTACGTGTTGATTAATAATGGGCGTGGTGGAGGAGGGTGCATGCGTTGCATCATCTTGCGAACCCCCAAACCGCGATGACGAATGCGGGGCAGATAGTCGGCCAGATTGCCGCCATACGAAACCCCCAAAGTCGACGTCGAGAGACATCGACTGACCGATTCTCCGTTGAAAGACATTGTCTCTAATTTATTTCACCTCCCATTGATTCATCGGATAGACCGGTTCCTTCATCCTTGATCCAAGCACGTTCCACACTTCAGCTTCAGCCATGACAAAGGTTCTACTCACAGGTAGGCTCTTCAATCAACACTCATGATGACGATTCGCTCACAATGATCACGCAGGTGGCTCTGGCTTTATCGCCGGTACGTTGAAATACCCTCTGCGCGAGAACCCCCTCTCGCATGATATCTCCCCAAAATTGCCAGTCGACCATGGCACAGACTTGGATTTGTAGTCCGTTGGGTTTTCTCTAATCGCCATTCGTTATTGCAGCCCACACCCTTGAACAGCTCCTCGAGAAGGACTACTCTGTCGTCACCACCGTCCGCTCCGAGGAAAAGGCACAGAAGATTCGCGGTGCGCACACTGACCAGGTCGAGGCTGGAAAGCTAGAAGTCCTCATTGTCCCGGACATTGCTCAGGAGGGCGCCTTTGATGAGGTGGTGAAAACTCCCGGTATTGACGTCGTGTTGCACACAGCGAGCCCGTTCCACTTCAACATTAGTGAGTATTTGCTGTTCGACACGGGTGGGATATCGGACAGGTGGAGTTTGTGAGTCCTGTTGCTAACGCGAGCCAGCCGACCCTAAGAAGGATCTCGTTGACCCGGCGGTTATCGGAACCACTGGCATATTGAAGGCGCTCCATGCATCGGGCTCCTCAGTCAAGCGGGTCGTCATCACCTCGTCATTTGCCTCCATCGTGGACGAGGCTCACTTCACTGACCCAGCCAAAACCTTCACCGAGGCCGACTGGAATCCCGTCCAACTGGAAGACATCAACCGCTCCCCAGCCGCCGCCTACCGCGCATCAAAGAAGCTTGCCGAACTTGCGGCTTGGGACTTTGTAAGTGAAAACAAGCCCTCTTTCGACCTTGTTACCATCTGCCCGCCCATGGTGTTCGGCCCCGCCGTCCCCTACTTCGCCACTCTCGACGGCATCAACACGTCCAACGAGCGCGTCGTCTCGCTGCTACGCGGCGACTGGAAGGCCGAGATCCCGGCAAGCAGGCCCGTCCCGATGTGGATCGACGTACGGGATGCTGCCAGGGCGCACATCCGCGCGCTCGAGGAGCCGTCGGCCGGTGGTCAGCGGCTGCTCACGACTCCCGGGAACTTTTCAAACCGCGAGATTGCCGACATTGTGCGCGCCAAGTTCCCCGAGTTTGCGGACAAGCTCCCCGGGCCCGAGGTGCCCGGCGGCGAGTTCCCGCCCGAGGACCAGGTCTTCAAGATTGACAACAGCGTGACCAAGAAGCTCCTGGGCTTTGAGTGGATTACGTTGGAGAAGAGCATTACGGACTTGGTGACGTCGCTCAAGGAGCACGGGATCTGACGTGTGTCGAGCTGACTACGAAAAACCCCGTCAACTGAATGGAGATACTTAAAATGATGCATAGCATTTAAACCGAATTGCGTTGTAATAGGAAATTCGCAAGATACACTCATTGCCATTCATCATCCCGGCCATACCATCCGCCTCATCCCATCATGGACTCACTACCGTCACCGGGTGTGCTGTCTAGCCTCCAGTAATACCTTTTTTTAAACCTCCAGTACATACAAATCCCTAAGCTCCTCTGAAGAATATACGACGACCTTCTATCTTTCAACCCTCCTCATTGCTAACTCCTCCGCTCAATAACGCCCTCCCAGTCTCTCCAAGTCCTCCTCTCGCATTACTTGACTCGGTGTAGTTCTACCATGGTTTAGGGACGACACAGACACACCTGGTCCTCCGCCACCCCAGCTTCCCCAGCTGTTGCGCGACTCGCGGGCATAGTCTTCTGTCATGTCGCACAATTCCTGTGCGTCTGGGGTGAGCCCGTGAACCTGCGCAGGATGCTGGAGTGATAAACCAGAAGTAACACTTGCGTCATTCGGCCCGGATGCAGTGCTTCTTGGGCTTCCGGACCCGTTCGGGGGCGTGGATGGAAGGGCGCGAGTTGGGGGTGGCCCAGGACTGACCAGTTCGGAGATGTTAAAAGTGCGCCTTTGGGAGTGAGGAGGATATGTTGGAGAACCATTCTTGTATTCGGCTTGTGGTCCGGCGTTGGAAGCTGATGCTGGAGACACACGACCGAAGGCGGTTTGACCATCCTCCCTGCTCTTCCATCCGCCATCTGGAGCCGTCATCACGATTCTCGGTACTATCGCTGCACTATCCCCATGGCGTATCTTGGGGGTTCTTTCATGCCTCGGAGTAAGTTTGCTTGTCGCGGGAGAATAGAGAGGCGACATGGGGAATCCTTGAGACAATCTCTGGTTCATGAGCGTGGGGAGCAGTCGACGCTCGCGCAACAGAGGAGGAGGCGTTAGCTGGACACCATCCGCCTCAGAGTGGGAGATTGTTGGCGACACCAGCGGAGTGGGAGACCCTGCTAGTGCGGGAGAGTTTGGGTGATTGTCCTTGCCTCGAATATCTCCCTTGTGGGATCTCCGTCGCAGGAGGCAAATGGCGAGGGCGACGATGATGGCGATACCGATTACAGTCGTCAGGCCAATGGTGATCTTGACACCCGTGGACAGTCCTCCTGCGTTGTCGACTTCGCCGTCAATGTCCGACGGATCCATACTTGCGCCTAGAGAAGGGTCCGTGATCGTTGAGTACGTCTCGTCGGGCATGGAGCTGGGTATGGGGGCTGATGTTGATGCTGGGGGCTCCGTAAGAGTGTTGTCGCCCGAGACGTCCTCGGCAGGAGACGCGGTTGGAGAAGTTGCCACACTCTCAGAAGAAGCAGTATTGTCCGTGACTGCTTCTGAGCTCTCTTGTTGGCAACGTCCATCGCCCCCGTACACCGAGTCATGGCTGCAAGTATAGGTCGAGTCTGGGGGCCCTGGGTCTACGATCGAGTGGTAGCCAATGCTGCAAACTGCTCAGCCTCTGTGCACTCAGTGGGAAGGATGGGGTATCTCACTCCTGACAAACGTTGATGAACCAGTTGATATTGGCTAATGACTTGTCAACACTCTCCATCCCCGGTCAGGATAGTCAGACATACGATCTTTGCCGATCGCGCCCAGGTTGTCCACGCCACAGAGCTGAGAGTCGCAGCAGTAGAGAGAACGGAAAGGCTGCTCCTTGTCCATGTGGTCTTTGTCTCCCAACACCTCGCACAGTCGCCCAAATGTCTCATCCTTGGGCAACATCTGCCTCAGAAACCTCTCCCTGCACTCGCTGACGCAACGAGGAGGGTCATCGACGTCGGTCGCAATGAACCCCCAGTCGTGGGCGGCGCACTCTTCTTCCCCGGTAGGATTCGGATCTCGCTGAAAAGCCATGACTGCTCGATATGGCCAGAGACGGAGATGAGGCACAGGTCAAGGGTGCGCGGTAATGGACATGCTCCTGGGAGTAGACGGAGGGGTCTCAGCCAGATATCAACCGGCAACTCGAGACGACGGGCGGAACTAGGCAACAACCCTGGAAGCCAAAAGGAGCAATCAAAGCAAAGAGGGGATAAGGGGAAAACAATAAGACGGGAGGGAAGGGTTTGTTTGAGGGAGTGAGATGGGGGCACTCTCATAAACGGCAGCGTCACCACCATCTCACGGCCGCCCCAAACCGGGACGCGTTCAGTCCGCCATGCTTACCCGTACCAGCGAACGCCATCTGCTGCCAGTTCCCTTCTCCCAGCCAAGGATTCATGTGGCCACAGGCGGTGGCAGTTCTCACGGCAGGACCGGTAGCATGGACAAGATCAGGCTCGTGTGCCGTGGCCGGCGGTGGAGGGTGTTACACCGCCGCTGCCGCTACCCGTGTCCGACGAGAATAGTCTCGTATGGTATACGGGTAGGTAGATGGTACTTTCGCCCTTGGTCAGTATTGTCCTCTGGCGGACTTGAACTTACAGGGCCATGCTCTGAGTGGAATGCATTGTCAAACAATGAATGATTGCTGTGGATACAGCCGCCACGAGGGGTTGCGGTGAGAGACAGCAGCTTTTTGTTTGCTTCGAGGACTTGGGCGTCAACGACAGCCTGGGCTTCAGCAGGCTGCCGCAACACCACACCTACGACGCCTCAAAACGGGTAGTCAGAGGTGACCCGTTGGGCGGAAGGGGGGAGAGAGGAGAGGCTGTTGGCGCAGCCCTCCCATGCGTTTGTCTTGTCACTATGTTTGGGAAACGACGCCATCATGCAGTATACCACGAGAATAAACTGTTTAAATTGAGCTGTGACGACTCTCTCGCTGCCATTAAGAATGCGGCAAGGCCAGCCGGGTGTCTGTCGCTCCGGATGTACCCATGTGCCGTCTATTCCTGGGACGAGGCCTCTTGTGCGCTGTATTGGAGCCCAAACGGGACAAGTCCTCCGGCTGAAGAGTCGCCGTATCTCGAGCTGTATGTCTTTCCCGTGGTTCTTGTGTAATCATGGCCCCAAAGGGCTTTCTCGTCCTAGTGTTCGTCCCTAGTCCCCCCCAGGCCGTGTTGCAGAACGGGTGGCAAATACGGCCATTGTTTGGCAGGTCAAGCGAGTATCCGGCAGGGGTCACTCAAGCTGGTATCCAATTATTTGCTACGTTTCGCGAAGAAGAGCTCAGGACGAGTGTGGGATTGTGGGACGCTCGGGGCTTCCTATGCAGCCTACCTGATCGTCTCCAGTCGAGACTCGAGGGTTTGCCGATCGAAAACTGCATGTTCCATTGTTTGTCCTGCGAGCTCTCTTTAAAACTCTGCCGCTCGAGTTTCGTCCTTGATTGCTCCGGGCTGCAACAGGCAAAGAGCCCGCCTGGTAGAGGGTGGTTACACATGCCCGTTCCCCACGTCGTCCCCGCATGCACGAATGAGATGATATAATCGTCATGCAGCTGCAGATTCGCAGCCGAGACGGATCGATTAGGTGGTTATGTAATTCTCTCATAATGAGGCAGCCGAGGGCCTCGTAGGATAATTAGAAATCTCACCGTTTGCTCCACGCTTGGCTGGCAACTGTGCCTGGTATTGGTGCACATTGCCATTAGTGGCGGACTGGCGGTATGCACAGTTCCCTTCTGCCATTATCCAGACAATGCGCTGGCAATGCAACCATCTTGGACTATTCATCTCATAGGTCAAATACCACGGAAGTGCTGCAGTTTGCCTTGCGGTGAAGGCGAGACATGCTGGCCATCTCCCAGAACTCGGTGCCTGAATGGTGGCGGCAGCGGCCCACGCCGAGGCTGACTCGGAGCAACGCCAGCGAGCTGCTCCAGCGTTGTGTCATCTCCAAGGGCTTGAAATGAGAAGCGCACTATCGATTGCTGCTATGCTGACGTCCCGGTGTACGAGCGGTGCGACGTGGTCGGCGGCAGGGGGCGGACAAGGAATGAACGCCATCGGCCTTGCACGGCAGAGATCCGTGGCACTCACGTGGGATCTTCTCGAGCTTCGAGGCTGGGTAGTGGCTCCAAATAGAAGCCAGTCATTCATCCCTGCGAGATGTTCATGTTCGTGGGAGTGATTGGCCAGAAGGTGTTCGGCTGAGGACGAGTTCCTGGGATGCGAGCCCGACACGAGGGATGGTTCCTGAGGTGGTCACAGGACTATCGAAACAGATGACCTCGTATCTGTGTTTCATTTGCTGTTATTAAAATGAGCCACAGAGCCAGCTGAGAGCCCTAATCTAAACAAGGTGACCTCGCATGCGTAGTCAACCGCTCTTCCATGACTAGCATACCACTAACAGCATTCAACTCCCAACTCCGATATACAAGAATAGCACTTCTCTACAACTTACCAGAGAGCTAATCTCAACTCAAATGAGCCTACCGCTCCGCACAAGGATTGTCTCGAGTTCCCTCCCTCGTATGACACTGGCTCGTTGCAATGTCTGCGAGGTTCCTGACTGGTCCGAGAATTCGTCTCTTTCGGAGCGCACCACCTGCATGGTAAATTTGGTTGCCCGAAGAAGAAGTATTTCCATGAAGGGTGTTACGTGAGGCTTAAGCGGCCGGTGCCAAGACTCGGCTTCATCTTTCTTCCCGACCATATCAGTTCAGCTCAAATAAAGGTTGATCACCGAGGAATCCGTAAACGGCTTGTAAGACATGGGTAAAGCGGGTATATCAGTCCACCACCAGTGATAGACGACACGAGGATTCGTGCTGTTTTCTTAGTTTAGTAAGCCAATGAAGCACATGTCGCTCATACCCGTGTACTAAGGCCATGTGACTATCATACCTCTTAAACGCATGAACTCACGCTTCTCTGCTATAATAAACAAGGCTGTAGACGGAAGTCATAAGATGATTGCAACGTATTTTGGCTAGTTTATTTCTCAAATGCGCGATCCAACGAGGTTTTGCCTTTCGACGCATGGGCACACAACTCAAGACCAAACCTATTTCAGGGGCCAAATGGGTGTTCATACAATATTGGCCAAAAAAAAATCGGGCAAAACCCTCTGTACTTCGACATTTTTAAGGACTTATTCGGGCTTCTTGGCTGTAGAGCATGTTGAGGCTTATTATTAGCGAACGGAGAATTAAAGCGATAACCAAGATCGGACTCCACTATCTTATGCTGTAGAAAAATATTCTCAATCAACCGTGGGGCTATCCTTTTCCAAATGGTACCGATATTAAGTGCAGGGACAGCCAAAGCTGAATTCTATTCTATGCAGCATGGCAATTAGGTGGTCATCGGGGTGCGTTCCCATATACGGTGCGAGAGTTGATAAAACTACCGGGAGAGGCTGACATCCTCATAACTCAACACCCCTGGTTTCTCTCGAAGCCCATATCTAAATAGTGTTTTCTTACGTTTATTTTCAAACTGAGAATAAATCAAAAATCATTCGTTCCATTATTTTGTCAAGGAACTGCTCGATTTATTGAAGGATTGTAGTTGATCACTGCCAAACATCCCGAGATCCCCGATGGCGTCGACCATCGCCTTACATGCTTACGATGGAAGGATGGTACCAATAATCTAGCGGTATATGATTATCACATTTCAAGTTTAATCTCCATCTTTTAATAGCCAAGGTCGGTATTAGAGGTGATGGCCATATCATTTTAGCGGGCCGCATTTCTTCCGGAGCGGTGCGATGCGCTTGGATCTTGTACTCGCAGCTACGTCAGGCCTCGGCACTTTGGCAACCGAACAACCGACAGACATGGCTTCAACAGCGTCAAAGGGCCAACGGCCCAATGGGTGGACTCGTCGCATCGCCAAAGTCCGTCTGTCTACTGGAATTCCTTCTAATCCGCCGATGCCCTGCTAACGTCTTGCAAGGCTTGTGACTCGTGCCGCCAAAGGAGGACAAAATGCAGTGGGACCCGCCCGGTCTGTTCACAATGCACCTCCACCAACGCCAACTGCCATTATTCCGATCGTGTGGACAGGCAAGCCGGCCGTCCTGAGCGGTATGTTGTTTCCTTTCTGCTTCTGTCTTTTGCTTTATTTGGAAATAGACCAAGGCAATAACGCGACGTAGCAACATCCGCCGTCTTCAGGCTCGCGTTCGGGAGCTCGAAGCAGCGCAAAACCTAGAGCCCGGCGCTCTTCCTCATCAGCGGCAATCGTCGTCGGATTTAGAACTTCCAAGGACCGAACAGCAAGAATCCGGAAATGTCGGTCTGCAGCAACTGGCGGAAAACCCGTCAGTAATGGCACCTGTCAAAGACAATGGAGGCCGCGAGACTATGGTCGCTGAGAATACGGGCGAGTTGAGATACTTCGGTGTGTAAAGCAATCTGCGACACGAGCTCAGTGTATAGTACTAACTAGCAGAGAGGCCCATCGTCGAGCGTGTCAGTCCTCTCACCTGATGGCCTGAAGTGGATTGAGTCACGCACCGCCGATGCCTCCTTGCGCCAGCGTCTCGAGATGCCTTTGAAAGGTGCCGGGAGCTGGGCCAGATGGACTCACCCGCTGCTTCAATCGTTATGGCCCACCACGCTTTCAACTCCGCTACCACCTTGGGAAGATGCTCTAGGGCTCGTCAGCGAATTCTTAGAGAACTATAACACCATCCTGCCCATATTCCACCCACCAACACTCATGGGGCTGCTGGGGCAACAATACGCACACTCTGTTACGGCAATAGAGGATCCGGCATTTTCTGTCGCGTTGAATGCGATACTTGCACTAGCTCAGCGTAGGAGAGCTGAACAGAGCACGCAAAACCAGGAACTCGCTGATAGTTCTTGGGCATATGCAAAGAACTCGCTCGAATCTGTCTTGACTGTGCTCATGCGCAGCGTCAGCCTCCTCTCTGTTCAGGCACTTCTAGTACTCGCCTGCTTCTTCCGCGGCACGCCAAATCCCCAACCCTTCTTCTTTCTAACCGCAGCAGCTCTTCGACTATCCCACTCGGCGGGATTGCACCGTGCGTTTGACCATCTTCCAATATCCGATGTTAACCGGGAACAAAGGCCTCGAGTTTTCTGGATCGCCCTCATTTTTGACTCGAGAGCCTCAATACGAACTGGGCGGCCGTTGGCTCATGATATTAATGACATTAGTATTCCCAATCCTTCAGAATCCCCAAAAGACAATCTAGGAATTATTGTCAACAATGATGGGACTTCGATTCTGAATGTCCTCCTTGTCGAGGCTAGATTTGCCGTCATTGAAGGCAAGATCTACCAAACTATATTCGCAGCCAGCTCGTCTGAAAAGTCCATTGAAACCCTTACCGCCGATATCCGTACCCTTGGAGAAGAATTAGACGACTGGGGCCGCGCGGCTCTGCGCGGGATGGACCACAGCACAATCATGAGTGAATGGGGCCACCAGCTTCCCACTGTGATCAGCCTTGTTCTTTCATATCACAGTCGCGTTATCACTGTTCATACTGCGGCCTGGCAACGGTATTTCAGTTCCATGAGGGGGACAGATTCTGGGCCGCGGGAGCTCGATCCCAATTCCTCTTGCTTCCCACACACCGAGAGGTGTCTGCACTCTGCTCACGAAATAATCAAGTTCCTTACCTTTATTCCTCGAGCAAACCATGCATTTATCTGGTACGGTGCCCAATTCTATATCACAATGCCGGCACTGACATCAAACAAGGGAAATTATCCATTTTCCGGTACAAGCATTGATGCTTCTCTTCATCTGCATCCTACAGAAACCCAACGATGCCAATGTCAACACTCGCTTTGGGGCAATCAATGACGCAATAACTTTTGTGTCCCAGATAATGACTACCCAACAAGACTCCTTCCTTCGGCCGATTGTAGCTGTCTGCCATGAGCTAGCCAGAATCGCGCGCTTAGCGATACGGAAGGCTTCGATGAGAACGGATAGACTCGAGCATCCTCGGATGACTGCTTCACAGGGCGCTGATCATGGGTCGACAACCATGAATATGCATACAGAACAGTGCCCGATATCGGGCACCTCAAATCCATCTGTAGTACCAGAGCATGATGGGCTATCTTCAATCGTGCATGATTATCCATATCATTTGCCACTTGATCACAATGAATCAGGGTCGGCCATTCCCCAGGCTGAAGGTGCGGACTTGGGGGCATTTGGCGTCGATCAACTCTACGATCTCCCGCTTCCTTTCTCATGGAATTGGCACGACCTTTCGGCGGGTTTGCTGGAAGACTTTGATTTTGTCTAGAATAAGCCAGGTAGGGAGATCTCTGAATAGCCATCATAGGATCAGTACTCACACCTCCCAATCCCTGATATTTACATCTACCACTCTGGCTTCGATCTCCCCTTTGATCCAGACGGTACTATATATTCCAGCTTCGACTTCGCGAGCTTGAATGGCGGCGCCAGAATCTTAATGTCATCTTCCATTCCCCAATCCTTGCCCGTCATCTCCCAGAAATACCCCGGACGTTCGAGAATGTCTGGTTTCACCTTCAGAATCGCAGCGTATGATTTAAGCAACAAGGTCTGCATTTCGTCGTAATGCCTCACGTGGAATCCTTCATTGCGGGCCAAAAGTGCCTTCGACTGTTCCTCGTCGTACTGACCAAGCTGGTAGTACCAGATGTTGTACTGAGTCAAGCTGACGTCAACATCGAATGTTTCGTCGCCCTTTGTGCGTTCGAGCAGAGCTTGTAATATCGCAGCGGCTCCTATGAGGCCCGTTTGATAGTCAGAATTCGCTGGATAGATTAGCTGTGGACGAGCATTTTCTCTCATTGAAGAACTTACGCAATAGGGGAACGACTGGCTCATCGAGACCCATGAATTTCCCCTGAAGCCACGAGATGCCGACCAAGCAGTCACTAATCTGCTGCCATCCAGAACGATATGCCAGCGGCCCCTTGAAGCCGTAGCAATTTTCTCGAGCATATACCAAGTTTCCCTTAATATTTCTCAGGGTCGCTGAATCGAATCCCAGCCTTGCCAGCACACCAGGCCGGTAACCATCGACCAGGACGTCAGCACCCTCGATGAGCTTTGAGAACGTATTTTTCCCCTCCTCGGACTTTAGGTCAATATTAGTGTCTTTCTTTCCAGTGTTAAGGTCCAGCCAGGTAATTGAGATGTCTGGCAAGTGCTCGCTTGTCACCTTGACAACCTCGGCGCCGAGGACAGCCAGTATCTTGGATATGACGGGCGCGGCAATCACACGCGAGAAGTCAATGACACGAATTCCAGCGAGGGGCTTGAATTCGGAGGATTGGCTTTGTTGAGGCCATGAGCTCCGGGGAGCTGGCACACTTCTCCGATTCCACAGAGGCTCGGCGCCCATGATTTTTCCCTGCTCCGAAGCGAAGAACTCTTCCGGTGTGAGACAGGTCACACCAGCTTCCTTCACCTCCTCATTTGACTTTCTCTCTAGGAATTCAGCGTCATGCTGGGCGACCTTCTCAGCGTAGATCTTGATGGCCTCCTCTCGCGTAACATCCTGTTCGTCCACGCCAATCATGTCCATGGTCGCCGTTGCGTTCATAGAACCATGGAGGTGGTACCAGCGACCATCCTTTGTTTTGTAGACGTTCGTGGCCTCCTGGTGGATAGGGTTATTCATGGCGTATAAATCACCCTTCTTGAACTCAGCCTGCAGGTGGGGATGTTGCAGGAAGGATTTGCCGTTGACAGTGGGCAGGAGAATGGATTCGAGGAAGAGGGTCGCAAGGTCCCTAGGTGTTGTTAGAATTCTCCACAACATCCCTTGATCTTGGCACTACCGGAGTGCATGATGGGTTCTGGGGACTCACGTATCGACCTCGGCATCCTGGAAGTCGATGCCATATCGATCTGATGCCACGGCGCTGGCAGCAGCAGCAACAAGTCCCGACAGAGCGGAGACGGACTCGGTAATCTTGCAGGGCGTTGGAATGAATGGCTTCGGATCTTGACCAACAAACTTGATCTTCTTTGCTGCTTCGGAAAATGAAGACGGGAGCAACAGGGTTTTGTCGTTGAGGACTCGCTCGTGAAGGAAGCGTTCGCTTTCTTGTTGCACAGAGTAGGAGTCCATGTTCATAAGTTGTTCTGAAAAGTCTGGATGAATCTTTAGTCTTACAATGTAGTTCGTATATAGTCTAACAAAAGTCCGGCACTTAGTGCCTCTTATACAGCTACAGTGCGAAAATATCAGGGGGGCATACCTCATAGTATTCCAATTATTAGTGTCGCACCACAGGTACCCCCCCAATCAAGAAAATATGCCTCTTCAACTGGGGCATAATCGATCCGTGACAGCCGAAGTAGCATTGAGGAATCCACAATGCGGTCAAGAATTACGCAGATCTACGGAGTCCAAGAGGAGGCCGGCCGGAGTTTTATCCAACATCTGCTCCAAAACTCCGGGAGTGGATGACGGGGATCCCTCGGCACCGGAGTTTTGGCCTCGACCCGCAATACTCCACGCCGTTTCCTCCACGCAAAGTGATCGAAACTCCTAAAGGGTCCCGAGGTCAGTTCCTAAATGGGAAACCAACGCGCTGGGCTTTCCATTATACTGGAAATGATGTAGATGGCGTAGATGGCGTGAACCGTAAATACAAGTTTGTGTATATAAGTCGTGATGCCCAGGCCAAGAGACGGACGGCAGATTTCAACGCAGTTGCATTACTTCATTAACAAGAATTATTCTCTCAGAAATCTCCAATAGCAGGATTATTTTACCGAGTTCATATCAGCACAGTATCAAGTGTTTGAATCATGTCACACTGGCGTCAAGGCGAATTCGGCAAGCGCCCGGTTCGCATTGCCAACTGTTCAGGCTACTGTGGTAATTCAAGTCCAGCTCCAAGTTTCATCACTGTAACAAATCTGATCCCATTTCTAGGAGATCCGCCAGTTGAAATGTATAAGCAAGCCACCCTTGGTGACGTCGACTTTATCACAGGAGATTATTTGGCAGGTAAGCTTAATCGGAGTTTAAAACAGCTGGTTTCCATACACTATTCTAATGTTTTACAGAGGTCAATATTGCCAAGAATGCCGAGGACTTTGCCAGAGGTCATCACCCTGGTTATGAAGCCTCTGCCTTGGAGGGCCTTGAGATGACTATTGATGTTATTAACGAGAAGCGCATCAAAGTGGCCCTGAACGGCGGCGCTTTGAACCCCAAAGGTTTGGCCCAGAAGGTTGCTGCGCTCGTCAAGGAAAGAGGCCATAACCTCTATGTCGCTTACGTCTCTGGGGACGATCTCCTTCCAGAAGTTTTGAAGCTCATGCCGAACACTCGCTCCGCCTACCTACCCCATCTAGATTCCAGCAATTCCAATGTCCAACCTTTGGAAGAAGCCTTGTCTTTTCTCAACCAAGATCCAGCTTCCAAGTCTCATACTGAGATTGTATCTGCCAATGCCTACCTGGGTGCTCGCGGTATCGTTGACGCCTTCCAACAAGGGGCCGATATCGTGATCACAGGACGCGTATCGGACGCCTCGCCTGTCATCGCTGCAGCGTGGTATTGGTGGTCGTGGAATGCAACAGACTATGACCAGCTAGCTGGCGGTTTGATTGCTGGCCACCTGATCGAATGCTCAGCTTACGTTACGGGTGGAAACTTCGCCGGTTTCACGGACAAAAAGTATGGCGGATGGAAGAGGTTCGTCGACCCGGGGTTCCCAATCGCAGAGGTTAGTGCGGACGGGTCTTGTGTAGTAACGAAGCACGAGGGGACCGGGGGAGTGGTCAACGACGATACAGTGAGATGCCAGCTTCTTTATGAGTTGCAAGGAAACGTGTACCTGCACAGTGACTCCAAAGCAGTATTGGACGGAGTGGAGGTGAAGGAGGTCGGGAAGGACAGGTAACGTCGTCTTCTGCCAGCCTCTGTCAGATCATTCTGCTAACGATATCCATTCAGGGTGCGTGTGAGTGGAATTAAAGGACTCCCACCACCACCAACCACAAAATTGGCCATTTTCTACAAGGGTGGTTACGAATGCCAGGTGCTCCTCAATACAGCTGGCTACGGATGGGAGCAGAAATGCGAACTCTTCGAGGAGCAAATTCGACAGAAAATAGGAGGCGAGTCACTCCAGAAGCTCGATTTCCTCGAATTCCAAAGGTAAGGAACAGAAACGCTTGACAGAATGAGAGTGCAACAAATGGCTGATACGCTGCAGAATTGGCGTCCCGGCGGAGAACCCCCGAGATCAAGCAAGCAGCACGACGTACATCAGGATCGTCTCCCAGGCCAAAGAAGCTGCAGCTCTCTTGGAGATCCCCAAAGCTGTCGGGAACATATCACTCAAGCACTTCCATGGTAAGAAGTAGCCCAGCACATGATTGGAGCGTTTACTAAAGGCCACAGGCTTCCATTCCTCCCTGGATATGCGCACAGCTATCCCGAAGCCGTATCTGGCGTACTACCCGGCCCTCTGGGCTCAGCAGAAGCTCCAAGAGATTGTGAATTTCCTTGACGCCTCAGGTGAAATTACTTCGTCCAGGCCTGTCGGCCATCCTCCCGCTTATGAGCCCTTGTCCGAACGCAGCAGCTACGACACCACGTCCCCGGTCACATTCACTAGCCCAACAAGGGCCATTCGACTGGGTGACATTGCACTCGCACGATCGGGCGACAAGGGCTCGAACCTCAACGTAGGAGTTTTCGTTCGCACGGCGCAACAATGGGAGTGGCTGCGGTCCTTCATGTCGCAAGAGAAAATGTGGCAGTTGCTTGGCGGCGACGCCGACAAGAGCTTCAGTCTGGAACGGGTGGAGTTTCCTCACATTTTTGCAGTGCATTTTGTCGTCTATGGAATCCTGGGTAGGGGTGTAAGCAGTTCTACGAGGCTGGATGCGTTCGGTAAAGGATTTGCGGATTACTTGAGGGACAAGGTCGTGGAAGTTCCGGTTGAGATATTAGGGGAAGTAGACACCTAGTTAGTAGGTTTATCATGGTAATTTAGTACGAGTATTCGCAGAAGAAAATGCTCAACAATAGTTTTGTCAATGTAGGTTTACATCTCTCTTTCTTGTTGAATTAGCCTGTACTCTATCGAAGTTATTTTGTTGGATCTATCAATGTACGGAATTCATTTTTTATTCTCGTTCAGCTCTGTTGTAATCCGCGGTGCAGTATCACGGCAATATGTGGGTTTATTTTTCCGCATCATGACAAGAAAGTCACCCATTACTTTGCTCAACCCACAAATGAAAAGACCATTCCTGATAGGAATTGAAAAGACCGAAGATAAATCAGAATTCCTTCCCTTCCAATGCGATTCCCATTACTGCATTAAAATAAATTACTTCTCAGCATACCCTACAGAGAAGCATTCCACGAACCGCTCCACGTGACATGAAAGACGGCGTCGGAGCGCCAACCCGCCGAGCCTCGGCTCCGTCCAGACCCCTCACTCCACTGTTGCCGGCCCGTAAGTCTCACTTATAGCTGACCTCACTCAGCACGGCCAGAGAAAAAGGACATCGCGATGTTGAGCACGACACATTTGTCGTCCTGCTCATTGCTTCATCATCCCGGCTGATCGCCACCTTCTTCCTCATACTACGTAGTTACTCGTCATCCCGCTGTTCGAGGGATCGAGACTGAAACAATGTCCGACAAGGCCCAGGAACGCATCGACGCCATCGGCAAGCAACTTCTCCCGCCCATCACCAAGGTTGCTCCCGGGTCCAGCGCTCCACGCGTCCAGAACAAGGTCGTCATCATCACAGGTAATCCAAACACCCGCTCTTCTCTCCCTCCCCTCGCTTGAATTGCGGACTGGACGATTGCTGACCTTGTGGCAAAGGCGCCAACTCGCCGCTGGGCATTGGCCGTGCGACGGCCCACCAGTATGCGGAGAGCGGCGCTCGAGCACTCTATCTATGTGATTATGATGGCTCGAACCTGGATGCCCACAAGGAGGAGCTAGCTGCAGCCTTCCCTGACGTTGAGGTTCATACTCGGCGCTTTGATGCTGCGGATGAGCCGAGTGTCAAGGCGGTCGTCGATGAAGCCCTCGCTCAATATGGACGGCTCGATGTCTTCTTCGCCAACGCTGGCGTGGTCGGCAAGTCTGTTATCTTCTCGCAGTTCGAGAGCGAGGAATTCATGTCGGTCCTCAAGACTAACACACTCAGGTGGGTACAGTACTCTCCCCCAGACATGCTCGGTAGTTGGGCACCGCCAGTCTGTTCTCGTTCTCCGTAATCGAGTTGCGCAACCCCACAACGGAGCCTCAGCTAAATATCCCCGTCTAGTGTGTTCCTTGCAGCAAAGTACGCAGCACCAGCCATGATGAAGACGTCTACCGAGAAGCCCCAACCCTGCGGCAGCATCATTGGCACGGCGTCCGTCGCCGGGATCCGCTCCAACGCCGGCTCGACCCCCTACTCGGCGTCCAAGGCCGCCGTGGTTTCGCTGGCACAGACCATTTCCTACCAGCTCGCGGGCACGGGCGTGCGAGTCAACGCCATCTGCCCGGGGCTCATCGAGACGGGCATGACGGCCCCCATGTACGATGCTGCTCGCGCCCGCGGGACGGAGCAGAGGATCGGGCAGCTTAATCCCCTTAAGCGCGGCGGCCGCGCAGACGAGATTGCACGGGTTGCGCTGTTCCTGGGAAGTGACGAAAGCAGCTATGTTAACGGGCAGGCCTGGGCCGTGGACGGGGGTTTAAGCGCTGGCCATCCCTTTGTGCCTGGCAAGCTGGGCTAGATGCCTCGGAGAGAAGAAGACTGTTCATAGACTAGCGTACCGACTGTTCCTGCAGTGTGGGAATCCACCTGCAGGAATCTAGGAGAGAATCGCAAGCTACGGTTGTTAATTGTGGAGGCTCTTCTCCGTGTCTAGTCACACCATGCAATTCCACCCTCCCGGGAGGCGCAGATCACAGACGACAGAAACTTCCGTCCCACGTACGTACGTCGTAGTAGTAGTACGTAGTGGCAATGAACCGTCTCGAGAGAACCAGGACCGGGCCAGGATTGACAGACTCGAAACATGAACGTTAATCAATCTCCATGCCGCCCTAGGGGGTTTTCCATCGCGAAGACGCAATCCAGAGCATTCTAGCGAATCGGTCCCTGGGGATTCTGAAACGGGTTGCGACTGAAACTGGGCTCATCATGGTTGAGGGTTATGGTTGTGGCTCCAAACGGGAAACATCTGACTATAGCCAACGATAAACATTGTCATGGAACCCGAGCCGCGTCATCACTCCCACATACCGACGGGGCCCCCTAAAAACTCCCCCCAAGCGCCCCGACGCCACAACCACAACCCAACCGTTCGCCCCCATCAACTCGAAACTAGAAGCCGTCGACTAACAATTATCCACTTGTTGAGAGATGTTCCGCCAAGTAGATGTCAGTGGACCCTGGCACCGATCGCCAGGGGGACCTGATGGGATTCGCACCTCTCAGGGGCCGGGGGCGGCGGACGAAGACGGTAGCAGTCTAGCACTCTGCAGCAGTCAACCGCGAATGCAGCCCTGGCGTCGACCTGCCAGAGAGTCGCAATGAAACCACCACGCCTAGTTTTTTCAGACCGGGATACTGGAGCCAACGCGTAACCTTCACGGTGGCTCCGACCCAGGAAAGGGACCAGGAGCTTGGAAGAAACGGCATTCTCCGCCATGGCAGCTGTCGTCGATTGTAGCCTCGAAAATGCTATATATGAGTCCTCTCCGGCGGCTCTAAACACAATCTCAGCATCGCCTCCATCGCCCTCTTTTCACCCTCGCTTCTTTCTTTCAATCTCAGGACCTGCAGTTGATCTGTGATCCGTCTTTTGTACAGCCTTTTCAATCTTTTCCCATACCGACCTCAAGTTTCAACATTCCTTCATCCGCAATGGCTGTTCTGTCCCTCCTTACTATGGCTTTGGCCATCTCTGCCCGCGCCATGGCTCAGCCCGTCGGTGCCCAGACTCCCAGCTTCGGTGGCAACGGCGCCCAGCACACTCCCGGTAACGGCGGCTTCGGTGGCCAGCACACTCCCGGTGCTGGCGGCGACTTTAGCGGCATGCCCACCGGCGTGCCCACTGGCACTCCCACCGGTGGCTTCGGCCAGGGTGGTCAGCAGACTCCCGGCTCCGGCTTCGACGCTGCTGCTATCGAGACTCCCGGCTCTGGCAGCGGTGACCTCCCCATGAGCATCCCTACCGCCATTGGTACTCCTGGTGGTTTCGGTGATCTCCCCTCCGGTATCCCGACCGGTATCCCGACCGGCCTCCCCAGCGGCATTTTCGGTGGCCTCTTCAGCAAGAGACAGCAGGGCGACGACGCTGAGCAGACCCCCGGTGCTGGCGGCGACTTCACCGGCGACTTCACCGGCAGCTTCGCCATGCCCACTGGCACCCCCACCGGCGGTTTCGGCCGCGGTGGCCACCACACTCCCGGTAACGGAGGCTTTGGCGGCCACCACACTCCTGGTGCTGGCGGCGACTTCAGTGGCATGCCCACTGGCACTCCCGGCGCTGGCTTCGGCGGTGCTGACGAGACTGACAGTGGCTTCAACGCTGCTGCCGTCGAGACTCCCGGCGGTGGTGACTTCACCGGCAGCTTCGTCATGCCCACTGGCACTCCCACTGGTGGATTCGGCGGCCAGGGCGGTCACCACACTCCCGGCGCTGGCGGTCACGGCGACCACACTCCCGGTGCTGGCGGCTTCGGTGGCGACTTCACTGGCAGCTTCACCCGACCCACTGGTACTCCCACTGGTGGCTTCGGTGGCCAGCAGACTCCTGGCGCTGGTGGCCGTGGCGGTGAGGGTGCTCCTTCTGGCATCTCTTCTTTCATCACCAAGGCCCGAGCCACCGCTTCTGGTGCTGCCCGCAAGTAAACGACTCTTGCATTGCTGTGATGACCCGCGCCACATCGATCTTGGCCTGGAAAACATGAGGGGGAAATGAGGGGAATGGTTGATACGTATATAATATGGCCGAGAAGCTGGTCTTTGGATCCTTCATTTTGTATCTAGTTCCATGGCGGCGGCGCCTGTCGCCGTCAATTGAACAATTTTGGCGAGCATCTCATCTTTCCAAACTCTGTGATCGGCGCGTTTCGTTTCGCTGAGGAAATCGTACTTGTCTTGAAACATCGTGTCTGCTCGTTTGATCTGCACCGTGGGCATCGCCTCCTCGTCAACCATGTCGATGTCATCAACCTGGCTGCGCTGAGTCAACTTGACCACGTCCGTAATACCCTGGTACCAATCACCGGTGAGCCAGCCGCGCTCGTTGACCTTGGCAACTGCGTCATCGAACTCGGTGGTTTTGGGCTTGCTCCAGCCATTCCACGCATCGTCGTCATCTAGGCCCAGAACGGTAACCTCTTTGCGAGCCCGAGTCAGCAAGGAAAGTATCTCCTTTCGTTGCGGAACGTAGCCATCACGATCAATCGCTTCACCGGATGCAAGGGCACGGATACGCATGGTTACGAAGAAGTAGATGGCCGCAAACAAAACCGTAGTGTTCTGAAGAGCCCATTCGTCGTCAGTCTTCCGTCCGCCAGGGGCAATTATCGCCTCCATGCCGGCGAGAATGGTGGGCGCAAGCTTCTTGTGATTGGTTTCTTGGCAGATGAACCGAGTAGCGGGTTGAATCCAGGGGTGAAATCCGTTTTCAGGCGCGGAATCGGTTGCTTTTCTGGCAGATTTCATCGGGGTCCCGTCGCCAGCCTTCGAGGGGGTTCGCCATTGCGCAAGGCTTCTCTCCTTGGTTGGCGTCGCGCGAGATGGTACTCGAGTTGCTGAGGCAGGCGAGGTCCCGAGGTCCCTCAATCTTCCGCTCGGCGTCCGAACACGACCTGAGGGAGTTCGGGGAGTGGATGCGGAGTTGGGGAGGATGTTGTCGAGATGAGCATACAGTCGCTTGTAGATGCGGGGAGGAATTGGTGGCCGTGGCTCGATTGGCGGCAGATCAAGGGTTATTTTCAGTCTGTTAGAGTTAGTCTTATGATCAATGGGCGAATTACATCGGCAATTGGAATACCTATCACAGGCGATGTTGGCGCAAGCGTACAGCCTCGCAATCTCTTCTTCGGCCTTCAGAGTGCTTGCACGATGGCGGGACTGTGCGAGGAGAGATCCGGCAAGCTGCAGTAGAGTCGGCGGAAGATCTTGAGTATACGTTGGCATCAATGAGAGCAACGCCTGATCAATTTGACGACTCATTTTGGCGGTTGTTGTCAAGAGGCGGTGATGTCAAGGATGGATTGTGGTCTGGGCTCAATGTCGCCGAGTAACTCTGGTACGCGACTGGGTGACGCGCAGCTTCGGGTGGTCCTACGCCAAGTCACGGGGTAGGCCCGCCAGCACTTACGACCTGCCAAACTGCGAATCCTAGCCGTGCCGAGAGACATGGGAACAAGCGACGTAATCTCTAAGACGAGACTGGGGAAAGAATATTTGTCTCGTCAATGATTTCGGTTCCGGCTTGGCAGATGTTGCTGCGCTTCGTTCCGCCAGATATCGCAGTTGCAAATGAATAGACAAGAAAACAATGGCATTGTTGGCGAACGTAAAAGTGTCTGATATCGGGACGAGATCGCCCGGTCTTCAGTTCCATTCCAGCGCCCTAGGCACAGAACTCAGCACCGCTCCAGCGCCTACCCCAGTGCCATCTCCCCCGAAGCGCGCTGGGGTTCAGTAGCTTAGCTCCCCGCTAAATTGGTGGCCCGCTCGTGCCGCCCCTGATAACCTCCACAGTAGCCATTACGACAGTGACCACGAACGGTTGAATCGACGTTGGATTGCTCCCAGTCCTCCAGTCCAGCCTCCTTCGACGATCTCTGAACCACGTCCTTCGGCCAGCCTCGATATTCTATCCACATCCACCTCCTGGTCGTGACCTCAATCCCACTCTTCAAGCCCCGCGATTCCGTCCTCTCCAGTCCGCAACACACACAAGCAGCAACAATGCGCCCAACGGTTCTTCTGAGCGCCGCCTGCGCCGGCTTGGTCGCAGCCCATTCGCAAGCTCCCATCGTCCCCGAAGGCGCTGACTGGATGACGAAGCATATGGCAGGTATGTACCACGCATTCCCTTGCTTGCGCCGACATCTCTAACATGACACGTACAGAGGAGCACCATATCGCGGGCTGGGACGCCAACTCCTTCTTCGCTCTTCACGATTACGATAGCAACGGCCGGTGGGAGGGTTCCGAGATACAGCGCACCTACGGTCTCATGGATGTGTCCAACAATGAAATGCTGCAGAGCCGAAAAGACGAGGTCCTCAAAATCTTGCTAGACCTCCTAGACAAGGACGGCGACTTCTCCGTTACCCTTGAGGAGTGGAACAACTTCATCGGCTCGGGCAAGACGCTGCCCGATCTGGGCACTGGCCCCGGCCACCACGGCGACGACGAGTACGAGTACGAGATCCACCACTGGGAGAAGTATCACGACGAGAACACCAAGCTCGAGGACCTGACGCATCCCGAGGACATTGAGCACTTCAAGAAGCATGAGCAGATGGAGGACGAGGAGGACCGCCTCGAGGCTTTGAACAAGATCCCCATCGTCGAAGCTAACATCCCCTCAAAGTTCCGACGATCATCTTAGGCTGGACATTGGATTTTCCTCCCGTGGTAGGATAGAGGCGCGGGTGGGGCGTATGATATCATGACGGATGATTTGTACATTGGTAATATTGCTATTGAGAGATAGAACCTGTAACATGAATGTCAAAGACACAATGCCAGACGCCTGGCGCAAACGTTTTGACCAACTCGATATGCTCGACCTTGACTGTTCGCACCTCCTTGTCGTCCCCCCAGCTCTCAAATCGGCTTTGGATCTCTTGCCGCCTCGCTTCCGTGTCGTTGACGCCCACGTTCTCGTGGAGGTGTAACCACGTCTCGGTTGACGGCGCGGACATCTCCCAGGTATGCTTCCAGGTTAGTTCACTTGTGGGCAGAAAGCCGCAGTTGATATGCCGAATCTCTCGAACCATGCCCTGTGCTTGCAGTGACTGTATCCTTCCTAGCGCGTCCTCGTTGCTCTCGAGGAACACGATAATCTGGTCTCCTCCGGCGAGAATCTCCTCGACTGGTAATTCCAACTCCTGGCCCTGGACGACTTTCACCGTCCACCGGTTAGCTATTGCGCCTCGTCGCAAGCCCTCGACGCTCCAAGGGTTAATCTCCCAGCACAGAACCCTCATTTCCAAGCGAGCGTAAGAAAAGACAAAGTAACCAATGCCCGCGTAGAGATCTACCGCCCACGGCTTCTCAGATAATCCTGAATCCGATGGACTCTCCATGTCGAGTAACCTTGCCTTCTCCTTGATGTTGCCACGACTAAACATGGTCCACCTCGGTGCCCAGGTCTGGAATATTCCATTCTGTTTCGTCGATACCCAGAGCGCTTTATCAAAGTCGCTCTTCGACAGTGTTTCCGTTGTAGCTTCAGCAGGGCCAAAGTCGCCGTATAGAATACGCAATCCACTTGGGCTCCTCAGTACGTTCTCGTCCTCCGCCCCATCCTTGTGCAGAGGGATGCCCTCGTTGGCCGCCAAGTGCGTTAACCTGCCCTTGGCTTGAGTCGACAGTTCCTTCAATATCAAGGACCATAGCTGGGCAGAGGAATCTCGGCCGACGCCACGTAAAGTAGTTGTCCAGGTCTCATTGGTGAAACTGCCAGATGGGAGCAACGCCATCGGCTCATAGATTGTGAAGCGCTTAGGGGCGCTGCTTAAGAGGTCATCTTTCCATTCTTTCTGATCCTCGTCTCCATCTGGTTGTGGTATTGAGGCGATCCAGGTCTGGATGGCAGTTTGGATTGGGTTGGCCTTCGGCTTCTTTGGCTTAGCCATTTTTTCGTGAGGGGTGAAAATTGCGTGGAGCAGAAATCGAGTCTAACTACCGCCGCTCAAAATATTATGACATCAAGGCATGGGCAGAGATGTCATGATTTCTCGGAGCATGTAGTCGCTGGTGAAGATGATGAGGCGAGTCATTTAACGCCGCATGGTTCCCAAGCCCGATCATTTGCCCCATTTTGCTCAAAAGTCAATTGTACTGTTTCTACCCAACCAGATTTCCCACTGAAGTTCACCTCAAGTCCATGGGTATCTTGACCCTATGCTATTCTACATGCAACACCGAATCATCCATCCGTTACGTGTATTTCATCCTTCATCACAAGAAGTAGTCACCAGGTCCCCTTCTGTTCGTGGGCACGTGTCTCTGGTCGTCGGGCACAGCCGAGAAGATACTAAACTTGGGGTTCAAGTCCTTGTCCACAGACATGATGGATGCGACGTTGCCGCAGCGATAACAGTAGTTGGGAGCCGACCAAACCGTCACAACAGAGTTCTCCGGGAAGTGATACTAGTTGTGGTTAGCACGAGTCGGCAATAAATATGTAGGAGAGTTGCCATACCTTGTATCCTTCGTTGACAAGTTGATGCGCTCGCGCAATCAGCTTCAGTCCGTTCACATGATTAAATTCCGTCGCCACCTTGTCACCGAACAGCCAACCGGCACCGCGAGGACTGATCGCCCAGGTTTCGACGTCTTCTGGGTCTGACCACACCAGGTCGCAGAAAGCGCCTTCGTGAGGAATCTCTTGAGCTCGCGCGACGACACGGATCTGGTCGATAGTCCTGATTTCAGGGCTCAGGCCTCCGTGGACACAGAGGATCTCACCATCAATGATGGCAGCAAGGACAAGGAAGTCAAAGACGTGACAGCAAGCCTTCCAGACTGACGCATTGCCGTATTTCTGCTGGCACTCCTCGTAGAACCCATAAACCTGGGTGATCTGTCGCGACTCATGGTTTCCACGGACAAGGACTATCCGATCGGGGTATCTGTACGATTGGTAAGCAACAAGCCAGATGAACATGACAGGCTTGCGGAGGGAGCTCACTTGGCCTTGAGGCACATGAGTAGTGTGAACGTCTCCAAGCTGAAGTATCCTCGGTCGACAAAGTCTCCCAGGAAAATGTATCGGGTCTCTGCACTTTGGCTCTGAGTTGCGGTTACACTAACGCCAGAGTCCAAGCGGTCAGCCATCGTAGCATCAGGATCATCCTCTGTCTCATCAGCCTCCGGCTCTTCTGCACCCTCGGCTGCGCTGCTGCTGGGTGCATCGCCACTAGACTTTATCTTCTTCCTCAACTTAGGGTTTGTGATCTCGGTGGGCGGTTCGATATCGTCAGAGGTGATGACGGTCGTTGCTGTCTTCGGGGCCTGCGCGTTCGTCTCGCCTGGCATGCCGCCAGACACTCGGAAGAGCTCGAGGAGGTCGTAGAACTGTCCGTGGATGTCGCCGCAAACAGTGACGGGGGTGCAGACTGGCTGAATGTTTGACTCTGGGAGGTCGGGTCAACGAGAGTCGCCTGTTAAGCCCCAGGGCAGCAAAGCTCACCTTCCATCAGGATCTCCTTAACCTTCTCGCACAGCTCCTTCATGGCTCTCTCGGGCAGATAGTGGCACTGCTTGGCCTCCTCAAGCCATTCATCGAGTCCGGCATTGGGCCCCAGGTTGGCGGGGCCCGGTCGAGGTACGTTCGTAGCCATGTTATGGCATACCCCGTCGCAGAGAGAAGTGAGAGGGTAGGCGGCGGGGGATATATGGATATATATCAGCCCGGCGATGCAAGGCGATGCGGTGGTACCTTGGCCCTTCGACTGGCCCTTGGAGCAACTCGGCGGAGCGAATGGGGGTGGGTCTTAGATAATGGAGGGGTGTGATCGTGAGACACCGGGAATTCCTCGGCGCCTATGACTGGCGCTGCGCGTCGGCGTCGCTTTGATGCTGCTTTGTAAGAATCTCTGGGTGCACAGCTCGCTCTTGGAGGTTGTCAAGAATCTCTTCCTGTCTTCACCTCTTCATCCGAGCTACTGAACTCGTCAGTGAGTGCCTTCTTTCGTGGGGTTTGGTTGCACGTGATAGCGATATCGTGTCTGGTTAATCGCATATTCGCCCAATCTGCCCCACTGGCGCTTGGCGGGGCATTCACAGCACAAGGTCGCGACTCATCAAGCCTTAAGGTCCCTGAGCATTTCAGTCCCTTTACAGGATCAACACCACCGTCGGGTACTGTTGCGGCATGCAAGATGTCAACACAGGCTCCGCAAGTCCTGTCTCGTCGGGCTAACGGGGTTCTCCCTGCGCCAGCGAGTCACGCCCACGAGTCTAGCAAAGTGAGAACTCCTGCGCAGCGCAAAACACAGGTCACTTTGATATCTGACCCAAACAAGGGCAAGGGCTCCCACGATAATCACGCGCCCAACAAACCAGGGAGAGGCAGAGGGTCTGGTGGAAAGTTTGGCGATGCGAGCAAGGTGCGAAATGAATCACCATCTGCAATCGAGGATTGTCCCGCCCACTAACGAGCCGGAAGAATGCGACTGAGGGCGATACCCCTAAGCCAGCCAAAACTAAGCCTCACAATGAGGGCGAGAAGCTCGTGATCCGGCGCCTTCCTCCCGGAATGACTCAAACGGAGTTTGTGTCCATTCTTGGAAGTGAATGGGATGTTGGCAAAGGGAGAGTCGACTGGTTCTCCTATGCGCCTGGGAAAATCTCCAACGAGTACGCCGCACATTCTCATGCAGAATCTCTCAATTCGCTAACATGGACTATCAAGTCCATCAAAGCCGTCTCGGCCTGGTCGCGCCTATCTCCATGTCGTGAGAAAAGATGACATCATGTCCCTAAGCGACTCTGTCCGGACCTCAACCTGGGAGGACGTCAAGGCCACCTTCAACAACCCATCTCTGATTGGGCCACCTGCAGTTGAGTTCGCCATCTACAAGAAGATTCCGAGCAACAAGAAGCGCACCGATGCGCGTCAGGGAACTATTGACCAGGACCCCGAGTTCATGGCATTCCTCGAGGATCTTGCCAACCCAGCGCCACCAAATCAGAACATTGATGCCGATGACGCGGATGATATCGCTAAAGCAGAGTCCAAGGTCACGACAACCCCATTGATTGAATATCTCAAGGAAAAGAAGGCCAACAAGGCCAAGGATTCTTCAGGCTCCAAGAATTCCAAGGGCGAATCCAGGGGAGGGAAGGGCAAAGGAGGTTCCAAAGACGAAGAGTCAGCCAAGAAGAGGAGCAAGGGTGAGAAGGCTGAGAAGGCTGAGAAACCAGACAAGGCTCCCAAGGAGACTGTCAAGATTCTCACCAAGAAGGCTGCTATCGAGCAGGCTGCGACCGCCGCCAAGAATGCGGCCAGTCAGATAAAGGACACTAGTGCCCAGGAGGTTCCTAAGAGTCGTCGAGCTGGTATCGCTGCGGCTGCCAGGATTCTCCAGCGGGACCTCGGCCTCAGTCCAGGCAGTGCTCATAGAAAGGCCCGGCAGGATGCTGCTAAAGCAGACACAGATACCAAGCCTACCCCTAACAAAGAGCCTGCTGTTCCAGCAACTATCGATCCACCAGCTTCACCCGCTAAGCCTGCTGATGCGCCTGCCCCAACTCCCAAGAACAGGGCTGCCAGCGCTTCTACGCCGAAGTCTCAATCGCAGGCATCAGGTCGCAGAACCCGAGGAGGCAAGAACCCTGAGAAGAACAGCAAGGCGACAGAGGGCGGGGCATCACAATCTTCAGGTGCGGCCAACCCACCCGTCGTTCTCCTCAAGAAGAAAGGCGTCGATGCTGAGTCCTCTCGACCATCAACACCGAATGCTGCACCGCAGGCCACAAGTCAGGCATCTGGTTCAAAGGCGGTATCAGCTACGCCAAGCGGCCCCAAAGGTGGTTCAACCAAGTCCGGGTCATCTCAGAAGAAGCCCGCCACTGTGACTCCCGATGCGACCCGTGGATTTGTCAAGCATGCCAACCCTTCTCAAGGTGTCACCGAGGCCCTTCTCAAGCAATCTCTCGAAATATTTGGTACTATCACGTTCGTGGAAATCGACAAGCGCAAGGGCTTCGCCTATGTGGACTTTTCCGAGCACGAAGGTCTGGTAAAAGCGGTGTCAGCCAGCCCCATCACTGTCGCTCAAGGCACTGTCCAGGTTCTGGAGCGCAAGGATAAGAAGCCCGTGACTGCGACTCCCGCATTGGCAGCCTCCGGAACGACGACGGCTCCAGAGAAGTCGTCCGGACGTGGCAGACGCGGACGAGGCGGAGGCGGCAAGGGGAATGCTGTGAACAGCAACCAAGCTGCGAGCAATGGCGGTTGAAAGGGGGAAAGGAGCAATAGGGGATTTTCTTTCTTCGAACATCTCAGAGCATCAGCGCATCAAGCAGAAGCAACATCTGCACGATTACGCCGTGGAGCGTTGACCCACCCCGAGCCGAATGCGGTCTCGCCATGGCCTCGGCCCAACATGAAGGAGCGCACACAAGACGAGGTAGCCAGCTAGTCTGTCGGACGTCGCGTTGCGAGAATTCAGCGGCAGTCAGCCATTTGCCGGCGACGCATGAGGAGGAGTCAGGCCAAGCGTCACAGTGGCGGGATCACAGCGTGAATCTTGAGGGGCCGACTCCAGATCTGTAGCGAGTTCGTGACGTCGAACCGTCCGCCTCGCATTTACGAGAGAGTTACATAGGGACTAGCATTCAAGTATCAATCTAGGAATGAAGAGACCCGGATATATGTCATTACGTTCCGTCGTCATTCTTGCAATCAACCCCGCGCAGTTCACACGTCCGACACTATTACCATCCCCCCCGAATTGATAAACGCTAGGTAATGTACGCACCACACGAGCTGCAGTTGCTAAATCGCGGGGAGTAACTCGTGGTATAGCCGCAGTTGCCACATCGATAACTGGTGTTTGAGTCGCCGGCTGCTGCACCCAGGCATGCGCATGCACACATAACCGCCAAGCATGCGGCAGCGAGCGAGATGATGCCAAAGACGATAAAGCCGACGAAGACACCCGCGATGGCAAGGAACTTTACCAGCACGCCTCCGGCGAGGGTATACATGCCTGGCCCCATGTGCTCGGGCGAGACCTGGGACTCGAAGGCCGCCCCGTCCGTCAACGAGGCATATTGGAGGAGCGAGTGCGGTCCGTTTTTAATGGCGTACATGGCCAGGATGGTCGCGGCGAGGAGCAGCAAGCCGTCGAAGAAGGTCCCGAGGTAGAGCAACCACAGCGGGATCCTGCGGGAGGACATGGTCGCCACAGTCGCGATGAGGATGGTCGCCGAGGTGAGGAGGGCGAGGATGGCCAGCGCCGCCGACGCCTTGGCGAAGGGGACGAATTTCTTGCGCTCGTCGTAAAGCTGGCCGAACTTGGCGCTGGACGAGCCGTCGATGCCGTAGGAGCGGATGGCGGAGGCCCAGGGGGCGATGGCAGCGGCGTAGTCGGCGCCGTCCTCACCGAGCTCGGCGATCAGCGAGTTTTCCACCATGCCGCCGAGGGAGAAGGTCGGCGGGAAGGCCGTCTTGCAGTGGTGGTTGGAATCGCAGAGTCCTGTGGGAGACGGCTCAGCCATGTGACGCCTCAGGGGAAGGGAGAGGGAGAGGGAGAGGACTAACCCGAGAGACCCCAGTACCAGGCGTCCGGCAGAGCGGCGTTGTCGAATGTTGCGGCGGGGCGGTTGGTTACTTTCTCGACGGCGGCGAGGAGGTCGGTCTTCTCAATCTTGTATAGAAAGATGGAGCTGGTTGTGTCGGAGAGGCATCCCAGGACGGCGATGAAGTTGACAATCAACCCGACTGTTGGGCACGACGTCAGTATAGTTTCGACTTGGCTTGTTTCCCATCACCCGGTCTCTGGATTCCATGTTCTTATTCTCCATATATTTTCCTCCCTCCACAACCCACGGGTCATGGTCTGGCTGTAAGATAACCAAGCTAAACACGACAGCAAGGAGACAGCAAACTTACGAAACACGGCGCAGAGCAGCCAGATCCTCCATCCTCGCGAGTTCTCCTCGACACCCCACATCTCCGCACATGACGAACGCTTGATGCTCATGGTTGATAGTCGGTCCTCGTATTGGTGCTGGCTTAGACGTGAGTTCCGCCTAGGAAACGGAACGGGCCCCAGGGGAGATCTATATACGAACCAACAAACCTGCAGTCTGCCCAGCTGCAGGTAGCGGGGACTGCGAACCCAGGGCACAAGGCCCATATGGGAAAAAGCAGCAATTTCCTCCATGCAGATGGGCGCGACCATCCCGCAACAGCCAGCAGGTAAAACGGCGCCAGCGCGGGTGCAGTCACACCAGAAGGCGCCGGGACGAGTACCCGTCACGCCTAAAAGGCACACCCGAGCGATGGACGGGCAACATCCTGGTCGCAGCTCGTTCAGCTCGACCCTAGATGCGCGCAGATGCGACCATCTGCGACCCTAGCCGACGCCGCCATTGGTGCGAGCGGCAGACTTTGGTGATGAGCGACGGGGCGTCGAAGCCACGGGACGTGAGGTTGCAGCCCTTAGGCGACGACGGAGGCGGTATTGCACCTGTTCCATCCCGATGTAGACTATATGTGTGATATCTATGGTGTGGCATGACTATTATTAGGCTCTCGACTTAAACTCCGAGATTGGGTTGGTCCGTCATCCCAGCCTTGTTTCCTGGCTGTAATCGGGTAATCAGGGTCGATATGTTCTCACACACATGTCACAGGAGTCTGATATTCGCATAGACATTTGGTATAAATCCCATCGTTATTTCTATTTTATTTGCCTATTACACTTACAGACAAAGACGCATGCCAAGCTCAAACATGTCCAATCACATCAAACAGACCTGCGAGTTAAAATACAGTGGCTGTGGCTTGCCAGGGACATGTTTCACTTTGCCGCAGAGGCGCAAGCCATGAGCTGCGAACAACGGGAGGACCTGCATGAGGAAATGACAAAATGTTCCGCTCGAAATTATCTAAAAAGGAAAAAACAAAGTACAGCTGGCTATCCTGCCCTAGCTAATTGGGAAATGATTCCCTTCGGGTGCTGATCCCGATACAAAAATAATCACAAGTCTATATCCCTAAGGTATCCCGAGTGTGTATATCCATCCCTTTGGTGCGTCCCACCTATTTTTAAAAGCCAAACACCCAAGCGCCGGTTGAATTCCATTCCATCCCATATTCATCCATCCATCAAATCTTTCCCTGCCTATGCGAGTACACTCAATCCCATCATAACAACGTACACCATCACCCCAAGGCTGAATCCCACCACAATCGCCTCGCGCTGTGCGAGGACCCTCATCATCCACGCTCTTGCATCTCCCACCCACAACTTCTCACCGACTCCGCGTCGTGCCGCCTTGAGCCCCGGGAGGCCATCCATGCTTGTGACATTCGTCTCGTTGTGGTACTGTTGTACCGTGTTGTCCTCAACTCTCTTCTTGACCCATGCGTCCAGGGTCGGTCGCTCCTCAAACACCGCCAGTTCGTCAACCTTTCCGTCCACACCTTCCTGAAGTATTTCCTCCACCGGTTTCTCCGAAGACTCGTCGGAAGAGTAAATTCCCTTCTTGACTCGAGGCACACCGAAGCCACAGCTCGTCTGCACTTCGAAGACATTGGCCACTACCACAGCTCTAGCACCATCAAATGCGGCTCGCTTGCCCTTCGCAATCTGGCGGACCAGATCTGGAAAAGCGGGCTCGTCCCACTCAATGATTTTAGATTGACAGAAGAACCTCACAATCCGAGGTGCAGGTCCAAAGCTCATGAACATCAGACAGAGGCGCCCATTGTCGTATGAGTGCGCAATAGTCTCGCACCCAGAGCCGGTGCGGTCGATGTAAGCACACTGGTTCGGCCCCAGGATAGCAAAGTGCGAGTCCGCCAGTCCCTTGGGGGACACATTGATGTGGGACCCGAGGGTTGGCGCCGACCCGGTGAAGAAGACGGGTTGGCGCTGCACCCACTGGGCGAGATCATCAGAGATAGTCGGATACAGCTTCATCGTGTGCAGTGTAGTCAATCCAGACGAGATGGGTGTGACTAAGGGTAACGCTGTCGTTGAGAGGCGCAAGCAGGATATATGCAGGTTGGAGAGGCTGGAATGCTGGTGTCCAGGCGACGATGCGAGGTTTGAATCATCGTCCGAAATTCGGAATGCGTTCATGAGGCGGGGAAATGACGGCAGAGATGGACCGGGGTCCATTTTGCCGGAAGCCCCACTGAGACTCATGAAGCCGAGATAAGGTGAAGAGAGCCCGAGTGGGCCCGCGACGGAGCCCAACCCGATGTTCGTCATGGTTCTACCATGGCGGGTCGTGATGAGAATGATCCGGTCATCATCTGGATGGTGAAATGGATCGCGAAAAACAAGTACAATGTCCTCAAAGAGGCCAAACGCACAGCCGAGATTGCTCAACAATCATTCGGATTGCGAAAATGCAGGTCGGTGAGGTGAAGCAAGTTAATTGGCGATGGGGTACGGGTGGTAAGCACCATCCTCGTACATCTCATCATCAAAGGCACTGCTATCGCTGCTGAAATGTCCGGAAGTGGCGACATTGGGTGTACGAGGCACGTTAGAGTATGCGCCCTTGTGGGATTGTGCAGGAGCGGGAGCCTGCATGCGTCCTGTTGGCACATGCGTGTAAGCCTCAATGTCACGAACCGGGGGGTACGTCGGATACCAACCTGAAGGTCCCCATCCTTCAATGAAGCTGGCGGGACCACGAGTCCCGTTGGAGGGTCTCTCGTCGAACCGCTTCGACAAGCGCTCCTTATCAGCCTTGGCGTCGGACTTTTCCTTGTCACCACGGTTGCGGGGACGGTCTTCACGCTCGCGGTGTCGCTCATCACGGTCACGGTCACGATGGCGGTCCTCACGGGGCTCACGGGGCTCACGAGGCTCACGAGGCTCACGAGGCTCACGAGGCTCCTTCTTACTAGAGGATGAGGTGGCCGACTTGCTCGACGACTTGCTCGAAGTCTTGCTCGACGCCTTGCTAGAGGGGCGCGACGAGGATGTCTTGGTACGCTCCGGGATGGGACGTTCCGGGATGGCGACGGTCATAGGGGGAGTGGTCATAGGGCTGGTCATGGCAGATGGAGGGGCCTGGCCGTTGAGGGCGTCGAAGCGCATGGTGAGGTTCTCATGCTTGGCCCTGAGGCCAATGAGGCGATGCTCAAAGTCAAGGCGCTCAAATTCAAGGCGCTCTTTCTCGGAAGTGAGGCGCTGGTTGTCAGCGGCGAGGCGGCGGGATTCATCCTTGAGGTCATGGGTCTCCTCCTTAAGGTCACGGTTGTCGTCCTTAAGGGTGCGGTTGTCCTCCTTGAATGCGCGAATCTCGTCCTTGAAAGTGCGACTCTCTTCCTTGGTAGTCCGGCTTTCCTCCTTGACGGTGCGGTTCTCCTCCTTCAAAGCAACGTTCTCTTCCTTCAGTGTGCGGATTTCCTCCTTAGCGTTGCGGGTCTCCTCCTTAAGGGTGCGGTTCTCTTCCTTGAGGGTGCGGGTATCCTCCTTGAGGACTTCCGCCTCAGAGCGGGTGCCCTCAAGCTGGGCCTTGAGCTCGCGGTAGGAGACGACGTTGTCATTGAGTTTGCGGTTGGCAGCATCAAGGGCGGCCTTGAGTTTGTCCTTGTCGGCGCTGATCTTGTTGAGTGCAGCGTTGGCCTTGTTCAAGTCATCGAGGAGCTTGGAGTCGTAGCCATATTCATAGTCGAACTCGTCAACTTCGTGGGCCCTATCAGCGGAAGAATGCGGGACAAGCCGGCCGTAGGATGAGCTAGAGTGGCCGGCGGTGCTTGTCCTCTTGCTGCCGGAGGCGACAGAGGACCTCTGGTGCAGCGGCATGGCAACAAGCTGCGAACGGTTGCCCGCACGAAAGTATGCGACGATGTTGTGTTTACTGGTGATTCGGTGTTTTCCCAAGACTGTGATGCAGAGCTGCCCAACGACGGCGTGGTCTGGCAGAAGTGAGGCGGCGCGGACGAATTGCGAGGGGCGGTTGGGCAGGCCTCAAGGAGGGGTGGGAGCGGGAGTGACGCGAGCCAAAGATTGCCAGTGGTAGGGCGACAAGCGCAGATGGGGGCAACAAGTATATAAGGAGTAAAGGGCTCTTCGCGCAGCAGTGCGGCAGTGACTCAGACTTGGGGACAGGTAAGAGTTTTCTCAGTCCGGGACGAGCACACAAAAGGGAGAATAAGGTAAAATTCCCGGGGGTGTGCGTGAGCGCCGGGAAATGAGGTCGGGCTGCAAGGGAAAAAAATAAAGTGATCGGGTTGATATTTTATCAACTCGGGTGTGGGAGGGAGAAAAAAAATCCTGGCTGGAATGGGGGGAGGGGCCGGAATGCGAAAGCAAGGGCAGAAAAGGCGGGCGACACCGACTCTTTACTGACCGCGGGCCGACGGACTGACTGACACTGACTGACGGACTGACTGACAGACTGCTGCCTCGCACATAACAACGAAACGCCTTGCGCATAGGACAAAGGGGGGGGATTCTCTCTTTTACCTGTTTCTGAGCGACAGAGGTGTGTGTGCGTGTGCGCATCCTTGCCGTGCTATGGGAGTTTTTTTTGGCTGGCGAACAGCGGCATGACGAGGAGGGAGTCATCGACTGGTATCAGTTACCGCCTCCCGGCACGACCCACGGCGCAGAGGCAGCAACGCCATGATGGGTGACCCTGGACTAACGCTTCTGACCCATGGCCTGGCCCGCGGAAGCCCCCTGGGTGGACCATCTTTGGCCCATCGCTGGCCCGAGGGAGTGGACATTTGACATTTGGCTGCTGCAGAATGGGTCCCGGTGAGTGACGGACGAGGTATGGGGTACCTCGATTGGAGGGAGCTGGCAAATGGAAACTGGGTCGCACGCACACAAACCCGGCGGTGCGGCGTCGCAAAGTCGAAAAAAGGCGTTGCGACGTCAACACCAATGCCCAAAGAAAGACCGCTGCCCAATCCCACGCCTCCGCCTCCTCCGCGCCTCTGTGTCTCCTCCCCCCCTCCGAGCGGGAAGGAGAGGATCCATTGGCTGCGTCCGGGGCAGTGCAGCCCGCGAGGCAGAAGAAGAGGATGCAAAATGTACGACTTTGGCAGAGATGGAGGGCGGGATCCAGGCAGCGAGTGGTCTTGGCCCCCAAAATCGTCAACAGGAACTGTGACTGTGTGCACGCGCGCCGTCTTGCCTTGCCGACGAAGAACAAATCGAAACCCGTCGACGAAAGGGGTGGTTCGCCATGACCATTCTGGTCCGCAAGCTTCCGACAGAAACGGGAGGGAGGGTCGGCGCGTTTCCACGCCCGTCGGCTCGGGTCCAAGCCATGCCACGCCGTGTCGTAGCCCAGCGCATTGTTCTGCCATGCCAGGTTATGCCCTTGGCCGCATTCCAGCTTCCCACAAGGCCGGGGAACCTTGGGGGGCGGCCCGTGGTAGCCTGCCGGCTGGCGGCCTGGGGAAAGCGCTCGAAGCATCCTGTCTCCTGTCAGTCTGCGACTAGCAAGGGACACGCCCAAATGTCAGCGAGTGACTCATTCGCTGACAGAAATGTATTTGCGTGCTGAACAACGCAACGCAACACGACTGCGGTGCTGCGGTGTCTTCATTGTCGTGGTCGTCGTCGATGACAAACTCCTCGGCACATGGATGGTTTGGTCGGGGGGGCGCAACTCCCGTCGTGCGTGACCGGGCTCTTTGCAGGGGAGAGGCAACCCCCCTTGTTCGACTGCCTTCTCTGCGTCCGGGACTGGCCGATCGAGCGGCGCATGTTGTCGTTGTTGCCTCCCACAACCACGCGCCGCCGGAACAGCAGATGGGAGGATGTCGTTTCGCGTGGAGAGTGAAGAAGCTCTAGCGGGATCGTTGGACTAACGCGGGGGGCTAACGTTTCCCTCCCGGTGTAGTAATTACGTAGCGGCACCGTCCGGGTTTGAGATTGGAGATGGGTAGGGCTGATGTGGAGATCCCGGTCTCCCGTCCACCGTCCCCGTCCGGCCAGGACGAGCCGCTCGCCGCCGGAACACACCAAGGTGGATGGAAGATTGGAAGGTGGGTGAGGTGTGTTTGCAGGTGGCCCGGACCCCTCCAGCCCGTCCTAGACTGTCCCAAACCGGCCTCTCTCCCGTCCATCCATCCCCTCAATCCCTCCACCCTCCATCCTCCATTCCTTGTCCTGCATTCCCGCTCTTCAGGGACTGGCCGGCAGGTTGGGCGATGATGTCGAGCATGGATACTAAGACCAAGAAGCGGCCTCCGGCCCGATCCCGATGTATGTACCACGCGTTTCTGCAGATGATTGATTGAATGCAGGTTTGTAGAGGCAAACAGCCTGTCGGGTTTGATAGCTGAGGGGAATAAAAAACCTGTACGACCAATCTCAACTCCCACCTGCTTCGTGTGTCTGTCACGTGATGGAGGTGCGTGTTTTTTTTGGTGTGTTTTTGGCCGGCCGCCTGACATTGCACGTGCGGAGGCCCGTCCCAAAGCAGTCCTTAATCCCTAGCAATTACGGCCCTTCATCTTCCGACCTCAATGCAAGACCGTGAGCTATATCATGGGTTGATTGTACTAACACGTGCCAGGCAAGTTAAGGGGCGCAGTTTGTTACAATAGCTGTGGTTACAAATCTTGCGGAATCTGGCTCCTTCGGTGCCAACCGATAAGGTGTGTATGTTGTCAGAGGGCATAGCTATTTTAGATCTACAGTATGAACACAAATACCTGAAGATTTTGGCTTGACATGGATTTTTCTCGTTTAGCATGTTCGTATTGCTGATGCCCTGAGAGTGGACCTAAGATCTCACCGATGAAATCGTGAAACAAGCGAAGGCTGACTTGATGATGACAGGCAGACTGGCAGGGAATCCCAGGGGCAGCCGATCCCTTACATCAGTATTTCAATGTGCGACTCTGCCAGCCAAAAATCGACTAATCCACCCTCATGAAGTCATGATAAGGTAAACCTAGCATCAGAGACACCGAGTCAAGATGAAAAGGAAGAAAAAGCGACCAAGGTTTTCTCGTTATGTCGCACAAGTCAATTACTCATCTGGCACGCACCCTATGCGGAAACCGACCTTGGTCCCAATCGATGAAGTTAGATAGAGAACGTGAGGGAATCGGCATCAGTGCCTCGTCATACGCAGACGTTCTCTGCCCGATTATCAGCTAGACGTGGTCAGAAACCTTGCCGCTGTCACAGCCTGCCACTGGCTACACGGGACTGTAGTCAGGGGCAGAGGCAGCGGAGATCCGCGTCAATAGGAACCAGGAGTCGGGCCCTCGTTAGCACGACAAGGGCGTGCTAATCTGCAATGTAATCGCCCGCCAAATTTGGGCAGTTTTATGAGATTTTGCAATGTGTCCCTGCTCCGTCATCACTTCCCTAGTAGCCGGGAGATGCGGTTTGACGTAAAGAATTGAAGTGCGCATCCTCGGCCGGGACTGTTCTGATGCATGCACTGTCTGTGGGTGAAAGAAGGCTCTGCATGAAACGTATGAACGGCACTGCATCGTGAGGGTGAAAAAGAAAGGAGGCGGAATCGAGCACGTAGTAGAAACGCGACACCTGTCAAACTGAACAGCTGAGATAAGGCTGGAAGGTCACGGGGCAGGAGTGAATTACCCTGCCCTAGATCGCCTTAGCAGCACAGTACGGATATCATGCATCATGTACCCTGAGATGAGAGGCGGATCGTGCATGGAATTCACCTCAATCCAGTAGACGACAAATGACCAGGGGCCGCGTCCAGTTGAGGCGGGATGAAATTGGGATTGGCCACCTGTACATACGAGCTTTGGGCTGAGTCCTCCTGGCCACTTATTTCCCTTCTCATCCAAGCCTATCCGCATCCGCGGAGTGCCTCTGTCGGGTCTTTGTCAATCGGATCGCCCCAATTAGTGGCACTTGCAACCTAAAGTGCAACACTATTTGGCATCTTCCGCGTATCGGTCGGTATACGTAAGACATGGTGCTTGCAGAAAAATGTTTGGAAACAAAAACACTCTTTCACGCGTGACCACCAGCAGAAGGAAGAGTTAAACTATATATTCGCTCAAACCAATACAGCTCACCCACCATGGCTGATCCCCGAGGCTGCTGGTGCTGACAGGCAATTTTGCGTTTTGCAGTCCAGCGCTCCCTTAAACCCTGAGTCGGCGCGCCCCCATTCCCCGAAGAGACCAGCGGCGAAGGACTGCGAGGAGATTCATTAATTGGGAAGATGATTGAGGATATCTGATTGGTCCTACGGCCACCTCTCTGGCTTGGCTGGGACTTTAGTGGGACGCAGGAGGCAGAGGAGACCCACGTAACGATCCTCCAACCCCTTTTTCCCCGACTAGATATGTACGTACCATGCTAGCCATGCTCGAGTCTGGGGCGATTCTGCATCCCTCGGCGCTGTGGAGGAGCAAAAGGAGCCAAAGGAGTCGATAACCTGCGAATAGTTCGCCCAAAATGGAGAAGTCTGCCCCTTCGTTGATTGAGGCGCAAATGGCACTGTACAACCATGTACCACAACTCGGCCGTTCGGCACCACTCAGCTGGGCACACAAGCGATTCAGTGCAAAAGGAATCGAGAGTCGACGCCGGGTTGGGAAACGGGTACGTACTACACGGTGGAATGTGCCACAGTGGTTTTTGCCTTTGGCTGGTTGGGATACCGGGAGATTCCAGGTCATTCCCAACATCGCCGCTGCGACCTACCACGTCGAGTATCCAAGTTGGCACTGAACCGAGAAGCGCTAGCTGGCCAATCCATAATTAATTACCTACCGTAATGATACTAGATGGTATCCGCACTGGGCTTAACAGCGTGGTTCCTTGGTTGGGACCTGGGAGCATCCCTTTTTTTCCCTTCCTGCAGGGCTGCGCTAAGGTACTTAGGTATGTACACAGTGCACATTAGCGCAAGATGGTTCCCAAAGTCCCGGCGCCGCTGACAGTGTACCTAGTGCCGTCAGCCGCTGTCTTTTTCCGCGTAACGCTTGGTCACCCTCACTCTCCGCGCGTTCACCACGTTCCTCCTTTCTTCCCCCTCCTTTTCTTCCTTCCCTCCCTCTTCGCTCGCATCTTGCTCTTCAAGATCTGTATCGATACCGTTTGTTGGTGTCTCAGTCTGTTCCTGTGCCTCGCGTCTGCCCAGACAGTGTGCGTGCGTGTGCAATTCGCTTGGCCCAATCATTCGCTTCCTGACACTCCCTTGTCTCCTGGCCCTTTTTTCTCGACCTGTCCCGCGTCTCGACTTCTACTTTCCACTTTCCATCTCCCACCTTCACCCACCTTCACCTTCACCACCCCTGATCAACCATCCGGCCGTCGTATCCCTAATCCATCCGCTCCGGGTACGCGACATCACCGCACACCTCCAATCGACAGCACTCGTTTAGTCCTCGCCAGATTATGCTTCTCGTCCGACTACGATAAACGAAGAAACGATCCCATCTCGCCACCGTACAAGCACATCAATCACCCCAACCACCGCTCAAAACCATCGCCATGTCCCGCAACTCAGAGGAGCCTGTCCCACTCCTCACCCCAGAGGAGAGGGAGCTCGAGAGCAAGGGCGAGAATGCCGATATTGAGAACGATGCCGGTCGCGCCGAGCCCCCCAAGAATGACAACCTCGACCACGAGTACTCCGTCGCCAGCACCGTCAAGTTCGCCTGGCTCGGCACCTACTTCTTCTTCTCACTACTCTTGACTCTCTACAACAAGCTTGTCCTTGGCATGGTAAGTCGAATCCCTCTTCCGGGCTCATCCGGGCGCCCTTCCCCTCCGTCTCAACCAAACTCTATGGTATTCGATCGGATACGATCCTGAAACCAATGCTAACGTCACGCCTGCGCCTCAGTTCCACTTCCCTTGGCTGCTAACTTTCCTGCACGCCTCTTTCGCCAGTCTTGGCACCTACGCCATGATGCATATGGGTTACTTCAAGCTGTCTCGGTTAGGACGCCGCGAAAACCTCGCCCTCGTTGCTTTCAGTGCGCTCTTCACTGCCAATATCGCCGTCTCCAACCTGTCGCTGGCGATGGTCTCCGTCCCCTTCTACCAGACCATGCGCATGCTCTGCCCGATCTTCACCATCCTGATCTACCGCGTCTGGTACGGCCGCACCTACAGCACCATGACCTACCTCTCTCTCCTCCCTCTCATCATCGGTGCTGCTATGACCACCCTCGGCGAGATGACCTTCTCTGATGCCGGTTTCCTCCTCACCATCCTCGGTGTCATTCTGGCTGCCCTCAAGGTATGATAGCTTCCCCACATTTTTCGACTCCTAATCCCTAACCTGACCTGCAGACTGTCGTCACCAACCGATTCATGACCGGATCCCTCGCTCTCCCCCCTGTCGAGTTTCTCATGCGCATGTCCCCTCTCGCTGCCCTCCAAGCTCTTGCTTGCGCCACTGCGACAGGCGAGGTTGGTGGCTTCCACAAGCTCATCACCTCTGGCGAGATTTCTCTCCCTCCCGCCTTCGCCTCCCTGTTCGGCAACGGTTTCCTCGCTCTTCTCCTCAACATCTCGTCATTCAACACCAACAAGCTGGCCGGTGCCCTCACCATGACCATTTGCGGTAACCTCAAGCAATGCCTTACAGTCGCTCTTGGCATCGTTCTCTTCGATGTGACCGTCGATATGCTCAACGGTGCCGGTATGGGTGTCACTATGCTTGGTGCCGCCATCTATAGCAAGGCTGAGCTTGACAACAAGGCCAAAAAGGCAAAGGAAGCCGCCTACAAGCCCGTCAACCAAAACACCCGGTAATGGCGGTGCACAATTCGGACAAATATTCCTTTCTTCTAATAATCAACACCTTATAGATGAGACGGAGAGGGAACAGACGAGGGGAATCGCCTCTTTAGGCGTCTCGCTTCTAGGATCTCGTTGAAGGTTGTCACGGATCTTTAGTATAGCACGTTCACCACTGTTGTATCTATCATATTACGATCCCCACAAGAAGCGCGGCAAGGCGAAGGGGGATCAAGGGGGTTTCTTGTCATGATTATGGGCTATGGCTTTCGGAAAGAGGCGGGCTCAGGTTCCGCCCGGTTTTCTTTATTACAACCCAATTGTTTAACTTTTTTTTGGATAGGGTATGCATTTTAAAATACAATAGATGTAACTTCAATCAGCTTCCCAGCAAGTCTTTCTCCATGATGGGACACTTGGCCCCAGAGCTTTGCATGTAAGATTAAGAATTTGATTGTATTAAACATTTGGCCGAGCAGTTGAGCTTATGAGCCTGAGTGAATGATGACTGCCCACGATCTAGTAAACACCGCAAATCCATTCAATATACTAACACTTAATGAGAAACCAGCCCAACCAACCCAGCTCCCAAATCCATTTTGCGCCGTGCTATGGGAATGACGAAATACAAAGGAAAGAATGTGGAAATGTTGTGGGCACCGCGGATCAGAGGTCGTCGTAGGAGGCCTGCACTAAGGGAGCGTCATGTATGCTATCCTTCTGCAGGGCCCAAATTCCCTCTCGGACATCTTCGACGGTAGCATTGGCCTCCAGTCCGAGTGTGCGCGCAAGCATCTCGAGATCGCTCACCGGCAACGGCACGGCGTGGCCAGCCGCGACACCGATGACAGGGGCGGACACTAGCAGGGCGGGAGAAGCCTTGGCTTTGCTGAGCATGCCGAAGCGGATGGCGACCTCTGCGACGGTGACCATGATGCTCACGACGATGAGGACAATAATGATCCAGGTGATGGCGCTCATCTTAGCCGAGGCAACGGAGTCGGAAAGGATCTCGGCGAGGTCGAGGAAGACGCGGCAGCGCTCGTTGAGAACCTTGATACGGGGATCAATTTCGAGGTACTCACGAATAGCAGCGTAGAGGGGGTGCAGAGTCGGTTCGGCATCCCAGAAGAAGTTCGGTACATCAAGGATGTTAGACGCTTTGGAGTTTGTCAGTCAAGCTATTCAAAGGAGTGTCCCAAGCGCTTAGGAAAGTTCATACATAGGTTAATGTCAACGCGGCTCTTGAACAGGCGTCCCAGCATCCGCACGATCTCCGTACGCGTCATGTTAAGCTCGCCTGTGAGGGCAAGCGTCTTGGGGACGTGCTGCGCATCGAGCATGGTCTCGCTCATGCGCTCCTCGAAGAAGCACAGGCGGGTGCTCTGGGCAATGGCGTGGCTGATAGTTAGCTTGATCATATGATCGGAGCGCGGTAGGAGAGTAATCATGTCGTTGAATACGCGCGGGCGCTTGATATCAGCGCTGTACTCGAAATGGAACTCCTCCGTCTCGTAGTCATCCTGGTCGAGTGGCCGGGTGAGCAGGCTGAGGCCACCTTCGGCAGTGGCGTCGGCGTCGGCGAATGTGAGATCTGCCAGGATGTCCCTCTCCTGGTGCTCTGTAAAGTTCCAGAATACGACAACGCCGTACGAGTAGACGAACATCTCAGCAAAATTCTTAGTATCAGGGGCGAGTCGGTTCATCTGCGAGACGTCGTCATCATGACGGAAGGGATTGTCATGATCCTCGGGCGTGGCTGGCGGGTCGCTAAAGCGTGAGGGCGCCGAGGGAACGCGGTTGGGACTCGAGCTCATGTAGGCGTCATCCTCAAAGTAGCCCCCGTGGTGGTCGCGTTGCTCGCTGCGTTCAATCTCGAGGTCGAGCACCGTCTTGCCCGTGCCAGGTGTCTTGAGGATGGGCCTACTGCGGACGCGGTACCCGTCGTTACCATTGAGGAGTGGTAGCGCGTAGATGACGTAAAGGCAATCGTCGTACAGCTTGGTCTTCGCCTCGTGCTTCTTGCGTAAAAACTCGGCCGTGGCCTTGACTTTGTACGCCTGCGCAGTGCAGTAGGCCGTCAACCTGCTGACCTTTTCCGTCCTCTGCATCTTTGGCAGTCTCTCGGCGTAACTCTTTCCGCGGATCCCACCTCTCTTCTTGAGCACATCCAGCTCTTCATCTTTGAGTGGTCGATTCTCTTGGTCCTGAAGCCTCCTCGCGAGGACGGCCTCGCTTTCGATCTCGTCGTCGACGTCATCGTCGTTCTGTTCGGTCTCAGGTAGCAGAACAAGTTTCTCACTGATTTTTGTCGTACGCGAGGGCATAGGCTTGCCGGTCCGTGACTGTGTGTTTGGAAGTCCGCCAGTTGAAACTCTTCGGCTCCCGGGGGTGCTAGCTGCGGCGGATTGGGCTCGAGGGATCGGGACAGGAGGGCCGCGAGGTTGACCAGAAGGGATCTGGGTGTTGTACTGAAGGACGTTGTCGACGGTCATGAACCGCATAGGCGCAGCGGCGCCAGGCGGTCCAGCGCCAGTGTCCTGCCGCTGGAGATTGCGTCGTGGGCTGGATCGTTCCCTCGCGTCCGTCACCTGCACGAGATAGTGAGCAATGGATTGGGTGGGTTCGAGCTCGTCTCATGATCATACCAGAACCGATGGCCGTTGCTTCGAGGCCATGTTAGTCACTGCAGCTTCAATCCTTGGTCTTTCTAGGTTGGTGGGTTTTCCTGCGGCCTTCGTAGATGCAGCGAAGGGATTGAAGCGGTCGCGGCGTATTTTAAGGTGTTGGGTGGTTGAGGTTGGAAATGGTTAGGTCAAAGTTTGGACGATTCTGATTGCGACCAAGATGGGTCGGGAGCTCTAGCCAATTGGTGTTGCCCCATCCAGCACGGATGACCTCATGCAACCCCGCCAAGCAAAGCCTACAGTAAGTTAAAGAGCAGCTGCTCCGGTATCGATATATGTGAGCTCATCTCAAAACTCCATATGCTTCGATCGGATTGTAGTTGATGGTTTCTGCTTCAATGGCAGATCTGCCACTTGCTTTTGTGCTTCCTTGCGACAGCAGTCCGCAATGTCGCACCCGGTGATGATACATGTCTCAGAACGCCCAACAGACCAGTAAACCCTGCTCGAGGTTAGGACAGCCACAAACTCCACTAGTTACCAATATCCGGACATGAAGGAATGTTCCAGTCCCAGCAAACTCTTGCTTCTGTCACAGCCTCTTCTGGCAGGGAAGAATGATATTGGCCTGCAGGCTGTCGTTGATTCACAGGAGGAACGTTGTCCATCAGGAGGTTACGGGCCTTCCCCTACACTTCATCAAATGCATCTACAAGTACGGCTGGTTCTCATGCCACATGCTCACCTCCATCTCATTTCCTCTACATCAATCAACCCAAGATGATAAATTCTGTATCTCATTTGCCTCTGTCTTGAAGTCTAGGCCGTGTTGCAAATTTGATCTTCATTCTTCACCTACATGCATGGTCATCTCCGATTGTACTCGTTACTTCCACGCACAGCTGTACCATTATTCGTCTTAGGCGTAAAAGAGTCCGGTCCATATTTTCCCAGCAGGATCTTGTGCGTAAGGAGGCAGGAATTCCGACTGGCGGAACACAACCCAGAGTCCATCAATAACTCCTCGTTTAATGCACAACAAGAGACTAAATCTCTGAGAAAATAAATAGAGGAATAGAAAGAAAGAAAAATAAAAGGAAAATAAAACAACCCGGATTGACCGGCTCAAGCCGCATTCAACATCCACCCAGGCCCAGGCTCTATCAGTAGACAATTCGCGATTAGCAATAGAGAAGTGACTGTAACGGTAACAAGAGAGAGCCAGGGGGCTCCAACTTGCCTGTGCCTCTCCTCTTTGAGCGCCGAGGAAGCCCTGAAGAAGCTCTTGGACCACCCTCTTGGCATGTCCTAGGGGCTGGCCCTAGGCGTCGTGGGCTGCTCCAGGGGGTCGGCTTCATCGTGCGTGTGAAATGAATGACCCCCTAGAGGAAATGTAAGCTCCTGATGTGAAACAAAATTTAACAGCAAAACATAATCTAGGTTTCACATGTGGATCTCTTCAACTGCTCCGAGGAATGTGCCGGGCTCGGCCTTTAACACCCTATTGGTCTCTTGTCCATCACCTGTGAACAATGGTATTCATTGAGCGTCTGTGATGCCTGACTCATCCCCAGGATTCAACCACTTGGGAGCATCGCTGCTTCATCAATAGTAGTAGTACGGTGGGAATTGAGCTCCGAGTGTTTTTTTTTGGATTGTACTGTATTATATTGTTTAATGCCCTTTTTTTTTCCAAATTGGGCAAAGGAATTGTACGGCATTGAACAATACAATACCAAAAAAAAACACTGGGGCTTAATCCCTACCCTGTACCAGTATTGATGAAACGGCGATGCTCTCAATTTCGGCTGTGCGGAATGACCCGACGAAGTTGATGATGGGGCTCCCCGGCTTCTTTGGGCTCATCACCCAAAGAAAGTGGATGTAACAACAGCAATGCATCGAGTTGATTGGTGCCTCTCCCAAGCGACGCAAAGTCAGTGTGTTTGCGCTTGATCCGCATGAACTGATGACATTGGGTACATTTGCAGAGTGGCAAGGACGTGGTCGGGTGAAAAGTGGAGTTGTCGCAGTGATGGCCAATCAGTACGATGGCACCCGTTGCTAGGCGGTTGGCCCGGTGTTTGTTTACTACGGCATTTCACAGGCTGGATGGCCCCGCTGTGCCGATGAATGTCCTCCCTCGCAGGCCATTTCTTATGCATTATTGACATTTTGTGCTTGTTGGGAACTTGAGCCATCTCAGAACACAGTGACGGTATTAGCATTCTCGGGCCTTAATATTTTGGTAGTGCTCTCTCTTTCTCTCCACCATACCTCATTCTCCCCCCATCCTGTACCTTCCCCATCCGCACGGTACTTCCTCATACCACACATACCACCTGCTGCCAGCTGCCCAGTATAAACACCACCGACGACAGCAGCCAGCAGCGAGCGCATGTCTTGGATGGCTCCCTGCCCCACGCGCTGTCCGACTTTACAAACATTCCTCTGACCGCCCGAGCACCGCTCGAAATCATGCGTTAACGTCATCAACACTGTGGATTCTTCTCCTCAGCCCGCAAGAGACGGCTTAAGCCCCCCAGGATCGACCGCTCCGACCGAGACTGCGGCTTGGCCGAAGACGACGACGCCCAGAAGCCAGTCGTCAACAATGGCGTCCCGCTTCCATCACCACACGCCGCCTCACACTCAACCTCACCTTCAACATCACCCTCACCCACTTCGCCAGTCGCACACCATCGACTTCGCGGCCACCACCTCGCCATCTCCCTCTTCCATCAACCGCTTCCCCTCAACGACTTCGTCGTCTGCCTCATCAGGCTACTCGCACGCTTCCGAACACAGTCTCAACAGCCAGTCAACAACTGCCTCGAGCGGCTACGGTTCTCCCGCCCCCAACCACAAGCGTGCCCAGAGCGATGTGAGAGCCAGAGCTCGCACCTTTGAATCCGGGGATATGACCAGCCCCAAGAAGGCCTCAGACAACTTCTACAGCTCCGCTCGCCAGTCCCTCCGTCCACTCCCCCAGGTCCCAGCATCCACACCGCCTGCGACGCCGCCACATAGCCATCACTCACCCCGTCACTCGCCCCGTCACGATCGTGGCAAGAGCGTCGACATCGGCAAACTATCCCTGGCCCAACGAGATGGCTACTCATCTCCGACTTCTCCGCCCCGCGCTCTTCCAATGCGACCCAACTCGATGCTCTTAACTCGATCCGATTCGGTTCGCAACGATGGTGGTCCCCCACACTCGCCGACACATCATGCGCCCAGCACCCACCTTGCCCGAGACGACATTGAGGAACTTGGGCGGTCCTCAACAAGTCAGTTGAGGAACCTCTCTCGACTGGTTCAATCTGAATCTGCCGACGACTTCACCATCACATCTCCTTTGCAGGAAGTTGTTGGCCTACGAGGCCGACGAAAATTACAACGAGCCGACAATGCCGCCGGGGGCCGCCGAAACGCTCCTGCATATAGCTGGGAGGGCCGCAATTGGATGGACAAACAGCGACAGTTCCTCCAAGCCTACGAGTATCTCTGCCACATTGGCGAGGCCAAGGAATGGATCGAAGGCGTCATCAACAGGTCCATACCTCCCATTGTCGAGTTGGAGGAAGCCTTACGTGACGGCGTCACACTCGCAGAAGTGGTGGAAGCACTCAACATCAACAGGCGCTATCGAATCTTCCACCACCCCAAGCTCCAATACCGACACTCGGATAACATTGCCATCTTCTTCCGGTACCTCGATGACGTAGAACTCCCAGATCTCTTCCGCTTCGAACTCATCGACCTATACGAGAAAAAGAACATCCCCAAAGTTATCTACTGCATCCACGCCCTGAGTTGGCTTTTGTTTCGGAAAGGCATAGTCGACTTCCGCATAGGCAACCTTGTGGGCCAACTTGAGTTTGAACATCATGAACTTGAGGCCATGCAGAAGGGCCTCGATAACCTTGGGGTTAGCATGCCTACTTTCGGGAATATGGGCGCAGACTTTGGCGTCCCCGAACCCGAGCCCGAACCAGAAGAGACCGAGGAAGAGAGGATCGAGCGAGAACTGCACGAGAACGAGGAGAATATCGTCGAGCTGCAGGCCCAGATCCGTGGCGCTATGCACCGCGTGAAACTGGGCGAGACTATGCAAAAGCTTTGGGATGAGGAGGAGTGGTTGATCGACCTCCAATCTCGAATTCGCGGCGACTTTACTCGACAAATTATGGATTATCGTATGCAGATGAGACAGTTTGCCGTCAAGCTACAGAGCGCGGCACGAGGCTTCCTGGTCCGACGGAGAATGGCGAATAGCGACCAAGTCTGGAAGGCCATCGAACCTGAGATTCTGGAGTTGCAAAACATCATTCGAGCCAAGAAGGTCCGCCACCAGGTGCAAGAAATGACTTCTCAGCTTTCGAGATGCGGAGGACCTATCAGGGAGATCCAAGCGCTCTCCAGAGGTTTTCTGTTCCGCAAATCCCACGTCGCACAACAGCAAGAGACCAAGAAGACGTCTGTAGAGCTCCCGAAGCTCCAGGCTGCCATCCGAGGAATGCTCGTGAGAGAGAAGGTTCAAAATGACCTTCAGGAGCTCGATGAACATTCCAATGCGATTATCGAGCTGCAGGCTGCGGCGAGGGCAGCGCTGACTAGAAACCAGATCACCGTCGAGCAGGAGCAACTGCGCGCTTTTGCTCCTCAATGGACCTCCATCCAGGCATTCGCTCGCGGTCTTCTATCTCGGAACGATACCGAGGTGCTGAAGGCGGAACTGAAGAAGCATGTGCCCGAAATTGGCCAACTCCAAGCTATGGCTCGCGCAGCTGCAGTTAGGAGAGAGGTCACCAGCCAGCTGGATGCCCTGAAGGAAAATGAGCCTGCAGTCATCGACCTACAAGCAATGATCCGGGGTATGCTCGAGCGACAAAGCATTGCCGCAGACCGACAAGAACTCGAGCAGCAAGAACCCGAGATTATCGCCCTCCAAGGCAACATTCGAGGATTCTTGTATCGAAAACAACATGAAGCATTCCTGGACGAGTTGGACTCCCACACACCCCAGATTGTCGAGCTACAAAGTATCCTTAGAGCCATGATGGAGCGAGCTAGGGTAGAGGACCTCATGGCTGAGCTTGAGCAAGAGGAGGACTCTATTGTCGCCTTCCAGGCTGCTGCCCAGGGATTCATTGTTCGGGCTCGGTTCGAAGAGAAGAAGCGCTTCTTCAACGAGAACATGCAGAAGGTCGTCAAGATCCAGAGTTTCATCCGCGCCAAGGTCCAAGGAGAAGCCTACAAGAGCCTGACTACCGGCAAGAACCCCCCTGTCAATGCCGTCAAGAACTTTGTCCACCTGCTCAACGACAGCGATTTTGACTTCAACGAAGAAATCGAGTTCGAACGCATGCGCAAGACTGTGGTCCAACAAGTTCGACAGAATGAGATGCTGGAACAGTACATTGACCAGCTCGACATCAAGATCGCCCTCCTCGTCAAGAACAAGATTACTCTGGACGAAGTTGTTCGACACCAGCACAACTTTGGTGGACACTCCATGGGCTTCCTGGCGAATAGCTCTATGAGCTCTGCCAACCAGTTTGATCTGAAGGCACTCAACAAGAGCTCAAGGAAGAAGCTGGAGTCGTACCAGCAACTTTTCTTCAACCTCCAAACCCAACCACAGTACCTTGCCCGACTCTTCAAGCGCATCCGCGAGCAAGGCACTGCTGAGAACGAATGCAAGCGAGTTGAACTTTTGATGATGAGCCTGTTTGGGTATGCACAGAAGCGACGAGAGGAGTACTACTTGCTCAAATTGATCGCCCGATCAATCAAAGAGGAGATTGCAGGTGCCAGGACCGCCCAGGACTTCCTCCGAGGAAATTTCTTCTGGTCCAAGCTGCTCACCAACTATACCCGCTCACCCCGAGACCGAAAGTACCTTCGAGATGTTCTGGGACCTCTGATCCGCGACAACATCGTCGAGGACCCTGCACTTGATCTCGAGAGCGACCCCATGCAGATTTACAAGTCGGCAATCAACAATGAGGAGCTCCGGACTGGTGACCCCGACCGCAGACCTCCGGATGTGCCCCGAGAAATTGCCATCCGCGATCCCGAGACCCGACGGCTGTTCATCGACCACCTTCGGGACTTGCGAGAAATTTGCGACCAATTTTTCATTGCTCTAGAGGACCAATTGCACAGAATGCCTTATGGGCTTCGATTCATGTGCCGCCAGATCTTCGATGGCTTGCGCCAGCAGTTTAAGCGTGAACCCCCAGAGAACTTGCTACAGATTGTCTCCAACTGGGTGTGGCGATTCTATCTCCAGCCCGCTGTGACCAGCCCCGAGAATTTTGGCGTGATCGAGAGGATGCTGAGCCCTCTGCAAAAGAGGAATTTGAGCGAGGTTGCAAAGGTCATCAGTCAGATTGCCTCTGGCCGTCCATTCGGTGGCGAAAACATCTATCTTCAGCCTCTCAACGCCTTTGTGGCAGAGTCCGTTGACCGGCTGAACCAGATCACGAACGAATTGATCACGGTGCAGGATGCCGAGCAGACGTTTGATATTGACGAGTTCAACGACCTTTACGCCAAGAACAAACCTACTCTGTACATCAAGATGACGGATGTCTTTGCCATCCATCATCTTGTTGCCGCGGAGCTTCAGTTTATCTGCCCCAGCCGCGACGATGTCCTGCGTGAGATCCTGCACGAACTGGGTAGTGCTAAGAGCAACGAGAGCGAGATGAACGCGGCGGGCTCATCAGACATCCAGATGTTCCTCACCCCCAAACTGCACGATGTCGACGACCCCGAGGCTGAGGTCAAGACTCTCTTCATGGAGACGAAGCGATGCGTCCTGTACATTATCCGTGTCCAGACCGGTGCCAATCTCATGGAGATTCTTGTCAAGCCCATCACTCCCGAGGACGAGCACAAGTGGAATTCGCTGCTGCGCGAGGATTTCAAAGCGGGCAGCAGGACACGCGGTGCCTACTCAGACGCCAACATGATCGATGTGACGCGCATGTCCTACCACGATCTCAAGCGCACGGCGCTCGAGAACGTGATGCATCTGGAGCACATGGGTCGCATATCGAAGCACAACCACTTTCAGGATGTCCTCAACGCCATCGCGCTCGACATCCGGACCAAGAGCCGTCGTCGTGTTCAGCGTCAACGCGAACTCGAGGGCGTTCGCATGACCTTGGGCAACTTGCACGAGAAGGCCAAGTACCTGGAGCAGCAGCGCAAGAGCTATGACGACTACATCGAGCAGGCGATGGGGACGCTGCAGAACAAGAAGGGGTAAGTTTGAGTTTCCTGTTGCATTGTTTGATTTGATGGCTAATACCCTTGCAGAAAGAAGCGATTTTTGATGCCTTTCACCAAGCAGTACAACCACCAGCGCGAGCTGGAGCGCAGCGGCCGCGTACCCAAGTTTGGCAGCTACAAGTACAGCGCGCGGGCGCTGTCGGAGAAGGGCGTGCTGGTGACTTGGACTGGCGTCGGCGAGCGTGACTTGGACAAGATCAACCTGACCATCTCCTGCGACGAGGTGGGAGTGTTCAGTCTCGAGGGCTCGCGCGGCCACATCCAGATCCCCGGTGCCAGCGCGCAGGTACCCATCGAGGACCTTCTGCAGGCTCAGTTCGAGGCACACCAGTTTATGAACCTGTTTGAGGGTAACCTCAAGCTAAACGTCAACTTGCTGCTGCACCTGCTGTACAAGAAGTTCTACCGGACCCAATAAACACGGAAGACGAAGAAAATAATACGTCAAGCCGTGAACAACGAAATGTCCACTGCCCGCGCCGGTTCCCCTGGCGGGGACCATCCAATACGGCGACGGCTTAATTACGCCGCGTGTGACGCTGACGGCGGGTTTGTTAGCGGCAGCGAATGAAAATCAGACGACGGAAAGACGTGAGATTGACAAAGCATTGCGACTGGCGCAGTGGGCTTCGCGGTGCAATCAGGTGTTTTCAGGCTGCTTTGAGTTGGAGGAAAAGATGGGACGGACAGGGCAGGTGGTTGTATAACGCGAATGACACACAAACTCACGACATCAAGTTTTGGGACACTTTAGGAGGGCGAAGGGGGGCACTTCAGGGCTTCAAAGGAAGGATGGACGGATGGATGGGAGCATGGGATACTGGTTTCATGTCTTGCTTGCGCTCACAATGGAGAAGGGATTACCTGGATATCGCTTTTGATTGGCATAATATAGGACGGCAGACCCTCTATTATGTTTTGTGCAATCTCTTCTCTCTTCTTCTCTGTGTATGTTAGGGAAATACCACTGTTATTGATCGCGTGTCCCGTTGCCCCTTCAGTGCCAGTTCTGGAGTTGTCACAGGAGTCCTGGGAGTTGTGGCCGCGAGCCAGTCATCGGGCATAGGTTGTCGGTGGCCGGCTATCGGGTCAGCTAAGCCGTGATTGGCCGGCTAGTGAGTTAGTTGTGAAAAGCCCAGTGCAGACGCTAAGGCTGTGACGCGGACGAGGGTCTGAGGGTCTCAGGCCTAGAAGAAAGGTTTCCTGCATGCAGATTTGGAGGCAGAACGACGAGGGTCCGGGAAGCGAGGCAGTGCAATTTCGGCATTGCATATGGGGAGGAGATGCAATAAAGGCGCACCGAAAGACGCCGCAAGCAAGGATTGCCGAGAGATTGCGGCGACAGAGAAAGGCAAGCGAAAACGGCGCAGGACTGGGTTGGCCAAGTTCACACTGCTTGGAGTGTCGCGTGATAGGGGACTAGGTCTAGGCCTGTCGGTGTGGCCGCTGGCGGATGTGGTGAATTTAGTCACGGAAATTGTGCAGGGGATCAAGGGCGATAAGCAACGACTTCGGTGTTGGATGTGGTTAGCGAGGAGGGATTGGATTGGATTTGTTGAGGAAATGAGAGGATGGACGAGGCAGGGAGAGCATGTTCATCAAGCCTGGTATTGCGGTGCTAGCGAGCTGTGAGGGACCACAGGCGAAGGGCTGTAGACACTTGTGGGCGATGATGAGGCTTGGAGGTGACGATCCAAAAGTCAGTGAGTTAGTCAATCAGTAAGTCATCCGGCACATGGATCATGCAGCTCTCGCGTGAATGCGACACGGAACGTAATCAATTCGAACGCGTGGCATGTGATGAGTCGTTCCCGTGCCGTGCAACCAAGGAGGCTTTTGTTGCGGGCTCGGGGTGGCGGGCGCGGGTTGATAACCACCAGGCGGCCGGAAGTCGGGAGAGGTAACGATCATGTCTCCCAAGTCCGGGCTGGTGGTCAATGGGACCCGGCCCGGGATTTTAAGAGTCGGCGGGTGGACTTCAGGACGGGCGAGGAGAAATGCGGACGGGAGATCCGGAGCGATAGCGGAAGTAGCATGGCAATAATGGCAGAATGAGACGATGTTTCGATGTCGACATCGGTGGTACAGAAGAGGTGATTTTTGGTTTGCATTCAGGCTGTGCCCAGACTGGAATCATCCGTCGTTGATGAGTTCACACTCCCGGGCTGTCGCGCAAGGTTTGGACCCCGGATTGCACCATTGGCTGCTGACAAGGCGTTATTACACTAGCCACCGGAGTAGGGATCTTGGGTGTGCGTTTGCGTTAGAGGCAGAGAGTGAAGCGTCGGTGTGGTAGTTCTGGATAAAGGCATGGCGGGCTGGGTTTGTGGATGGAGGCGGAAACCAGCGGCTCGGCAACTTTGCCTGGAGCGGGCAGGTCGACGAGAACTGTGAGTATGACTGAGATTGGTGATGATTGCATGGAGAGGGTGCAGCCTCAAGCTGAAGGCAGACGGGACGCAGGTTGCGGATAACGAGGGATCATGGGGCCCAAAGGCGCAAAGCCTGATGCCGAAGGAAGTGAGGAGGAAAGAGGGAATTAGCTAGAGATGGCGTGGCGGGAGGCAGAGAAGCGTCTGGATGAAGGATGAGTGCAGGAGATTGTCACGTTGGTGGATCGGCTGGAGCGCCGTTCGGAAAGTGAGGGCACGAGAAATTGTCTATACAGTGCGGAGATACTGTTCTGGAACGCCGGTTGCAGGTGGGCTTTGACAGTGAGAATATCCCATGTACGCACCGTATAGACAGTTCTTGGAGGTTGAGGCTTTCTCATTGCGAGACGGAGCCAAGGGATGTGAGGATAAGGGTGCAGGCGGGGACGTTGCATGGACCCTGGGTCTGACGGTCGAGTGCGCACACGACAGCATGCGCGCACCCACGTACCACGCCCGCTAAGGCAGGAATGCATGAGTTGGTGCGATTCGTAAAGACCGACGATATGACAGGCTGGGAATTATGGCAGGCTGGCACAGGCGGCACATCAAGGCTTCGACAGATGCATGTGGGGAACGAGCTTCCCACTCTCTCCTTTGCAGGAGGTCCACGGGGGAAAACGAGGTGCGAGGGATGAGGCGTCCATCGTGCGGAATCGAACTGAAGCGTATGGTATTGGCTGCTTTTGATGAGGGGTGTGTCCGATGGGCAGCAACACGAGCTATACCTGCTGCACCGCGGTTTAGTACGTGGCATATATGTGCTATGGTGCAGTGGCGGCGTTTGTGGTTTTCGCTGCGGTTTGGTGGAGGTCATGAATGAGACATGGCTAATGACAGTCGGGAAGTATCTGAGCGTGGGTGTTGCTGGATGGGCGGAGGTTGAAGCACGTGGGGGGAATAATTTGGGGTTTATTAGTTGATTAGTGACAATCACCCTCCCTTGCGTTGGCTTGTCAAGTGGCTGACTAGAGGCATGATGGCGGATGACGGAGGATGAAAGATGGAGGATAGAGGATGGAGGGTCTTGAGGGCTGCGTTGACTTCGATGGCTGGTGTGGATGGATGATGGTGGTGGAAGGAGCGTGTGGGTGTCCGCCTCCCACTGGCCCAGGGGCGGAAGGCGCAATTGACCAACCGGAGCTTGTCTAGCACCGAATCGAGTAGTTGCTAAGCCTTGAACCCTTGCAGAGCACCGCACCGGCTCCTTTGCATCTTCTTCCTCTCCATGTGGCCGACTCTTCTGCCGACTTCCAGTCTAACCCGGTCGTGTTAGTCGGCGAGGATCGCATATCTTCACACCGCCGCCGCCGCCTTTCAGGCCCTCTTCAGTCCACGTTCAATCCACCTTCAGTCCAGGGATCACGGCTGAAGCAAGAATCTCTCATGTGATGCAACTGGACAAGACAATCCCACACACGTCAGGCTCATCGAACGCAAGTCGCAGAACGGTTTGCGTAGCTCCCGTGGCTGCCGGAGCCCTTGTGACCTCCTTTCTCGTCCTTTCATGCACCGCTCATTATGCACCAAGGCCGCGTTCCAGACATTTCGCGCTTATTGCATCTGCAATCGACGGCCGTTGCTCTCTGCCACCATCCACACACCCAGTCACCCAGTCACCCACACACCCAACAGTGCCAACACCTCCCTCCTTCGCCTCTCGGCCCCCGGACTCGGAACTCGTGAGATCCATCTGGCAAAACGAGGCATTCGACACTAAGCAACCACCCCGGTCCTCGCACGCTAATCGTCCTTCTGCTCTGGCACTACAGTCCCGTCCCGAAGCAAAGGCAAAGGATAAAAGGCGCCGTCGTTCCCGCTCCATTGCAAAACTTGTGGCGTCAATCACATCACCCTGACTTCTTCTTTCAGTTTCTCATCGGGGAATTCTTGTCTCGTGTTTCCACTCTTGCCACTACTCTAGATCTTTTTGACATCTTGTCTCCAATTCCATCCAATTCCATCTTTCCTCCACGCGGCTGCTCTAACGCACTTGCGCACGCCTCAACCCGCAAAGCACCGTCAACTCCAGGCACACCCCTCCAACCCCTCCATCCCCAGATCCCAACACCAATCTCATCTCCATTCCCCTGCATTAACTGCGTCCTGCGTCCTGCTATTTGCTGGGCTCTACCCTATCAACAGACAGTCAATTTTTGCTCCTGTTGCTCCGTTTTCGCTGTGCTTGTGCTCGTACCGTACAGTGCAGGGCCATACAGTGCCATCCGCACGTACTCTTCACAAGCACCCGGCGAATTCGCCCGTCAGCTCTGTCCACACTATCCATCTCAATCCCTTGTCTCGGTGGCCACCGCCATCTAGATCAAAGGTGGAAACAGGCTAATCGCACTCCGCCCGAAAGACGCGTAGAAGCTTAGCTGGCGTTTATTAGACCCTCTTCCCGCCTTTGGCCACACCGACCACGCACACGCCCTTAGCTAGCATCGTGTTGCGCCATCCGCCATCCGCCCTCCATTTAATACCCGGCCCTCCCCTCCCAGTTCTCTTCCTGACTCGCCTCAACTCACCCTTCAAGTCTCTCACTCATATTCACACTTCTTCCTCTTTACCCTCTATCAATCGCCCTTTATTCGGGTCAGAGACGAACACACCGGCCTGATACACAATAACACACTACCCCTCCACCCGACTTACACACGCTCCTCCAATACCACCCTAGCACACAAAGAGAGAGAAATATACGACTACACTTGACAAACAAGCCGTAAGAGAAGAATCCTCTCTCCCAGTCAGAATGGCGCCCGATCTCAACTCCCTCCCTGCCTCCACGGGTGCGGAGACGGCCAACCCCAGCCCTGCCGCTGCTCCTGATGCCTCCCGACCCAACATCCTCTTCATCATGGCGGACCAACTGGCCGCTCCCCAGCTGAAGATGTACAACCCCAACTCCCAGATCAAAACTCCCAACCTCGACCGCTTGGCGTCTACCTCGGTCCAGTTTGACTCCGCCTACTGCCCCTCTCCTCTCTGTGCACCTTCGCGCATGAGCTTGATCAGTGGCCTTCTCCCTATGAAGATTGGTGCCTTCGATAATGCCGCCCAGATCGGCTCGGATGTGCCCACCTATGCTCACTACCTTCGCTCTAAGGGCTACCACACTTCCCTCGCTGGTAAGATGCACTTCATCGGTGACCAACTCCACGGTTACGAGCAGCGCCTGACCAGTGACATTTACCCTGGTGATTTTGGTTGGGCCGTCAACTGGGATGAGCCTGACACTCGCCTCGAATGGTACCACAACGCCAGCTCTATTCTCCAGGCTGGTCCATGCGGACGAAGCAACCAGCTCGACTACGACGAGGAGGTCATGTTCAAGAGCACCCAGTATCTGTGGGATCACGTTCGCGAGGGCCCAAACAAGCGTCCCTTCTGCCTGACTGTCTCTCTCACTCACCCTCACGATCCCTACACCATCACCAAGAAGTACTGGAATCTCTATGAAGACGTTGACATCGACCTACCCGAAGTCCGCATCGCCAGAGAGGATCAAGACGCCCACAGCAAGCGCCTCCTCAAGGTCTGCGATCTCTGGGACCAAGATTTCTCTGACGAACAGATCAAGCGGGCCAAGCGCGCTTATTACGGTTCGGTGAGCTACGTCGACGACTGCATTGGCAGACTTCTGGAGACTCTGGAGGATGCCGGCCTGGCAGACAACACCATTATTATCTTCAGTGGTGACCACGGAGACATGCTAGGCGAACGCAACCTTTGGTACAAGATGAGCTACTTTGAGTCGTCGGTCCGCGTTCCCATGCTGGTCAGCTACCCCCAGCGATTCACGCCTCATCGCGTCACTCAGAGCGTGTCGACTCTCGATCTCCTCCCCACCATCTGCGATCTCATCGGTACAAAGCCTGCCCCTTACCTGCCCATGGACGGCATCAGTATGTTGCCCCATCTTGAAGGTCGCGAGGGCCATGACACCGTCTTTGCCGAGTACACGGGCGAGGGAACCGTGCGCCCTATGATGATGATCCGCCGGGGTGCGTGGAAATACATCACTTGCCCCGCCGACGAACCCCAGCTTTACAACCTGGAGCGGGATCCCAAGGAGCTGAACAACTTGGCCCGCTTTAAGAAGATTGCTCCTCAGACCCCAGAGGAAGAGGAAGCTAAGGAGACATTTGATAACTTTGAGGCTGAGGCCAATGCCAAGTGGGACTTTGAAGACATCACAAACAAGGTGTTTGCGTCGCAGCGCTCTCGCCGAGTCGTATGGGATGCCCTCAAGGAGGGCGAGTTCACCAGCTGGGACTTCGACCCCATCGATGACGGCCGAAGGAAGTAAGTCAAACTCATCCATTCGTCTTTCCTGCCCCTGATACCCCACTTCCAAGCCACATTGAGATTGCATCACTGGCAAAGCGTAAGACGTGCTAACATGTGCCCCCGCAGGTTTATCCGTTCCTACATGGATCTCGACGACCTTGAGCGCCGTGCTAGGTTCCCGATTGTGGACGCCAACGGCTACGAGAGCAAGGCGGTTTCGTCGACGCGTAATTAAGAGTGGCGGTGACTGGGATGCTGACCCAGACGGAGGAGACGGACAATGCGGGAGATGAGGGGAGATTTTATGATGAATGTTTTGGCGATTGCATTCTGGCATTTGTAATGCTTAGCCTGGGATACCATTGAAGCGATTCTTGCTTGGTTACGTTCGCTTGCAAAGCCTGGCACTTGGGATCTTGCTGCGTGATATTGGTTTACAAAAAGCGTGTTAGATATTGTGATATGAACTACAATGAGAATGAAAATGACAAATCAGATGTAAGCATGACGGGATGAGATGTGAATTTACACATGAAGATGGCTTTGCCCTTGGGTGATTACTGAGGCTAACTTACGTGCGACAGGGCAAATTGTCCAGACACCTGATGGCACTTTTCGTTTCATCATGGTCGTCGTCATTGAACCGGTCTACGTATGAGGTAATCTGAGAATTAAGAGCGGTGAGAATGATCCGGGAGCAAGGGAGAATGGGACCAGGTCACCAGAAACTGCCGCCGCTGCTCGCCGCTCGCCGCCGCAGCAGAGACTAGACCCCGGACAATTGGGACCATGAAGCGCCACGATCGATCGTGCGAGTGCGGGTGCGGGTGCGTGTCGCGCGGGGCGCTTGCTCGATTCGCCTGGTTGTCTGGCGCGGGAAAAAGGGGTAGAGATCAAAGTAGACCCTAGCTTTCATCGATTGTGTGATTTTGGCGTCGATGTCGTTTGGAGGTGTAAGAGGGGCGAAGATGACGTGCGTCGGAGATCCGGGGGAGTGGCTAGAGACGGGAAACCGTGGATCCGGGGAGTGCAGTCCAGGGCCCAAGCGTTCTAGCGGCTAGCTTTGGAAGGGCTGCAGGACCCTGGCCGGCAAGCTACAGAGCCTCCTCTAGATGCGACTGGACCATGGGATATGTTGGATGGATCATGGGGTGGGCGGATGAGGGCCTGTGGGGAGGGCGTTGGTGTATTCGCAGGTACGGGGATGCTGGCACGACAGGATCCTCAGCGGGGAGTTCGGGGAGTTTATCGGGTCGTTGTGTGTCGAATCAAGAGACTGGCGGTGGGGGAGGCAGAAATACGAGGTGATTTCTTGGTTGTTAGTAGTCCACTTCTGATGCTGGAAGTATGAATCGTTGTGGTCCGGAGTAGGTTGATATCCTCCCGAGTTGTTAGTACAGTGCGCGGGCGCTGGTACAGTGCGTTTACCGCTCACTGCACACTGGCCGCCCCGTAGACAAAGGTTGCCCCGCCTTGTAGGCCCAGCTCAATGAGAGCCCCGCCATCGAGCAAGGTACGTCGCCTCCAGCCTCTCCTCGTCATTTTTGCGCCGACGCGTCCTAGCCCTGTTCCATTCCCTTCTTTTCTGCTTGCACCGTGAACCATTGCGAAAGCATCGCACTGCGCAACGTCCGGGGTGCTACAGGGAGGGACTCGTCTGAGTCTGCGGTTGCGTTTCGTCCGTTACAATGGCTACGTTGGGACTGGACGACGATGAGCTCAAGGCGCTCGAGCAGACGCTGGCCAGGCTGGCACAGCTGTCGAGCAGCATCCAGAGCTTGAAAATGGACCTCATCAAGAGCAACCCTCTGCCGCCTCCGTACGTCCTCCAGAGTTCCGGCGTTTGAAGTCGGCGTTTCACGGGTTACTGACCTTCACCGCAACTGCAGATCCTCCCTTCAGGCATCGGCCCAGATCCTGCAGCGCAACCTACAGACCGTCCTCGATAGCCTGAGCGAGAACTCGGACATCTTGACTCGTATGGCCATTCATCCCTCGACCAACTACCCCGGCCGCACGCAGGAGAACGTCCTGACGCAGCTGCTCCGCAAGAAGCTCGAGCCGGACGTCGAGGAGCTCGTCGCCGACGGTCGCGACACTGCCCGTCTCGCCACCCCGGCCGGTATCGAGGATCTGCAGGACATCTGGCACGAGCTGCGCGAGTGGACCCACGGTCGCATCGCCGAGTACGTCCGTGACGAGGCCGGTGACGTGTACACGGCCGAGGAGCGCGCCGCCGGTACGGAGAGCGTGCGGACGGGCCTGCGCCGGGATGTGGAGGATGAGGACGACAGCGACGACGAGGAAGACGACAATGCAGGCGGTGAGGGCGAGTCTGCCGCCGCGCAGCTGGCCAGGGGCCCCGAGCCGGAGACAATGCTGTGGTTCGCGGCCAGGGGAGACTTTGAGGTGCCGCGGAACGTCGAGTATGAGCGCAAGGTGGGCGTCAAGAAGGGTCTAGAAGGCGTCAACATCCCCCCCGAGCCGATGCAGGGCGTCGGTTTTTCGTAGGATGGCCGGCTACGCACCCGACGTCGGTCGAGCATCGAGAACGTCACGAAGAATGGCAAAAGGGGGTGGCTAGCGGTCCGGACCGAGGATGCTCTAGGGCTAGAGCTAAGCTGGGAAGTTGTTTGAGGCCTACATATTGTACATGATACCATGAGACTGCGACAAAGGCTGTCCGCAGCAATACGTTTACGATATGGGGATATTGGGTAATCTGTTCTGAGACCTAATGATGGCGCACTGCCACGAATCTTATCCCACGAATCTTGCTCTCAATTTTGTATTATGTCCTCCCAGCAACCTTTCAGCTTCGACTACGAGAGTCTAAGGCTAGTTGAGCAATTGGCAAAACTGGCAGGAATTTGAACAAGTGATGTTGATCATATATTCGCCAATGATCCCTTGTTGCCTTATCTGGATGGACGCCGCGTCTCATATTTGACTCGCAATTGGTTCTAGAACGGAACTGCGGCGCAGCATGGATTTTGTCTTTCCCTCTCCCAGCTGAGCGGTTTGACGTTTCCCGTTGTGCGTGGCAAGAGGGGCATCTGACCTGTAACTTTGGAGCTAAGACATTATGATTGAATCATGACAGCGGATCCGTCGCTTGGCGAGGCATCTCAACCAGCGACAGCTGCTCTACGCGCCGGCCACAATCAGCACCAAGCATCAGATACTACCCCGATGTGAATTCGACCTTCTCTTGTCGGCCTGGGGGATAAGCTGACCTAAGTACACGTCGCCGAGGTTGGCTGACGCTGCTTCAACATTGGTGCTGTCTCGCCAATGGAAACGGCGACGCCGCCACCACATGTCGTCAGCGAGACCTCCTTGGCGCCATGCTAACGCCTCGTCATTGCTCCTTGGGAATGGACTGCTTTTCGCGCTCCCCGTGGACCAACGGCAGACGCCGCCCGCTAGTGCTCACGTGTGCCAGCTGAGCCGGGCTTTTGGGTCTTGCGAGGGCCGGTGGGCGTCATGATGGGGGTGGTCTGGATGGTGGTTTACTTATACCGATAGCTTGCGGGGGGTCCGGCCGGGAGGGGAAACGATGGAGCTTACCCTCAATTGCGAAGCTCTGTCGCCCTCTCCCCTTTCCTCTCCATCGATGTTTTCATTCAGCCAGATGATGGACTACTGCCTCCTCCAAGACAACCTCCATTCGTACATGGACATGGACCGCTGCGAGGTGCCGTGCGGGTCGTCGGCGGTAGTGGATACCATCAGCGACGAAGCCCCGGCGCCGAGCTCCACTTGCGCTTCTACCTCCGGCGCAGGAGAGCCCAGCATCACGGGCTTCTTGGACCTGCCGTCCGAGATCCGACTTCAGATTTACCGCTGGCTGCATCTCATGTGCCCCGTACGGCACGCACAGCTGGCGCCGTGGTATCCCACCCCGGTACACTGCCAGTACATTCTTCGGCGAGTTGTCGACGGCGACGAGCCGACCACCGATGAACCGAACACTCCAAAGCCCAAGCCAGCATCTACATCGCCATCATCAGACATGCTCTCCCCATTCCGACCTCTCTCCGGCCTCCCGACCGGCCTCCTCCAGTCCAACTCTCAAATATACCACGAATCACGATTGCTACCATTCACCGCCAACGAATTTGTCTTTGTCAACTGGTTCGCATCCGGGCTCTGGGCGGCCCGCGCCTTCACACGGGCGCTGGAGCCGTGGCAGCGCCGCGACATGCGCTTCGTGCGGCTTGAGATCCTGGCGCGGGACCTCGTGGGCAACGGCGGCGGCAGCGGCGCGGGCCAGGAAGAGTGGCTCGCCCTGTGCGACGACTGGGCGCCGGGGGTGCGTGGCCTGCGGATGAAGCTGGTGCTCGGCGGCACGGCGACGGGCGTCATGGCGTCGAACGCGGGGCCCGGCCCGGAGAAGGCGGCCGGCGGGTTCGCGGAGCTCCAGGAGCTGTCGCGGCAGCGCATCGCGAACGGCCTGAGCCGCATGGGCAAGCTGGAGCGGGTGGAGATGGAGCTGGTGACGCGGGAGCTGGAGAAGGGCGACAAGCTGCGGTGGTGTGCGGCCCTGGAGGAGGAGCTGAGGGCGGCTCCCGGACTCGAAGGGGTTAGGGTCGAGTGTGCAGAGAAGTTGCAAGAGAAGATGGAGTGGATCAAGCAGGGGATTGGGATGAAGCATCTGCAGGGTCTAAGTGAGCATTGATTGAGTGGGGGTTGGCGCGTCTCTTCTGGTTATGACTCTGATCAACGCTATCATGTACATGGCTGGGAGTCTGAAGGCGTTGATTGTTTTTGCGGAAGCGATTAGGGTGGAGTTTGTTTATTACATCAACATACCTGTCATGATACATACCAAGTTGCAAAATCCGACACATCCGTCAATTGAGGTTTTTTCCGATCCGCGGGTGGGTGGTTGAAACAGCCGCGAAGCAATAAGCAGAGAAGCTATTCCACGACTCTGACTCCGTCAATTGCGACGTCATATCCTCTCCAAGCTCCGGTGTCCGGCCCGCAGCTGGCGCCGCAACGCGCATTATGGGGGCCAGGGATGCGAGACGAGATGATTACAGCAAATTAACCCACCCATCTAGTCATCTCTTGTTCAATTGCGTCGTATTGTGGTTTTATTGTTGCGGTGAACAAGCCTGCAGCCGACCATCGGATCTCATCTCGGGGCCCCGCGGTCTGCCCGTTGCCGTGCGTAAGCCTTCTTGGGGCAAAGAGGGCTGTTCGTCCGAGAATCCTCGACGCTGAACCGACACGCTAGACTGCTCTGGTCGAAGGAACTGCTGCAGAGCGCCGCGAACGCATGTGACTTCGCGACTCTCGCCCGGCGGCATGAGTCACGTCGCACGCACGTCACTGCTTCACGGCCGTCGGCGTGTAATAGCAGGGCGCATTGCGATACCCGCATCGTCTGTGAACCTGTGACTCCGTGCAGCGAGGCTAGAGCGCGCAACTTGTGACTGGTCCTTGATTGGCCGAGTCCGAATTGCTGTGCGAATGTATTAAATACTTGATGCCGCGGGAACGACGGTTTCTGCCTGATTTATCATTATTCTTCCTCTTTCAATAACCTGGCCATTTTCCTGGTCGGCCCCGGACTGTCCGCTTTCAATTGGTGTCAGCAGCCTCAACGTCATCCCCCACACCTCGCTGTGGCTTCACCCCGCCGCGCTCGTCGCCCCACAGTTGCAGCATCTCCAACTCACACTCGACTTGAGACTCGCAACTCGCCACAGCCACGACTTTTAATGGTCCGTCGTAGCTCACGAAAAAATCGAGCCTGTTTTGCCTAGTTTCCCCTAACCGCCAAATCACAAACCTACTCACTATGGAAGCCCGTTGCCAGTGCGGGTCCGTGTCCTTCACGACCCCCCTCCCGCAACCCCTCGCCCTCTACATCTGCCACTGCTCCGAGTGTCGCCGCCAGACGAGCTCGGCGTTTGGCACCTCGGCCATTTTCCCGAGCTTCAGTCTGCCCGAATCGGAGCTGTTGAGCTGCTATAGGTAGGCGCCGCTTGTGCGGGGAAGACTGTGTAGTGAGAACTCGAGAACTGAGCTAACGGCCGCGAATAGTCGACCCACGGCTTCAGGGCATAAGTTGTATTGGTATGTAAAAGATAATTGCCTTCTTGAGACGCCTGCTTGCAATCGGTCCACACACTAACAGGCTTGCTTCGCAGCTACTTCTGCCGAAATTGCGGAACCCGTCTCATTCACACCACTCCGGTACGAAGGAACCTCCATCCGTTTGATAAAGTATCACCAAACATGCCCAGAAAATTGACACTCACTCAAGTCCCAGACCAAAAATGTCGTCTCTGTAAAAGGAGGCTGCCTCGAGGGGCTCGATTGGAAGCGCGCCATCCACATCTGGACCAAGACGGCCATGGTGCCCATCCCCGAGGGCTCCGAGACGCACTCGGAGGAGTCGGGTTACACCGACTACGGCCGCACCCAAGAGGAACTGGACCAACCCGGCGAGTTGCAAGGTAGTGGCGGCTGCCATCAGGCACAAGCGACGAGTGCTTGTGAGCTGACTAAATCATAGGCTGAGGTAGAGTTGCTGTTTTGTGCGTGCGTTGCTCCTACGAGATACCTGGTGTGTTTTGCTGTTGTGTGCCTGGGTCGCCCATGGAGTAGTGATGTATTTGGGCCGAGTGATGGCTGACGCAGTTGACGGAGTTGTGACATTCAACATTAATCAAGAGAAAAGTTTGCGGGTGGTTACAGGCGCATTCAACACAGTTGGGTATATTAGGTTCATAATCTCATGACAGGAGTTATCAATAAACGGGGCTATTTGTCTTATACCAACGTCTCCTCGACGCTCCTTCTATTATCTCCATTCGTCTCTCTAGCTCGATCCTCTCCTGCTGACCCACCAGGCCTGGTTACGTCGGAGTGCTTCGCGGGATCGAAGACATATATGGGGAACTCGAGGAACACTGTCCGTTTCAGGACGGTGGGCATCTTCTCGTACAGTGCTGGTGGGAATGGGATGAGAATACTGGTTCGGTTGAGCCAGCGCTTGTATCCCTCCCAATTTTGGTCCTTCTCGTACCGCGTCTTGGCTTTGGGCCGCTCAGATAGAGTCAATCCAGACACGAACATGAGGAGGATCGTGAGAAAGAAGGACCCGACGATGCTGGCATAGAGGGCTTTGAAAGCCTGGCCGCCGACATATCCATCTGCCGCGGAGGAAACGGCAATCATGTAGATGGCTGGGGAGTGTTAGCGGATGCTTGAGTTGGCTAGAGAGCGAACTTACAAAATTGAACGAGGATTTCCCCAAAGTAGTTTGGATGGCGCGACCACGCAAAGAAGCCTTTGTCACACACATCTCTCCCATTGTGCGTCTTCCGAAAGCGATACTTTTGCACATCACTCACGCTCTCCATGACGAACCCAATTGCAAACATGACGATGCCCGCAATGTCCCGACCCGTCCCGAAGCGGTGTTGGGGGTAGCGAGTGACGGCGGGCGAGTTGAGCAACGTTACAGGCAGCGAGACGGTCCAAACCCAGAACATCTGGAAGACCCAAAAGCCAAGGAATGGGAAGAAGCGGTCGCGTTTGTCGTCGAAGCGGTCATCCTTGCCGGTGCGGAGGATGCGGAAGAGCAGGAATCCAGAGAGGCGGAGCGCCCAGGCGATCAGGAATAGGCTGGCGACCACTTGGCGTGCATGGTGATGGCCGCTGAATGCGAGAGTGAGGATGGCCAGGAGCGCGAAGTTGGTGCCGCCTGCGAAGTCTATGGATTGTCAGCCTGGATTGTTTGAGACTGTGAGGAAGAATCAGACCGACCAGTGAGCTTGTCGAATTTGAAGGTGAATGCGATGGCGAAGAAGAAGAGCTGGTAGGCGACAGTGATGATGGCTGTGATTGCTAGGTAATAGTCGTCGAGGACATGGACGACAGTCATGGCAAGGAGATTAGATGAATATGCGAAGGATGAATAAGTGACACAGGAAGGAAAATCACGGTGAAATAGAGACAATACGGACTTCACTACATGACGGTAGAACAGCGCGCCTCAAATGTCTTTAAAGCGTCTTGATCTCGCAGTCGATGGCGGAGCGAATTAATGTCGTCATCATCGAGACCACAAGTCGCGGGTAAGTATCCGCCATGATATTTTGTATGGCGGGGTACTTGCACGCTGTTAGTCGCGATCTAGAACGAAGATGGAATCTTGGGCATCACAGCGGATCGAGTCGACCACCTGCAATCTATTAAAGCGGATGCGCCTACTGCGTACCTTAAGTTTATTGCTCCCATGCGCCCTGACAATGCAGTAAATTAAACTCCATGTGTATTAGTTGGTTCGAGATCTGGCAGATCTGCCTCGAGGGGGGTCACGTGCAGTGAGTACCGCAATCACCGCCAGCACCGACCTAAACCTGGCATTCTTTCTTCTTCTTCTTCCTCTCACCCACCTTGTGCTACCGGAATGCCCTGAGCCTGTCCGTCCACTTTCGACAATGACACGACCGGGCTGGAAAAGCGGAGCCCCGTCGCCTGGAACCGTCGCCTGGAACCGACGCCGAGTTGCATTGTTGATGGGGAAACTCGCCCAACGTGGCTGGCTCGGCACAGCCTCCGAAACACTGGGGACGAACAAGCGTGTGCCGGGGTCCGAGTTGTACAGTATCCTCGAACCGCCTAACCGACTGACTGACGGTCCAGTGCAGCGAGGCGAGTGTGTTCCCCCCCGTCGCGATGGGAAGAGGCCGTGGTGGGCTCTTGGTACATAATGCCGAGATGGCATTTCTCATGCAGGACCCTTTTTCTTCATTTCATTTCAGTCCAGGCCAGCCATCATCTCGCTTTCCATGCAAGCGCCATCTTGGCTCCCGAGTCTCGACGCTCAGCGCTCACGGATTCGCCCTCCCAATGCGCTACGCTAGCATCTGCTGCACAATCCGTCCCATCTCAGCGCCTGCTGCGGGAGGATCGGCCACCTTGACACTCGCGCGCCCTCACCACGCGTTTGATTCCCGTCGCCTGGTACCTCTTGGCCCTCTGGCCATGGCACCTGTTCCGTGGCGCCACTGCAGCCCCCCATCAGCGCAAAAGAGTCGATTCCAGCAATCGGCGACTGAGAGACCAGGTGATGTGGGTGTGGCCCCTTGCTCATCATATCCCGGTCCTTGTCATTCCTCGAGACCTGACTCTCAAGGCTCTTTCTTTCATTTTCCAAGACGAGTAATTCTCGGGATTATACCACTTGCTATATAAACTCGGCCAAAGTTGCGAAAACTGAGGCATTCATGTGAAACCGTCCCGTCTCTGCTTAGCCAGACTGCGACGTCACAGCCCCTCATGACCATCTCAGCCTTCCATCGAGCAAGCGCTTGTCAGGACTCCGTCTCAAAAGAGCCCGCCCACCCACACTCCCGCCACATCTACCCCTGGCCATGCCAACCGGTATCCCTGGTCCTGCCTAACCATCACAGTATCAATCCCCGTTTGAGGCTCAGTCTCGACCCCCCAGATTCAGAATGCCAACCCGAGACAGCCTTCTTAGCTCCCTTGGCGCCGGTACCACAGTTGCCCTACTGAACGGCTTTTCGTAACATGCCAGGGGGAGGTTGAGGGCCCTCTCCAGAGTACGTAGTACTTGTCTCATGGTGCCATTCTTCCCTCCCATCGATCTCCCTTTTCCCTTTTCCTATTCTCCGTTGTAGATAATCTTTCCCTCGCTCATTGATCGTTTCCGTGCCGTCGGGCTAGGACCTGACGACATATCGACTCACTTCCTCCATTCCTTTCTTTACCTGCCTCGGGCAAACATTTCCTTCTCCAGCCTATACAGGCATCGCGCCACGAGCGTTTAATCTATTAACCTAGGTACCATCTCGTACCTCGACGATCGACTCTACCTACGGCCTAGCGTTCCTTCGATTTCTTCGGATTGACCCCAACTATACCCAACATCAACGGCTGGACCGGTGTACCACTCTTTTGCGCAAATCGTAGGAACATATCAAGACATTGACATCAAGTAATCGGAATTCATCATGAGGATAATCACTCAGAGCTTCTGGGCCGCGTCCTTCTTTCTTGCTCAGGTCAGTGTCTTAAACCAAGAGTCGGGGTAGCAATGAGCTAATGGGATTAAAGGCTGGAGCCAGCGGTCAGAATGGACGCCGCCACTGGGGAAAGAGACAGGTCTCAGGTGCTGCACCTGCGGTGACGACTCCCAAGTTTGAAGGGTAAGTCGCAGTCGAATTATAGGGTTTGGGGGTTTATCATTGACGTCGTTTCCTAGACTTGAACTCTCATACGTGACAGAGTTTGAGACCACGACCGAGAAAGTGACGGAAACGCAGATGACGGAGGTCACTGTAGCCGCTGATGCGACTACCATCACTCAGATCGTCACGCAGGCTGCTGAAGCGCCCGTAAGCATCCTAAATCATGGCATCCCTCATGGCCTATGTACTAAAATATTCTTTACAGGCAGCTGTCACAATCACCGAGACGGTACATACTCTCCGAACTTGCTCGCTTGGTTTCGATATTCTAACTCTCACAAGGTCGTTCAGCCCCTCACAGTGACGGAGGTGGTCACGGTAGCTGGCGAGGCTCCGGTAAGTGCACATCAATCTTCAACTATCCACCATATACTGACACAAGGCAGGCTGCAATCACGGTCACCGAGACCGTCGCCGGGGCGTGTGAAACTCCGGTAAGAATCCATCGTGTCCGCCACCAAATAGGTCGTTGCTAACGCCTCCCAGGCCAATCCCGTTCTCAGCGGAACAGAGAGCGTCGCCTTTCAAAACGGCGTCGGTGTCTCTACGGTTCCCATTGCTCAGAGTGCCCTGCCAACTACCACCTTCGACCAGGACCCTTTTGCGGCCAACCCAGCATCCACATCGGTGGCGGCTATTTCTAGTGTCCCGGCTGACACAGACAACGCCGTCAGCTCTGTCGCTGCTCCCACTACTGCCGCCACCTCTTCTGCTGCTGCCTCTTCCGCCGCTGCCTCTTCCACCGTTGCCTCTTCTGTCGCTGCCTCCTCTGCTGATGCCTCTTCATCTGCTGTTGCCTCCTCCTCTGTCGCTGCCTCTTCATCCGCTGCTACCTCTTCGGCTGACGCTGCCTCATCTGCTGCTGCCTCTTCATCTGTCGCGACCACCACGTCAACCAAGTCGATGAATACCCAGGTCACAATGACACAGACTAGTGCCTCTCAGGGAGATCCCACCGATCTTGTTGCCTCCGTGGACCTGGGTGGTCTTCGACCTAACCCTTCGGCGGAACTCGGATCAGTTGTCGCGGCCCCGCCCTCCACGGAAGAAGCAGAGGCGTCGTCGGTCAGGACCCGAGCCAAAATCAACGTATCTACTTTGAGCCTCAGCAGTGTCCTGAACCTGGGAAAGCTGCAGCCACTTACGGCAGGCATCGAAGCCCGGGCAACTCAGGCCATGTAAATTAGCGAGTAGTCGAGGGGTCGATTTTCGATTAGATCCACTTTATATAAGACGAGGAAGTTTTGGCGATACCGCTTGGAGAAGATGTATATATAGATTTGTTTCCAAAAAGTGATAATAACATGAGCGAGTCTCATTAAGTCTAAACCTTTGCGTGCATTGTCCGTCATGCCATGCTTTTGCCTCCCCTTTCCCAAACGCCGGGTGAATGTTTTCATTTCTTGTCTGCAGCCGCGCCCCTTGATGCTAGTTTCATCTTCTTGGCCTGTCGCTTGCTTATCGTTTGTGTGTCCTCCTCGCCGCTCTTGCGCTTCTGGTTCTGGCCCTTGTTCTTGTTCTTGTTTTTCTTACCGGTCTGAGCATCGGTGACTTCACCTTGGTCCTCCTCGTCCCGCTTCGCGACGTCGACCACGTCGATAACGCCCCTGAAACCGCTTCTCTTCATACCCTCGTTGACAACCACGCCGCGGGGTATGGCACCGAGACCCAGTATGCCCTTCTCGCTCGGCAATCCCCAGACGCTGAGCAGGTTAACAACGTCGGCGGGAGCGCGCAGGGACAGCGCGTCCTTGGCGGCGCTGCTGAGTATGATGCCGCGACCACGGGTGGCGCGGACGAGGTTAGCAACGTTGCCGATGAAGGTGGCGCGGCCGCGGGCGTCGGCGGCCAGCGCCTGGGCGTAGCACACCTCGAAGCGCACGCCGCGGGTGACGGCGGTCATGCAGTTCTTTGGGCGGAAGTGGAAGGGGAAGTGCTGGGTGAGGTCGAGCGAGATTAGCGGGATGTCGAGGTTGATGCAGGCGTTCTGGAAGCCCTTTTCGGTGAGGGGCTGGACGGCGACAATGTCGTAGGCGGCGACGAGGGTCTGCAGGCGGAAAGTGGGCGCGGGCGTGTCGCCAAGGGGCATGGTGGCACGGTGGAGAATGCTGGGGAGCTTCTTGTTCGCGGACGAGACAGGCGGGAACGGCGCGGAGGGAACGGCGGGGATGGGCAACTCGAGGGTGTGGTTGAGGGCGACGGTGGCATAGCCGAGGGCGGAGGCGAGGGTGAGGAGCTGGAGGAGCTGGTCTGGGGTCGTGGAGGGCGACCAGGCCACATTGAGGTCGTACATGACGGCGGCGGCGCGGTTGTCGTCACTTGTCGTGAGAAACGGCGGGTTGGTGATGGTGTTGATGGTGGGGGAGGTGGGCGGAGGTGTGTTACCGCATCGTCGAACTGGCAGAGCTCGAGCTAGGCCGCGCAATGGCTATCTCGAGATTGCAGTGCTGCGGTGCAATCGAGGGTTAGCCTTGTGTCAGCCCGAAGTCGTGGCGTCGACGGTCGCGGAGAGAGGAGAGAGAAGAGAGTCAGGATGTTGCAGTCGAGATTAGCTTTTTTTTTCTTACCCTCTGTTCACCAATGACGCAGGTACCTAATTAACGTAGGTACCTAGAGCGCGCAGTGGGTGAAGGTGGTTCAGTAGAAGCTGTGGTCCGTGCGCGCATGGATCCTGGTGGCCCGCATCGGCGCATCGTCCACTAACTTTTGGGCAGGATTAGCGGGTGGTAGCGGGTGGTGGCAGCGGGTGTAGAACAGTAGCGGGCGCTATAGCGGGCATTGGCGTCATCGGCATGTATTTTGCAGACGGGGTGATCAGACGAGAGTTGCTCAATTGATTCCATCACCACCCGGCTAATCGTGTGTGTCTCGCTTTCTACCATCTTCAGCAAAGATCAACATTGCAGCGACCAAGTCACAACCGTGCAGTGAGTGCAGTGCGGTTTAGGTTGCTTGCCAAGCCCACTGCGCCTCCCCGCCCGCCGAGGTGACGACGCACCACCACCACGAGGCCACTATCGACTTGCAGTGCAACTCCGCTACTAAACTCCTCCCTCCGTCACCATTCATTCCCCCATCGCAACCCTCCGTCAACATTCGGCCTTTGTCCTCGCGCGCGCGCCTCGATCCCGCCGGCTCCTGCACCTCGTCCGACCGTCTCCATCTCCGATCCGAGCGGCTGCTGCTGCGCTTCGCCTGCTTCCGGGCCTCGCTCGTTTGCCCGCTCCGGCTGCCGACCTCTAACCTCCGACCTCCGGGACGCCGCCCACCATGTTCTTCTTCTTCGTGTGCGGCGAGCACACCTTCCGCAAGGAAGTCAAGGGCTACGAGGGCATGGTCTGCCAGTGTCACCACTGCGGGAACATGGCGGCCAATGTCGTCAAGAGCAATCCATGGTTTACGTTTTGCTGGGTTGTACGTTGTTGAGTCGAGTCGCTCTCCCACAGCCCATCACGTCACTCTAGTCACTCTGTAACCTATCTGACCACATGAATCTCTTAGCCCGTCATCCCCCTCTCCTTCTCCGGTTACACCGATGTCGCATGCCGCATCTGCAACTTCCACCAGCCGCTCGACAACCGCCCGGACGTCATCGCCATGGCCAACGGCGGAGGTGGCGGATACCCTCCTCCACAAGGCGCATACAACGGACCCCCGCCGCAGCAAGGCCCTCCGCAGGGAGGTAACCCGCCCATGCGATATAGCTGAGTCGCTAATACAAGGACGTTTGTTCCTTTTTGGCCCTGGGAGACTCCGCCGCGCGCTGTCGCCGCTGTTCCGCGAGACGCGAGTCTGCCTCGCGTGTGCGGGCGCTGATGTGTCGGGAACTTGGTGTTGTGGCCTGGATCCTTCGTTGCTACTGTTTCATGCAAAGTCTTTTGGGTCCGTCTCGGAAAGGCAACATAGCCTGGCGTTTAGGGCGACATGATGGGAGTTGACCGTGTCTGGTGACGACGATGCCGCGCAAGCCGGAGACCTGTGCTACACCCATCGGCATCGACCAAGGCGCCGTGTTATTCATACATGAAGTGGGCATTTTTCATGCCATCTCATATTGCTGAACCCATCCATAAAGTCTTAACTTTAATCTAGACTCTATTGCGCTTCCCCATCTCCCTACTTAACTGCGCTGTCTTGGCTCTGCACTCTCAGGTTTAGAATCATGTGCGGTTGTTCTTGGCTGCTGGTCCCAACGCTCATCTGTTGCCACTGTCTTTCCATTGCCCTCTCTGCGGCGAGAATCTATGCTATGCGGTCCTTGGGATTGTGCTGGACACTCATCCACCGAGTGACGGAGCGTATATCTCTCCTCTGTCGAGCTGTGTCTCTGGCGATTTCCTACTTTCACCGAACACACATGGCAATTCATTCTCCGAGTAATGAGGTTCACACGAGTAGGAAGCAGGATTGCGCGGTCAATGCTCCCATGAGGAAAAAGCCATTAGCAAGTGTTGGCTCAGGCAGTCGGTCTCCCGGTCCTTGGGCCAAGAGATGTTACACCAAACAAGCATCAGTGCAAGAAGATGACCCCCGTTGCGCAAAGGTCCGCAACAGAGATGCCTCCTCCAAAACCTCCAAAGTCAACATCACCACTTGCTATCCCCAACCTCCATCCCCTCGCTCACGCCTCCCGTTCACCACCGAAGACCAACTCTATCTCCATCACCGTCTCCCCCTCCAAAAGCCCACCACTGCAAAAATCGCGAGGCTTCACTTTGCGCACCTCGCCTTTGTCTACCAGGACCTCGCCGACCGGTCCCTTGCGCGAGCCTCCATGATGACGCCAGGGCCGGCGAGGGAGCGCAGACAGCGCATGGGGGTCTTGGCAGCGAGACTGGCGAAGCGGTATCGTGGGTGTAAGATCGTCCTGTCGGATCAGTTCATAAAGACTGTTATTTCAAGGCATGCTGGTAGTATAGAGCGACGGAGTCACTTCTGGGAGACGGTGCTTGATGAAGTTGAGGTACAGCCCCTTTTCAACATACCTCTTAAGCTCAGAAACTAACAGTCGCAGAAAGCAAATGCTTCATGGTCACTGACCCGCCTCTGGATTCTCATTTTCTCGATCCAGTCCACTTTCGTCATATCTGTCTCATGGCCACTCCCTCAAGCAGCCCAGACAGCTCTCATGGCCGCCAACGCGGTCTCGTATACCTGGTCCGCTGCTGTCCTCTGGGAGATGGCCCACGCCCGGTACTTCGCAACTAAAGCAGATGAGCAGGAGCTTCACGATCTGATGGGAGGGCTGTAGTCCAGACTGGATTTACGACTGTCATGTTTAAGATGCAAATCATTTTTATCGTAGAATCCTATGTTAACTCAATCGCTAGAATAAATGCTACCAAGTTAAGGAAATTCATATCCTAGTAACTCAAGAAATACGCTGGAATCCCTAGTTCTCGCATCTCATGCAAACATTGGGTATCCTACTCGCCAATTATAGTCAAAAAATACATCAAACATGCTGCATCCCTTACCTCAAATCTCGATACCATTAGATCCCTGACGGGCCCGAATCATCCCCCCTGCTAACCTTGAGGCTCTCTTCCAACACCCTTCTTAGCTCTTCGTCGTCGTCGTCATCATCCTCCGCGCTTTTCCCTTTATCCTTCGTCCTCTGCCGTCGGTACTCTTCTTCTGCAAGACTCTGCTTCTTGACATATTCCATGACGATATCTTCCTCGGTTCGTTGGCTCATCTCGTGTTGCATTTCGTCTTTCGAGGCCGCAATGGCGCGCTGCAGCTCCTCCTCTTCCTCCACGTCGGGAGGTGGAGCCGTAGGAGCATTCCGTGACTCCTCAATAGCGCGCTGAAGGTCAGCATCGCCCTCATCATCATTTTCACGCTGTTGAGGTTGCGGGAGAACTGTGGTTTCTCCCGAATCAAGCTCGACAAACCCAGCCTCCTGAGGAAGGGGTGCGTCGGAGCCCAAACTTTGCTGGATCGCCTTCTCGATGAGATCCTGGTACTCCGCATCGGTGATCTGATATTGCTCGTCGTCAAAGATAGTCATATCCTTTGTAGGCAATGGGCCAGCGGTATCAGTCGACTGGACTCTGTCACGCACAGCCCTAATACTCTCCCGGATAGCTGCCTCAATCATGGCATCTTCTTCGGCATTGCCATGCGATGTCTCCCGAACTGAAGCCTGGATGGCTAACTCAAGTTCCTTGTCCTCCGACGATATCGTTTGCACATCTGAAATGCTGTCGTTATACTCTGGGAGCTTCACATCGACGTACCCCTTCTTCCATTCGTCCCTTTGAGCCTGCAACTTTTTCCGTTCCTCAAACGACATGCGTCTGGTTTGCAGCCACCCCGTCTTTGGAGCTTCGAGCCCTCCTTCTCCACTAGCAGATGTGGCCTGGTTCGCTGGAAGTTTTCCTGCCGTGTTCTCTTTCTTCTTCAACACATAGTGGTTCTTCAGGTCGTACTTGGCATTATTCCAGCGCTGGACAACATCAGCTCTCTCCTCGGGTGACGCTGCCTGCATCTCTCGCTGTCCTTGAATCGCTCGTGATGAGATAATATAGTTCTGGACACTCCTGGTGAAGAATTTGTTAATCTCGGCGTGAACTCCTTGCATAGTGTAAGCTGGGACACCCCAGATACCTTGAATCGGTCAGCTTTGTTTTCAGATAGTATTGGAGAACTTACCAGCGGCTGGCTTTGCGATCAAACCACCAATACCCTTTCCGAATCCCTTGACTAAACCGGGAGCACCTTCTTTCTCGGCTCCTTTCCAGGGTTGCGTCACAAGACCTGCAACGCCGTCAAAGAAACCATAGCCAAGCTCCTTGCCAGCAACTTTAATTCCTGTGCTGAGGTCTGTGACCTTCTCGACTGGTCGAATAGTGTCGTCGTTGTAGAGCCTCGGAATGTTTCGAAATCCCTTTGCCAATCCAAGACAGAAGTTCATCGGCGACTTGACTCCCGTAGACACAATACGGCCGACTCCCCGACCCGTCCCAACTGCCGCATCAAGCCGAGCGCGGTTCGATGTGGAGAACTCAAGGTCTGAGAATGCCTGGGAAATCTGCTCCTTTGAAGAACGAGAGGTAGGTCTCTGGGGGTTTGACGGCCCTGGTGACAATGAGTTGGAGAATGTGGATGATGCGATCGTGGATGTCGCATCACTCAAGGAGGGTTGGGATATGTTAGAATGGCTTGTAGGTATTGTTGATGATTGTACACCAACACTGGATTCGCTCGGGGGGTGGACTGAGCTAGAGTCGAGCTCCGCGATAGACGGCGTCGGTTCTGTACTCTCGCCTGATAGCGGCAAAAGTTTCTCTGTGGATTCTGCCGGCTGCGTCTGTGGTTGTGTCTGCGGTTGCGACTGAGCTGCGTTGCTTTGTTTGACCTTTTTGAAGCTCTTGAAGAGATCCCGAGGCATGTCAGCGATCGCCATTCCGATTCCGCCTAAATCTGCGACCAGGGAGCATGCGCCGGCGGAAATGGGGTCCGGAGGCTGATCTTCAGTGATGTATTCCGTTGAACGATACCTGTCACACGTTAGGATTGGCGGCTCTCAAAGGGGTTGCAAAGATCTTACAGCTTGAGGCTGGAATACTCCAAGAGACCTTCATCAACCAATGTCGCAGCTGCGAATGGGCTGAGTCGGACTTGAGTCCTTCTTACCCGCCAGGCGGCGGCCCGGCTGGGTGCCACAGAGCACCGCAACTTGTCTGTGTCGAGGTGGTTGTGAAAGTACTGGCCACCTGTATCCGTGCCCTTTTCTTCTCTGATCTTCTGGCCCAGCTGGGTGGCTTGGGTCAGAGTTTCCGGTTGAAGGCAGAATTTAATCGCTTCGGCTAGTTTCTCTGCCGTCAGATCTTTATAGGGAATAGGGTCCGGCCCAGCCTTAGCTCTTGCTATCATCGAACCCCAGAATTGCTGGTCGCCGAAGAAGGGAACAACCAAGGTGGGCTTGCCAGCCTTGATGCCGGCAGCTGTTGTTCCAGCACCACCGTGATGGACGACACAGGAGACATGCTCAAAGAGCCAGTCGTGAGGAACATTTCCCAGCATAAATACCCCATCGGGAATGCCAAGTTCGTCAGCTCCAAGACCACCCCATCCCTTGGAAACTAACGCTCGTACGCCGGAAAGTTTCACAGCCTCGAATATCATTTCAGTCATAGCGTTAGGGTCGTCGACAACGATGGAGCCAAATCCAATGTAGACTGGGGGAGGTCCGCTGCGTAAAAAGGCTTCTAGTTGAGGGTCCGGAGTGTATGCAGAGGCCAGATTGAGGAAAAAGAAGCCGGCAATGTCAATGTGCCTTCCCCAATCATTAGGCTTGGGAATCAATGCAGGGGACCTGATTCAAGTTAGAGAAGAACACATCTTGAAATTCGCATACTAACCAACAATAGGTCCAAGAGACCTTGAGTCTCGCGAGTAGTCCCGGTGCCCAGATTAGTGATAATGGGGGTAAATCTAGAGCCGAGTCTCGGAACCGATTGATGACATCGCCGAGGCCTTGCCAGGTCATCATTTCCACTAGAGTATATGTCATGTAGTTTGTCATAACATCATCGGCATTTGAAGATTGGATGTTTGCCAAGGGGTGAGGGAAGGCCCTAGTGGGTGACCATGGCATTCTAATTGCCCCAGTCAGCAGTTACCAGTGTTGAAGAGAGAATTCAACTTACGTGAACATCATGTGCAGTGGGATTCCCAATTTCTCAGCAATGTGAATGTGAGCAAAACTAGGGGGGTTCGCAATGATAGCATCAGCGACGAATGGGTCCCCCTGTAGTTCCAGCGATGCATCAAGGGGCGCACTCTTGGCGTGAGGCTTTGGTGGCGGTCCCAGGCCATTTCCTGCTTCGATGCACGATCGCCAACATCCCATGAGAATCTCTTGAATTCCTCTCCTTCGCTTGCTCACTTCACCGCTGGTAATGGCATCGAATCCAGGCATGAGACCAGGGTGTTTGACCATAAAAGCCATGAGCTCTGCGGGGTCGCCACCAATACTGAAGAATTCAAGCCCATTCTCCTCGACGAATTTCTGGAAAGTGGGATGGGTTGCAATTCGAATTCGATGGCCGTATGTATCTTTAAGGATCTTTCCCAGGGCAACAAAGGGCTGAACGTCACCTCGAGAGCCCACGATCTGGATGACGACATTGAGCTGCGGGGGAGGAACCTGGCCAGGCTGGCCACCGAGGCTCGGTGGGATGTAGGCGGGAGGAAGTACGGGGATATCGGCATCGGGTGACACTTGGCTTTGGAGGGTAGGGCCCAGCAGGTCGGCAAGTCGCCTGTTCTTGGTGTTGATGTTGATGTTGACGCGACCATCACCTACACGGCAATCGTCAGTTGTGCCCCTCACCGAAATGAGACGAGGTGGAACATGCCTGTTACTGCTGCACCAGCCTCAAATCCAGGCTGATAGAATTGGACATGGTCGCGGTGGTCTCCATAGGGTGGAGGCTCGCTCTCTGCCGCGTTGAGGTCTGGCAGCTGGAAGCCGTCGGTGAGGACGGGCTCTGAGACATGTTCGCTGGAAGACTGCTGCTGGAGAGACTGCTGCCTCGCCAGTACCTGCTTCTCATCGACAAGCGTCATGACGGAGAGGAGACTGAGATATGTAGACGCAGGCAGGTAAGCTGCATAATCGAGCTTAGAGGGGGCGCGTACAAGAAAATGATGGCGTGGAGAAAGTCGATGGGGGGGTAGCAGGATAGCGATGGTGGGGGAGGGAGCTCAGCCGTCGACGTCAGCCTAGTTTCATTAACCTGAAAAGCTCCAAGCCACGCCAATTACACCACTCCCGCGCCATATCCACGCGTCACTAAAAATAGCACTACCTCGGTAGCCAGGCAAACAGCTTTACCTCCCATCAACTGTTGGAGGTACAGAGTGAAAAGGGGTAGGAATCTCTATTCAAAAAGGGACACCAATAAATGTAAAATTCACACCAGTCCGCGGCAATACCACACAATAACGGCGCTTGTCACCATGCTACTTCTCCACTTCTACTGACAACACAAAGCAGAGCTGTGAATTAACTCAACACCAGCTTCGCAAATACTCAACTCTTGTTGTAATGGAGGAGATTTTGTCGAGCTATTATCCACGCTTTCTCGATACTTTAAAACCCTTCATTTCCAGGTTCGACTTTCTCCAAACTTCACTCTCCATCCGGCCTCAAGCTGACCCTGCGTCGAACTGTCCGCGTTTCTATTGGTTCTTCCTCATTGCAATTCACGAAGACAGAGACAAACCTAATGCTTGGACTCTCCTGCCAGCTGGCGCAGCTGGCAAGGAAGTGTTAGCCTTTGCACTAGCGCATTTAAAGTGAGACTCTCTCACGTCCCTCTTTATTCCATAGTCATATCAACTGCAACGTGCAAACACACCGTCACCTCCCTCGCTCAAGTTCCCTTTTCATCATCATTATCGGCCTTGCCCCCAAAATCACCTCACTATGGTAAAACTTCCCTCACATGCTCACCTCTATATTTACTCACATTTAACAGGCGTCTATCGAAAGTAAGGCGGAGCCAAACAGCGAAGGACTAAGCACTACTGCAAATTACCCACTATCGCAACTCGTAAGTTCTCATCATCGTTTCACCCGTTATTCTGCATCACTTTGATTAATCCAGTCCTTACAGCATCCTATTCTCATCGACAGCTCCAGTGATAGCGAGGACCACGACGGCGAAGACCACAGCCAGAACCACGGAGAAGATTGCAGCGACACCAGCCCAGGCTCCGCTCCTCCACGAAAGAGGATGAGACCCAGTCCCGGCAAAGGAGCCCCTCGAGTGACTCCATGCGCTCCCTGTATCCTGAAGATGGTGGAGCATGGGGCGCAGTCACTATGTCGTGATCAGACATGTGCGTACTCACTCCGTGCCTTGACCTATGCGTTCTGACATTTCAAGCCACCACCACAGTGATGTGCTATACATGCTGCGGGAGAAAAAGGAAGTGCGGACTCGTGTGTAACCATGTATCACTTCCCCAGTCGCATGCTAACTTTGCAGGTTCCCCTTGCCGCCGTCCCAGCAGCCCACGCCCTCCAGGCCGCAGCCAACGGGATCTTGCGAGGAGAAACTGTATGAAAGTCCCCAAAACCTCCCGAAGTACAGTGCTAATATTAGCAGGTTAATAACTGGAATACGCTGGCCTCCGATGCTAAGCAAGCTCTCCAAAAGGCTGAAAATGAACCTAGTTCGGAGCCCATCGCGACACACCCAACTGCTCGTCATCCCACTGCTCGTCACCCGACTGCTCGCCGCCCAGCTCATCGCCGTCTAGCGAATCGTCACCAAGCGATACGTCACTCAGCTCTTCGCCGCCCAATTCGTGGCCTAGAGTTTCCGGATGAATCCTATATTATGGCTATCGACCGTACTAATGAACTGATTCGAAACACGAACACCTTGTTGGCTCGTATCCTATCTAAACTTTCATCATTTCCACCGGTTCCAGAGTAATCAGATCACAGCATTGGTTATATCCTTGTACAAGGAAGACCATAGCAGCTGTTCATCACTCTTCATGTGGCAGTTGAACAAGTATTCTATGTTTCGGTCAGTCAAAACCCTCGATTAAGCTGGCCAAGGTCAGACATGTACCAGTTGGTTGGATGGTTGGTTGTGGCGTGCGAGGTGAAGATACCCATTCAGAGGCATTGTGGCCCCAATTGCTTTGCAAGAAAGGATAGTATCCTTGTCCTTAATCACAGGCACGTGCATCGCCTCATTGTTCAAGGATCAACCCAATTCTGAGAACAATCCAAAAGTACAGTTTTGATGATTTGATCCGTTTTTCATGGTATAATACAAGGCTGTCTCCTTCGAAGGACCGCGGTGCAACAAACAAACATCCGATGTGGCCAAATTAAGCCCATTGTAGATCCCGCATCATCGATTGTCCCAGATGAAAACCTACGCCACAGTGAAAAGCACACCAGTCTTCATGCTTCCTCCGTCACTCCACCATCGACCATCGCTCATTTAGCTCGAGAATTTTCGGGTGATCTTGGCAATAACTGCAGCATGGTTAGTCGAAATGGCGAATGGGGCTGCGCCACAAGGGTGGTGAAACTTACTGTGCAGAGCAACAACACTGAAGATGAACACCAGGGACAGAACAAGGACAACGACGGGGTCGACCTTCAGGCCGGGAGACTCGTCGGTGTAGAGTCCTGTATTCAGTTAGCAACACGTCCAACTGAGGTCAAAACCAGAGCGTCATGACACGCGACCAGATTAGACGGGGACAAGAGGACGTACGCAGCATGGTGCTGCTGGAGCCGCCAGCGCCAGCGGCTCGGGTGCTGCTTGGCCGGGCATTGGCAATCTTCTCCTTCTGGTCGGCGGCGGCGCGTCGTCGGATGGCAGTACGGGGACCGCCAGGTGCGGAAGGGGAGGAAGGACGGCCGATGGCGGCGCCGCTGGCAGCCGCGTTATCGGGAGAGGAGGGGCGAGGAGAAGACTAGAAGCTTCACGTTAGCTCATTCGGTTCGGTTTCGTAAAGGCGATGGCGAATGGCTCCAAGTCGCTCGAGCAAAAGCGCAGCTGTGACAGCTCCCCCGTGGTTTGCGACGCTAAGCTGTCGTGTGTCGCGACGGGCCACGTGCAATTGCTCGAAGGCGTCTTGGGATTCGAGGACGGAGCGCGCGTACCATTATGAAGAAATCGGTGGTTTGTTGTAAATGAGGGTGACGAAGAACCGCTGCAGGATTCCAAGGTCGAATGGGCGCGAAAAGAAGGAGAGGATACGATGGTGGATGGAATTGAAGATGGTAGCTGGGCTGGCGAAATTATGGCCCCGAATGGGAGGGAGTTGAGGCCACCTTCACCAGAAAGGAGACCTCCGGCCAAACATTTCTCCGCCCTCTAAGCTTTGACTTGCAGCACCTCCGCATTGCCCCTTTCGACTGACAGTCAGTCCACCTGTAACCGGGAAGCACAGTACACAGAAAATAGAGTAATTAATTAGGTTGACTTTAATAGTCACTATGTCACCTGCACTAATATAACAATTGGTTTTTAGGAGGGGGTTTTACAATTTGAGGAGACTATGTATAGCAGAGACGGCGGGAGCCTCCACATCTGCTGATCTTTTTGATGCATCAACACAACGCTCTCTTGCTCGCTCCAGAGTCCGCTCGCAGACCCATCATGTATGAGGGTGTATAATTCAAAAAGAACAAGAAATGAAGCAGAATCAAGAAGCAAACCATGAGACAAATGGAATCGCAATATCCCGTCCTCAGAGACGGGCCATCCACACGGGACGCCTATACGGGACACCCACTTCTCGCGCCAACACGCCGCCGTATCGAGAGCGGCCCAGAGGATTTTCTCCCAAGATGGATTCGCCTGTCTCTCGCCTGCCAGAGGGCGCGCACCACTTTCCGTACCCCCAACAATATATCCATCCCATGGGGAAGACGAGCCCGTGTTTCCTCCAGTAGCTGTCCCGTGCTTTTTTGTTTCCATCTTTTTGCTCCGAATCCGTGGGATGTGATGGCAATGCCTGCTCCGAAGGTCTCTGAAAGGTCGAGGATCCTTTGAAATCTCATGCTGAGTGCGAGTTTGAACCGCTTGTAAAGGACCGGTTCCTCCAACCAAGGCCCAATTATGTAAGATTAGGACAGTAGTACATCTACACCAGGAAACGAAAGCTCTCAACCAAACGCCTTCCGCTATGATGGCAATTCTGCAGATCGAGGTGTGTTGTGAATCGTGAGAAAGGGGGGTGACAAAGAGAAGATGATGTAGTAGTAGTAAAGGGAAGAACAATGGTATCTCAAAGAGTGACATCGAGGACAAGGCTGACGTCGGCCACATTGGGGCCAGCCAGGTCTTCAAGAACAGGTATCAAATCTAGTAGCTCGTTGTCATGAGCATCAGAGAACCAACTGCTGATAGGAACGGCGTGTTGAGGGTGGAAGATGTATGAGGTGGGCGAGTTGTCGATAATAATAGTGTCCTTCAGGTCTCGTCCGACTTGGGAGAGATCCTTGACGTAATTTCCCTGGTGGTTGTAACAGCTCTCTCGGAATAATCGATGATGGACGACTTTGTGGATATCAAGCTGATCCAATAGAGGGTCGCCATACTGTAATCCAGTTAGTCGATGTCTGATATGACGAGCGCATTCGGAAGACTCACCTTAGAGACAGACGCTGTAAAGACAACCACTTCGTACAGCTCTCCAACCCTCTTCATGAACTCATCCACACCCGGTCGCTTGATGACGTAGACGTTGTGGTAGTTACCCTCGATCTCAACGGGGATGGTGAAATCCGCCTGGTGGAGGATCTAGTTGTTTAATTAGCGCAAGTCGCACGTCATGCTAAGTGAGGGACATACCTTGAAAGAACTGTGAACCAGCGTCTCGTCCAAATCCAAGACTAGGCACTTTCGACCTGAGTGCTCCGGCGCAATCGGGGGCAACAGCCACTTCAAGGGTGGGGGAGCCGAAGGGCCGGCCTCGGCGAAGGAAACAGGCAATACTGCAGCGGGCCCAGGGCCAGGAGGCGGAGGGGGAATCGCCTGGGTCGGTTCCTCGGCGGTGACGCCTACGGCCGCCTCTTCCGCGTCAACTGCAGGAACATCTCGCATATCAACGTCGCTGGTTTCGGCGGGCGCTTCCTTCTTTCCTTCGTCCTCTTCCTCCGTCGCGGGAGACGACTTTGGGGGCTCTACCGTAACTGCGGGAGGGAGGGACTGCTTTGACTCCCTATTCTCTCGCTCCGTGACGGTAATTTCGTTGTCGGTGGTGCCAGAGACGGGGGCCTCCTTGGACTCTTGGGTCGCCGGGGGCTGCTGAGGGTCCTTTTCCGTCACTGGCTTGGGCTGCTCCTGAGGAGTTTGAGTCCGCGACTTGGCGGTCGCTGGTCGCTGAGGTAGTTTATCGAGCTTGTGCACGTTTTCGTCGTTTCCGTCAACGGGGTTGGGGCTTTCGGGTGTGACGCAGCATCCAAGGAATGCGAGCAGGCCACCACTCTTCTTCTTTTTCTTCTGTGGAGGGGTAACGGGGGATGTTGGCTGAGAGTTGACGGGGGTGTTTGTGGGTTCTGTGTCTCCGCCTGTCCTGTTGCTGGAGGTGCTGCCGTTCCGTCGTCGTCCCCGGAAGCTGCCTTTGGAGTCTTTCGATCGACTGCCGATGCTGTTCCGCGAGTCGCTGACGGTCGCCCCACTCAACCCCGTCGACGTCGGTGACGATTGGTTCCTTTGCGATGACGATCTCGAGGGAACTGAAAGGAGGCCGTGACCCTTCTTGACGTTTGTTCCATCCTCGGGCGACAAAAGATCCTTCTCCTTGGCCATCTCAGTATCGGCCGGAGGGTTTTGGGGTTGGATTTCGTCCGTCGGGTTGACAGACTGGGGCTTGTCGGACATGATTGCTATTGCTCTAGAACCTGGTCAGCAGCTGTCGGTGTAGGAGATTGATCCCTGGTGCGATCGCCAAGGGTGCGAAACTGGGCGTTAAATGCCGTCCGAAGCGCGTTTTCAAAGAAAGCCACCACTTTCAGCCGGGGGGAGGAAGAACAGTGCAATACACAATTCTGAAGAGAATTAAATGCAGAATAGAGCATGCGTCGGCCATTCCCGCGTCCCCGGAAGAAAGATGATGATCACCAGAAACCACACCAGGAGCACATGCGTCGCGCGACAATGATGGTCACTCACGTCGGTAACCAAGCCCTCAAAAACTGGCCCAAGTGCTCAGTCCTCTAGCAATTTTGATATCGGCCTTCGGAGGCCCGCGGCGCGGTCGGTAACGAAGCAGTCGGACAAAAAGGGAGAAGCTGGTGACAAAGGTTGGATGGAGTCGAAGGGATTCGTCGTCTAGAATTGCAGCGCTGATCTGTCGATGCAGAGGTGGCTGGGGCGAAGCGCAGAGATGCGAGAGTGAGACAGAGAGAGAGAGAACGGACGGCTCGAGCACAAAGGGCGCTGGAGAACGAACGAGACACTCGTCGAAGAACTCGTCGAGGGACTGCCGCAAACGGGAGTTTGGAACGGGGATCGCGTCGGTCGGAAATGGAGCTCGGTGAGGAGGAGGAGGGACGGGAGACGGGAGACGGAGACAAGAGACAGAGCGGATCGGAGGCTCAGAGTAGCTGGCGGCGCAAGCGAAATGATTGCCTTTAAACGTGGATTAGGCCTTTTGGCTGGCGCTGGGACTGGGATGACCCGGTGCGAGCAGGGGACGCTGAAAGGCTGGACAGTGGCTGCTGGACGCTGGACGCTGGGCGCTGGGCTTGAGAGGACTGGGCTCGACGGGGCTCGACTGGGGTGGATGGGGAGGAAAGGTGTGAGTGGAGTTTGTCTTGAGATTAGCCCGCCGGGAACGTTCAAGTCCAATAGGTGGCTATCGCGTACAGTGTGCGATTTGGAGTCTTCGCACATGACGCTTCCCCTGCTGTGATGAGACTCCTCACAGTGGAGCCCCCTCTTATTCACTACGCGCCACGATAGCGCAGTAAGCATCCTCATGTCTGTCATCTCCGCTAATGATGGTGCCCGCCAAGCTCATCTTAACACCCTCCCATGGCTGCTCACGGCGGGCCACGACGGCCCCATGGCCGGTGCGACGCCTTTGCCCCTAGTCGGCGGGCCTGTGGAAGGGGGAGAGTGAAAGCTCAGGCCTCGCAGTACCTGTGCTCTGCAGCAACGAGTCGCGCTCAATGGCTAGAGCCCGGGCTAGGTCGTCGCAGTGTCCGTTTGTCCTCGGCCCTCGCTGGTTTCTGGCGAGCGAGTCCCAATCTGGCACCCACTAAATGAGATTGTCGACCTTGGGTATGGATTCTGTGGTGATGCTGGCGGAGACGGCTTTCGCTAGTGGGACGCGGGACCGATGGGAGAAAGGAGGCAACGACTCGGGCGCCAGCTCGACAATACCTTGTGGCCACTCGTTGCCACATTCTTGAATTCTTGCTTCTCTTCCAGGCAGCGTCGCAGCCACTACAACAGTTCTGGTGGTCAGGTACATACTTGGGTTCAGTTCACCTGCCCACCATCAAACTCTCTTTCCCACCTGTCAAGTCTGCAGCACAGTGGCGAGGTCATAGACGGGCGCGCGAGATCTACACGGCTGGCCGGAGACGAGAAACCTAGAGGCACTCGGGACCTGGGGGACCTGGGGCTGTTGGCAATGCATTGCATGACGGCGACCGAATTCCCCATAGCGAGACCCCCGAAAAGAGGCCCCCTCGGTGCCCTACCATGCCAACCCGAGACGAGATGCCTCTGTGGAGGCTTCTTGATTGGCCGTGTTGGCGCCCGGAACCGTGATTCCCCCCATCGGTGCGTGGCCCGCTCAACGGACCAGTCGAGGGACCTACATACCCGCTGTGACCGGGCTGGAGACCACCCTCACACCCTCTCACACCCGCTTCTTCCATCGCCGGCCTTAGCTGCTCGGTATTGGCTGTGAGCCATCGAGAGACCGCCGGTCCCTGGTCTGCAGCAAGGACCCGGTTTGCCTGGGCCCTGGGCGTGGACCAACGGGCGAGATTCAACAGCGATCTAAGGAGCTGCGTGCCTGCGATCGGCAGTGGCTTACAATGTCCAAGTCGGGTGGGTTGGTGATGGGTCCCGGCGACCTGGACTCTTTGTGCACAATGACATCCACGAAGCCACCGGTCAAGTTGGCACAGAGCTAGTTTCCGTCGCTGTAGAGCTGACCTGTACGTGTGAACTGGCACGGACCAGGGCCGGTCAAGACATCGGGACTCTGGACCCCCATGCCTGCGCGCTTTGGGATACGACGCCCGTGATTGATTGATGTCCAGACCGCCCGCGACGAACAGCCCATCCATCCGTCTTAAGTGGCATCGATTTTAGTGGATAATGCGCTGTGGTGGTGGGTGCGGTATGTCTGTGTCTGACATCAAAGGCAGAGCCTCACTTCACCATCCGCCGATTCCGGTAGCTGTCTAGAATGTGAGGAATGATTCTGCAAGTCGTCGGATCATGTGGATCTGCGTGTCACTTGTTCAATTGACGGGGCCTAGACCCGGCGATTCCCGCCGTCCCAAAATAATGGGAAAGTTTACTCGTACAATACAATGAGTATTGAATTGTTGGATGAGTTCGGGCATACGGGCTGGTGCGAACAATGACTTGCAGGAACCATTGTACGAATTAAAGCAAGTTCAATAAAGAGTACACTAGTTGCCTCCTCGGAGTAATATACAAACTCAAAGACCCAGTCTATAATTGACCTTGCTTTCTTTCTCATACTTGCTCCAGGGTAGGCTGGGTACAACTGAACCATGTTGCAGCCCACCAACTCGGTTCCTGAGGCAAACTTCCACCTTCGGTTAGTGGAGGGATTTGCCAATGTCAGCCAACCAGCATCATCGATTGCGCGTAGATTGCTCAGTCCTTGTCCAGCACCACTCACCCCCTAAGCTCCCCCCTCATCAATCAGCTCCCCCATGTTTTCCCCAGGCTTTTGTGCTGCTTCTCGGTGGAGCACATCATGTGACTGGCACCTCGTGGAGCACCTCGTGGCGTCATTCCCGAGCTGGCCGCCGCCCTTCGCCGCTTTCGTCAGACGCGGTCGCAGTTGCAGTCGTAGCCGTGGCCTGCGGCAGTCGCATGTGCGCGTGCCTCGGAAGCCGCCTTCACATGCCATGATGCCTTCCTCCCAACCACACCTACGGAGCTCCGTTGAGGCCACCACATCCACGCCCGCGTCCACGATTTACAATCCGCATTCGTCGACTCGCCCATTCATACCTGCATCTGCATCCACGGCAATCTGAACCTCTTCTGCTTAAATCTGTGATTCCATTCCCGCTCGCGCCAAAGACAAACCGACGCCCCATGGGGAAGTGGCCTTTTTGAGGCTCGCTGAGAGTTGGTCCTCGTATGGGGAAGCTCCATAACGAGCGCCTCTATCAAGACTCTAACGGCGTCCCCGGAGACTCGGATCCTGCCTATGGCTGCGCAATCGACCTTGCGGCATACCGCCGCCGAGGAGTTGCTGGCAGCCTTCATCGAGAAATGGTCCGGCCGCATCAAGTCCAAGCTACGGGGAACATCTCGCACATCGCGCATCCTCGCGACGCTGGCACTGGCTGTGTCCATTATCCTCGGCGCAGAAGGCGGGCGACGATGGTGGAAGAACCGGCGAGAGGAGCGGGAGCAGGGCAGCAAGCTCCTTCGCACCAACTCGTATCTGCACAACAAAGACGGCTCGCGTACCATCTATGTCCCATACAAGGACAGCACGTCCAAGGTCGTTATCCGGCCGACCAAGCCTCTTACCTTTGATGCGCATCGTCGTCTCTTCCTCAATCCCCCACGCGTCTCTGGGCTTCGCGATGGCACGGTCCCCTCTGCGCAAACGAAGCCGGGACTGAATCTTGCGTTCCTACACCAGTTCTTGAGCCTAATGAGCATCATGATCCCCAGGTGGTCGAGCAAAGAGGCTGGGCTACTTGTAAGTCATGGCCTCTTTTTGATGCTGCGGACGTATCTCTCCCTCGTGGTTGCTCGCCTGGACGGTGCTATTGTCCGAGATCTGGTGGCTGGCAACGGAAAACACTTCCTACTAGGGCTTGTAAAGGTAAGATTCATTTCACCAGAAAACTTGACGGATGATTTACTCACAGCATTTAGTGGTGCGGTCTTGGTGGGTTCGCCTCGTATACCAATGCCATGATCAAGTATCTCGAGTCCAAGGTCTCTATTGCCTTCCGAACCCGACTCACACGGTACATTCACGACTTGTATCTCAACGACAACCTCAACTACTACAAACTCTCCAATTTGGATGGAGGTGTTGGTCAAGGCGCAGATCAATTTATTACCCAGGATTTGACCTTGTTTTGCTCATCAGCAGCAAACATTTACTCATCACTCGGCAAGCCATTTGTAGACCTATGCGTCTTCAACTACCAGCTATATCGATCACTCGGCCCCTTGGCAATTACCGGTCTTATGAGCAACTACTTTTTGACAGCCAGTATCCTGCGGCGACTCTCTCCGCCGTTTGGAAAACTGAAAGCTGTAGAAGGCCGGAAAGAGGGCGACTTCCGGAGTTTGCATGCTCGACTAATAGCCAATGCCGAGGAAGTTGCATTCTATGGCGGAGCGGATATGGAGAAGACGTTCTTAAACCGGGAATTCAAGTCGTTGAAGACATGGATGGAGGGTATCTACATGCTCAAGATCCGCTACAACATCCTTGAGGACTTTATTCTCAAGTACAGCTGGAGCGCCTACGGATATCTGTTGTCGTCGCTGCCCGTCTTCCTCCCAGCATGGGGTGGCATGGGAGGTGCCGCAGAGATGGCAGAGAATGGCCTTCGGGGAGGACGAGAGCGAAACCGCATGAAGGATTTCATCACTAACAAGCGGCTTATGCTCTCGCTCGCCGACGCTGGCGGCCGAATGATGTACTCGATCAAGGACTTGGCCGAGCTAGCGGGTTACACTAGCCGGGTATACACACTCATCTCGACGCTTCACCGGGTGCACGCCGATGCGTACCATTTGAGAACTGGTCAGAACGAGTTGTACTCGCTTTCGGATGTCCAAGGTACTATTCAGAAAGGATTTGATGGAGTGCGGTTCGAGCATGTGCCGGTTGTGGCACCTAGTCTCTGGCCACAGGGTGGCGAAGAGCTGCTCGAATCATTGTCCATCGTTGTCAGGAGCGGCGAACACTTGCTGGTAAGTCAAAGTTGAAAATGATGCGTTTCTAGGCTGACCGCTGCTAGATATCTGGGCCCAACGGTGTGGGGAAGACGGCCATATCCAGGATCCTTGCTGGGCTGTGGCCTGTGTACCGAGGGTTGGTGAGTCGACCAAAGGACATTGGCCAAGATGGCATCATGTGCCTACCCCAGCGGCCGTATCTGAGCCCTGGCACATTGCGTGATCAAGTCATTTACCCCGATGGCCACGTGGATATGAGGGACAAGCGTAAGTCTGAAGATGACCTGAAGAGGATTCTGGACGAGGCGCGACTTGGCTATCTGCCTGATCGTGAGGGCGGATGGGATACGCGAAAAGAGTGGAAGGACGTCCTGAGCGGTGGTGAGAAGCAGAGGATGGGCTTTGCGCGCCTGTTGTACCATGAGCCGCAATACGCCATCATCGACGAGGGCACGAGTGCGGTTTCTAGTGATGTGGAAGGACTTCTCTACGAGACATGCAAAGAGAAGGGTATCAGTAAGTTCTACTCAACACCTCACTCATCGAATCCGGATATAAAAACAGGAAACTAACGCCATCAAGCTCTCATAACGATCTCGACACGTGCCTCACTCAAGAAGTACCACACATTCAATCTCATCTTGGGCATGGGAGAGCGTGGGGACGAATGGGAGTTTGAGCGAATCGGGACCGAGCGGGAGAAGATGCAGGTGGAGAAGGAACTGCACGACCTCCGGGAGCGGCTGGCGCAGGTGGACGATTGGAAGAAGCGGCGAGACGAGATCGAGGCGGAGCTAGCGGCGGTGTGGACGGACAAGGGCGAGGAACTCGAGGCACCGGAGTCTATGGGCGAATCAGCAGAGGTGGTGGAGGTGACGGAGGGAGAGGAGGCTGACACTAGAGTGGAGGTGGACACTGGAGTGATGGGCCAACAATAGAAAGGGGCCCGGGCGAGGTCCTACGTGTATGAACATGGAGATGAGGAATATGACAAACTTCAGCCATGTCACGGCTCGATGCAACGTGGGCGTGGTTTTTGGGCAAGGTTCAGAGACAGAGGCTGCGTGCATAAAAAGAAGCGGCTGGCGAGAGGTTTGGGGTCCAGACCAGTAGGGTGGAGGACTTGAGGCTGAAAACGAGGGTTGGCCCGCCCGACGAGACCGAGAACGAGGACGTTTCCTAGGGTTAGGGTTACGATTTATGCAGGGCGGATAAGTAGGTAGGTACCTAAGTTGCCGTGCCTTGTGACGGGACTTGCCGGCCGATCTTGATGATAATAACCCGTGATCATTATCCCGTCATGGCATGGAGCTATAGGGCTGGCTAACGGCATTGAACCGTCGCGCCTTCAACTCTGCTATCAATCAATTCCATCGCCCGTTCTGTCGACAATTGTGTCGACAATTGTGTCCGCACAGACTGCGCCCATTCAGCCTCCAGCCTCGTCTTCATTTGCTTTGCTTCTTTTGGCAAACCCCTCGCCGTCTCTACTGCCAGCTCCCAGGCCCGGTTTTTGCACAAGAGACATACATGCTACCTTATGTACCTATGCACCTCCCTCGCAGTAGGTGGACCAGGCGACCAATCAGTCTGGGGGAGCGACCGCCATGGCATGGGACTATTAGCGGCACGCTGCAACGCTAGGCGTCCGTTTCCCCTCTCTCAAATCAGATCCGCGGGCGCCCATCCAGCGCGCCGTTCTGGGCGGCCTTCAGGGGCGACGAGGCGCATTGGGCGAGCTGGGCGAGCTGGGCGAGCTGGGATGCAGCTTCCAGATCGAGCTCGGGGAAGCAAGGGGCCCGGGTGGGACGGACGACTATTGCCAATTGGCGCTGGGATTGCTGGCTGAGCTGCGAGTTGCTGCGCAGTGGTTGGCCGCCTTGGATGCCATCATTCTTGCAACCCAGGTAGTGATCAATAGTCTGCACATTGGCAGCAGGGGGGGCTCGTTCTGGTCCGCGCCACGGAGGCTGAGCCTATTTCTTTTCCCGGGAAGCCTCTACTCCGCAGTTGCTCGTTCCAGCGATGGGCTGGCCGTCTGCCCTGTGTATCCATCCTATGGAGAGGAGCCGTAGGACGAGAATCCGGGGGGGCGGCCTAACGCAGCAGGCATTGCAATAGCCTGCTTTTATTGCGTGGGCCGCAGAGCTTCCAGGCGTCACTGGGCGTCGCTTGGGCTGGGCGCGGGCGAGGGCGAGAGAGACGGCTGCAGGAGCTGGAGCTGGAAAACGGGTGTGGCTCTGCGTCTTGATTCTTGATTGGGAGTCTCGACGAGCAACGACGATCCCTCCCAATGGCCGCCCACCGTGGCGTCCAGCTAGCTGCCGGTTCCTCTTTTTGACTCTCGCTTTCTCACTCTTCTTCTGTCGGCTGGCGGTTTGTCTTCTGACACCTGCCTTGCCCGCGGTGGTCGTCGTGGTGCTGTAAAACCCGCTGGCCGCCTCGCTCCCGTTCCGACTCCCCGGTTTCCTTTTTCTCACGCCGTCATCTCTCTGTCTCTCCGCTATGAGCTGATCTGTGTTGAATTGCGCTCCTCGATTGGCAATTGCGTCTTTGCCTGTCTTGGTTGGCTCACTGTCATCTCCCGTCTCGTCTCTCATCTCACATCTCAGTCATCCTCTCGCCGGTCCATGTTCTCAGGCCCGTTTGCTCTTCAACGAACTAGAGCCCAACTGTGAACAAAGAAACCACTCTCGCATCTCTTGCATCTCTTGCATCTCTCGCATGAAAAACACGCCCATGTTTTCGTTCTCCTAGTCCCGACTAGAGAATAATCAACTGCCTCTCTCCACCATCTGCGACGATCGTCCCCCGACGCTGGACCAGCTCTCACCACGCATCGACTGTTCTACCGGATTAAACCAGGCAACTCAATTCGGCAATCCAGTCCAGGCCCAACGATTCCAAAAGGACCCTGAGCCATGTTGCGAGGCCACGGCCAAGGCCGGGGGCCGGGCTCTGTGAGCTCTCGCAGCTCTCTCAACGGCGTCGGCTTCCTGCCCGTCATCGCAGAGAACGAAGTCGTCCATCCACAACCATCACAACCAAAGCCCGTTGTCGCTCACCTATCCCCCTTACCTCTTCCCCTCCGCGTGCCCCAAAAATCTCCTCGTCGCCCATCACCTGGTCGCTCGTCACCCGGGACGCCGCAGGGCCACCCTCCGCCCTATGTCCCGCCATATATCTTGGGCGCCGTCCCGACGCTGAATCACCCTCCGCCCAGCTACAAGGAGGCCGACGGGGAGTCACAGGAACGGGAGGCCCGGATGCAGCGGGGTGAGTATGGCGGACGCAGGACGCATGTGGACCGGTGGTGTTATATCTTGGGAGTCGCAGTGGCTGTGTTGGTCATTATTGCTGTCGGACTCGCGGTTGGCTTGACAGTTGGCTTGCAAGACAAGTAAGGACAGATCCAAACGACAGCGCCGAGGGACGGTAACTAACAGAACTGCAAAGAGGACGAGAAAAACACAGCGGAGGATCTGATTTTCTAGACCAAAGCTTCCCAGCTGGGTCTTTCTCCTTCGAAGTCAATCTTCAAGAGACATCAACCAAATGCACCTCCAACCCGTCTACCTGGCGGTGCTACCCATACACCGATGGCGACTCGGCCGCCTTCTTCTGGGTCATCACCGCTGAATCCTCCTCCGCATACACCATCTCCTCTACGGAGAACCCCTTTGCTCCATCCTTCGTCAACCGCTCGCTTGCCATCATCGACGCCGGCCAGTCCACCGAGCGTCTGCGCTTCTCATTTTCCATGGCCAAGTCGGTCGTCCCCTCGGACAAGCTGACCTCGGACAACCGTGCCGCAACGTGCATCTTCGACGACACCCGATTCGAGGCCACGCTATGGACACGACAACGCGGGAACCGCACCATCGACCCGCAACCCGGTGACGTCAAGTTTGGCGCCTGGCCTGGCGACGCCGAGATTGTACAGAGCAAGCCCGGTACGACGGGCCCGCCCAAGTGCGAGGACACCAACGGCAACAGCATTGGCAACGTCGAAGCCAGGTCCGGAACTTGCAATTGCCGGTACTCAAACCTCGATGATTGAGACTAATTAGCAAGCCCCCCCCCTGACTCTCAGGTGTGGAGTCCAATGCTTGACTTACTTTCTTTTTTTCTCCCTCACGCTGAAAGGCGTATTTAGCTACGTTAGTTCGGGGAACCCTGGATATGCATATTTCTTTTTCTATTCATGGATAGTAACGGCAACGGAGGATACTAATGATACCCAAAAGATGTATGGTGCTTGGTGAACTGATTTAAATAAGGGATTGGAATATGGAAAATTTCATATAATGTATAAATATGTAGGGCAAAATCGTATGAACTCATCATCTGATGAGAAACTAAAAATGAATCTAACTAAGTGACTGTGACTTAAACTCCGTGGGACGACTTGAGTATCACTTGATACCCCTAGTGCAAACTCCCACAAGAAATTAACTTGACTTGCCTTTATGCTCCCAGGCTGGTCTGGAAACCTGATCAGTCAAATCACAGCCAATTCTCTGTCCCAATTGCTTTGTCCGAATCGCTAGATTCTGGATCGCCACAGGCATATGCACCCACGAGCTCGGCGTTTTCTTATGCTGCTTTTTAACCTTGCTCGCACCCTTGAAACGACCTCTCTCGATAGGCTTGGTCGACTTGGGTGATGGCACAGAAGTATTGGCTTTGATTTCGATACTGTTGGCTGGGCGCTTATCAGTCTTTGGCTTGATTTTGATCTTCTTTGACGGCCGTATGCTCATATCTCCAGAAGACATACTATCGGACCCATCAGGGACTGAAAATATAGCAAACATGTAGCCTCCCTCGGCCCCAGAGTCCTGGGAATCGCCATGTTGCCTCTTTCTACCTTGAGAAGGAGGAGGGAGACTAGTTCCTCTCGGCGCGTCGCCTAGTAGCGGATCCTGCCGAAGAGGCAGCTCGTGGGATGCCGCGTCCTGGCGATATTCTCCAACCATACCCGGGTTAATGGGCCGCCGCAGCTCTACCTGCGGCTGGGCCATAGGGGGTTGGTTCTCGTTGAGCGGAGGAGGTACTCCCGCGGTCGATACTAGAACTTCGTCGTGGAAGGCCTGTGTGAGTTCCTGCTCGGCATTCGGATGCGCCATTTCTGGGATGAGCACAGCGGGTTGAGGAGCGAAGAAGTCAGTCCAGAACCTTTTGACATCCTCCTCCGATTGCTCAAAGCCCTGACGCTTGCGCTTCTCAATGTTCCGCATGAGGCCGATAATGGAAGGCCGATCAAGCGGCCGCTCGAACAAGCACTGGCAGATGATATCTCGCAGCTCTTGGTCGACGTGGCGATACTTATCCATGTTCAATCGCCAGCCATATGTGCGCCCCTTTGTTCTCCGGTCAATCGAGACGTAATTCTTGGCTGAAAACGGATGTGCTAGGAACATGAGGGTCACTACTGCTTCCATCTAGCAAGCTATCAGTGAGATGTCATTTAGATAGGTCAATACCATTAACTAACCGTTTTGGCGAGGATGAAGATGTTTGTCCAGACTCCGAATCGCCCCGCAATAGGGTTACCTCGGGTGAGGTTGTCGCCCTGAAACCTGCCGATGCCGATATGGTGTGGGACGTTCAAGGAGAGCTGGTCCCATTCTTGGTGGACTTGTTCCTGTTTGCTGTTAGAAACCAATCACTCCGTTTTTATATGTATGGCGTACCGGTGTCAATCTCGTCATCTTGCATGGATTCCTGAGTCGCCAATAAAACTCCTCGTCGGCCCTAGTCCAAGCTTCAGACATTTTATGGCTGAATCCTCCGAAATCATGGATCTGGGTTTCAGTCAGCTATGAGAACCTTGATTTATTGCTGGGGAATGGGAAAGTTACTTTAAAGACAGGCTGATTAGGATGGTCAGAGGCATCGCCCGCAAGAACTGTATATTGTCAGCCAGAAACGAAAAACCCTCAAGGGCACCACCTACTGTTGGACTCTTCGAGATCTAAATGAATGTCATGTGCAATTTTCTCCTTCTCAAGCTTTCTGAAGAAGACTTCGAGTTTGCCTTCCGACTTGGCTTGCTCCATCTCTTGTTCAAAAACCCGGTTCTGTTCCTTGAAAGTGGGTTGATACGCAACAGCAGCCGCGCCTTTGACCACTAGTTTTATATGTTAGTGTTGCAAGATTTAGGAGGCGGGGGAGGGTGTAAACGTACGGCATTCCCAGATACCCCACAATACTCTGTCTGGGAAACACTCGATGTGGCTGGAGGCTTTACGCAGAATTCCAAAAAGGTCACCGTAAGACATGTATTCCAGAACCATACCCGCCAACATATCGGGGCGGAACACCTCGCCCTGGTCATATTGCAAAGGCTGGCCGGGATTTTTCAGCTTGAATTCGTCCTGCACAGCCTTGGAGGTCTCAGCTAGATCGACAAGCTGAACAGTGTGGCGGCTGCCGCCATATCGCTGATGCCAGACTATTTCCTGGCTGTCCCACGACCCCATACTCATAGGGACCTTGAGGACGACCTTTTTGCTGGCTCCGCCTTCAAGATGGATATTCCAGAGAGTCCCAGCTCCAAAGCCGCCAGTGCCTAGGATTTTGAGGAATTCGAATTTGAAACCCTGCCACTTGTAGTCTCCAAACATGTTTGCCAGTCGATCTTCATCCATTCTATCATCTTTCTTGGGACGTTTCACAAGCCTGAACGCGACGTCATCCTGGACTGATTGGTGCATGTGGCCCATGTGGTTGCGCCGTAGTCTATTGCGAATATCATGACTGATGCCGGAGGTATTGTGGAGGGTGACCTCACGATCGCCGCGGAGGAGGGCGCTCTGGACGGTAAGTAGATTGCGCAGGCCATCGAGACCTGAAATGGGTGTGGAGCGTTGGTTGACGGTCAAGTCCAACGGCTCGTTTGGGAGGAGCTTAGGCATGGTGAAAGGATGTAAGCGACTGTTGATGGTTCATTACCGAATGTGCAAGGTTCAAGGGTATTTCGAGATAATAAGCTTGTCCGGGCAAACAAAGGGCGCGGTCATCGCGATCATGGTCGCCGGAGGACACCATCTTCTGATCGCTTGTTCGTGTGAGATGAAAAATGTCTTTTGTTCTCGAAGGCGGCCGTTTTGGGTGTATCAAGGGAGTATCGGCACTTGGCATTGCGCAGTCTTTGAGTCGAGATCTGTTCATGTCACAGTTGGGAAAAGGGGAGGGGGGCGTGATGATGAGTGTTCAGGTAGTTCTTTGTTGTAGTACATGCTGGGGAATTGCATTGATGAATCCTAATTTTGGCTTCGGAGTTGCGATCGAGCACGAGCAGCAGAGAAGCCTGTGCAATTGAAGAGGGGGATTCTTTGAGATTGCCCGAAAGTGTAGTTTGACAAGGGAATTGAAATCTATCGTTAATCCAGCCCAACGTCACGGACGACACCATCACCATCGAACTCGCCTTTCATCCCAGCTTTCATAGAGGAAGCCTCGTTTGCCGCTCCCGCCGAGTAAGGCCTTAGTTAGCAAGCGGGGATATGGCAGCAGCAATGGCAGTAGCATTGGGATTTGCTGCAAACTTGATCATCATGAGGCGGAGACGCTTGTCATGGTGTTGATTCGAGCGTGTGTACTTCGCCCTCAAAAGAGAGGGTCCAGGCATCGACTCCACTCCCTCGTTCACTGGTGGATATAAGTGATCGAAGAGCCAGCAAATTTAGCCGCATGTGGGACGAAATCCGCCGACACTCCCCGACGTGGGGGACTTCAGGCTAAATGCGAATGATTAGGGCCGACATGTGCCTCGCTCTCCACCGGAAAGATTGCGATTCTTCAAGGCGCCGCAAGTCGCAGTTTCAACCGCGCAACGGATGGCGCACTCGGGAATCCAGGAGGAGACGAAGAACATATGCGGCACAGGGTCTTGACGTCGGGGAAACCTGGCACCGGCCGCTGTTTAACAACGGGCGCAGCAACCCCCGTCACAAGTCTACGGGCTGTCGTTCCATATCCACCGGGGTAAGGGTCGGTTCTCTCAATACACGGCCTGCCGCGTCAATCACAGCCACGGACGCCTGCTTCCAGCCCACTTGGCTTAGAGGCTGCGAGCGAGGTGCAATAAACGCACAAATAGGCGTCCACGGAGTCTCGTCGCAGAAGCCCAAAGGGATACGCCGTGGAAGCCTCAACTGACCCCCCCCTCCCGGCCGTCATGCCAATCAAAGGGGACCTGCATGAAATCAAACGGCTCAAGCTGGTCGTGAGGCGGCCCGTCGGAGCCATGTCTGGCCCAGGGTCCCGTCAGGGCTTCCCCATCATGACCTCAGGACCACGGTGTACAGTGTCGCTTTTGGTGTAGATGCGTTGCTGCTTTTGCTGCTTCTGCTTCTGCTTCTTTTACTCGCTTCTTATCCCGGCCGTTGCGGGGTGCTGATGCGAATGGCTTCACCTTCTGCACCTCACCTTGCTACCCTGGACTGTGATCGAATGTTGCAGACGTGGGGTTCTCGGCGCCGCATCTTTTCATGGGATTCCGGAATCCCATGGTCCAGGATTCGAACAGATGGAGGCATTTACAAAGTCGGTCAGCATTAACCCGGGCGTGTTATTCGTAGTCTGCTGCCCGGGGTCTTAAACGACGTTGACATGCGGCTTTCCACCACGCTACTTTACTTCACCCGTGGGTTATAACCACAGACCGGTAGCTGATTTGCCGGTTAAGTGCCAAACTCATGTAACCAAAGCCGTCAACACAGCCTCGGTATCGCACATTAACTACCGCGATAAGTGACAAGGAACATAGAGCCGCTGCCAGGTCTTCTTTCGTCGTCGAGTCGCCAACCGTCCGCCGCACCTCGCGCTCTCCCGCAGGATTGGAACATACCCGCCGGCCCCACAGCGTCCCCACCGGCCGCTCCGGATGAATTGCAGACAGCCCCACAAAAGCGGCACTGCGCTCTGGGATCAAATGCGACGTCGAATCGGTGGAACCACGCGGTGGACAGCCTTTCCCCGAGTACTGGTTTGTTTAGTAGGTAGGTAGGTGATTTACAAACACCCCCAGGCCCCTACTGCGCAGTAACTAGGAGACTCTCCAGCATGTATCCCGCCCGCTGCGCTGCGCTACGTTGCCATGACATTGCCGGCCCGCCTTTTCTCTCTCCCCGGAGCGCTGATGGCCGAAGGAGGCATGATACGTGTGCTGGCCTCGCCGGACGGGCTGTCGGCCCATGTGGGTAGGCGTCTGGCTATCAATGCGACTGCCAATGCTAATGCCATGCCATGACGGCCATGCGATGCCGGGGGACGACTGGGCCGATTGAAAGCTGGTCGACGCCATAAATACTCCATGATGCCTCTCCCACCCACTCCTCCCTCATCTCCCTTCTTCCCCTCTCCTGCTCCATCTTGCGTCGCGGTTCTGTCCTCTCCACGAAACAAACACCACACCTACACTTACACCTTCATCCCCCCACCGTCACCATGGTTGTGCCCAACATCAAGCTCAACAGCGGCTACGAGATGCCCCAGGTTGGCTTCGGCCTCTGGAAGGTCGAGAACCAGACCGCTGACACCGTCTACAACGCCATCAAGGCCGGATACCGTCTGTTCGACGGTGCTTGCGGTATGTCCATCTGCCTCTTCCTCTTACACAGCGTCCGAATTGCCCCTCCATCCTAACCCCCCCTGCTCATGCTGTTGCCCCTCACCAGTTTTACCCAATTACCCCGAGAGAATAGCCAGCGGACCCCTGCATTTCTGACCCCTCCATTCGCGTCATGCGTTGAGCTCCCAGCTGTCAGCTCTGGCCCCGCCAAATGCGACATGCGCGAGAGTTTCGGTGTTGAGAGCAGCTGGTCCCCTACAATCCGCATTGTAACCAATTCTTCTAAACACGGCTTCTGACTAACTTCCCCGGTCTCCAGACTACGGCAATGAGAAGGAGTGCGGCGAGGGCGTCGCCCGCGCCATCAAGGACGGCCTCGTGAAGCGCGAGGAGCTCTTCATCGTCTCCAAGCTCTGGCAGACGTTCCACGACGCCGAGCGCGTCGAGCCCATCACCCGCCGCCAGCTCGCCGACTGGCAGGTCGACTACTTCGACCTGTTCCTGATCCACTTCCCCGTCGCGCTCGAGTACGTCGACCCCGAGGTGCGCTACCCGCCCGGCTGGCACTACGACGGCGACAAGGAGATCCGCTGGAGCAAGGCCACCAACCAGGAGACGTGGGGCGCCATGGAGAAGCTGGTCGAGAGCGGCCTCGCTCGCTCTATTGGCATCTCCAACTTCCAGGCCCAGACCATCTACGACCTCCTCAAGTACGCCAAGATCCCCCCCGCCACCCTCCAGGTCGAGCTGCACCCCTACCTCCAGCAGCCCGAGCTCGTCCGCCTCGCAAAGGCCGAGGGCATCGCCCTGACTGCCTACTCTTCCTTCGGCCCTACCGGCTTCATCGAGCTCGACATGGACCGCGCCAAGTCTGCGTCGCCTCTGATGCAGCACGAGGTCTTTACCACCCTCGCCGAGAAGCTCAGCAAGACCCCCGCCCAGGTTCTCCTCCGATGGGCCACCCAGCAGGGCCTGGCCGTCATCCCCAAGACCCAGCGCCCCGCCGTCATGGCCGAGAACCTCGACTGCTGCGCCTTCGATATCCCCGAGGAGGACATGAAGCGCATTTCCAAGATGGATCTCAACCTCAAGTTCAACCAGCCCACCAACGTGAGTCCTCTTACACATTCCAACTACCCCCCTGACAAAAGCTGACTCGCTTCCTAGTACTTCCCCACCGAGAAGCTCTGGATCTTCGCTTAGATAAATGACTTGACTTGACGACGAAAAGTGATGGAAATGACTTGCTTTGGGATCATCTTAGGCGTTTGTTATTGTTGATGGCTCTATCTTCTAGCCCCAAAGGACATCATCGGGAGTCCACCTTAAAATACAAACAAGTAACCTCCCCCAACCAAATGACCATGTCCTGTTCCGCCCTACTGGTGATGATAAACAAAGTTGACATCGGAGATCCTGTGGAGTATCACTGACTCTCGATAAATCCGGTGTTCGGTCCTGAGACGATTCCATATCTGTAAATATGTGCTTGGTTGTCTGATGATTCTGTGCTTTCCCTGTCCGTATTTGCTATACTATGTGTAAAAGACGCCGTCCAACGCCATGCTGTGTGCTCTTGTGTCCTCCGAAACCTAACATCGGCAACTTGCTATACTCTGACGAAAGCTGAAGGAGGGGGTGTTAGCATTGTGCAATTTAGCTGGCCATCATGGGATAGTACTTACTGGCATCGATTTGCTTCACCTGTGGCAGGGCCAGCCGTACCTTGTTGCGGTAGAGTGCAGGCGCGCGGAGTTGCAACAGGTTACCCTCAAAGTAGACAGTCGTAAGCTGCTCCTTATCCTTGAGCTCCTTCTCCACGTTGGCGAAATCGGAAATCACGTTGTAGCTGGCCCAAAGCTCTTCCAGGTCTTTCAGCGGGCCGAGGCCCTCGAGGCTGGAGACCTTGTTGTGGGAGATGTCGAACACGCGGAGTCTGAGATTGTTCTCAATGCCTTGGAGTGACTCCAGAGCGTTATGGGACATGTACAGCTCTTCGAGCGTTGGCACGTCTTTGAGGGGAGATAGGTCGGTGATGCGGTTGGACTGGATACTGAGTAGGCGCAGATTGGGCAGTCCGCCGAGGCCGGCGATTTCCGTAATTTTGTTTTTCGCCAACCAAAGCTCTTCAAGGCTGGTGAGGGTATCGAGGTTCTTGATTTCCCGGATGCGGTTGGATCCCAGTTCAAGAGACGTTAACTTATCTAGCCCTTCTAGCCCTTCGATCTTGCCAATCTTGTTTGCCACGAGGAAGAGATCCTTTAGTTTCGTTAGGTGGTTGATATGTTTGATATGCTTGATTTTGTTGAAGCTGAGATCGAGGCTCGTTAGATTTGTCAGCTCGTCAAGGCCGCGGATGTGGCCGATAAGGTTGTCGTAGAGGTCGAGGTCTTCCAACGTGGTAGCGAGCGCCGAGAGGCCGTCGATTTCCTGGATGCTGTTCTGACGCAGGCAGACTCGGGCTGCATTCTTGAATCGTTCGAGCTTGAGTGATGATATTGAGCCGATTCGCGAGTGGGAGCACATGACTTCGTCCGTCTCAGGATCCTCGTCATCAAGCAGGTCTATGACGGCACAAATCAGTTTTGTTCATTGCGTGGAGCCATGTGACAGTACCTTCGTCTGCGGCAATCTCGCCTCCATCCAAAACATTCTCGTCATCCGAATATTCCGGGTCGGACAGGGCCTCGGGGTTCGCTACGAGGGCCGTCTTGGGGACTCGCAACTTGCCGTCCCAGCCCTTGCTGTTTCGCAGGACGGGACTGGTATCGCCTTCGGCTCGTGGGGACGGAAGGTCATTCTGGATGTCGACGTGGGCGTGGCCATCGTTCTCCTTGTCGAGGGAGCCAGGCATGATGAATCTGGCGACAAAGGCGGTGGTATATTCGGCGGGGTTGGTTGGACGTTTTGTGTCGGGAGGGGATGTTGTTTGGGTCGTTGGAGGGGGCGGGGAGTTGACGGAAGAGAAATGGAACGAGCTGGAACGGGATGGTAAATTCGATGGTGTTTACAACGTAAATAGTTGAGGTGGATGATGGTTCTCGCTTGGTCCTAGAACAAGGCAGCAGCGTGCTAAACAGTTGGGCTTTTAGGCGGGTTTGTCTGAAGATTCCAGCGGAGACCGCCTACAGTGATGCCCCAATTGGTGATAGCACGGGGCAGTCCTAGGTGTGGCATTGGGTTGGCGATAGTGTGCCTACAGGTATGCGGCCGACCGCGTCAGTCCACCAGCGTCCACCACCCCATTCCTCAATGGTCCTCTGCAGCTCTGCTTTGGGCTGTAGGTCCCCTAACGGCGCTGGAGGGCTGGCAAGCGGGGCGGTGAGGATTGGCCCAGCAGCTGCATGGAGCCCCGTCGCGGCCCATTTCCTTGTCATGCGCCGCCTCTCTGGCAACACCATCGTGTCGTCCTCACCGCGCATCCTTCACCAGCTGCAGGGCCGAGTCCAGTCGCGAGCGAACATGTCATAAGCCGGCCTCACGCCCACGTCGACGCCCGCTTCCGCCATCGTCTATTTGCCGCAGTCTCGCTGTGGGGTGCGTTCGAATGTCTGCCGCTGCGATTCCCCAATGGCGCTGAGCCGATTCCGCCTCTCGGCCACGCGACCCTCGCTCTGGAGGAGCTACGATTCGGCGTCGTTGTCGCTCGCATGGAGCTCTAATGCTGCCGTTGCGGTTGCGTGTGCGCGACATGCTCGCAGTTGCAGGAGGGGTTTTCATGTTGCGCCGATCCTGATACCCCCACTGATGTTTGGTGGCCTGTTTGTGGCTCTGTGGACTTGGAAGTGTGCAATGATGGTCATGTGCCAAAACATGATCATTTACAACCCCTTCCTGCCGCCCAATGCGCGGAGCATGCGCATTGCCGACTTTGAAAAGGACTGTGGGGGTACTCAATGGAGGGAGGAGAGGATTCGGTCTCTGGATGGGACTGAAATTGCTCTCTGTGTGTCGGATGTGTTGCCCGCATCCGACCCTGGCATAGTTGGTCGCACCAAGACTCCTGTTTATATCCTCTATTTCCAAGGTTTGTCATTATCAAGGCGGAAACCTTGCTGCACGACTGACCATCGGTTCTAGGAAATGCCTCCTCACTGCCACCTAGACTTCCCGATTTGTCGTGGATTCTTCACCGAGTACGAGACGCCGACGATTCCGCCACCTACACAATGGTCTGTGTAAGCTACCGAGGCTACTGGACTTCGCACGACCGACCCTACGAACGAGGAATAAACATGGATTCCGAGGCGGCGCTACAATGGATCTCCCAATTGCATGAGGCACGATCTGCAGGAACAAACCAGAAGCCGGTGGTGCTGCTCTGGGGACAGAGCATTGGGTGTGGCTTTGCCACCAATCTGGCAGCCAAGGGGCAGAGTTATCCCGGTTTGAAGCTGGATGCTCTCATCCTGGAGACTCCTTTCCTTTCTGTCCGAACCATGTTGCACGCGCTGTATCCCCAAAAGTGGCTCCCGTACCAATACCTCTACCCGTTCCTATGGAACCACTTGGACAGCTGGACAAACCTCGGCGTGATAGCCCAGAGGCACCGGGGAAGGCTGCCCGGAGTGTACATGGTCGAGGCTGGCAAAGACGAGCTTGTGCCCGCTCATCACGGCGCCGGCCTATACCAGCGATGCGAGGATGTTGGGCTCCCAGTGGAGCGGCGCAAGGTGCGCGGGGCACTTCACAACGAGGCCATGGTCAAGGCGGAAGGCAAAAACGCCATTGCGCAGTCCATCTTGTTGGCTGTCACACGGGCACAAGCACCTGGCTTGTCCCCGGGGTCTGATTCCGACGGAAAAAGTGCTGGACACGGCCTGAGCTGAAACCCAAGGACGGGATCCCTCCCCTGATCAACACAATGCTGTGGTACCACGTACGCAAGCAAACGTGAATTCGGGTCTTCTCGGCCAGCTACCATGGAGGGGGAGCGGGGGTGTTACGAGCCCGTTCATGCTCTGTCGCAAAGATGCCGTCATGGTCAAACACATATCGGGACGGGCTTCCCAGGAGCTTCATTTGGGCTGGCCGCTAGTGCGACTAGCAACCTCAGCAGGCTTGATTGTGTGGAGGGATGGGCCGGGTACCTACCTTGGCAATCTTACCCACGGTCCACCAGAAAAAGCAGGGTTGAGGGGAACCGAAAGTGTGTGTGCTTGGTGCGAGAAGCCGTGATAATGGCGTCTCTTGGAGTCGTGAGGACTAGATATGGGAGGAGAGACTTCCAAGGCAATGCCCTCGGCAGCAAGACCAAAATACACTCCAATTGACCCCGATTGAATCTCCCAGCTGCGACGATGCCATCGATGTAAAATTTGGCGAGGCTTGCCCCGGAATTGTGAGCCTTGCAGCTCCATCGCCGAGCATGCACTATCGTCCAGTCCCAGCCGCTGGAGCACTTCTGCCTTGCGTCGCTCCGTATCCAGCACGCACCTGCGCAGGCGAACTGTCCCACACCACCACCGCAGAAAGTGCCGGCTGCACGCACTTTACGTACCCTTGCTGGAACCCCAGCCCCCCTGAGCGCCTTCTCCGGGCTCTGACTCGAATCTGGACAGTTGAGGCGAGTTGTGGGAGGATCCTTGTCCGGGCATGTCGTCCGCCCTCAGCTTTCAGTGGTACCACGGCTGGCACACGAAGTTTGACCACTCCAGCAGGTCGAGGTACGTCAACTGTACAGTGTAACACAGTGAGTAGCTTCCAGACGAAAGTCCCCTCTAAATGTAAGATTTAGCCACTATCAACCCAAAGTACACTACAGTGCATTTTGGATTAATTTGTGTTTTTTAGATTTTGGGGGTAACTCCCTATAATGCCCTATTACTTAGCTGATCACCGTGAGAATTAGGGCTGTAAAAGCACTAAAGTTTGGTGAATGCCCCCTGAAAGTGACTCCCTAGCTCTTATCAATGACTTGTGATAGTACTGTGTGGGGGCCGTCCAGTGACCATTGAAGTTGTCCAACATGCAGCACCGCCCTGGCCACGCCCCCCCTTGCGCATCAATTAGGCTTCCTCAGGTGTCCATTCCACTTCGTCATCACGTGTCCGCGTGTCAATCTCGCAATCCAATTAACGCGCATTGAACAGCACTGGCGCGTCCCACCAACGACTCCATCACCAACGGGGCTGACTGGCCTGGCTCCCGGCAGGACTTTGGAAAAAACAAGGGGCCAGGGGTGCGATTATAGGCAGCGTCCGCCTAGTTCTGCACGGGGCATTCGCCTGTAGCTTATAAAGATGGCCTCCTGCCTCCCATTCATGCAGCCCAGCAGCCAGCAGCCAGCATCGTCCATCAAGTTGACGCCTTAGGTAGGTCAGTCATCAACAATCGACACTTTTCTCTCTTGTTTTCCATCTTTCAACGTCTGCCTTTGTTTATTATTTCCATCCACCAACGACCGTATACCCTTGGCTTTAAAGCGCCATTTAATGAGATCGACGACTTGCCGGTCAAACCATCGCCAACATGTTCTCCAGACGACACGAATCCTCAACCAAGAGCTTTTCCAAGAGCCACAAGGCCAGCAAGTCTAGCTCGTCATTCAGCAAAGACAGTGGAGTCACAAAGCGACGACATGAGTCTCGCAGGAGGCCAACCACGGCTTCGACAGCCACTGCCAGCGACGACACAGTCATGGGCAAGTAAGTGGTTTTTCCCTGCCACCGTTTCTTCTTCATCAACTTACACGTTTTCAACAGCAACTTGACTTCTGCCATCGTTACCCTTGTTGTTGGCACCGAGCAACGCCTTTTCGCCGCTCACGAGGATGTCCTGTGCGCCAGTCCTTTCTTCAGCAACGCCCTACGAAACGGATACATGGATGCCGCCACCAAGCGCATCGCTCTTCCCGACGAGGAACCCGAGATCTTCAGTTCAGTTCTCGAATACCTCTACAAGGGTGACTACTATCCTCGTCTGGTGCACAACAAGCGTCGCAACTCGTGGGAGTTAGAGCCTAGTAGCGAGGAGGAGCGGGCTACTGTCGAGAGCACCGTCTATCACCGCGGCGTGGATGGCGATCTTCTGAAGGACACTGTCATCTACTGTGCTGCCGAGAAGTACGGTCTCGAGGAACTGAAGAAGCTTTCACTTCGGAAGCAGGGACTGCGTGAGTTCCTTTCTTGGACTTGATTCCCAACACTTTCTAACTTAAACAGAATCTGGAATCCAGTGCAGCACTATTCTGGCCTCAGCTAGATACGCTTACAACAACACGCCCGACTCCGATTCCAAGCTTCGAGCACACTATCTCGCTCTCATAATTCGCTCCCGAAGCACCTTCAAGCGCAGCGGCACCATGCAACTCGAGATGTATAATGGTGGCACTCAGCTTTTCTTTGATCTTTTCGTTGCACTTTGCAACCATGTCGACGACATCTCTACTGCGCAGTAAGTTGCCCATCACGCCACCACCGTTTGCGTCACATTGACTAACCTCCTTGCAGAAGCACGCCTCGTTCTAACCGCCACGTCTCGTAATCTTTCCTATCACGCACACCCACATACACGGCCTCTGCATCATTAATGACACGACACCTCCTCTTGCTCGCACCCCTTCAAACTTGGGAATAGGCTTTTGCAAGAACAGCCAACAACTAAAAATTACATAAACAAATGGGCGTTATGGTGTTACATGGTAAAGAATGTGCTTTTTCACGGGCGTGGGATTTTGGTGTGCTTCACCTCTGTTTTTCGACTTGTCATTTTCTTGCTTTCGTGGTTTCCCATGTACGATTACTCTTCTCGGCCGGCCTTTTTGGACATACTCATTTTTCTTTTGGAGCACAGGTTTTCATTCACGAGGGGAAAGATTGCCACAGGAACAACGGTGGATTTCGTTGGTTGGGTTTGGCTGTATCAGACGGGATATCAAGACTGACATCTACGCGCGGGCGGAAATTGTATCACTATTCACGATGATTTTTTGGCTGCTTTTTTTAGACAGCGCAACCTTGAATGACTGGTTTTCATTCTGATTCTACCCCTTTACCTCTCCTTGATTGTGAACATGACACTTACAAAGGTGTGAATGAGACGGCCTCCACACACACTACCGCGCGGTCCGCCAAGCCGCTTGAGTATGTCACAGACCCACTGATTCATCGTGAAACAAACTTCCTTTTGTCGGATGCCTCCCCCGGAGATAAAAGGCAAGTGAGTCATACGATCCAGGGGGTGCAGGATGGGTGTGGAAGCGGACGAGATGCAACCCATGCGACCCATTAATGTTAAAAATGCGGGGGTGGCCAACAGTATCTGAATCTGACGAGGAAATGGAGGCGTATTCGTAACCTCTTGGGGAAAAAACGTGCTGGCACTTTTTGGCTGGGATGGAAGAGATATCGACTCGGTGGTGCAGGGGTGGATGGCGGGCTGAGAGTGACGGGCTAATGTGATGCACGGTAGTGTCTTTCGGCGTGAATTGGCCAAGGACTCGCCGGGTGCACAGAGAGAGACGGGGGCGGGGATGGGATCAAAAGCAAACAGAAGATTTCGCCGGCTTTTGTCTGATTTGTCGAGATAAGCGTCATCATGACTGCTTAACACTTTTCCGCCCTACCACATGTTGCCATGTTCTGCAACCTCGGCGAGTCTCAAGCGGGTGCTAATAACCGTCACACCTCGCATATCATCGTATCGCATCGTGCCAACCGACACTCGTCCAGCTCACAAGCCTGTCCCTGGGAAGGCGCCCTTCTTCGATAGGACGACGATACCTCGCTCTCGGGCGATATAGCCTTTCATCAGATCCTAAGCGAGACATCCTGGTTAGTGACTCAGTTCTTTGTAAGGCTGAGGTGGAGGGGCGTGGGGATAGAACTATCGTGAATGCCCCAGGCAGGCACCCAAGGAGGCAGCAATTGGGTGACGAGTATATAGTCAAATGACTGCCACAAGGCCTCGAGTTTTGGATTCTGAACCTTTGTAGAACACAAGGGCCAGTCATTCGGCTGACCTCCAAAGGCAACCGACGCCGAACGCGTACAAACGTGATGGACAACTCACCTTGTAGATCATGTTGGCTAGCAGGCACTCAACCTCGTCCGGATCCATCAAATCACCGCCGCTTCCCATGCTGATGGCCGCCTGGAACTCTGCAACAGGTACACGAGTACGACGCATGGGTGCACTACCGTCCTCTTTCGGTTCATCGAAGCCGCCAGCGAGGTATACCTTACGCAGCAGGTTACGCAAGGCGATATCTCGGCCCCGCTCTAGCGTCAGGTAGATGCGTCGCTTGACAAACTCATCCTCACCCTTCTGCAAGGCAAGGTCAAAGGCGCGGAGGTTGCCACTCTTGATGCATGTGGCCAACGGGAGGAACAGCTCCTGTAAGCGAGGGTAGTTGGCTAACAAGGCTTTGGTGGGGAGGACGTGACTGGTGAGAAGGCGGCAGGGGATGAGGTATGTTAGGATGCGCCTATTGGTGTCAGTGGTGCATCACATACATGGATGATGGGGATGCATACTCGGCCTGCGGGGCGGCATCCTTGTGGCAAAGTTGCCACGCTTCGGTCAGATGAGTTTCAGCCTGAGGCTGGTGTCAGCGGCATGTACGCAAATGCAGCGCAATGAGTTTTACCTCGACATAGTTTTCCTCCAGGAAGAATAGGACACCCTCGTAGTATTTGAATGTCGCTCGCTGAGACTTAGGAAACATCTCCAGTGCTGGCATGTCTCCCTTGTCCTTGTACACTGCAAGTGTCTTGAGAATCGTTCTCGATAGAGATGCTGAATTCAACTTGAAGTAGGTCTTGAAGAGTAGGTTGATGATGAAGTAAATGCCCCATTTCCTCGACTCTTCTAGCGGGGCCCTAAGTTGATAGTCAGCTGTGCTGTCCGCTGGGAGAAGGGTAGATGCCATTACCTGTCATTCAGACAGAGGGTAAATATGCGCTTCAGGTGCTGTTCGCAGTCTCTTAGCTGCCCTTGCTTGTCTGCTTCGGAATCAAAATCATCTTGCATCAAAGAGGCTCCCACCGTAGGGTCGTTAGCCGTGCGGTTGCGCTCCTCGTCGGATTTGATGGCGAATAGTCGCAGATACTTCCCCACCATATATAGAGAAGGGATAGTCCAGGCCGCGAAGTTATAGGAGTTGTAGCCTCGGATAAGCATCGAGGTCAACTCCTTCCAGGACTCATAGACTTTGGTCCATGAAGACTGCCACTCCCGTCAGCGACGAGATTCTCAGATGAAAGACCAGACCTCTTACCTTGCCGCTCTCTCCCGCCAAGATCTCGCCGATAGCCTTCCAATATGCCATGTACACCTCGCCCCAGCCATTCGCCTCCGTATGGTCCAGTTTCTGGCGGTGTGATGTGTTGGTTTTGATGAAGTGCTTAATGTCGCCCTTGACACTGTGAAAGTTCGTGCTCTGCCAGATAGCTTTCAGCCGGTTAGGTTGACCTGGGGGAGCCACAGGAGAGAGGGTTTGGGCGAGCTGATAGCCATTCTGCCCGGCATGCGCCTGCGCAAAGTCATGAAAGAGGTCGTTCATCGCTTCGAGTCCTCAGCCACAATGATGACCCGTGGAATGGCGGCAGATGAACAAGGAAAGGTCCGCGAAAGGGCCCAGCTGCTTAGTGGGATGATAACAGAGCTAAATTCTTTCAATATTCGGTGGTAATTATTATTGATGCAAGGAAACTTGATTGTCTGTTCTCGCGCGGTTTGTCTTCCCTTCTTCCCCAGCGTGAGGATGATCTCGTCGTCGTTGCTGATTGGGTGGGGGATCTCAAAGTCTTGGCAATAGACCCAGTGACTATGCACGTGACAGTGTTTTGTGGTGGGTCTTGGTTGACCAATCGCTGTTGGGGCCAAAGCCCTGCAAGAGTTATGTCTCTTAGCCCTCCCACACCTCCGCACAAAAAAAAATCGGTGCGACTCCTTCAACTTCGGCCATCTTCAAACATTCGCGACAGTTGGAAGACATTTGACCACCGTCATCGTAAGTCGCCAACTACCTTCACACACACAAGGGAATCACTAACAATCTTCACAGATGGGTAAGCAGTTTCTTCTCCTCCCCCTCCAGCCGACTGAACGATGCCGCCGCCGTGGTGAACCCGATGGACGACAATTTCGACACACACCTTTCGCACGCCCAACAAGGGAGCAACACTTGGGATGGGGATTGGCCTTTGCGGCCTGGGTGGCTGCGAGGATCTAGAATGTCTGAATTAATGGCCGCTCGACGGCCAGGGTTCTTGGGATTCAACACCGGAATTTGAACGACATGCCGAAATTTCGACAATTTTCTCTGTGACGAAATCCGACCTCGCTCTTCGACCACCACTGGCGCGCGGCATTGGAGCACACAACTTTCAATTACCGAACACTGTACTGACTGTCCTCACCTAGGTCGTCTTCAGGAATATGAGGTCATTGGCCGCCATCTGCCCACCGAGGCCAACCCTACCCCCGCCATGTACCGCATGACCATCTTCGCTCCCAACGAGACGGTCGCCAAGTCCCGTTACTGGTACTTCTTGCGTGGTCTCCGAAAGGTCAAGAAGGCCACCGGTGAGATCGTTAGCGTCAAGGCTGTATGAAGCGAACTTCTGGAAGCTAGTGAACTACCAAACTGACTGGTACCGCAGATCCACGAGAAGCACCCCCAGAAGGTCAAGAACTTCGGTATCTGGCTCCGATACGACTCCCGCTCGGGTACGCACAACATGTACAAGGAGTACCGTGAGCTGTCCCGAGTCGACGCCGTCGAGTCCCTCTACTCCGACATGGCTGCCCGCCACCGTGCCCGCTTCAGGTCCATCCACGTGCGTATATGCCTCCTAGTCCTACAAGCCTCAGGAATTAACCCGAATTTAGGTCCTCCGCGTTGCTGAGATCGAGAAGACCGAGGACATCAAGCGACCCTACATCCGCCAGCTCATCACCAAGAACCTGAGCTTCCCTCTTCCCCACCGTATCGCTAAGGAGAGCGCCAAGAAGGTGTTCAGCGCTAAGCGACCTTCCACTTTCGCTTAGAATGTTTTCGATTTCGAGGACGGTTGGGAGGCTCTGCGGGTGTTACTACGGATCATGGAAATATCAACTGCATTTGCTCGATAAAACGAGCAACGAATGAACCAAAATTCTGAGCATACTGATGAGGGGTGATGCAATTGATTGGGTTTCTAACTTAAAATGGTGTCTTGGGCATGCCCCCAATCGTGAACTCAAGTTGAATCTGCTGCACCGCTTCCTTCTGGAGATTGATCCAGCTTTGTGTCGTTTAAGAATTCGGTCCACAATGACCACTCCATCGGCCCAGTTTGTCCCACATCTGTCCCTACATTCGTCCCCAAATCCATCATTAGTAACTCTGGCGGGAATTCGAACAACGTTGATTGATCCATCGTATTCATGTCGTAGGGCTGCGTCGAGATATCTGTGGAGCCTTCGAACCCCGTTGCCTGGACAGGATCCAGCAACGATTCCGGAACAGGCTCTGTTGATGTTGCTGAGAGATTTGTTGATAGCGAAGTCTCATTGATGCTCAACCTCTTCATGAGTGCCTCTGCCCTCGCTGCCCTTGCCTTCTTAAGGAGCTTCTTGATGGGTCGCCAGAGTGACCCACTCGCAGAATCGGCGATATTGTCTCTTGATGCAAGGATATTCCGATCCACAACCTCCCAGGCCCTATCCACCAACTCGCCCTCTGTCTGGACACAGAGCTCAGCCAGGCAAACGGCGAGGGGGTGCCATTGAACGTAGGTGTCGGTCCACCACGCATATCGGTCTCCCCAATCCTTCTGCGTCATGCGCTGGCGAAGCTCCATGAGGGACAGCGATGTGCGCAACATAGTTTCGCGGGAGACCCGGCGGATGGGGACCATGCTGCTGGTGAAGGGATACTGGATATTGAGCCACAGCTTGAGGATGACAACCCGAGCAATCTCTGAAGCGTACACCGATGGAAGGTGTGATGGCACGACCGTGTGGATGAAACTGTCCTCGAGGTGTCGGATGTGGGCGATTAAATCGTCCTCGGTATAGACGAAGTGCTGAGGCTCCCCTGGCGCGCTCTGATGTGGGTGGGTCATGATGCCGAATATGCTGGAAGATAAAGCCGTACACATGAGGACAACGTTGTCAGCGGGCGTTGATTTGGGAACGAGGGGACCTGTAGTATTGGGGCCGAAATCGTCATCGTCAATGTTAGTGGGCATGATGGTGTTGAAGCTGAACCGGGACATGATGGCATCAGAGCCACGGTCTTCAGAACCCCGAACGTCGAGGACGATGATGAAATGCCATAGGCGGCGGCGCATCTCAGCCACGTACGGGGTGAAACGCCGGCCTTCACCGTCGCGATGGATGCCTTGACCTTGGGCAATACGGATGAGGAGGGCGGTGACGACCCAAGCGGAGCGGTCGTGTGCGTAGCAACGGATCATCGCCTATACCTTCCATGTTAGGCAATGTGATGAATGATTCCGGAGCATAGATGACATACCGTGTAGAGGGCTAGAGCTTGGAGTGTTTCCAGTTCATTGCTGTTGAGATAATCGGCTTGGGCGAGAGCCCGCTCTACATTGATGCGATATCTCGTGCTTAGAACATCTCGACTCTCGCCTAGCTTTTCTAGACAGTCCTCGGGACTTAGGCAGGTAACTGCACAGAAGTAGATGGCGAAGATGACGGCGTTGATGGGCGCATCGAAGGGAGCTGGTGAGGGGCTTTCGAAATATGTTTGTAATGTTCTTGCCATGGTCGGGCGATGAAGGATCTTCATCAGAGGATCAACATTGCGGATGTAGATGGCCCAGAGACGGACCATCACCTCTGGTGGAGGATGATGTAATGCCTCTTTTTCGTGATATTCTGGATTTCCGAGAAGGAAGCCTGAGACGCCCGTGGGTATTGTCAAGCTTGCAGCCTCAATGGACTCCGGGCTGGTGCCCTCGTCGTCATCGTCATCGTCATCAGACGGTTGATCAAGCACTTGCCTGATGCCCTCAATCTCAGAACACAGATGCCCCCAAAACTCCCCGCTGAGATACTTGTCCACGCCCTGGGCGACAGCATCCTTCACTGCCGGACCCTGCGTGCCCTCCCTTGCGGGTGTCGCAATCTCTCCTCCACGACCAGCCTTGAGCTCTTGGTCCAGCTGCACCAGCCTGGCGGGGTCGGCCTTGCCTACGATGGTCTCGAGGCGGCTAATGCGATCTAGAAGTTCGGTTTGACGCGGTCGCGGTGCGCGGCGGGTTGGTTTCCTGGACGGATATGCACACTCGAAGCCGAAGCGGGTGCATTGCGTGCAGATTGGCTGAGCCTTGTCGCACTTGATTTTGCGGTTGCGACAGCTGGAGCAGCTGAGGACCTTGGCCCGTCTGCCGCCTTCCTGGGCGCTCATTGAGGGCACTTGAAAGGTAAGAAAATGTGCAGTCGGCTTGGTTGAACAAAGAGTGATCGATGATAGAGTCGTCGCGACCGTGCACGTTCAGTCATGGCAATGTCACTTTTCACTAGCTGTGGTGGATTGGTGTTTAGAAATCCGAAGTCCGGCCAGCCCGTACTCTGGTCCGTAATGTAAGTGGGCAAACTGCCGGTCCCACCCGCGTACATTCTCACATGGGTGAGAATTTTGGGTGATGACAATCCGCTCATACGTTTGGCTGTGATAAACTCACATCGTCAAATCTGAAACCCATTCATTCTCTCCGGAAATCGGTGTGATTGCCGTCAAAGCTGAAAATAATGGCGTTTTCGCTCCTGTAGCTTTTAGGAATCAGGCGGCTGATCACTGGAATCGGCAGGTCGTTAGTGGTCGGCTGAACTTTTGTAGCTTGGGGTCTCAGGCGTGACTCACGGTGGTGTTAGGGTTAAGAGAAGAAGCATGTAAATAGAAGACATGTTCTCAGCATTTCAAGGGTAAATTGTTCTCCTGAGTTGTGAACTGACCATTAATTCTCGTCTCTGACCCATCGCATTCATTTGTGTTAGCATTCTCTGTCAAACCGTTCCTGTTTCTCTTCATCAGTATGGAGTCATCACCAATCGAATGGGTCACTATCAAGACCACGCTCCCCATGTTCCCCTTTCCCCCGAATGACCAGCGACAGGTCATCAAAACGGAGCGCCTCGTCCTGCGACCGTTCAACAACGACCAAAATGACCTTGAGGGCCTGCATGCGCTCAGAGCGCAACCCGAGGTGATGACCTGGAGTATCCAGGGTCGACCAGACAAAGACTTGGAAGAGACCAGCATCAATCTCGCCCGCCAAGTATCTCCAGCAGAGATCCAGCTATACAACTGGGCCATTTGCCTCGCTTCAACCGGCGAAATCATTGGCATTGGCGGGTGTGGCACATTCAATGGCGAGCTGGGCTGGCCAGTCCTGGGATACATGCTGCGAAAGGAGACCTGGGGCAAAGGTTATGCCACCGAGTTTCTGAAGGCATTCACCGAGGCATGGTGGGCTTTGCCGCGGGAGGAGGTTGAGCTCAAGGTGGACAAGAACACAGTCCGGGGCAACGGAGACGTTAAAGACGAGTGTATCGCGGCCATCACGCTGGACAGCAACATGGCGAGCCACGGGGTCCTGCGAAAGAACGGCTTTGAACGCGCCATGGCGTGGGAGGAAGAGGATCTTCGAGACAAGACTCAGATCGTGACCCTCTACGGCTGGATCACAAAGGATGCCAAGTCGGAGAGTGCGAAGCCGTAATGAGCCCACGTGGACATGAAATCGGATGTAATGTTACCTTGCCAGCGTCTAGAAATCGATTATGCCCACTGAGAGCTGCAAGATGAAGTCTGGATGACGTTCCGGACTTTTTTAACATCCCAAAAGTCCGGAACTTGGGCGGACAACTTCCAAGTCCGTGTTGCCCCCGCTTTTCTGAAGTATATACGTACGATGCTATCTCAATCGACGGCTTGAAGTTTCATAATTTCTACTTCTAACATCTACTGAAGGACATTCTACCTTGATAAATAAGTCATTTTTATAATATCAAAGATCAAATTGAATAGACATGCAGTTTCCCACTCCATCTCTCTTGGCAGTCGCCACGGGTGTCGTCGGCTCAGCTTGGTCCTCAGGTATGCCTCCCACCTTACTTACACTAGATCACACATACTCACAAAAAATAATAGGCATGATTGCTAGCATTTCGGTCATCGGGGTTCCCGGGGCTTTGATTGCCTCTTCGTCACCCGCCACCATCTGGGCCGAATTCTTCGCTCGCGGCGTCGCCCTCATGCCCAAGGTCGCCGCCACCACTGCGGTAGGATTCCTTTATGCCGCGTACGACACTCGCCAGCGCGGCGGAAACTGGAAGGGCTTCGTGGCCGCGGGAACGCTGGCGCTGGCGATTGTTCCGTATACGTTGGCGTTTATGGCCGGGACAAACAATCTGCTTCATGGAGCGGTAAGCGGAGCTGGTGCTTTTAGTGAAGGAGAGGTGAAGAGGTTGATTAGCAAATGGGGAGCCTTGAACTTGGGACGAAGTGTGCTACCGCTTGCCGGGGCAGGCGTGGGGTTGGTTACGTTGCTTCAGAATGTTCTGTAAGGGAAGTGGTTCTTAGAAGATGTCACACCGAGGTGACGACTGTACAAACACCACGACCCCGATGTATCTAAGTAAACTGCCTATTCACGCACTAATCTTGCCTTCCGTCTGCCCTCTTGGCGGCTGAAATCCCCCGTCTCCAAGTTCCTACCGTAACGATTCCGCCCTTACTTCTTGATGCCCTTCTCAAAAGCCTGGATCGCCCGGTTACAGCCGGCCAAGTTCTTCCTCGGCTCCCATGTGTTGTCAGTGCTCGGGAAACCCTTCCACTTGACGCGGTAGAAGTGCTCCTTGGTGATGGCGTCGACCTGTGAGTCGACAATCTTCTCAATCTCCCACTCCTTTTGAGATCCGCGGGACTCGGGCTTCTTCGGCGGGCGGCCTCGGCCCCTCTTCTTGGGCATGATAGGCGCAGGCTCCTCCTCCTGGACGTTTGGAGCGACACTAATGCGAGTAGATCGTCGAGGTGTGTCGTCCTTGGTCTTGTCGGCGCGGCGTTGGCGCTTCGCGGGTGTAGACACGGGGGCGGGGCTCATCTCGTCATCAGGGGGAGGAGAAGGCCGAGCGCGCTTAAGGGATGGGACTGTCTTTTCCTGAGGAAGAGGCGACTCAGACGCAGTCTTCTCGCTTTCGTCGCCGGAGTCGTTGTCGGGAATGTCGGAGACGACTCGGAGATCGTCGTATTCAAACTCGTTCTCGATGCTTCGGGAGAGGCTTAACGGCGGTCAGTTATGGAAAGCAGGGTTGAGCAGCGAACGTGGCTTACTTGGGCACATCCTCACGGCGGACGGGCGTTTCGCGACCGAAGAAGACGGTCGGGGATTTGGTCGATTTCTTCTTGGCTGGAGGCATTGTGGATGTGTGGTTGAAGATGCTCAGAACGATGATAGGACTTGTCTCCTTGAATGAATGCTGCCTCAAAAGACCCGTTTAGCAAACGTTGGGTGCTAACCGCCTGGCGTCGAGAATCTATGCGATGGACTTGTCAGCACTTGCTTGGCCATAAAATACTCCAAGGATAAATGAAATGGCATCAACTGAGCGCATCTCAGATCTCAACTGCATACCGTGGATGGAAGACTGGGATTTTGTGTTGAATCAGAGACTCCTCGCAAACGAGCTGTCCCGAGGCGTAAAAACAAGCAGGAGGACTCACAGTTGGCAACAGCTGGTCGAGCTGGTCGGGAGGGTTGCTGCGTGCGACCCTGAGTCACAACACAATTTCTTGTCACAAAAACTGAAGAGAGACTCTCGCCTTGTTGAGCAGAGACTGAATGGAGACAGGTGAATCTTGGTGTCGCAGCTGTGTTGCGAGAATGATGAGAGCAAGAGAGAGAAGAAAGTGTTGCAAACTGTCGCTCAAGCTATATTTATGTTGCGTTTCGCTGCCACTAGAGTCTACTAAATTCTACATCATAGTGAGCCAATGCAATGGTTTGCTTTTGGGCCTTTCATAGGTAAGCAGCCCACTAGGACGAGCGGTGAGCCCTAAAAGAGGCACGCAGGCTACCGACGTTCTTTGTTCGTTCGCTATATCGCAGGTTTTGAAACCACTAGCACTCAGACCGGCTTGTCTCAGTTGCGACGACCGAAACGAACGCCCTACCGCAAAGATGAGATGCTACAAGCTGCAATCAAGCAATCCTGCGATTTGTTCATTCCAGTTCCTCAACCTCATCATCTTTGAGCTCCCTAAACTGACCCTGCCTCATGGCTGCCTCCACCGGATTCTGCACATCAATAATGCCAGTTTTCTTCAGTCTAAAAATGGCGTTAATATCATGTTTGTCACTTATCACATTCGGGCAACATACCGCTCGAAGAGCACAAAGAGCCTCTCAGCCTCTCGCTCCTTCTCCTCCTCTGTCATTTCTGGGAGGTCCTCATGCTTCTCCGCCTCAATAAACTGGCCAGTGATGGGGTTGACAGGTTTCTGCTCGCCGCTGGCATCGCCCTTGCTGAACGCCTCTGAAGCTGAGGCAGGGATGGGAACGTTGTTCTGGAAGAGGAAACCCGACGCGAACCCATAGCCAACATTCTCAACAAACTTGGAGGCGTCCCTATCTGACATGTCGAAAAGCAAGTGAGAAATGGCTTCCCGTATGGCGGGTGCGGTAGGGTTGGTGGAGTTCTTGAGAAGCCTGGCGGAGAGCGTCGATCCCTCGCCTAGAACGTTCTCTCGGTCTTCAGCGGTCGGGAGGAGCAGGCCCCGGATATGCTCCTTTGTTGCCCCCGGCGCGTGCTCATGGATATTTCGGATTACGCTGATTAGTGGCGTCACCACGGGTTCCAGTTCGTTGTCACGGTATACCTTCATGGCGGGGTCCAGGATTTCGATCAGTCGCGTTACGACCTTGTTTGGGTCATCCTTGGGATAAATGGCAGCCTGACTCTTTTCTGCCTCTAGATTGAGATTCAGAAGCGCATTGATGAGAGGCCCAAAAGGAGGATCCAGTGGCTTCGATGATGAGATGTCCTGCTTCCACAGCAATGACACAATATGCGGTACTGCGGGGGTAAACGGCGCGATGTGGTCGGCATCGCCGCAGTAGTGAGTAATGTTGAACAAGAGTTTCAAGGTCTCAATAAGCGCCATGTCCTGCATGGGCTCAACCTTGGCCTTGGAAGTTCCGGACAGCTGCTTGGCATGACGACTGAGATTGTCGGTGATGCGTTCTGCGAGGTGATGCTTGTCGATGAGCTCCTTAAGATCGACCTTTGTCTCGTACGTTGACAGAAACAAGACCCGAGAGAGGAGGAACTCGGTGTCGCAGCTCTCAGTCTTGAGGTCGTTGCAGGCTCTGGGTGCGAAGCCTTGGTCGACAAATACTTGACGAGTTTCAGGCTTCAAAAGCATGGCGTTCGCCAATACGCGAAGGGCGGCACGCGCGGTATCACTTGACGGGCTGTGAAACGCATGTCGAAGGAGCATGGAGATGCCCTAGGGAAGCATCAGTCCTGAGCCTGGGAGAGCTGCAATGGCTCGGAGGAGAGGGGCAGGGGCGTTTGTGCACTCACCTCCTTTGTGAAGATGGGGTCGGCATATTTAGGGTCTCGCCCATATATCTTGAGTTCCTCCAGTGCAAGATCGCGGTCTGCATAAAATGTCAGAAGATTATGCCTCATCCAGCTGAGCGGAGAGTCGCACCTTTGGGAAGCAGGATGATGGCGTCTAGGTCATCGGAAAGCTTCTTGACCAGGTTGGTGACAGTGCTGAGCTTGGCTGCGTAACATCAGTTGCTGAGACGTCAGTCAGTGGGAAGGGCAAATGCACTCACCGGGCCCAGTGGCCGTGCCGAGTTGTGCCATTATGAGCGATAGAGATAAATAAGACGATGTGTGAGCAAGAAGAGGGTGACAGTGATGCTAGTATGGATGGTGAGGAGTAGTTTGGATATGGCGGATGGGCTGTCCTCCGGATGTTGGAGGCAGGTAACGTATGGATTGGTGTGGATGTTTGCTGAGTACCTGTGCTGATGCGTCGCTCCTGGCGTTGAGACGCCAGTGGGCTTCATCTCAGGTGACTAACAAGCGCAACCCACTCCGTAAAGGAAACACCACGCCAAAAGTAGAGGGAATGGGCCATGAGGGGGAATGGGCGGGGTGCTTCTGCTGTTGACTGATATTTGACGTCGTATTTCCCAATTCATCTATTAATCTGACAAGGTAAAGCACTGCGAAGTATGAAGTGCAGAGAGAGAAGGCAGCTAATTTGATCCAAGAGTACTATGGTACAGCCCCGCTTGTCCGATGCTTCTTCGTCCGGATCCGGGCCGTGATTCATATACGTACTTATGGCATCTTCATGACAACCTACTTCGGGATGAATCTCGGCATGCATAGGTCAGGATGAATTGATTCACATGCCCAAAGTCACCTCGTCTCAACACGGCCGACTCAATGGAAGGTTCGTCATCAGTGCGCTCTTCTGTCTGCGTTTTGGGACACGTTTTATTCTGGACCTAAAACCATTAAACCGCAGTCTCGTAATTGAGAAAGAGCTAATGTTATAACAATGAGGTCCAATACCACAGATTACATTGATTTTGCAGAGCTTGCCAGGAAATATCGAGGCTTGACGGAAGAAACTGAATCGACCATGCCAATTGTGGCTGATGAAAAGCTCCTGATGCTCCGCTCCGCGTAGTGCACGGACCCCTCGTTTAATTGATTCCGCCTCCCGACCAGCCAGCGCGCGCTTTGACGCGTTGGCCGGACAAGAAATCGCGGCTGAGTCGTGTTGAAGGACTTTACTTTGCGGACCAATTTAGCCCTGCGACTTTTGGCCTCCACCCCAAGCTCCGGCGCCACGATTCTCACCAGACAACCAGACAACCATCCGCCGTTCGCTCCCTTCCACCTCATCGACGGGATCTGAGTATTCACACTCGCTTCGCGCCCGCCCAGTCCCGTCTCGAAATCCTCCCGACCTCCAAATACATGCGTCTGTGACGGTTGCGCGGCCAATTCCCTGCTGTCTAGATCGCCAACGCTGCCTGGCAGTGGCAGCCATGGCATCTTCAGCCTCGGCCTCCAACACTGTCATCGAGTCACTGCCAACCCGGCCCCCAACTCCTCCTCGAGATACCCATCTCGAACCTCGCGTCTCTCTCAGAGCCGTCCTCGGCCGCAGCCCCTTCGACCCGCGACTGCAACTCTCCACGCCGCCGAACCCGAATTCTCCCCTGTCGACCGGGGCAACCAATTCCAACTCGCCCTCGAAACGGATGAGGAAAAAGGTCGAATGGTCCGCTCATACCGAATACAAAGATCCGCCCGAGTATCAGGAAGGCAGCAAGCTGAATAGGTCATCTCCCCTTTCGGGCCCTGCCTCCGTCTCGAAACCCATCAAGGGCATTCTCAAGCCCTCGCCCTCTCCGAATCCCCTGTCCTCGTCGCTACACGGCAACCTCGATGGCCTATCAAGCCAAGCCAATATTGCCGAGATGTTGGACTCAACAATCAAGCAGCTTGCTGGTTCCGACCGGGACTCGCGCCTCGATGCCTACATGATGCTTTCTCGAGCCCTCAAGGCCTCCAACAATTTGCCCGATCGGGTTGCCTTGCAGGACAAGATGAGCCTATTCATGCAGTTCATCCAGCGCGATGTCAAGTCTAGGACCGAGAATGGATCTCCCGACAGCTCCCTCATCAATCACGCCTTAAACCTCCTCACTACCTTCCTACATTTCCAGGCCATCGCTTCGACGCTCACTTCCGACTTCGGAGTCTTCATCATCGATCACTGCATTCGTTCCTTCGACGACCCGGCCGTGCCCAAGGACCTCGTCCGCCATTTGATGCAAGTGGTTGCATTCCAGTCCTTCTCCCACAAGGTCATGACCTTGGATCGAGTTGGTAGGCTGGTGTCCTCCATGCACAGGATCGAGGATCGTTTGACGGGCAAGAGCATCGTCATGGGTCGCATCCAAATCTACAAGCGACTTATCAAGCAATCACGAAACCACATGGTTGTCCACACAGACTGGATGATGGACATGTTCACAGACATGATGAGCACCATCAGAGACATTCGCGCTCAGGCTGTCAGCTTGGGCGCCGATGCTGGATTCTCACTTCGAAATGAAAAGCAAATCATGCGCAAAGCAACCGAGATTTTCCAGACAATGGACGGCGAAGAGACATACATCGAGTTCTACATCCGGAAGCTCGAAGACATGATAAAGGATAAATCATGTTCTTCTGCCGTTCCGCAAATCTGGAGTGCCGTGACCTTGTTTCTCCGCTGTCCACTTGACAGATGGCAATACTTTGGCCCTTGGTTGAAGCTTGCCCAGTCTGCATTTAACACAACCGATACACAAACCAAACAAGAAGCGAATTATGCTTGGAACCGATATGTCTACCTTTCCCTCATTGATACAAAAACGGCGCCAAAGGCCCTTGGCCTACTGGCCCAACCCCTTGTGAGCCAACTACGACGGAAGGTGAACACCAAACAGGCCGACGAAGGAATGAAGCTGCGCAGAGTTGTCATTAGTGGTATCTGCAATCTCTACTATTACGCCTTCCGACCAAGCCACGACAATGCCTCGACCGATACCGTTTGGGACCTTGCACTACAACCTGTCATAGCACAGCTCATCAACCTTGACGGGAAGCCTGAGACGCATGGTGACTCCATGATTCAGGCCTCTCGCATCTTGGCCGGCCTTTTGGATGTTTCGACGCCCCGAGGTTGGAGGGAAGACCGTATTCGGGATATGCCATTGGTCACGCCCGAGGATCTTCCTTCCATCGACTCGAAATGGACTCGTCGAAACTCCGACAAGGTCTTCCAGCTAGTTGGCCCGATTTTGGAGAAGAAATTCACCGATCTAGCTAACAAGGAGAGTTTGACATACAGACTGTGGCACGCGTTAGTCGGGGCCATTGCGGCTGCTTCGGCGAAGGATATCAAGGTTTCTGATGACACCGCCAAGTTCTTTGGCTGTGCCTTGGATATTCTCTCCAAGATGTGGTCCAAGGGATGTTCCGAGGGAGAAGAGTCCGTTAATCCGAAATTCCTGCTGAGTGTCAAGAACTTCGTCCACGTCCTCGTCAACAGCCTTGGACTGCTTCCCTTCACCGAGAAGAGACTATCTATGTCTACGGCAAATAGATTCGAACCTGCGGCAACGCCATCCCGTTCCGATCGAGTCGATCCGTTACGGGGAATCGCCCAAGCCCCTGTATATCATCTCTTCTCTATGCTCTGCTCCATCCCTCCCGGTGTAGCTGACGACGAAACCCTTTGCGAGTTTTTCCAATCAGTTTTCGAGCCGTTCTTCAACGAAAAGAGCACCAAGGTTCGCGTTGAGCTTATCCGCGAGATGCTCCGATTATTGCCCCGGGATGCTCAGGTTCCCTTTGGCCCGTGGGTTCTAGCTGCAAATAGCATGCGTCTGACTTTGGAACAGACCATTTCAAGCTCTATCCCCCCCAGCAGCGAACGTTTTCTTGGCCCTGATTACCGGGAGGTTGTGTCCCTCCTGGAACGTGGTCTTCTGTTCCACCCTAATCTGCCGTCCTCATCCTGGTTCTCGCTCTTCAGCTTCCTCTCAAACCACATTGTCCAGGAGTGTGGCGATGCTGGCCGCGCTCTCGGTCTTGTGGAACCTGTTGCTAAAATACTCTTGGAAAACTTCTTCAAAGCCACAGACAAGCTCGACAAAAGGGCGCTCACTCTGACGACGATGCTCTTCAATGTTGCAAAGCTACCCCGAGACCGCCAAGCTGTAGAGGCTGCCCGACGACGACTATGGGGTGCCCCCCAGCCATGTCGAGGGCATCAACACTCGATCCCTTCGACAGCCTTTACAAGCTCCTAGACCAGAGCCTGAAGTTTCTTTACGACAGTTCGGCAAACTTGGATAATGAAACATCTGTGGCCTCTTACATTGACACTATCAATGCATTTATGAGTGCGTCCTTGTTGCAAGCGGGGCTCAAGACCCTGTCCAAATTGCAGGATGGACTATGTTGGTGGATTCAGGATGATAAGGCTCGGTTGAAATTGAGTGACGAATCTCCTGTGCCCATTGCAGTAAGTACTCATGGCAAATTGCTGATTAATGGAGACTAACAATTATCAGTTACGAGCTCTTTGGGATACTATCAATCGCCATCTGATTTCCGTTGGCCGTCTGGAAAATAAGGACCTTGGCCTAATCGAGCCACTCATTTCGGCAGGTTTCAAAAGCAAGCACCGCTACGTGGTGAACAAAATGGCGGAGACCTGGAACACCATTTTCAAAGATGAGGAGAGCCTTGACTGCTCTGATAGCCTCAAGGCAATCATAACTGCTCTGCGCCCCAAGGTGGATGTGTCATTTCCCGGCATTGAGGAGTCAAGCGGCGAGTTCGGTGCTCAAGCCCAATCATTCATCGGTTCCCAGGACGACCTAAGCTTTATTGCTCTCTCTTCTACCAAATCAGCTGAGCGGGCGACCCCGCCAGCTGCGTCTTTGTCAAAACTTGCCTTTCAAGGACCGATGACTAGGAAGCGTCGGAGAGAAGGCACTCCTGATGTGATGCAGGTCAAGTCAATGAAACGAAAGAGCACACCTCGTTTACGCCACGACAACTCACAGATCCAATTTGCACCAATCGCACCCTCATCTCCTCTGGCGGACGAGTCTCAACATCTCACGGAGAGACAGAAGGAGGTTCGACAGCGGCAGCGAGAGAACGCTGGGGCTATTCCGGGTGTTAGGACTAGCCCCAGAACCCGTTCTCGAACTTCTCTGGCGGAGAAATCCAAAGCAACTCCTGTCAGCACCAGGACACGACACCAAGAATCGACCCCCGAACGCCCGGCGTCCTACGAAGAGTTTATCAGCTTAACCCCGACCCCACGACGGGGACACGCCTTGCAGATGGAAGACTATAACGACCCTCCCTCCTCACCACCACCAGAGCCAAGACCTAACCCGCTGCTGTCCGAGATTCAAACGCGGTCGAGAGCACGGAGCTCCTTGGAGAACTGGGAGTTTTCATCACCCCCGGGAACGCCTCCGACTAGTCATCAGCAAGCCGCCCGCAGCCTTGAGGCCCTTCCGATTGGCTCCACTAAAAGAAACACCAGAAGACGAAGCCGTAGGAAGACCAGATCCAGCTCTCAGTTCAATCCGGAAGTCATTCCCTCAAGTGTCCCTGCAGAAGAAGAGATACCGGTTGCTGTCGAAGAACCTGCCCCTTCAATTCCAGATGAAAAGAAAGAAGAACCCGTCGCGGAAGCTCCATCCACACCGTCTCGTCGAGCTACACCGCCTGATAACAAGGTGGAGGAGACCCCCAAATCTGGAGACGATGAATATGTGGATGCGAGAAGCAGCCCCGAAGAGCCACCACGCGATGAAGCCCCTGCTGCGGCTGAGGAGTTGGTTGATATTCAGAATCATGATTCCTCCTTTGATCTTAGCGAGGTCGACGAGAGCAGCATGATGAGACTGGTCGTTGAGCTTGAGTCGAGACATTGCAACTTGCCGTTTCATAAGTTCAATTCTACTTCTCCTCCGAAGAAAGCAAGTCAACCGAAGACCGCAAGCACCACACTCCATCCCGATTCGTCACCTGAGAAGGAAATGGCTAGGAAGGTACGGTCCAGATCCCCCGTCATTCCATCCACACCCGCGAAGCCAGAACTGGAGGTCTCAAGCCAGAGCCAGCCCCAGAGCCAGAGCCAGCCCCAGAGCCAGAGCCAGAGTAAGAAGAAGAGGAAGCGGCCTGCTGCGTATGCCGAAACTCGTAACAAGAGGAGGCGATCCGTTGGTACCGTGGGGCATGACCAGGGTGACGAAAGCCAGTCAACATCCTTTGAGGAGACCAACTCACCAGTCCCGACTACGCGGCGCTCGTCTCGGCGAAATGCAGGGATGAAGAGTAAAAAGCATCAAGGCAAGGATACCCAGGGCCCAGCAGTGGAGGAGCCCAAGCAAGTGGCACCCAAGGAGGTGGCCTCATCTGATCGAGTGGATGGGCGTGATTGCGGGGACACGGATGAGGAGCTCATGTCACAACTAGTGACAGAGTCCAATGCGGCCTCGCAATCACAGCATGAAGCGGAACCCGAGACAGGAATCCCGATTGCGAATGACCCCATGGAGCTTGACGCCGTTGGGGAAGAGGAACCCCAGGCCGAGCTGCAGGAGAGCGCAGGGGCTCCCCACAGCGGAGAAACCGAGAAAGAAGCGAACAAGACAAACACCATTGTGGACATTCTCCGCGGCGGCCTAAACGAGCTGCGTGGGGCGGCATTGTCGCGTGATGAGGTATACCAGCTGGAGGATATGTTGATGGATATGAAGCGGGAGTTGTTTGAGGCCGAGAGGCGAGGAAGATAGTGACATGCCTTGGATGTATTGGTTACGGTGTCGAGGTATTTTGAGAGGGATTGTATACCACAAGTATACTTGTACAAAGCACTTAGCCCGCGGTCTTGTCACTGCATCATCTCACGATGGAAGCTGGCTACACATGTACACACATCACAGACACATAGATACAACAAAACAAACAAACGAACAAACATTCAAACATATCCATCTAAAATGGAGTTGTTGTTATTTGCACGTATTGGACGCATAGCTTCTGGACGGGTGCTTCGCCCATCATTAAGTTTGAAGTATTATCCCTAAAGACTGAGAATAAATAAAAATAAATCACCTCATATCATAAAGCTTATTCATATAAGATCAATCTTATTGTCCCTGTCATCAGAGAGGATGTCATTTCCGCGTGCAATCAACAGTTGGTGCGTGCGAATATGTAACAATACTCAAAATACAGGGCGTTTTACGGGGCAACTAATAAAAGGCGAGCAATCGAGCTGGGGAAGAGAGGCTAGAAGCGAAAACTAGTCGAGGAAGACCACTTTCGGTCAAGACGAATGCACTATCGACTATCGTGAGATTTAGTTCGGTCTGGACCTCTGGAGTGACTGACGGATGCCTGAAAAGAGGTCTCCGCACGCTGTATCTGTCTCGACGGGGCCGGTGTTTGCGGAGGATCGTCGTGGAAAACATGGGGTGGAAAAATCCGGAGGTCGGATTGTCCCAAAGAGGCAATCCGGGTCCAGAGGGTGTCACTAAGCGTCCCGGTGGAGCCGTGGAGCCGTGGAATCGACCAGGACAGGAAAGTCTAAGGGAGGCGAGAGGCGACAGTTGTGCGCCCGGCAGTCTGTTTCTGACTCCCTTGCCATTGGATTTACTTGTTTCGGATAGTGGAAATGCGGGAGAGACGAGACGAGAGAGGCGAGGGAGGCCGTGGCGTTGCAGAAGGGCCGTGCTGGTGAATCGACCTACATGCCGCCTAGACTCTCGGAACACTCTCCACCCTTTGTGTTAGATGCAACGCAAGGAATCAAACTGCGTGCTTCTGACATGGATTAGGCGGGGGAAGACTTTTTGGCTGTTGCCTGAAATGACCGGGTCCAGGTCATGGTCATGGCTGATTTGCATCTAATGTCTGTGTGTTCTGTCGGTGTTAGCCCGGCGCGGCAGGAAACAGTTGCGTGATGTATTTTGGCTGGGTAGATTGAAATCTGTAGACTAAAGCAACTGCAGGCGAGAAAAGCTACTGCGAGACCTACTCTTCATAAAATCCAAGACCGGATCTGAGTTATATGTCGTCTTTATCGAGGACCGAGGACGATGAGACTAGCGAAGTCGAAAGGGGAAGGGATCGACCGACGTTGGCTGAGCGAAGAGAGAGCTGCTCCTTGAAGAAATTGGGTTGTTAACGCCGCGAGAAGGACCCTAAACGGTTGTGTTTCTTCTGAATCGTGGTGTGATGTACAGGGATACAAGACGAAATAGAGAAATAGTGCATATTATGGTCGTACCTGCTTAGTGGTTGGTGTTGCTTTTGTGCAAGGTAGTTTTCACCCTGCAGTGAGTTGTTACGTCCGAAAAGGGCAGACGAAGACACCAGGGAGTAAACACTAGGCCGCAGTAACAGTGACGAGCAGAATCGCGGAATCCCCTGCGCATCACGAGTACAGGATACTTGCCAACCATGTATCCTCACGTGTGCCAGCCGTTTCATCTATCGGGCAATGGAATTCCGGAGCCACGCCGCGCGACACGGCACTTGCACACTCGCACCACGGCCGCAAGCCCAACGGCTTTAGCGCATGTCTCCACGTGTGTGTTGCAGCCGGGGCATTATTATAGATCATCACGGGTGTTCGTTTGCCTCGTCCAATGTGGGAAACCCGGAGGAGGCCCCCTAGCTACCAGAAGCAACAGCCCCTCCATTGAATGCAACCTTCGAGAGCGAAGCAGCTTCGGCGACCACCTTGCGTCTGACGTACGGAGCAGGACGTCGTTGACGGTACTGCGGGTCCTGATACATGCAATGCCTCGGTTTCCTGTGGCGTCGAGAGGGCCAGTTGGCCGGGAAGGCAAAAAAGACGCATCTTTTCGATGAGGGCGTCATGGTGCATCGGAGCGGAGCTGGCCATGATTCGATGATGGGACCCGTCGTTGACCATCGGCGCTGCGACAATACGGCCAACTCGGTCCAGCACGGCGTGAGATGCGGCGCGTACTGGACGTCCATCCGTCTCTCCGTTCTCACCTAACCCGAGAGCTAGTCTTGACCCCGGACTTTGTGACCAAGGCGGCAAGGCCTGACTCTTGCTTGTGGTGTGGCAGAAGGATCCGGGGACGGACTAACCATCTCATCGGCTCTGGGAGCGGAGATTGGCCACGCACACGTTGCAGATGCATACACCGTGTTAATGCTCCCAAACACACAAAGTCAATTGCCGTTGTGCTGCTGTGCGAGATGCTTGTTTGTTTACATGTTGTTCGAGATATCTCTATCCGTCAAGGCATGTCGTTCGTTGCCCTGCTGCCAATTGTAGAGCCTCATGGCTTCGCGGCATCGCCAGCCTGCAGGACCATGAGCGTTGAGTCGTTGACAGCAGACGCCACGGCTGCGAGAGATCTCTGTCCCACCCAGCTTGGCCCTGCTTAGGCTCAACATGGATCTGGCATCGTTGAAGTTGGCGGCCGCCATTACGTGCGTGCTTCCACGATGGATTCCCACCATGCCAGATGTGTAATAAGGGCAGCGAGGATCCCGCTCGGGTTGCCTCTCTGGATCAAGGGTGCCTTTTGCTCGTCCCGTTGCCCGTGTGCCTCGCCGCTCACGAATCATGACGACGGGCCAAGAAACATTAACGGGGTTGGCCGCTTGGCTGCTACCTCTGAAGGTCAGAGAGCATGCATACATGATGCATAGTACATGGGTGTCGGATGGTACGTGGTGAAGTGTCCCCATTTTGCGGTTCAGAGCACCGAAGACTGCGAAGAGTGTCTAGAAATACCTGAATTGATCCTAACGACATTGGGACGCAACTCGTCCAATAACGACGGCCCCCAGTTTTTCATCCCGTGAATGCCTCCTCCACGCTCAATCCCCAAGATCTTCCTCCACGCGAGCTGGTCATGACATCATCCTTCCCCACGATCAACCCGTTCCCAATTCCTCCAGCCGTAATCGCTCGCACACAACGCTGCAGAGGCCGAGCGGTGTGCTGCGACTTACTATGTAATTCATCTCGCGGAGCTGGTTCATGAGGCGTGCCGCGTGTGCGTATTGAGCATGGTGTTGTTCTTGGCTGCGCTGGAGTCCAGGTTCCCCAGCTCGCCCTCAGCGACACCGCTAAAAGCTTACCTCCTCCCTATGTACATACCTTGCGGCATGGCATGGGTCAGGAAGTACGAGAGGTACCAAAGTCAAGTTGTGAGACGCCGAGTCAGGGGTGTCGGTAGCGTGAAGTGGCCGTGGACCTAGCGCCCACTGCCCCAGCTTGACTCGCTCTACTACACCCTTCCCCACGAATGCAACTGAGATGTCTGTTGCCGGCCGTTACTTATAAACTCCTTGCAATCCCCGTTTCCCCAGATTTCTATCCTCATCTCTCCAGCTTTGTCTCATCATACTTCTTCCCCAGCTCAAGGTTTGAGTTGCACCGGTTCCACTTACACCACCCGCCCCGCTTGACGTCTGGACAAGCAGTGAACAAAAGAACAACAATCAAGACGCGCAAGAAGTCGCTGCCATCATGAAGAAATTCCTCGGCCTGAGAGGCAAGCACCTCAACTGGGCTATCAGCGCCGTCGCCGGCTGTGATTTCCTGCTCTTTGGTTACGGTAAGCTTTCCACAGCCCCACTTTACACAACCCCCATACTGACAATTGACAGATCAGGGTGTCATGGGCGGTATCTTGACTCTGCCCATCTTCCTAGCTCAGTTTCCCGATATCAACGATAGCGAGGATGGAATTAGTCCGTCCCTGAAGTCCACTCGTTCCACGAACCAGGGTATTGCCATCGCCTCGTACAACCTCGGCTGCTTCCTTGGAGCTGTCATCACCATCTTCATTGGAAACCCTCTTGGTCGCAGAAAGATGATCTTTCTCGGCACCACCATCATGGTAATTGGTGCCGCTTTGCAGGCATCCGCTTTCTCTCTGCCCATGTTTATCATCGCGAGGATCCTTACAGGAGTTGGGAACGGGGGGAACACAAGCACTGTTCCTATGTGGCAATCCGAGACATGTTCATCACACAATCGCGGCAAACTGGTCATGATAGAAGGGATGCTCATAACGGGGGGAATTGCAATATCGTATTGGCTTGATTTTGGGCTTGCGTATGCCCCAGGTTCGGTCTCATTTCGCTTTCCATTGGCGTTTCAGATCGTCTTTTGCCTGACTATCCTGACCTTCGTAATGAGCTTGCCCGAGTCCCCTCGATGGCTCATTCTCAAGGGAAGAGAAGAAGAGGCTCGCGAGGTCATTGCTGCTATTTTCGATCTCGATCTGCATGACAAGCACGTTGAAGACGAGGTTAAGGAAATCAAAGACACCACATCCGAGATGAGCAAGGGTACATTCTCTGACTTGTTCAAGCGCAACAAGAACCGCAATTTGCATCGAACCACTCTTGCATTCGTGATTCAGATGTTTCAGCAGGTATGGTAAACCAGGCGGTTAAAAAATGTTACTTTGACAAAGAGCAATCCCTGACTTATACAACACAGATTTGTGGAATCAACCTGATCACTTACTACGCGGCAAAAATCTATAGCGATCTTGGCATGTCTCCGACAATGTCCCGTTTACTTGCGGCTATCAACGGTACCGAATACTTCATCGCATCGTGGCCTGCTGTGTGGTTGGTAGAACGTGTGGGACGCCGAAAGCTGATGCTATTTGGTGCGGCGGGACAGGCCGCTACCATGGCTACCCTGGCCGGCGTCGGCTCTCAAGATACCAAGCCCTTCCAGATTGCTGGAATTGCTTTGCTTTTTGTCTTTAACACCTTCTTCGCCTTTGGTTGGCTGGGCATGACCTGGTTGTATCCTGCCGAAATTACTCCTCTGAGTACTCGTGCTCCCGCCAACGCTCTATCAACCTCGTCCAACTGGATCTTCAACTTCATGGTCGGTTCACCTCGTCTCAAAATACGTGTATCATGGCTAACACTTTGAAATAGGTTGTCATGATCACTCCTGTCGCATTCACCAATATCAAACATCACACTTATACTGTGTTTGCAATCATCAACGCACTTATCGTGCCGTGTGTTTGGTTCTTCTTCCCTGAGACAGCATACCGGTCACTCGAGGTTTGTCTATCCTGACCTAGCAAATTATCTGTGCTAACATCATATTTCAGGAAATGGATGTCATCTTCCAGAAAGTGTCTGGGTGGTCCGCAGCTTTCGATGTCGTCAAGCAAGCAAAGATCGAGCCGTATCGCCACGGCAAGAACGGCGAGCTTCTCATTGTAATCGACGAGATCGACGAAAAGGCCAACGTTGAACACCAAACCGGCAGCTCGAGCAACGACATTGCGGCCAGTACCCCAGCTATGTTTATATCGACGGATGAGGAGAACCAGCGCCGCCAGAAGGAATAAGGGAGAAGGTATTATCTGACGGCTAGGTTATCTGGACAGACAAGATACTCGTGATGATTGGGTGGCTTTTGGACAAGCCGACATGAGGGCGTGCCTGTCAAGTCAATAAGCGGAGGACAAGAAGTTGCCTAATTTCAGTTCCCCCACAGGGCGTGAGAGAACTGAATGTTGCTAGAACCCGAGAATCACACCAGATATGTATAAATTATCTCCTAGCCCATTTTACCAGGATCCGAAACCCAGTTGCCGCTACAAGACCTAAGGCCTGGCGCCAAGTAGAGCATAAGTGAGTAGAACACTAGGTTAGAGTGCCTAGAGCCGAGAATAGCGCCAGAATGTCTAATAGGTAACTTAGCGCCCACGGGTTTCTTTCCAGTCTGTCGATCCACCGATGCCCCCTAACTTCATGAGTATTGATATTCGCACACAGGGACAAGCCCTTTTAGATGAACCCCAGGTAAATAAATGGACCTAGGTCATACATAAGTTAACCTTAGGTCTTATATCTATCTTTATCAATAAACATAATTTGATAAATAAGGTTAATAAGACTAATATTAGGACTAAAGATGATAAAAAATGTCACTTCTCAAGCTACTATATTAGTAAGTCTTTCGTGTCAGAGTATGCACTTATATGTGCAAATTGAATGCTTAAAGTCATGGAAGAGCATTCGGTTCAAGATTTCAGGTTACGAGGACAGAGACAGGGTGGTAATATAAACTGCAAAGAGATCTTAGTCGGCGCCACCCTTTCTCTCGGGCTTCTCCCCCATCTCCTTCACCCACATTTTCTCCACGGATGCCTTGCAAAGTTTCTTTCATGGTAATCTTTGGTCAGCCTTGTAACAATGTATTCCGCTCACAGAGCGTTGATATGACGGTCTGATGCGGCTGTGTCAGAGATTCCTGGTTGTGAAGACATCGTCGCTGAGTTCATTGGCCAATAGCATCATGCCTGGGCTGATCCAATTGCTCCTTCCCAACCCAAACTCGCAGCCACCTGGTAGACACCTGGAAGCCTGAGCCATCAGGTTGAGCCATCAGGTTGAGCCATCAGGTTGAGCCATCAATCAGGTGACCTGGGCTTGTGCACTTAAGTACCTACTGAGGCACAACAGGAAAAATATTTCCTCTTCCTCCTCACACCTTCAACCTACACGCACAATACCACCATCAATCTCTTCAACCTGCGCATCCAAGCCACCACAATGCCAAATGGTTTTATCTTTGACTCACCACCATCTTTCTCTTACACCTGCACGTCCAACTCACCATCGTTCACTTCGACCTACGCGTCCAAGTTACCACCATTGAATCTCTTTGACATGCGCCTTCGAGAAACAACCATCAGTCTCTTTGACTTGGGCGACCAAGATACAACAACCATAGTTTCTCATCCTGCTTGATCAGGTTACTAGCATGCATTCTCTTTGATCTGTACGTCCAAGTTACGGCGCTGGTCGAAGAGAATGGTGGCTGTGCTTTGGTCGCGCAGGATGCGGAAGAATGGCTGTTGTGTCTTGGTCGACCAAGTCAAAGAGGATGATGGCTGTTTCTCGAAGGCGCAGGTCAAAGAGATTCAATGGTGCCCAAGTTACCACCATCGATTCTCTTTGACCTGCTCGGCCAAGACACAGTAAGTCATAGCCATCATCACTCTTTCGGTATTCCCTGCCTACTTCATTCTACATGATCCGCTGCTAACCAAGTATGTAGATGTCGAAAGGACCATCTATAGAGGGCCTGGGCGTGGCGGAAGAATCCGCAAGCCCTTCACCGGCAAATGCCGGATTGTAAGTCTTCGTCTCTCCAACTACCTACCCAGGTTGACGGGTACACATTTGGGTGGAGTGTGCAAGATTACTAATATCATTATAGTGCCAGAAAAAGGGGCACAAGGCCCTGGAGTGCCCTGTCCGGGCATGGCAGCTCCGCCAGGCCGTGGAGGAGAAAAAGAAAGAGGAAGAGGAGAAGGAGGAGGAGAAGGCCGCCGAGAAGCCCGTCGAGAAGACTGCTGAGGACCCCAATGGGGAGAAGCCCTCCAAGGGCGGTGAGGACGTCGCCATGTCCGTAGATGCCTAATCCAGGGTTAATGGAATGAAGCAGCCTATCTCGAGCTGTTGAGTACTGTGACAGGCGGTCGGGGACTCTTGGGCTGGCGGGTCGCTAGCAGAGACACCACAGGGGAGATAAAAGGTGGAGGTGAGAGCGACAGAGGGGGGGAGCATCGTGTTTTCTTTTCTTGAGATTTCCTCTGGCAAGTCAGAGAGTCAGAGGGTCTAAAGAATTCTTGTTGGAGTTAATGAATTTGTTGCCTTATGTTCGAGAGGTCCATTTGAGTATATTTTGACCGACGTCACGATCCCTGTCCAACCTCCGTCTCCCACTCTGTCAAATATCGGGCGGCCGCAGGCCTTATCGAAACCTTGCCAGAAAAATTCCCTGCGACCGACTCGATTGACTATCTCATTAGATACTTTCCTATAAGGAGACATAAGCTTCGGATCTATCCGACCACAAACGCGTAGTCTGGTGCAGCTTCGGGGGAAAGCAAGCGCTGGTCCCCAGTCAGAGATGATTCTGGAAGATGGAGATGTCGACCTTGTCAAAACACCTTCGATAAGATGGAAAAGAGCGACCTCTTTAAAACTAGGTGGTGACATACACCAATCCGAACTGCGGTCGCATAAGAGAGACGAATACCCTAGGCTGGGTTATCAGACAGGCCACGCTAAGGACAAAGCGCACTATAAATCTCGGGGATGCCACAACCATTACAAGAAGTGGGAAGTCGATTGGCCGTCAAAATCCAAACCTTTGGGAGAAAGCGCAGAGGCCACTTGAAGCGTGGGCGCAAGTCTGCTCTCTAAAATCATATGTTTGGTGTTAACGCCTGAGGGAGACTCACATCTGCTACACGGAACCTCGGTTTCCGGTTTGGTATCGGCGCCTAACCTACTCTAAGAGGAACAATCGCTCATTTGTCGGCGTTCGAAGCAAAGCCCGCTGGGTGGGTTTGCTGATTTCCTTGCCCTTCGAATGGGACTTTCCTTGAGCTAACTTGCGGCCAGGCATATTTGCGCTGGACTGGGTGACCCCCGTGCGGCGTTGTAATCGCAATTGAAATGTCTGAAGCTTGGAGGTCGTCTCGTATTGCACAGAATGTGTCTGGACAAAAGATCGCTATGTCCGAAAATTATGGGAGTCTGCTCGACACCCCCCGTTCTGGAGCCGAAACGAGCGAGGCCTACGTTGTCTTCTCCAGAATAGTGTTGGAATATATCCCAAGGGCCACAGAAATTGATTCCTATGCATGTCTGCGACATGCCGGATAGCGATGTAGATGACATCGCTCCGATCCAGAGGCACAGCACGTTGCGGACCAAGAGTGGCGAGAGCTCGCACATGGGGTCTACCTTGGCGACGCCAGTCTCGGGCCAGAGACAAAGCAGTATGTACTGGATCTTATAACCTGAAGATAAACTAACACTCCATGACTAGGTGCCCGAGTTGAGGTCACTTCCGCTCCACGGAGGAGTAGTCGGAGGGCCACAAGGATGGCGCAAGAGAAGATCACCAGCGCCTATCAAGAGATTGGCGTGGAGGACGCCAACGATAACGAGCCCCAAGTGGGTATCCAGGAGATCGATTACGAGGTCGACGAGGAGTATGAGGCCGACGACGAGGCCTATGAAGAGATCGATGAAGTGAATTTGTCAGATGATTCAGAGGACGATGAACTCGCCCTTCTTCATCCACATGAGGCCGACCTCAGCGGATTTGAGGACATTGGTGGCGATGATCCTATGAACGAAGACACCGAAGAAACAAGTGACGGTGATGAGCCCGTCAACTCACGTCGCACCAGGGGAAAAAAGGCTGCACGACAACTCAGCAAAATAAAGATACTGAAATAAAGATAATAAAATAAGGATAATAAAATAAAGATAATAAAATAAAGAAAATAAAATAAAGAAAATAAAATAAAAATTACAGTTAAGAGAGATACAACAATGGCGGCATGAAACCGCAGTCAAAGAGCGGCAATTTGGCATTGTGGTAACTGGGACGCGCGAGAGTACTTTAGTGGCGGAAAAGGACGGAAACCAACACCCAACTCAATAACTTATCTTTAGGGAGATGCACAGCAAAACGTCGCACAGGTGTCTTGCAAGGTCGGCCAGCCTTCTCGAGCCTGGAACAATTGAACATGTCATTAGTCCATGTCCCGGGCGATGGCCAACAAAGAGTTTGTCGTGGCCATCTTCCATAAACTTGTTATGGCAAGACAGACATCGAACGTAGGCACCGTCGTCTTTGTGCCCTGGCTCGAGCGTCTAACTGAACTTATAGTTCTTGGCAAATTGGACTCTTGCATTTCATCGTGTCGGGGATGCTTCTTGATGCAACAAGAAAAGGGTTTCTGCTTGGGCTGTCGTTCCGTTGCTCGCACATCGTTTTTTTTTTTGCAACAGACTTTACAAAACTAATCACGTAAATCTGTATCCAGCCTGAGATCGTAAACCGTTTCTGCTGGATGCCTCTTACATTGGTCGTTGGTGCATCGTAGTGGATTACACATACCACATTTGAAGCCGATACCCGGGATAGGTTGCCACTCTGAAAATACAGACCTTAGTCGATACACCTTAGCGCACAGTATCTGTTACGCTCCTTGGTTCCAAGGATGTACCAACAAAGTTGATCGGCGACATACATCACATTCGTGAGGCATGTGCATTTCCCTTGGTTGACAGCCTTGCCCCCAATCTGCTTTTGTAACTCTGGCCTGCCGGTGACACCTCTCACAACGGATACCATTCATAAACAAATATAATAAGAATAATTCCCAAGTACATACGTCGCCTGGCAGAGATGTATTCTGTTTTCTGGCAGCTAATAGACCGTCAATACGCGGCCAAGACTGATAAGGAAGCTGCTGCTACTTAAAAAGAAGGCAGAACCTTCCACAAGGCTCTCGGCAGCGACACAGAGGTCCAGCAGTTCGTTAAATATTATATGAAATTAAGTAACATAAGAATTTAACTCATGCCCGCTGATGCCTCCTCCTGGCCGAGAGTTGAGTTACTTTTTAGAACATGATGCTCAATTAGATCTTGTGTAGACAGGTCCTGGATAATCCAATAGTACCAGAGAGACAAGGAAGCCTAATGTCACAGTGAGTGGATAGGCTCCTGAGGGAGGGTTAGCTCGAGGCCAGGGCGAGGACAGTATAACATACCGCAGAGGTAGAGTTGACAGGGCGAAGTCCCTCAATCTCCTGGCCCTTGGCGGCAACGCCATTAGCGGCGCACTGGACAGGGTAGGTGATCTACCGAAGTAAGGTCGAGCCGAGGACGAGATAAAAGTAGGTCGATATACCCATAGGCAAGTCGCATATAAGTGTCAGCCGAAGTCCTGCTGGGCAGGGGTGGATCTGAAGGGGGCAGAAGAGGTGCGGACTTTTTTCTTGAAGATAGTGAGGGAGGAAAAAGAAGAGAGAGTCGGAAACGGGCGACACTCTAGATTTACCGTGAAACTCATCACATTCAGTATAGGTAGGTGCCTAGTAGTAGAAAATGGCGGGGAGCTGGTTACAATTCAGGGCCCCAACTACCTAGGTTACTGCAGCTAGAGAGGCCATAACAAGGTCCCGGCCAGGTTGCAATGGTCACAGCAGATTACAGCAAGGTCCCAAGGCTCCAGGTTCACATTGTCCCTCAAGTTGCTAGGCCCGTTAATTGCATACGCGTCCTGCCAAGCTCTAGGTTGTCTTCCTTCCTCTCTTATCAGACTGCAACCTCTGCGCCTTTGGGTCTTTGCAGTTTTATCTCTTCAATTCATTGCAAAGGTCAAACCCGTCACAAAATTCAGCCAAATGGAGATTTCAGAATCGTCTTCTGTCCCTACTCGTCGTCATTACTCAACTTCCACATTCGACTATATCCTCGACAGCTTCCTGACCGGCTGCTAGGAATCCGGTCTGGACCGTGTCTTATACACCTCCAGACCTCGGTCCCGGAGGCCGCCGGAGGCAACGGCTACCAGCGAGCCAGCGAAAGGCAACGGCCAGTCCGCCATAGGAGACGTCAGCGGGCTCATAGATTGGCAAAAGCCCCCCGTCTCCGCTGTCTTATGTACAGATACCATACCCTGTCCGGGACAAGTCGAAATGACCATTCTAGTACACTGGCATCATACCATCCAAACCCTACCATCCCAGACAGCACATCGATTGATACGTTCCACCCCACCATCGTTCATACCCTGACAGATACATCCCGGATTATCGCCATGACCCAGAAACGATAGGCTACCACTCCAGCTCTGGCGTCTGAACCTATATTTAAATCATTTTGTCTGCATATCTGTTTCCACGGCTGAAAGAGGAATATTGGCAAGATCTTTTTGGAGCAGGCTACTGCTTCAGAGAGGACCAGTCTTATCACTCCCTTACTAGACCAGCCCGCAACATCCACAGGGGCCAGCCCCAGCAATATCTCATTAGCACAGAGCGCTGGTTCCGCGGGGGCCAGCCCTAGAAAGGTTTGAGCACGCTGTTTAAAAAATAAAAGGAGGGGCCAGGCATGTTCCGGGATTTCCTCGTCCCTGGATGGGAATGGGCCTCGGGGATGCAAACAGCCACTTTCTTTGCAGGGCATGTTGCCGATCAACTTCGGGGCCAGCCATACCCACTGAAGAATAGAACCAACAGCTTCTCGATGATCAATCGAGCATGCCTATTGTTCTACTCTCGAGCCTAGACAATCTCAACCCGCAGGAGATCAGCCCATGGCATTTCCCTTCCCAACACTACGGCCCTTGGGCAGCCACATCCACCGATATAAAGCCCCAAGATGTGCCACGAGACACTCGCAATTCCGACCATGATGTCAGCTCCATAAACTCCTTGCTTCCTGCAATGGAGTGCCTTCATGCCTTTACATAAGAAGCTAAGGCATGCTCTAGTGCCCAAGGAGCTGAGAGTCACACTCCTCCGCGAATCTTGGCAATGTAGGATGCTATGGATCCTGTACCTCGTGCACCGCGGAAATCCCTGAGCGATAAAGGAAGAAACTCTGGATGAGTGGATGTGGCAGAGTGTCTGAGAAGTCATCGAACCACCCTGGAGTCGCTACACATCGATCTAAGATGCATCTGCTCCTCTCGCCCCGATGGTCTGGGCTCATATCTTGCCCAAATCAAAGTATCCCCAGCTTTACCGAGTTCCCTGTTGTGCAGGGCCTATTTCTTGGCACATATTCGATCCACACACGCAGGATTAACTGGGATCACGCGACCATGCTCGTCCATATCTTGTCCGCCTCAGCTGCGCCACTCTGCCTCCCTGGTCGTACGGATAATTATTCCCGCCTGCGAGACGATTTACGCCGCCTTGCTGGCGTAGAAGGGCGGGATCCCACGCAATTCCACAAGCTCAAAGCCGTCAGATACGATCCTGGACAAGCTTCCCGAGCTGAAGTGGATAAATAACATGCCCTACCGCAGCTAGCGTTGTAGCGTGGTAGCGTGGGCTGTGGGAGTGACAGCTGGCCAGTGATCTATCGTGGTCGCGTCACCCCCGGTGGGTCGGGAACAAGAGGCCTCGACGATTTGGAATAGTCTTACGACATCCGCCAGCTCCCACCGAATGGCTGGAATTCCGCACTGAGTGAGCCTCCAGATAATCATCTGTGAAGGGCTGTCAGCATTGACCAGACGGACGGCCCACGAGGCCGGGGGAAAGGAGATTGGGCTGGGTCAAGAACGAGACCAGAGTAAACCCGTTTCGTCAATACGAATATCAATAGTCTCATTTTGCGGTTATCAATCTTTGTGATTTGCTCTTACACCTGTAAACCTTCGGGCTATGTCGGCTGGTTCCTTGGCATCCTGCAGGATTCGTCACCCTAAAAGCAACAAAAGCAACACCCAACATCTCGGCTGACCCATTCACCACGGTCAAACCTGTTTCATTGGCAGCCATGGGCGGAACTGTTGCGTCGGTCCATTGCAGCGTCACAGAAGAAGCGGATGACAAGAAAAGCTGAACTATTTACCTCAAGCACGGGCCTCAGGAGGCGCTGTAGCATCCCTCGAGGGACCTGCGGTGAGTTGCCGCCAATCTAAATATCTCCATCATCTCGGTCTTCTCGGCCGTCTCTCGGTCGTAACGCGTTGAAACGCCCTCACGATCACCACTCTCCGCTTCCGATCCCGGAGCGGTCGGCCTCGATTCATCAACATCAACGCCGCAAGGAACCCAGAATCGGCAAAAAATGCCTGGATTACTCGATCTTTCCACCGAGACGCTATGTCTCGTTTTTAGACACCTTTGCCTGCATTGCCAGGGCGAGTACGCCCTGCCGTACTGCCCAAGCCATCACCATTACGACCACCCCCAACAACAACCGAATGCACCATCATGGTACGGCGCCACCCGCCAGGAGCTTTTCTCTTTATGCCTTGTGTCGAGGAGGATTCGAGATATTGCCCAAGATATCCTCTACCATGAATTCGTCCTCGACTGGGGTAGCACTTGGCGGGCTAACTATTCGTGGGATGGCCGGCTAGCATCCTTTATGCGGACTGTATCCCAGCGACGCGACCTCGCAGACCGCGTCCGAAGTGTCTCGCTCTCGTGGTCCCTTTTGGATCCCATCGGCGACGATGAAGCTCGGGATACACTAAAATCAGTAGCAGAAGCACGCGACATCCATCTCCGATGGCTCTGGAAACAGCGATCACACTCAACATCCGGCGGCGAGAGGTACAAGCGGTTTCTCTCCTTCTTCCTCGATAATCCAAAACACTACGACGACGGCCCTAGGTCAACCTCCGACTGCAACCTCACAATCTATGCGCCCCGACGATCATGGATTTCCGTCGAACTCTTCTCCCTCTTGATGTCGCTGCTCCCGAATTTAGAACATCTGCGGCATGTCGGCCTCGAAAGACGATGCCTGTGGCCGATGATGGGAATATCTCCAGCCTCCTTACACGCCCTTGGCGTCGAATCGATGCCCCTCAAGTCACTCGATTTAGACTGCCACGACTTGACGCTTCTCCGTTTGGCTGAGAATCTGGAGGAGCTTAGTCTACATACTAGCATTATCCACGATGACGCTCCTTCACTGCCGAGTCTGAAGACACTCCGCGTGACTGACGTCAGACTACGCAAAAACTCACTCGAGCACCTCCTGTCCTGCTGCACCGGGGCACTGGAGACGTTTGTGTACGAGGCTAGAGAGCCCATTGACTTGGACATTCAGGACGTCATTGCCATGGTGGAGGGGGGTGACTACCCCGGTAGCAACCACTTCCAGCCGTCCGATGCGGTGGAGTGTCTCCGCAGTCATCGAAAATCACTACGGACGCTCCACCTAGATCTTCGCCGCAGAACGTACGATGATGTAGGGACGGAGCCAATTTGCAGCCTCAGGGAATTTACTGCACTAGAAAGCTTGTTTTTGTGCTCAATGGATATCTACAACGACAGGTTGGACCCGCGGACCGACAATTATGCCCTCGCCGATCGCCTTCCAAAGTCGCTCGAGGCACTCTACCTCGCAGCACACAGCCAAGGCCACAAAGTCCGCCTGGGAAGGGGGTTGCTTGGCCTCAGCAACATCCTGGAGTATCGCCGGGAGCAATTGCCCAACCTTCGAAGCATTTGGTGTGACGACATTGAGCGGTTCGAGGAGGCGTTGATGCGGTATAGGATGTCGACGGCCGGAGTGGATTTCGGATACGAGAAGTGGCCGCGGATGGCCGACGGCCGGTATCCCAAGTTGTTTTCTCCACCAGGTCCCATAACGGACGAGGACCTTTAGCGATGGATGGATATATGTATGACATGGGTATGGTCTGGTCTGGCTTGGGAGGTTCGTTCGGTTGGCGGCTCCCCCCAGAATTCGAAACAAGCGCCACTTATTGTCGTTGAGGAAAATAACGAACATAAATAGCCTCATCGGGCATTTGCCTCGTTGTGTGTCATGCCCGCTGCATGTCTGCCCTGTCTGCCATGCCTCCCTCCCATGGCTGCCAAGCGAGCCTACCAGCCACAGGGATCGGATGTGTGCATTCTTGGCGGCATCCGACTTCCGTTTTCGTTGTAGCATTCAGTGTATGGGTAGTCCAGCAGCATTATACGCATCATGCATTGTTTCCAGGAACTCGATTTTCCTCAGACTGGGCAACACTCACATAAAGGGGTGTGTCGGTGCTTATTTGATCCCGCTGCTAAGAATTCCAAGTGCTTAAACTCCCTCTGGTATCACGCTGCTGTCTACCATCTGCCCTGCCCGCCTGCCCTGCCTCCAAACTGGGTGCCTTGTGTGTTTTGTGTGACGATTCCCTTTTTTTGGTGGTGCTGTTGGCGTATCAAAAGAGACATCTGAGACGTGTTTCAGGCAATGGCTGTGTTGCAGTGTGCATCCGCCACCCCGCCTATAGACGGCTGCGCCCGCCCTACCACAAGCCGGCCAACGGCTGCGACCCAACTGAAAGGCTGGTAAAGGCCCCCTGGAACGTGTCCGGCAGGGCTGATGCAACGCGGCCATTGGGTGGCCTAGTGGATGTGCCCTAGGGAACCCCTCGCTGTACCGGCCGCCGTACCGGTCGCTTCAGGCGTTACCCCGCTAACTCCCAAGGATGCTCACCACTACCGTCAGTACTACGTCGTGGCCGCCGTCTGCCACTCATCACCGTAGCCACGAGCGCAAGGCTTGGCCAGGATGCTGACCAGAGGCGATCAAACCGGCCCCTCAACTGTATATGGACCACGATATCTACCAGCATAAAAGCCGGTTGCGCCCTTCTTCTGAGCAGCAGTACTTCAATCAGCCTTTGCTCCCAGTGCAAAGTCAAGTACCAGCAAGTATCTTTACCACTGGCCACTGACCTAGCTTGAGCCTCAAACCCCACCACCTCCCAAACGCTGCTGCTGCTACAGTGGGTGCACTCTCCCCGCCCCCACTTCGTCACCCTCCGTCTCTCCCCAGCTCCATTCAGCTCCCAGCTCCGAGCTCTCCACTCACTCTTCCCTCTCTCTAATACTCCATCGTCTGTCCCCTCGCTCTCCCAACGTCTCTCGTCCTCCGGCCTCATACAGCGCTCTCATTCCATCCTGCACCACATACACTCAGCCACACAGCCACCGCCAGACTCCCGCCACCATGGTTGACAGACCCAACAAGCCCTCCGCTCTGGCGTCGACCCCCGCCGCCCCTCCACAGCCCACCGTCGACATCACCCACGACCACTCCCGCGTCTCGGCCACGCTTCCCACCGGTGAGAGCGTCGAGGTTCTGCTGCACGGCGCCAATGTCCTCAGCTGGAAGGATGCCGCTGGCCAAGAGAAGCTGTGGCTGAGCGAGTCTGCTGCTCTTGACGGCTCTGCGCCAGTTCGCGGCGGCATCCCCATCGTCTTCCCCGTATGTACTTCCTTCACAACACCAGAGACCTCCGTACGCTAACCCGCTCTTCTAGGTCTTCGGCACCGCTCCCGATCACGAAGCGACCTCCAAGCTCCCCCAGCACGGATTCGCTCGCAACTCCCGCTGGGAGTTCCTCGGCCGCTCCACCAGCGAGGGGTCCTCTTCTAGCGTCAAGCTCGACTTTGGCCTGTCCTCGGAGAACCTCGCCGAAGACGTCAAGGCCCTGTGGCCCTACAAGTTCAACCTCATTTACAGCGTCTCCCTCGATCCCGAATCCCTCAGCACAACTCTCGTCGTCACCAACGACGGCGATGTTCCATTTGACTTCCAGACCCTGCTGCACTCCTACTTCAAGATCGATGTATGTCCAGACTCTCCCAAGCACATGTGCCACTTGCAGGCGAATACTGACCCGCTAAATCTTAGGACATTTCTTCGACCGATGTTTCTGGCCTTGAGGACTCTGAGTACATTGACAAACTCGCCAACCAAGCTGTCGTGACGCAATCTGGTGCCGTTGCTTTCTCCAGCGAGACCGATCGCATTTACACCCCTGCCAAGGGCCCCAAGCACCCCGTCGTCATCTCCAGCGCTGGCAAGCCGGTCTTCCGCATCGTCCGCGACAACCTCGACCAGGTCGTCGTATGGAACCCCTGGGTCGACAAGGCGGCCTCCACCAAGGATTTCACCCCCAAGGATGGCTGGAAGCACATGGTTTGCGTTGAGCCCGGCAGTGTCAAGGGCTGGCAGAAGCTGGAGGCTGGCGATGCGTTCGAGGCTGCGCAGAGCATCACGCTGGCGTGAGAATTTGGTTCCCGGAGAACAGGGAGTAAGATGTGAGTTTTTCGGGATGATGTGACGGGTCACAGGGCAAAGAGTGAACAGAACAAACAGAGTTGGAGCAACAAATGCAGCTTGTGAGGAAGAATGGTGAGGAAGAAGGATGAGGAATGAGACAAAATGTCCCAACAAACATAGTCAAATGGATGAAGTAGAGGAGAAGAAGGAAGAATTTGACGATTCAACGGCCAACGTGGTATATATTTTCTTTTACTCGCAAGACACTCCTTGATATGACTCCCGACATCACAATATTCTTCAAGTGCACTTTTACCCACTCATCTTTGTCTTTCTTTTCAAAGCGCTTTTGAAAACCTATGCAAATATCCACCCGACCGCTAGCACTGGCCGGTCCTGTTAACTCTCCCGCTTTACACCCGCAACTTCCTCTGCTCCTGGGAGAAGTGGTCGGCGATCAAGAATGCCAGCTCGAGAGCTTGCTTCTCGTTGAGGCGCGGGTCGCAGAAACTAGTGTAGTTGGTCGACAAGTCGTCCTCATCCAACCCCTCACTTCCACCCATACACTCCGTCACGGCGTCGCCCGTCAGCTCCAGGTGCACACCGCCCAGGTAGCTGCCCTCGTTCTTGTGGATGCGCAGAGTCTCCTGGAGCTCCTTGTAAATGTCACCGAAGCGGCGTGTCTTGATGCCCGTGGGCGTCGACAGCGTGTTACCGTGCATGGGGTCGCACTGCCAGACGACACAACGGCGGAACTCGGAGTCCTCGACGGCGCGGATGTGCTGAGGTAGGAGGTCACCCACGCGCGAGGCGCCGTAACGGGTGATCAGGGTGATCTTGCCGGGCTCGCACGACGGGTTGAGCGTGCGCAGCAGGGCGAGGAGGTCCGTCGTCGGCGTCGTAGGGCCGACCTTGATGCCGATGGGGTTGGCGATGCCGCGGAAAAACTCGACGTGGGCGTGGTCGATCTGGCGCGTGCGGTCACCGATCCAGATGAAATGCGCCGACGTGTCGTAGTACTCCTTGCCGGAGTCCTCGCCGGGAGTGGGGCTGTAGGCCCGGCCGCCTACCGGGGGCTTCTCCAGCAGGCGGGTCAACGCCTGCTCGTAGTCGAGGAGGAGGCCCTCGTGGCTGGTGAAGAGCTCGACAGACTCGAGCTCGCCGGGACGGGCGTTGATGGTCTGGAGGAAGCGCAGCGTCTGCTGGATGCTCGAGGCGATGGCCGAGTACTTGGCCTTGAGCGCCGGGTCCCGGACGTGGCCGAGGCCCCAGTCCAGCGGCCGGTGGAGATCGGCAATTCCGGAGGCAATGGCGGCGCGGATGTAGTTGAGCGTCGCAGCGGAGTGGTGGTAGGCCTTGACGAGGCGGTTCGGGTCGATTTCTCGGTCCTCGACGCGGTACCCGTTGAGGATGTCTCCCCTGAAGCTGGGAAGCTCCTTTCCGTCGACCATCTCCGTGGGGCTAGAGCGCGGCTTCGCGTACTGTCCCGCCATGCGCCCAATACGCACGACTCGCTTGTTCATGCCCCAAATGAGGACGACACTCATCTGCAGGAGGAGCTTGAGCTTAGACTCGATGGGGCCCTGCTGGCAGTAGTCGAACAGCTCAGCGCAGTCGCCGCCCTGGAGGAGGAAGGCGTTTCCCTGGGCGACATCGCGGAGATGGGCCTTGAGGGCGAGGATCTCGTTGGGGTGGACGAGCGGCGGGAGACGGGTGAGCTCGCCGACGGCCGTGGCGAGCTTGTCGGGCTCGGCGTAGGGCGGCGACTGCTTGATGGGCTTTGTTCTCCAGGAAGCCGGGTCCCAGGCTGCGGGGTGCGAGGGGAGAGAAGCCATAGTTGAGGTGGATGAAGAGGGTGGGAGGATGTCTTGTATGAGTCGAAGGAGGGGCAGTACGCGGAACCGGCCGCAGGAGGGTGAGTCTTGATTATCTCTTTATAAAAGAGACAAACGAGAGAGGAATATGAGGCGATATGAAGAACAAAATAGCCTGATTTCCCCTGTCGTCAAGGCCAGGATATTGTGGTGTGTGTGAGTCACGGCAAAAGTGATTCAAACAAAGAAATACGGCATACCCTGCACAAAATCGAAGGTCGGTCTCGGTCTGTCTAGGTTTTGCGGTTGAGCGACAGGAGTGGTAGTCAATTGGCGAATCAAAGCCGGTAATATGCGGGGGTGGCCATTAAGAGTGTGGCTAGTGTAAGTGACTGTGGCGTGTTGATATATTGCGAGCAGCGTATTGAACTGCGGAGGGATCATTAAGGCGGTGGTAGGTATAGGTTTTATCCTGCATGGTACAAAACTTGAAGTACGTGTCCTTATGATGCCGACTTTGCGAGTTGAAGATCCTCGGTATATCAAGCAAAAATGGTCGAGCGCAAACACACTGCACATAGCTTCATCCCGGCCGCGTATAAACTAGATTGTGAAGTAAGATACACGTTTCCTCATATATTGTAACTTAACACATTCTTAACCCAAGGCATCCATGCTCCATCTTTCCACCACTGTTCCGGTCGTAGAAACATCTGGTCTCATCGAACTGGAACTACCCTATACCAAAACGACCCCTCCATGCGACCCAACCCCACATGCTAAAAGCACCAGCTCAACATCGACCTCAACTCTCCACACGCAACACCACCACCACTCCTTCACCAACCCCCTCCACGACAATGGCTGCCGAAGACGAGACCCAAACCACCGCCAAGTCCGCCGAGGACCGCAAGGCGGCCTCCGCGCTCGCCAGCCTCGACGCCGACGAGTCCGCCGGCTCCAACAACGTCGACCACGATGCCGCGAGCAAGGCCATGAAAGCCCTCGGCGGCCCTCCCAAGGCCGCCCCCGCCGCTTCGTCCACCAAGAACGTCAAGGTTGACTCCGCCGACGTCGCCCTGCTCGTCGAGGAGCTCGAGCTGTCCAAGCCCAAGGCCACCGAGCTGCTGAAGAGCCACGAGGGAAATGCTGTCAAGGCCATGCGGGCGTATATTGCCGCCGCGTAGGAGGCTACCGGGATAAGGAAATTACCAAAAATGGAGAATAGAACAGCGTGATGGTTTGGCTCGGTGCGCGGTCGACGGGTAGCATGGGTAATCATCACCCTGAAGCTTCCACCTATAGATACACATCGAACTCGACCGCGACGACCATCCGCCCCCGACGCCCGAATCGGGTGGCGAGTGATTATGCCACACACTGGATGAATACCAGGCACGAGGTACATGACATTTCATAGATGGCGGATGGAATTTGGAGCCAATTCAAGAAGCGGTTCGACTGGATGATGAATGAAGCAAAATACAACACACTCCATGGTCACCCTGGTAGACTTGCAACTCTTGAAAAGCACCTCGTGGGCCATTATTATGTACTTATGAGTGAGCAACCCTCCCGATTCACAATATCGGGTATCCATACAAGAATTCAAATCAACCAGGCCCCCTTTGACTCCAAACACCAACGGTCCCATGTATGCCTCCTTATCCAGTTCCCAAACGAGTGTCAGCTACCTGCCGTCCGGCGAGGAAAGAACCAAAGCTGTACCCAAACCAAAATGCAAATGCATGTACAATATCCTAGTAATTCACAATGTTTGATGGCATCTACTGCCAAGCCCGAGCCAGCGGACTGCCAATCTTGGGGGCAAACTGCAGGCTCTTGCGGCGGGCGGCCATAAGCCTCATGAGCACCTGCTCATCCTTATCCTTGCTCAGGATACCCGCGCCCATCTCGCGGAAGGGGTTTTGCTTAGGTGGGCATGTCCGCATAAGCAGGTTCTCCTTAGTAGGAGAGTAGTCCAGATCGTCATCTTCCTCATCATCCGAGGGCGTCCCGGGCTCAAGGTTAGCCGCATAACGAGCAACCGCATCCGGGGCAGGAGTCTTGGGGACGGGAGTGAGCATCAAATTGGACCAATCGTGGTCCTCCTCCTCATCCAGGTCGTCATCGGCCTGCTCAGAGGGTGTGTACATCCAAGTGGCGCTCTCACGTCGGTTCTTGGAAGTGATGGGAGTGCTGGGAGTCCGAGAACCCTTGACAGGGCTGCTGACAAGTGTGCCGTTCATGTTGGCCAGAGCCTTAGGCTCCATGCTCTTGCGACGGCGAGCACCGCCACGAGGGACGACCTTGGTGTCGATGTAGAAGGGGGCTTCCTCGAGCCACTCATTCTCTCTCTCACAGCTGTTCCGAGTTAGTTTATGATGCAATGGCGAATAATAAACGGAACCACTTACTCAAGCACCCAGCTGACGCCGACACACTGGACGACGCCGTTGGTTTGGCGGACCTTCTCTAGGGTCCGCTTACCGCCATCCTTGAAGACGACGTGCGTGATTCCAACCTTACTGGATGACACCTCACCAGAGCCACTGGGGCTCCAGGTCCACGTCTTCATGCACTTGGCTCCCATCTGAGTGAGGAGCTCCACGAAAATGCTGCTGGCGTCTGCGCCCTCACTAGTGTGCACGTCCACGAACACGACGGCACCGCGAAGCAAGGCAGGGTCGACATCCCGTCGAGGAGTACGCGCAGGCGTACCAATCGATGACCAGAGGTCAGACTTGGACGGGGTGACGGGACCAGGCGTGGCAGGAGCAAGCTCGACATTGGTGACCGGAAGACTCTTGCTCTCCTTCATGGGAGAGTACGAAATGACGCTGGCACTCCGGTTGGATCCAGTAGGACGCTTGGGAGCAATGCGAGACGCAGTGAAGCAGCGCTTCTTGAGAGGGCTGGGGGTAGAGTCATCCGCAGGCTTTAGCGGAACCTTGGTGGTCGTGTTGAAGGCCTTCATAACTGGACGAACAGGGGTCATGAGGACGGCGGAGTGTGAGTTGACAATGGCGGGATCCACAGGAAACTGGTTTTCATCCCCGTACTCCTGGCTTGCCTCGGAGAGGGTGTCGTCAAAGGTATCCGTGTTGGCAACCTCTTCAAGGATTTCAGGCTCCAACAGGGACATCTCATTGGCCTCATGGGCCAGAGCGACATCCTCCTCAGTGACCATGATATCATCGAAAGAAGGCTCCTCTACCTCAGCTGCTTGGCTCTCAAGCAGAGCCTCTGTGTTGAGATCAGGGCGGACGGACATCTCATCCTCAAAGAAGTGGTGAGAAGCCGGGGTAGATGACTGTGTAGAAACTGGCTCTGCCGCCTCAGCAGAAGCCAGGGGAGCCATCTTGATGGGGCTTGCGGCGGACCAGGAACCAAATCGCTCGGCCAGAGCGGTGAAACCTCCGAGGGACTGTCGAGATGCCTTGGCTTGGCTTCGACCAGTTCCCTGGGTCTTGGGGGTCTTGTGGGCGAAAGGAGTGGGGGTAGTCGGGACTGCCTTGACGCGGAGCTCCATATCGTCTTCGGATTCCGAGTCCAGACTATCATATGGATCCAAGTCCTTCTCCCTAAGCTGGAAAACAGGGTTCTCAGCCTGAACGGGGGATTGAGATGGGCTAGAGCTAGCAGATGCGGGCTCCTCAGCCTCCTCCTCTTCAGCGGCCAATTCATCAACGGCCATCTCGTCATCGGCATCGTGAACAAGCTCAGCAATCTCTTCAATGGGCTCTTCAACTTCTGCAACATCGACGTGTGCATCCTCGACCATATCCACAGCATCGGGAGCTTCATCCAACTGTATTTCAGGCTCATCAACAATACCCATGTCCTTCTTCAAAACTGGGTCCGCATGGCGGGGTAGGACAGCAGACAGTCGACCGGGGAACTGTAAGCTCTCCATGGGCTCCGTGAAGGGGTCATCTTCGAGATCATTCACATTCTCTCCAGGCTGATCCTCCATCATGAGCTTGGCTGAAGGCCGATTCAGATTGGCGGGGGTGAGGCCCGACAATACGAGAGGCTTCATAGCTGGGGAAGTGCCCAGAGCAGTCTCATCCCGTTGTCGAGGCTCGGTGAGAGGCACCATGCCGGGAAAGGATCGCTTTGCGGGTGATTGAAGTAGCGAGGCCTTCATCGCTGACTGGGGTTGTTGAGAGTTCGGAGGGTTTCCGAAGCTTAGGCTCTTGATGGGAGACGGTGGTCGCTTGGCAGCCGACTGCAGAAGGGATGCCTTGAATGGAGAGGCGTTTCCAGTCTGTCCAGTGAGGCCCCCGACTGGTTTCAAGGCAGAGCCTGGTAGTGGCACGGGGCCAATTCGTCGAGCGGGGGATCTCATGGTGTCCTTGAATGAGGAGGAGACCATCCTCCTCGCAGGAGAGGCCAGGACTGATGTGCCCAGGTCTGGAGGGTTCAGCACGGTGTCGGCATCGATAGTCGGTTCGGTTTGCTCCTCAGACAATGCTGGTTGGCTCTTGTTGATGGTGTTGGTTGGTGGTTTGATAGGGTTTCTCATCAATGGCTTGACAGGGGTCGGTTCGCCTGCAAGCTCATCTTCGGAGTCGTCCTTGGAAACGGGCATCTGGGTCATCTTCTTAGGGCTCAGGGGCTTTTGGTCTGTCGTGGCGGTTCTTACCGCGGCTCTGGTGGTTCGGGTGCCGCCGGCCGCACCGCGCTTGGCTGGTCGGCCACGGAGCCCGCCACGAACGGGCTCCTTGGCTTCGATGGCTGGCTGGATGTTCTCCTTGTCGGGTTCCTGGAACTTGACACTCTTCTTTACCACGGGCTTCGCTGCCGCGGTTGGTCTTGATGTTGCAGTGGTTCGGACTCTGGTGGTTGTCTTCTTGGCTGGTTCAGCGGCCTGCTCCTCGGTTGAGGCTGCGGCCGCTTTCCTAGGCCGTCCTCGCGTTGCTTTGACTGGTGCGGGATCATCCTTAGGAGGAGCTGCTGTGGCGGCCTGCTTTGTGACTCGGGCACGCGTGGGCTTTGCGGGCGCCTCAGCTTCTGCAGGGTCCTCCACCTTCTTCGGTCGGCCTCGCGGCCGCCTCGGTGCGGGGACTTCGCGTTGGGCTTCTTGTTCATCATCTTCGTGCTCATCTGCCCTTGTTTTCCTCTTAGCGGCGGTGCTTTTTGTGCCGGCCGTTGCTGTGCTCTTTGCCCGCGCAGCGGCTGTGATGATCTTGGTCGTCTTAACGGTGGGCTCGCTGGCCTTGGCCGCGGCGCGCGCACGCGTCATTCTCTTGGGTGGTGATTCCATGGTGTTGGTGTGGTTGCTGTGTGGGTGTTTCGTAGGTTAGTAGAAAGAAGGCTTGCAGGAATGTTTACACATTGCGATGTGATGTTGATGAAGACGGGAATCCCGTGATGCGCACCTCGGCAGGCGGCATTGTTGTGAGGCATCGTGTTTGGCGACGTTGCCCGGCAACGAGCCCCACCTTTCCGCCGCACCGTTGATCACAAGCTCCGCCAGCGTTAATTGGCAAGAGTCAATTGGGCGCGTTAATTTGCTCCTTTTTACAAGGAGAAGACTTCGAGAGGCTACATTCAAGACTATGAATCTTAGTTGAGAACTCATCCGATGGCACGGAGTAGATAATTTGCAAGACACACCTGGCTACATATGCGGCCGTGATTTAGCGTGCGAAGTTAATGACATCACTGATGGCCCTGGTCAGTGCATGCAGAATGGAATGTGCTTTTTACGATCCCGGCAAGCGTGTGTTATATGCCATTGTGAATCGTCCATTATCTCCCTGTCTTTTATTTTTAATATACAACACTCTTACTTGCATGTGTTGCGTGACGCCTTCATGTCTGTCATGCATCCCATGCATTTTCAACAAGTGGTCAACTCACCCTACACTAGGGGTTTGCACCACTCCCTTTACGCCCAAATTAACACGGCCATTCATGATGACCATTTAACATTTGACGCACTTGCAATGGACGAAACAAAATGGCCGGAAACATCTGGTCGTCCAGAATAATCGACATTGTCGGCTCAGGTTAGAGGGTTTTTCCACGTCTTCATTCCATGCCTCGGCCCTCCTACGAACCGTTCATTGTCGACCATTTGGCTTACTTTCACATATGCAAGTCTTTTCGTCCGAGTTCGGTCTAAATGACTATTGAACTGAGTTGTGTATGAACGCAGAGAAATCGAGTACGCATCTGCTTAAACCTAGTCCTTCATCCTGAGAACAAGCACCTGTATATCTTTGGACAAAAGAAATAGTTAATGAGTGGCCCTACAGTCTCGATCCCACCAGTACTGTAGTTTGTAAAAAAGCTTTGGTGTGATATCATTGGTACAAAATTAGGACGCGTTATTCTGTCACTGGCTCGGAACGGCCTTGGATGACACCTAACAAACTTGGGAGCGGATTGTTGCATGGTGGTACCACTACAATTGTGGTTCTACAAAAGTTCAGTCGCCAAACATCCCGGCACTCGGCATGGCGGAGACTCAGGCGAGAGTCTGCCTGAAGAAATTTCCGGCATTCTCCTTCCTTAATTGGCCATGACTTGAGTTGTCGCAACTCCCGGATTCGAACCGATCCGAGCTATGTGCTTGCCTATTCAAGCCAGTACCTACCGCATGCGGCAGCAGCTTAGGATCCTTGTATTCACCACCATGACGAGTAACTGGGGCTTTGTAGTACTTTGCCCATCCTTTGCTGCAATTGACGATTTGCAATGGATGGCTGCTATCTCCAAGATTTGCGCCAATGTCGGCAAAGCTTTTACCCTGCAGCGAGAATACGAGATAGATGGAGGTGAAGAGTTGGGCCTCGGCAGGGAATGAATAGTGTTTTGATTTGGGCGTGATTGATCTGCGCCCAGAACAAGCTTGTCATCGAATCAGGGCGATGAGCTGTCGAATTCGGACTGCACCTGATTTTGTCACTGGCGCATGGCACACTGTAGGAGCCGCAGGATGATGACAACAACCCCGACGATGACGTCTGTACTGCTGGATGCTAGAACATTTGGCGTGCCAGAGAACACAACGCTCAATGATTGTTAAGCATTCGCAGGAAATGCAAAAGTTGGATGAGAGTGGGCTAGCGAAGCTTCTAAGAGGGATGGTGGTCGGTCCTCGCCACGGCACTGCCGACGCTAGGTTCGGATTTGAGGCGTCTGTGCATGATAGCTCTGCTCACACCCGAGATTCAAGGGTCGTATCCCACTCCGTGATGGGACACCGCGCGGCAAGCTTGCAGATCCACTAGGTGGAGTTGGTGTTAGAGGCAGGGCAGAGACAAAAGACAAGGTGTTGAATAAACTTCGGGCTAAATTCTACGAGAGTGGGAACACATTTGCCTCTGTTTGTTCAAGGCTGAAGCGGTCATGTTCCTTACCGAGGGGCTGGAAACGTCGAGCAGGATGGAGGCAGCGGTGTGTGGTTGGCCTGACCGTATCAACTACTTTGTGTAAACTCTCTATCGAGATCGGGATGGCTGAAATTCTTACTCTCCACAAGTAGCGGTGGCCTCACATTCGGAATGGTCGGAGCTCGGAGTAACTAAGCGCGGCCCCATTTCTTTTGTCATGTCTTTCGATACCATGAGGCAAATTATACCTAGTAGAGGCGGACGGCCGGTGCTATTGCGGATGCCGGCTCGGGGATGAGTGGTTTCGGGGCTCAACGTCATGATCTTGCATCGCTACCGCTAGTGTCTTCGCGTGGATCTGCCAAGAAACGTGTCGGCGTAATGACATGCTGAGCCACGACGACACGAGTGAGCCAAGATGCCTTCTAGATCCAGCCACCCCGAGAGAAGGGCTAGCTGGCTTCTAGTGGCGAAGGAGAAGGGCAAGGGCATGTTGGGCAATGAGCGATGACGTCTGGCATTGATACTGGAAACCAAGGATGACATGGGCAGGATTGGTGTAGAAACGAAAGAGTTGTGCCTTGAGTGATTTCTGGAGGATTTTTAGCATCCTTCTAAGTCATGAAACACGCTTGAAACTGGTTCCTTTGGCCAACCAACACAGGTTTATGCTTGCTTCCCCCAGTGAGGGCGCGGCTCCGTCCCCTCACAAATCTATACCGAACAGAATCTGGCGCGGCCGCCGGTCGAGGTTACCTTGGCAGTTATGTGAGCATGAGTGATCAAGGGGTGCCAAGTGGGATCCTTGTTGACGCGTGGGGGGAGGGAGGGGGAGGAAAGCAAAGAAACCTTGAGCCAGGCGGCGTGCTGGGGCGAATTCGTCGCCATGTGGCCTGGTTGGTGATGATCCTTCCTTGCGTGGCTAATTAAATAAGCTTAACGACTAGGGACTAGACTGATCAGGTGTAAAACATCCTTATGCGGTTGCGTAACGAGCAGGGATGGATTGCCGACCACGGCGATGGGCCCGAGATCGGCCCAAGATGGGATGAAATGCGACGAAATGCGACGTGGATGTTGAGTGAGTGCATTTGCATGCAGGCTGAAGATTGATTGAGGTCGCATTTGCTGTGGCTCTCTGCTCTCAGTGCTCTGTTCTATATTACTACGTAGTCAGAGTGACGTGAACGCAAGGCTGGGCATCACTCAATATCTTGTTTCAATTGCCTTGTTTTGAGGCGATCCTCTCCATCCCGCAACCATCGCGGATGGCGGTCTCAAGTGCTTCTAGTGTTGGTTGGCTAAGGCTCACCACCTGTAACAGCCCCCTAAAATCCCATCCATCCCGCAGGCTAGAACTGACCTTGTTTTGTCATCCAGCGCCGTCCCGTCAAATAAACATCCCGGCAGCCCAACTAGGCCGGGATCAGGCGGATCAGATAAAGTCAACGTGCAACAACGGTAATTTCAGGAGCGGATCCAAGCCAGCGGGCTACCGTTACATCAACGACAGACGTCTATAGAAGCCTAGCCTAGAAGTCTATCCCACCAACCTCTAGGACTAAAGCCCAGTTTGGGCAAGGCCCCGTAGCCGCGTAAACAAGGATGCCATCGACGGGATGATTTATCCCGGCTGGCTAAATGGGGCCCTGGAATTCCAACGTGGGAGGTGCCAAGCAGTTACTAGGCGTAGACATACCAGGGCGAGTACAGCCCAAGTACAAGCCCCGAATACAGTTCGCTCTTAAATACAACGATCCCGCCCATCAACTAACAGCCTCTTGCCAACCACATCACTCTCTTTCATCGCCTCCAACTTCAGACTATCATTCACCATGCGTACTCAGATCCTCGCCAGCGCCCTGGTTACCGGGGCCATGGCCTCCCGGCCCTTCCTCAACTCGCCTGATACCGGCATCGAGGCGGTCCTCGGCAGCACTGCCGGCCTTCCCGCACTCGCCGACATCATGGGCCTTCCCGACTTTGACTGGGCTGCCGAGCACTCCCTCCCCGACAAGAACTACACCTACTACCGCAACGGTGCTGGTGGCGAGTACTCGTACCGCAACAACCTCGAGGTGTTCCACCGCTACCACTTCAAGCCTAGAGTTCTGGCTGGTGTCTCTCAGCTCAAGACGACTCTTGCGTAGGTCAAGTCTAAACCAAAGACAGGAGTGTAACTGACAGGTTTCTCGCATAGCACTACTATGCTTGGCCACAACGTCTCGGCCCCCTTCTTCATTAGCCCCTGTGCTCGCGCCGAGTACGGAAGCCCTGAGGCTGAGTACGGCCTGGTCAAGGGTGCTGCTGAGGGTGACATCATCTACATCGTACGTACCCTGAACGTGTCACTTTGTATCAAATGCTAACTAGAATCTAGCCCTCCCACTATGCCTACCTCTCCATTGAGCAGATCCACGCCGCCAAGGCCGAGGGCCAGGTCGTGTTCCAGCAGGTGTGTTTCCGCAGACTGTCTCAAAACGTTGCCAGTGCTAACCATTGCTAGCTGTACCTGACCTCCAACGACACTGTGACCCAGCGGGAGATTGACCGCAGCGAGAAGGCTGGTGCCGATGCCCTCGTCTTCACCGTCGACTCTGCTGCCGGCTCCATCCGCCACCGTGCTGGCCGCTACGGTGTTGGTTCCGCGTAAGTATTACTCTGTCCTTCGACCCAGCTTCAAAGCTAACATGTGTTCCAGCAACTCTGCTTTCTCCACCTTCACTGTCAGTTCTTACCCGCGAGCTAAACAATCCCGACGCCTCTCCGAATTCCTGCTGACAATTGAATAGTGGGACTACTACAAGAAGCTCCAGAAGATGACTTCTCTCCCCGTCATCCTCAAGGGTATTGGCAGCGTCGAGGATGCTAAGCTCGCTGTCAAGTACGGTGCCCCCGCCATCATTCTCTCCAACCACGGTGGCCGTCAGCTCGACGACAGCCCTTCTGCTCTCGAGGTTGCCCTTGAGATCTACCAGGAGGCTCCCCAGGTCTTCAGCAAGCTCGAGGTCTACGCCGACGGTGGTGTCCGCTACGGCGGAGATGTCCTGAAGCTTCTCGCCCTCGGTGTCAAGGCTGTCGGTCTCGGCCGCCCCTTTATGTTCGCCAACGTCTACGGCACCGAGGGTGTTGCCAGGGCCATTGAGATTCTCAAGAACGAGATCGCTGTCGATGCTGGTAACCTGGGTGTTGCTGACCTGAAGAAGATCAACGCCAAGTTTGTAAGTTATTCTTTTGCGAAGTTGAAAAAATTAAGTACTAATGCAACAATCTAGGTCAACTGGAAGCCCAACAACTGGTACTCCTAAATGACGAAAGATTTCTGGCTGTAAAAGCTAGAAAGTTTGTATATAGTTGCTTTGCCTATCCATACATTATTTGAACATAGAATACAAGTTTCAAGACTTCGCAAAAACGGTACCAATTCGATTGACTTTGTGTTGCATTCTTTCTAGAACCGTAGTGTCGGGAGAGCTCCCAAATATGTGATGGACTTTGGTTCTATCGGCCGAGCCGGGTACAAAAGCTGATTGCAACACGTTGCAGATTTGAGCTTGACTTGAGGTGGGGAGTACTGGCAAGCGTCATGTCATTGTGAGTAACTAGTTTCACTAACACCCACGTCCTCGTGATCAGTTAAAACAAGCAAGATGGACATATGTTCTATAGTCGTGTGTCCGGTGGCACTACGCACTGTAGATGGAGACAAAACATTCACGGTGGGACAAAGCCCAATGGTGCACACGGGTGCACACATCCGTCTGGTATTGCAAAAACCAGATAACCGGGAGACATATAACTGTTTCATGGCCAGAGCTGGACCCCCTAACATCACAACACCGAAATACTAATAACCGAAGCCCAGTGGCTGCCAACTCTTACGGGGAGATGACGAACCCCATCCAGCAGGCAGTAATTCATTGCTGCGTCCGTGCCTTGCAATCTGGGCAAAATGAGGAACCAGGTTCGGGGAAAATATGCATTACGAGATTGCCTGCCTTGGATGCGACCTGAGAAAAAGCAAATATGCCGTGTGGAGCTGGTGGGTATTTCTGCACAATTATTATCGTGGGCTGAGTCTCGAGCAATCATATCCGTTTCAACATGTTTCAAGGATCACGTCAACTCACTAGGCGACTAATAAGCAAAAGCTGTCAAGTCCCAGCTGTAAGCTTTGTTGGGGGGGGGAGAAGCCCATGAGCTAGGACGAGCACTCGGCATAAGTCCCTGGACGAAGCGGTTCCTGGCCCACAAGTTGCCAGGCAATGCCGGCTCCGATGCATGCTTCCTGGTTAGTTCGACTTAAGTTCCGATTCCTGCCGGGTTCGGTGCACCCGAGGATTCAGAGTGCGAGTTGTGGCAGCTTGTGATGTTGCATTTTCGCTCGCATAGTGCAGTCAGACAATCAGTGAAACGGGCACGATGAATCCCTGACAGTGCAACCCGAGTCGACGACTCAAATTTGCCGGTATCCATTGACGGGGTCTTCATGCCAGATCTCGTGCGTTGTTTTTCGTCTTGGTGGTGATCTGTCTGCTCGATGCGAGACCCAAGGCACTCTCTACAGTGGGGATGTGGAACACGATCCACAGTCTCTTCAGCTGTCGGGCATCGCGATGTCACGCATTGCGTTGTCGCGTACATGCTCTATGCTATTGCACTATATGCACCTTATCGCGGTCACGCCGTGTGTTGGCCCCCGTGCAGTGTTTTGCCTGCAAAGTGCGTTGGCAACCGAGTGGCGGCCGCATCGACATGGATATCCCCAGATCCCGCGGGAGACTCCCGGTCGATTTCCCCGTACCCGATGACTTGCATATGCTAGCGAGATGCTTCCCGAAGACAGGCCCGGTACGTATAAATAGAATACCAGGAGTCTTCTGCCAGGGTGTTTCTGCCGGAATTCTGCTGCTCAACAATTTGCATCACCATCTATACCACCCACCTGCTCCAATTGTCCAAGGGGCACCACCAAACCGTCGTTTACGATTCCCAAGCTCCCGGCAAAACACCCAGTAACACTCATTCAGCATCTCGATTCGTCTCGCTAAGAAGCTGCCGCTGCTGCCGCAGAAACCCTGTCCTCGAACCCTTACTGAACACCACACATCTCCCAGGTCCGGCAGCATCCACGCTACTCGGACCCGGCAAAATCAGTCACGATTTCCGCCCCAAACCGAATGAAGAAGTTGACGAAGAGCCTGCGGAGCCTTGGCCGCCGCCGCTCGAAGTCTTCCAAGTCAACAACCTCGACGGTAGCCTCATCCATTCATACCACGGATGACCACGAGGTCTTTGCCTCCCCAGCAGAGGAGAAGCCCATGGCGTTCCCGGCGCCCGCTAAGGAAGAGTCCAAAGCAAGAGCCCCCAGATTCGAACTTGAAACGGAGCCTGAGGCCCTCCCCAAGGCACCACCTGAACCGGCCCCCAGGCGAGAAGAGTCCATCATCCCCGCCAAGGAAGCACTCAAAAATGAAACCCCGAAGGATGAGCTCCAGTTTAAACCTGAGCCACTAGCAAGGGCTATTAAGGAGAAACAACCCGATCTTGAGCCTCAGCCCAAAGTCCAACCCGAGCCACCAGCAGAAAAGCCGAAGAAGGCAGAGCGTAACCCTGTGCCTGAACCCGTCCCTGCCAAGGATGGGCCGAAAGCTCCTGTGGAGAGGCCTAAGGAGGATGCGAAACTGACGACTTTCCCGCCAGTGACTCTGGAGGAATCGAAGCCCAAGGCACCTCCCCCAGTCTCAATCGCGGAAGTGAAACCTGAATCTGCTTCGCTAGTCACTCTGAAAGAATCGAAACTCAAGGCTCCTCCGCCAGTCACGCTGAAGGAAGGAAAGCAGTCTCTTCTCCCGGTCACTCTGGAGGAATCGAAAGCCAAGACTCCTCCACCTGTCGCTCTAGAGGAAGTGAAAGCCAAAACTCCACCACCAGCCACCCTGCAGGAACTGAAACCCAAGACACCTCTACCAATCACACCGAGGGAATCGAAACCCAAGAGTCCCCCACCAGTCACGCTGGAGGAACCGAAACCCAAGACTCCTCTCCCAGTCGCTCTTGAGGACGTCTCCAAAATAGAGCACCCCGCTGAGGCTCCAAAAAGGTCTTGGGCCGAAGACTCTTGGCATCTTGAGGAAGATCCGCAGGAACAAGATTCATGGGAACAGGTCGATCCATGGACACCGGGAGTCGAATCAACACCGACGGTCGAACCAACTCCGGCCGTTGAGCCAATCCCAGAAATTGCGCCTCCTCCGGAAGTCCTGCCAGCTCCCATGATTCTTGCCCCTCCTCCAGTTGCCCCGGCCCCTAGGACTCTTAGGGCGCCATTTACGGCATTGCCCCCGATACAAGCCGAGATTCCGATCAGCATTTGGGTCTGGGCTAGTGCTTGAATGGATTTCATAAGTATTTGAACAGATTGTATAATTTAGAAAATATACATTTTTTTATTAAAAAAAAAAGGATGCTCTTACAACCCGTATTTGGTTTGCTAACCTGGTTTTAATGAGCACTTATGATTGTAGGGATGCCCCTCATAGCCTGCCTCTATTGGTTTTGCAAGGCCGGCAATCGGGATTAACTTAGAGGTGATGTAATTGGTACCCCTCATGAGGGGCTCCGTCAGACTAATTGCTTCACCTCAAATGACCCCACTATATACTCAACGTTTTCTGGTTACTCTTACCATGCGGATTGGAAGAATCTTCTAAATTGAAATGCAGTTCGAAAGTGTAGAGGCAAAGAATATTTTGGGATTTTTTTGCATTATTTTGACCTTTTTTTAACTCGCGGCCGCTGGGTTGCGGGACTGCGCGGCTTGACAGGTGCTAACTTCCTGATTTTTTCGTGACTCCTCGGGAGGTGCACATGTCACTAAGTCCATCCCACCCTTTCTTCTGTGGCGCACCACGTCGAAACTTCAACCTCTTCAAATCGCGCGTCTTTTTTGTCCCAATCAACACCAACCACTCTCTCACGCCCAGTTGTTTGCGACAATGACTATCACAGTGATTCTGGGCTCCCAATGGGGTAAGAACCTTTCCTTATCCCTGCATTCCTTCGTTTTGTGCCCCGCGCCGATACCGCGGGGTGAAAACCGCGGGGCGACATCGCGAGGTGACGACACAGAGACATCTGCTGACACGATTGCGCCCTTGTAGGAGACGAAGGCGTATGTGAACCTATCGGGCTTACGACTCCACAAGATATCGATCAATTGACTTACGAGCGCGACCAATAGAAAGGAAAGCTGACCGACATCCTTGCCCCCGAGGCACAGCTTTGCGCGCGAGCTGCCGTGAGCACAGTCCAATCCACGACAAGGAATACACACTGAGACAACATACAGGGCGGTCACAATTGTGGGCACTCAATTCACGCCAATGGTGTGTCGTACAGGTATACAGCCTCAGGACAGGCATCATAACTGAGGCATGGAGGAAGACTTACAGTTTCTAGCTTCCATCTTCTTCCGTCCGGTCTGATCAACCCGAATTGGTGTGTTGCTAATTTGCTGTGATCCGTGATGTATCAGAACTAATGTTTCATCCCAGCATGAACTTCATCGGCTCAGGTGTCGTCTTCCACGTGTAAGTAGCCGCCACCATCGAGACACTATACCGCCCCTTCGATTACGCTATTACCTATCAATCGTGGTCGTTAATTTCGAAATGACAACTCTGCTCTTGATTGTGTAGGCCGAATTGTTGACCGACTTTCTAGCCCCTCCTTCTTCAAGGAGCTTAAGGAGCTCGATGAGCTCGGCCTCCCTGGAGTCTATGATCGAATTCTCGTCTCAGACCGCGTCCATATCGACTTGGACCTTCACGCCGCCGTCGATGGACTTGAGGAGGTTGAACTAGGAGGTGAGCAATCCGATCAGCAACCAAATCCTTGGACAACCTCTAATATATCACCTTCTAGAGGGCAAGATCGGAACCACCGGTAGAGGTATCGGTCCAAGCTATTCTTGCAAAGCCGCAGTAAGTACAATGATACCGAAGTGGCAATGTACACTTTGCTGAGTCTGTAATAGCGAAGTGGAATTCGGATGGCAGAGGTCTTCGATGCCGAACTCTTTGAGTCTAAGCTTCGACGACTTGCATCTGGCTACGCTAAGAGATACGGAGATCTGCTCAAGTACGACGTCGAGGAGGAGCTTGCCCGTTTCAATGAGTACCGCCCTAAACTCGCTAAATACGCCGTCGACGGCGTATCTCTACTCCAATCAGCGCAAAAGAACAACACCAAGATCCTTGTAGAAGGCGCCAACGTAAGTACTCTACCCCAGTAGCCGAAGTATCTTTTCTGACTCTTTGGTGGGCTGAGCAATCGTGCCTGCGGTCTCATACCCCATTTCTCCGACCCTGTGGCATTATTGTGAGGCAGACTAGAAGTACCTTCACTTCATCTGGCCAAAGTAGCAATACGGCCGTGCCCTAATGCCTCTGGCCGGAATGGACTTCGAGCACTTTTAGCCTTCCTCACAATGCCAAACGGGTTCAATGTCTGCGACAAACCTGTGACTATGGTCCAGTAACCTTTGACATATTGATATTTCTTCATGAAGATTGAGCCCTGATATTATTTATGGATGACCACATCTATAGGTAGTTTCAGGGCTTGTTTTCATGTCAGAAACCTCCTTTCTACATGTCGAAGGTGGACTATTGGTACTCGTTTTGATCCGCTTTGGCAGGAGAATGGGGTATCAGACCCAGAGACTTTGCTCGGCTTACCTAGAACAGGCCCTGATGCTTGATCTAGACATGGGGTCGTACCCGTGAGTCTTCTGCCCCCCTATCTTAAATGCAAAATACTAATTGCGGAAACAAGATACGTGACTAGCTCTACCACAAGCATAGCAGGCATTATCGGCGGTTTGGCACTTAATCCTCGTGGCCTCACAGAAGTCATTGGTGTAGTCAAAGCCTGTATGTTTTATTCCACCCGCCGTGTGACTGAAGACGATGCCACCGGTTTCCTAAGATACACCTTATGTTAGGATCGGTGGCCGCTTCTTCACCCACATGCTCGCCTTCACATTCATACTGACGAATACCAGACACAACGCGAGTTGGTATGGGAAGCTTCAAGACTGAAGACCTTGGAGAGTGGGTATTCCAACCTATTGGGCTATGAGTGGTAATTGACCAAGTGCAACAGGGTTGGCACGAAACTCCAGGACGTGGGCCGAGAATGGGTAACGATTCATCGAAACAGGTTACGAAGAATCAATACTGACTGTTTCTAGGGAACTTCCACTGGTAGAAAACGCCGTTGTGGCTGGTAAGTTTCTTGGATACTCGGAAAAGTGTGTTGAGTGGTCATACTAATGAGAATAGGCTCGGTGTGTTAAACCCTATGATGATAGACACGGAGCATCCTGCACCGGTATAACTAACACGTATTTGTAGACCTTGTTGTCGTCAAGTATAGCACGGCGATCAACTACTACACTGCACTGAACCTCACCAAGGTGAATATCTATTCGCGAGTTTTGCCCTTGATTTAGGCACAATGACTAATTCGACCTTCACAGCTTGATGTTCTCGACACCTTCGAGACGATCAAGATCGCCATTGCGTACAAGGATCCCGAGACCGGCGAGGTTAGTCTACATACTTGTATTCGAGTTGATACAAATCGCTGACGGCCTGTAGGAGTTGGCTGCATACCCTGCAGATCTCAACATCCTCGACCGCGCTGAGGTTATCTACCACGAGATGCCCGGATGGAACAAGCCGACCACTAACGCGAAGACCTACTACGACCTCCCCAAGCAGGCACGAGATTACGTCGATGTAAGAGTTTGGTTGTTACTGACGTGGGCGACTTTGCTGACTGCTTTGCTAGTATATCGAGAATTTCGTCGGAGTCAAGGTAAGCTTTAACTCTTGTGAACCGCTTCAATAGCCTGTGTATTGACAATTCCTAGATCAAGTGGATTGGCACCGGCCCCGACCGTGAAGCTATGATTAAGCGATTTTGAAAGGCCGCTGGTGGGATGGGTTGGGTCGGGGTGAGAGAGGGCTATGTGTGAACTCTGGTTGTATGCTTCCAAACACAACAGGAAGTCCAATAGAATCTCTAAGTCCGAGTACCAGCAAAGATAGAAAGTCGTTCTGATATTCTCTAGTTTATGGGAATTAACACAAACCAATCTGTGCATTCATCAGCCCTGGGAGCGAATCCGGTGACGTCTCACGCAACGCTATCACCGTGCTTTAGATTGATGACTGCAAGCCTAATTTGGCCTCGTGGGTCCAGATACGTTTTGATGTCAATATTTCAATGCCATCAAGTCCTACTTCCTAGGCTTTCAACAGAATCACTGCATGCTTGGCCTGGTTCATAATACTTAAATTTTGATGTATCCCAGGATTATCGGCAACGGTGTCTCCCATAAACCACCTCCAGTTCTGCCTCCTCAGTTTCAAGTCGTGTTATTAGCGAGAGCTCCCTGAGAGACCAAGCTCCGAACAAACGCCACAACCCCTCTGATTGCTACAGGAGGAATATCTCCGTTTTTGTCAAAAGAAGGGTCGTACGATGCAATTGTAAGCGAGGCTGGTTGTGTTTTCCGAGTAATCGTCTCCAGGCATCCGACAAGATCTGTTTCCAGCAGCCCGCCAGGGGCGGAGAATTTATTCACCATTCCGACCGAGGTGTCGAGGCAGTCGAGGTCGACGTGGACCATTGTCGGACCTAGTTGTTGCTCTGCCAAGATCTTCTGTAGCTCGGATTCGAAATTGACATGACGCGTTGTGTCTCCCCATATGGTAGAGAAGCCTGCGTCGATAACTCGCCCGCGCTCCAGCTCAGTCACGTCACGCATTCCGACGTTGACGAAACTCTTCTTCAGGTCCATGGGCTGAAACCCAGGCACAGTAGACAACAGAATCTTCCACCCGACGCCCTCCAACATGGCCACTGGCATGGAGTCAAGGTACCCACTGGCCAGGACGTCGGGAGTGTTGTAGTCATCATGTGCGTCAAACCACACACAACTCGGCGTCATCTTCTGGCGAAGGAATTCGTTTGAGCCCGCGAGGCCAGCGGCCACACCCACTGCGGTGGAACAGTTGCCGGAAAGGATGAGGGGGAATGAGCCGGCATCAATGACCTGAGAGACTGCCTTGGAGGTGCGACGCAGTAGCTCAAAGAGACGCCCGATTTCGCCCTCATACTCATCCACGGGCTCAAGCTCGACCACACTCACCTCAAACCCTTCGTCTTTAACCGCAGTGACGAGACCGGCCTCGATCAATGTTGTTGGTCCTGCGCCAACGGCGACGTTCTTGACGCCGACATGGTAGGGCGACGAGATTATGGTGATGGACTTTGCAGGAGCCATGATGGAGAAGCAGATTCCCTCGCGTTCTGGTAGAAAATGGGTTGGTATAGTTGTAGGTTGGTAAGTTGATCACCGACAGATCTGTCTGGCGTTGATCGTGGTACTACACCCGGCTGGCCGTTGAGAGTGATGGCGGGAATCAGAAGAAAGCCAATATCTTCCGTCCCTGTCCTCCTTTTATGAACCTTTCTAGAAGAGCAGACACGAGCCGGGTAGGAAATATATAGAATTGCGACCATTCCTTCAAAGTCCAGCCAACACGCTCGTTTGGGACTATTCCTCCAAAGTCCAGTCAGATGCAGGCTGTTTGGAGCTATTCCCCCAAAGTAGAGCAGTGCGAAGTGCGGCGTCAGAATGACACACAAAAGAGGGACCAAAGTGAAAAGACCGCGATAGCCGAGGTTGACTATACGTAGCCCTGGTCATATGGCGAGTACATGAGAAATCACTGCCGGCGACGTCGAGCTCCGAGTGTTGAGTCAGATGATGACTCGTATGCATGCCCTGACAACCAACCAGCCGGCATAGATGTCTGCATTTCATGCATGTAACATAAAGGGCGAGCCTTGTGGGTTACTTCCTCATTCAAATCGATTGGGTCTTCTGGGGTTGACTTGCATGGAGAGAGCCACTATCAGTTTGACATCTTCGCGCCCTTCATGTCATGGCGCTTTGCACTTATCTCGATGAACAGCGCCCACACGTTGTCCAATGAAAGCCAGTTGGTTGAAGGTTCGTATCATTCCGGATCCAGATCGAACACCCCCGCAGTTCTATCCCTACACGGTAATCCAAGAAATGAAAATACAGAAGCGCCAGTTTAAAACATTCAATACCCAGGCTATGCGTAATCCCGTTCCTCTCCTACTCTTCGTTCCCCGAACAGATATGCGGCCTCGAGGCAGAACCGCCCATGCCCTCTCTCCATGCGCCTCTCACTGCCGTAGCAGATGAGCACCGCATCCACGATGCCGCTTAGGATACCCTCCATAGCGCCCATCACCGAATAACCAATGAAACTCGCCATCAAGCCAACTACGTAGGCGTACGCCGAACCCCTCGCTCCCATGCCGTCCGGAAGCTGAATACGCAGCTGCTTAGCCGTAATAACCCATCCCGCCAAACCCAGGCCAGTGGCCATAATCAACCGAGTCGCCACCAGAAGCAGCTTTGCCAATCGGTATGGGAGGAGCCCGTTGGGCTGTCCCCGAAGACGCAGTGCCCGTGGAGTCAGAGTTGTGGTCGGTATGCTAGGGGAGACGAGCTCCATCTGGTCCAGCCCTCTGGCCGAGGTTGCCAAGTTTTGCGAATGGATGGCCGAGTATGTGATGGTCAGCGGGTTCATCAAGGCCACGACAGGCGTCGGAATCCAGAAAGAAGCAATATTCGAGATAGCCGCACCCATCCTCCTCGGCAGAAATATAAACGGCGCTCGGATGAGCAGGGACAGGAGAGTCGATTCGCAGATGCTGCCAAAAATGGTTGTTAGCGCGTGGTTAAGCGCAGCTGTAACAATCTCTCGTGAAGGCGTCGGTGGGCCGGCGTTCCGGTGAAAGTACCACTGGGACACAGTCGCGGCTGTGGTGCCGCGGTGGACAGCGTTGATGACGGAAACGGTCCACATGTACAAGAAAATAAAGGCTGCTCCCAACCACCAACTCGAGAAGCGGATCACGAACCGCACGAGTGACTTGGAGAAGTAACCTCCCATGAAAACGCGTGTGAACATGACGAGCCAAGCCCAGGTCCAGATTACAATCAACGCCAAGCACCCGAAGCCCACCAGCATCAGTGCCGAGTTCTGAGCCAGAATCTTGCTGGAGAACTGCAGGATCTCAATCGCTTGTTGGATCGCACGACGGCCCCTCACGACCAACCATACCCAAAGTACACATGCGGCAGCGGGGATGATTGCTGTCCATCGCATGACGGTGTCCTGCAGGCTCGTCCCGTGTGTCCGACCTTTGAAAGAGGAGACAAAGGAGTAAATAGAGAAAGAAAACAAGATGACGGGCACTGCGATAAGAATGACGCTAACGAGGGGACGGACGAAAGACCTGAGGGCTGCAAGCCAGACGAACGACACCATGACGGCCACCACCGTATCCACTGCTAGCATGTGAAATGACTTTTGTAGTGTGGTGTAGATGGTATCACCAACAGGGCTCTTTCCCGGTGACGTATGTAGCCAGACGAGAAAGAAAGTTGACAGCATCCCGGCAAGACTGATGAGGAAGATCCAGGCAAAGAACGGGTCATGTCGAAAGATTTCACCTTCGGGGAAATTCACCGTTGTCTGGATAGGTTCCTCATCATCTAAGCCGTCTTCCCGTCGCGCACCGCTCATTTCCGTTTCTGTGGTAGACTCTCTCCGAACCATAAATGGTGTTCGCTCCGAATCGCCGGTGTCGCCGCGCTTGAACCTCTGGAAGGCGGGAGGGCTGGTGTCGGTCGGGGTCTCGCCCAAGAGAGATGCAGGCGGATCCTCGTCCAGATCTGCCTGTGACTCGAGCCCAACATCCACCATCTTGCCCTTTCCATCTGGTCCACGCTCGCTGTTCTGGTCAACGCTCGATCTAGGACTGTCCTCGACCTCTTCCACCAGGGTATCATTCGCTACGCCTGGGCGATGGGTACTTCGGGCTCCATTCCAACTGCTTTTGAGGCCGCGTCGCAAGCCTCGATCTTGATAAGGATGGTCTCCGTGGCCAACGCTGTCGTCGAGCGAGCCCCGGCTATGGGCATCTGAATCGACGCTGTCGGCCAATCTGCTTGCAGCAGCCACGCGACGGGACCTCTGCAGGGCAAACAAGTCGGCGGCCTCCCGTTCCCTCTCTTCTTCGTCATCCTCCTCCCGAAACTCATCTAGGGTGCTCTGGAACAGCGGGGCATCCTGAGCGGCGGAGATGCGAGACGCAAACGCAAGCTGACCGAAGCGAGAGCCGCCGCCGTTCTGTTGATAAGGATTCCCGCCATAGCCACGAGATAGAAATGATCTACTGGGGTTCGCGCCTCGGCCGGCGTCTCGTTGGGTTCGGGAGGGTCGCGATGTCCAGTCGGATTGCCGGGGAGGCGCCTCGTTGTTGTCGGGCTGGCCGAAGTTGGACAGCCTCGACTGCGACTGTGCTAGGAATCTGGATGCATCTGGAAATAGTTAGAATCGTCGCGAGCGCTGGGGAAGACAGGTTCTTTGCACGAACACTCCGAAAACATGGCGCGCTCTCAACACCAGCCACCTCACGTGCGCCCAAGCACACTGCAGCGGCGACCTCGATAGACTGATTGTCGATGTGACGTAAGGCGGAGACCGCAGGCAGACAGGCAGACGAGGCCTCGTGTGTCGGAGCGTCGTTGGAGATGTTTAATCGGGTCGCCAAAGGGGATATCGGGGTGGCAGATCGGACGGAAGCGAGGGTCGTCGCGGGAGACAGTGGTGTATGTATGAGGAAGAAAAATATGCAAAAAGCAAAAGATGGTTGTGCAAAGGTTACCAAAAGGTCATGAGGCGGCCCGGCAGACAGATGAGGCGTCCTCGGCTTATCACTGGTGCTGGGTCGCTGACTGACCGAGTTCAGGCAGACAGCCAGGCCGATCAGCTCCAGTTGTCCAGGGACCTTAGGGGCCCTGGTAAGTCCTGGGGCGCTGAACTTTAGTGGTCGCGACATGCGGTCAGCAGAGCCTAGGGGGGCCCACAGCGCCTAGGACCGTGGCGGGACGCACTCAGGCGCCACAGGCAGCCGCCCTGCCAGAGCATCTTGAGAGGCATCAAGGGTAACCTGGGGCCATGTACTTGCGGTGCGGCATGACACGTGGATTACAAGGCGTGGATACATATGCAAAGGTAGTTGTTGGCGTTGATGCACGCAATCTGCCGTCACAGCACATCCTGTACATGTACATCAACCTCCAACATCTCGTATCCAATGCCCCTCCCTGTTATAGACGCACAATCTCTCGATATCTTTTATCCATTCCTCGAATATTAGCCCACGCGAGACTCGACCTCGAACAGTGACCAGTGCCCGGATGACTGAACAGGGCAGAACGGCTGATCAAACGACCTTTGCGCTGGGATCAACTGACTCTTTGGTGTCTTACCCAATCCGTTATCGCAACTCGCCCGTTGCGTCACCGATAGCGCAGCACCGAAGCCCAGAACCCCACTGTAACTAGACCCTATTTGGTGGGAAGTCCTCCACCTCAGTCTGCATCCGTCACGCTCGCGTCACGCCCGGATGGACTCAGGTCACTTCCAAGAGCGGGAATAGCATGATTTCTTGGTAATTGTAGAAAATATTTATTTATCCTGGTCATGTTTGGGAGATTTCGAGCTCATTCATTGGAATGTTTATTCTTTCTTACTCCCGGCGCCCTTGGCTACGCTTATCCACGAACGACATGTGTTTCATCCTGACGCCACAAGGGCAACCAGGGACCGTTAAATCACTGTCATCGTGAAATAGCATCTTCATTGTAAAGTCAGCGTTTCTAAGAATCCTGGACTTACTATCCCGTGCAGAGAAAGTATCCAAGATCATGTCCACAATCTCCATAGGGTATTCGAGAAAGATAGCCTCACCATTATTGCAGTCAAAAACTGCTACGGTGTAGCTATCGTCAGAACATCGCGACGCCAGAGGCGTTAGGATCCCGTCGGCTCCCGTCTGTCAAATATTTACCTAGAGGTATCGACTTCAACAGTGCACAGCTGCATAAGTAGAATTCAGGGTCACGAGAGTTTGCCACGTTGTGTCTCGCTTCTCCCAAGGAAGTGCTGGTATTAGTGCAGCATAGCGGCAGATGACGGCAGTGGCATTCCATGCATGCGAGCTGACGAGTGAATGAGATATAGGCTCACTCATAACTGCGGAGCATTTCTATTCGCACACATGTAGCTTGCTATTTACACCAAGTACATACTCTGATCCTCAAGATAATCATCAAGAATGCGCCTAATACAGCAACTCAGGAAATAAAGTTTATATAACCCTTAGTCTTAGCACTTGTCCCCTAATAGTCATTCTTGTTATATTTATCAAGTTAGATTTGTTAATAGAGCTGGAGAAGTTGGTCTTTACTCCCGTCCGCGTCTCTCTGATGCTGTTGACAAAGTGGGGACGTATCATTGCCTATTATGGCGACCACGCCCCCGTCAGACAACATTGGCCTCGGAGGCCCATGTACTCGGTATACATGTGGCTGGGCAATGATGTGATATCAAGCCTCGGGCTAAGTAATTGACCTAATGCTTGTTCCGACTCTTATCGTCACGGTTCACTGACGGCGATGAGGGGGTACAGCCCACGCGCGTCTCCGCTGTTCCCGGGGCTCACTCCGTAGGAGCAGTAAGGCAGATAGGCTATTCTGCACATAGTATCGTCGGAATAATTCGCAGTGGAACTCTTTGAGTATGGCGACTGTTCGTTCGTCCACTATTGTAGCCAAATGTACGAGTCATAGGTGGATCGGCAGAGGGGGAGTCGCTAGAAGGTAATCACAAGCACCCATGATCGTTCTTCATGCCCCCAAAGCGCCACTAAAAAGAGCCCCAAGTCCTCCCTCCCAGATCCCGGAGGCTTCCAGGTTGCCGGCGTGGAACCATGCCATCGTCACCTGCAACGGTGCCCGCTTCCCGTACTCTCCCCCCTGTGATCTGGCCTTCATCTACTTCACTCCGTCACCTCTTGTTTTGCATTATTGGCTACGCGCACCACACATAATCACCCCCCTCGCAATTCCACGGATCCAAGTTGTAGATATCTAGAGACATCATTTTGTTCTAGTCTAAAGCACCTCTTCTTACGGCCAGGCCGTCTTCATCAAAAGCACGTGCCCCTCGCCTCCACAGCTCTCGCGATAGCTCCCTCCTCCCTCCAAGGCACCAACACAACGCCTCTCCGTCTCTTCTTCCTCCTCCTCCTCCAGAACAAACTCGAATCTTTCCTCTATTCTTTCATCACGCTCTCCTCGCCTCTCCGCCCCTCCTCTCCCACTCGTTGCCCCTCCCTCTCTTCCCATGTCGGCCACTCCTTGGGACTACATCGCCAAGCTCGTCTGCATCGGCGACTCAGGATGTGGCAAGTCTAGTCTCACCATCCGCCTCTGCGAAGGCCGATTCTCACCCCATCACGACGTCACCATCGGCGTCGAGTTCGGTTCCCGCATCGTCCCCGTCGGCCCGCCTCACTCCAAACCCGAAGTCCGCCCCTCCTCCGCCGACCCTTCAGACCCCGACGCCGCCCCCGATGGCCTCCCCGAACCTCCGCGCGATGCCTCCTCAGTGCCCCAGAAGCATATGAAGCTCTCTCTATGGGATACGGCCGGCCAGGAGACATACAAATCCGTCACGCGCTCCTATTTCCGCGGCGCCAGCGGCGCCCTCCTTGTCTTCGACCTCTCCCGCAAGCAGACCTTCCAGCACGTTACCGATTGGCTGAACGACCTGCGCCAGATAGCCGAGCCTGACATCGTCGTCATCCTTGTCGGCAATAAGGCCGATCTCGCCCAACAGGAGGACAACAAGCGCGAAGTCACTCGCGAGGAGGCCGAGGAGTGGGCCCGCCGCAACGGCGTCATGGAGTACGTCGAAACCAGCGCCAAGAGCGGCGAGAACGTTGAGAAGGCATTTATGCGCGTCGCCGAGAGGATATACAATAACATTCAGGCCGGGAAGTATGATCTTAACGATAGGAGGTCCGGCGTCAAGGGACCAGCCGCCGGTGGGAACCGCCAGGTGAGACTCGGAGGCGACTCGAACAAATCGGCAACCGGGGGTTGTTGCTAAGTCAAGCAAAATATTATTACAAGAGGAGGACAGGAGGGAGGCACAGAGACACAGCTAGTCCAGGAGGCACGCGCTCGCATCATGATACCCCTTGTCTGCAAGAAAACGTTGTCATCATCAAACAAGTGTATGAATTGAAGTACTCATCAAGGATTGTACAATAATGCGGAATACACTGTCGGCCCTACCAGGCCGGCTAAAGACCCATAAAGGAAATATTGCATTAGACGCGGACCACATTCCGGTGACTGTCTTCCTTGAACTCTTTTTGTCTTTCCTTGCTCGCTTTCCCAGCCCAGATCCATGAAAATACGTCCCCCTATCTTAGATTCCGAACATCACCCGATATCCTTAGACCATTTGTAAAGAGGGGATTGTATCCGCGTCTCCGCCATCATACATATTGAGCGAACTCGTCTATAGTTACACCTCTCAAGATGGACCGAGAAGGGCTCGGTCCATGTGCAAGAAGGTATGTGGACATCACTTAGTCAGTGATGCGCCAGCCGTCGAACCACTTCATGTAGCCGTACTGCTTGTGGTTTCCGGTCATGCCCCAGCAGATGGGGATGAAGTACACGTAAAGGCCAATGATGACGGTGTACAAAATACCGTAGACGACCCCCTGGATGGCCTTGTTGCGGTTGCGCATGAACCAATCGACCAGGAAGCCAAAGGTGAGAACGGCAAAGTACAGAGCCGGGTAGTAGTGATGCACGTAGGTAACACGTGCCATAATGACAAAGGGGAGGTAATGAAGGAACCATCCGGCGATGGGGTAGAGAGCAGCGTAGTGGATCAGGTCAATCTCCTTCTCGTTGAGATCCTCGAAGCCGCGTTGCCATCGGAGGATGTACCAAACAACAACGAGGCCAACAACGCCGAGTGAGACGGTAGAGCCCCAGTAGACGAGGGGGTTACCAAGCAGGAAGTACTTGACGATGTCATCGCCCCAGCCGCACATGCGGAGACCAACGTTCAACACGGGCCACTGCCACCATTGAGAAGCGAGATCATCCTGCTTATCGGGATCGGGAACAAGGGCGTTGTTGGAGGTCATCATCGCAACGTTGAGGTGAACAAAGTCGTGGAAGAAGGGGGAGGTGTACACGCCAGCCTCAGCGGGGGGGACTAGTTAGAGTCAGTACAGGCCAGAGCAATAAGATAGTGTGGGCTTAACATACGCTTCTCGTTCACGTGAGCCTCGACGTTCCAGTGAGTGTAAGTGTCGCGAGGGTTGTTGTCCTTGGTGCAGGTAACCTCAATTTGCTTGAAACCCCACTGGGGAAGGTTCACATTGCCAGCTCGGAGGTAGCAGCCCATGACCTCGTTCTTGAGACGGAAAGCGGTGGTGAGGGTGCGGAGCTTGCTGTAGTCGCGAGAGGCAGCATCACGGACAACCTCAACCTTCCAATGGTCCTTCTCGTCGCCGACAGTCAGGTTACCGTAGCAAGAAACTTCCTTCTGGCCACGGCTGATGGGGGCGGCGATATCGTGAGAGTGCAGGTTACGGCCAGTCTGGGCGTGGATAAGACGGATCATGGAACCGTCACCGATGTATCGAAGCTCAGGGTCCTCGGCGTTGTAGACGGGGTCTCGGCGGTTGGGGTAGAAGAACCAGTCGTTGTTGGTGTCCTTGTGGTGGTAGCAGGTGATCTGCTGCTGCTTAGAACCCTCAGGGTAAGTCTGAACGTGAGAGTGGAGAAGACCACCACCGTATCCCATGTTCTTGATGGTCGCGCGGGAACCATACACAATCTCGAGGGGGCTGTCCTTTCCGACATTGGTACCCTTCAGGTTGGCCTGGAACAGAGAGCTCATCTGAGCATCGCCTGGGCCGGTCTTGTCGAGGATAGCAAAGTGCAGAGCAAAGGAGAGCATGTAGATGAGGAAGGGGATGACGATCAGACCGACGACTCGAGTAACGACATGGGCACCGAGGGTAGTCTGCAATCTGTTAGTTTGTTGCAAGGCGAACCACGTGAAAGAGCATTACTTACAACAGGCATCTTGGTGTCACCAAACTTGTTCCAGAGATCCTCAATGGTGTACAATCCAACCAAGGCAGTCACAAAGAGACCAACGAGCTTGACACTGCAGACACAGCCGATGCTGACGCCAGTCATGAAGAGCCAGAAGAACCACTCGGGCTCAAAGCTGCTGTGGCGCTGGTTGTGGAACTTGGCCCAGCAGAAGACGGTGGCGACGGTGCCGCAAAGGAGCATAGAATCGAGGAGGATAAAGCGGCTGATGGTGGTGTACGAGTTTTCGCAGAGAACCATGAGAGCGACGAGCCAGACAGCGGGACGACGGAGCTTGAGCTCTCGAGCGGTGAAATAGGCCAGGGGAATGCAGACAATGCCGAAGGCGGCATTGAAGGCACGCATAAAGGTGTAGTCGACATCTTCGGGGTACTTCTCGCCGGACTTGAACTCGAACGATCCGTTGTATCCAGCGAGGACTCCGGAGAGACCAACCAGCATCTTGCCGAGGGGAGGGTGAACGTCGAAGTAGTATTCATGCTTGATGTAGTAGCTTCCGAACTTGCCAAAACTGCGCGAGATGGGTCAGTGATGCCACTTGAGGCGCGATGATATGAGGAGACGTACTGGGCTTCATCCCAGGTGACAATGTTGCTGATGCCAATCTTGTATAGTCGGGTGAAGATGGCCAGGGCTGTGAAGATCAGCGGGGCAATGACAACCTCCCACTCGTCGAGGACGTTGAGGAAGGACTTCTCCTAGAGATGCAGTTAGCACATTGCATCCCAATGTCATGGATTGCAAGGTACCGCACCTTCTTGGCCAGCTTCTTGTTGTCCTCGGGCTGGGCGAACTGGGGCTGGGAGGTGGCTTGCGACGAGGCGACGGGACGCTGTCTGAGGCCATCGCCCACGTCCGCGCCAGAGGCGACGGCGGCGGCCTTGTCGGCAGCCATCTTGCGTCAATCGAGAGACGGGAGGGCGATCTGTAAGAAGACGCGAGGAGGGCGGTGCGGCGAGGTGAAAGGGGGTTGATGAGGTCGGCAGAAAGGTGCCGAGGACAGCTGGAGAAAAAGACCGGACGAGCTGTCAGACTCAAATGGCAAAAGGGGCGAGAGCGTCGACGAAGGCGGGCAGCAGGCCGTCGTCAATGCGAATAGCAAGGCAGAAAAGCCAGGACCTGTATTGAAGGCGCAGGTTGGAGAAGAAGAAGAAGAGGAAGAAGAGAGACTCGAGACCGGGACCAGAGTGGTCGAGAAAGATGGCGGCGTGGTGGTTCCAAGAATTACGACACGACACGAATTCGACGGCATCCCCTGAAATGCCACATATGCTTCAGTGGGCTGTCGGAGCACTAGCACTGTCTAGCAGTACGACTCCCCCGTAGGCCCCCGTAGGCCCCCGTCCGGGTGCTGTCGCCTCAGGAAATCCCACGCGTGGCGTCGATTCTGGGCCAGTCGAAACAATCGAAACACTGCGCCCGCCGTCAGCTCGCCTCCACTATCTTCCAGCCGCAGGGGCTCACTGCTGTAGTGCGCTAGGGAGCTGCGTGGGCCAAGGGGGCGAGGGAGCGCTACCTAGGTAGATCTCCACTAAACATTGGTGGATCTCTCAGCCCTTGAGACCTGTCAGCCTCCTAACATTCTCCGAGCTGGAATTGACGCGAACTGACACGTGCTTCCTCACGTGAGGCAAGGTAAAAATAGCACCAGAGCATTCAATTCATTCTGAGATTTTGGAGAGTTGAGAGAACTGAAGTCTACCATATTGGCGACGGGGTTAATCTCTTGGAATGGGTCATCAATTACAGCCATTTTCTTTGTTGAGTGCCAATCGAATTTTCGTCGGGGCCGATAAATTCGAGTAAATTGATATAACAAGTGTCGTCGGTGTAACATATGGTTCGTGGTCATTTGCCGGAACATGTGTTGCGACTTCAATGCACATGGAACAAGGAGAAATGGTTTCTACCCTCCCATATCGTGGTGGGATTTAAGGCAAATTTCAAGAGAGACATACGAGATGTGGCACCCAAATCAAATATTGCGCTTCTACAAAGGAAAACAGGCACGATAGCAATTGTTAACAAATGTGTAAGCTATGGAAGAGATCGTGGTAGCAATTGAAGGTTCACATGCCTCAACCGCACGAGCCACATTTGCTCACGTCCAAACACACTAGCGAGGCCGAAGATCGCCCTCCCCGCCACGGAAGCACCCACTGAGGCAATCCTTGTAAACCCGGCATGCTCTGATACGAACTCATCACATGTGATTTCCCCATCCAATTTCAGCTTGTTAGAGTATATTCATCGTACGTTCCCTTTAATCCCGTAAAATACCCAATCACCGCAGTAATCTTCAACACTCCATGCGTCACCATTCGTCGAATCGTCATTTGTACCCGGCTTCCTAGAAACTTGGGCCCAGCCCAAAACAGAGGGTAATTGTCGTGCGCGTGCATCACCACAAAGAGGGAGACCAATAAGACGATGCCGCCCCACAGTCCGTCTTCCTTGTCTTTGATACAACTGATAATGTTGCGGAAAAAAACCGTCTTGTCGCCATCATTTGGGTCCGTCCATTCCTTTATCCGGAGGTCGGCATTTCGGGAAGAAGAACCCTCTTCTGTCTCGTCAGCTCGGCCGTACTGGTGGATCACAAATCGCGGGATCGTAATGATGCCGTCTTCGGGGCCAAATACGGCAGTCTTGTCTCCAACCGTGATGAGGGCATGACCCTGCAGTACTTGGACGTATTCTAGTAAATGTGAGCAGAGTTGACTGTCAAAATAACCCAATCACAAGGCACTCCAGACTTACCAGTCTTGTCTTCATGCCAGTGAAGACCGGTTCTGGTTGTAGTGCCGACGCGAAAGACAACGGTTGAAGTTGGGTTGCTCGCCCGACAGTCGGCGAACTCGACACCGCCCTGATCGAGAAATAGCGACGGCTCGTTTCGAGTAATTGATCGTGGCATGGTCAATAATTGCGAATTTTTCGCTCATATTGACGTTGAGCCTCGGTTTATGGCGAGTGTCAAGCTATTTGAATAGCTGTATGGCTACCTTCTGTGAGCAAGAAGTCGCCGACGTTCGTCCGACTCCGAAACCTGCCGGCTGCATGGCAATTTAGTTTGGCTTTCTATCTCACATTGGCCCCCATGCTACTCAGAAATCCGGGACAAGCGTTACGTTGCATGGTAAGCCACGGGAACTTGAGCGTATCGGGTAAGGAACGTTTGTGAGAACAGAATTCACTGGCCGAAACCCGTTGTGCCGATGCCCTCATATGGCCTCGAGAGCAACGCCACATCTGCTGTCTCAAGGCGGCGGCAGGTCGTGACCCACTGGAAGCCCCTTTTGCAGTTGGTTCGTCTCGGTTGAGGAGTATCTTTTCGATCTACATTACTTTTCTCGAATGCCTTTTCTCAGCCGTGTGCTCTGTCCTTGAGGGTATTTTTCCAATCACAACATTGAAAATCGATCGTGTTTGGTCAATTAGCCGTCGTCCGAGTTGGACGTGTGTAATCTCCCTAGCTTCGCATGCACCTCCCACCATTGCAGTTTATTTATTTGCGGTAGTATTATGGTTGAACTAAATGAATCCCTGTTCTGCCTTTGCGAACGTTTCATTCTTACTGTCATGATTGGGAATTTCCAGTCGCACCTCGACAGCTCATTTATCCCAGCACCTAGCCTCAGGGTAGCCCTTGTATGTGGCATGTCACCGGTTCGCCAGGAATCCATCATAAACCCGCGGAAATATAGAACTACAGAACCTCAACAGGCAACTGGGCCCAGTAAATCTACCGAGACCTACCTAGCCTGGGGGCTGAAAGGGGCCCGCTCTGGCTCCGCTACACGGAGGCCTGTTTGTAGTACACCAACGCCTTATGTCATCCACCGCATCTCGTGGCCACTCTCCGGCGACTCAGACCCTCTAGACTTCCAGAACTCTCGTCATCCCGCCCTCATGCTCTCGTGAGGCGTCGAGTTTAGTTTGAACAATCCCCTCCTTTGCCCTCGCTCCTCTCTGTGCGTCTCTCTCGCCCTCTCTTGCTGCCCAGATCTCGGGGATTTCCGACACCCCTGTGTCTTGTCACCCTTGCACCTCTGGCCCTTGCCACCGCCAGGACCCCGATGTCTTCCCTCGTCTCCGACTTTCTCATCAATCCCGTCTTGCGACAAGCCCGCAGATTTTCTGAAATCTCCCGCGCCACTTTCGCTGGCGATGGGGACAAACCCACCGTACATACAGACGACAACGCAGTGAGCAACTCCAGCCACATCGATAACCCCGTCCCCGATTCCACCATCCCCGTCGAATCCCCCCTCCCACGACCCCTCAGCGCCTCGACCCAGGAGATCCGAGTTAGAGTTGAAGAGCCGGCACTGAGACCCGCCATGGCTGATGCACCGCCGACCCGCGACCACATCAGCCTTGCTCTGAGTCCGCGGAGCCCGCGCAAGATCCCCGAGGACGATGGCATGAAGGAGTTGAGGACCAGGATCCATGGCATCAACGCACGTGATATTCCCTCGGAAGAGAAGGCGAAGATGATACATGACACCCTGTTGGAGGGATACCGTGCCTCGAAGACCGACGTGCATATTGCTAAGGTCTTGGAAAGTGACGGGTCCCTAGAGTCAGCGCTTGCCCAGTCGCCCACGTCGAGCCCATTGAAATTCTGGCAGAACCAGTCGGGGGAGCCACTGGATGCTGAGAGGTTCATCCTAAGCGACGAGGACATCAAGCCCACGTACGTTCCGGTAAAGCAACCGAAGCATCACGGCAGTGAAACGCCTGTGATGCCCTCCGAGGTGATACCAGAAACGGACCAACCCCTTGGGTGTCAACACTATGAGCGAAACGTCAAACTTCAATGCTTTACCTGCAAGAAGTGGTACACATGCCGCTTCTGCCATGATGCGAATGAAGACCATAATCTTGTCCGCAGGGAAACCAGAAATATGCTTTGCATGATTTGCGCTACTCCCCAGAAAGCATCTAACGCATGCATCGGCTGTGGCGAAATTGCCGCCCACTACTACTGTAACATCTGCAAGCTCTGGGAGAACCGTCAAAGCAAATCTATCTATCATTGCAACGATTGTGGTATTTGTCGACGAGGCATGGGTCTCGGCAAAGATTTCTTCCACTGCAAGGTGAGACAAGTGTGTCAAATTATATTCATCGATCAGACGGCTAACTGTAACGCAGACCTGTCGTGCATGTATTTCAACATCGATTGAGACCTCTCACAAGTGCATCGAACGATCCACTGATTGCGACTGCCCCATTTGTGGAGAGTACATGTTCACGTCACCACGACCTGTCGTGTTCATGCCTTGCGGTCACAGTATCCACAGAAGATGTTACGAACAGCACATGAAGGTGTCATACAAGTGCCCAATATGCAACAAAAGCCTTACGAACATGGAAAGTCAGTTCCGGAACCTAGATGTGGCTATCCAGAGTCAGCCAATGCCCCCGGAGTTTCGTAACACCACAGCAGTCATTCTGTGTAATGACTGCTCAGGGAAGAGCACAGTTCGCTATCACTGGCTGGGCCTAAAATGCTCCATATGTCGGTCGTACAATACCGTGGAAATGAACATCCATGGGAGGGACTCTGGACAGGCACAGCCGTCCTTGACCGAGGAGGGAGAGCTACCAGCTGATGCTGAGGCAAGCCGCCAAGCTCCAGCATCTGCATCAGGGAATAGGGTCGCCGCCGTAGCAGTGAACAGGCGCAGGCATTCTTCGCACGGCGTCGAGGCTCAGTATCGCGCACCTGACAGGGTGGCACGATCGGTCTCCCCTATCTTCGGTCTAGAAGCCATTAGCGCCCATCTGGCACTAGATGATGAGTCGGACAATGATATCCTAAGGCTTTGGAGGGGTCGCGGGCTGAATGATGAGACATCAACCAGCGACGAGGAGTCTGAATCAGATGACGACACTGATGGCCCCTCTGATGCCGAAGATGACGACGACGACGACGACAACGAGATTATGCTTATTGGGCATCGATAAGCAAATACGAGCTCACAGGCTCCAATTATGCCAACGGAAGCATGGAGACCTATTTGGCACTGGGAGGGACTCATTACGCAAGGAGTTTGAAGGATCTGGAATTTGGCGGCGATATTAGTTTTGGGTTACTTAATTTTGTGTACCGGTATAGTTTCCTTGGGTTATGCTTGGACGGAGTTTTTGGAACGTTTGGGACCTTTACTGTTGGATCGAAGGGCGTGGCAAAAGTGATATGCTTCCTATCTAGCATGGACATGATATATTAATGCAATACTCCTGTAAACTCCAGATTGCCTTGGCTTGGTTCATTTAAGAGATTGCATAATTGTCAGTTTTCCTCCAGCATCCGCACTGACATCACCGCCGTCTCGCGGCGGCGGCGGCATTGTGCTCCACCTCTTGAGCCTCGCCTCTCAGTTCCTTGATAACTTGCTAGAAGCAGCGAAAATGAGCCACTCAATTCAGATCTCCTCGGGTTTTCAAAATAGCAAAAAGGACCAGCCGCGGGTAAACTCACCGCCAGGGCTTCAGGATTAACGCCACGCTCAATCATAGAGATGCAGATAGACAGAGTGCGGCGGTCAAGTTCGCAGTTCTAGATAGCGTTAGGTCAGCGCAGGGACGGCGCGTGAGGGAGTAACGAACGAGGATAGTAGAGATCTCGTGGAGGATGTCCACGGCTTGTTGCGCCGCGGCGTGTTTGTCGGCCTCGGGCATGATGGCGCGCGGTGTGTTGGAGTGGGTTGTAAGAGGAAGATCAAGGTGATACTCGGTTGGTTAGGGAAGTGGAGGTGGGGTTGGAGGAGAGTGGTGGGGGAGACGCGGTTGGTGGACGCGTTGATTAAAGAGCCGCCACCACCCGAGTGGGTGATCCTGACATTCACACTGATCACTCACCAGGTTAACGAGTTTATTGAAAGTTGGCGGGAGAGAACTATTAACTACGTATCAATACTCAACGACAGGCAGAAAGGGCCAAAGCTGTGTTGTGCTAGGTTTCGATCAACCATTGATCTATTCCCTTCTTGTACGAGATGCATGCACCCGATCATCAGGTTGTGATTAGGCACTCCAGTGATCAGAGCCCTACTAAACTGCCCCAAAAGTCTGGAACGCAAGGCGAATGGCATATTGTTAAAATATTGGAGATCATACGACAACCAAGTAAACACAAGACTATTGCCGTGGGGCGTCAGTTAGAGCAACACGTGTAAAGTTGTCATTGGTGCCGACCTATTCGGTTGATGGTGAGGAATGAACTGAGAATCAAACAAATTACTTGAGAGTTGATTTTACACTTGTGCGGGGAGCATACTTTATTGACATATCAGATCACCTCTTGTTCCAATTAGTAGTGAATTTACAAGCACCTTAAAGATGCGCATAGGCAAGACACTTCACATACCAGTCGGGGAATTAATTAGGGGGTTGACAAATCGCCAACTGGCTTCAAGATGTATGAAGCTGTTGATTGTATCGCGGTATCAAAAGAAGATTACTAAAAGATAGAAACTCTTGCAATCAAGACTTCACTGCCTCCACAAACAACTCCCTCATTCCTTTGAGGAGCACCACCAGCTCTCTCGATTCGTTCACCCGATCCAGAACCCGCTCAACCTTTTCTCTCTCCAGCTTCGGTCGACAGTGCTTAACGTCGTAGTCGCGAGAGCTAGTGACAAGTTCGAACCACGCCTCCCGCTCCCAATTCTTCTCGTCGATATGTGTGTAAACAAACTTGAGCCGGTCGTCGTGACCCGCGCCTTCGATCTTCAGGCAGAGGTTGGTGATCCAGAAGTCTAGCTCCGGTACGTTAAATCGTGACTGGGCCTCCTGCTGCTGTGCGTGCGAGCGCTGCGCTGCAAGTCGCGCGTCGATCTCGGCCTGGGTCTGGGCGATCTGCGCCTTGAGGCTGTCGCGCGTGGCAAGGTGGTTGTCGCGCTGTGAAGCGAAGGAGTTGATAGCAGCCTCCATCTCCCGGGTCTCGGCCTCTTCCTTCTCGACAGTCTGTTGGTGTGACGATGTCTTGACTTGGATGATCTCGATATCTCTCTTCTTCATTCGTTGATCCTCTGGGAAATAATAGTCAGCATGCTGTCGCATCATCATCAACCCAGACGTCGCATACCTTGAAGTTCTGCGACATTCATGCGGAATTGGTTGCGATCCTCCAAGACGCGCTTGCGACCCTGCTCGATGAATGCATCGAACTTGGCGGTAAACTTGGTCATGCGGTCGCGCAGGTCGTCGAAGCCGAAGTTGATGTTGGGCAGTGTGTCCGCGATAGAGGGGCCAGCAGGCACCATGGTCTGGCGGCTGAGGCTTGCGGAAAGCGAGGGCTCGAAAGCGGTAGCCATTTTTTCTCGACGGTTGGATTGCGGTATGATGCTGGTCGTGCGATGGGTTATGGTGCGAGTGCGTTTCTAGATGTTTTGCGCAGCCTTGGTGGGATGTGTTTCCTTGTATTTACACATGAAAGTCGCGTTGCTCGGCCGACCCGCAACTGTGGCGCACGCCTGCTGCACCGCCACGTGTGGGTGTCGCGGTGCTGCTCGCTGCGCAAAGCCAAAATGCTTCACTCTCCGGCAAGGCCAATGCGGCGCTACTACGCTCCACCAACTCTTACCGACTCAAATATGCTGGCGTCTTGACCTTTAGACTCACGCCATACTATTCATTCAGTTCATTTAGGATGCCATCATAAATCTTCCTTGCTATCCTCTCCGCTTTGAGATCCCTTTGCGCTCCTCCCGGGCCGCCTCGCCATGAAGAAAGGAATCTCGATCAACCTTTTGTCGCATTGGAAATCATTGCTCGGCCCAAATGGCTGAGCCACGGCGACTTACGGACCTAATCCACGGTCACGTAGGAAGCTTAACATATCTTCCTTCGAGGGATGCACGATCGCAACCAGGAGTTCTTCACACCAGTCGCATCACATCGAACGGTGAGTTTCCTTCCTTCACACAGCGCAAAGCAATCACTGAAATCTGTTCTCAGCACCACATTTCAACGTGATAGGCTCCTCAGCTGAGCTGTATCCTCCATCAAGAAGACCAGTCCCTGAGGCATCTTCAAGTTTGTGGCAGGAACGCCGGACGCAAAAGCGATGGCTTCTTCAGGCTCACCCCGAAGCCTTCATGGGCAACTCTGCACTCCAGGGTCTCTTAGAAGAAAATATGAATCGCTTTCAGAAATTCGAAGGTGAAACAAACGACAAGCCATTGCTTGCTATTGGTCAAATGACCAACGTTCGAGATCCTTCCCGAGTCTCAGGCGCGCGGATGCTCGCAGCGGCGACAGGGGAGTCTGGCGAACTTCTACGACTAGCTCGAATCGACGAGTCGAAATGGCAATGGGGAAAGCACAATGACGTGGCCTTGAACCTATCGGTCATTGATCCTGACGATCCTGATGAGGAGGCGTTCTGGATCAGCGATGGCCTGACCATCTCACAGGTCAAGTTTGCGACGAGTCTCACCAGATATGACACTGTACGTTGGCTTTTGGTACAGAAGCAAACATCGACTGCGATCCTTCAGCCTGAGTACCACAAAGTTCCGGTGATTCAGAAGGAGCCGATCGAGCTGAGTGATCAGCAACGGCCATCCCGAATTGACCCGAACCCAGCAGTGACACTGTCCCACAAACAAACAGGTGGCAATGCACACACGGACGTCGCTTTCAATCCAGGTGTCAAGGGACAGGCACCACAATTGGCCATCATCGATGAGTGCGGATACTGGAGTGTCTGGGATGTCCTGGGAACCAGCACCTTTGGGAAGAACACCATGCGTCTCTCGATCAATAAATGCGGACACATATCAGAAGGTTTCTTGAATGAGATACCCACCACTCCAGCATTCCCAGCCGAAAAGCATGGTCTTCTCTTTGTGGGAACTGCTGAGGTTGACAGCTTTTGGAACGATCTGTCCCAGGACTCCGAGGAAGCTGGCGGTTTCGCATCTCGTTCGCAGCATATTCTACTTTGGAATCGTGAGAAGTTTGAAGTTGTGGACCTTGTGTCGAAAATGGCCCTTCCCAAGCTGCCGAACTTCAAGACAGCCAAAGCAACGCCGGATTGGATACTTGATATTCAGGTCAGCCCGGTCAACCAAAACCACGTCTTTGTCCTGTCGATGCGATGCCTCTACTGGATTGATTTGTTCTCATCCAAAACAGAAGAGGAAGCATCGTCGCGACCATCAATCCTGATTGCCTGTCCCCATTTAATAGATGGGGAGGGGCTAAGAATGACCACCTGCCGGGCTTCCGAGAAGAGAGACCAAGGCGCCGCTATGGTGTTCACCTATTCTCCGAAGCTTAGACAGACGCATGCTTATTGGTTTGGGCATGCTACAGAGCAAGGTCTTCCACAATGGCATCGCCAGATACTTACCCTGCCCCACGATAACGACCCTACACACGTTGGCCCTGAGATTCAGTCCCTCGAAATCCATCCTGCTACCTTGACTCCATTGGGGAGCCAGGCTAGTGGTCCAGGGTCCAACTACCATCGTAACGGGGTTCATTTCTACCAGGGGAGTATCCTTGGAAAAGATCTAAGTGTGCGGTACTGCATATTCGCTTCCGTCCTGGATCAGAGTATCGACGTGACCCTTCCTACAACCCGAATTGGACGGACAAAGTCCGATGAAGCGCAACGTTGGAAGAGAAAACGAAAGAACTTTCTTCGTCATATGGGAACTACGTTTGTGCTCCCAGATGGCATCACTGAGGCTCATCTGGACTCACTTGTGCGACCGAATCCCCGTTCAAGTATGCCCTTGGGCCTCGGTGACTCGACAGTTGCGCTGGGCGAACGTCCCATTCAGTTAAAGTTTGATACCCTCTGCCAAGCACTCCAGGGAGCTATTGTGAGTGCTGCGGGCAATCCCCAACGTGACATCTCCTCGGCGTTGCTCTCTGCCGTTCATGAAACAATCGAAAACGGGTTGGCGATTGGGAAACTTTCACTTACCACATGGTATGTTAATTCCAGGTTCAAAATAGTTCCCATTTGCTAAACTTCTACAGGAAAGAAATCGAGGAAGATCTAGGATCACTAGATCAAGGTGCAGGAGACGATGCTGCACAGAATGATATGCTTGATCTGTTTCTCAAAGACGACGGAGAGACTGTTGTCACGCAGCTTGGAAGACGCTCCCGAAATGAATCCCTGGGATCGTTTGTCAGCTTGTCACAGCTCACCCAGTCCTTCTCGGGTCTCTGGCTGGAACCTCTTGAGGGGAGGTTATCAGAGGAAAGCGAGGAAGCAAGACGAGGTTGGGTGGCAGACCTCGCTAGGGAGTGCTTTTTGGCTACTTCTGGAGTCATGGTTCAAGACACCGCGCTCTTAGGAGCCGGCCATGACAATGCTGTGAATAGTCAGCAGAATCGGTTCGACTCAGTCCCCATCAAGTCCTCTCAGTCACTCCCTTCTAGCATCCCGTCATCACCTGTTAGCACCACCTCAGTCAGCACTAATGATGCCGCGATTCGGCGGCTACAGCTGCTGTCGCCGTCCATCATATCCGAGAAAATGGCATCCGCACATACATCCAGTGTTCTCTCATACTGGCCGAAAGAACGCGGTATTGGTACGGACGACTACGTATCCAGTGTTGCGGTGGCGAGTGACAAAAAGTTTGATGTGGCACGGCAACGACTACATAAAATCGAGACGAGGCGCAAGGCCCATGCGGAGAAGTACAAGCCCTCGGCCTTCAGGAGACAGGGCGCATCGCAGCTTGGACGCCGAAAGGATGACGGCCTTGAGCTGCCACAACAACGGATGCCGGTGCAGGCGCCGGCGATGCAGGCCATGTCGAGTCAACAGCGAGTTCCAGAATCAGCACAAAGCATGGGCTTGCCTGGCCCATCAGTAACAATGAGCCAGCCGGTCTCAGGCATGTTTGGAGATCGCAAGAAGGTTAAGAAAGCGAAGAAGAGGAGTGGATTCAGGTGAAGAAGTTCACATCATAGGAGACGGGTTTGGATTCAAGCAAAGAAAGTCTCTACAGGTTCCCCAAGAACCTGAAGGCGACATTCCTAGTTGGACAATGGCGACTCCGCGCGCCCAGTTCCTACATAGAGTTGGATTGCTGGTTAAATCAACCTAATATTAATACACCAGGCATTCAAGTCACTTACAATGCTTCATAAAGCCAGACCCAATATTTTTTTGCCTTGACGCAGTTTCTGGTCGTTCTGTGGTGATACCAGTTAGCTCTGTAGACGTTGAACTCTGCCGAGTAACGCACATAGTCTATCAAATCAAGGCATAAATGGAACATGTTCACTAAGAGCATGTACGACCTCGAATTCGGAGGCTACAGAGTCGATAAATTTGTGGTGCAGGTTGGGTCTCCTTGTGGTGAGTGCTGCCGTGTGTCGGAGCTGATCCGGCCCGCTACCCGCAAACGTCATTACTCACAGCAGTGTCTCCCTTGCACCACTTACAAAGCAACCAAGTACAATCCAACTACTCGCATCACGGTCGACTCTCCTGTTTCATCAAATTCCCGGGAGTCCTTTACAAAAGCATCGCTCATACAGACACGCTTCTTCAGCACCGGCCAGAAGAAATGTCTCATTGTCACGACGAGCACGAGGGCCACGGCCACGGGCATGACCACCATGAGCATGACCACTCTGACGACATCACGCCCGCGGTGCAGTTCTCGCTGTACAGCCAGATCAACTTCGACCGTGTCATCACCCTCAACGAGGCGCAGCGGGACGTGGGCCAGGCGGTGGTGAAGAAGACCTGGCAGGAGAGACTGAGCGTCGAGCCCGAGTTGGCGAGCGACGTGGATGAGCAGCTCCTCATGACGGTGCCGTAGGTGTTTTCCGGGCGTTATTTCTGATTCTCTAGGAGCCTCGTTTTCTACTTGGATGCTCCTCCGTGCGAGGAGATGGACCCCGCAACCACTGACATGGACGTTTTCACTCAGATTCACGGCGCAAATCAAGCTCCACTCCATCCTCATCCGCACATCTCCCTCGGCCAGCGCGCCCAAGACGCTGCACGTCTTCATCAACCGCGACGACCTCGACTTCGCGGCGGCCGAGGAGTCGGACCCCGTGCAGACGCTGGAGCTCTCGCAGACGGGCGAGCTGCAGGAGATCCCTGTGCGGCGCGCGCTGTTCGGCAAGGTGCAGCAGCTGGTGCTCTTCTTCCCGGACAACTTCGGCGACGGCGACGAGGACGTCACGCGCATCTCGTATCTCGGCTTCAAGGGCGAGTGGACCCAGCTCGGCCGCGCGCCGACGAACATCTTGTACGAGGCTGCGGCACAGCCTGGCGATCACAAGATCAAGGGGACGGGCATTAACCAGCTGGGAAGTGGAATTGGCGGGCGAGGGCCGGGCATCTAAAGATTCTAAAGGACCTCAAATGAATTCAAACGGTTGATATACCAACAAGGCTCAGTCTCAGGTAAATTAACCATACATGAGCACGTATCTCAATTCTCGTCAATTAACCACCGTCTATTGCATCGAGCTGGTACCAGTGACACTTGGGTGTACAAAAGCACTCCCTGACAGGCTGAGAGTGTCCTTTCCCGTCAGCCCAAATCAAGACAGGGAATATTAACCGACTGCCGTCTTCATATAGGACCGTCCATCGCCTCGTTGTTTCAGAGAGTGCCACAAGCGGTGTTTGCGGGAGAGGCGACGGGCCTCGACCTTCTGTGTCCCCATCCCTCTTCAAGATCGGCGTGTGCAGCATTAGCTCCTAACTAATGCGCCTCGCAGGAGTCTGTAGAACCCGACGTTGACTTGTGGTGGTTGTGCACTTGTGTCTGGATACGGACGTGCTGAATTTTCGTACTGTGATCAGCGCGGCGAGATTCTGGTCCTGTATGAGTTGTGTCTAGAGTACCGGAGAAGTTAGAACACCGACTTCCTGATCTTCTGGCAACACTCTCTGGTTATCAATTCAGAGGATTCCCATGCAAAAAGCAACCATCCAGCCTTGCGGCGGCGCCACGGCAATCGAGTCCTTGACCATTGCAGGCAAATGGAAAACCGGATGTGGGATTGTCATAAGGCAACGAATAGAATTGGGGGGAATTCATTTGGTTGCCCGACTATTTCTTTGTCAGGTCTGTTTATCCTGGTAGAGGATAGAGTCGGCAGTAGTGTTCTAGCTAATGATAAGGTTGAATCCCCTACAAGTCAAATGCATTGCTTGTTATGCCTCTCCTGCTGTATCACTCCCCCGTACTCCCCCTTCTCCTCTTTACATAGCCTTCTCACCGTCCGCCCCGAACCCTCAAGTCAAGACAAGATCCCAGCTCCATATCCAGCACAAACCGAGAAACATTATGCGGTCTTGGCACGTCCTGCTGGCCCTCGTCGGGTTCGCAACAGCCACGTGCTATTATGCGAACAAGTCCCGGATGACCGATTCCTTCATCGCATGCGGTGTGGACGGCTTTTCATCATGCTGTTGGGAGGGTGAAACATGCCTGGAGAATGGATTATGCCAGGAAGCCAGTGGGAAGTGGTACCGTGGGCCCTGTGATAATCCAGACTGGGACGGATGTTATCAGGCGTGCGTGAAGCGTAAGTTCAAGACTCTTGCTGGGGCAGTGGTAGACCGAATAGGTCTACATATACTCCGTCCAATACACTACAAGACAGGAGGAAGCATGTTGACCATTATCACAGCCAATTGGCCTCATGAGTATGTCGAGCAATGCACCACAGGGGAATATTGTTGCTTGACAGACAAAGACGACATCGGTTGCTGTGGAGAGAACTCTGCCGAGTATTTCTCTGCGACACTATCGTCTTCCTCCGAGCCTACCGTCTCAGAGACCGAGCCTACCGTCTCAGTGACCGAGTCATCTTCCTCCAAGTCCACCATCTACGTGACGGCATCCCCTTCCTCGAACCCCACCGTTTACGTGACCGCATCGCCAGACCCATCCAAGCCCTTGCCCGCGGGCACCATTACCGGTATCGCTATGGGCGGAGTGGTCGTGCTGGGATCCATCGGTGCGATTATCTGGGTTTTGCTCCGTCGAAGAGGGCCCAAGCCCGATGCAGGAGACCAAGGCGTCCTTATGCAGATGCAACAACCACAAGTTGGGAGTCCTATAGGCCCGCCAAATATCGATATGGCCGGCGTGATGGGTATGGGAATGGGAATGGGGACAGTGTTAGGAGCGGCCGTTGTCGGTGTGAATACTGGCGAGAACCGGGAGCCATATATGACCGAGATACACGATGGGCTTAAGATGCATTCCCCCGGAGCCGAGAAGAGTGCCGCTGCAAAGACGTCACCACCAGTTGAAATAGATGACGGCGTGAGGATGCAGCCGCCAGTGAAGATGGAGGTTCATGTAACGACGGCGCCGATGCAGCCGCACTCGCAGCCTGCGGTTCGGAAGGATGTTTTTGAGGTGTGAGCATGATGTTGGCAAACGTGGTACTGTTTTTACATTATTGTACGATTGTTCTTATCTAATGCGTAATATCAAATCGGAATTCCTTTAGCATGTCTTGACTGACCACATATAGACGTGTACGTCAATCTATTTAAATAAATTCGCTCTCCCTTTAAGTGATGATGAGCTAGTACTGATAATATGTTGGGCATCCAGCCTCTCTTACTTTCTAGCACTGTCCCCCCGGTCCCTCAGACGCGCAACGTCAACTCGAAACTTCCTTGAGATTAATCTGGAGAATATCCACACACAGGCAAGTATTTTCAATTTCCATTAATAATTCAGCTGTCTTTCAAGTAATGTCGATCTGGCACTGGTGGCACATTGGCTGTACAGCCTGCCTTGCCTGCAGTGGCTTTTCCACCGGCGCTTAACAACAGCAGGCGCTTAACGATACGATGTGCAGGAATATTGATCGACTCCATCTTCATCAGACAATACGTGGTCGACATAACGCTTCGTGTGCCGTGTGATGTGACGGGTACTTATACTCTAATTGACAACAAATGTTCCGGTCCTAGACAAGGCGTGTCCCCCCTTGACAGCATTTCCCAGTACATCAGTCCCTCAAAGATCATCAAGTTGGAAATTCGATCAGGCTCCGTATGCAAGTAGCAATCAGGTCCATATTATGGCCACGCCAAGCAACTATTGAAGCCACACAAGACAGCCGCACTCCATCTGAGAAGACGGGACATGAAATCTCCACTAGGCGAGGTATGGGCGACGAATAGCATCATCAAGAATTTATGACTAGGCGCCTTTTTAAGACATATTCAAAATAGGGCTCTGGAGCTGAAAATAAGGCCGGCATGAACCCATGAGAAAAAGGCATCACTTGCTGTTTTGTCTCCCTGTTCTCTCCGCTACTACTGTTTCTCCTTCTTGACTACCCTCTTAAAACACAAACAACAGAAAACAGGTTCAATACAAACCGATAATTACCATGCACTCTTGGTTCATACTCTCTGTCTTCATTGGCTTCGCCACGGCCATATGTTATTTCCCAAGCGGAGGCGAGACGGGCGGCGAGTACAAGCCATGTGGGACAGACAACACGAACTGGTCAACATGCTGCCTGGAAGGTGACATATGCCTGGAGAATGGCTTATGCCAGGAAGTCGATGGGGATAGGTACCGCGGGCCCTGTGATAATCCAGAAGGGAACGGATGTTATCAGGTGTGTAAGGGTAAGTGCCAGATTCCTCCCGGGGCAGTTGGAGACAGAACGAGTCTAGTCGTTTACGTCGGAAGCCCAAGGCAAACATACTGACAACCATGATAGCGGTTTTTGGTCTTGAGTACGTCGATCGATGCACTTCGAACCATTACTGCTGCTTGGGCAACGCCACGAGCTGCTGCAACAATAATGCGAGAGAACAGTTCACTGTTTACAACAAGCCGACTAGCCACATAACAACCACATCTTCCTCTACCTCTTCGTCTCCCTCAAAACCCGTCGATACAGCTGAGACTACGACCACCTCTCCAAACCCGCCCAAATCTGTCCCCGTGGGTGCGATTGCGGGTGGGGCCGTCGGGGGCATAGTCGTGCTAGCAGCCGTTGGCGGAATGATTTGGGTTTTGCTTCGCCGAAGAAAGCTCAAGCCCAATGCAAGAGACTATGACTGGGTCAAGATGAACCCAGTTGTCGAGATGGATTCTGCTCAGGGGGTGGTCGAGATTGATCGCAGTGTGAGGATGCGCCCACTGGTGGAGATGGAAGATCAAATAACTCCAACTACTATGCAACCCTACTCGCAGTCCACGATGCGGAAGAATGTTTTTGAGATGGAAGCATGAAGTTTGGTCGGTATATGGTTTTTTTAATAGAACTCTTCGGGGTTGGCTCAATGTTCAGGCAGAAGTTACCTTGGACTATACAAAGGCGTATGAAGTTTGACCACTTCATAGTACTTCAACCCCATGACGCTCACACACTTGATTGCGTTGGAACTCATCTCCAAACCCATCAATTCTTCCATTCAACAGCTTCTATTTAATTACTAGTTATTCAAGTTCATTATTTGCAGCATTAAATCTCCCAACAAGGAAATAAGATAATGCCTGAATTAAATCGAGGGCCATGATAACTGGGTCACCGAATGAGGCGGCTCCAATTGGTCGAACCCAACACCTGTGGGTCTCCAACTTCACGAATTTCACCACCACGATACTCGCATCACCACCATCACCGCACCACCAAATCGACAGCCATCCGCCTGTCCCCCCGCGACCCGAACGGCCCGCAACCGACCCAATTCCCTCCGCCCGCCGTGCCGTGACGACCTCCTTCGCCATGCCGGTCCGTCTGCCCATCCGGCTGGCCCTCCCGCGGCCCTGCGCCCGCCCGGAGCTCGCCCGCCCGCTGCTGCTCCCGCGCATCGCCACCCGCGGTGTCAAGTACGGATGGACCACCGCGCCGCCCCGGTCCAAGCACGCCCGCTTCAACCAGCCCTCCGCCGGCCTGCCCGTCCTCACCACCGGCCCCGCCGCCGCCCTCAAGCGCCGCGAGAGGACCACGCCTCTGCGCACCGGCGTCCTCGCCACCAAGAAGGGCATGACCAGCGTCTTTGTCGGCAAGACCCGCGTCCCCTGCACCGTCCTGCAGCTCGACCAGGTCCAGGTCATCGCCAACAAGACTCGTGAGCAGAACGGCTACTGGGCCGTCCAGATTGGCGCCGGTTCCCGCCAGGGCCGCAACGTCTCCAGCCCTATGCTGGGTTACTACGAGGCCAAGGGCATCGCCCCCAAGGCCGACCTCGCCGAGTTCAAGGTCCTAAACGAAGATGGCCTGCTTCCCGTCGGCGTCCAGATCTTGCCCGATTGGTTCCAGAAGGGCCAGTACGTCGACGTCCGGGGCAAGTCACGCGGAATGGGCTTTGCCGGTGGTATGAAGCGTCACGGCTTCTCCGGTCAGGAAGCCTCCCACGGAAACTCCAAGAACCACCGTACGATCGGTACGACGGGTCCCTCCCAGGGCAGCGGTAGTCGAGTCATGCCCGGCAAGAAGATGCCTGGCCGCATGGGCAACGAGTGGGTGACGGTGCAGAACCTCAAGGTCATCATGGTGGACAACGAGCTAGGCACCGTGCTGGTCAGCGGGCCTATCGCCGGTCCCAAGGGCCGTGTCGTCCGCATCCAGGACGCCAAGAAGCGCAAGGCCCCCGCCCAGCCGCACCGAGAGAAGGCCCTCAAGGAGTTGAACGAGAGGCACCCTGACGCCGCCGAGAACTTGCAAGCTGCACGAGAAAAGCATCTGGAAATGAAGGAGAAGAGACAGACGGCACCTATAGACCTATAGTCTAGGTCAACGGATAAATAAATGATGTAAGATGGGTCGATGCGATGGAACAGAAAGACCAATGACGACGGACTTTGTACTTTGTACGGCAAGGGGGAGATCATAGCGGGCTTTGTATTATACACACACACCATCAACTACTGTACAGATGCGACAAAACCGGAGTTCCCAGGGTTCGTCATGTTTTATCCCCAACAGTCATGAAGGCTCTTCAGTTCGCCTTGTAGTCAACCTGCTTCCTGAAGCCTCTTGTGATGGCATCCTGCTCCATCTGCGTCATTGGAGGGGCAACATCATCGTCGCCGCCCAGCAGGCCGCGGAACGGATCGCCCAGGTCGAGCAGGTCCAGGCGGGTGCCGTCCTCCATGGTGAGGCTCCACTCGGTGGTCCTGAAGAAGGCCTTGGGGCTGGGTCGGTTGCTGGCGAAGCGCATGGAACCGACGCCCTTGGAGCCGCGGACGGAGAACCAGATGTCGATGCGGCCGTGCAGCTGGTTCATCTCGCCGTGGATCCAAGGGATCTGGTGTTTGAAGTAGACCTCGTCGCCGAGCAGCTCGCGGGCTTCGGGGGAGGTGCGCAGGGCGTAGAGCGTCGACGAGACGACGGGCGAGGACATCTTCTGGTAGTTGAAGATGGCGACGGAGCAGGTGGTGACGATGACGAGGAAGATGGGAAGGGTGCGGCGCCACTGGAAGCGGACTTCGTTGATGTCTGCATAAAATTGTTAGATCAACGTCCACCAAGGCCAATTGGCATCGCGAAAGAAGCTCGAAGCAACGGGGGTGTTGCCTTTGCCCGGGCATCAAGACGTACCTGGAAGCTCGCGATCAGCCCGCCTTGCCATCATGGGCCCATCACCAGGCCTGGGCGCGCGGGTGAGCCATCGGCGCTGGACGGGGCGGATGTTAGCGGAGCGGGCCTCGAAGGCGGCGACGAGCCTCCGCTGCACGAGGCGCGGCAGCATTATTCGCTGCATCTTTGAATTCTGGCGGGTGGTGATCTGCCGTCGTTCCGTCGCCCGTCAGGTGAGATGGGGCAGGATTATTGGAGTTGAAGAGGCCAGGCCGGGGAAATTTTGCAGCCGGCGCCGAGGGGTCCTGTCCCGCCGTTCCCCCACTTGGAGAAGCCTGGAGCTTAGCCCGTCAGTTGGCGTCATAAGACGACCCGTCTTCGGTAGTAGAGACGCTAATTATAAGCCAAAGATCCATGTGACGGCCTGCAACGTCTTCCCGTTTCAATCCCAACAGCCTCGATTCCCCGTTTCTCTCCCTTGTATTCTTATGGATTCATCGCCTGCATGCATCTTTTCGGATTGTGAGCGCACATCATGGACAACGTCAGAAGCACCACCGCCCGCTTGAGGCGCACATTTCAGTATCCCATCGATGAAGATTCGACGGATTCACAGCCTGAAGCTCTAGACGAGCAGGGTAAGCTGACATCCCCACGACCGCTCCCCTCCAAAGACATATTTATATCTACATCACGAACTAACACCCGGCTTGCTAGAACAAGAAGACCTGATCGAAAGCCTCGCCGCCGAAAACGCCGCCCGCGATGCTCAGTTCCGCCGCCTACTCGTCGCCGTCCCCATCGTTGCCACCATCCCCTACATCCCGTCCCTCCTACGACCGTCAACCACCCTCCTCTCACTGCTCAGCCTCACCTCTCTGCTCTCCACCGCCTACCTGCTTCACCATCTCCCGCCAGCCTCCTCGGGCATCACCTTCCTCGACGCCTGGGCGCGGCCCAAGACACCCCGTCCCACACGGGCACCCTCAGTCCACGACGATGACGACTACGATGATGGTGATGAGGTGGCCTATGCGCCGCGTGGCAGGCCGCGCAGGAGGCGCACTTCGTTCAGCTTCGTCGCGAGAAGCTCCCCACTCCAGATTTACCTGCCATACCTGAACCTAGGGCTCGGCGTCATGCTCGTTTTGATGAGCTGGGTCGTTGGTCGCGCGGGGAACACGGCGGTGTGGACGGGCATGGGATACCTGCCGCTGTTTGTGTACTTGGTTGTGCTGGTCTCCAAGGTGGTCATGAGCAGCGTGGATCCTGAGAAGGAGTTAACGGCACTCAAGTATGAATTCAAGGGTGCCTAACCGTGAGCAAGACGCCACGTGGGTGGGTGGCCTGGTAGATAATGATAGCGAGAAGTACAGTACAGTACGGTTCAAGACGATACGAGTATAATTATGACAATATCAAATTTATGATTCTTTACTCGTCTATATCCAACTAGTCTTCGTATGTCATAAACCAGGCATCACTCATTACAGCCCCATCTACATGTCTATAGAATCATTGAAGCGCAAAATACCATGACTTTTCAACACACCATCAACGCCCTTAGGCGGTCGTGGGAAGGGATCCGTCATGGGGCTCGCATCAGGCGAGTCAGACGACTTGTCCATCACCAATGCCAACCCGTGCGACTTGATCGCATCTACAAGCGCCGGCACCATATCCTATAATAACGATTAGCATTGTGGTCCCTTAAAAGGAGTTGAGAAGGGGAAACCTACCAAGAGTCGAGAATAGCAGATCAGTCCCATGAAGTTGTTGCTCTGTGCGATCCTAACCACCTCTTTAATCGACGCGCTCCGTCGTCCACTGCTCAGGGGGCCATTCGCATAGCCCGTCGCCTCCTCGCGTCCCAGGTCGTTGCACAAGAAGACCGGGAAGTTGGGCTGCTTCCAGTTGAGAGCGGTGCACAGCCGGGGGTTGTAGCTACTGAAGACGACAGATCGCACCACGTCGGGAGACTGAGCCCTCTGCGCTCGAGCGTGGTCGAAGACAATGCTAAGAATGGCGTCGACAAACACGTTGACGTCGAGCGCAGGACCCAGCGAAAAGGCCTTCTCCTCCTCAGGGGTAGGGTACAGGATCTGGAGGTTGACGTGGATGCCCGGATTGAGAAGCGAGAGAGCCTCCTGGAGGGTGATGCCGGCCGTAGCGAGGATGTGGTAGATCTCGGCCATACTTTCCGGCGTCTTGCTCTTCAAATTTGCCAGATCGGCGCGGCTATTGCTCCGCGACGTCATGGAGGTGAACTGCTCCAGAGACAACCGGCACACAGGGACATCCAATCCGCCACAAGAGATGGTCCATCGCGGCCACAGAACTGGCACACCGTCACTGGTGTGCTGTGCAAACAACCTCACGTAGTCTCCCGACAAGCTCGATCCTGTAATTATCGCGCTTGTAGGCTGGTTGAACTGACTCGTCGCCTTCCAGTATGTCTCAAAGTCAGTAATCTCCAGGGGTTTGCCCCTGAACGGCTTGATGACCTGCACGGTGAAGCTGATCTGGCCGATAGCTCGCAGACGAGGATCAAACAGAGGCAGACAGCACGATGAGTTGCCTTGCCCCTTGAAAGTGCTGGAAAGGACGACCGTCTTGGCGATCACCTTGGCACCGTAGGTAGGAAAAACATCGAGGTCCAGGCTGAAAGTATCCAGGTTGTCAACCTGGAACGAAACAATTCGGGTATCTTCTTGAAAGGGCAAAATGATGTTCTTGGGAATGAGATCCGAGACCTTGGAGGAGATGGTGAGCCGTGCGGCAGGGTATTTGCCGTCCTGGAAGAACATGAGGGGCTGCTCCTCTGATTCTCCAAAGGTGATTTGTACGACAGTCTTCGTGTCGAGGAAGTTGTGGCCATATCTTCGGAGAGGGATGATGGGCGGAGGCAATTCGAGTTCGGGGATCGCATCGGGGTCAAGTGACATGGGTAGAGGGGCGGAGCTGCTGTCCATAGGACCCAGCGAAGGTTGCACCATGAAGGGGCTCGCTCGGGGTCGCGTGTTGAACGGTGTGAGCAGTTTCATGCAAGCCAGATGTCCTTCCCAAGCGGCGTAGTACATGGCTGGGAAGTCCTTTTCGTCCATAATGTTTGCGTCCGCTCCAACCTTGAGCAGTGCTTGGAGACAATCGACATTTCCTTCGCTTGCTGCGTGCACAAGCGGCGTCCATCCGTAGAGCTTATCAACCTGGTCCAGGTCCGCACCGTACTCCCTCAACAATAGGAGAAGCTCCGAAGTCTGACCCGATCTCGCCACCAGGTGCTGGGGATACAGACCTTCGGCATCTGGCAAGATACCGGCACCATGTCTGAGCAGGAGTTCAACAACAGCCACCGAACCATGTTCGCAGGCGAGGTTCAGGGGGACGTGGAGGACACGATCTTGCTCGGCTACAGGGTCGATGTGGGCGGATCTGGAGAGGAGGTTCTCGATGCAGTCGAGGCGTCCGTGGATGATGGAGTGTATTAAGGGGGTGAAGTTGTCGTGGTCGATGGCATCAATGGTATTGGAATCAGCTACATGGCATGTTAGAACCCGGTTTAATGGGGGTATATCCATGCGAGCGACTTACCATCGAGCAGTACCTGCAACATCTCCAGTCTCCCGTGCAAGCTGGCGTAGTGAAGAGGCATGCGACCGTAGACATCTGTCCGATCCACTGCCACCGGATTCTCTGCGTTGAGTCCCCATTCCAGAACGTACTGCTTACCGTAAATTGCAGCCTGGTGTAGGCAATTTCGCTCATTAATGTCGTCGTAGGAATGGAGGTCGACGAGATTCGTCTCGAGAAGGACTCGAAGAGCCTCTTGGGGCGCTTCTGAAATAGCCGCAAGGAAGGTCCGCGTTATCCTCTCCATCAACGAGCTGTCTCCATCTGTCGCCTGGGTCGCCGATTGCATCCTAGTGAGCAGATCTCGCAGAGACTCGATGTTTCCGGTGATGACTGTGTCCAACAGGAGCGTGTCCGCATCCCCCTCATCCGTCCCGACGAAATGTTGCGTTGTGACTACATGGCCAGACTGGAAGTTGACCTGAATACCATCGGACCAAGCTCCAAGCTCTTGCAAACTCGTGGTCGCCTGATCCGAGAGCTCGCTGATGACGGTGGCATTGAAAAAAGGCTGAACCTCGACAGCTCTCGAAAGGTAGAGTTCCTTGGTCTTGGATTTTGAGGTCTTGTCCCACTTCTTTAGGATTTTTGAGAAGGCAGTGCCATTGATCTCGACGAACTGCTGGAGTTTGTTTAGGTCGGAAGCGAACTGTTGGAAGCCCTCCTCGAGGGTCGTGAACTTTGCGGAGCGTCGGGAGATGCCTTGACGTGTCTGCAAGACCTTCTTCTTGTCTAGGAGGGTCTTGAGGCGGATTTTGAGCTGCACCAGGTTAGAGACTTCACCAGGTAGGGGCAGGCGGCAAGAGATAGGGGTTTACAAACCTCGGCTTCCTTTTGCAGATAGAAGACATTGACTTTGTCGAGTTCTCGTTCCTGGTCGGAGGTGAGTAACGCTGCGGGGATGTTCATGGCGGAGATGAACGGGGGGGGAAACTTACCAGTTGGAAGAAGAAGGTCGCCTTGTTGGCCTGGAGAGCGGCCTGGGAGTCGATAGGTGTGGCCGAGCGGAGAGCGTCATTCTGGGAGGAGATGGTCGGTGTTGCTGAAAGCTTCTTGATGAGCTACATGGCAGCGTGTCAGCGTGTCAGTGGCAGACGGCTTACGGCCCACGACCCAAATGGTCGCGTGCGGATCGAGGGAGAAGAAACGTGCTCCCGGGATGCAGAACTAATGGAGAGGTACGTTTGCTTTTGGCAAGCCCCCTTCGCACAATAGGCCACAGGGGATCGGGGTCTGCAGCCGGAGCAGGAAGGGGAAGGCCGGGGCATACAGGGAACGACGAGGCTAAAGCTGGGCAGAAGACTGCAGAACAAGGCAGGACAGGGTAGGGCAATGAAAGTGGATGGCGAGGAGGGTTGGGGAGATGATTTGGCGAGCGGGAGGAGGCGGTTGGTAGTGAAAAACCTGAGCAATTGGGAATAGTCCGTGTGCGTGGATGGAGCGTGGATGGAGCGTGTGGGAGATGACAGCGGAGACTAGAGGTAGGGGACAAGATTCGGGAACGGGAACGGGTAGATAGCAACGGGTAGTAGATGGCAACGTTCGACGGACAACGGGAGAACGGCATGGACTGACCTTTTTCAGGGCCTTGTAGTTTACAAAGCTAGCAGCATATTCGGGAACCTCGAGCTGGCGCTTCTGGATATGCTTGCCGAACTTCCTGGAGGGGAAACGTCAGAAAGCTTGGGCAAAAGAGAGACGCAAGCGGACGCAAGTGGACGCAGGTGGACGCAACAGAGGGCTTATTTGAGGGACAGGGGCTTACATGTTGCGGCTTGGACGCCCTCGAGCAGCCCTTGGCGTCCAGGAGATGAACGGAGAGCAGCAAGAGAGTCTATGAGCAAGTCAGGGGCTGGGCCAGAGCGTTGCCCGCGAGTGAGGCGAGTTCCAGGTGTGGCTGGGTTATGCGAGATGTGTCTGTGTGCGCGGCGCCGTGCTGAGCTCGCTGTGCCGTGTGCGGTGGGTGCGGCAACGATGCGAGAAGAGAGGGCAAGGTTGTAGGGCGCTCAAGAACAGCGACAGAACGTAATAGGGACAAGGACGGGGCAGTTCAATGCCTCGGGGTCTTGTTGCAGGGTCAGGTCAGGATCAGCTCGGTTGAAGATGGAGGCCACGCCGTGCGGACTTGGAGGCTTAATGCAGGGCAGTGATGTGTCGGGTAGTGTAAGGTAGTGTAAGGCAAGTAATTGGATGTGGTGTAGTGGGCAATGTGTAGTGAGGAGTGAGCAGTGTGAAAGTGTGTAGGTAGGTAGTGTGCAGCGAGACGACTCAGCCGGCGTCGAGATGCACCTTCAAAGTCTCTGCCACTTTCCGCCGGACTCAACAGGCTTCTTCTCCTTCCTCCTCGCCCGAGCCTAGTGCCTCTCATGTAAGAGTGACACGATATGCCTCGCGCTGGGTTCATCACCCGACCTCCGACGACCTACGACGTGCGAGGCCGTCTCCCACGGGGCACGTGGGGGGGGTTCAACACTCCGCTGGCGGGGTCGCAGCTCGGCGTGCGCGAGGGCATGAGGCCCGCGGTTCGAGGCGTGAGGCGCTGAAAGCCGTGTGAAGGGGATAATGGGATATGGGATATGGCGGACAGGGTACAAGAACAAGCCGCGCCAACTCACTGACAGGCCCGTCTTGAACCAACCAACGAGATAGTCTATTCGGGTTGGGGGACCGTACCTGGATCGCCGGATTTCCGCAGTTGCGACGCACAAATAATTCGTCCAAAACAGCCCGACGAGCCGCCGCAGGGTGAGCGCACAGACGAACGAGGGCGATGCGTGAGCCGCAGAGACGGAACGAGGCCGACAGGAGTGAGTGGTGATCCTGCGGTGACGTGGGACGGGGATGGATGGGGCGACGTCGAAGCGCTCTCTCACTTAAAAAAGCGGCGGCGCAAGCGGCGCAAAAGTCGTCGAGACTTCGTCCGTCTCCAGTTGCAATACAGCGCTACGCTACGCTACACGCGGCGTATGAAGGGAAAATAAAAGAAACCGACGGTGGGAATGAAGAAGAGTTTATTTTCTTGGATTGGGGCCGAGTTTGAGAATTTGATTGAGAATGAATGACAGCGAGCGCCTCAGGAAATGGAACAAGTCTGTCGGCCCCTCCACCGCGTCCGCTCGTCGGGGCGTCTATTATCTGCCTGAGAACCACGAGCGCAACGCACGCAGGCAAAGAGAACCAGCTAGCGGGGGCCTGTAGTGCGCGTCTATGCTGATATTGCGGCCTCTTCGTTGGACAATGGCCGGGCCTAAGCAGCAACGCGGTTAGATCCCACGCCTGTCGAGCAATCGCTTCTTCACAATAGCCTCTCGTCCCCGTCTCGACGTCGTCCGTGGTGCTTCGCCGGCGCTCAGTTGACCGAACGTGCTCCAGGCGGCGGGTCCCATCGGAGTAATGGGATATCCTCGGCGATCTCTATGTTGGCGATTTAACAGCACCAGGTGTGGCCTGCTAACAAACCCAATAGCGCCCTAGCAGAAGCAGCCTCGCCGTCGTCATCGGAATAAGCATCTACTAATCTCGACCCAGGCGCGCCAGGTTCTGTTCGCGGCCAGCCGTTATCCGAATATCCAATGGCGGTTGCGCATCTGCCCCCGTGCTCGAGCGACAGGTAGGCGGCCGGGGAGCTCTCCATTACCCTGCCCGTAGTCGCGAAGAACCCACTTGGCCAGAACAAACCGACGAATGCGTGGCCCCAAAACGCATCACTTGAGCTAAGTATGGATGTAGGTCGTACTTACAGCGTCCTCCTCCTCCCGCGGTGCGGAATAAGGTCAGAGGCCCTGATCTGCAGAGACCTAAGACCTTATTAGAGGTACTTTCGGCGTGCATAATAAGCCCGGAGATGCCTCTGTCGCCGGACGGCTGGTCTTGACGGGGCCCCGGTGACCAGCCAGTTGTCGGTGGCATTTATTACCAGCACTAGCCCAATGACCTGCTTTGGCTCATGCGAGAAAGTCCCGGAGACGTCATCGTCGAGTCCTGCAAAAGGCCCTTTTCGGTGCCTAATGCCCACTTCCCACAGCGCTGTGTACGTAATTCAGCTGCTTGTTCTGCTGGCAGCTGACTCCATCACGGCTTCGTCACTTGTTCCGTCACCGATGCAGATGCACCTTTTGTTTCGCGCTTGAGTCGGCGTTTTGCTTTTGAATCCTTGCTCCCCACTAGGGAGTGGCTTCAATGCCTCGACTCGGAATAGTCAAGTCAGTCTCAACTTTCTGTCGCCAGGTCTCAACCGCCCAGAACCTGGAAGAGTCTCAGACCTCAGCCCTTCCCGCAGGAACAAACGGGAAGGTGTCAAGCCACAATGGAAACTTGGGAACCGAATTACAAGGCTGGTATTCCATGCTATCAAAACATTTCAGACTACCCAAGATAGACCACCCATCGCTCCAGCAAGCTCGCCGACTGATTACCTACGAAATGGCTTTGGCTCCGAAGGTCCTCCTTGAGTTCTCGTCTTCCAGGATTATCATTCCCCGTCGCTTGTCAATTTGCTCAGCTTACTTCTTCTTCGATGCCTCTGAGTCAACCAGGCTATCTGCCATGGCCTCTGCAGCCGCCTTCTTCAAACGATCGCTGTCGTCCGTCTGAGGCTCCTTGGGCTTCTCCTTCGTGTCCTTCTCGTCCTCGCTATCGCCCAAGCTAAAGGGGTCGTTGTCCGTAATCGGGCTAGGATCAACAGTCGACAGAGGTTGCCATTTACTTGTCCTTGAACCGCCGCTAGGCACGGAATCCTTGGGTGGCACTCGGGGTGACGACTCATACATGTTGATCTCCTCAGTCTCCTCCTTGAAGCCGACCCGTCGGCCATTGCTGCCGGGCTTTGGTGAGGCTGATGGTGGTGGCGGCTTGAACATGCCTGTGTTGGCCATGGGCCGGGTGATCGGAGCTATGACGTTGTCAGTATTCCGGGTTGGCACTCCACAAAGGGGCAACCTACTACCATCCGCGGAGAACTTCATGCCGGCAAAGTCGTCGCTCAGAACCTCTGGATCCGCATCATATCGGTCGTAATCTCCGCTTCGTCGGCTGGACTCTCCAGGGCGACGGAATGGTTCGCCCTGTCTCTGCGCACCGGAACCGGCACCCTCCTCGCTCTCGTCAAAGTTCTCTTCAATCTTCTTCTTTAAATTCGTGATCCACCCATTGACCTTGGTCTGTGTTTCATAGAAACCCTTGCGTAGGTTTTCCTGGATGATGGGGAGGTCGTGGTCGAGGAAGCTGCGTTCGTTCTCGTCGTCCCATGCCTCCTGGTTCTGTCTGGTTCGTCCACCAGTGTGACCTCGATTGGAAGTCCGAGACTCGTAGTCGCCCACGTTGTCAAAGTGCTCCGCAAGTTGGCGCGCATATTGCTCGTCTGCTTCCATTTGCGACATCTGTCCCCTGACCTGCGGTCGGGGAGGCTGGGGGGGTGGCACATCATCATCCTCAGGCTCGTTTCTCGCAGCATCGGGGTCGGTCATCTCTGGCGGCACGTTAGTTCCCCGTATTCTCTACAATGGGAGGCGAGTACGTACCAAGCAACGCGTTAAAGGCGGGCTCGACACGGCCACCGCTAGCCCTCAGGACAGCTTTGATGACACCATCATCCACGGTGGGGAAGGCCTCCTTCAAAATCAATATGTTCTTCTGCGCCTCGGTGAGCGGGCGGGGAGGCTTGGGCGGAGGGGTCTCAGTTGTCGAGGTAGGGGCATTGGCAGTCGCCGCCGCGGTGGTCGCAGGGCCATCGTCTCCGAGGAGGCTGTTCTCCTGAACATCGTCGTCGGACATATCGAGAGGTCGGACAGTGGTAGGCGACTCAGCGCCACTCTCTGCCGTGGCTTTGTTCTGTATATGGGCGGAGTTGTCAGTCTAGTCCTGCGCCGCATCCAGATATCCTGCGTCTCTCTCCAGATTGTCTCGACTTACCGTCTCCGTAGGGGCTGACATATTGTATCACCTAAGTATCTCTCCAGAACACACCGACTGGGGTGGCTTTCAGTTCAGAGTGTGGTCAACTTGATATTCTTCTCTCTTGCAATCTTGCCGAAGGACGAGGACCAAGGGAAATTGGTCGATTTCGCTTCAGCCTGGCTGACCCGTGATAATAAGGCAATGAGGCGCGAGGGGTTGACTGGGCCACGACGCTGATGACGTGCCCCACCTTGATGTGTTCTTGAGCCACACTTAATTCGCCACAGCAGCCAGGCAGCGAGCGGCCCTCTTTATGCTTGCAGGGGGTTCGCATTTCCAGTCTAGGGTAGCTCCCTCGATTCTCGACTTTGAGCTTCCACCGGAACAAACACCGCCTACACTGATGCATGAATCGCCTCAGGAGGGTGTCAAAGATCGTCATGCAGTCAAGTCAATGACTAGTGTTCTGATTTATAGGGAGATAATCGACATTTGACAGTCTTTACACCCCGGCAGGTTGCGGAGGCATGCATCAGAGCTCATCTCCAAAATGGCAGACTTAGATCTTGACTCGTCGTTCATCCCGGCTCTTCACAAACCCGCTGCATTGCTTCCAATTGCGAAACACCGAGAGAGCCTTCTTTATGTCATAGAGAACCACCCAGTCACCATCGTCATTGGCCAGACGGGCTCCGGCAAGACGACGCAGATACCCCAGTTCCTAGAGAGCGCAGGATGGTGTTCCGAAGGAAAAATCATCGGTGTCACACAGGTACTCACCCGTCCCAAGATATGATCAGAATCACTGCTAACAACAACCCTGCAGCCTCGCAGAGTTGCAGCTACTACAGTCGCCCTTCGCGTAGCCGAAGAATTTGGCTGTGAGGTTGGTAAGGAGGTTGGATATTCTATCCGGTTCGAAGATGTCACCTCTGCCACGACAAAAATCAAGTTTCTTACCGATGGACTCCTCATCCGCGAAGCTCTCGTGGACCCCCTACTGACACGATACTCTGTCATCATGGTCGACGAAGCCCACGAAAGGTCCATCAGCACAGACATTCTTCTTGGGCTACTGAAGAAGATCCGCCGGAAGCGTCCGGATCTCCGCATCATCATCAGCAGCGCTACGCTCCAGGCGAAGGAGTTTCTAGATTTCTTCACACAAAGTGGCGACGACCAGGGACCCAAGGGCAACGGCGACGCGAAGGATACCATCGGAACAATTGTCAGCCTCGAGGGTAGGACATACCCAATCGACATCCTTTATCTCGAATCCCCCGCGGAGGACTACATGGAGAAAGTCATCAAAGTCATCTTTGACATACACACCCAAGAGGGCGAGGGTGATATCCTGGTATTCCTGACTGGCCGAGAGGAGATTGACAATGCCCTCGAGGCCGTGGCTGATCGAATGGCTGAGCTCGACGCGAGGTATGGCCCGTTGATGGCACTACCTCTATATGCTGGCCTTTCGAGCGAACAACAAATGTACGTTTTTGACAAACCGCCCGAGAGGACAAGGAAAGTAGTGTTCTCGACGAATATTGCCGAGGCATCGGTAACTATCGATGGAATCGTTTTTGTGGTCGACACCGGATTTGTCAAGTTGAGGGCCTACAACCCGAGAACTGGCATCGAGTCACTGACGGCCACGCCCATCTCCAAGGCAGCAGCATCGCAGCGAGCTGGCCGAGCAGGTCGAACACGTCCTGGGAAGTGCTTCCGACTATATACGGAGCAAAGTTACCAGACGTTGCCAGAAGCCAATATCCCTGAACTGCAAAGATCGAACCTGGCTCCTGTCATTCTGCAACTGAAGGCTCTCGGCATTGACAACGTCGTCCGATTCGATTTCTTGAGCTCTCCGCCGGCCGAATTAATGTCCAAAGCACTTGAACTACTCTATGCCCTGGGAGCCTTGGACGAATACGCAAAGCTTACGAAGCCACTTGGATCGAGGATGGCTGAGCTGGCAGTTGAGCCTATGATGGCTAAGACCTTGCTCTCGGCGCAGTCATTTGGATGCCTCAGTGAGATGTTGACTATTGCGGCCATGACGACGTTGGGCGGAAGCGTGTGGTTCCACCATGATGGAGAGAGGAAGAAGATGGAGACGTCGAGGAGGAAGTTTGCTGTGGAAGAGGGTGACCACTTGACACTACTGAACGCCTACCAAGCATTTGTCACAAAGGGGAAGAAGAAGGCCAAATTTTGTCACGAAAACAACCTCAACTACAAGTCAATGACTCGGGCAGTGAGTATCCGAGCACAGCTGAAGCGGTACCTGGAGAGGTTCAGCATCAACGTGGACGAGACACTGGCCGGCCAAGCCTCCGCTTCGGCATCGACGGATAACACGACAAAGGCGGAGCAGATCCGGCGGTGTTTGACGGCGGGCTACTTTGCACATGTGGCCAGGATGCAACCCGATGGGACGTTCCGCAACGTTGAGGGCGGGACTGTGCTATACGCGCATCCGAGCTCGCTCATGTTCAACCGTAAAGCGGACTGGGTCATTTTCCACGAGGTGATGGAAACGGGCAGTAAGATTTTCATCCGGGATCTGACCAAGATCGAGAAGGCATGGCTCCTGGAGTACGCCCCCGAGTTCTACAAAGTGGCGGACAGGCCCGGATGAACAAGATGAGACGCCGGACATGGTCTTTGCGCAGCGGCGCGTCTTGGCCCGTCCCTCGTTGAATCGAGAGTACGGGGACTGGATGAGGCGTATCCAGAAAGCGGTGAAACCGCCGAACAGCTGCGTCCGTGAGGATTCAATTAGGGTTTCATACATATTGATGAGGGGGAACGCAAGGATGACTAGAGATGCAAGGGTGAGGGATTTGGAGGCGAGATGTCATTGAAGTTGGCCGTATTTAGTGGTGTGACCTAGGGTTGGACGGCTGCAAGGGAGGGGACGCTTGATACCGTCCAGCATTGCGGAATGAGATACATACAAGATTCAGCAGCAACATTGTGTTGATAGCACACGCAACTACCTTCCCGAGCAAACGTTATTATAGGGAGACTAGGTGAGGTATATCAAGCGATGGTGGTGTGGGACATGGGCAGATGCAGCATCGCGGTTTTTTATCACAACAACCCTGGCAGAGGAGCAATACGCGTACCCAGGTGGGTTAGGGCGGTGATACCGGCCGTAGGTGCGGGCGTCTCGGAGGACTATCAATGTCAAACAATGGACAGGACAGGATGGACAGGGCCGAGATGATGTGCATTTGTGTGGCGGCAACTACGTAGCAATCTCAAGCAGCCAAGTTTCTGGCAACTTTAACTTATTTGGGGATGCAGTAATTCTACAGCCGATGGGCATTTACGTAGTATTCGCGCACGATAGATGCGAGGAGGCATCCAACCTGCCATCAATCTCAGATCCCCCATCTTGCATTGTCGAGGACGATGTCCCTGCAATCTTGGATCGTAGCTGGACTCACTGCCGAATCGTGCAAGTTCCAGGCCAGAAATGAAAAGAGGAGCACCGACTGGGGACGAGTAAGGCATTGGCGCAGGTCATCTCCGCCGCGAATTGCGTACGTAGTAATTAGGTTGTAGGACAGAAAACCCACCGAAGGTGAACAACACAGAGCGCACTTGTGCAGGTGCAGGGTCCATATGGCGATGGATGAGGAATAATGCGATAATAGCAGTACATCCTGCGGCACTATTATTGCATTGGCCTATGCCACCTTACCGAGCTGGTTGACACAGACCGCTGGATGCGCCGTAGTGCGAGCAGGAAGCAGGAAAGTTGCGAGGTCGCAGGGATGGAGGATACAAGCGGATGGGCTACGGCGGAGGAGTGACAGTCGCCGATATCCGACAACTGGTTTTTTGATACTGGGTATGAGCGGAGTGGATGATGGCCCTTCTGGGACTAGGGCCAGGGGTAGCTAACTTATTAGGGAGCGTAGGAGCTTACAGCTCCAGCTTGTAATTCACAGTATGCAACAAAGCGCAAAGCGCAAAGTCCGCCGCTGTGTTAATTAGTGACTGTGGCACTGTAACACTGTGGAGGCAGGGACATGCCGTGACAATGACGGCATTTAATGGGTAAGGTACCGAGGCTGCGACCGGCGATTTCACGGCGGACACATGATAAACAAGACAGAGGCAGAGACACACAGGAGCATCTCCCCCACAGCATGTCTTGCTCCCCCGATGCGCCACAACACAGTTCGATAGTGCATACAAGTAGGATGCACGTACGAATGACGGCGACGACGTACCTGCATGATGCCCCAGCGAGCCAACAAGCCCCTGGCGCGCCACTTGCGGATGGATGCGCGGAGTGCTTTTCCTCTTACAGCGAGCTTCCATATGACGCCCCTTCCGGGCCCCATTCCACGGCCCCAGTGGCTGCACCGAGTCAAACCGTCAGCCAGTCTCGTGCGCCGGGTGCCTTGTCCTCGGGTCTGGGTTTGGATCGACGGCCTAATCTGCATGTTGTGCAAAATGAAAGAGATGCAAGCTCGAGATGCAAGCATGCACACCCACTCATTTTCTGGATTTTCCGCTGTGAGGCGCGAGGCTTGTGCAGGGCCGGGCGGTTCGCTTTCGCTATGCAGGGCGCTCATCGAGCAGTCGTGCAGCCGCCCCGCGAAGGAACTGCTGCTTGTTGATGATGTGGATGTGACGAATGTCTCTGAACAGCGGTCATTGCGCTAATGAGGGCGTTGAATTCCTGGAAATGAAGGAAGGCGCAGCATCTGTTTACTTTTTTTCTCCGAACCGACGCCGTTGTCTCTGATGGAAACAGAGACAGACAGGACACGCGTGTTGTCTCTGTGTAAGGTCGTGACATCCATCTCGACATTACCACAGTCGCACAATGACCGACCACCCCTTGGCCAGACACCGACTGAAGCCCCAGGTGACTTCGCTCGCACGCTGGCTCGTAACAGGCAGGCAGCTTGGCGCGCAGGTCCTTGACTCCGTGGTCCCTGATCCTCTCGGTCCCTGATCCCCTCGGTCTTGATCCCCTTGGTGCGCGCCGCGGGTGTCTCATCCGTCGCCGTGGCCAACCCCAGCAAGCCATGTCTCTTGTTCGACAACTTGCAGGGCCTCCGGTGGTGAAAGCCTGGGTGGTGGATGGCGGCGGCTTGGGTGGATAACCGCCCCGTCCACCCAATCTCGTCTCGACGCCCTCCCCCCTTTGCGCCTCTGCAGGTTTTCCACGCCCCTTCCAAGGATCATGGGAACCAAAGAAGCCCCGGCCGAGGATCCACACTCCAATCTCTCTTGGGGAGCCCTGGAAGAGGACCCGACGCAAATCGTCCAATGGCGCCCCGGATGACATCCACTGATGGGGGACTTGTCCGGGTTGCACTGCACCGTCGACCGCCTTCTCAGGGGGGAATATCGCGACTCGTGGTGACTTGCTGGACGGATTGAACGAGGATAGCATGAAGATGAGAGGAGAAGAATAGGGATCCATTCGAATCATTGGGTCGCCCCCTCCCGTCCCCTCCGGCAGCACCCAAATTAGAATGCTAGTGCTACCAGAAGGTGGACCGGGTCCCGTAGCGTACGTTGGGTGCTGCGTGCCCTGTAATTGCTGGTGGCTGTCAGCACGTCTTACGCATTGCAGGCCTCGTCGCCTGTCGCCAGCGCTGGGAGCCGCGACGCTCCAGGAGCCCTGCACGGAACATGACAGCCCTGCCAGGGCCCGTCGGTACCTGACAGCATGTACGCAGCCCGCTGTAGCGAAGCTCCATACCACTGGGGCTGGGGGGCTGGACTCGCCTGGGCCGCGCCGCCACGTCCCCGGTCGGTCCCTGGCCCCCCGTTGGAAGGCCCGCCGTAGCCCGTTCCTCTATCCATCCCATTTCGTCTTCTCCTCCCTCTTGGCCCTTTCCTACGACTTCTCTTCTCATCGTCAGTCCCTCTCTTCTTCTCCAACTGTCGACCGATCCCGACGACGACGGCAACCCCCTCCGTCCCTCTCCCTCATCTGCCTGCCAGCGGGCTCGTCATTCTTTTATTTGCTTAATTCGGGATTCTTGCTTTGACAAGTTCCCGCCCGTCACTCATTCCTTTCGTTGGCGCGTCCGGTCCAGATCCCGCTCAACCAGCGACTTCTGTCCCTCTTTACACAACACCACTGCCAAATCTCTGGCTCTCGCTCGCTGGCTTTTTTGGCTCCTTGGTTGACTTCCTTTGCCGCATAATTTCGCTCGACTTCTTGCCGTTCATTCTGCTTTCCGCCCCTCGACGAAACGAAGAACACAAACACCGGTCGATCACCCACCCCGACGTCAATCGCACTGTCGATCTACCCAGCAAATCATAAATCTTAATGGTCATGACAGCAGTTTTTGGGATATAATTCGAAAGCCTTAATCCTCTATTTTCAACGCACCCGTAATCTCGTTTTGTGGAGGAAACATCGTCGACACTTTTCTGTTGTCATCCCCTCGTTACAGTTGCCGTTGTAGGCGAATCAACCCAAGCATCCCTTCACCATGGAACTCACCGGCAACGAGGGCTATCGCCTGCAGCCCCGAATCAATGTCCGGCGAGATGCTTTACCCGCAGCCAGCCCACAGGTCGCCACATCTACGGTTAATGTTGTTTCCCGAATGTTTGGTCGATCATCCGCTTCTAAATGCGAGGAGAACCCCAACTTGAACACTTGCGAGAAGCCCGCTAGTGTCAGCACTCCCATGATCGTTGCGGTCGTAGTGTAAGTTCATCAAACCCCCGTTGAGCTCTGGGAGCCTCCGAGTCGATCGGATATGGTACTGACTATTTTAGTGTCCCGGTTGTGCTTATTGCCGGCCTACTCTTATATCTCCACCGCAAAAATGTCCAGAGACAGAGAATGGAGGATGTCCAGGATCCTCACAAGAGCTTGGACTTTGGTATGGGCGACAAGAAATCAAACCGCAAGAGCCTGTTCATGGGAGGTGGTGAGAAGGGCTTGCATCACAAACAGAGCCAGCTCTCCATGGACATGAACCTATCTTCCCCCTACCTGTTGCCCCCGGGTCTTCAGCAGTCTCGCGAGTCGCTCCACTCCCTTGCTCGTTCGCTCGGCAACGACAACCAGGACCCGTACCAGCAGGTTACAAACTACACCAACAGCGAGACTGGCTCCATGCGATCCATGCCTTATAGCAAGGAGGGTTCCTCACTTTACACCAAGTCAAGCAAGCGCATGTCCACCACCACAGGACGGTCTATTCCCTCTCAGAGGATGCCTCCTCGGACCAACTCTCTTCCCAAATCACCCACATCTCCTTCGGACGTCAAGATTGACCCATTTTCTCTTCCTTCCATGCCTCAGCCTGCTCACAAGCTTCAATCCCCCGTTGAGTCTGAGAAAGATTCCTTCCAGCCCAAAGCTATCATCCCCGAGATTGGCACCGTTTCCGACTTCGAAGACAAGCACGATGTCCCTTTCATTCAGCAGCCGCAGCCTGCTCGATCCAAGAGCCCCCAGTTCGAGTTGCCCGCTCTTTCCGAAGCTAGCAGCAACAGCGGCACGCCCGTCGCCGATGGATTCCCCTTGCCTCCTCACCGCGGCCGCGAGTCCAATGGTGCTGGCCTTGGCTTGAACTTCCACCTCCCCAAGGGTCCCGTTCCCGACGTCCCTCACTCTGCCCCTCTCCCGGCCTATGACCAGCAGCCCGCCGACTCCAAATTTGCCCCGTACCAACCTGAGATCCAGACCACCGAGCACTACGACGATTATGAGGACTTTGACCGTGGTCGTTCGGCTCAGCGAGCCTCGTTCGTGGAGGACATTCCCCCGCAGCAAGCGCAGGGCCTGGGAGTTCCTAACCAGGATAACAAGCGATTGTCAGTCGGATTCCGCCCTCTGCCTCCGGATGAGGTTACCGAGTCTGAGGACCCCGAGTACCGTGCCAACCGTATCCGATCCTTTTACAAGGAGTATTTCGAGGAGAGCGGCGGCAAGGAGCCCCCGCCACCCATGCCTGCTCCTCCTCGCGGACAGCAGTACTATGAAGATTACGACCAAGGCTACCTGGGCGAGGCCGCGGCTTACTTTGACCCCGAAACCAATGCCTTCGTCATGCCCTACGCGGAGCCTGTTACTCGTCGTGCCATGACTCCTCCTCCGACCGGCCGCCAATTCCGTCCTGGACCTGGAGGTCCTGGCCCCCGTGGACCTCGTCCCCACGGTCCTCAGGGCTCGATTGGAGGCATGAGCCTTCCCGGCGGTCCTCGAGGTCGTCCCCGTGCTGGATCCGCTATGGGTCCTCGTGCTGGTTCCGCCATGGGTTCTCCTAGATCCGCTATGGGTTCTCGTGCTGGATCTGCCTTCGGCCCCCGACCTGACTCCTCCGCCTCCGCGAGAATGCGCCAACAGCCCAAGAAGAACCTCCCGCCACCGGCACCCCTGACGACACTTCCCACGCCCTCAAAGCTCAAAGATGACTCGTTTGCCATCATGGGCGCCATCGACTTTGCTCCTCCTGACCGTATCAAGGATACTGCCGCCGGCCGTTCCCAAAGCCCATTCGGTGAGAGGCGCCCGTACTCTCCTCAGGTGCCCGCCGCCACTCCCGTCGTCTCGGCCTTTGAGGAGCTGGCCGCTCTCCCCAGCCCGTAAGTTTTAAGACTTCTAACTCGGTGAGACACAAACTAACTTCGTCACAGTCATTTGCTCCGCAAGTCGAGTACGTTCACTGGTCTGGATTTCGCACCTCCCAAGAAGTTCAAGGATGCAGACACCATGAGCGATGCTGGAAGTATCAGGAGTAACCGCAGCGGAATCTCAGCGGCCCAGCTGGGAGCTATCCGTGGTGGAGCTGGTCGTGTCAGCCGTCTTCCGGGAGATACCGTCTTCACGCAAGCCTCGCTGGGAGACCAACTGAAGCCTCAATGGGGTATGCGCCAATGAGCGTAAAACCTCCATTAGGTTTCAGTGTCTGAGACTGCGGCTGGTAACCACGTGAAGGCCGCTCTCGGAACTTGCCATTTCTGACATTGCGTTAAATCACAGCGTGCGCGGAATTTGTCATTTTTCTTCATATTTCATTTTCCCGCTTCACCGGCGTACTTTGAGGGTCATGACGACTGGCGAAATTTCTTTCTCTTATTGTGTCTTGGGCAGCAACTTGCAAGGCTTTGCATATAGAAGGGTAGGAAAACCACACATGACAAACTAGATGACGACTACCTGTCTGGGCGACGTCCAGCAAATTGTACATAGGTCAATTGGATGTGGTGTTGACCGATTCAATCAACACTGTCATATTCTTCTTCTACGGACACTATAGTCTTTTTTTGGTGTGAATAAGTCGTGCTGACATACTTGGATCTTCAGTGAGGTTGTATTGGAGGAACTCTGTCTTCTGTCGAATTTTGTACTTAGAAGATCCGTGACGACCTTGCAAACACCAAGAAGAACGTCGTTACCCCTGAGACATGGCCATTACTTCCATGATGCGGTTTGGACTTAGAAGTGCTCTGAACAAGATACAACGCACGAGCTAGGGTGAGAGCTCTGGCATGTTAGCTTACTCAGGTTAGAGAAGTAGACGATGTCTTAGTCTTCTTCTGAAGCGTTCATTGCTAGCCTCGAACAGCATCTACTGCACACTACTCCTTTTACGGCAAACCTCAGCTCGAAAAGATATATAATTTTAATCAACAATTTTGGGTTGCTTAGGCATATTGAGGATGTTGGTGTGATGATTACGTTATTGCAGATGTTAGACACTGGCTGACGTTGACTTTAGTTCTCGCAATGAGTCTTTTCCAGTTGCAAATATTTGGCCCCAGCTGGTAGACCAGACATACGCTGCTCCGTTTCGCAAAAGATACTATCGAGTAATATGGGGAGAGTTGTATGAGGCGTAGTCGGTGGCGTGCAAGTGCTAACTGGACTAATTAAGCACGATTTCTCGGGTTGGAAGGTGGTCTGTAAATAAGCGCACCGATGCGACACATGTATGAATAAATGGGTTTACGAACTGTTGATGTTCGGTGGTTTGCTATTTTCAGCACGGTAGCGGAATTCACACGACCTGATTCCGATGCACATGTCGGGCTGGGGGAGACCAACCATGAGCCCACCAGTGACAGCGATCAGCCATAGTAGGCTAAAGGCGGCGAGGTTCAGGAACGAACCCTATTGGAAAAGAAACGGCAAAGGAATGGCAAAGGAATGGCACAGGGGAAACGTTTCAGTGGAGCCAACGCTATCGGCTGCGACTAGGATGAGGATGCTCGGTTGCTCGATGGAGCAGCTGAGCCACTGTAGAACTCGTATACCCAGGCCGATCACGACACGAAGGAAAAGCACAAGCAAGGTGAGGGAATTTTTAGAACCGACATTGGAGCCAACGTCAGAATGGGATTGGGCGACGGAATAAGCGCAACAGTCAGCAGCATCGTACATGGCATCTTTGGATCGGAGCCGGCGTTATATTTAAGGCCAGGCGCAGGGCCAGCCACAGACACGCGACCAGATTCCCTATTTTTGGGAGGGCGGAGGGAGATGAGGAGTGGAGACTGGGTTGGTTGGTTGCAGTGCGGAGGCTTGGTGGCGGATTGTTTGGGGGATAGCTTGAGATGAATGGCGATGGCAAGGTGTGAGGGAGCTGAGGTGGCAAATAACGAGCGAGAGAGGGTTGGATTTGATCCCAGATCAACCAGCTGATGGAGCCAAAGGAAATCTACGAGCTTACTGGTGGAAGGTGATTGCCTGGTTCGCGTGCCAATGTTCATCCAGTTTATCAGTCCATCATCAACCGGGGGCAAGATCTGGATCGGGGTAATAGGTCCACTGCTACTAGTAGGGATTGCGGTTTGGCCGCGATATTGGTGGTGATGAACACGGCTGGTGATTGCGTCTTGAGCTGATAAGTAACAGATAACAAGCCGTTGGCCATACCCAGACACTGTACTACGTAGTACGCAAACTAGGCATGATATGATGGAGTGCTCATGTCGCATCTCCCGGTGGCTTTTTGTCTCATTGCTCGCCGTTCCGCGGCGCCGCGTCTCATTTGGTGCTGAGGTTATCCATGCTCGCGGCCTGGCAAATGGTGCGCCCACAGCGTCGCATCGCAGTGCGGTGAATTGGAAAATTACACAGTGGGACCGTGATAGCCTGGGGAAGCAGCCGTCGTTTTCATTGCTTTTCACTCTCGACGTATATTTAGGCCGGGATTACAGCAAACGGACGCGTTCCAAACGGCGGGAAGGGAGAGTGGGGGGAATGTCTGCAGTTTGACTATTGACTATTGAAGCCCAACGGCCAGGATGGGCGCGATGCGATGCATTCCACACGATACCGGCTAAAGTGGATATTCTCGAGTCGATGGGTTCTCGATGCCACCGTCACTGTCACCGTCAAAGACCAGTTGCCGATGAATGCCATTGTGTCACTCATCATGACTGGCCGCCCAGCGTGCACAAGCTCACAGGGGGGGACGTCGTAACGTAGCGGGCCCCCCGGATTCCCAGCTCCAAGGCAGCTTGCTCGGCGCGCTCGCATCGATCGCGATGGCACACCCGATGGGGAAAGGATTGCAACGCTTCTTTGCAATTGGGCCGCGATTTTCCCTTTGCTCGCTGGGCTGCGGGTGGGAGAAAAAGGTTGTTGCGGCCGACGTTCCATCGGAGGCTGCAGGCGGAGAGGAACAGGAAATTGAGCCCTCGCCGTGTGCGGCGACGTGCGGCGCTGTGGCACAACCCAACACCCACTGTAGGTTTTTGCTTGCTTCTCTCATGTCCGGTGGACGGGACCATCCCTACCAGGTTTTGAATTGCACATAAGCACTTGCTGCCGGGTGTTGGGGGGTTTTTGCTTCAGGTTTATCTTATTTCACCGCGCTTTAGTCCATCTGCAGGAGCATCCGTTAACCATACGTAGTGTGTACCGTACCCGTACCCGTAGTGAGTGGGCTCTCATCAGTGTCATGACATGTGGTGCCCGTCATTGTTCGCCTGAGGGCTGGCCTGGAATCCTGCGCCACACGGCGGCACGACGGGCACCTGAACTATTTACATGGGCTTGTTAGTGTTAGCACGTTGGTCGGTGCTGGAGCTGGAGCGGTGGACGAGGAGGTCCGAATACAAGTCCCCGCCTCGTATCTGAGCTTGCGTCCAGGTGGGCTTCCCAAGGCGCTAGGACTGCAGCATGGCACCTTTTTTCCCTTTTTTCCCTCGCGCGCGTCACCGTTCACGTTCTCGACAACCGGATTCCCAGACACGCAGGCTAGCCACAGTTCTGCAGAGAGACGCAGAGACGCTCCCGTCAAGTCAAAGTGTGCGCCCTTGGCGGTCTCAGGCCCAAACTCCACCCGACCGCGTCCGCCGAACGGACCCGCTGAACCAGGAGCCACGGTCTGGTTCCAGCGCCTCTGCAGCGCCTCGCAGCGGTTCAACGCTGTCGGCGCAAGCCCCGGGAGAAACAAGCTCGAGTGGACGGGGGGGACCCAGCGAAGAAGGGAAAAAAAAAGACGCGCTCTACGGTCCGCTGCCAGCTGCCCACTGTACTGTTGACGAGAGCCCCGTAACGTCAGGTCTCCAACGCCCAGCGCCCAGTACCTACCGACCCAGCACAGCAACCGCCTGGGCTCCCCGCGCCTTTTGTCTCGCACCACCTGCTCCGTCAACCGCAACCAACCATCTTCGTCTCGTTCATCCGCGCCCACACGGCGAAACGCTTCCTCTGACAACCTCGTCTCCGCCTTCGCCCACCACGCAAAGATAACAGGTACGTCGTCTCGCAATCCGCACCCGCCGCACGCCGATCCTGCGCTGCTGCTGCCGCCACGCGCGACCATGCGCTGCCATGCCATGCGCCCTCCCGTCTCGCTCGCTCGCCAGTCTCGAGTCGAGAACCCACTCCCATTCCCCAAAACGACTTCTCACGCTATCCCATCCACCATTCCAACGCCTTGATGGCCGCTTTCAATACCTACTGCCCTCCATCGCCCTTTGTTCTGTTAATTAATCCCCCTGACCCATCCTTTGCAACCGCATCTGTTTTCCCCTCTCCTTTACCCGACCCTCGCCGCCGTGCTTTGCGTGAAGCATCGCCCGACCGCTGACATGCTTCTCAACTACAGGCAGTTGCCCAGCGAAGGCACTCCGGGCGCCAGCATCACAATGTCCAACACTCAAGGGGGAACTCCCGCCACCGGCGAGGCCTCGGTTCCCGCTCCGACTACCGCTGCCGAGTCCCAAGCCACCTCCGCCGCCGAATCGTCCTCCGCCGCCGCCGCGCCCACCTCAGAATCCGTCTCCGAGCCAGCGACGAGCGCCGCTGCATCGTCTTCGCAAGCCCAAGAAACCAGTTCAGCACAAGAGACTCAATCCGCCGAGACTACCGCCGCTGCATCGTCATCAGATAGTCCAGTTCCCTCCTCGACCGAACCGTCCTCGACCCAGCAGCAGCCCAGTAGCACTGCTCAGAACGAGCAGACATCCACCTCGCCTACCGAAGCTGCCAGCAGCAGCAGCGACACCAACAACGACAGCAGTAGTCAGGACAACCAAACTTCCTCTACTCGAACTACCGAGGAGGTATCCACCGTTGTCACTGTTACGAACAGCGATGGGGCTGCCCAGACGAGCGTCGTCGTTATTCGAACCATTACCACCAACCAGGCCGCCACCGGGACAAGCTCAGAGACTGCCGCGACCACTACCTCGGCTTCCAAGGACATCAATAACTCGGGGGGTTCGAGTGGAGGTCTGAGCCAGCAGAGCAAGGTTGCCATCGGGGTTGTTGTGCCTATCGCTGCAATTGCCATCTTGGCCCTCATTGGCCTCTTCTGGTGGAAGAAGCGTCGCTCCCGCAAGCAGGCTGAGGAGGAACGTCGAAAGGAGGTTGAGGACTATGCCTACAACCCCAATGCCGACCCTACCATCCCCGCAGTTGGCATGACCGATGGCAGTTATGAGATGAGGGAGGAGGCGGCTTCGGGTTACCGCGGCTGGGGCAACACTACAGTTGGCTCCACCGGCCGCAAAGCCTCAACCACCATGTCCGGCGGCCAGACTGGCCAGGCTTATTCGGATGCTACGTCACCTACGGCTCACATGTCCGACGGCAGATCCGGCGAACCCTTGATGGATGGCTCATACTCACCCGAGGGCGAGATTCTCGGTGTCATGGGCCCCTCTTCAGCCAACAATCGCGGGGGTGATGTGCACCGCGGTCCCTCCAACGCCTCTTCCTCATACAGTGCTGCCAGGTCCGACGGTTCCGATCCCATGGGTACCTCGTACGGCGCCGGTGGAACGTACTACGACCAGTACGGCCAGAATAACCCATACAATGACGGAGGTCCGCGACCTGACGTCCCCGGCGCACCTGTGATCCGCGATAACCCTGCGCGGCGCAACACTCGCATCGAGAACCCCTCTCACTACCCTCAACAGAGCGCGGGCATTTCTCAAAACTTTTAAACGAAAACCACCGTCTGGGGCAGTGAATCCCGCCGCCCCTAGAGCTTTCCTTATATTCAAGATACCCGCCTCCTGTCGAAGACTCTCGCTTGGAAGTGGATTATGCACTGGCGTTTGATTTTTTGGCATCGTTTCTTTTGTTCTATTTGATGAGGGGGATATTTTCATGTCTCTGCCATTTACCTCGGCAGACTCACCTAACCTAATCGCTCCTTGAAAAATCGACGTCTCCTGTCGGGTGTTGTACCACCAGAAACAAGAGCATATCCGTTTTTTTACTCCCTTTCGAACGTTTCCACGGAATGGAATCAACACGAAGGGGCGACTTGCACGACAACGCTCGCTCCTGAAACGCTTATATCATGAGATGGAAATGTACATACGGTGGCTGTGGAAGAACAGGGCCGTGAGGGCTCGAAGTAATGGGGATGTTTCGGCGATGTATATCGGCTTCGAGGCCCTGTGAGTTGGAATGTATGGTGGATGGATGGATGTAAAACGAGAAGGATGGGGGGCTTAACTAGAAGTTATATCTGGATTTGACGCGTATGGATAGACGTATATAGGAACGAATTGGAAAGCTTTGTGCTTTGTTAAGCTTATTCAGTGTCTTGACCTTAATTTTGCCCACTAGTCTGAAGTTGGTATAGACAGTTGTGGGAGTGTTCAACAACCATCTCACCTGACGAGTTTCCTTGTAAGTCAGCCCAAGGCGATTATGGTGCCTCACTCATACATTCAACCTCTCTCCGATCCCCTGAACCAATTCCATCCTCTCCCACCAAAACCGCATTCGTCTCATATCCTCCAGCGTCAACACCCTCTCCCGCACCGGATAGACTCCCTCAGCCTCCTCACCCCTCGACGCCCCAAAGACAAGAATCCTGCCCTCGCCCATCGAACCAGGGGTTTCCGCCGTGCCAGGACTGACAAACGCCGGCCAAGAATCCCCCATTTCGCCGTCGGGACTGCTCACGAACTGTGTCATCCGGCCGTGCAGGGCTACCGCTGTTTCGGCGAGTCCCGGACGTCCCCTTAGCAGCGAGGCGTCGCGCTCCGCGGCCGGGGCCTGGGCGCCGTGCATGGCGGCGCCGAAAGGGGGCGATGCTTCCGCGTACTCGTATACATAGACCCTCGCGCCGGCTGAAGAGAGGACATGTGCTGTGTGCAGCACGGGAGCAATGTACGCAAAGTCGCCGTAGGCCGTGGCCAGGCGGCGGAACTGGGCACCCTGCCGGCCGCGGTGGACGTACGGCGAGGACGGGTCCGTCACGGGGTCCGGGTATAGCGCGTCGAGGGCTGCGAGATCAGCCGCCGACAGGGACGGGATGAGGGTCGTGAAAAAGTTGTGGAAGTCTTGGTTGGACTGTGCAGAGCCCGGGACGAAGCCGATACCCTCGTGCGAGCAGAAGCCCGTGAGGACGCACATGCGCCCCGCGCGGCCATCCGCAACGCGCTGCTCCCACAGCTTCAGCGGCAGATCCGGGATCACGCCGCCTTCGCCGTCGACGACCGGCTGGAACGGCCATTCAACCGACGCATCCCACTGGCCCCAGACGCTCTCCGCAGCGTCGAGGAGACTACGCAGCGGAAGAGCTTTCAGACCCGCGAGGGACGAGCAGCCCGCCTGCTTGAGGAGGCTGGCGTGCTGGGAGGCGGACCGCGGGTGGGCTGGCGAGAGGACGACGCGGGCGGTTGGCGAGCCGGATTCAAGAATGGCTTTGTGGAAGGGAGGTGGAGAGGTGGAGAGGAGTTGGTGGCCGATCTGCCGGTAAGTAAGTGTGAGTTAGTGTTGCAGAAACAGGCTGTGTGGTCGTGGCGGCGGTGATGAGGAGCAGTATGAGATGCCAATATCAACACCCTCCCGTAGCCGTCTCATTCCCTCACTTCAACCACCAAGAACCAAGGTAAAGGAACAGCACCAACTTACCGAATGCGCCCCAGCACTGGCCCCCACCACGGTCAAACTCGCCGCATCGCCTCCAAACGCACCAACGTGCTCCACAACCCACCGCAGCGCAGCCGCCTGGTCCCTCAGTCCGAGATTATACGCCTTTCGACCTTCTTCCCAGGGAGCCGCCGGAAATCCTAGCACGCCGAGCCGATACACGATGCTCACGGCCACGATGGGCCGCTCGCTCCACGACACAACGCTCTCCATGTTGCGCTCCAGCGGACTCCCAAAGTTGAACGCCCCGCCGTGGATGTACACCAGCACCGGCCAGCCAGCGCCTTCAGCAGCGCTCTCTGTGGGACGGGTGATGTTCACGTGAAGGCAGTCCTCATTACCAAACGCGGCAATACCCGGACACCCGTCTTTCTTCTTCGTGGCATCCAGCGTGCCAGACAGGATAGCCGGTACCGGGTGTTCAAAGCGCTGCGCTGTTGCGTAGGGGATACCAAAAAAGACGTCGAGCGATCGGGGCTGTGTCTCGGATGCAGGCTTTGACAGGCCGACGACCGTGCAGCTACCAAGCTGCACGGTAGTGCTGGTGACTTTTACCATTGTCGATGGGTTATAAGAAATCGTGTAGGAGGATTAGCAAAGGAGATTGCTGCGTGTTGGCTGGGTGTATTTAAGCGGACGGGCCGTTGTCGGTGGTGAGTTGGTGGCGAGCGGAGGGGTGACGTTGAACCTCGGAGCGGGGCCGGGCCGGAAGACAACATCGGGGCCCGGATTTGCCGGGGTCAACCACCCACCCGCCAACACTGGTCGTGACAGGCGCATCCAACAAGTTTGTAACAGTCTGTTCATTCGGGTACTATGCTGCGATAGACTTAGTCTCGCATTAGCAGGAAGAATTGGCATATGAAGACATATTGGGGCTATTTCACATACTGACCATAATTTCTACCAAAAGCAGCAAGAATCAAGTTTTGTCTCTTGGGGTGGCGCCGGAAACACTCGAATAAGTTTATATCTAACATCTGCAGTACAGTTCCAAAGGCAAAAACAATATTGACTCGGCCATGCACCCTGATCGCCTCCTTTATACTATTACAGACTAACCCCATTGTCAGAAATACTCAAGCAAAAATGTCTTGAGACCGAAAAAAACAACAATGTAAACAAGCACTCAACCGGTGCTAGAAACGCCATCCCTTTCCAACTCCGCAGCTAATGGTCAGAAAATTACTCCTTGTTGGTAACCGCCCGCGTCCCCGGCGCCGCAACCAGACTCAGCAAGCGTCCTCTCAGGCAGCCTGATATGTCCCCTGCTTCATCGCGTCCCTCATAGCGAGGTCCTTACGTCGCTTTTTCTCCGCCCATTCTCGACTGGCAGCCCTAGAGCGCTCCGCTGCCTGCTCTCTGGCCACTCGGGCAATGGCCTCACGTTCACGCCTCTCGCGCTCTTTGTCTTGTGTGTAGCTAGTGTTGTCTCGTTCGAATATTTGTTTTCCCTTTCGCTTTAGTTGTTGACACTCCTCTGCAGAAAGTGTATTTCGTTTTCCAGTGGAACTTCCAGTTGAAGTTGAAGTCCCCCGACTCAAATCTTCCTGTGAGGTCATGTTAGCAAGTCTGCCACGGGTTTGGCCTGGCTTGCTGTCCACGGTCTCCCCCCGGGCCGGGCGCAAGACTCCAAGCGAGATTCGCTTTGATTTGGTCGGGTCTGAACTATTTTTCGCATCATCGTCTTGCGGGGGCTTTCCCTGACGAGCACGGCTTGTAATCGTCTCTCGCGGGAGGGTGCTTGGTGCGACGCTGGAGCGCACAGGTCTAGCTTTGAACTCGCGCTTCTTCTTTTCCTCTTCCTCCTGCGCCTTGAGACGTGCCTCGCGCTCCTCGCGCTTCCGTCGCGAGATGGCTTCTCCTGGAAGCTCAAAGTTGGGTTTCGTCAATGGCTTGTTAGACTTGGGCCTAGGAGGAGCAACATATGCCTTCTGAGTCTCGGCCTGTTGAGCCAAACGAGCCTCACGTTGTTCCTTCAAACGACGGGCAACAGCCTCTCCGGGTAGCTCGAAATTCGGCACGGTTGGTGGCTTGGTCGACTTCACCGGTGGCTTGGGTGGCGCCACCTGTGTATTGGCGAGTTTACTTCGTGAGAGCTGCGATCTCAATCTTGGCGGTTCTGGTGTCTCCTCTTTCTTGTGACGGAAGACTAGTGAAGTGGATCTTCGAACGGATGGTTGAGTCTTTTCAGACTGCTTGATACGGGCTGTTGCAGAGAGACTACCCATGGATGCTCGCTTAGAGACAATAGCTTTCTTGGCCTCTGACCGAGGATCGAGATGCTTAGGACTAGCCTTGACCTCATCGGGGTTGATCCGTCTAGGCTGAGTGACGGCATTAATGGCTTCGAGCTCTTCTTCGAGCTTGTCGAGCTCCTCAAGAGAATCCTCGATGCGAGGGACCGAAAAGGAACCGGCCCTTGAAGATCCGCCAGCGTAGCTGCTGCTCCTATCACTTATCAAGGTAAGAGACGGCGAGACAGCCTGTTCGGCGACCTCTTCGATTTCGACCTCGGGCACCTTGAGCGGGGTGGCCAGGTGGAAATCGTAGGCCGGGGGTTGATCTTGGTCAAGTGACATGTCAACCTGATCACCTAGGGCCTGGGGGATGTGCATGTCTGGGAACGAATATGCATCGCCTTCAAGAGGAGTAGCTAAGAGGGTGTAGGTGTTAGCTAGGTGGCATCCTGCAGTAGCCTTGTGGGAAGTCGATCGCCGCTTGCGTGACAGCAAATTACAGCCAAAGACCACGGTTCCTCGTTTGCGACAGGCGCTGCCGGTATCGGGGGAGTGCTGGTCCTTGGCAGAACTGACTGGCGCTGGGCACGATAGTAGCCATTCGAACTGACCTGCCAGATGTCTCTCGATCTGTTGTCGCTTCGGGCACTCGGGGCCTGCGGCCAGCAGCGGGTGGATCTCGGAGGCGTTTGCTGCAAGGAGTCAAAGTTAGCACAAGATCATCGGGGCTGAAATGGGTATGTATGTGTGTCGTGTTGAGAGGTGTCAGGGTGCAAGGTTTCAGAGGGCAATGGCATCGAGACCAACCTTGAGCAGAGTGGTGGTAAGGAGGCTTCGCTGATGCGGCTAGTGTTGCAGCTGTGGATGCGACAGAGGCAAAGCTAGGAGCAGTAGGCGCAATGGCAGACTCCTCCAGCACCGCATCCAGCGGCTCAAAGGTGTCCGAGTCGATTGGAGCACGCCGTCGAAGGCCCCGTGACGAGTGTTTGGCGTTGATCGACTTGGGTTCAGGATTCGAGTGGGAGTGTGGGTTAGAGTTGAAGTTCTGGATGCTGGCGCAGTTGGGTTCGGGGTCCGAGTCCTTGTAGCTTCGGGCTGAGAGGGGCGCAATGGACTTGTTCTGGGCCTGGCCAATGGACAACTCTTGGAGCAAGCCTCGTGAGCCCGACGACGGGATCGCGGTAGTGGCCTTAGCGTTTGCGTCCGGGTCGATAACCGTAGAATGCTGGCGGATCGAGGGTATCAAGGTGATGGCGGCACGAACGGAATCCGTGGCACGGTTGACTCGAGCCATGGTCAAGGGCTTCTTTCACAATGGAGCCGGGACCCCGACAAATGGGACAAATAGGACCCTTACGAACCCTGTCAACGTGGGAGACCGGGGGAAGGGCCGCAGATTGGGTGCCACAGTGCGTCGCAATGGGGCAGGGGATTCTCGATGGACAGAGTGCAATTTCGCAGATACGCAGGGGTCGGCTGAGATAGCTGGGCCGTCTAGACCAAAGTTGTGCTGCATGTAATAAAAAGCTTCAGGGTACGTAGTGGTCGTAGCACAGAGGCGATGAATGATGCGTTGGTGGTAGACGAGTTGCAAAGTGTAGCGATGGGAAGCTGAGAAGATGGGAGGATGAGAAAGGAAGACGATTCTAGAGATGGGGAGAGAATGGGAATCAACAAAAACAACGCCGCGCTTGCCTCAACAGCCACCTGCCGCAATGAACCATCGCCACTGGCACCTTCCCCGTGGAACACGCCCACTGCACTTGCCCGCTCCCAGAACGAGTCACTGCGTAATACTAGGTACGTACTACCATTTACTGCAAGCAGCCTGCACATGCTCGGTGGTCCACGGCGCAAGCACGTTGCACAGTCCGAGTGGTGGATTGTTGTTGACTTTCACACCCAAAACTGCAGACCCATGTATTTCCAAATCCGGGAGTGGGCGAGCCAGCTATCATTGCGCGTGTCGCGTCGTCGCTCGCCAACTCGATTGGCCAGGTTCTTCATGCAGGCTGCACACGAGAGGTGCGGAGGGGATGGGCCTCATTACATAGCTCGTTAGGCTGCGCGCAGCTGCAGTAGCTTGGCACATAAGTGGAGGTAGACCAACCACAATCGAATGGTCCAACGCTTATTTAATCTGCCCACGAACGCCAGGCCCACTTGATACTCAGTTGCTTGTTGCTAGGCCTGGCCTACGCTGTGAGAATTGCTTTGTCGTCAGATACTAAGTCATGTGGTCTTGAAATCAAAATGAATTGAATTTGACACGGGTTGGCTCATCGATAGGGCTGGATTAGGGAGGGATAACCTCTCGCCCCAACTTCATGGCCTGTCGAGTTCTTGTGTCAAGTTCAACCCCAACTCACTCCAATCAGATCTAGTCCTCGGTCCGCATCTCGACTATTCGTAGATCATGCTACAGTGCTTCCTAAATATTCATTCTCAGACATGTCAGAGTCAAAAATGTATTACATCTGCAAGGGTTGGGTATCATGCTCCCTTGAAGCCACGAAATTACTGCTGCAGCTGCATCAACCCAACCAGGCCCCATTGCGCCTCACACCTCTGCCAACCCCCTCTACCACTATTGGTCTGCCACTCTTTTACTATGTATTCCAGCCTGACTCAGTCCATACAGTAAATGGTCCACTTTCATGGACTTATCAGACATAACACTCAGGGTTATGCACGAGCTGGAACGCCAAAAAAAAAAGTCATCGTGACGCAATAGTACTTGAAAATGGTCCAAAACGCTTGATACCGTATGTCCCTTTTCAGCCCCCCAGTCTGGTGTAAGCAAGTAGGTCACTTCACTTGGTTGGAGTAGGGTGTCGTTGACCTTCGTATCAGTTCCCAACAACACACAACTGCTCTATTATGACCGCAGGAGGTTACATCCACACACAACGTGCTAACTGCCACCCATCGTGAGGTGGGAGTAGAAGTTCTCTATATCTGTTGAGAGTTGTCCCTGAGACATGGCGTTGCTGATGGGACCGGCATACCCATTTCATTCGTGGAAATGGAACTTGCGGGGATTTGTCGGCGATGATTTTACGCCGGAGGGACCGAAGTTGTTGGATGCTGTCGGCGGACAGCCCGAAGGGAACGAGGACCCCCTTATTGAGGCATTCGCAGTCTAGGGAAGGCGCTGTCATGCTGATATAGACAGGCTCTAACCCAGTCGCGACTCTTCCTCCTCGGCAGCGGCCTCTGCTGCTTCTGCCTGGGCCTGTAGTGCGGGTGCGTGCTCCGTTGGGATGCGAACAAGAGTCTGAGGAAGAGGACCTGTCGCATCTTGGGCGTCGTCGGCAGGAGCGTCGGAGTTCGGTTTCGCAAGCTTGGCTGTTGGTTACGCGTTAGACCATGAAATGCGTACAGTATAGGAAAGACATACAAGAGGCCATGTTGATGGCCCGCAGCACATTATGCCAGTTTCCCATAACGACCGCAATTGCTACCCAGAGTTAGTCTCGTGAACATGGAAGCATGTGGCAGGCATAGACATGCCTTCAGTCCCATCTGACAGAGTTGACAGCTTCGTCTCCAAAGCTTCCATCTGTCCCGCGACTGCAGCACTCAAATCCCGGAGTTCTCTCAAGCTCTCCAGTTCGGCCTTCTTCTCCTCGATGCGCGCGAGCAACGCTGGTGACTGTCCCGTTGATGAAGTCGAAGCGCTCGGCGCGCGCATATGGGACGAGAGCGATCGGGTATGGTAAGACATGTCGGGCTGGTTAGTTCGCAATTCAGCGTTTATTGCAAGATAGTTCGCGGCTCTTGAGCTCGTAGCCGTGGAATATCGCGTTCGGGTGGTGGGGTTGAACGTGGGGTTGATCCGTGACGAGGCGCTACCCCGGCAACGAGAGGCCCAAGCGACTATTTTGCGCTACTCCCGAAACAGACGATAGTAAATAATGACACAACCAAAAATTCCCACTTTCAGATCGTCTGTTACCAACCACTCCGTGACTCGACCAGCGCACTTGCGACCTTCATCCACTGCTCCACAGCAAAACACCAAGTTGAATAGCCGATACTTCTGCATTATGAGCTATGGCTAGGCTGAACGAACCCCCAGTGTCTACGGACAGCCTCGAAACGCGTAAGTATTTGCATGCTTCCTCCCCCCAACCCCCCCGACACGACACTGACCGCGAGCCACGATGCAGTCCGCAAGAAGCTACTACGCCAAAACCGAGATCTTGCCAAATCAAACAACGTGCGAGCGCTCCGAATCCGTGAGCTTGAGAATGATTGTGCCTGCATGCTCTCTGAGAACCTCGAACTGCGCAGTCGCATACTCGAACTCGAGAGAGAGCTCGAGGATAACGACACGCGCAGAATTGCCGACCATGCGTTGGCAATCAAGGAGAAGCTGGAGTCGCAGCTGACGGAATGGGGCAGTCTCCTTGCCGGCCTCGGTCTGGAGCCGCCTATGAAGCGACACTCTCCCCAAGTTCGGAGGACAACGAAGCCCAGATTGAGCTTTAGCTCGGCTCGACCCAGTCCTTCTCAGAGACGATTGCGAGATATTGCCCGAGACATTGAAGAATTGGGACATATCTCAGAGACCAAGTCTCACCCAAGGATGTCGATGAAGTATGTTACTACTCTCAACTGAGAGAACAAGTTAAATGCTAACGACCTCAAAGCCCCGAACAGATTTTGGCTCTTCGATCCGAGGCAGATTCCGCCGACTCTCCAGAGCTTGGCCCGCCTCCCATGTCTCAATTCATCGATGAAGACCCCGTTAAAGTCGATTCCCCCAGTCGACTCAATCTCGCGCCGCCCCAAGAGAGTCCCAAGGCCAAGATGGAGCCACCAGTCACCTTTGAGTCTCCCTGCAGCATCAAGATGGTGGAAAGATCCCCCTCACCTTTGAAGAAGATGGAACTCCCAGCGCCGTCCCAGGAGACCAAGCCAGAACAGCCTGCCCTCCCGGATATCCCAGCACCCCAACCTGCAAAGGCCGGTTCGAAACGAAAGCTTGCCGCTAGAGACGACATGGTAACCGCCAAGCCGCCCAGAGCCAACAACGAAAACGAGCCGCCCAGAACTTTGGCCGACAAACCATCGATCCGGGAGAAGGCTGGAGGCAGGACCTTGAAGGAACTTGCCAGCATGAGAAAGGACGCCCGCGGGAAAACAACCACGGCCACTACCGCGAGGAAACCCCTTGCCGCGAAGAGCACCAACAACGACATCACTTCTCCCAAAAAGACTTCAAAGTCAGTGGTCACTGATGAGGTTGCGGCAGCCAAGGCCGATCTCGTCAAGTCCAAGGTGTCTCTGGAGCGACCCAAGTCCAAGGCCGCGCATCCAGCTCCCGTTACCATTGAGACCGTTATCAACCCCCAACCCACCGCACCCGAAGTGGCGATTGTGCCGTGCGACCTGGGAGCTCCTGTTGTAGAGCTCGCCCTCCTCTCGCCGAGTTCCCCCGAGACAGTGACCACCGATGAAGGCCCCCGTGGAGCCACGCCACCGCCTGCGGACATCAATTCCAACCGAGAGCCACCCAGACCGAGCCGAAGAAGTAGAGCAGCTGTTAGCTACGCGGAACCAAATCTCCGAGACAAGATGCGAAGACCAACCAAGGAACTATACGATGCTGTGGCAGGAGATGGAAAATATGCGCGACGATGCAGTCAAGTCGAGCCGAATGCCCCTGATTCCGTCAAGATAAAGCGGGAGATTGATCTCGAGGCATCCTGGAGGAAGTTGCCTCCTGCTCCCACACAACTAAACGATCAGCCGCATGATAATGTCCCAGCGAGCCCTTTGACTGGAAAGGGATTGTCGCCTCTGGAACTTCCCCGATCTGCTGCTAGAGAAAAGGCCCGGCAGACGTCGATGCTTGTCACGGAGACGGTCATAGACCATAATGACGACAAGGAGGTGGGAAATGAGAAGAGGAACGAAGCAGCCAACCCCGATTCTTCCAATGCGAGTGAGGTCGATATCTACGAGTTTACACCCTCTTCGCCCCAGCCGGAGAAGCAAGCAGTCCCAGAAGCGAGGAAGAAGGCAGGTGGTCGAAGGGTCTCCAGGAGAGTTTCGTCTGCGGTTACCAACGAAGATGGCCTCGCGGCCGACGATCGAGCCTCGTCGAGGCGGCGGAGTATGATGCTGTAATGACACACGATGGCGAAAGCGGAATTGCATAGAGCACTGGGCGTTTTTCGGGAGTGTGGTGCCTTATTAACGCTGATAAGACTTCTTATGGCGATCATTCAGACTGGTTCAATGCCCAAGATACCAAAGCGACGGAACTTGTTTTTTCAATGTTTGTATTTACATCTGCTACTTGCTCTTTCTTCAGACACACCACCCAATTGGAAATGTTGGCACTGCGTCTAGCCAATGATGATTTCTTGGAAAAAAAGTGCATCCCCTCTCTTGTAAGGGGGGGAACCCTGCTGTGATTCCTCGGGGGTTTGTGTGGGTATAGATTTCATGGTTGCATCGCTGAATGTCTCTTTGTAATATGCCCCTTCCTGCTTCCCTCGTATCATGACGAGGCAGCCGCGGGTTCCACTGGTTTTGTGTATGTCACCTTCTCGACTGCTACGGTCTCATTGCCCTTGTCGTCCTTCCTCAATTGGTAAACGTATAGGGTGAGCGAGATACCCTGGACCTAAACACGTAGTCAGTATCGCCGGTTGGCGTAAATCTACCAATCTACCAGTGAGGTACTTACATCCATCAAACAGAAACTCGGCGTCGGCTCCTCTCCCTCCTTGCTGAACTCGGTCGAGTACGCTCCCGTGGCACTTCCAGGGTTGACAAAGAACTTGTCCATGTACTCGAAGGCGTCGAAGCGGTGGGTACCTCCAGAGCAGAGGACGTCCACATCCAGCTTGTTCGCCTCGGCGAGCAGGAGATCCGGCTCGTTTGAGACCAAGGTGAAGCCTTCGAGGAAGCCGATGCGCATGCCGCCGTGGGTGACGACTTGCGTCAGCGGGAGGGAGGTGGCCTCGACGTCATAGCGGCCCTTGACGATCTTCAGATCAGGCGCAATCGATCGCAGGTACTCGTACGTGTGCTTGTCGGTCAGGTTTCCGAGGCACAGCGTCTGGCCGATCTTGCCGGGGGCGAGGAGTTTCTTGAACTGTCGGTGGTGTTAGCTACCCTGAAGCGTGCGGCGGCGATGCGCGGGAAGGTCGTGCCTTGGCGGGGATGTCCAGCGCCCGATCGGGGATGTGCAAGTCGCCAATGACGAGGATAAGGAAAGCCATGATGTTCTCTCTGACGCCGTGAGAGAAGCAAGGCTGTGGTGAATTCGTGATTTGGATCTTGTAGAGAGACAAGCAGGTGAGCTGCCAGCCCCCTTGAGCTCCACGAGGCTGGAGGGGCAGGCACCCAGGCGGGCGGGTAGGTCCGTGATCGGATACAGCAATACCGGCATACCGGGGATAGCCGGTGTGGCTCAGCGCCCCAGCCACCCGGCCACTCGGTCACTCGGCCACGTTCCAATCGGCAAGCTTATCTTATCAGTCCAGCGGGGTGCGATAAGCAATTTTCAGCGTCCAGCGTAAAAAAATTGGGATTTTACACAAAGCTGGGGTTCTACTTCACCGAACAATTCCAGGCGCCGCTTTGCGATCGAATTGCTCGACAAGATGGCGACCCCTTCTCTGGCCGAAAAGCTGGACAAGATCAAGTCCCCTGGTCTTCAGAGCCAACAACGGGTACGCTTCCATCACTTCCTTGACTGGGTTGTATTGCTTGAGAAACCGATCGTGGGCTAACACGGGCAAAATATTTAGTATGTCGTAGTTCTGAATGCCGTCGAGTCGACTTTGAAGGACCAGAACACGGCCGCGACCCCGACGGGATACTTTGCCGCGCTCCTCGCGCTTCTCCAGCAGGCGAACAGCAATGATAACATCAACCTGGAGCTGGCCACGCCGGCCGTCTACCTCCTTGACGTCGTTACGCCCTTTGCCCCGCAGCCTCTCCTCCGCGCCAAGTTCACACAGATCCTGACTCTGCTGGCCCCCATACTCCTGTTGCAGGATGCAGAGCCGATGCTGCTGCGATCGTCAATCGGATGCCTCGAGTCACTGCTTCTAGCCCAGGACTCTGCGTCTTGGGAGCTTGGTGTCACACAGATTGGACCCCGACGTGCGGTTGCTGGACTCTTGAACATGTCCCTGGATCAACGACCCAAGGTGCGAAGAAGGTCTCAGGACGCATTGAAGAAGGTCCTGCGAAACCCTCCCCCGAGCCCCTCGCTGGACCACCCCGCTGCCGACATGTGCGCCCAGACGGCTATGAAGAACCTGGACGACCTGGCTGGTCAGATTGCGCAGTTGCGAAAGGGAAAGAAGTCTTCCGACACTACCCACGAACCGGCCATGATCCACGCTTTGCAACTGGTCAAGACGGTGGCATCCGCGAGCGGCGGATGGCCCAGCAAGAAGATTGAGTCGCTGTGTGAACTGCTGCTCGGAATTGCCAAGACCGGAAACGAGTATATGACGATGGCTTCTTTCGAGATCTTCGAAATGATTTTCGAGGGAATGAGCGATGAGCTTTCGTCTGCCAAGCTGCCGCGCCTGATGGAGATCATCTCCGAGCTCCGCCCGGCTGCCAACGACACCCAGCTCGTGCCCCCGTGGCTGGCGATTTTGTCGAGAGGATACGATGTTTCGGCTCAGATGGAGCCAGAGGAGACCTTCCAGAACATCCCCAACTTGTTCGAAATGATTGCGCAATTCCTCGAGTCACCCTCCGAGAACATTCGAATTTCCGCGTCCGAGTGTCTGGTTTCCTTCATGGCCAACTGCGTGCCTCGTCAAGTTATCCTCGAGCCTTCCATTTACGACGAGAAAACCCTGGAGAAGATCGCAAAGACAGCCGAGTCACTGTTGACTGTTCAGTACCAAGCCGCTTGGTTGCAGACCTTCACCGTTTTGGGGGCCATGTTTGATGCCCTGCGATGGAGGGCTTTCCCTATTATGCTGAACATCACCAAGACGATTGGCGAAATCCGAGAAAACGGATCTTTCCGCAACAAGAAGGATGCGGATGAGGTGATCGGAAAGGCCATCCGGGCAATGGGACCCGAGGCCGTCCTTTCGGTTCTCCCCCTGAACCTTGCGAAGCCCGCCAAGGGACAACCGGGACGAGCCTGGATGTTCCCTATTCTGCGAGATTATACTAGCAACACCAACCTGGCCCACTTCAAGAGTGAGATGGTGCCACTCAGCGAACTGATGTTCCAGAAGGTGTTGAACCACGGCCAAGCCGAGAAGACCATGGAGCTCAAGATTTACGAGACTGTGGTACAGCAAATCTGGTCCATTCTTCCCGGTTACTGCGATTTGCCTCTGGACTTGACCGAGGAATTCGACCAAGGTTTCGCAGAAATTCTGGCCAACCTTCTTTACAAGCAGGTCGACCTGCGACTGGATGTCTGCAGAGCCCTCAAGACTATGATCGAATCGAACAAGGCTATCGCCGAGATCGAGGAGGAGGAAGAGGACCTCGTCCTCCAGAGCCGAGTTAGTCGTGCTGCGGCTAAGAAGAACCTCGAGTTCCTTTCGCAATACGCTGGCAACATGCTCGCCGTCCTGTTCAACGTTTATACCCAGACTCTTCCCCAGAGCCGAGGCCCCATTTTGCAGACCATTAACGTCTTCCTCAGCATCACTCCCAACCAGGAGCTTATGGAGACCTTCGACCGTGTGAGCAAGATGCTGGCATCTGAGCTGGAGCAAGCCTCCAAGGAGAGCGAGAAGGATAAGAAAGAGAAGAAGGAGAAGGCACAGAAGTCTAAGGATCACATGCCGTCAACAGCACAGACCCTGATGGATCTTGTCATCACCATGTCCGTTTATCTTCCCCGCGAGAGCTTCTCTGCGCTCTTTGAGATCGCCGCCGTTATTATCTATAAGCAGGACGAGCCTCAATTACAGAAGAAGGCATACAAGCTCATCCCTCGCCTGGCGGATTCTGAGATCGGCAAAGCTGCACTCCAAGAGAGGAGTGTCGAGCTGCAGAGCCTCATCTTTTCCAGCACCGAGAAGGTTTCTGCCCCTGCCCGACGAGAGCGCCTCGCTGCAATTACCGCCCTCCTCCCCTTCATCCCTGATACTTCCCTTCACTTTATCCCTGCCGTGCTCAGCGAGGTTGTCATCTGCTGCAAGGAGAACAACGAGCGTGCCCGAGAGACGGCATACGAGCTCTTGGTCCAGATGGGACACCGCATGGCTGGCGCCAACGGTGTTCCCATTGACAACACTCGGGTTCCTCATATGCCCAAGGATGCCCCCGCTGGTACCGCCAACATTGAGGAGTACTTTACCATGGTTAGCGCCGGTTTGGCTGGCAGCACCCCCCATATGATCTCTGCCTCCATCACTGCCATCAGCCGGCTGTTGTACGAGTTCCGAGAAGGCCTCAGTGAACAGACCCTCTCTGACCTTGTGCAAACCATGGATCTCTTCCTGACCTCCAACAACCGAGAGATCGTCAAGAGCTGCCTGGGCTTCGTCAAGGTTTGTGTCATTGGCCTCCCAGTGGAGCTTATGCTCCCCCGGCTTTCTACTCTCGTACCCAACCTCATCGTGTGGAGTCATGAGCACAAGGGCCATTTCAAGGCCAAGGTCAAGCACATCCTAGAGCGCATGGTCCGCCGATTCGGATACGACAACATCCACCAGAACTGCCCCGAGGCGGACAAGAAGCTAATTGTCAACATCCGCAAGACAAAGGAGCGATCCAAGAAGAAGAAGGATGCCGCAAAGGCAGGAGGTGACGACGACAGTGATGATGACGAGGGCCAGGGCAAGCGACAGTTTGAGAACGAGTACGACCAGGCCCTGTACAGCAGTGACTCTGACGGCTCAGACGACGACGATGACGAGGACGCACCCAGACAAAATAAGAGGGCTCAGAAGGGAGGCAAGACTTATATCGTTGAGGACGAGGACGAACCCCTTGACTTGCTTGACAAGAAGGCCCTCGCCAACATCTCCTCCACCAAGCCCATGAAGCTCCGCAAGCCGACCCGCACCAAGGCCAAGGTCGACCTCGACGGCAAGCTCATTCTCGGCAAGGACGACGATGAGGCCATGGATGTCGATGAGCCCGAGGCCTCGGGCGTGGGCGCCTACGTCGCTGCCCTCAAGGGCAAGGACGTTGCCAAGCGTGGCCGTGGCGGCAAGCTCAAGTTCTCCAACCGCCGCACCAACGATGACGATGACGACGAGGAGATCGACGACATGAACGCCGACACTGTCGCTGCCGTCAAGAGCAAGATGAGCCCCCGGGGCAACGGCCGCTTCCGTGGTGGACGTGGCGATGGCTTCCGCGGTGGTCGTGGAGGCCGCGGCGGCGGTGCTCGAAGCGGCAAGGGTGGCATCTCAGCAGGTCGCAAGGGATTGGGCGTTGAGAAGAGGCATGGGCCGTCTCTGGCGGGCGTGGGCAAGGGACGGGGCAGAGGGCGCAATTAGGTGCCTTGTTTATACCCATTCGATAAATCAGGTTCCGGCAGGTGTTCAAAATTTACAGTCACGTTTAAGTATTCAGGTCATCAAAGTATACATAGATCATTCACAAGCACATTTCACAATCCTTTGCAAGATAGGCCAGCTCGTTCCGGAGGGAATCCTCCAAGCACGATGAGAAATTCGTATCATCTATTCTATACAATAGTCCGCCAAACAATCCTTTCCATCCACACTGGGTATCATTCCGTCAAGTCGTTGTCCCATTCAACTGCTTCAAGCAGAAATTTAGTAAAACACGAAACCTCATAGTTATCATCACATCATCCTCCCCTACTAATACCATTTAAGCGAACATAAGCCGCCAACGCCTTGATGCAGTCCTGCACTGTCTGGAGTGTAATGCTGAGAGGGAAGCGAAAAGAAGGACAAGCCACAGGCTCGTAGTACGTAACTGTGCCACACAGCTCGAGTGATTATTCGAGAACAATAACGTCCTCAGGGTGATGTGGGTGTACAGGGTGTCCTCTTCTGGGGTTGAATTGGTTGTCTGTTGCTGGGGGCTCATTCCCAATGTGCCGATACACCGGTTGAACATACGGAGGACCCATGGACAGGCGATCGTTGTGCCGTCTATACACAGTTAGGTTCTCGCTCCAGTTTGGTAGAAAAATCACCACGTACACTTCTCTATATGGTTCCTGGCGGGGCTCACCCGACACTGGTCGAGGTTCCAATCTCGGTCTCTGAATATAAACAGGGTAGTAGCTTCCGTCAAGACCTCGACCGTGAACTGGATTGTTCGGTGCTCGTTGCTCAATGACAGCAGGATCTGCAAGAATTGGGCGAGATTGACGACCAACTGGCAAGGGACGCGCGCTCGCGATCGGAATGACCTCGACTCTAGCACTTCCTTGGCTCTCCCTCAAGATCCGCGACCCCTCCTGCCGGGAAACAACACGATGGGGTTCCGGTGCTCTCCGGACCTCATGAGTTGGCTGTCGGAATTCAATAACCTTAGCGGTCCGAGGTAGTGGATGAGCACCGTCTGGATGAGGAGAAACCCGTTCAAAGAACCCACCCCGGTCTTCCATAAATATGGGGTTGGACTGATCTCCTGGTCTTGAGACATTTTCGAAGAGCCTCCGAGTCGGTGCCAGTGCTGGCGGCTGATTAGACTCAGGGGCTCGTCCGTCAGAGCGATACAAAGGAGAGATAGAAATAGGGTATCCATTGCGAGGGGATACGTATGTCTGTTCATGGGGGACATTTGGTATCTGCCTGTGATGATCATCATAATAGCCAGCCATGGGGTTGGCTCCCGGCATAGGCTGATCCCCAGTTACGCGTCGGCTGGGGAAAATGGGTTTATCCCTCATCATGACCCCTCTCAGGGGCGAGGGACCTCTTGGGGAATACTGCATGCTGGAACCAACTGGAGAGCCATTCCCGAAGCCCTGACTTCTGGGCGGTACGGTACGGACAAATGACGGTCTCATAGATTCGGGAGACACTGGTTCAATGGAACGTACCAGCATGTCTTGCAGACGGTTGGCGACCCTAGAGCCCGGCTGATGCGAAACTTGACCGCTGGGATGAATAGGAGACATTACCTTCTCATGCACTGGAGGCCTTGGACGGGGAGAATACGAGGGTCGCGTAAGGTCCATAGGCTGACCGCCGTAGGATGGTGGTTGCACAACGTACCCGTTCTCAGTCGGCACAGGCCCTGCATCTTTGGAAATAATCCTAAGCTCCGAAGTGCCGGGGAATTCGTGCGGTGTATACGGGGTAGCAGGGCCGGGCGCGAGCTGGCGGTGAAGTGGGTAGTTGGGAGGTATGTCCATGGGAGAAGGCTGGGGTTCTGGATCTTGTTCTTCGCGATACCGACGAATTGCTTCTTGCCAGGCATGGTATCTCTTGAATCCGCGCTGCCCTTTCTTGTCCGATGGATTCTTACGGTTAGCTTTCTTGACCTTGCCATTTGACTTGGCTGGAGTTAAGGGTCCGTTGTTGTTATTTGTGGCTCTGGGCGAGCGTCTGCGACCAGGAACAACTTGGCCGGAGACATTACTCTCAACCCGAGTGGGGACGGCAGCTTTTGGTGGAGGCTCAATCCCCTCGATGGAGGACTCATCGGTTTCTTGACCGGAATCTTCATCCTCAGAGTCAGAAATTACGACCACTTCCCGGAGAATCTCATCCAACTGGTCTCGACCAGTCTCCTCGTCCCCTCGCCACTTGACGAGGGTGTCCAGGCACAGACCCTCGACGACCTTGCGGGCATTCTGCCAGGTGGTTTCCCTTAGCAAGGTGTCATATCTGGTGTGGGTATGGCGGATGTGAGCGAGCACTGCAAGCTGAACTCGCCGGGCGAGTGTGATGTCTTCCGAGAGTCCTACTGGTTTCTCGCCTTTGAAGGTGGTTCCCTAGGGCCATAAATATTTGTCGCCTGTAGGTTTACATTAGGGAGGGGGAACAAACCCGTCTGAACGCATGCTCTATAATCATCTGACGATCGGTGTTTGGGACCCGGGGAAACAAATCTCGGATAGCAGCATCTACCTGTGCATCATATTCTTCCTGGGATTTTGGGATGGGCTCGGGTGATCGGCCAGATGCTGGCGCCACGTAATCCAAGGCTTGTCCAAGAGCGGCTCGTGCTTCGTCGACAATTATTTCCCTAATATGGTGACCGATCCGATGAACCTGGTGAGCGAGATGATTCGAGTCGACTTCCTTCGAATTCTTTAATAGCAATGAGGTCAGTAACTATACGTATAATGTAGCGAGGAAGGTTACCACATACCGAGACGATAAAAATCATGGCATCCTTGTCGCGAGACAGCTCTTTACATGCTGTTGTTAGTTCAGGGTTGCCGATGGGAACAAACTCGAAGCCTGGTGGTGGCGATTTTCTGGTCGTGATCTGGAGGTGGTGAGTGATGCTGATGTGCGAGGCGGCCGAATATCGCTTTATACCTGATACTCGAGCTTCTTCTTCTTATCTTTGTTTTCGACAAACTCGAAATACGAGTGATGTTTCGTTTTTGGAGCGTCTGGTTTGGCGACAAAGCCTTCGGGCACAGGCGCCTTGCGATCGTACTGGGACCTTTGGGCTCGCTTGTGCCTCTCCTTTGGGCCGCCCGCCACTGCGGCGGGCAAGTTTCGTCTCTGACTCCCCATTTGTACAGTGATCATACGCTTACCATGGTGGTGATAAGTAACAAGGATCTGGGTTGGTGGGCAGACGGCACAGGAGACAGCGTTGTGAAGGACGCGATTATCAACTCCAAGCGATCTTCAAGATCAAGCAAGGAAGCTTCGGTGAGGTGTTTCTCTGGAAATCCCCTCGCGCAAGGCTGGTGCCTGCAAAGCAACAAGCAGAGAAATCAAAAGCAAAGCGCGTTGCGAAGGACAGCTAGAGAGACAACCACAGGTTGTTTCTCTTGGCACAAGTCGCGACGAAATACAGACACTTTAGAGCGCGATGACGCAAAGTAGGATCCAGGAACGCGGTATGGCGACACGGAAAATGGGCGGCGAAGATGGAGATGGAGAGAAGATCGGGCAAGCTTGCAGTTGGGCGCGACTGGTAAGGCGTCGGCGAGGTGCAGGCAGATGCAGGCGAATGGAGACCTTGAACTTCAACCTGACATCAGGCTGAAAGTTCCCATCAGGCTGGAAACGGTCACCAGATTGATCACGGGACCGTTTTGCCAGTTTTGCTCGGATTGGTTGGCATTATCACGTGACGGGGCACACGTGATTCTACACTCTTGGCATCAGCACCGCCACTTTGGTTTGCCTCTACGATGGAATTAATTCGCTTGGAAGGGTTACAATGTTGTGCTAGCGTCGTTCAAAGCCTCCTTGCGTTACAGGGCGGTAGCAATTCAGCAATGCCCCTTTGGAGGTTGACGAATATCTGGGGTTTCTGTAATCTCTTTGGGGCTGGATGAATCGCAAGGAGTCGAGGGGGGAACACTGGATTGGCTGGGCGGGCAGAGAAGCATCAAACTTCGATTTGGAAGGGCAGACTTTCGTCCTCCCCTGGCAGAACGCCTTGTTCATGCTCGCCTGGAGCCACTGCCAAGGGTCTCCTATATCTTGAAGAGCTGAATTGTGGAGCCGGGGCAATGAATGCCAAATGATGACCAGTTCGTGGCAGAGTCTCTTACTACATGGAACAAGCCCCATTTGACAGGTTGACAGATCTGGACAAATGACCGATAATGGCGGTGATTACCGGTGGCTGGGGGCAGTGTGATGTTCGTCCGCCGATCAATAAGTCTGGACCGACTGGCGGGAGAGCCATCTCGTGGGGAACTGTTTGAGAAGAGAATGGGGTCTGGTCCGTGAGATGAAGTATATGCCATATGCTATGGAGGAGGAGAATGTTTGGAAACATTCCCCTGATTTAATGCAAGTCGGGATGTGGGCGTGCGTGGCCCAGACAAGATTGGACGAAAGCTACCCTCTCATGATGCTCATCGTCAGGGGCCGGTGGAGATCTGACGGAGATTGACGTTCAGGGCAGCGGTCCCGGGACCACCAGTGCACATCTATTTTTGTATGGGGGGCGGAATTACGGCGGCACGATACATAGTGCGTTGCCTCGGCGTGGCGATGAACCTGGAACAGAGATGAGGAGCGCCTGAGACGTGTTATGCCGTCCACCGAATGGTGAAGTGGGCCCGGCACCTGTTTCACCAGTGCCGATTTTCTAGATCTCGTCCAACAATCGACCAATGCTGGGGTAGAATTAATCAATCTGCTATTAAATATCGGAATGGTGGGCGTGTCAAGAGAGGCAGCCGGCGATCCACTACGTCGTTGCGTGTGGAACGTGGGAGAGTACTGTGCTTCGTCTCCCAGTGTGGTCAGTGAGTGGCACAGGAAATTATCAGGCCAGCAAATGTCAACAGTGAACACGAGGCAGCAGTGGATGGATGATCGACAGCAGTGGGCTGGTTATGGGCTGGTGGTGTCTGTTGACTTGTGGTGGCAGTGCTAACAAACTTTGATCCAGTGGCGGCTTGGATGTTATTCCCGCTAAATTATTGCTTTGGATCACCAATTCTCCGACGATGGACAGCATTTCGTCATAGAACCCGAGGAAGAGCCAGAAAGCAACGCAGGAGCCCCAACGACCGTGCCATAAAGAAAAATCATAATCATGCTGCTATGGAGTGCTGTGGATATGTGGGTGAAAATCCGTGGGCGGGGCCGTTGAAGAGCCGGACGGCGTCGCCGGCATGGGATGTGGGAGAGCATCGGGACGGGTGCTAGACCAGAGCAAAGGCCACCAGCACCAGCCAGTGAGACGTCTCGAGCGGCGGCGGAGATGGCAGTTGTAGATTGAGGAGGGAAGGATTATGTCGGCATATGTCACGAAGGTTTGGGCAGATCATTGTGCTGGACTCTGTCTGGGTCTGGGCAAGTCTTGGGCCATCCGGGGGCCATCAGCGTTTGAATGGCTGTTCTCGCCTGAAGAGAGAGTTCTATCGTGTACAGCCACGTTTAGTGTTGCTCGCGGAATGAGACAGAATGAGGACGAGCAATAGAATTGACAGGTTGACAAGTACCGATACCACGGAGCATGGGAAGACTTTGGTGGGTGGATATGTACCAGGAACGGGCAGTGGGCGATGCTTGAGCGTCTGGCCGTATGCTGACCGGCTGTTCGGCCCCCGTCGCGCGGCCGGAGAGCGAGCAATACGATATCACGATTAAGCCCCCAGCCCGGCTTGTTGACATAGGGTCGGGTTGCATTCCAGCTTGGCGGCGCAGGTGGCAGAGACTCAAGAGGGTCAGAGAAGGACGTCGAAAGCCTTTCCATTCAGAGTTATCGCCGAGGTGCGCTGGCGGCCGCAGAACGACTACTCTCACCAGGCTCATCTGGAGTGATGGTGAGCAGCAGTCGCAGGACCCTGGGGTCGTTTATCTGGTTCAACCGGGGTGGAGAATGGGTGTTGTGTCTGGAGTCGTAATCCTGAATGCAGGTAGGGGAGCAGAGCGCTTGGGACTTGACTGTTTTGAGGGCAGGCCTCGCGGCCACAATCAGCCTCTCGTGGGGACTGCCCTTGTCTGCTTCGCGAGTGGTTGTGATGGTGGTGATGCGGTTCGTGTGGGTGCCCTTTACAGCTCGTAAGAGCGCATTCCCAGCGCAGCAGCGCCTACAGAAGTGCAGACAGAAGTGCAGATGCCCATCATCACAACGGCTATCCACCCACATCCACCCACCCATCGTCACCACAGCCCTCGCGTTGGTCCCAAACGGGCAGCAGGCGTCGTCATCCTCAGGCCGCAGTGTAGCCAGTCGCAGGCCCGTTGCGCCGCCAGCTCGGCCGCCCATTCGCTGGCTCGCCGGTGGATGCTCTCATCTGCCCGCTGGTCTCGCTGGTTGTCGCTGGCTCTCTCGCGGCCTCTCCCGTTCGCTCGCCCTTGACTCGCCTGGGACGCACCACCGAGAAAGCTGACGCGTCCTCTGTCGGACCCCCGGCGGCTGATCCCTGCGCTGCCGGACAATGCCCTGGAAACCTCGGCCAGGGTCACACCCCGGTGCCCCCCCGCCCACCCTGGCACTCTGGCATCAGGCCTGTTAGGGGGCTTCCAAGGGCCTTCCACACGCCGTCAGTGGCTCCTGGCGTCTGCCCGTCGCAGCGTAATAGCAGGTGGTGGTGCGGAGGTACGTACCCCAAGGGGGCCAGTCGCCAAGGCATCCATTCCATTGATAGACATTAGCCCCCCAGTTCTGCCTGATGCCATCTTTCCTCTCTATTTTCCAAGAAAGCCCAACTTGACAATTGTCACCGAATTCATCAACTTCACGATCTCAACCACAGCCATCGTACATCTTTCAGCCTCATCACCGTCATCGAGCAACTTGATTCGAATCCTTCATAACCAGCTGCGACTCTCCATCAACCGACCGTCGTTTCTTGTCTCCTCATCTCGCTTCCGGCCTTCCGTCGCCGCTTCCATCAATCCTCTCCACATACATCAACATGTCGGCTCCGGCCCAGAACGTCGACATCGACGCCCTACTCGACCTCACCGAGTACGAAGCCGTCTCTAACTACCAGTCGCCTGCCAACTCGGTGTCGCCCTCCGCTACCTCCAAGGCCACTTTCGCCAGCCCCGTACCGGTCGCCATCAACGCGCCCGCCCTCAGCAACTCCCAGTCCATGAGCGGTCCTAGCCACAACTATGACATGTACCGACAACAGACGGGATTCGTTCCCGGCGCCATTGCCAACACCATGGCCGTGAACCAGACCAACAACACTGGCTACCAGGACTTCGGCAGCCTGGATTACCTCTCCACCTTCAGCCCGGAGAACGAGGGATTCGACTTCAACACCTCACCATCCCAAAACGCCATGGAGATGGATTTCGAGTCTCCCGCCGACTCGCAGCAGTTCTACACTGTCAACCCCAGCAACATCGAGGAGTCCAGCCTGCCCTCGCCCCCGGTCCTGCCTACGCAGACCAACAACGTTGGCCGTCTTTGGCCTGGTGCCCACTCTCAGGCTGCCCTGGCTAAGGCCCAGGCCCAGCAGCGACAGCAGCAGCAGCTCATTCAGCAGCAGCAACAGGCTCAGCGCCAGGGCGTTCCGACCAAGGGCCGCGGCAAGGCTCCCCTGCCCGCCGACCCCATTGTCGAGCAGAAGATCACTCAGCTCCTGAACTCAATGCGCGCTAAGCCCTCCATGCCCGAGTCCGCAGACCAGAGCCCCGTCACCAACCTTCCTCGCTCCAAGAAGGAAGAGGAGGAGATGGATGAGGACGAGAGACTCCTTGCCAGTGAGGAGGGCAAGAAGCTTAGCTCCAAAGAGCGTCGCCAGCTCCGAAACAAGGTCTCGGCCCGCGCTTTCCGTTCCCGCAGAAAGGGTAAGATATTCCCTACACTCTTCTATTCATTAAGTACTAACGTGATGCTATAGAATACATCACTCAGCTCGAGGCTGAGATTGCCAACAAGGTCAACGAGAACGGTGACCTCCGAACTCAGAACCGCGCCCTCATGGATGAGAACAAGCGCCTGTCTGATCTCACCCGCATGCTTCTGTCGTCGCCCTCTTTCTCCAACTTCCTCGACCACCTCAGCAGCAACCCTGCCACCATGAACCAGACTCCTCAGCTGAAGGCCGAGGCCCAACAGCAGCAGCAGGCTCAGCAGCCCAAGGACGTCAACCCCTACGGTTCTCAGCAGTCCCAGCAGCAGATCGGCATGGCCATGATTCCCGAGCAGAGCATGGACTTCTCTATGCTCAGCATCGATAACAGTGCCTACAACTTCCAGCCTCAGGTCTTTGTCGTCGACACCCCTGATGTCCCTGCTCCCATCGATGCTGCCATCCTCTCCGGAAAGTCGTCCAACTTTGTCGAGCCCTCGTTTGACTCGGATGAGGAGAAGGTCGAGATGCCCGTCATTGAGCGACCCGTTGAGAAGACTCAGATTACCGAGTCGACCGAGGTCGATTCCGAGTTTGAGTCGGACCCTGAGTTCGCCCTCTTCCACTCTGAGCCTGCCACCTCCTCGGAACCCAAGGAGCTCGACACCGACTGCCTTTCTCACATAGACCTCTTCGCCGGTATCGAGTCTGAGAAGGCCCTCGCCCGATTCGAGCTCGTTGATGCTAGCGAAGAGGAGGCTACGGCCGCTATGGCTATGGCTCGCGTGCAACGCATCAGCGCCAACGTCGACGCTGTCGTGTCAAGGTTAGAGCTTCTGACTATGGATCTGTAACGGATCAACATGTCAACTTGGTGTTACGGGTGTAGGAGTGGAGATTCTCCTCCAGACGAGGACAAAAACTAGCGAACACATTTCCTTTGTAAACTGTCGTGTGCATATCAACTACCTAGGGACTTGGGACGGATTTGGCGTTAAGGGAAGATCAAAGAATGGGCTACCTGTGCAGGTGTTTCTGCATAATTTGCTTGGTACGGGCAGATGATGAGTGATGACGCGAGGACGGTTGTGTATACTTAGATAGACTGGCCTGTCGCCGCTCGATAAGAATCGAAATTTCTCCAAACAGAAGCTCTTGGTGCAACGCACCGCTGTGACACTACACTGATGGACATTGACTGTGCTCGGTGTAATTGTAACAGTATGTATGTGCTCCGTAATTGTATGGAGAGGACGGAGTATGGGGATAATGGCGGGCTATTGCTGCTGTACTGCAATCCTGAGCAGGGTTGTTGGCTCCATGAGATCCACTTATTGGCGCTGTTTGTAAAGGACTTGTGGTGTGCGTCCGGTTCGGATGTCAGCCAGGCTTACCGGCTTACCGTCGCAGTCGCACGCTCTCCAATGATTCATGGATGTAGAACCCCCCGCCCAAAGCTGACATGGCACTCCGGGACAGATCCTTTTCTGTGTTCCGGAATGTGAAACGCCTACCGCTCACGACTCCCACTGCATCGGCGACTTGTCGATGGCGTGAGAGGAATCGGAATCGCCCCCACACATTGGCTGGTGTAATACAACAGCAGCGGGCTTGTTACTCAGCGGCCCCGGCGTCATCCATGCTCCCGCCGGAGGAGACCCGGGAGACTCGGGGGGTCCAGGCTCCCGCCGTGTACGAGTATGCTCCCTTCCGAGACGACTTCTCGGTGCGCATCCTCACCTTGGAGCCGGGCTCGGCCGACGAGCCGTTGGTTGGCCGCCTCACTGTCGAGAATCTCGACTTCAACCCCCGCTACGAGGCCATCTCCTATGTCTGGGGCACCGAGGGCCGCTGCTCCGAGATGCTTTGCGATGGAAGCCCGCTCCCGCTGACGAGGAGCGTCGAGGCTGCGCTGCGGCGCATGCGGCACGCGACGCTGCCTCGGCGGCTGTGGGCCGACCAGGTGTGCATTAACCAGGACGACATTGCAGAGCGCAGCCGCCAGGTCAGCCTGATGAACGCCATCTACAAGGGCGCCGAGCACATCTTGGTCTGGCTGGGCCATGATGACGAGGACGTTGCGGAAGATGCCGTCCGCATGATCCATCACTTGCGGGATGTGTTTGAGGACGAGGAGAAGCACGACGCCTTCAGGTTGGCCCACTCGGAAGAGCTTCTGCAGCAGGACGGGGATTTATGGGTTCCGCTTTCCAAGTTGACCAAGCTGCAGTGGGTGAGTTATACAGACAGACAATCGTAGCCTAAATCGAGGAACCACGTCTGACGAGCACAGTTCAACCGCATCTGGATTGTCCAAGAGATTGGCACGACGACGGCGGCAACACTGTACTGGGGCGACGCCGAGCTGGACTGGGATGTCCTCTCGCTCGTGGCTGGAGTTCTCAACCAGCACTACCACTACTTGCGGTCCCGATTCTCCATCCTCACTCCAAATATCCGCTATCTGCACCGGCGGTTCGTCGAGCCTGACGAGGAGGACCAGGATGAGATCAACCAGAACCGCTCCAGCTTCATCTACCAACTCCATCGTGCGCGGCATCTGCGGGCGAAGGACCCTCGTGACCATGTCTATGCATTCCTCGGTCACTTTTCTATCCACACGGGGGGCAAGTCACTCGCGAAACTCAAGGCGGATTATAGTCGACCCATTGAGGACATCTTCTACGACGTTGCCGCTCGAGAGCTCACGGATGGAGAATCACTACTCATACTATCTGCGTGCCGCGCTTCACCATCTGGACCTAACAAAAAGGCCACCCTCAATCCAAGCCTGCCATCGTGGGTTCCGGACTGGCGCATCGTTCCAATGCATCTCCTCGCTTCGCCCATAACCCCCCATCGGGCATCCGGAGACACCCAACCCAAGCTCTGGATCGATGACACAAAGCGGGCACTGAAGGTTCGCGGGGTGCAAATCGATAAAATTGCCCGTCTATCGTGGACCTTGTTCGGCAAGGCTTTCCAGTTCCGCCGTAGCAATGTTAGGAGGCTCCCCGTCCAGGTTTTGTGGCAGGACATCTGCCGGCACAAGCGCTTCACCCTCAAGCAACCATACCCCACTGGCGGCTCGGCCTTCTTTGCGTTTATGCAGACGCTCACGAACGCGTCCATCGTGGCAGACCTCTCGCGGCCCTACGAGAGCATCCCCAAGTCGGAGTGGCTAGCCAACGGCGCCGCATACTTGGTACGCGCCCTGGGCGATTCGGACCTGGTGGCGCAGGATGTCCGAAAGGTGGCTTCCGACGGCGATGCTTTCCGGTGGAGCCACGAGGCGACGCTCGTGGCGCGATATCGCAAGTTTGCCGTGACGGACGGCGGACTGTTCCTCATCGGACCGGAGATGATGGAGTGGGGAGATGTAGTTGCCGTGCTGTACGGCGGGAGGACGCCCGTTGTCCTGCGACAGCGGCCTGAAGGCGATGGGTGGACGCTGGTGGGAGAGTGCTATGTACACGGAATCATGAACGGAGAGGCAATGGCAGGCGATGAATTGATAGGGGAGGAGTTTATTATTCTGTGAGACTTGGGGATCACATATGAAGAGGTGGGGATCACCCTTGACGAAATGGATGGATATACCCTTGGCTATTGGCTTGGCTTATAGCGGTAGGCAGATTGCAATGCTCGCCGTGTTAAATTACATACGTTACGTGCCGAGTGCGGCCAGGTCAGTCTATGACTAACTATAGTCGATAGTATTCCGGGAAAAAGACGACGAATAGAAGTTGAGTATATGTCAGCTTTTATCCTGCAGTAGCTCGGTTAGACTTGATCTGTAAAAGAGATCTCTGACCTGGTTACCGTGGGCGGCGGCAACCAAGTTCTGATACAGTATCTAGACTGTCGGTATCGGCATATATAAATACACCGTAGGCGTAGAACCGCTGCTGGTTATACTCGTAGCCCGTACGGGTTGGAACTTGCGCACTAAGACTGAGGCGTCTGCTTCTGTCTGTATAGGCGTATTAGCAATATGAATAGGGGGAATCCTACTTCGACTAGACATCACTTTGGCTGGAGTATCCATCATCGACAACAACTGAAGTAAGGCTAGAATCATCATATGGCTGTCTGGAAGGTTGAACGACGCAGAACAACCATACACTTTCAGAGAAGGAGATGTTGCCAGTAGTGAGAGATCTATAGGAATGCATATGGTCCCTGGATTATTCTCTACACCTGATCAAGACGTGCACCAATCACAAAGGAATTATCTTATCTGTAGCTAATGCTACTGAGACCTATAGAAACATCTCAAGATGTATCGATACACTAGGGGAATTTAATGCTGATACATTCATCAACCTAACACTAGCAAGATGATTGAAATAGCAGATGGAATGCCGGCTAATATATTTATCTGTGAACCACATCGTCTTGATCAAACTTCCAGATATTGTCTTTTCTTAAAGACAAATTCCAGCGGTCCTGGCAACAAAAACAAAAACAATTGATTCCGTGATTGCTCCACTACTGCACTGCCATCTTCCTCCGGTGCAAACATAAAGTCGCAGAACCACACAGTATACGCAGCCACCAGCCTCAACGTCATCATCGCTAGTCCCTGGCCAACGTAATTAAAAGGGCCTATCCAGATGTGTCAGAACAACTCCTTCGCGCGTACAATGGAAGACGTGAGATGGATATTTCAAGACTTACCGGTAGAGAAAGGGTGGTACGCTCGCTTGTCGAGCCCCACTCCGGCTGCAAGGTCCATCCCTCAGGGATCCAGTCTCCTGGGCGGACAAAGTATCGTTCGCAACGGTGGAAAGACCAGATCGAAGACGACATGTACACATCGCCGGGTATATAGGTGCCGTCCAGAACAATGTCCTCGGGTAGTGTCTTCTTAGGCCCCTTGGTGCATGTCGGGTGTGGTTTGGTATGGGGCGAATCGCAAATGCGCTTCGTGCTAGACGGGTATATCTACGACAAGCTGCAGCCGAAGCCAAAGCCGAGACCAGCGGCTCTTTGGACGAGGAGACAGAGGAACGTGAGAATGCTGTGTGATTTGTTACCATGTCATGTTTTCGGCGGATATTTATTCGCCAGCTGAGTACATGCCCAGCGAGACTCGAGCTGAAGCGAAGTCCAACAGCTCTCTGGATAAGGACTGTGAGACGAGCCAGGTGTCTGCGAGGTTGCTGGGCTGGGATCGGGGCAGGTTTGTGTTACTATGCTATGTATTTAGATAATCATTTCACCAACTCAGCAAGACACGGTAACCTGTAGTGCCTGACAAAACAACCACTTTGGGAAGACAAAGTCCATTTGTGTGTGCCGCGCGACTACCAGAAAATAAGAATAGGAAAGTTTCCAGATTGTTCTTGACGCAATACTGCATGCGTGGTGGACGCCGCCTTACTCTTCTTCCCCGCTGATGTACTACGTAGTATGTAGATCTGTCTGTTCCAGCCCCAGACCGATTCGCAGAACTTGGCTGCAGCTCGTCATGGATCATCATTTACTCCGATGTCGCCCCGCACGCCAACCATGCTGAGCTTGTGAACAACCGGCCAGTGCCTTGATTACTAATCAAACGGCGCCACCATGCGCTCTTCTGGTGGCGTCGAAACGTACGCGCGATTGGCTTTTTTGCCGGACGACGTTGGAGCGTGGCTGTGAATGTCTTGACTCAACAGTGACTGTGTGGTGCCTTTTTTTTCTTTTTTCTTTTTTGAGTCTTACCCCAGGTTTGTGTCCGGCTTCGCTCCGATCCAGAACCAAACCTTCCTTGGCTAACCTCTCCCACCTCCCTCGCCTCCTCGCACTGCGCTGCGCTGCAACGGGCAATTCTATTGCTAAAAGCAGGTTATCGCTATGTAAGGGATCGTTACAGACCTGTTTTACTATACATACTAGCGCCATCGCCACTTCCTCCAATAACTCTTTTATCATCCTCGATCCCGAAGCAAAGACTGGCTGGCATTTTCGGATTCTCCTTCTCTTTACTGAGCGCTTGCGCTCACTCACGCAATTGAGATCTTCCCTTTCCCATCCCACCCCGACTTTCCTCCCCTCCGAATCCACCTACTCCGCGATGCTCCGAAATCGCCCTACGAGAAAGGCCCTTGGCCAGGCGAGGGCCTGGACGACGCCGCCCACAGCCACTCTTGCGCAGTCAAAGCTGCCCGCGACGCAAAGAACAAAGGCCACTGCTACCACTTCTGCCGCGCCGTAAGTTTCTGGCTGTTTTTCTTGGTTCTCTGCACCCTCATAACCTCGTTCGTGGTGTCACGCTTCGCCGCCCAACAACTATCCGTGTTCCTGACTCGAAAGACGCCGAGGAGTGCCCCAATGCTCGCTCCACCAAGTCAATTGATGTTTCATTGTTAATCTCATCTCAATCATGTTGCTGACCTGCTTTACAGTCAGACTCGCCCTGTGGCCAGCCCCGCCTTCAACTTGGAACCCGAATCTCGTCGGCATGTTCAGCCTCTTGTCAGCCGATCGAAACCCGACATGGATGAGTCGTAAGAATTCTCTCTCAAACCACAATGAGCCCTTGCTCATATGCTTTCAGGTTCATCGGAAAGACCGGCGGCGAGATCTTTCATGAGATGATGCTCAGGCACGGTGTGAAGCATATTTGTTTGTCTCCCTTCTCCAACCGAACTTGTCTTCGTCGGCAGGGCCAATTGAGAACCCACGTGCTAACTAGTCCTAGTCGGCTACCCCGGAGGCGCCATCCTTCCCGTCTTTGACGCCATCTACAACTCGGAACACTTCGATTTTATCTTGCCTCGACACGAACAAGGCGCTGGCCACATGGCACAAGGTAAGACTTGCTTGGCTGAACAAGGTTTATACTAATATATCATAGGGTACGCACGTGCCTCCGGAAAACCTGGCGTTGTACTCGTTACATCGGGTCCGGGAGCGACTAATGTCATCACACCCATGCAAGATGCTCTCTCAGATGGCACTCCCATAGTGGTCTTCACTGGACAGGTCGTAACAAGTGCGATCGGACTGGACGCGTTTCAAGAGTGCGATACTGTGGGCATTAGCAGGAGTGCGTGCAAGTGGAATTGCATGGTAACAAGCATTGCTGAGCTCCCGCGTCGAATTAACGAGGCTTTCGAGATTGCTACTAGTGGTCGTCCTGGCCCTGTTCTTATCGACCTTCCTAAGGATATCACAGCTGGGATTCTTCGAAAGGCTATACCAACACAAACTTGCCTCCCCTCTTTTCCAAGCATCGCTTCTCAGGCTGCCAAACGACTATCGGAGAAGCAGCTTAATGCCTCCCTTGGTCGTGCTGCTGAGCTTATCAAAGTAGCTAAGCAGCCTACCATTTACGCTGGCCAAGGCATCATGCAGTCTGAGGGTGGAACTGAGCTTCTTCGCGAGCTAGCTGATAAGTGTTCTATTCCTGTTACGACAACTCTCCAGGGCCTTGGTGCATTTGATGAGCGTGACGAGAAGTCATTACATATGTTGGGTATGCATGGCACGGCATATGCCAATATGTCTATGCAGGAGGCCGACCTTATTATTGCTCTTGGTGCTCGCTTTGACGACCGTGTTACCCTGAATACTTCAAAATTTGCTCCTAATGCTAAAGCTGCAGCAGCTGAGAAGCGAGGCGGCATTATTCATTTTGATATATTGCCTAAGAATATTAACAAGGTCATTCAAGCAACTGAGGCTATTGAGGGCGATGTTGCCACTAACCTCAAGATGCTTATGCCTATGCTCACATCCACAAGCATGGAGCAACGACGCGAATGGTTTAACAAGATATCCGAATGGAAGGCCAAGTGGCCTCTATCCAACTATGAGCGCGCTGACTCTCCTGGAGGCAACGGTCTCATTAAACCCCAGTCCGTAATTGAGGAGCTGAGCGATCTCACCTCTAAAATTGACAAGAAAACAATCATCTCGACTGGAGTGGGCCAGCATGTGAGTTCCTCATGAGCAGCCAACACTATTACGAACACCAACTGACCTGAAGTAGCAAATGTGGGTAGCACAGCACTACTCATGGAGAGAGCCTCGATCGTTTGTCACGAGCGGTGGATTAGGTACGTGATATTTTTGCAGCACCTTGGCCGTTTCTCTCCGGCCTTTCCAAACCCCAAACCCAAATCTTGTCATGTTTCTTGGTCATTGAAGTTTGTAACGACCCTAATTCTGACCCTGGGATGCAGGCACGATGGGCTTTGGGCTGCCAAGTGCGATTGGAATTGCAGTAGCAAGACCAGACGCCCTCGTGATCGACATTGACGGCGATGCGTCCTTTAACATGACCCTAACAGAGCTCTCCACCGCTGCTCAATTTAACATTGGCGTTAAGGTTATTATTCTGAATAACGAGGAGCAAGGCATGGTTACCCAATGGCAGAACCTGTTCTATGAGGACCGCTATGCACACACCCACCAGCGGAATCCGGACTTTGTCAAGTTAGCCGACGCAATGGGTGTGCAGGCGAGGAAGGTCTCCAAGCCAGAGGACGTTCGGGCTAGCCTCGAGTGGCTCATCAACACAGACGGTCCAGCTCTTCTCGAGGTTGTTACCGATAAGAAGGTGCCTGTCCTGCCTATGGTACCAGCAGGTGCTGGCCTCCACGAGTTCTTGGTTTATGATAGAGGTAAGCTATAGTTCCTGGGACTGTAACACGATGATATGCCTATTTGCTAACGGCGGTTGATTGCAGAAAAGGACAAGGCCCGGCGACAGCTAATGCGCGAGCGAACCAGCGGTCTTCACGGTTCTTAGTCAGGAGTCCGGGAGGAAGTAAAGCTGTTAGGTAAAATTATCAGAGGTCTATAAGGCACATAGGTATGTGATATTGCGTTAATTCTATAACTATGGATAGCATTGCGCCACCTTATATACGTCTTTTTACGAGATCTCCTTGGTGTAGACGTCCGTACTCCGGCTCTACTACCAACATCTGCCACTGAGTGATCATCCATGCGCGAATTCCAGCTGAACTGAATTTGAAACAAGGCTTGACCACCTAAGAAGTCGCGTTTCAAAGTAGCATCTTCGAGACTCCATTCTTAAAACGTCGCTGACGGAGCCCGTGGGTCACCCTCATCTTGCTTGTCATTCGATGGTGATCGGCGGCTTGATGGACTGGCAGCATGTAGTCGTTGGCGAGGCTTGCCGCGGGTTGAGGATCGTCTAAGCTTACGCCGTTTGCGGGCATGGTGGTCAGAATCATCATCGGTAAACAGCTCTCGCTTAGCGCCTCTGTTGCGTGGCTATTCCGTGCTGGAGGAGAGTACTCTTGGTCACCTCGTACGATACTGTTATAACTATAGCTGGTTTCCGATGTGGTCTTGGGTTTGGATGCCGTAATTAGATAAAAGAGTTCTCTATGGACTTCGCGGGAGCAGTTATCGACCCTGGCTATAGACTTGTGGGTCTTGCGGCGTTTGAGTATATACTGGTCGACATCAGGGCTATTATTGGCTTTGCTGTCGCCGCACAGTGGAAGTCTTGGTAGGCCTGGGAGGATACCATACTCCAGCCCCTCCTGGTATCCTTGCGTGTTATAGTCGCTATTAGAATGGGGCTGGATGTCGGCGTTAATATTGAAGTTGGGATTCGACCGTTGATTGGTTTGAGTCCTCTCTTTATCGGCGTTGGGAGCTCGGCCGCGGCCCTCCCGGAGGTCCTCTTCTTCTGATCCCTTCGGAGAGGGCGGTTGTGTAAGGGAACCTTCTGGTATGTCGTCGCTTGCCACTACAGACTTATTAGCTATGAGTTTAGGGTCGCCGTCTGCGTTGGTTGCAGTAGGATTTTGCGTCTCGCTCTTCTCGTTCACGAGCGAATAGGGCGGTGAAATAGATCTTGTAACAGGTCGTCTTGGAGGTAAAGCGCACGGTGGTTTTGTCTGTCGTGTCTTGATTGAGTCGGTCGTCCGTCGGTATACCCAGCCGGCGCATGTTATTAGCGAGGTCATCAGATTCGCAACCGAATGTCTTATGCATCTATTAGCCATACCTGGAGCTCGAGATCTAACTATGACGTGAACCTACCAATATAGCAAACATCGTCAGGCGAGGCCGTGGCAAGAGACGGCACAAGGGCATCAGCCGATAGAAGTGTATCGTCCGAATGCCAGCCCACGTCTCGACAGCCATTATCACCATTTGTATCGTCTATGTCTAACCGGCCCTCAGTGTCGGACGGTATCAATATCGGTTCATTCGTTGTCGGACCGGTGAAACCTAATGTGTGAGGTTGTTCTTCGCTCACGTGAGGGGAGGAATATTCTGGCTGGGACAGAAGCTGCTCCTGCTGCTTCACCTGGCTAGCGCACTCTGGGACTGCGACAGCCGGAGGCACCCAGAAGGTCATATTGCCAAGGCTCACAGGGGCTGCCATAATGAGGTTTTCAAGAACAAACTGGATTGAAGGCAATTATTGAAAAAATTCCAGGAGCACCGCGTGAAGACTCTGAGCGCAGGTCTTGTTGTCGACAGAATCTGCTGGAGTCTCAGGCCGCGGCGCAATATATACATTGCCCTCGTTTAGTCCCCGGAATGGGAATGTCTCAAGCGGCATTGGTACGCTGCCGGGGGACTGTGACCTGATTGTTAGCTTGCAAGGTTTCAGTGGAGGTTGCAGTGGGATTGTGAGCCGGAAAGGGTATTACGGGTTATGTGGCAGACATCGAGTCGCCTTGTCATGTATGCGGACACACAAAGATGTTCTCAAGTCCCCCTTGCCAGGTAAGCCGGGGTGTGTTGGTGTTACGGTTGCTTTAACCAAGACTGATATACCGCAAAATTTTGATTTCATTGCTCACACCTAACCCATGTGTCAATGATTCGAGAGAAAGAAGAAATGCATACAACATTGCTTGTATTTCGTATGATGATGATAGTGTTTATGATTGGCGGTACAATCATATCAGTTTCTTATTGTATAATATGTTGTGGATAAGCCAACGGGGAATCTGTCTGTAGCCCCAACGCCAATCCAAGTCCCAGGTCCTAAATGAGCAAGTCATAGTGATCGTAAGAAGCAAAGGGTATCCATATCCATCCCATTCCATCCTAGTCCTGCCAGCCAATGCCCGCCCATATCGTGACATCCCGTAGTCATATATATTGTTAAACACTCTCATGCTCCTTGACCGGTGTCGCGCCCATGACGCTGATATCATCCTCGTCATCATCAAAAGACCTACCCCTCTCCCGTGGCAGATCCTTTGGTGTAATACCCGCCGCCTCGACAGACGGCAGCTGTTTCCCATCTCTCAGCTCCCAGCTGCCGACTCGCTCGTGGTGGAAGCCTTCATTTGTCACAGCCACGTCTTTATCACCATCCTTCCTCTCGGGCCCCTTGAATCCTGCGACGGGCGCAGTCGGTTCTTGTCTGATTGCTTCACGCTTTAAACGGAGTCCAGCGAGGCAATAAAGGCATCCCGCGATGAAAGCAACGACCACGCCCATTATGACGGCGCCGACAACGCCCGCAACCACGGGATCAAGCCTACCCGGGATGGAATCAAGACCGTCGTCAGTCGTATATGAGTAGAAACACCACGGCGCAGCCGTAGAATCGCAAATACCACACCAATCGTACACCGACCGTCCAAGCTCCTGCATTGTCTCGGCGAAATCCGAGTAGGGAACGAGGCCATTTTGGGAGCCCGAATCAAAGAAGGGTTGCATCTCGAACTTCTCATCTGTGTCCGCAGAAGCACGGTAGTAGAGCCTTACTGAGAGATCGTTGAACGAGGGTAGCAGATCTGGGTTATCCGAATCCTCCCCATAGAGCTCAAAGATGAGTGCGGCGCCGGGATTTGGAAGAGTGGAAAAGGGACCATCCACGATGCTCTCGGGGGTGAGTAGACCAGACAAAGCAATGAAACTGATGATAGGGTCGAATGAGCCAAACATGAGGGTCAATTTTTCGCGGCTGCCGTTCCATTGGAGGTTGGTAATGAACTGCCGCACCACCCGATTCGCGAACGTGCGGCCGGCGACGGAATAGAGAACCTGTTTGGTTTGAGATTCAAAAGAGTCTGAACCATCGGCATAGCTATTCTTGATCCGCTCCATGGAGGCGGCGTAGGAGCCTAGGATGTTGAGAATGGCGGTTCCGTTGGTGAGACCGTCATGGACAGTTTCGTTGTGAGTATACATGTAGTTGACATAGTCGTATATCTCGTAGGCGTTCCAGAGGTTGGCATCCTCGAGGTTGATGGTCCCGACGAGTGGATACGTCGAAAAGAGTAGTTGGTAGTTGTCATAGGTTGCGTTGTAGAATTTCAGCATTGTGGGATCTTGGGTCAGGTTGCTGTTCATCTCGGACTCCCAATTAGAGCACCTGAGATTTCCTTGTATGCTGGAGTACTTGTTAGCCTGGGTGCTGGATTAACAGTCCAGGAGACATACGCGGTCGACTGGGGGTCAAGAATGCTCAGTGTGCGAAGATTTGGGTACTGGTATCCATTGAGCGGATAATCAGTGAGGTTGCCCCCTTCCGAATAATCGCGAGCAATGTCGGATGCATCCGTGTCGGTCCCGAATGCATTTGGGGAGGGAGGATATAATCCCTGGAAGAAGGCCATGGCTCCGGCTACGACGGACTCTTCCGCCTGGGAAGTCAAGTCGAGGACGGTATTATCAATCTCGTCGGCGGACATGTCCTGGAGACGGGCGACCTCAATGCCGGCGTAGTCAGGGTCGGTCATATTGGCCAAGTAGCGGGCGCGGAATGCTCGTCCTTGTCGCCGCATCTGCTGAGCTCCTTCGGGAGTCAGCATCCAGTGGTCGCTAATGACGGGCGTCCTCTCGCCACTGTTGATGAAGGCGACAACGGCCCAGACCTTTCCGGTTCCATTACTTGACTGCGCCCAGACGCCGGCGGTGAGGGCGTAGGCGACGGTGAGACACTTCCACAATGCCATTCTAAAGACTCAGCGTCGTGCTTCGTGCGGAGGGTGACTCGGGATAATAGCAGACACAGCAACCTTTGGGCCTGCGAGAAGAGTGAAGAGGGGAGAAACCATTTTAGAGGTCCGCGAGAGGGACGGCACGCGGTTTAACTCGGACCTGCGAGCCACAGTTCTTAGTGATCGTCATCCTTGAAGGCAATTGCCTGTGCTTCCCACCCATCCACTTGACCTCGCCAACCTCGCCAAGCCCACCGCCTCGCATGTCTCAAGTACAAGGCCAGTCGCCACGCTGGCTATGAGACATGTTGTCATTGGGACCCACGGCATGCGGCCGCCAGGTTTATCCCGCCGATAGGCTTGGGAATAGCTGCAAAAGGGAGCAGGGCTGGGCATGCGGGGAAGCAGACCAAGCATGGGAAGTGATAGCCCAGTGGCACGATAAAGCTGAGGTGGGCACCCATCGGAGGTGGCCACGCCGTGAACAGACAAGGCAGAGCGAGCCAACGTGGGTTCGACCCAATCACAGGTGTTCCGGTTTACGTAGGTGCTGCACGCCTTCTGCCCTTCTGCAGCCCGGCAGCGATAAAGGATGACGGGGTGGAGAAATGGCTGGGGCGTGGTTGACGCTGTGAGACACGAAAGTAGCAGAGCGGCATGTATCTGGTTGGACAGCTCAAAAGCAGAGGGAAAGGCAAAGGTACGCGGACAGCGGAGGCTTCTTCCCACAGCCAACACAAAGAGGGGAGCCATGCTTTGTTCGTTCCGGAAGCAGGGCGGGCGCAAAAGAAGGGTGCGCTCCAGGGTGGAAAACGAGAGTTAGTCGACGGCGATGGCTTCAAGGTTTAAGCCTAATCCGACAAGACGGCAGCGTCGGCTCAGAGTTGGCTCAGTGTTCGCTCAGCGTCCGGCCGCTGAAGATTAGACAAGCCCTGCAGTAAATCAGACAAGCCCGGCGGTAAATCAGACAAATCGCTTTCTGCGTCTGTAATCGGTACCCGAAGCCGAGACATGGCCGTCACGAGGCAGATAACGCACCCCGGCCATCCACTCACAGACGGCAACCGCTTGGCTGCTTATTACTTAGGCGGTTGGTTTTGACTCGGCGTTGGTGGGATTGTATTGGGTATATCTACCTATACCCAGAGCCAATACCCAGAGCCTATACCTAGATGGATGTCATCAGCCGGCAAGCTGACAGCCTCTAGACATGGGGGGGGTGGGGGGGATGTGCGGAGGCGGTCACCCCTCCAATGATGCAATATTGATGACTTTGCAGAAGAGGGTGGGAGAGGAGCGGCATATCCCATGCCTGGCTGTGCACTTTGCTACCTATGATTGATTGTTTTCTCACACAAGCTCGTGTTTTTTTACCACTTTGTCATGTGTTCCCGCCGAAGTTCCCATTAGGTTTGTCATGGAGCTGGCCGCGATTGACGTCACCGAGAGCGAACCCGACACACCACCCGATAAGACAGCCCCTCCATCATATCTCGAATAGACATTGCCATCACCCAAACTCTCACCTGGCATATCTATGTTTAACCAGCACCAGGCTCACCGACTGACTGAGAGCTACGTGCCGCAGCATTGTTAGACCGGACCCTAGCGCATTGTCTCTAGGGTAGGTGCTGCAGCAAGTACGCACATCGACAACCACATGGCGCAGACTGCAAACATAGTCCACAGAGCATTCTCCAATATGCTCCAATCTCAACACATCCAATGCGAACCACTCACTCTGAGTCTTCTCCCTTCTTCATACACCTACTAGGGAGTAGTCCAAGCTCGCCAACGGGACTGAAAAAATCTTCAACTCAATATATCCCGCATTAAATTCTCCCGGATCCATCCGACAACGGGCACAACCAATCATGGGAAGTGGACTACCACTTCAATAGGTTCCATGGTCTAACGGTTATGACTGCGGATTCTGATTCCGCCAGCGAGGGTTCGACTCCCCCTGGAACCTTTCCTTTTGCTGTTCAGGAGCCTCCGTGGTGAGGTTCAAGTGTTGGGAACTCAGACTCTCTTTTTGAGCCGGGAACGTCCATGATCTGACAGACAACCCCTGTTATGTAAAGGAATAACTGATAAATGATTCATGGCTGATTTGCCGTTATTTGGAGGATGTCAGTCATTGTTGTTATGCTGACCGAATCACGGACAATTGGCAGAAATGTGACGAAGAAGATGATGAATCCAGTAACTAACCATGTAAATATCAATTGTCAACTCGTGTGTTATTGACCGCTCCTTCTAGATGTTCAGTGAGTAAGAGCGAAACTGCTCCCCAGACTTTCAGTGAATACATTGCACCAAGAAAACTAGCATTTGTATAAGGCATTTGTACAGTATGTGGCGTAGAAACCGGCCATATCCTAGTAGGAGCAAACATATAAAATAATAACTGGACATTTAAACACTACCGACAGTAAAGCAGCAATACGTCATACGGATCCAACCGTCCAGCCCCTGTGTCCATGGCACTAGCCTCATTGACCCTAGAACCAGCCCCTGGACCCTGGAACCAACCATCTTGCCCAAGGACGGGACAAAAGGGGGGGGATGTAAAAAAATCCGGATAAAACAGATTTGAACGTTTCGCATTCAAACACATTCGAGAGTCTTAGGAATCAGATCTCTTGTCCATAAATATAGGAAGATAAACAAGCGAGGCGTTTAGCCGGATACAGCTCGGAATAGCCAGGAGTCCAGCGGCCTCGATGTAGCTAATCAAAGATTGTCAAGATAGCACTTGCACATGTTGTAACAAAGAAGGATGCGATGGGGAACTTTGTGTGACATAAGTGAAGGCTGTGGGTATTGAATGAGAGACAGCCAAGTGGCAACTGAATGCACAAGGCGGCGATGACGGATAGGAAACATTGGGAAGGTGGGAGTGTGCGAGATAGCGCAGTCGAAAACAATACTTGATGACTGGCAGAGCTACGCCATAATTGCCTTATGCGGGTGTCGGGCAGATGATAACTGGCTCCAGTCATCTGGCGGATGTGGAGATGGGAGCAGGCCCGAGTCATCTAGACGAGGGAGGATCAGATCAAGATGAAGATCAAGAGGAGTCGATGGACTGAGAGCTGGAATGCGGGATACGTGATTCGAATAACCAAGAATGTATCAGTAAGTCATAGTCGAGACCGGGGCGACCGGGGTTTGTCCGGCAGTGGAGGATCTTCGATGAACCCCGGCTTGGCTGGCGACGTTGAAATCTTATCAATCTGATCAACGTGCATCACTGAGCCAGGGGCAGGACCTGGACTATGGAGAGCCCCGGATCTTGGGCCCGGATCTTGCGCGAGTGCGAGTTCTGCCTCAGGCAAAAGAAGGCAATGACTAGCGACAAATTCCCCGAGACGGCTTGGCACCTGAATTTATTGAATTTCCTCTGTAATTGTTGTACCTCGGACAAAGGTAAGGAGAGCGAGCACAAGCTGCCGTGGTACCCTCCTCCTGAGCCGATGGCGCGTGAGAGCCGCCAGTCGTGACGAGGCAACTATGCACCTGGCAGAATGTGCCGCTTTGAATCCCGTGCCTGGCGACACTTGCTCTTGGCTGGCATTGCGTATTGCATTGAACAGGGCAAGTCTCTGTCCTCCTGCCTGGGTCTCTCAATGCAATAGGTAATACTCCGCCCACACTTGGCTGGTACTCCGTGCTTGCGTATCAGTGGAACCCCCCGAAATCGTACCACTGGATCGCTCGTTTGGCCGTTTGTAGCGACGCGCGCTGGGGGGTCCCCCCCTGTAGCCCTGTTCTTCCGGGTTCGCAGGTCGGCCAGCCACTGTAATCTTCAGGTACCCGGCAAGTACCTTTGTGCAGGGAGCGCGCACAGAGAGTACCGAGCTACCCACCTGCCGTTGAAGTCGTTCCCTAACAATTTCTCCGCATCACCTGGCCCTCCGTTATTCTGGCTGGCGACACACCCAACAACTTGTACTTCAACTACACCACACCCTTACGAGTCGTCGCTTCGTCCAGACTTGCTCGACGCAACGCCCGCCCTGAGCGCTCTCCCTCTCTCCGCATACGAGCGCCAATTCGCCATCGCCCGCTGCGGCCATCAGCGTCTCCCAGTCGACAATTCCTCCCTCAATGGCCCCGTCGCAAACAGCGACGTGATCGCCTACCATGTCGACGTCGACGGACGCCACCGGTCCTGCGGTCGATCCAGCGCCCCCTGCCGGTGACTCCATCACAGCCCTCGCCTACGACGACATCGACAGCGCGAACCAGCTGCAGGCCGAGGCCAAAGCCGAAGTGCAGAAGCAGGCGCAAGCACAGGCGCACGCCAGCTTCCTGCACTCGCCGCCCGACAGCAACAATACCGTCAAATCGGACGCTTCCGACTCAGAACTCAGCGAACTCGACGAGGAACCCATCCTGAGCGATGCGCCCGTGCCCCCGCCCGCCAGCGACGACGGACAAGATGACATCGGCGAGGTGCTACCAGACCATTGGTCTGGCACAGTCCCCGTCTTCAAGCCGACCATGGACCAGTTCAAGGACTTTAAGCGCTTCGTACGTTTGCCCGACGCCCGCACGCTAATTAACCTCTTTGTGCTAATCTGTGGAGTTCCAGATGGAAGCAGTCGATAGCTACGGAATGAAGTCCGGCATTATCAAGATCACCCCACCCGAAGAGTGGAAGGAATCGCTTCCTCAACTTGACGAACTCATAAAGCAGGTCAAAGTTAGAGAACCGATCAAGCAGGACATCATGGGATCCAGCGGCACTTATCGACAAGTCAACATTCTCCATGGCCGATCTTACAACGTTCCACAATGGCGCCAACTTTGCGAGCAGAGCGAACACCAGCCTCCCGCCCGTCGCGGCGAACGAAGAGCCAATGCCGACAAAGTTAGACCTTCACGGGCTCGAGCTGCCGCCCCCAAGCCTGCAAACCTAGGGACTCCCAAGAGGAGAACACGAGGCCGCCCGACCAGAGGCAAGCAGGGAGCTAAAGACAAGCTCATCCAGGAGGAGACAGAGGGAGAAGGAGGAGAGGACAGACCACTGACGCCAATCTCGCCCAAGCACGAAACAGAAGAGATCGAAAAACCTGTCGAATCCATTGAACAGGACCCGGGTGAGGCCATTGACGAAGCCGACTGTGCGCCTACAGTGGGCAGAATGGGCATCTCAAGGCAGGCAAGGCCCAAGACCCAATCCATCTCAGCACGTCGCAAATACAGTCGCCGCGAGGGATCCGCCATGATCGACGAAGCCGCATTCAAGAACTGGGATTACCGGATGGATATTTCCGAGTACACCCCAGAGCGCTGCGAGGAGCTTGAGCGGGCGTACTGGAAGACTTTGACATATGCCCCTCCCCTCTATGGCGCTGACTTGATGGGAAGCCTGTTTGGCGAGTCGACGGAGCTGTGGAACTTGAACAAGTTGCCCAATCTCTTGGACGTTCTTGGCACCAAGGTCCCCGGTGTCAACACGGCATACCTCTACCTGGGAATGTGGAAGGCGACTTTTGCCTGGCATCTCGAAGATGTCGATCTGTACAGCATCAACTACTTGCACTTTGGCGCCCCGAAACAGTGGTACAGCATCTCCCAAGCCGACGCCCGCCGTTTCGAAGCAGCCATGAAGAGCATCTGGCCCCAGGATGCCAAGGCATGCGATCAATTCCTTCGACATAAGGCTTTCCTAATCTCGCCCCAACATCTGCTCCAACATTACGGGATCAAGGTCAACAAATGTGTGTCATACCCAGGAGAATTCGTCGTCACATATCCCTATGGTTACCACTCCGGTTATAACCTGGGATACAACTGCGCTGAGGCTGTCAATTTCGCACTTGATTCGTGGCTTGATATGGGCAAGATCGCCAAGAAATGCGAATGTGCACAGGCGCAGGATAGTGTGTGGGTTAATGTCTACGAAATCGAGCGCAAGCTGCGGGGCGAGGAGACGGAGTACGAAGAAACTGAAGAGGAAGAAGATGATGACGAAGACCAGTCCGGACTGCCGACTCCGCCAGCCAGCTATGGCGTTAAGTTCAAGGACGAAGGTCTCAAGCGGAAACGTGGCCCTGGCGAAAAGGGCCGCAAGGTCAAAGTCAAGAAGATCAAGCTCCGCATCAAGACCAAGGCCGAGCCACCTTGTTGCTTGTGTCCCAACGATTATCCATCAGCAGAGTTTCTACCCACAGATGACGGACGAAAAGCTCACCGGCTATGTGCCTTGTATCTCCCCGAGACGTACATTGATACGGTTGACGGCCAGGAGGTGGTATCCAACGCAGCGCACATTCACAAGGATCGCCTTGACCTCAAGTGCCTGTACTGTCGTTCGAAGCGTGGGGCCTGTTTCCAGTGTTCGCAGAAGAAATGTGCTAGAGCGTATCATGCGACATGCGCAGCCGCAGCAGGTGTTTTTGTTGAAGATCAAGAAGTCCCAGTCTTTGGCGAAGATGGTAAAGAGTACAAAGAACAGGCGTTCGAGTTCAGTTGTCGATTTCATCGGACGAAACGGGACAGGAAACTCGATGGGGATGCACTGGAAGCGGACCCACGAATCCAGGCAGCTGCCGCCGCTCTCAAGAAAGGCGAAACTTGCCAGCTGCAATACCTCAAGGGGGAAATCTTTGCCGGCTGTGTGGTGGAGAATCGCGTTGACGAGCAAACGCTTCTCCTAGACATTCTGCCAAACGGGTATGCAACGCCCACCAAACCCCTACAACTTAAGCTAACTCCGAAAAGTGATCGTTTAGAAGTCGAGTGGAAGTGGCTGCTGCTACCTCATCCCGCCGATTACAACCTCCCCAAAGCCTCTGCAAACGCCATCCCAATGCCGACCTCACGAAAGGCCAAGGACAAGCTGAAGGCTACGCGGCAGCAAGATGACAAGCCGCGAAAGGATGACCTCTTCGCTGAAGGCTACACATGGTCAGAATTCCACCTTCAGGATGTGAGCAACAAGGATCAAGTCAAGATCGACTTCACCAAGCAAGATCAGATTTGGCACTACCTCGGAAAGACGTCAACAGAGGCTAGGGCGCAGTATACCGAAGATGCATCCCGCCCACGTCACAACCCCAAGGGCAACTTCCTGGATACGATCCCGAAACCACCGAAGCCGCTGAAACCAGTCTCGACCACATACGTTCAGCAACGGCCGATGTATGCGCCTGTGGCGTCGTATGGAAGCCCATATTCTGCCCCGAATGCCGCGGGTGCTGTGGGTGTGATGCCTAAAACTTCAGCTTCGGCTCGCCCCGTGAAACCATACGTCTACAAACCAAGAAAGCCCGTGGATGCCAACGTCAGTGGTATGGGTGTGTTCGCAGCGCAACAGTTCAGCTCAGCAGCTCCCTCAACTTCCCAACTCACCCGTCCTGCGTACCCTCAGCATCCATACGTGCAGAACCCGGGACACCAGAACACGGGCCAGTATTCGGCACAACGATTTGACGTCAAAACTCCACAAACCTACACGCCTCACATAGCAGCACAGCCTCAGCATCAGTGGCAACACCGCGTTGTTGCACCCGGTCCAGTTGCACCACATCGTGTTCACCACATTCCTTCTGCGGCGCAGCCGTCGCAGCAACAACCTGCGCCAGCGCAACCCAGGCCACAAGCCAGAGCCGCATGGCAGGTTCACTCGTCGATCTACCAAAAATATCAGTTCTTCCAAGTGAATCATAACAGGTATGCTTCTCTCGATGCACAAGAGGCCGAGATCGTGCTAATCGATTCTAGGGACTCGACAAAATACAGAACTCCATACTCTCCATGGGGTGGCTTCACCAACGGATATGAGGGCAATCTGAGAGCACATCTCATGAGCAACCAAAACGAGCTGCTTCGAGGAGCCAGCATGGGAACAGGAGCACATCGTCAACCAAGTTACAGCGCAAGCCCTTACGCGCCGGCCAGTTTCAACCGTGCCCTCGCGCCTGGAGGCCATTTCCAACAACCGACTCCCTCGCACGCATCTCCCTACGGAGCAAATCCCTTCACGCGCAATCCACGGCCTGGATCAGCATCGTCACAGGCACCGGTACCCGCGACTCTCTATCACCACGCCCGGGCTTCGATAAAAGCGCAATATCTTGTACCAGCACCGGCCTCGCAGCAAACCATGAGGCCAGAACCTCAGTCCAACAAGGCAAAGCCGGCCCCGGTGCCGGCTCAAAAGGTTTACAAGGTTGGAATTCTCACCACCTCCGCCGTGCCACAGACAGACTAACAAACAAACTAGATTCCACCAAAAGAATCCCCAGTACCCTTACCGGCTAACTTCCTGGCCGCCATGACCACCTCATCAAATACGCTTACGACAGGTTCGAATATGGCGTCACCTCGGGCCTCCAAACACGGTCGCCCTAGTGATCCACAAGCATCACAGGAACCTCGAACCAAATCATCTCCAACGATATCAATCCCTGGAGATACAATCAAGGTCTCTACAACGCCTATCCCCACCTCACAGGTGTCAAGCACAATGTCCCAATCTGGGGCTGCGACACCGGCAACATCCTTGCCAGTATCTAGTTCCGAACAGGGCAAGGTGTTAGACACCATAACTGCACAGCCTGCCCAGAGTCCTCTGGAGGCGAAGAATCAACTACTTTCTCAACCAACTGCAGGCAACGCAGCGATTGAGCCACAGGATTTCCCTGATGTTCCCGGGTGCGAATCTATGGAGTTCGTTGAAAGGCTGATGCAGAACCTCCGAAGGGTATCACAACAAGGCGGGACTAAGTAGACGGTCTCAAATAGCACCCTGCGCATGTGTGTTCTCACACGGGGAGTTGGGTGTCGAGACTACCAATTACCTGCTTGGGATTCGCATCACAAGCAGGATGTATAAATGAGATGCGATCTCTGAGATGGCGTTTTAGGGGTTCGGCGGATTCTTCACGGCAGCATTTTTCACTTGCGCATTCAGAATGACGATGGGGGACGAAAGCAATACAATGAAACAGGCGTCGTCATACCCGAGCTTTGGAACCAGGAGCGGCGTATCCTGTGTAAGGCGGTTTTGGTGCATGCATGCATGGAGGGAGAGCTTTGGAGCATTAGTGGATCCATGATGTAGATCAATGAAAAGACTTTACGATTGAAATGAGGAATAATCAGGTGACATGAGACTTGTGGTAGTGTTCTGGAGTGATTGGTGCCTCGAACCAGGGTTTGGGTATCGCGAGGACAGAGAGTTGAAAACGTGGGTGGATTGAATCTGAATATCGGCATACATGCAGCGACTCATCGTCTCCAATTGTGGTTCCGCGATATCAACATGATTATCTTTCGTTCCTTCTCATTATCGTCTTCCTAGTCTTTCTTATCCACCTCCTTGCGCTTATCCATTTCCCAATCCTCCCGTTTAGAATCGCCGTCCACACGGGTGACATGGCACCTATGCTTTCAAACGTGACTTGATTCTCTCACTGCAAAATATAATATGGTGGCATTACTTAGGCCATCATTAAAAGTCACAACTGGGGACAATTAAGGAGATCTTGGTCCCAAAATGCCACCTTCACCTTGTCCATCAACGCCGGGTAGTTCTTCGCGCCATTCTTGAGAAGCTTGCGACTGGGACTCTCAAACATGTCCATTCGCATCGTTTGCACGAACCCGCGGCCTCGAAAACGTGCGGTACGGGTATTTCCACGCTTTGACTGGAGTCGGAGCTCGTCTTTGATGAACTCCTCGATGGTAGGCAGCGTGTATCCGTTGTGGTATAGATCGTCGTCGTCGAAGAAAGCCCACGCTCGCTGGCGGTACATCCTCCGGAACGCGTGACTGAGGGTGTCGTCCCGTCGCACCGAGTAGAAATCTGGCATCAGTCTTCGCCACAAACCAGAGCCGTCGTCACTAATCCGCAGTATCGTGTGCGGGTCATATCGCAAGTGGTTCAGTCGGCAGCCGAAACTTGCTCGTTCAGGATGTTGGTATGTGACTTCGCTGTAAAAGCATTCAAGGAACCGGGAACACGATGACAGTTCCGACGTCAGCAGGGACATGATGAGGTCGAAGCCGCATCCGGCCAGACGGTCGATATATGAGTGGCGAATCCCGAAAAACGACTGCGGGTCTTGATTCTCCATGTACATCTCGGGGTTGAACTGGAGATGATCAGGGAACACGAGTCCCCGCTGATGATTTTCATTTGCCGAGATTGGGTATGAAGACACATGAAGATCGATTTCAGAGCCTTGAGGAGTCGCGATGCGGGAAATGACGGCACCATACAACGTCCGTACATATTCATGGACGCACTGAAGCATTTCCGGACCCGAGGGCTCACCGATATCCATACTGTTCAGGTCTGTATCAAAGTTCTCGTAGTTTTCAAGCTCATCCCAGACCCAGTCCTTCGTGTCCCGCCATACGTTGGCCTGTGTCGATGGTCGCAGCGGGTTCAGCTTGCACATCAGTTCGTATCGAAGGAAGGCTCTCGTTAGCCGCAAGCGTCCTCCAGCGTGTAAGTCATGGAGATGAAAACCGTCCTTGGACTCGTAGCATCTCTTGAGGCCCTCGGAAAGTGAGGTGTGTGACCAGGCTGGGAGCGAAGCGTATACCCGTGGGAGGTACGAACTTGTAGCCTTGCTGATATAGTCCTCCATGAACAAATTCAAGCGGGTGACCAGAGAATCAATGGCCAGGAGAACATCTGGGTAGTTTTCATTCAACGGGTTTGGGAGGGCCTTCCGTCCCCATTGTGTGAGATGGTCGTGCACAAGCCCGGTTTGCTCGTCGTTGGCGAGGTCGTCCTTCTTGGGGAATGTGACGATGGCGATGGCGTCTTGGAGGAGATCGCCGGGGAGATCTTTTCGGACAAATGGCTTGAGGATGGCCACATGTGATTGGATGCGTTGTTGGAACAGGGCGGGCGAGGCGTGGCTGGCGCTGATGACTTCGGAGCGGGTGGGGAGGTCGCAGAGGATCATGGTCCGGAGCTCGGGGGCGAGACGGTTGAATGGATCCATTGTAGAGTCTGAGACGCAGGGATATATATAAAAAGACAAAGGGATGTGCGTAGAAATACAAACAATGGTATTGTTCTTTGTGTGAGTGCGGGTGTGAGTAGTGAGACGAGATAGTATGTGCCCTGAGATGCGAGAAGCGCAATGGTGTATATAATGAGAGTGCGAAATGAATGACGGGAAGACCTGCCGTCAGTGAATGGGAATTAGATGGTGCATGCATTCAAGAGCGAAGAAAAATTGCTGAAAATTCTATTGTTGGTGGTGAATCAATGGCTTTTATACATTTCTGAATAATAGGACCGGATCGGGACGAGAACCTGGATGACGGCTTCGCGCCTATTGTACTCCATTACACAGCGGAGCCAAGGCCCACAAGGTCATGGCAAACTGAACAAGGAAACTCAATACCATTGTTCAAATGATCTTCTGATTCACCTTGGAATGTATTGATGTGAGCGCCAAGTCGGCAGGAGGTGATGAGATACATAAATCCGACTTTCCTCCTGAACTTCCCTCACGAAGATTCACTCCTTTGCAGATGCACTCATTCACCTTTCTCTTGGTGACGAAACGACCTTTCATCATCGCTCATCGCTGAGTTTACTACTTTTCATCCGCTCTAGCCCGAAGGCTTGGTTTGGGTTACCCGTGTAACCTTGACTAAAGTTTGCCAAACCGTGTGTGCGCCAACAACGCCAGGTAACAACGTTTATGGCTGATATGGAAGCAAACGACATGGAGCCCAACAACCTCGCGGCCAAAACAGCCAACGCCAACCTCTGGACCAGCGATGACGACGATCAGGCTGAGGTTCGCAATCGCGATTTCGCTCCCGGGCCGTACAGCCGTGGCGCACTGTTGGGCAGTGGCGGCTGGTGCGTCGCCTACAAGGTGCGCAGACTCCGCGATGGAGGCGTGTTTGCTGGAAAGACGTCGAAGTTTCCGGGGCAGTTGCAAAAGGAACTGGCTATCCTCCCATCTTTGAGCCATGTGAGTAGAGATGAAAGCCCAAAATGATGACGAGCTAACAGTTGCGGATAGAATCACATCGTCAAGTACATCGACTGGTACGAAGACAAGGCCGAGCCGCTGGGCACCCTGCTGGTCACGGAGCTTTGCCTGGGAGGGACACTACAAGACCGCATCAACTACTCTCCCAACGGCACTGGGCTCAAGGAAACTCTCCAAGTAATTGTCCAATCAGCCAAAGCCCTTGAATACCTTCATGGCAAAGGCTTGATGCACACCGATGTGAAGCCTCGAAACATCCTGATCCGAACCTGGGACCCGGTCGACATCGTGCTGGCCGATTGCGCAGACGTCAAGCCAGCCACCTTCACTGGACGAGCCGTTGGAACGGAGGCCTACTGGTCACCTACCATTGCTAGGTATAAGCGACATTGTGGGATCAGCGACGACGTGTGGGCGCTGGGGATTACACTGCTTGGGATGATGTCGCAGTGGCCCAAGCTGCGCACGACGGATGATTTGAAGAGATATCCTACAATTTGCTACGAACATACTCAGACGTTGAAGGAGCTGAACCCGACCAACGGCATTGTGCGGCTCGCTAGCAAGATGCTGGCCTGGGAGAGAGCGAAGCGGTTTACAGCGGCTGAGTGTGTTGCCTTTGCCACTCAGATGCTCGCTGAAAACACCGGGAGCAACGAGTTTGGTTTCAAGAGCCCCAAGGACTTTAGCAGTATCGTGTTCTGGTGATTGCGTTGTTCATGTGTTGGTTGCATTGGCCAAGGCGAGGATCGATGCATAGAGTGGACGCGTTTGTGGGGGTTACTACATAGAACCTAGAGCATGATAAACCAGATCTCGGTAGCCGAAATAAAATTGGAGGTGAAGTTGTCATGACATTGTTTCGCGAATAAATTGTATAGGTTGCATCAACGCCTCCATCTCCATCTCCGGCGTCGGCCATCGGCGTCGGCGGCGTCATCGGCGTCATCGGCGTAGGGTGGGAGGCGGAATTAGCACGCCAGAGGCTATCATCGGATGCCAGCCGGCCGCCGACACTTTCTCCCACTTCAACGGATGCCGAGCTCCATCTTTGGTGAGCCTGTGAGCAAGTGTGGGGTTGTCGAACCAATCTACGCGGAATAGAAATCGTTCTCATCATTGGATGCAATGACGCAATCCCCTCGGATCTTGTCCACCCCACCGTATTAGTCATCCGTCTCACTGCCGGCACGGCGATGTCGCACACTCGCAGCCACGGCGACCTGTTGTTTGGCGCCGGGTTTGCAAGCCATTCTCCGCGTGAGCGTCCTGCTGTGGAGTTGACGAATTGGACCCAATTGAGGAGCAGCCAGAAATTGTCTTCTCGCAGATACAGCGACGCTGGGCCAGAAACACCTCTCCTCTCTCCCGTGACTAATACCCTGACGGCGTGTTTTAATGTCGCGCTCCATCTTAACCTTGTCCTCAACCCCCTCCCCGTTCCGGACTGCCCTTCGAACCATCCCCTCGCGTTCCATCTCCAAGGCATTCTCAACCAAAATGGGTGAGACTCAGAAGCTCAAGCCCGCCGCCAGGGTCTCCGGCAAGAGGCAGGATGTGTGGTGAGTACCGAGTGTCGGGCGTCATGGCCTCGGCGCTCCCCTGGTGTAAACGATCTGGCTCTAATCCGCATATACAGGACCATCATCAACGAGGCTGCGGCTGCGTCGCCCAACCAGCCAATTGTGAACATGGGCCAGGGCTTCTTTGGCTACAACCCGCCCAAGTTCATTCTCGACGCCGCCAAGGATGCCTTGGACCGCGTCGATGCCAACCAGTACTCGCCCACCAAGGGCCGTCCTCGATTGAGAAAGGCCATTGCTGATGCGTACTCGCCATTCTGGGGCCGCCAGATTGACCCCGATACTGAGGTCACCATCACTACTGGTGCCAACGAGGGTATGCTGAGCGCCTTTATGGCATTTATCGAGGAGGGAGACGAGGTCATTGTCTTCGAGCCCTTCTTTGACCAGTGAGTGACATGGTGTTCTCGGCTCGAGTAAAGCTGACATGGTGCAGATACATCAGCAACATTGAGATGCCGGGTGGCAAGATTGTCTATGTCCCCCTACACCCCCCTGCCACAGGAGCCACGAAGACGTCGTCTGCTGCCGAGTGGTCCATTGATTTTGATGAGTTGGAGAAGGCCATCTCTCCCAGGACCAAGATGATCGTTATCAACACCCCTCGTGCGTATCCTGTCTGCATAAGCTGGGTTGGTCGCTGACATTTTCTAGACAATCCCGTTGGCAAGGTGTTCTCCAAAGAGGAGCTACAGAAGATCGCAGACCTTTGCGTGAAGCACCAGATTATCATCCTCTCAGACGAGGTGTACGACCGCCTTTTCTACGTACCCTTCACTCGCATTTCCACCCTATCTCCCGAGGTCGAGAAGTTGACCCTGACCGTGGGATCCGCGGGCAAGAACTTTTATGCCACTGGATGGCGTGTGGGTATGTTGAGATGGTCCCTTCAAATAACGATGCAGGCGTTGACAAGAGTCTAGGCTGGTTGATTGGCAACCCTGAACTGCTGCAACACGTTTCGGCAGCTCACACCCGTATTTGCTACTCCTCCGTGTCTCCCCTGCAAGAAGCCGCCGCTGTTGGCTTTGAGCAGGCCGATAAGTTTGGTTTTTGGGATGAGGCGATCAAGGAGATGAGGGGCAAAGTCGACCGCCTCAACGAGGTATTCGACGAGCTCAACCTTCCTTACTCGGACCCCGAGGGTGGCTACTTTGTGCTCGTGAACATGGCCAAGGTGAAGCTGCCTGAGGGCTACCCCTTCCCACCACACGTTGCTAGCCGCCCGCGAGACTTTAAGCTGGCTTGGTTTCTGATCCAAGAGCTGGGCGTCGCGGCCATCCCGCCGACCGAGTTCTACACCGATGCCAATGCGCACCTGGCGGAGGACTACATCCGGTTTGCTGTTTGCAAAACGGACGAGGTGCTGGAGGAGGCCAAGGAGCGCCTAAGGGGGCTGAAGAAGTACATCCAGGAATAAGTGATGGTAGTGGCTTCAAGAACAATAAACAATAAACCGCGGAGGGAGGTATGTGTTTTCAAACGTACCTGATATAGATCTACATGACAACGAATAGACGCTGTATGCGAGTACTGGTTTGCCTTCCACTTGATGGGATAGTGTTTCTTTGACTGGGAGGAGATGCTGATGTCAGCGCTTCGACACGTGTACGAGGCGTTAGACTGCACTGCTCCCGCTGTAACGTCTAGAGGCTTAATCTGTGGCTGGTGAGTGCCAGGGTCCTATAAGTGCCGGCATGTGGACGACCCCTTGGCCCTGGACGCGGAGGCCCTTGTTGAAGCTGCATTTCGCCATTATGACGTTTTGCGAGTATGATGCTGATCACATGGAGATGTTTAAGCACTGAAGATGCGCATTTAAAAGCCTTCCACATGGGAACTTGTAATAATAACCTGTACCCGGAATCGATAGGGCTCTCGACAAAACCGTCTCGGGCGGTGCCTGGAGATGGAGGCTCGAAGGTGGAAGTCCCCGATCGTGGAGATGCCCTATCGCCCGCCGGAGCCGGCCGAGGCGGGTGGATCCTGTAGGCCTGAGCGCGCTGGAGCGTGGGGAAGGGAGCTCTTCCCCGCCCTGAGCCGCCTGTGGCGTGCGGTGCAAATCTGGCTTATCAGTGGCAATCTGGTGCTTGGTACTGGCCGCAAACCACCAGAACAGGGCTGATCGGCACCGTGCTGCTTGCGCTTCACACGCGATCCCTTCTGCTTTGGCCTGGTTGACATATCTCGAGCTTCCTGTTGGAGCAAGACAGAGGCGCCGCCGGGGGGCAACAAGCGGGATTGTTACTGCTACGGCGTAGTCGAGATGACGCAGCGATTTCGGATTTGGGCCTACGATCCGTTATCTAGCCTTGCCTTATATAGCAGTTCACCGTAGGGTATGACAGCCGACGGCTCGAGAGATGTCGCCTCGCTACCGCTGACTCCATTCTTCCCGTCTTCATCCTCAACATAAACCTGATTGCCCGCGCCGCTTTGTTCGTCGCGGCCTCCTTTCGCCCTCGCACGCTTTGGATCTGCTTCTTGGCTTCGTGGCCCCTCTTACCTTCACCGTCTTGAACCTGTCTGCATCGCCATGGCGCCGAGCGCCGTCTCCCCCGTGCGGGACACCAATCCTGAGCGGCTGGCGACGCTGACCTCCAAGTTCGACGACACTCTCCGATTCTATATCAACGGAACCAAGGTCGTCCTTGACGAAATCGACCCGGAGATCACCGTGCTCGAGTATCTACGAGGTATTGGGCTGACGGGAACCAAGCTGTAAGCAGCCCCTCCTTCGACTGCCTCACCGTGATTGCTGATGCTGATCTCTCTAGTGGCTGCGGTGAGGGTGGTTGCGGTGCCTGCACCATCGTGGTCAGCCAGTACAACCCAACGACGAAAGAAGTCTACCATGCGAGCGTCAATGCCTGCCTCGCGCCTCTCGTCAGCTTAGATGGTAAACATGTCATCACCGTCGAGGGTATCGGCAGCAGCAAGCAACCCCACCCTACGCAAGAGCGCATTGCAAAGTCCAATGGCAGCCAGTGTGGTTTCTGTACACCTGGCATCGTCATGAGCCTCTACGCCTTGCTCCGAAATAACAGTACCCCTTCAAAGGACGATGTCGAAGAGGCCTTTGACGGCAACTTGTGTCGGTGTACCGGCTACCGATCCATCCTCGACGCAGCCCAGACCTTTAGTGTTGATACGCTCTCTGGGAAGTCCAAACAGGGGAGTGGGTCTGGGTGCTGTATGGACAACGGAAATGGACCACCTGAGGGAGGATGCTGTATGACGAAGCAGTCTACAAATGAAAAAACCATCAAGAGGTTCACGCCTCCAGGGTTCATCAAGTACAACCCAGACACGGAACTCATCTTCCCCCCCGCTCTAAAGAGACACGAGATGCGGGCACTTGCGTTTGGCAACAAGAGAAAGCGGTGGTATCGACCAGTTACCCTCGACCAACTTCTCCAAATCAAGAGTGTCTACCCAGAAGCGAAGGTCATCGGTGGAAGCACCGAGACCCAGATCGAAACCAAGTTCAAGGCGCTGCAGTATCCCGTCTCCGTCTACGTTGGAGACATCGCTGAGCTACGACAATACAGTTTCAAGGATGACCATCTTGAGATCGGCGGAAACGTCATCTTGACCGACCTGGAGAAAATCTGCGAGCACGCCATACCTCATTATGGCCATGCGCGTGGACAAGTCTTTGAAGGCATGCTAAAACAACTGAAGTATTTTGCGGGTAGACAAATCCGAAACGTCGGAACACCTGCCGGAAACCTGGTGACCGCCTCGCCCATTTCGGACTTGAACCCAGTGCTGTGGGCCGCAAATGCTGTTCTAATCGCCAAGTCGGCTACCAAGGAGACGGAGATTCCTATGTCACAGTTCTTTACTGGTTACCGAAAAACAGCTCTGCCACAGGATGCCGTTATTGCATCGATTCGCATCCCAGTCACCTCGGTGAAAGGGGAATTCTTCCGAACCTACAAGCAGGCGAAGCGCAAGGATGATGATATTGCCATTGTCACTAGTGCACTGAGAGTGAAACTAGATGATGAAGGCATTGTCCAGGAGTGCAACCTCATTTACGGAGGTATGGCTGCGACGACTGTTGCGGCCAAGACAGCCATGGAGTATCTAGTAGGCAGGCGGTTCGCAGACTTGGAGACGCTTGAGGGAACTATGGGAGCACTCGGCCGGGATTTCGACATGGCTTTCAGCGTTCCAGGTGGCATGGCATCATATCGAAAAGCCTTAGCACTTGGCTTTGTATACCGATTCTATCACGATGTCTTGGCGATTCTGGATGAGAAATCCGATGTCATAGACAACCAAGCCATCAACGAGTTGGAGAGAGAAATCTCCGACGGCAAAGTCGACGAAGATGCAGCAGCTGCGTACATGAAGGAAGTCACAGGAAAATCCAACCCCCATGTCGCTGCGCTGAAGCAAACGACGGGCGAAGCACAGTACACTGACGACATTCCCGCCCTAAAGAACGAACTCCACGGTTGCTATGTGCTGTCAAAGAAGGCTCACGCCAAAATCAAGTTTGTTGACTACAGTGAAGCAGTTAATATGCCTGGTGTGGTAGATATTGTGGACAAGGACGACATGCCTTCTGCAGAAGCCAACAAGTTTGGCCCTCCTAATTTTGACGAAGTCTTTTTTGCCGAAGACGAAGTCTTCACTGCCGGTCAAGTCATTGCGTTGGTTTTGGCAACGACGCCTGCTAAAGCCGTAGACGCAGCCAGGGCAGTCAAGGTCGACTATGAGGAGCTCCCCTCAATCTTGACGATTGAAGAAGCTATCGAGAAAGAAAGCTACCACAACTTCTATCGAGAGATCAAGAAGGGTAACACAGAAGAAGCTTTCAAGAATTGCGACTATGTTTTTACCGGAACGGCCAGAATGGGCGGCCAGGAGCATTTTTACCTGGAAACAAATGCCTGTCTGGTTGTGCCTAATCCCGAAGATGGTGCAATGGAGATCTTTGCTAGCACCCAAAATGCCAATGAGACGTAAGTGTTTGGCTCCCCCGACGGAGATAACCAGCTAACTGGTAGCAGACAAGTTTTCGCGGCCCGAGTCTGCGAGGTACAGGCGAACAAGGTCGTAGTCCGTGTTAAGCGACTTGGTGGAGGCTTCGGAGGCAAGGAGAGCCGATCTGTATTGCTCAGCTCGGCGCTGGCGCTTGCAGCGAAGAAGACCAAGAGACCAGTTCGATACATGCTCACACGCGAAGAAGACATGGTCATCAGTGGCCAGAGGCACCCCTTCCTCGGCAAATACAAAGTGGGAGTCAACAAGGATGGTAAAATCCAGGCCCTGGAGTGTGACATCTACAATAATGCGGGCTGGACTTTTGACCTCAGCGCTGCTGTGTGCGAGCGAGCGATGACCCACGTTGATGGATGCTACAGCATTCCGAATGTGCACATCACAGGACGCCTTTGCAAGACCAACACAATGTCAAATACAGCGTTCCGGGGCTTTGGTGGACCCCAAGGCATGTTCATCGCCGAGACTTACATGGAGGAGGTGGCAGATCGGCTTGGCATGCCTGTTGAAACCCTGCGACAGATTAACATGTACGAAGATGATGGCCAGACACACTTTAACCAAGGTCTTGGGGATTGGCATGTGCCGTTGATGTACAAGCAAGTCCAGGACGAGGCAGCCTACACTCAACGGAAGGATGCTGTTGCTGAGTTCAACAAGGGAAACAAGTGGCGGCGGAGGGGCATCGCAATCATCCCGACCAAGTTTGGCATCTCTTTTACGGCTCTGTTCCTGAACCAGGCAGGTGCTTTAGTGCACATATACCACGACGGATCTGTCCTGGTCGCCCATGGTGGGACTGAAATGGGCCAAGGCCTTCATACCAAGCTCACCCAAATTGCGGCACAAGCGCTGGGAGTACCCCTGGACAATGTCTTTATCTCGGAGACATCAACCAACACGGTTGCAAATGCATCCGCAACGGCTGCCTCGGCGTCATCAGACCTGAACGGATACGCCATATTCAACGCTTGCAAGCAGCTCAACGAGCGCTTGGCACCGTACCGGGAGAAGCTTGGCCCGGGGGCGAGTATGGAGCAGCTCGCCCATGCAGCTTACTTTGACCGTGTCAATCTTTCGGCCCAGGGTTTCTACAAGACGCCAGAGATTGGGTATGACTGGAATACAGGCAAAGGCAAGATGTTCTTCTACTTTACCCAAGGAGTGGCGGCTGCTGAGGTAGAGATTGATCTACTCACTGGAACTTGGACCTGTTTACGGGCAGATATCAAGATGGATGTGGGACAGTCTATCAACCCAGCCCTCGACTACGGACAGATTCAAGGAGCGTTTATCCAAGGCCTGGGACTCTTCACCATGGAGGAATCACTCTGGATGCGGAACGGGCCGATGGCAGGAAACCTTTTCACGCGGGGACCCGGAGCCTACAAGATCCCCGGGTTCCGGGACATTCCCCAAACGTTCAACGTGTCTCTACTCAAGGACGTGCAGTGGAAGGAGCTACGAACGATCCAGAGGAGCCGAGGAGTGGGGGAGCCACCATTCTTCATGGGAAGTGCGGTATTCTTTGCAATCCGAGATGCGCTGAAGTCGGCTCGGTCGAGCGCTGGTGTGGCTGCGAAAGTGGGAGACGATAATGATCCGGGATTGTTGAGGCTCGAGAGCCCGGCAACACCCGAGAGAATCCGGCTAGCGTGTGAAGATGAGATTATGCGCAAGGCGAGGGTCATGCCGAAGGAGGGTGAGAAGAGCTTCTTTGTGGCTATCTGATGGAAGGGGTGTGAAGCTCCGGAGGGATGGACGGTAGTTGGGAGTGCGGGGGAGGAGTAACCGTGACAGGTTGGTCCGATCCAATTAGGACAAGGCTAGATCAGCGATGACGGTTCGGCTGGAAAGGTCGGTTTCATGGTTCAAGGGTTTATTTCTGGGTAGGGCCAGGTTGTTGACTTTTTTGGAGGGATGCATGTAGCAATGAATGAATGCAAGGTCACGGGCATTGATGCTCGGAACTCGGAGCGTATCTGAGATGATGCCTCGGCGCCACAATGTCCCGAGGGAAGCCCCAGCAGAGCATATCAAAACAAACGGGAAAAGAGAACATGTGCTGTGTTTGTTATTGATGACGACCAAGGATTCTATGTAAGTGTCGTGTGCAATTACTATGTGTCTGCCTGGTCGCCTTGGCTGGACGAAGTACGTAGGTGGATATAAATTGTGCATCAACGCGGGCTGGTCTGTGTGGACGGGTTCAAGTCACCGGGCGTATTCGTACGAAGTAAACAAAACAACAACCAACAACCAACGTGCATCTAGCAGCCGGTGGCAAAGCATGCGCGGCCAGCAGCTAGTGGGCGTCGGTGGGCGTCGGTGGGCGTTGATTGAGTTGTTTTACGGCCTGCTTCCATGTTCCACTGTCAGCCATCCAGCCTCCCCGGTGCAGTAGCCGATATGCAGGTGCAGGAATTAGAAGAGGCGGCTGCAGATATGCAGATTGCAGGCTGTGTGTGGTGTGCGCCAGGTCAGGCAAGGTCAGCATCATGAAGATCTGCAGATGTTGGGCTGCTGCACTTGGGCGGCTGCAATGCCTGGCGGGATTAATTATGGAGGGGGCGGAAAAACAAAAGAAAAACAAAACAAGAGGTTTTGTGTAGTTTTGCAGGCGACATGCTATTGTCAGAATCGGATGGATGTCTTGCATGGCATCGGGCGGGCGTTGGTACTCCACGTAGTATGTCGCGTGTGGGTGTGTAGTGATGGCCTATGGAGGGCGTGCAAAAAGGAAATGCATTGTATGGGGCATTTGAGGAGGGCTTGACTGGATGGATGAATTTGCAAGGGTGTGGAGGAGGAGGAAGATCATTCAGGCACCAGATAGCTGATAGGCAAAAACTTCCTATGCTGATCGAGACATAGGTACGGAGTACTAAGATCTACATTGGAGAGTAAGTGTTGAGACGCGAGAACCATAGCCGTGCATAGCCGGCACCCGGGATGGGCTCTGGGAGAAGCCGAAAATGGTGAGGGGGAGCGGTGAAGATTTCTGGCAATGGTGAGAGACGAGGGCCTAGAAAGAACTCTTCTTCTTCGTGGGTTGAATCAGGTTTGGCCGCCCAGTTGGCTGCCCAGGTCCCAGGTTTGGCTGCCCAGGTGAGGCATTGCCCCCTTGGGTAAGGCGCAGAATCCGGCTGCAACCTGCGTCACCGGGAGTAATTCACTCGTACTGTACGGACCACACTTCCGTAGGCTGTATGGTACCCTGTAACCTATTTGCACCCTGTAGGTAACGAAGAATAGCGCCCGCTCACTGTTTGTGGTAAAAAACAACGAAACGGGCAACTTTGGGAATGGCTCCATGCCCGTCCAGGCTTGTAGGATGTGTACAATGTGTCTCTGGTCTGAGCTGTGGACATTGCTACAGAAATCGTACCAGGCCCCATCTCGTCCATCAGCAATGGGACAAGCAGAAATCATGCCAGAAATCCCCAGCGCGCGCGCAAACACCGTCCAGAATGGCCTGACGCCGCCAATGACGAATCGGAAACCTGAGGCGTCAGCAGATTTTCGCTTCCGCTGCTGCTTCGGCTATCTCACGGGCCCCCCGCAGTGAGTCTTTGCTGGTCTCTTGTTTGGGGTCGATGTGTCCCAGCCTTTTTCTTTCTGTTGTAGCAGCAACTCCCTTTTATCCCGTTCGGTCCCGATTCGGGGAGGCTGAGCCGGAAGCAGGCCCAGCCGCCGGCGTTGCTTCCTCGTCAAACTCGCCCCAAGTGGTGTGTGCGCATGTGTCTCTCTCTATGTGTGTGTGTGTGTGTTCGGTGGTGTGTTTCCGCTCACCCTGCAAGCCGTTTTGCTTGATCGATCGATGGCCATCCGGGGTACTGTGCAAGGCGCGAGTGAGTTCGCACTGTATGGATGAGAAGCCGGGGTTGGGTGACGAGTGGGTTAGGTTATGTTATGTAAGGCCTGTTGTATGTACGATTCTGGATTTCTGCAGCGCGAACAGCCCAGAAGAAGGCAAGTGGGGAGCGAACGTCGGTGACGCCTTGGAGAGGTCACTGGAAGTACTTTGGTGTGCGCAGTAACTTGGCACGATGGGAGGCCTGACGGAAAATACTCCGAACCAAAACTACATGCGACGCCGACGCTTGCCCTCAAGGGAATGGGTAAACGGATGGAAGTCGCCTGGAACCGCAACTCTTCCAGGCTAATCAAGTAACAGGCGATATACGGAGCACACGTCCAGGGCCTTTAGAGGGGCACTGCTCACCGGGCGGCCAGGCGGGGAGGGTCGTGGAAGCAAGGTGAGCGGGCTTCCCTGTGCTCCCCTTAGCCCCGCCATCAGCCACCAACCTGCTGTTGAGCCTGTTGTCACGGCCCCCCTCTAGCGTTGTTTAGTGCTGTGGCCGCCTGGGCACCGGGGGCTAACAGTCCTCCAAGGACCTGGGTGTTTCCTGTCAAAGCCCCGTCAGAGTGAGGTGAGTGCCCCAACCCTTGCTGGAAAATACTGTCCGGGTACGTATAATGGGTGCAAGACTCCTCTGTAGAAACGTCATCTGGTCAGGTCTGGCCAGATGGCTGTGGTCAATGCCCATGATGCCATCCATCCCATCCCATCAGACGGGGGAATAGCGGAATAGGTAGCCAACCACCCGGGGACTCTCTCGTCTCGCCGAGTACTGGACGGAGTACCGCGCTCTAAACAGTCGTCCACATAGTGCACTCTACCAAGTAAATTCAGTAGGCTCTCTCTTACTCTCTCACTCCCGCGGCGTTGAACAGTCCAGCGCTCTCCACTCCACTTGGCCACTGAACCAACCCACTCCCTCCGTCCCTCGTCCCCCCCCCCCCCCATCAGTGGTCAATCAATCACGTTCAGCCCATTCCGGCCCCAGGTCCGGCAGGTCAAACTTCACCGTCCGGGTCCTCGAGACCATTCTTTTGCTTCTCCCCGAGCCCGCCCAAGGCCCCGACGCTTCTGCCTTGTTGCCCCTGGCCTCTCCTTCTCGCCGCCAGCCCGTCGCACCCGCTGCGGCTTCAATTCCCCTCGTCGACCTTCGCACAGCCGCGCCCCGTCGATCGCTTCCCTTCCCCGCGGGCCCCCGTCACGCGCGAACGACGCCCGGCGACGAAAACGAGACCGGCCCCAGCCGCGCATGTGCTCGCAGCCCGCGGACCGCAATTGCAGCCGACCCCCCGACCCGTGGATGCGTGGTTGTTCGCTCGCCTGAGCCGTAGACCTCACTCCAAGACTGCAACGAGCCGCAAATGACCTGCGAACCCGACGCCCCATTGCGTAACACAGAGGCCCAATGGAAGCATAGGACAACATGACCGACCGGAACCCCGCGGCCATGAGCAAGAGCGGCAAGGCGGGCGAGCGAGTCAAAGTGGAAGACGGCAAGGGGAACGACCGCGACAAGCCCGCCGCTGGTGCTGATGCCGCGCCTGCCAACGCCCACAAGAGCCCCAAAAAGAGACGCAAGGTGAACCACGGTACGCATTCCCACAGACTGAGCCTTTCCCCTGCTTCCCGGAGTCACCGCGACCGTCCCCCGCGAGCCGCGCTCCAAGGATCAGGTCGCGTTGGAGTTGCCGTCTTCTGTGGTGTTGCCCGAGTGTGGTTGCGGCTGAAGAGCGCCGGCAACCACATCGCAACCCATTGAGCCCCAACTCCCGCACGCCTGACGCCGAGAGAGCGCCGGGGGCATGTTTAATCGAGAAACGAACTTGGGCTGACATTGCGGGGCGTCTGCGCTCCTACAGCTTGCGTATATTGCCGACGATCTGTAAGTCAATACCGGATGAACATGCGCAGGCGCAATTGGCTTCGGCCGCCGTGCCAGAGCGCTCCGAGGCGCTCGACTATTTGTCCTGCGCCTTTGTGAGGCGACACAGCGCCTGCGGGCTTTCCTCCCCCCTTCCCCCTTTGCCTGCATTTGCATCGAGTCCTTGAGAGGCGTGGCTGACGGGCTGTTTCTTGTGCGCGGTTAGCACATGACTTGCGATCTCGTATGTAAGATCTCGAACGGGTTCCTCGCCTCCGTGGGCGCCGCCTCTATTGCCTCGCGGCGGCGGCGGTGGTGTTTGCGGAGACGGGAGGGCTTGTTTGCATTTCCCCCCTTGAAAGCCATGCGCTGACAGCGTGGATAGGAGAGACCATGTACGAGATGTATCAAACGCAACATCGGGCACCTCTGCCACGACGAGCCCCGCGATGCCGACTCCAAAAAGGCCAAGAGCATACAGACCTCTTCCGTCGTCGATGAGTCTGACGCCCAGTCCGATATAGCCCGCAGCTCCATCTCTAGCACCATGGGCCCACCACCCCCCAACTTCGATGGGACCAGACGCAAGTCAGGGTTCGCCACTGGGGGCGTGTTAGGACAAGGCAACCCGCTGCCCATTGTGCAACCGGGGCCTGTCTCCGGCCTGCAGGGAAATACGTTGAACAACGGTAACAACAATGCGAATCAATGTACGTCTCGAGCACCCCCATTGTCCTGCCCGGGACCTCCCTAAGGGGGGCCGGTCTGTTTTCTTTTTTTTGGCTTGTTTTGATTTTTAACCCACTGCGGAGAACGGGAGCGGCCGTCACCGACTTATTGACCTTGGCCATATCGACTGACACGCCACTTAGTCGCTGGCTTCCAAGATGCATGGATGACGGCTCAGAACCACTTCCATGACATGCACACCTACCACCCCAACTACATGATCGCGCCCGAGGTCACTCACGAGTTTAGTCTACTCAACGACTTTCTTCATACTAGCTTACTAGATGACGGTGGAGTGCCGTCCGATGATCAACAGAGCCCGGCATTCAGACGGTCGAGCCAGTCGGAAATGCTACCCGCCTTCGGTAACAACAACTCGCTGCAGCCCGGGGGCGTCAACTCGGCAAACATGTCAGGGGGACCTATGCTGCCCCCGCCGAACCTCGAAGGCAAGAACATATTGAGGCCGGGGAGTGTAGTGCCTGCCGACAAGGCCCGTGAGTACTACCTCCAAGCCGCCGACCCCTCGGGCAACGACACACCCGAGGAGCGTATGGCTCGCGTCCTCAAGGCCAAGTATGACGCCGGCCTGCTCAAGCCCTTTAACTACATCAAGGGCTATGCCCGTCTGGGCACCTATCTAGATAGCCACATCGCGCCGTCGTCCAAGCAGAAGATCCTGCGAACCATCAACCAGTTCCGGCCCAAGTTCCGAGAAAAGGCGCAGGCCTTGACGGACATGGAGCTGGTGTACGTTGAGATGTGGTTCGAGAAGCAGCTCATGGATTATGACCGCGTCTTCGCCAGCATGGCCGTGCCGGCGTGTTGCTGGCGGAGAACCGGCGAGATCTTCCGGGGTAACAAGGAGATGGCCGAGTTGATTGGCGTGTCGGTGGATAAACTGAGAGATGTGGGTTGTCCCCGCCCCCGCCGTCATGGCTCCTTGAGGCTCCTCCCTTCGGGGACAAGGGCTAGCGTTCCCGGTTGACACTTGCTGACTCTTTTTCGACGACACAGGGCAAGATTGCGTTGCACGAGATTCTCACAGAAGAGTCGACGGTCCGGTACTGGGAAGAGTTTGGCACCATCGCCTTCGACCCGGCCCACGAGACCCTCTTGACAGCTTGCTCGCTTAAGAACCCCAGCTCATCGTCGAGCCATCCGATTGTAAAATGCTGCTTCTCCTTTATGATCCGACGAGACGATCATAAACTGTACGTTCCACGCGCTTCCTCTCTTCACCGGTTGCGAGACCAGTTGCTGACTTGACTGTAAACCAGGCCGGCCTTGATCGTGGGCAACTTCTTACCACATGACCCGCCTCCCCAGCAGTGAGGATGAGGATTATTTCTCGTAAGATATCATGGTATATATGGCCCCGCGTAGTACACGCGGGGAGGGATTCAGGAATGGGTTCGGAGGCTATTGATTAGCATTGCGACAAGCGGAAGTGGAAAGAATTATTTCGGGGCGCAAGGTCGGATTGCATGCGTACATATTATCTAAGAAAGGCTAGATAGCAGGGCCTGTCTAAATCATCAACGTCGTTGTCGTGGTCATTGAAGTATTCGCCATGTTGCTTTGGTGTTGTGGGTTGTGTTAGGGGGGAAGGCGCATCTGAGGACGCTCTTGCCAGTCCAATGCAGCTGGCTGACCAGGCGCCTGTTCCACGTTGCCCAACACCAACACGCAAACCATTTTCCAATTTTGCGATGTCGCATTTCTACAAAATACACACAATCTTATGTCGGTCACCACGTACGGAGAATGGCACCCGCTGATCCAGTTGCCGTGGGCCGTGACAGAAAGATCAATGCCATCTTAGGTTGGCATTATCCTCCCCTTATGCGCTTCCATTTTCGCTGATTGGAATCGTCCAAGACTTTAGCAAGGAACTTCTCTCGACGCTGCTGAACTCTCGCGATTCTACCTCGATCGAGGCTCTCCTCGCTGATCTCAACCACAATATCCACACGGCCAATGCCTTGCCGCTGAAGACGACCAGCCTCTCCCCTCAGACCGCGAAATCCCTCAAAGACTGCGGAAGGAAGTTGTGGAATGAGTGTATCAAGGAAAGGAGGAGGAAGAATGATGGTTTGGCGCCCGGGAGGGCAAAGTTATTAGTGAGAACGAGGGTGTTTGCCTTTCTGATTCATGCACTGGCGCGAGAGAACCATCAAGGGAAGAGAAAAAGGGACGATGAAGAGGAGGTCGTGTATCTGATGCACCTGGCCTTGACGGTTGGGAGGCTCTGCGTCGAGGAGTCCGACCTGGACGGGGCACGACTGGGGTTGCACAAGGTTGCCGACTACATCGAGCAACTAAAGTCTATGGCCGGGAATTCTCAGGACGATCCCAACCTGAGGAGCAGGTTGGAAGCAGAGTATCTAACGATGCGCACGGCTCTAGTAAGGATGACCCTTTCTTTTACGAATTCTACTGACAACTGGACAGTCGTGGAAGGAGGACCGACTCGATGTAGCTGAGCACATGTACAGCAAAGCGGAACCCCTTCGACAGCATCTCGATCCATCTTCTGCCGAACACATGGCAGATACTCTGCAACATATCGGAAGCGACCTCTCCTCGAAGGGCGATTATGCAATGGCTCTGAAATGGCTCCGTCGAGCATACGAGATGATTAACGGCCAGGAGTTGGAGCGGCTCTCGGCAGAAGGATTGGAGCTGAGACTGGCAATCTGCCACCACCTCGTCCAGGTGCTTCTTGCCATTGGATCTCCGGAGCATCTCCGAGAGGCTGATGACTTGGTGGCGTATGTTGAGTCGGAAATAGGAGACAAACCGGTAGTCTTGCACTGGAAACTGGAAATCCTGCAGAAGTCACCGAGCGAGGTGTTTGATACGGATGCCTGCGCAAGTATCCTGCGGCGGATGATCCGGTCTATCGACTTTTCAGATGCAGCCCTCGGCTTTCTTCTTCACAGTATCAAAGATTTACACGATAGGAATTCTCGACTCACGATGGGATTACTTGATGAACTTTTGCTGACGAGATTGTTACCATCGGGAAATCCGGATTGGATTGGAAAGGCCCTTGTACGGCGTGTATGGATGAGCTCGATGGACCCGGAATCCTCCAATGCCGCCACTGATCTAATGGGCCTTCTTATGCGGATCCCACACGATTCTGGTAACTTGCTGGATGCCGATGTCACCATCGCTGCTCAGTCGGTATGTCAAACCCCTTTTCGTGAGTGTCCCTAACTGACCCTTAAAGCTTATATGGAAAAAGCTCGATGCACTCTACACCAAGAAACAGTACAAAGCAGCAGAGCTTTGGTGTCGGGTCGCACTGCACGCAGTATTCTCGAATTGCGGCGAGGCAAACCAAGGGAAATTTGGGAGGAAACTCATTATATGCGCAATCGCCTGCAATGACATTGATGCCGCCCGGTCGGCCTTTAATGACATGCCGTCGAATGTACAAGAGGACCCCCTGACGAGGTACCTTATGTTCAAGGCCTCGCTCACGGGCTGGGACCACGAACTTGGCTGCCAAAGTATTGAACACCTCAGTAGATCTTCCGACAAGGAAAAGAGCCAAGATATCCTCTACGCGTGTGTCAGGGAGGCACAGCAAGTCGGGGATAGGTTGTGTACGTTGGCAGCGCTGAAAGCTGTAGTGGATAAGTGCGACTCAGGAGAGTCCTCAAGATCCCACTTCCCCTCAATTCTGAGATGTACAATCCGATTGATCCACCTGATTGAGAGTCAAGAAGGCGAAGTCCTGAACCAAGACCTTGAACTTGCCGAGGACACCTGTAAAATCTTTGAGAAAGGTTTGTTGTTTCTACTGAGCGTTCTGGACTAGACTAACAAGCTAAGCTGCCGAAAATTCAAGATTGGACACAAGAGATGGGGATGGGAATAAGGTGTTTACCGTACCTGAGTTGGAGTGGTTTCGAAAAAATGCTTACAACATTGGCGTCACAAAATGTCACGTCTAGGGGCTGTGGCATCTGGTTCGGATATTCAGCTCATGCCTCACATTCATTGAATGTTTTCCTCCAGACATCCCTTCGAAAGACATATTTGGTGTTCAAATCATGGAAATGCGATGCCACTTTATCATTTCTGCAGCTCTCGTATCGCAAGCGAGGACGGAGGACAAGGTGGAGGAGCAACTTCAGCGCTATGTGGAGATGCGACAGCACATTGCATCATTCGACAAGACTTTTGAACTTGTTTCTCAAAACGAGCCGGATTCAAATGATGGACCGGTCATGGGAGATATGCTAGCAAAGCTGTCGACACTGTTTGTGTTTGATTTTGAAGGTGCCCTTTGCCTGAAGGGTTGGGACGACCTGGGCCAGATTGTGAGGAAAGCAAGAATCTGCAAGGATGAGTTAATGTACAAGGCCATGGGAGACTCCTTGCTGAGAAGCCAAGCTCCGGGGAAGGGTAAGGGCCTGCCCAGCGCAAGAGAATCAAAGATGGGCTTCGTTAACTCTCGCTGCAGTGCTGTACGCCACAATGCGCGCCATCATCAACCAGATTTTCGAGCTCGAGGACTTCGACAACCAGAGGCTCGCAAAGTATGTCCGCTGCATGTTCCAGGCAATTCTGCCCCTAGACGACAGCTTGGCGTTGCAGGTGGTTGACCAAGCCCTCCAAATCGCCCGCGAGGGAAGCCAGGTATTTGATTATCAAACTGCTGGACTCGCTGGCTTTCCTGTCTCGCACTGACGTATCCCTCACAGATGCAAAAACCGTTCCCGGGAGACGAACTCGACTGGATTGTCGCGACTACGTTTAACCACGCTATCGACATACTGGCGCGGGGTGACGAGCCCCTGTGTCATCAATGGGCTCTCAAGGCGCTCGACATGACGGAGTACATGAGTGATGGCGGCGATATGCGAAACCTGCTCCAAGAGAGGGTCGTTAAGCTTGGTTTTGGCAAGGACACGCACTAATTAGATGTTATTCAGAGTCACTCTCTCGGGTGTAGGAGTCAGATAATTTCAGTTCAAATTCCCACAAAACACCAATGTCGTCTCGCCCAGGACACCGACATTATCCATTTATGCAGCCTAGCAAGGTTCGTATATATCCCTCTATTTATCGCATCCGCGTCAAATACGAGCAGGTTCCGCCCAAACGCCGCGCTGGCTCCCCGCTCTCTCCCATGCTCCCTCCATATCCCTGTGCTGCGTCTCGCCGCGGATATGGTATCTCCTTCTTTTGCCCGCAAACCGCCTAATAGCAGCAGAACGCGCGGTCACAGTGATGAATCACCGTATAATAATAATAATAGCATGCCCAACCAAAACAAAACCGGAGTATTGTGAAACGCTCATATAAGGGGGTATTTCATTAAGGTAGGCGGGTGAATGCCTGGCGTGCGCTCATCGATAGATAGACATTAAGCTCCTCTCTGTTTTTCGGAGCTGCGGTGGTTGGGCTTTCAGATTATGTTTGCAATGCTCAGACGGTCCTTGGAGTTCCCAGGGGCGCTCCCGCTCGCGCTCTGATTGCTGCCGGTTGCCGGGCTCGCTCTTCCGCTGGCATCTCCCAGCCTTGGGGCTTCGGATCCGAAGCGTGGGACTTCGCCTAGCCGAGGGATTTCCACCGCTGGGCCAGGCGTCTCGCTCTTGATCGGCGGGGGCAGCGTCCACGTTGGGTTTGAGGGCGTGGGAGTGGGCGTCACGTTTCCCGCAACGTCCAGCCCACGGATGGCGGTCTCAAGCCTCGCCCATCCGCCCCATTCTCTGTCCTCCGACTCTGTTAGGCCTGTTCGCGTCTCCGAGCTGACGAGACCACTGCTTGCTCCTGCGGCCTGCGATATCACGGGGGAGGAAATCGGGGGAAGTTGTGCCTCACGCCCCAGACCGGCCCAGAGCCAGGAGGCGTCTGGGGATGCTTGGAGGTCCGCTGACACGTATGCTAGCAGATCTTCATCTCGCGACAGCATTTGGAGGATAGAATTGTGATCGATCGACGGGCGTGGGGCGCCAAAGGGGGGAGGGGGTGCACTCCGGGATAGGTAGTTGGCGAATTCAGCCTTCTTCGTTCCCAAGGTGGAAACGAAGAACGACAGGAATCGGCCACATGGAGTTGCAACATCTCTCCGTGTGCTTATCGAAGCCAGAGCTCTGATACACGTGGTGGCGTGTTCTAGATACCCTGTGAGAAGCAGAAATAGAGTACATCGGAAAATGTGCGTTGTGAGGAGGGCTGTTGCCCCGTCGGCGAGGAGCGAAGTGTTCGATCGGTGCAGGAGAGAGGCAGTCTCAAGGGCCACGTGCGTGCAGCTCTCTACAGAGGCAAGTCGGGCTTCGAGGGGGTAGCCCGGATCAAGGTGGTGTCGGTGGAGGAGCATTCGAGCGTGGAAGAGATATGCTAGGGGCGCAAGGAAGTGAGGCGCCAGGGGAACGGTGCTAGAAGGATCGCAAGCTGGCGGAAAGGTGCCGAGACACTTATTGAAATGCTCTTCGAAAGTTGAAAGTTGGACCGATGACAATGCCGGTGGCGTCAGAGCCGCGAGGAGTGCCGTGTAAGACCTGACAACGTGGATAACAGCAAGCAGCGAATGCGTTAGTGGCTCTGCACCGTTGGGCACCAGCATGCCACCTTCATGAATATACTGATCGTCTACCCCTGCAGGCAACGAAACATCGCAATCCTCGTCGTCGATCAAGACTGGCCGGCCGAGCTCGGTAGCGAGAGTCCTGTCCAGGATGTAGATGGTCCACCACGTCCTCCGGCGCATCTCGCCCTCGATCACTGGCCACGGCCCCGACTCAGAGTAAAGCCCAAGGTCTTGGCCGACTCGGACTGCCCTGCCCAACCATGTCCATGCTGCGGATTTCAAATTCATCTCGTTGAGGCAGAGGGAAATCAAAGCTAGCGCCCTCGCGTTATCCAGTCCGAAGTCGTCGTTCCAAGGGTCAAGCATCTTGTTTGCCATTTCGAGGAACTCAGCAGGCTGGTAGAACGAGGCTGATTGGGATGCAGCGCCGAACAGACTCCCTGCAGCGAGGACGGAGAAGAAGAGTGAGAGCCATGTTGGCGATGCCCTGGCCAAGCCGCTGCTGGAGTATAGGCTTTCAACTGCCGCTCGGAATGTTGGGAAGTGTAATATCGGAAACATCGCATGTGATGAAGTGTAGTAGCCGTGTAGTAGCTGGTCCACGACGTGCCGCGGAGGAAGTTCCGGCTTTGGGGGGTTGAAGGACGCCAGACCTGGAGTGCGGTATTGCGCCGGAGGCTTCCAGACACCCTTCGAGAAGTTCCGTACGTTCGCTCGTGCTCTGGCCAGCTCCGGGACAGGTGCTGGTCGTTTTCGTCGCTTCGGTTCTGATCCTATGGCTGGTAGTAGAGGGGCTGGTTGATCTGGCGCTTCTATGTCCAAGTCCATCGACCCGTCCTTGTCTTGGAGCATCCGCCGCAAGCCATTGTTCTCCCTCTTTACCCGTTCCATCTGTTTCTCCAGATCCTGGACCTGCTTAATCGACGACATGCGCCGGTTTGTCTCCTTGGTAAACTGGCACTTGACATTTCGGCTGGAGCACTCGGAGCAACTCGTCGTCTCAGTGGCATCACACTTGACCTTTCTCTCCCGGCAGGCGTCGCAACTCGGATCCTTTCTGCGTTGGCGATAGGCCCGTTTCTGTCCCTGTGAGCCGGGGAGATGGGCGCTTGAAGGGCCTGGGGTGCTCGTTACAGAATCAGTCGAGGCAAGGGACTCCTGCCCCAGGGACGAAGACGTAGCCATTGGGGTGTATGGTTGGAATCCCTGGCTGACTGAAGGAAGATGCGGGATGCCAATCGGCTGGGGCGTCGGCGCCGCATTTAATCTTGGGTTGGCGCTCATTACTCCGGCAAGATACTGCGACGAAGGCCTAGGCGACGTAGCGGACGAGACTGAAGAAGAGTCGTACGATCTGGTGGACAGATTTGGAGATCGAGCATAGGGATTCTGTGATGAAGAAGCCATAGTCGAGTGCCCTTTGGGGTCCCACCCTCTGGCGGGTTGGTTGAGGGGGCTCTCCACGGGTTCCCCAACGGGACGGATACCGGGTAGCCGATGATGAACGATCATGCAAACTACTCTGGACTAGAACCTGGGAGTAGGGTTAATTATACACGAGAGGACCTCCCACGTCTTGCCCTTGACCAAGATGGACGAGCCGGCGAGGAGGACGCCACTTGTTTGTCAAGCGACCCTGGGCTGGGGCCACTGAGCAACACCGCCGACGTCGACTGACACGGTGAATAGTGCAAACCCTGGCTCAGCAATGGGGGTAGCTTGAAGATAATGCAGGGCTGTGTAACCCAACACCTCTCTGGTCGGATGTAAGCTTTTGGGGCTTTGGTGTCGTCCAACCCGGATCACAGTTCGAAGAATCCCAGACAAGATTACGATACCGGGAACGGGTGGCTATGCCGTGTGGCGTCGTGTTGATCCCAAGATGGCATCTGGGTTCAGGCCCGTAGGTCCAGCAAGAGGAAGAGAGCCTGCACAAATCGAACCTGGCAAGTAGTCGAGTGTTGGTGTCCTTGCAAGAGTGGCAGGTTAGTGGTCTTCCTTGCCACCCAGCCACAGTGTTGTTGGAAGAGTCGGGAGGTGAGGCGGAGAAACGCAACGCACAAGGCTAGGGGGAGGCGGCGTCAGATTGGTACGAGAGTGGGAATAGAGGGAAATGTTTAGAAGAAGATGGCGTCTGCAAGCAAGTATATTGCTGCCCATCCATCAGTCGCCGGGTACAGCAACAGCACCGTGTTAGTGGCGCTGGTCCGTGATCCGGGGCTCTCCGCTCCTTAAAGCAGATTCGGAAATATTATCTGGGCCAGGTAGGTATGGGAAATGGGGGGCCGGAGGGGAGGAGCCAGACCCTTGATAAATTGGCTGAGCAGGGCTGTTGAGATCAGCCAGGGCCGCTAACGTGTTTCGAGCGGAGTTGGGCATCCTGGTGGAAGTCACCAGTAAGAACCCCAGATCCTAGTCATCCTTGGAGGTGACGGGTCCAACAAGTGCTTGTTTCCAAGCTGAAGGAGAGCTGTCAGGACCCACGAGGTGAGGCATCTTGGAGGAGCCCTAAGGGTCCCCGGTGCTTAGTATCTTCGCTATCAATCTCCTTGTAGATGGAGGCCGGATACAACGCAAGGCTCAAGGTATGGGCTCTACCGTCGAGGGGTGCATTGGATGTTTGGGCTCGCCCATGCCATGTACAAGGACGATAGGAGATAAATCCCAGTGCGGCTCGACAGCCTGTACCAAGCCGTCGGCATCTGGCCCGTCTTGGGGCTTCGGCGGGACTAGTTTGGGGGAGTGATGTGCACACGGGACCCATTGGAGGTTTTGGGATTCTGGCCTGGTGCTAACTGCTATGCCATGTGTTACCCCCGGCCCCTGGATCGCCGTCCTTCAGTCAACATGTTGCATGACTCTGAAGATCCGAAAATGATTCCCTCGTCGGTTTGGAAGCCACATTCCCAATGCTCTCTTGACTGCAGGTCATGGACATGACTTTGACCCACGTGCTGACTCAGGATCAACGCTGGGTTATACAAAACGCGGCATAAGGCTCGGCCAGCAGCGTGGTCGGGTTGGGCGTTTGCTCGGATGTAGCCGTGGGAATAGAAGTGACTGAGGCTTGACGAGGCATAGCATACACAAACGGTAAACCCCGAAGATTCCCTCCCAGGTGACTGTTGAATGTAACGTGATGCCATAGCCAAATGGGCGTGTACTACTGTATGTAATGAACATAGCTCGTTCCTCAATCTCGGCTTGCCCTACTCGTGGAGAATTAAAGCCATTGATTGAGTTGGAGCGCTTGGAACTCTGATTCATGGTCTCCATGTCCTCCGTGGTCTCCTTACCCTCCTTGCCAGACGCGTGGCGTCAGCAGCCGTTGAATGAAGGCCCGGGGGGATTGGAATGGGGACTGGGATGGGGACGGAGCCAAAGACGGGGCCTAGGGCGGGTATGGCTGACCTCGCCGGTGGCTTCTTAGACGCCCAAAGACCATGCCCTTGGCCGATTCGAGGCCCTCGCCCGAGCTGTGGCTAGGGTTGGTCTGCTTGGATGACTCCAGGAAGCCTGCAACTTGCCGTTGGGCACACGGCCTGCCGAAGCCTGTGGGTTCGGCCATGGTGGTTTCCGAGGGGGTGCCACCCTTCCATGTGTTCGCCAATGGCACAGTTGTATCCGCCGCTTTGGGTGGGAACATGATGACGAGTCCCCCAGTAGGGGTCGTAGTGGGGATTCGGGCTAGAGCCGAGTGAACCGCCGGGAGGGAAGGGCTGGACGGGCGGCTCGCCGGGGTCCCGTGGTCGAGGAGGAATCTCGATGTTTGCTAGGGACGAATGGTACTGCACGGAGTACACACTAGTGGCAGGCGTCCGCTAGGCATGGTCTGAAGTACAGGGCCGCCTTGCATGTAACGGAGAGCCAGGGCTGTTGGATGCGCAGCACCGGGCGACGCAGACGCGAATATGGTTTGCCTCGAAGCAATCTGGCATCAGATATGTGGGATCTGAGGGCGCCAGGGCTCCGAGGTGCGGTCGACTTGGCACATAGTAGCACACGGCACGGGAATGTCTCGCCTTCAATATCCCCGAGGTCCTGAGCCTAGACTAGAGAAGAACGAGCGTGGAGATGCTATACGCGGAGCCCTGGTGGTGTCGTGGCCCGGAAGCGAGCCTCAGGGACGTTGATCCTCTGACGCCGTCGTCGTGTGGGTTATTAGAACTGCGTCTGGCTCTCGTGGTGGGCGGCACGAGCGCTTGGCTCCTTAAAGACGCTGCCGATGAAGGGGAATGAATTGCCTTCCTGGGTAGCGACTCAACGAGACTACTCCGCGTCCGGCCGGGTGTTGGAAACACGCCGCCGAGAAGCGAGAGCGGGGCCGAGTCGCCGACTGGTTCTTAGAAGGTGACGAAGAAGAGCCTTCCTAACCTTAAAGTCACAAGGAGGCCGGGGACGGTTTGCGCTAAGTTGAGCTGGAAAGTGGGAAAGACAGGATGGACGGGCCTCTGCTGCACGGTGCGCCGGCAAGTTACCGATGGTTAGGGGCACAGCAAGCGCCTTCAACTAGAAGACTGAGAGTGGTGTCAATTTTCGGTGATCCCTAGTGCCCATGTCCTAGGTAGGTACGTAGTCGCTTTGTGGGCTGAGATTGGAGCTGGGTGACAAGTGACGAGGGGTTGACGATGTTGGAGCATGTTGGAGCATGTCGGAGCTGCAGGATTCGCAGATGGAGATGGGGGACGCATGCCGAGTGGCCGCGCAGCCAGCACCCCGTAGCCTGATTCTTCGGCGATGAGCGGCGGCAAAATCGACCATCTTGGCTTGGGATTGGCATGTTGGTTGGTAAATTTAGTTGAGATGGGAATGGTCATGATGACGGGAGGTGGGCGGCCGAACCGATGCGCTCCTACCTTGCCTGAGGTAAGTTAGTGAGCCTGTTTGGTTGCACCGGCGTGCGCGCCTGCCCTGCCAGTGTACACCCTCCCTCCAGTCCCTTACCCGTTATTTCTTGGACGCCACCCCACGTATCCTACCCAATTGCCGACTGCGTACTGCGTAGGTAGGTAGGTACAGTAGTACTGCGTAAGTTTACATAGCACAACCGAAGTCGGTTCGGACCACGCCCTGCAGACATCACAGCCAGACAGACGATGACTTTAGCGAGCGATCTCAGTTACACCTCCCGCGTCCTCAACACCAATTCAATCTTCTCTCTAGCCTGCAGCCTATCACGTTGTTGTCATGGACGGATTACTTACCAATGAAGGTTGACAGATGCATGCGCCCCTACCTACCGAGGAGGAGAGCAATCAAGCAACGTACACATACTACGTACAATTGGAGTCGCACCTTCCCTTGAGCAAGTGCCATCATGTCCAGCTCCGTAAATGGGCAGGAGTGCGACCTCGCAAGCGCAATCGGCGCCTGCCCCGTAACCCAACCTGCCTGTATCCTCTGTCCTCTGTCCTGCATCTACCTATCCTCTTCGATTCTTACCCAATGGATGGATTTTCTATTCCGGTTGATGCGAAGCCTGGAAACTCCTGAGGCTGGCGTGGCCTGCCAACTTTGAAGGAGCCCTTGCCCTGGAAGCCAGCGGCGCCTCTTGCAGCATCGTCGCCTTCAAAAGCCTTGGAAACTCCACATCTTTGCTGCCAGCCCCGGTCCCTTTCATGCTTCCTCTCCCTGCTGTCTCTGCTGGGGCCGCTCCTCGACCACTCCTTGGCCTCTCTCTGTGTCCTCGACTCGATCCCAGCGGGCTTTGCCACGCCAGCCCGGAGCGACGATCAAACGCACACCCCGACACTGGACGCGCCCCCCCTCCCGTCGGCCCATACCAACGATTCTGGTCGCCAAAGTCTCCCAAGGGCGCGCGGCAAACCCAGTTACACATCCAGGGCCACCAGCGCCATCGCCACGCCTCGCACCGTTTCGCACTCGCTCGTTGGAGAGCCTCCGTCCGTGTGCTACGTCCTGCTACAGCTCTGGGCCTTGAGGAGGAGAAAGTGGGCTGGCCAACGTGCTACGTGCTACGTAACACGGTTAAATCGCCTCCACTTAAGACTCCCTAGGCTGTCGAGGTGCAGATGCGACGGATGTCCGACCCGACTTCGAGAACACAATACTCTGGCCCGGTCTGTTGTCCGGAAAAGGGCAGAAGCCACAGAGACGCCGGCCCTGCGGCTGATGTGGAGCTCAGCCACTTCCCATCCGCCACCGGACGCAAGCCGGAAGCGCGATGCGTCGACTTGCTTTGCCCTTCATTCATCCCTTTGGCTGGCTACTCTGCACATAGCAGTAACCCCCATGCTAATGCTCGGTACAGTACCCGTTAGCAGCACTATTCTCTTGGCAGTCGTCGACCCAACGACACGGCGGCCCGTCGCGTCGCTACCTGGAGGTTCAACGAGCCCCTGCCATCATCGTGTGACAGGGCGACGCACGCAATCACACCTTATCCAGCCTCCCGGACTGCTCTGACCACGGAGTACGTACCCCCAACTCCACCAGGCCGGCTTGCCCTTGGTGATGGCGACGGGTTGGTGGCCGTCAAAATGAGGCCCCATGCGGGTGCCCTTCCCGTCATTGGATCGTGCCTCCTGGTGGGGCGATGTTGGCACGCCTTGTGCACGTTGAATCTGGGATGGGCCCCCCTATCCAACCGAACGGTTCTTTTACCGGACGTGGTGATCGGTTCCCACAGAACCTCCCACTTCCCATCACGAATGACACCCGACGGCCGATACGTACAACATCCACTCCCGTTGACGAACCCGGCCGATGGCCAAGACAGGGGCAAGAGGATCCAGCACCCTGTTTCGTCCACGTGCCACTATCACGTATGATCACTCATGCTGTGCCAGTCATGATTGCGGGACAAGCCACACCAGCGCGGGCTTGAGTTTGGCTGCATCTACCCGCTGATCTCCATTCCGGTACATACCCAGAGTCTCACGTAGCTTGGTGAGATGTCACTGTGAAAGTGCACGCTTGCGGCAGCCCACCATCTTACAATGCACAGGACTTGATATTGCTCGGTTAGGCCAGCGATCTGCGAAAACCGCTCCTCATTATTCAGCTCGCCCTGTACGACATGGATCACTCGTTTCTCGCCGGTGCCGGCATTGCCCATATCTGGCAAACTGCCGACAGAGCTTGGACCTGGAGGCTTTCGTCAAGTCCATGTTCATGCCGATTCTTGCGCGCTAGTCGTTTATTGAGATATTCTAGCCGTCAATTGCTGGGGACATCTTTTCCCCATCTGCCTCCCCACAAGAGGGTTTTGACACGGTCCACCATCCATCAACTGCAACCCACATCCCGCCGCTCGTTATGCCGCCGCGAATCCAAAGAGCTTACGTACGCCGTCCCACTGTGGCCCAAGCTTGTCTTGTGTTTACGCCTCAATCACCAAGCCAGATGGTCCTAGTCCCGGAGCTCCTCTCCGACTGATTCCCTCATCCACCAGAACTTGCTCCACGTATGTTAGCGAGCGGCTTTACGATCGGGAAGGGCAAGGTGAGTAGAAGTGTGCCTCAGCGACCGGATGGCCCCCACCTTCCGCCACCTTGCGCGTTCCATCTAAGCTCGACTGAAGGGATAAACGCTGACCAGAGTGTCCTGGTAGCGTGGCCGGAATACAACGCCAGCTAAGATGACGCCACTAGGTCGGCTCGTGGGCTAGGTCTGATCAGAATTCTAACCGCCCGGGGTCCGAGCCAGTGCTTAATTACCGTGTTTTTGGTTGGGAGCGCTCCTAACCCTTCCCTCCTGGGTCGCTAGATTATTTGACGATCACTGTGGGATGCTCCATTATAGGACCTCCCAGCAGTCCGGTCCCATTATCCAGCCAAGGGTTCTCCGAGGTGACAGCCACCCGACAGTGGGTACCAAAGGCTTGATTCTTCTTACAACTAGCGGCCACCATCCGAGGATATTTGCCCGGGGGTCTTGACTCAATATCGAGTGACTCGGCAGATAACACTCAATCATGATGCTTCAATTCCTGTTCGGTGGCAGGGGTGGATACCAGGGGCTCCTGTTTGAAGGGAGACCTTTGTTCCTATCGAGGACTCATATCCAACACCTCTGGAAAGCGAACCGAGCATGCACTTTATTTATGTTTTGTGCAACTCGTCACAGATTTCCAAGGGCCGTTTCTTTTCCAAACTCTCACTTGATGGGAGCCACCAATTCCGCCGTCGTGGTGCCAGTTCAGCCACCCCCCCACATTGATCAAAACTACTGCGTAGTAGTTCCTTGTGATGTTGTGAGTCGACGACGAGGTTCTGCCACAGAGTACGTACGCTATGTACGTCAGTCTGTTAATCTAGTGCAACTAGGATTTGTGAGCAAATTCGAACAGGCAGAGTCAGCGCACTGCAAGCTGCATGCGAGCTACTCTGTGGATGTCGAGAATCTCCCTGCACACGGCTGTTGCCGCTGATCGGAACAGTTCCGATTCGCACCGGTGCAGGTTGGCGGATCAATCGTAAGGTTTATGCGTGGAAGAAAGCCGAGGCGCGGCCAGTCAAAAGGGGCAACCTAGCAAGACTTGAGCATCTCGTGCGTGTGAGCGCATGCGACTTGTGGGGGACGACGAGCCGAGATCCTTCGATCCCGATACTGGTTGCCCTCTGCTCCAGTATCTGCTCCAGTGCGTATGCACTATGATATTTTGGCCCCCGCCCAGCTTATCCCTGTGCCCTAAGCTCCATGCCCATGTTCAGGAGTCGCGCAGTGCAATACCTAGCGGCGGGCCGGACAGTCAGTCCTACCCTAGCCGCAAAGCTATTTGGTTGCCAGCTTCTCCTGACCGGGGAGCCTCTTTGAGAGGACTCGAACGCAATCGTCGTCTCGTTGACACGGAGTCTGGGTCGTTGTGTTGGGAGGGACAAATCATGACGGATCAAGGCCCAGATCTATTTTGGTGATTAAGCTCCAGCCATCCGAGGGGCAGATCCTAGTCCACGCCTCCTCTGCCCGCCCGCCAGCTTGCATTTAACTAGCAGGTTCCTACTGCCCGCTCGGCGAGTCGGCAGCAGGACAACCGGAAGGCCGGCCACGGGACTCTAAAGTTCGGTACTCGGAAGATATGTGGGATGCCGTCAATTTCCCTGCTCACTGGGGACTGACTGAAATAGAGACATACCTGGAGGCTCCCCTTGGAGATGGCATACGCAGACGTCACAGGGTCGACTGAGGCTGGCCCCCTTGGAGATCCCAGCAAAGAGTGAATCCAAGCCTCAAGGGCAATCGCAGTGGCGGAGACCGGCATCCAAGCGAGAGACGGCCGGGACGTAGGCTCGGAGACGAGGCGTTGCAATCTTGCCATTGGCCTCTGGCTTCCCTGTCCCATATGTGGATGTGGACAGAGCATGCGGATGCGAGTGTGGGTGGCGGATCAGCCATTCATTTGCCGCGTCTGCACTGCAGTGCCCGCAGGCCCATCAGTCTCCGTCCGATGTTGGTCAACTTGTCTCCTACGCATGTACGTGTACGTACAGTACTACGTAGTAGTACGCGGGTGTCGGAACGGAAGTATTCTGGCGTCGTTGCTTTCTACCCCTGCCCCCTGTGTCCTGTGTCCCAGGAGAGGGGTCCGTCGGCATGGCATGGCATGGGACGATAAGACGTGATGACACAGGACAAGGCGCTAGTCTTACCCCAGTCGACGACGCAAGCCTCCCAAAGACTCGAAGCCACTCCTGGGACTCGGCAGTCGTTGGCTCGAATGCTGATGGGCGGAGGAGGTAACAAGAAATCCTGCGGGAGTGGACCCGACTTGCGCTTTCGTGCGAGGCTTCAATTGTGCATACGCCCCAACATCTACTAGGCCGGGGCTAAACACCGTGGTCAGCGCTGACTATGATGATCAGCTGGAACAAGAAATGTCGCCCATGACGACTTTGACGAGCACCAACAGCCGTGTTGGCCTTGTCGCGCTGCGGGCTGACAGAACCGGCGAAGCATCCCAGGCCCGCATGCGCCACATCTCCGGGGGGATATTAGTACTACGTACACACACACGCACGCACATACACGCGGAAAGACGGAGGTCGAGGTGAAGGAGCCCGCGCGTTGCAGAGCACCCAGAACCAGAACACCAAGCGGGACGTGCTGGATGCTCTTGCAGACCGCCATCGAGAGGCTCATCCGCCTGACACCGAGTGGTGCTTCGCATATGCAAAAAATCACCGCTGAAGCCCGAGATGCCCGGATTGTCGCTCAACTCCGACGTCAACGGACGGAAGCCCCCGACGCGGCTTTCCAATCGGTCCGCAACGTTCAAATTCTGCCCAAGCTCGCCGTGTGGATTGGTCAATCCCGTCATAGATCAAGCTGATCCGACGCTCTCAACGGGATAAGACTCATCAAGGGCACCTATTTGTACAGCCAGATCCCCCGACGAGACACAGTTTCATTCCGAGTTTCAAGTGAAACTTCCCGGGCTCGAAGACTCGGCCACCATTCAACAAGTATACGGACGCGCAAAGTACAATCCTTGTCCGCCAAACTACCGCAGCCGGCATCATGTGCAAATCAACTCTCCACGGCTTCATCGCCGCCCTCCCCAAGGTTGAGCAGCACCTCCACATCGAGGGTACGCTCGAGCCGGAGCTCCTTTTTAGCCTCGCCGAGAAGAATGGCATCGCCCTGCCCGACGACCCCGTCTACGCCTCCCCTCAGACGCTCCGCGAGCGCTACCAGAACTTCACATGCCTCGATGACTTCCTACACTACTACTATCTCGGGATGAGCGTGCTCATTACCGAGGCCGACTACGAGACGCTCGCATGGGCCTACTTTGAAAAGGCCGCAAGGGACAAGGTCCTCCACGCCGAGGTCTTCTTCGACCCGCAGGCGCACACAGCACGCGGTATCAGCTACGACACCGTCGTCGCGGGGCTCGGTGCGGGCAAGAAGCGCGCGGAGGCGGAGCTCGGCATCACCGTTGAGTTCATCGTCTGCATCCTGCGCCACCTGCCGGTCCCCGAGTCTGACGCTCTCGTCGACACGGTGCTGGACCGCGGTCATCTCACCGACGGCACGCTGGTGGGCTTCGGCATGGTCTCGAGCGAGAAGCCATTCCCGCCAGAGCTGTTCAAGGACATCTACGCCCGTGTCGCCCGCACGGGGACACATCTGACGACGCACGCCGGCGAGGAGGCACCGGCGTCCTTTATCACGTCGTCGCTGGAGAACCTGGGCGTCTCGCGCATCGACCACGGCCTCGCCGCCGCCCAAGACCCGGCGCTGATGGCCTCGCTGGCCGCCAACCGCACGCTCCTGACCCTGTGCCCGTGGTCCAACGTTGCGCTGCGCAACATCGACCGCCTCGAGGACGCCCCCATCCGAGCCTTCCTCGACGCCGGCGTGCGCTTCAGCATCAACAGCGACGACCCGGCCTACTTCGGAGCCTACGTCGGGGAGGTGTACTGCCGCGTGCAGGAGACGTTTGGTCTGTCCGTCGCCGACTGGGACTGGATCGTTCGGGGAGCTGTCGAGGAGAGCTGGTGCTCTGCGGAGCGCAAGGCAGAGATCATCACGGAGCTGGACAAAGTGGTCGCAGAGTTTCAGGGGCAAACCGCCATTGAGGCATGATGGAATCCAAAGAAAACGCGCTACTGTACATGGGCTTGCTTGAGTGCTGATGGGAGCGAGGAAATTGTTACGGTTGGTGGAGATACCCAAATTGATATGGAAAGAGGCATGGTCATAAGCGTAGATAGCATAACCCGTCATGATCTGTAGTGTAGAACCGATAGCCCCTTTAAGCCCTTGGGCCAAAACCAGTCTGCTTGTAATCTCTCACCTTGCCATCCATACCCGCCGTGCCCGCGTGCTATTTGTCAAACAGGAAAAACATCATAATAAGCCAAGTAACACACCATCTCAATGCCTCTCCCTTAGCATCGCACAGCACATATGCCATGAAATGATCATTCGCACTTAACCCTCCGTGGTATCCATAGCCGCCTCCTTGATCTTGTCCTTCGCAGCCTGCACTCGCTCCTCGCGCCACTTATCAATCTTTTCCTTAAGCTCCGTCTGAGGGATGGCATCGTTGATAGACATGGGCTGTCGGGTGAAAGGATCCTTAGGGTCACTGAGAAGGTGCTGCACGATGGTGGAGCGGTCCACGATGTGTCTGCTAGGCAGGAGCACAGGGTCTTTCATGAGATCGCCCATGATGGGGTCTTCGAATTCCGCGGGGATCTCGCCCAAGTCCAGCTCCGCTTGATCGAGCAGGAGCTTTGCGTCAACAAACTTGACCTTGAGTTTGTCCCAGCGGGCAATATCCGCTACATCCTTCTGATGCTTTGACGTGAGGATTCGGGACACACGGTCCAGGACCTCTGGCTTGTAGGAGCGACCGTCGGCAGCCACCGCTTCAATGAAAACGGCAGAGCTACCGAGGTTGAGATAGATGTCGATAATGTCCGAGATGAGTTGGATAGGTCGGAAGTGGTACTTGTCCTTATTCGCGACACCAAGCTCGGCGCCAGCCTTCACTCCTGCTAGGGTCTCGAGGTTGTAGTTTAACATGCTCGCCAGACGCGAGACGATTTCGGGCATGGTGAAAGCCTCGCCCATGGCCTCGGTGAAGAGCTTCATCATCTCGAGCGTCTCATTGGCGAGCTGCATGAACGACGTGGCCTGGTTCGCGAGGGTCTGATGCTCTTCTTCCTTCTTCTGGCGGTCTTCGGCTGGAAGTGCTGGGTTCTCAAGCTCCCTCTCAAGAGCCCGAATCTTGGGGAATTTGGTGAGTGCCTCGTCCAGGACGTAGGTGGCATCGTTCAGCAGCATGTTCACAAACTGAACAAAGAACTGCTTGTTGACCCTGACTCTTATTAGCTGACCATGTCATAACTATGTCAAAATCAAATCTCACCTGCTCTCCTGAGTCAACTGTCTCTTGTAATGGTCATTGACCCAAACACACTTGATGACCTGGAAGATCTCATATCGGATGTTGAACTTGTCATAGAACGCTGAGTCGGCACCAGTCGACTCGCACTCGATGTAGAACTTCATCAGGGCGTGCAGAAGGTGCTCATTAGCGAACTTGGATGAGATAAGCTGATCGCCAAGAACTCCTCGCTTGAGATGCATAAAGGGCCAGGTCGCTGAAAAGAGTAGCGATACTAATGACGACTTGAGATAGGGGTTCTTGATGTACTCAGAGGATCGGAGGAAGGTAATGCATAGCGCAATCATCTCATCACCCACAGCGCTGGGGAGAATGTTGGCAAGGAATCTATAGCCCTGTCAGCAACATGGATTTGATACAAATCCCATCAAACCGACCTGAAGATGAACTTGAAGTTGTCCACAATATTCTGCAGAGCATACTCGGGTAGGCAGGAGAATGTGTCCAACTTCTCATTGGGCAAAGGGAGCCTTGGCAGGTTAGCAATGGTACGGGTTATCCCAAAGGATAACATACTTGACTTCTTTCGACTCGAGGCCTGGCTTGTACTTGGATCGAGTCGCAAGGCGAAGCAGCCAAACGGCAACATATCGCATGAACCGCAAAGAGGTGCTCTGCATTCGCTCATCTAGGAGGACGCCCTCAATGGCATACTTCATTCCAATAGTCTTCTCCAGGACGCTGGTGTGACGCTTCAGTGTTTCCTCCAAGAGCCGTAGCTGGTGTGGGACGTTGGCAACCTTGGGACGCTCGGCCTCCATAGCCTTGAGGTGCTTCTCCAAGTACTTAATGTCTCGGTCCAAGTTCTTCAACTGAGAATTACATGCTTCGCTTCCATAATGATGAGCAGCGAGTGTCAAGAAGAAGGCCTCCGAGATGAAATTTGGCTCGCCGGGAAGTGTCTTGGCGTAGTACTCGTCTGAGTATGCCTGGTCAGCATTCAGCTTTGTCTCATCCTTGAGATCAACTCGTGGATTTTTGCGGAAATAATCATCGTCGATCTTGTCAATCTTGCTAAAGTCGCTATCCATGAAAGGTTCGCAGAATCGATCGAGGATTGTCGTCACGTTCACCATGAAACCGTTGGAGGCTACTTCTCTGGGGTCGACCTGAAGAGCTCTGCGCTTGTGGTTCATGTTCACGATGTAGGCAAACCAGTCCAGCGTGCGACTTCGCGTGTCGGGGCCGGCCCGGATGAATGCATTGGCAATTGCGAAGAGGTCATCCTGATGAGTTCGAATTACCATGCGCAAGGAATCCTGCGCATTGCGAATTCTGGCCTTGTCCAGCGTCCGGGGGCCAGGGAAGTAGCTCTTGATGACTTCGGATTGTAAAGGTGAGATGCGGAAGAAGGGACCGAGAATCGTATGTTTCTCAATCCCGGCGGCAGATTGTGCCATCTTGAAGCAAGGATGTTTTGCCAGATTGACGATTAGAGGAGGGAACCTCGTGTAAGTCATGAGGGCCTACATGGATGTGTCAGATCGGGTCCATGATAAGGTGGGGCAAGAGAAGTGTACCTGAAGGTATGGTTTGTAATCCTCGTCCATAGACATAGACCCCAACTTGGCGCTGATTTGAACCATTGCATTGCTGAATATCCCAGGGAACGCTTCATCCTCGTCGAAACGCTTAATAGCTTCTCGGATGAAGTCAAAGCATAGGCCATCGTCGTTCTGTACACCCTTGAGCAGAAATGGCATGAGAGTGTCATGCTTCGGGTTGGGCTCGCGGCTATACAATGATTAGGGAAACTCCAGTTATTTGGTCATTATACTCACCCGTATAAGTCTGGCATTGTGAGGGCGAAGAGACAGCTGCTCATGCACAATCGCTTCGCCTCCTCGTGCACCTCGTATCTAAATCCCTCCGTCAACTTGGTGGCTGTGCCTGTCTTGACGGCGCGTTTCCAGCAGGGCAGGAGGTACTGCATGAGAGGCTTATTTTGAGGCCAAGCATTGAGAGCTTCCATGATGGCCTGGTCCAGCGTGTTCACGGACAGCTTCAATGACTCCCCTGAGTCGTTGAGCTCCTCGTTCAGGTTAGGAAGGAATACCAGCCTATGGCTATGGTTATCTGTCATGTTATGGGGGTCCACTGAGATGCGGAAGATATGGGACAGGATTCGGTTGGCATAGTCTGTGTCGGACTCGGGCTGGGCGTTGTTCGCACGCTGTGGTGGTCGGTCCGCTGAAACGGCATCGTCAATCTCCGAAGCCAGCCTCTTACGAGGAGAACGAGAGCTACCTGTTGAGCTGGACGGCTCTGATTTGTTATTTTCCTTCACACCCAACTTGGCGAAGGGGTTCGGACTCGAGCCGGCGGCCGGGGTGATGTTGATCTTGGGCCGCGACGGCTCCGCGGCAGGAGAGGTCTGTGGCTTCGGCGTGGAGGTGCGGGAAGGGTTCGAGGACTCGGGTTCGGATGTCTTGTTCTCTTCGGACTTGGAGGAAGCAGGCGTCGAGGTTCCGAGCTTGGCCAGACGTCGAGCGCGGATCTGGGGCCGACATGGTTAGCATGCGTGAATGGCTGCGTTCGCGCATCGAGGCCAACTTGCCTGCTCCATCTTCTCCTTGTCTGGGGCATCGCCTCCGGTCCACGAGGGCTGGTCGTTAGGATCCATGGTGGCGTATCTCCAAACCAAGCCGGTAGAAAGACGCAGGTGAGAAAGAACGAGATGGCGGAAGAAGTGCGCGCGGGAAGTGCAAGAGGGGGGGATGGATTCGCAAGGCTGACGTCGGGTGTGGGAGGGTTTGGGGAGCCTGAGCCTCACGGGTCGAGCTCCAGAAGGTGGTGGTAGTGGGGGATCCCTGAGGCTGGGGCGCTGGGGCGGCGTGGGGCGGTGAGGCTGCTATGGTTTAGCGGCTGAACCCTGTCGTGGCGCTGCCGCCTGGAGCTGTGGGTGCACACCTTGGGGAGCTTCGGGGGGAAGATACCAGGTGCTTCAGCGAGTTAGGGGATCAGAATCTGCCTTGGGAGTCACAAAGGTGCTATCGACGAAGCTATCAAGCTTTTGCGGTTGATTCTTTCAAAGGATACCGGAGAAATTATTCGGGGTAGGGATAGACGGCATTGCACCCTGGCAAACTCCGCAGCAAAGTTTCCCTCACGGTGCTAAAGTCCGCCACGCAAAGTGACGAGTCCGCAGACACCGCGGTTTCTAATCCCAGCCAACAACCGCGAAAGACGTCGACTCTACATCAGTCATGTTTCGCCACGCTCCGGATTCTCGGGAACAGAATCAACTGGAAAGATAGTATGAATGCCAATGTCCTAATCGTGGCGAATTTACACCTTGCGAGTCCTCCGGTCTGGATTGGGCAATATGTCACGTTTTCGTCGAAGAGCTCATAGATGCGCAGACCACGCGAAGCATAAAATCACATTCTCTAGATATCACCAATATCGCTGTATCTGTTCCCCAGGCCTATATATTGTAAGGGTATTCCGTGGACCAACCAAGCGCCAATAAATTCCAGAACCCCTCCCCAACGCAAAACAAAGAAACAAGAAGCATCCACGTCACAGACGTGGCAGGTCGGTCTCCTGGCTAGTCGACCGACGACGCTCGGGAAGCATATGGCCCCCATCCCCGGGTCCATCCCGGCGGATCGTTGATGAGCCCGAGTTGTTGGCGGCTCTAATGCGGCCCTCCTCGCGGCTTCGGTTGAGCAGCCAGTTGACATGCATCCGGATCATGTTGATATTGTTTCGTAACTCGGTAACCTCCTCGCGGATCGGCATGACTTGGTTCATCGTCCACATACTCTGCCGTGCCTCCAAGTGTGTCAGATTCTGGTGAACTTCTTCGAAGCCGGCATCCAGGTCCTGCATGGTGCGACTGTCGCCCCCAGCGGGATCACCTCCTCCACGACGGCTGACAGACGCAGTGACCTCATTAATCCTTCGGTTCGTTTCGTCTTGACGGGTGTTGAGTTGTTGTATTTGCTGCCCAAGGTCGCTATACGACTGGATGAGCTCCCGTTGAGATCGAATAATGACGCCAGAGGGCGTGTCGGGATGAAAAGCACAAATCACAGTATGAGAGCCCATCAGCCCGCGTAGCGAACGACTTGGGCAGCCAAACTCCTGGTAAGGACATGCTATTACGATTCCATCACACTCCGACTCTTGGTGAGAGCCCATTTGACGTCGTCGGACCAGCCGCCAGCATGCCTCACACCGGGTTTTGGTCATGAGGCATGAGAGCATATGGAAATCACGGTCGGGTGCCTCAATTCCAGCTTGACAGTAGGAGCACTTAATCTCGACATGAGGACAAGTGTCGTCTGTTGGCTTGGATCGTAAAGTTTTGTCGCAGTTTGTACCAGGGCAGGTAAAGTCTTTGAACCGGCAATCATTCGTTGCGTGTAGCTCGACCACCTCGCGTCGCAGCTCCTCCTTACATCCTCTCCCGTGATATGGGCACTTGACCATAAGATTGTTCAACTGGGTGCGCACGAGTCGAGCGGCACTAAAGCAGTTTGGCCATAATAGAGGGTCCCTGTCGATGGGGCAAGCCGTTCCGGAAGGGCTTGAGTAGATGCTCTGGCGCAAACAGCGGTAACAGAAGGTGTGGTCGCATGGCGTCGTGACAGGGTCGACAAGGGGGTCGTGGCAGATCGGGCAAAGAAGATTGACATCGGGATCTTTGACGTATGTCAAGGAGTACATGTCAAAGATGCAGTCGCCGCCATAACGTTTGGGGATGTCGAGCGAGGAAGGGTGGGGTGGCAGCAAAGGCCCCGAACGTCGTTCCGCGTTGGCATTGGGAATAGCAGACCCAGCGGGCTGTGGCATTTGCAAACTCGCTCCTCCACCGGGATTGAATGTTCTTCGAAATTGGGCCACCTGATAGACGTCATCAGGCGACGAAGGGCGAACCAGGCTGGTAACGAGGTCGGGGGTCGGGGACACGCGACCGAGATTGCGACGAGCAAGCCGCCGGGCAGCTGCCGGGCTCAAACGAATTCCATTATCACTCGACTCAGATCCCGACGTTTCCAGCACAGGGGAGATTTCGGCAGCGGCGGTAGCGGCGGTGGTGGAGGTCGGTGAAGATGGCTGGTGCTCGGGTGGGGGGTTGACGTCGTCGGTCGGCTCGTCTGTGGGCATGACGGTTCTATTCGGCGGGTTCAATCATCAAACAGGAGGCGAGGTGTTATGAGAACCAGGCGGGGCGATTCCTGGGGCCGTATAGTTGAGGCATGTAACAGACGAGGTCGTTGGCGAGGATACGGAAGGGGGCGAGTGGTGATGATAGCGGTCGAGACAGAACCATTGCCGAGGAGGCGACATGATGGATTAGTTAACGGATAAGATAGCCAATGGTGGGGTAGACAAAATAAGCGGCGCAATGCGTTCATGCTCGTTCTCGTCTCCTCGGCCGAACGGTTCCGACCGGCCGGTTAAAAGGTCAACCGGATGAAATTATGAGTGGAGATGGGTCTTGTTCCTCTCTTCCAGGTACGCACTTCAACTCTCTCAGCCCTACGAAGGAGGCGGCGTTCTGGCGATGCTTCAGGTTGCTCAGTGCTAAATGCCATATGCATCAGGGCTCTTGGTTGGCTGCAGTGTGCCACCCACTCACACTCCCTCCACATCCACGGTCTTGCGCATTCAACCCAGCCCTCTGACATGAACCATGTGCACACCCCATGTCATGTTAAACTGCTGCCGTCTCCATCCTCCCACATGGATGGCACACGGCCGTTCTACAGGCCTCTTGCGGCTCTCCGCCCGCTGTCGGAAGCCGTGTTTGAGTGCCTCGCTGCCTACCTGCCTAACTGCCTGATGCCGGAACTTGACCTCTGCGTCTTTCAAGCTCAGAGCAAGCAGCAGCAGCAATGCCTCAATCTGCTGACGTGGCGAAAGCTGAACCCGACATTCATTGGCGTCGTCTGCAGGTGCAACAGCAGTCAGGCGATTACCGCATGTCCTTCTTGAGGCCCCTACAACTCCATTCAGTGAAACACGGGGCCTCACGACTTCTGTTGGTTGCAAATACTCCGTGGCGTCTGTGTCCTACACTAGAGTCGCATCTCGCATTCACGCTTCCACAGAGGTAACCACTCGCTGTTCGTCATTTTTGAGGCTCCCCCATCGCTGCTTTTATTAGCCACGGTTGCCTATTGACAACTCAGGCAACCGCAGCCCATTTCGTGACATCTCGGCCACAAGAGCCGCATCCGCATCCGCATCCGCATCGGGTGCCGCCGTCCTTCGTGTCATTCCGGAATAGCGTCAGCACGAAGAGTCATTCCACCTCGCGGACTGCTCGGGTTCACAGAGATACGCAATTCGGATCCAGTTTCCCACATTCAGCTGGTGGTGGTCACATGGGCCAGACGCCGCCTGTGTTATGTGTTGGGATGAGTCCTTTAAGTCTGATTCATCCATCACCAGATCTCACAGCCTTATTTCGAGCCGCATGCGCCCCGTCCCTGTAAAAGCGGCGCCTCCAATCAGTCGCTTCTATGGCACATCCCCTGTAAAACTCGTCCTCGTACGGAAAGCTGCATGATGGTCACCGGGCCGAGACCCAGAAGCTGAATGGAAAGACCAGCCCAGTTGCGCTTCTATTATATAGTCATCTTACATCCCCAGCCTCGTCCTATGAACTGCCCTCCCAACTCCATCACTTCCAAGCTTCAACATCATGGAACATCCCCAGATCCCCCCTCCCCAGCCAAAGCCTAAGCCACCTCTCAGCCCTCAGGCTTTGGTCTCCAAATTCTGGTCTCGATACCATGCCAAAGCCCCCGGAAAGGTCACTTCCATCTTTCCTCGTAGCCTATACGAACCTCTCCTTCCCAACTTCGATACATCACAATCCAGGACTCGAAATGCTGCTCATGGCTATGAACAGGCCCGCTCCGAGTGTCGTGCCCGGGTTCAGGCTGTTGTTGCCGAGTGTGAGCGTACCAACTCAAAGTTTAGCGACCCTGATTTCGACATCGAGACCGATTTCTCAATCAGAACCGATAACTGCTTACACGGCCTGGTAAGAGAATGGGAAAGTGGCTGTAATGATGAGAGCGATCGAAGCAGCAAAATCCGAGCATGGCAGGTCAAGCTGTCTCTCGACACTTTGAAAGACAGTGGCGTCTTAGGAAATGACAAGCTCGAGATTGACGTTGGCAACTTGCGCAAGTACCTTGGCCAGGATGATAGTTGCTACAGCATGGCCCCAACGAGACCCGGGTCTGTCCATCGCTTGTCATGGGTCTTTGAGAGCCCGCAATTCACCGTAGACGGCTTCTCAAGCACTGATATTAAGCAGGGGGGCAGCGGCGACTGTTGGTGGTTAGCCGCCTTGGCGACCATTGCCCACCGGAAGGACTTGATGAACAAGATCTGCGTGGAGAGAGACGAAGAATGTGGCGTTTACGGCTTCGTCTTCCATCGAGACGGAGAGTGGATTTCGACTGTGGTGGATGACAACATGTACCTCAAAGAAAAGGACTTCGGTCAGGACTCGGATGTCTACGACTCCACGGGTAAGAAGGCCCGGCTGTACAAGAAACAGAAGCAGAATGGTTCCGAGGCTCTCTTCTTTGCCAAATGCGACGACGCCAATGAGACCTGGCTCCCGCTGCTTGAAAAAGCTGTATGCTATTCCTTTCCAACGATTTTGCACTTATTTATTTTTCTGTCCTTAAGCTAACGACCAATGCAGTTTGCCAAGGTTCATGGCGACTACGGAGCCCTTGATGGCGGATGGGCTGGTACTGCGGTCGAAGATCTTACCGGTGGCGTCACCACCGTCGTTGCCGGAAACAGAGTCCTTCGTAAGGAGCGTCTTTGGCGCGAAATGGTAGGATCTGGTAGTGAGGACGGAGAGTTTGTCTTTGGCCTCTCAGCCACAGGTCCTGGAGCAGACTCGCGGAACGGGCTTGTTCTTCGACATGCATATTCTATTCTCAAGGCCACAGAAGTGGAAAACGAGGAAGGAATCAAGTTTCGTTTGGTCAAAATCAGGTATGTACTCGTGTTCTAATCTCCGGCAAGTTACGGTTTTGCATGATCCAGTATATCATTTGGGAACTTTTGCTGACTCTGTTGGCAGGAATCCTTGGGGCCAACGATCCGAAAGTGGCACTGGGGAATGGCATGGGCCCTGGTCAGACGGCTCCCGAGAATGGACCCCGTACATGATCCAGAAGCTTCGCCACGAATTTGGAGATGACGGTATCTTCTGGATGTCATACGACGATGTTCTTGTACACTTTAAGTGGCTGTATAGAACTCGTCTCTTTGACCAGCGGTGGACCGTGGTTCAGCAATGGACCAGTATCAGAGTGTCATGGTTAACAGGATATCTCAAAAAGAGATTCATCATTGAGGTCAAGGAAGAGGGCATGGTAGTGATTGTTTTGTCGCAGGTATGTTGCCCTACACCGCAAGCATTTCCAAATTCTCACAAGGCTCCAGCTCGACGACCGGTACTTCCGTGATCTCAAGGGTCAATACGAGTTTACCCTTCAGTTTCTCCTCAGACGGGTGGACTCCGCCACACCAATCTGCCAAATTAGGTCTGCCCACACCTGGGACCGACGTTCCATTAACTGCGAGATGAACCTGGAGCCAGGGACATATGAGGTTGTCCCCAATCTCACTGCTGAACGGGATGAGGATCGTCCCACAGTGGAAAAGATCGTCAAGGCTGGTGCGGATAATAACCCTCAGAAGCTACGCCAGGTTGGTCTACAGTATGACCTTGCCCATGCAAAAGGCGGAGTATTGGATGAGGATGAGGAGCTACAGAAGAAACGCGCCGAAGAAAAGAAAAAGCGGCGCAATCAGAAAAAGAAGATGCAGGGTGGGAACCAGGTCGAGCAGGCGATGATGCGGATGGAAGAGTTTATGCTACACATGCGGAAAGAGTTGATCAAAGGCTCCAATGGGGACAATGAAAGCAAGGGCAAGGAAGAAATAACCAGCGACAAGAATGTCACCGATGAGAAGGATCCCAAGGAGGATGACAAGTCCTCCAAGTCTCCACCAGGCCTGTTACTTGACGATTCGTTTAAGACAGCAGCCGAGGCTCAACCCAAGGGAGACATGACTCCCAAGCCGAAGCTCGACTCGGAATCATCAACCCGCGAGTCCACCAACAAGAACGAAGAGGACAAGAAGGAAGAGCAGGACCCACCAAGTCACACCTCGCAGGCTCCTGTAACACAGCCAAATAACAGTGCACTTGAGAAAGATGCGCCAAACCCGGTTGTGCAGGATGACCCCTTGACTCCACCAGTGGTCAAGGAAGAAGGCTCATCTGAGTCTAGCTCAGATCCAGACTCTGATTCCGACTCCGATTCCGATTCTGACGATGCCTCAGACATTTCCTCCTTCCCTGGAGACGGGCCGGTGTCTCCGGGGCCGAAGAAGAAGAAGCCATGGAATGCAGTGTGTGTTGTCGGCCTGCGAGTCTACGCACAGCACGCAAACGTCAAGGTTCGACTTGAAGAGCAGAGCTCCAAAGATGCGGATTCGAACCTCGTCACAACAGAGGGAAACCCCGTTGGTCCAACCTCTTGAATCATGAGACGCAGAGCCACGACGGGATGATGTTTGAGCGTTATGGTCATAGGAGGAAATTAATGTTCTAGGATGTGCCATACGGCCGGTATGCCGATTTTCTGGTGTTGTAACGATGAGGCATTACGAGACATGAATTTCTCAGGATGTGTATGATCCGGTATCTAACGCAGCTCTCTTCTCACCTTGTCATTTTTTAACATACTACTCCTTTATTACTAGGCCCCAATACAGATTGCTTTATTTGATCAAGTTCGGTCGGCATTCTAGTTTCTGGTTTCATCCGCCTCTGCTCCGGCCGACCCATTTCATAATTACTTGGCAGGGCGCATCTTGACGACTCGCGCAACCCCCACATAGCGTTCGACGTATATTGTTGCTGGACCACAAGTCCAGTTTACCCTGGCCACACAGACGCACCTCGTGAGAGCGCCTTGACAATCCTCAGCAGACTCAGAGGACGCCAAACCTCTCAGAGCAGTACCTCGGCTCTCTTCCCGGGGTTAAAGCGGCGTTTGATCAATAAAGGTATTGCAAAAAGAAAGTAGACTCCATTCCCAGGCGCCCACGCGCCAACCCGGGCCTTCGGGAGGAGTCGTAGTTTCAGCCCGCCCGTTTCACCATGCTCCATGCCCCACACCCACGCCGGTTGCTCGCGCTGACACGAGCAACACCCCGGGCAAGATGGGCTGAGAAAAGGAAATGGATGTTTCGGCGATGCGAGGTTCGTCCCGTCGGAGAATTTGTGGTGGGGGAAACTTTGATAACCGGGCAGACTAGGCTGTGCGATTGATTATTTTGGGGTGTCAAGGAGTCAGGATGGTCTAAGGAACTGGCGCTGGCTGGAGGCTTGCCTCTTTAGGAAGATCTTGCGGGATCGAATGGCGAGTGTTTTCTATGACGATGTGGTTCTTGGCAGCTGAAAGAATGTTGAGAGAGCTTCGAGCATATAAGAGTCTCGTCAAGGCAGTCGTCTATAGTTTTATCAAGCCATCACAGCATCTCTCCTTCACTCTCTCTTTCAACACTCAGTAGCCGCAAGCCAGCTTCTTTCCATTCGTTCACCAACTCATTCATTCAACAACCCATTCATTCACCATGCCTTCCATCTCTCGCACCATCCTCATCGCCCTTCTGCCCTTTGTCACGGCCGGTCCCGTGATCCGGCAGTTCAACTGGGGTAGCATTGGCACCGGCACCGGCACCAGCTCCAGCTCCAGCAGCGGCTTCGGAAGCTCGACGCAGAACGGCCTCTCGGGCGACTGCAAGGCCGTGACTGTCATCTTCGCCCGCGGCACCACCGAGACCGGCAACGTCGGTACCGCCACCGGCCCGCCCTTCTTCGAGGCCCTCGCGTCGAAGCTGGGCGATGGCAAGCTGGCCGTTCAGGGCGTTGAATACGCCGCCGATGTGGCCGGCATCATGCAGGGTGGCGACACGGCTGGCTCCGCTAAGATGTAAGTGGGAGCAGAAACAAATCCGCACAATCAGCCAAGGATCGACCCAGGGTTCACGATTGCTAACTGTTTCAAACAGGGCCAGCCTTGTCCAGCAGGCCATGACCAAGTGCCCCAGCACCCATGTCGTCGTTTCTGGCTACTCCCAGGGCGCCATGCTCGTCCACAACGCCGCCAAGTCGCTTTCCTCCGACGTGACGGGCAAGATCGCCGCGGCTGTTACCTTTGGCGATCCCTGTACGTTCTCCTCCCCTTGTTTTCTACAATTGGCCCCAGGATGCGGAACCAACGACTAACACGCTCGCTCTGTAGACCAGAAGCAGGCCGTCACCGGTGTGAGCGCCAACCGCTTCAAGGTTTTCTGCCACGCCGGCGATGCCGTTTGCTCCGGCACTGGTGTCATCACCGCGGCTCACTTGACTTACAGCCAGGATGCTGATGCTGCGGCTGCGTTTGTTGTCAGTGCTATTGGAAAATAGGGGGATTTTATCAGAGGGACGCTAGACTAGTCCGCCGTTTTCACCACATGTACTTATTGTTCAGCTAGAAGCTTTGTATAATTACACTACAGAAAAGGAGTAAAATGTAAAAAATGTGACGGCTCCGGATCGATCTTGGTATTAAGGACCTAAGCTTCTGACTGGATTACCATAATTTACTTGCCACAGTGGAATTGGAAGTGCATTGTTTGCTCTAGGCTCAGAAACAGATGTTTCATACCAATTGTGAATAAAATGCTGCTAGTCCTTATCGCCTTCTTTGAGGATAGGGCAGCTAAGCGCTAAGCTTTAGAGGGGTCCGGCAGTACGACCGCGAAAGGTTATGGCAGCAAGTTCTTAAGGAGCAGTCCATAGGTAACGAATTCATTCAAGAAGATCAGGCCTCGAGAATGACATGTCATGGCCTTATATGTTGCGTTGCATCTAGAATGGAGGGCAGTCGTGTTTCAAGCTGTGGGTATGGTGCAAACGGATAAAGGTCCTCCCAGGGATCAAAAGGCGTGTTCGACATGTTTACTGTGATTGGAGTCTTGCGGTTCAATGTAATGACAGAATCTACACCATTGGAAACATGCATGATTTAAACATAATTCCCATCTCTTAACTCAACTCAGTCACCTTCAAGTTGCGATGCATCCTACCCTAGACCAAGATGTAAGCTCAGCGGGGAATGATGGGGTTTATTAGTGTCGCGGGGTGTATCACGAGGGCATGTAAATTTAGGCACCCCACGTGCCAGACTTATCTTGGCTAAGGGGAGCGGCCTGCAACGCTGCGGCGCAAGAAATACCGAGACACTGTTACTGCAACGTAGTATGTCATGTACGCAGCCTGCAGCACAGCAAGTGTCGATCATGCACTTGGTCTTCATGCACTTGGTCTTCATGCACTTGGTCTCCCGATCCACCGGCGCCATTGTTGTCAGCAGGCGGCTTCTAGAACGTTTTCCCACCACTCATTGTGTGCCGCTGGGTGCTGAAGAGTGCTGAAGAGTGCTGGTGAGTCCCGCTGTCCACTGCTTTTAGCGTACCCCCACTACCTGTGTCTGATGCCCTTCAGCGCATAGGTACCTAGACGTCATCCCTTCCCCTCCAAGCGGAGGCCGAAGCTTTCGCCCAATGGCCGCGCCCCCGCGTGCAACTTACACTTTCACATGTCAGCACGAGACAAAGTGCGCAGGCGACACGACATGTCACGAGTCATCAGCTCGGCTTCTGAGGCGCCGAAAAGCATCCGCACGTCTTCAGTGTCAATGGCACATGTTCTCGCAATGCGCTACTTCTCCCGGTTCTTTGTCTTCTCCCAGGCTTGTCAGGCTTGCCAGGCTTGTCTTGACCAACCGTGTGTCTTGTTGGTGTCAGCCCACCGCGAAACCGAGCCCTTCCACCAGTTGCCAGCTCATTGATCGCCTGCCCAGATCCCCAGCCCAGATCCCCATTCGTCTTCACCAACTTCTCGAGTTCCGCAGTATCCGCCGAGGCATTGCGCCTTGCCCGCCCCGTTGGCTCGTTGCGTGGCCTTTGTGGGATGCCCATGTGAATGCGACTGACAATTGCACCCGGAGCATAGGGCACAATGCATCTTGGCCCCCCGGGACACCTCTCTATCCCTCATCCTCCTTGCCGAAACATCTACATTTAGGCAAAGCTTCAAATTGCTTAGCTTTGCCCTCAATATGATAGACCACGTCCTCGGGCGGCCCTCGGCCAAGTCGCGACGCCTGCAGGTGCTTGCTGTTCTCACCTTCTGGTCCTTCTACCTCGTCAAGTAAGCTTCCCCGGACGTCCCCTTCCACTTCCCCGTGGGGTAAACTGGAGATGGAAGAATCGCCTAACACTCACGCAGGGGTGACCGACATGGCCCTCCCGGCGCCCAGATGCTCTCGAGGCTCTCGACCAAGCGCTTGACGGCATGGCAGACGGTTGCCATCACAATGCTCTACCTCTACGCTGCACGCAATTTCAGCGCCCTCGTCGGACTTGCGAGCCCCGAGCCCATGGCCAATATGTACGATGCCACATACTACCGTGCAACATGGGTCTTGACTGCGCTGGACGCGGGATTCTGGACCGCCATGAAGATCAAATCCAAATGGCTCCGCGACCTGGCGAGCATGGTCTTCTCTCTCTTCTACCTCGTCGCGGCCGAGAAAGCCGATGAAAAGGTCCGCAAAGTTAGAGGCATGCTTACCGTGGACCACCTCCGTGTAGCATGGAACAAGGGTACCTCGCCGTATCTGAGTTTCTTTCAAGGACTCATGCGTCCACGGTTCATGCGATGGCCACCCAGGCAACTGCGAATCCCCAGGCCAGCAGACAGCGATTACAAGGAGCCTGTGCTGGCCTGGCTCTACTTCGACGGGCCGCTGGCGGACCTCGAGCGACATGACAGATTGATTCTAGACATCCCAGGCGGTGGCTTTGTCGCTATGGACCCGCGGTGCAATGATGACAAGTTGTTCGCCTGGGCTGCCAAGTCTGGCCTGCCAATCCTCAGCCTGGACTACAAAAAAGCACCAGAGTTTCCATATCCTTATGCCCTCAACGAGTGTTATGACGTCTACTCGACGATTATCAACACCAAAGGAAGATGTTTGGGTATGCCTGGAACGGAGACTCCAAGGGTGATTATCACGGGAGATAGTGCTGGCGGGAACTTGGCCGTTGCCGCCACGCTGATGATCCTCGAGACAAGCAACGCCCAGTTTCGTCGATCTACTAGAAGCAATCTACCCGCCCCCGATGGGCTTGTTTGCTTCTATCCTGCCTTGGACATGAATATTGGCAACTGGATGACGGACGAACAAATGTCCCTGATTCAAGATCGCAAGATGAGGAAGACGAACAGGCCTATTGTGAGGCGCAAGAGTATGCAGTATAATGCTCTAGTCGGAACACCTCATCACTCAGAAGACGAGGATGACACAACGCCTCCACTGCAGCCAAAACAGAACGGCACGAAGCCGCAAGACAATCCGATGGCTTCAAACCACAGCCCAAGCAGCCCAAATCCGGAAGTAGCTGATAGTGGCCCTAAGACGGTTAAACGCCCGAAGGAGAACGGAATATCCAATGTCAAAGAGACATCCCCCCAGGTAGAGCCTATGAGGACACGGCTGGCGACGTCATCAATGATTTCGTACTTCAACGACAGAGTACTGACGCCAGAGATGATGCGGGCCATGATCATCTTGTACATTGGTGCACATAACCGGCCGGACTTTAGCCAAGACTATCTTCTTTGCCCTGTGCTGGCGCCGGAGGCCCTATTGGTCAACTTCCCCAAGACCTATTTCTTGACTGGAGAACGAGACCCATTGGTAGATGACACGGTCATATTTGCAGCCAGGCTGCGGAGGGCCAAGGAGGCAGCGTTCCTACAGGAAAGATCGACGAGGAGTCAGTATACGAATGGCAAGGAGCCGGAATTCAACGAGCGAGATGTAGCTGAAGTGATGCTCATCCCTGGAACATCGCATGGCTTCATGCAGTTCCCAGCAGTCTACCCACCGGCTTGGAAGCATTTCGACCGAAGCGTAGGCTGGTTTGAACAACTCTTCGACCACGTGGATGCTGTGCGCTTGCGCGACATCCGGGCAAGGACTGCTGCGATGTATGGCTATGAGGGACGTCAGGCCCGAACTGAGTCGAGCGGAGACGAGGACAAGCCACTGGAGATTAGCATGACCAAGCTGAACCGAGGAAGAAGCTCGACTCAATCGCAGGTACCAGATATAAAAGATCAAGATAGCGATAGTGGTAGCAATACCGCGACACCAACAGGACCGAGAAACGGCGCTAAGAACTGGAAGACAGGGAGGAAGAGCAAGAGGCAGAAGGGCTTGGGACTTGGCAAAAGCAAAAACATGAACAAGAGTCTGATCAAGCTCAACAGCTCCGACGACCTGCTGGGCAGGCGAATGCAAGGCCTCGCGAGTGGGTTGACGGGGCTGGGCGACGACGACTGAGGTGATGGACGATGTGACTGACGAGGCGGCAGGCTGACGACACGTGGGTTGGTTGCAAGATTTGGTCATTTCGGAAACGAAAGCTTGAACGGGCTGGTGTTTTGGCCGCTTGATTGAGGCCCCTTCGGTCTCGTATACCCTAGGGGATGATTTCAGATCTCGGAGACAATGTTGCGGCCGCGGCCATCTTGCGACAGAAAGTGAGATGTTACCAGAGCGCATAGCCTGATGCCGGATGACGTCTGTGGAGGCAATGGGAGAGTAACACATTGGGATTGGAGGCGTGGGAAATGGGGCAAAGCGGGACGGGGCGAAGTGGGCAAGCGGGCCTCCCGATCGCGATGTGCAGGACAGGAGGGTATCCATTGTGTACAACACAGGGCTTCGGATATAATTATGACGATTTATTGAATACATGGAGGTACTTAGAGGCCAGCATCAGCACTGGGGCATGGCCGACAGGGCGCGTACTATAGTAAGGGGGCGAGGAAGCGGTGGATGAGTCGGGGACGGGTGATGATGAAAGTGGTGTGTATGATGCATAGCTTCTAGAATAATTCGACCCGACTCGCTCATGAAACACGACGGAATCAGAAAATCAGAAACCAAGGGTCCCTGCGCCCCAAAATAGACTGGGCATGTACAGAAGGGATACAGAAGCCCAGATCAAAAGACAGGCAAAAGAAACAGGGCAGAAAACATCCGACTTTGATAATCCCGGTGGCGGGGATTGGTTCGCGGACTTACAGATCCGAATGAGTGCGGCGCGGCATGACGGGGAACGGAAGCGGGCTGGACATGGCAGGTCAATGCTGTCGAGGAGGACGAATCAAGCACAACGAATCAAGCAGACCGAATAAACGGCATGGAACTAACGACCAGACCAGACCCGGAATCGCCGTTATGATCCTGTTCCGTGTTCCGTGTTGCAGGGCAGGCAAGACAAACCGCTAAGGCGATGGAGGCAGGACAATGTCGAAATTGCCTCTGCTGATGAAGATTACATGTTACATGTTACATGTCCCGTCGAGCGATTTTCCATGGAGCCCAGCCCCTTTCTCCTTTCCAGCCTAGGGTGCGAGGCTTGCGCACGTAGGGATTTCCCTGGGATTTTTCTCGGTGAAGACCAAAGGCAATGCCAGGTAAGACGGCCGCCACGTACCGATGAATGAAAGGAAATCCTGGAGGGCCCCGGAGTTGACCTGCAGGCACGCGAAAGGGGGGGGCCAAATAGTGTGGATATGATGGGCTTGCGTCAGAGCAGGGACAGGGAAGAGCCCAAGAGCCCAAGTCTCGGTGAGGGCCAGGCCATGATGGACGCTCGGGTCTGTGTCGTCGAGGCCAGCAAGAAGTGGCCAGCAAGAAGTGAGGTGGACGAGAATAGACGCAGCGGTGGAGGACCATCTGGAGCGAGCCCACGGCTATTGTCTCCTCGGCTCACGGGTGAATACATGGCGAACGGCACAGCAACTATTTTGCCCTCCCGTTCTCCATAAACACGCCGGGGTCCACGAACCACGAACCGCGGGCAAGACAGCTAACTTACGGATGGCATTGACGGGAATTGATTCACAATTCCTGTTCGCTTGGTCGACAACTCGGAAGGGAGGCATTGAATCCCAAATATCCCTACGAGCAGAATGTTGAATACTACGCAGGTTACGACTGGGGGCCTTTCTTCGGCGCAACAACACATTACACACGTAGCAAACGCTGGCACGTTCCCCAACGCCATTGACCAAGAGGACCCCCCAAACAACCAACCCCCAAGGGAACGAAACGAGCGCAAGGACGCGGCGAACCGGGGCACGAAGAAAAGAACAAAAGTAAAACAAAGGTCGGGCAAGGTCAAGGAGGACGAAAAAAAAAAAGGGACGAGGCAGACAGACCGCCGACGAGACCAGACGAGACCGAGACGAGGCGTCGCCGTCTGACGGACACGCCACTCGGAGGCGCGGCCGGTCAGGTTATTCGGGACAAAAGCACCTCACGGAGAAACCGGGAACCGGGGAAGTTGGGGCTTGGCTTCCGCCCTTCCAATCGCTGTCGGTCTTTGGGCTGGGGGGGCCTTCTTGTCGGTTTGGTCTCTTTGCGCCTTGTGCGACGGGTAATTAATTGTATGGCGCGCATCGCCTAATCGTTCTTTGCAGGCGGGAAAGCAGCCCGCCCAACACAAGCAAAATGCATGCTAAAGTGACTGGTGGAATTTGACATTCATGCGACGTGTTTATGTTTCGTGTGTATTGCTATGCCGTGCTACGCTATTATGCGACTCCTGCGCTGTCTGTACCTGTTGATGTACTTGTTGATGTGGATGTTGATGTTTACACCGCTCGTCGCTGGCCGGTGTTATGAGGTGCGGGTAATATCGCAAAGACCCCAGGAGAAAGGGCCGTTAATGCGACTCACCCGGCCGAGGATGGAAATAGGATGATCTCGGAAACGCCAGGACAAAAAAAAAAGAGAAGGGCAACGAAAGTGAGAGGGAGTTCGTTTCGTCCTCCTCGGTAAACCAAACCATGTCGGCGCCCAGGCCACGGCGAGACCACTTTCATACCGAGGTGAGCCAAACCAGCCAAATCAGCCCAACGCCCCCAGACGCCCTCCCCCCTCCCCCCTAGCAGGTCAAGGTGAGGTACCCAGGCCGGTACTACGGAGAGACTCGCTGCAGGACAGGGCTCTGTCCCTCGTTGTCGGGATCGCAGACCGACCAAGCCACAGAGGTCTCCGTTGATGCACCGTCTCAGACATGTGCAAAGATACCCATGGCCGATCTTCCGAGACTGATCCTCTGTCCGCTTCGCGAGTGGCCCAGCCGCTGGTTACGTTACTCTAAGCATCCCTTTTCCCGTCAACATCAACATCAACATCAACAGTGACAGTGACAGTGACATGTACCCAAAAAAAAAAAAACCCTCCCAAAAAACACACCCCTGTTGGTGTCTTCTGCCTCTTCGGCACAAACGCGGTACGTATCCCCGTTCCCAACGGCAACGGCCCTTGTCTCGTCCTCCGTTCTGTGGGACCCGCACTGGCCGCGCCGGCCGGCAGCCTCCGTGATTGGCCCGCTGGTACCCCGGAGGAGCCAAAAAAGCCGCCCACAATTACGGCCACAGAGCACGGAATCGTTTTGCGAGACGCCTTCGAAGATTGCTCATTGCTGTCGTGTCCTGGAATCCTGGAACTAATGACAAACCATTGCGAGTGGAGTGGTGCCGCCACGTCCGCTCGCCGCCAGAAGCGAGGGAAAAGAAAAATCAGGAGTGTCGAGAAATGGCCTTGTCCCGCGTGCTTTTGCGTGGCTTGCGCCCGCCGATGCGTCATGATGCAATGTTGTCCTAATTCCCGAAGGCAACCACCTGCAGTTGTCTGATGCCCCAGGAAACAGAGCCAGAGGGTGCCCGGGGGTGTGGAGTGGAGAGATGACCAGGGGGGTACGGGCTTCTAGTTCTTCTACATGTACGTGTGTCGGGGAATCCAGGGGGAGGGAACCCCAAAAGGGTCCCGCGGGTGCGATGCAGCAGCCCGTCCCAGAGCCTTGGGATAAGGTGAGGAAAAGCGGAAAGCAGGTCGAGCAAGGGGGGCAGGCATCCTGGAGGGGATGGGGATGGCTGATTACGACGAAAGTGGTGATGATGGCGGTGGTGGCACAGGTTTGGGAGGCGATGCCCGCGGGATGGAAGGGCAAAGAAGACTAGGCAAGACGATACGAAGACGAGGCAATGCTGAAATGCGTGATGATGTTGCGTTGGATGAGGTGAGACGAGACAGCACAAGACTCGACGGGGTGAGAACAAGAGGCGTACGAAAAAAGGACCCTGATGGGATTAGGGATAAGAGAATGGGGAATAGGGAATAGGGAAAGAGGGAATAGGGAATAGGGAATAGGGATACACCCGCACAGGGAGTTCCAGATTCCCCGACTGGACAGGCTGATCAGGGTTTTCTTTGGCCACAGAGTCAAGTTTCCCAACTTCCCCAGTCGACTATGGGCCATGGGCCAAAGATCGAATGGTCAAATGGGAATCGATGCCCAAATGCCAGAAACCGGGCCCCTTGTTCCCGATCTGCCCCAACGCCACAGGCCTTCAGGGCTGAGGTGACGACAAGGCAGGTGCTTGCATGCATCAGGATCGGGGCATGAAGAAGGTCGCAGTTAGTGAGTTACGGCAACGGGATCCATCATCCCCGTGTGGGTTTTCTGGAATTCTGGATTGGGGACGGATGTGGATTGTGGATTGAGCATGTGGATGTGCATCATCGGATGCTCGGGCAGGGCGCGCCTGAGCGGGTGATGGGCGGTGGCTGACCTGGTCGTGTCCCCCCGGTCCGGAAATCAGAGACCGGAAGCGCGTGGTTTTCTGGGGGGTGAGAAGTTGAAGGGCCCGGTATCAAGAGGCCGAGCGAGTGCGAAATGGCGGAGAGGCGATGAGACAGGATGGAACGGGATGGGGATGGGATGGGATGGGATGGGATGGCTCAGGCCTCACTCAGGTGGTTGACGAGAGTGAGCCGACGAAAGCTCGGGGCGAGGCCCTTTCTCCATTTCGAAAGGGGGGGCGTGTAATGGCGTGTCGGTGGAGTTTCTTGGTCTGTGGTTGGGTTGGGCTGGCATTTCGTTTCCGTATGTGTGTGTGTGTGAGTGAGTTTATTGGGCTTGGCCGAGCTGAGCTGAGAGCAGAAGGAGGAGCAGGCAGAATTAACTCTCTCTTCTTTCTGAGGCAGCCCGTGGGGTTGTGGTAGGCAAACCACTCATTCCAAGAGCGGACCATGTGTAATTCCCTCCAAATGAATTACGGCATCATCATTCAGCGGCAGAGTGCATGCCTATACACCAAGGGTAGCGTAAATCCCAAGTACCGGCCGGTAGTACGGTGTACGTAAGGGGGGACCAAGCAGCAGTGCTTCGTACAGAGGAACGTCGTTCAGCAGAGTTGAACACTGGCGTGTCTGGCATCGATTAGCGCCGGGGAGGGGCGGCGACGGCGGCGCAGTTGGGATGGATTCGAGGGCTGGAAGCGTCTCGCCGGTTTGGCGTTAGTTACAGGGCCCCCGTTGCGGCCAGAAGAAGCCCAAGTAGCGGGCGAGGACGAGCACGGGCAGGCAATGGCTCCAGGGACAGGTCGGGCGGTGGTTGTCGGGACAAGCAGGAGAGGAGAGGGCGTAATAATAGCCCGAGCGTTTGATGTTGGATGGGATGTCGAAATCATGTAGTTGCGAGGTACCCGGGGGGGTTGGTGAGGAGGAGTGGATAGGTAGTGAGCTGGGGGTGTGTAGTGGGCTGGCTGTAGTAGTGAGCTGTAACAGTGGGCCGTAGTGGGCTGTAGTGGCAGTGGGCGGTTTCTGGGTGCTGGGCGGGCACCTAACAAAAAAAAAAGAGTGGAGGAGAGAGGGCATTACGATGAAGAGCGGATAGGACAGGACAGGACAGGACAGGTAACAGGATCACAATGGGGGATCGGGGATGCGGTTCCTGTTCCCTACCTTACCCTCCCTACCAGGTACCTGCTGTGCTAGACATGCCCTATTGTACCTGTCTGTTGTACCTGGCTGTACCCTAAGCTGAGTGAGGGCGAATTGGGCGAGTCGAAGTAATTCCCCTTCCTGACCGAGAGAGACCCCCCTCCCCGGCCTCGTCCCTCTCTGGCTTGTTCCCTTCTGAGCTCGTTCCCTTTTCTGCGCGTTCCCATCTTCACGCTGAAAAAGTATTTAACTTGTCAGCATCTCGGCCTGGAAGCTGGTTTGTTTCCCCCTCGCCTCCCCTCTCTTTCGTATGCACTCTCGCATTATCTCCATTACCATCATCTGCACTCATACGCACAACCCTCTCCCACCACCACCCACCATTCCAAGCCACTTTTCTCCGTCGAACCTGTAAAAAAGAGACGTCCCTCCCTCTCTTTCTCACACGCATCCTTTCTCGCAGCTGTTGCGGCTTGCATTAACGCTTGACGCAAAGCCCATCACATTCCTCCTCCTCACTCGCTCTCGTTGCGTGGCATCCACCCTCCTCCACTAGACGAAACTCACCTCCTAGGCGTCACAGCCACTCGACCACACCACTTTTTTTCGTCCCAACACACACAGTTGGCACACTCTCATCCGGCACACGGCACGCTAACTCTGCCAACTCTGCCGCCACTCCCGTTGCTCCCGCCTCGCTGTCCCTCTGCTAGTAGCTAAGCTGCTGGGCCCTATTTTATCGTCGCCATCACCGCGTCATTACCCCTCCTTCCTCCCTTCGCCATGAATTCAGTAGAAGTAGCAGAACCCACCGAGGTTCCTGAACCCATTCCCATCATTGAGACTTCTGACGACGACAACAACACCAACACCAACACTGCTCCCACTCCCGTTCTCGCTTCCAACGGCTTCACCAACGGACACTCCCATACCAACGGACACCACGCCCACGGCCACGCTACTCCATCGTACATCGACAGCATGGCTCACCTCTCCGTCATCCGCGACGACTCCGACGCCGCCTCGGTCCGCTCCAACAGCTCGCGCGCCTCGCGAAGACCTCAGATGCAGCTCTCCAACTACCAGGATGAGTTCACCACCAGCGTCTACGGCTCCCGCTTCGCCGGCATGGACCTTCCCCGCCACCACATGCCCGAGTGCGAGATGCCCCGCGACATCGCCTATCGCATGATCAAGGACGATCTGAGTCTCGACAACAACCCCATGCTCAAGTATGTCGTCGCTCGCTCTCTCAGCGCCCTCAGGATTCAATTGACTGACTTTTTTCTCCTCTCCAGCTTGGCTTCCTTCGTCACCACCTACATGGTACGTCACTGATTGCAATCTGCTATTTCCGCCCCATATTCCCCTCCAGATCCTAGTATCCTAGTATCCCGTCCGCACCAATGCAGCCGCCCCACATGTCCGCAAGTGACGTCTTGGCTCGCGTCTTGGCTATCGGGAATCCACCAAAACTGCACACACCGATATCATCATGACTATTATTATTCTGTTCCCGTCATCTCAAATCACTGCTATTGGCAGACTCGTCCAATCCGCTGAAACAGATTGCTAACCCGGAATCTTTCTCTACTATAGGAAGATGAGGCTGAGAAGCTCATGGCCGAGTCCTTCTCCAAGAACTTCATCGACTACGAGGAGTACCCTCAGTCCGCTGATATTCAGAACCGATGTGTCAACATGATCGGCGATCTCTTCCACGCTCCCGTCGGTACCGCCGTCGGCACCTCCACCGTTGGCTCCTCAGAGGCCATCATGCTCGCCGTCCTGGCCATGAAGAAGCGCTGGAAGAAGCGCCAGGCCGCAGCCGGCAAGAGCACTGAGAACCCCAACATTGTCATGTCTTCTGCTGTCCAGGTCTGCTGGGAGAAGGCTACCCGCTACTTCGAGATTGACGAGAAGCTCGTCTACTGCACCATGGACCGCTACGTCATAGACCCCGATGAGGCCGTCGACCTGTGCGACGAGAACACCATCGGTATCTGCACTATCCTCGGCACCACCTACACTGGCGAGTACGAGGATGTCAAGGCCATCAACGACCTCCTGGTTGAGCGGAATATCGATGTCCCCATCCACGTCGATGCCGCCAGCGGTGGCTTCGTCGCTCCCTTCGTCGTCCCCGACCTTGAGTGGGACTTCCGATGTGAAAAGGTTGTCTCCATTAACGTCTCCGGTCACAAGGTATGTTTAACCACTTTACAAGGCCATTTCTCTATAACCAGTTGCTGACTCCAAATCTAGTACGGTCTCGTCTACCCTGGTGTCGGCTGGGCTCTCTGGAGAGACCCCGAGTACCTCCCCCAGGAGCTGGTCTTCAACATCAACTACCTAGGTGCTGACCAGTCCTCCTTCACCCTCAACTTCTCCAAGGGTGCCTCTCAGGTCATCGGCCAGTACTACCAGCTGATCCGTCTCGGAAAGCACGGTTACCGCGCCATCATGAGCAACCTGACCCGAACGGCCGACTACCTGACTGAGACACTCGAGAAGAAGGGCTTCGTCATCATGTCAGAACGTTCCGGCGCTGGACTGCCCCTCGTGGCTTTCCGCTTCCGCACTCCCCAGGAGGGTGGCGACGAGGACCGTCACTACGACGAGTTCGCCCTCGCCCACCACCTCCGCTCGCGTGGTTGGGTCGTTCCCGCCTATACCATGGCCCCCAACTCCAACGTCAAGATGCTGCGCGTCGTCGTGCGAGAAGACTTCACCAAGACTCGCTGCGACTCTCTCATCAGCGACGTCACTCTCTGCCTCGGCCTCCTCGACGAGACTGACCGGGAAAGCATCAAGAAGCGAGAAGAGTACATCAAGAAGCACATCACAACTTCGGGCAAGGGCAAGCACGCTCATCCCTCATACGCGGTTAGTACACCTTGCACCCATACTTGTCATAGGATTTTCACTAACTCATTTTAGAACGAGACACATTCTCTTCAGGGAAAGACAGGCAAGACCCATGCTATCTGCTAAAGGAATAGATGGATTGATCACTCACTGGGATTGGCGTCACACGGTGTGTTTTGGGAATGTTTGGAGTCTTGTTCATACAGGCCCTTGATGACTTGATTTTTGGATAAGACTGCAAATGCATGGCGTCTTCATTTCACAGCTCGCTTCTCCTGCTCCTCGTGATGATTTTTGTTTGTCCTGTGATGGCGGATGTTGCCAAAAACGCTAGTGCATGTGAGCTTCTAGGTCAAGTGTATAACACAGCCACATAGTACAAGTCAGGTGAAATCTACATCGGGATGTACAAACTGAGCCTTCTTATCCTCTAACGTGGGGGGGCTCTTGGGCCAGTCACGCAACCACATGAAACATTGCCAAGATGTAGAGACGGATGGTGTAGGACACCAATGACCCATAACTTTCGGTTTGAATGATAAGGCTATTCTGAACCAAGTTTGGCATATTCGTGTGGCATCCATCAGTAATGACAACGATGCTTGTCGCCTGATTAAGCAGTACTATGCCCAACACAGTAGGCATCCAAGACGTGACCGGGAGATCGCCTGGCTCAGCCACTCCATGCAGAGCTACCGCTTCCTACCGAATCATCCACTCGGGGACCTACCTTAGCAAGGGTTAGGCAATGGGGCAGTGGAGTCCTTCGGGAGAGGGGTGGGGGAGATAGACAGTCTTCGTGGAGAACTTATAGAGTAGAGGATTACATCATAGCGATTCCAATGCAGTGTCGCGTGAGCAATGTGGAGAGCCAGCGCGATGATACACTATGTCCTATATCTTAATGATGACTTCCTATGAGCCCTGTCAGTCATCTCCTATCGATTTGACAGACAGAGATAGTTAACTATGATCCTGGAGCAACTCGCTAATCAACGCGGAAATGCCGACTCATAGACAGCGACCGTGGACAAGCCGCAGTAAACTTATCTAGCGCACGAATTCAATATTAACGCATTTTAGATAAAACATGAATGGGTGCGAGCAGGGCACGTCGATAACTTATATTAGCCAGCATCTTATGTAGGGCATTGCAAGCTTACTACCAAAACCTGCCAATCTGCCTGATGAACCTCCCATTAAATGACAGATCGTCCAACCAATAATCATATCAACGGCTAGGACATTCTTCGATCGATAACATTCCTTCATGCGCCAGCGTGAAACGCTTCATGGTCCCCGAAAGGATTAATTCTCGTGTTCCTTGGGCGTCGGGGTTCACTGACCAGTCAGGTCCCCAGATTGGACCCCGATCAGTGAGGGATAGGAGTGCGATCGTCCCAGTTTCCTATACCCAGTATTGGTAGATTTCTTATCCCGCCGACAACCGAGAGACAAGGGGTGGCCTATTTTGGCTGGTGTTGATCCTTCACCGGGGTTGGTTGCTGCTAATTAGTAGACAGCCAGGTTGAGGATGGTGCTGTGCAACGGCTGTGCTGGATGATGAACGATGGGCTTCGACATGAAATAGGTTTTGTATAGATTTCAAGCGGTAGAAATGACAGCATGTTTAAACGAGGCGAAGGTGGTGCCCATTTCGGCATCAAGATGCTGTATGCCGTCACACGACTTGCATCCGTCCTCCACCACATCGTTTCATACGCCTTCTAGAAGATCTCGACCCTGGCTCTCAGCTTCTGCAGTCGCAACAATGCCTTGATCCTTCGAACTTGTCAACCTTCTCCTTTCGGTTAAAGACTGGGGGCGGCGGGCATTGACGGCGACCTTGGCGATCCTCCAAGTTCATCCTGATGATAGCTGCAGGGACGATTCCTTGTCTTTTCGAGGAGAGTTTATTTTTCAGATGTCCCAGGTAAAATCTTCGTCTATAAGAGGAGAGGATTACCCAGATGTTTAATTAAAATAATAGCAGCCAGAGACTTTGAATCTCAGCTACCGTTTGTTGCCCAGCATGAAGACCTTTATTGCGCTGTTTCTCCTCAACTCCTTTCCTGGAATCTCAGCCGCCGTCTCGAACCCATTCGACGGCGTCGATCCTGCCACTGTCCGGTGTGACGCTGAGTATCTCAATGACGCGGGTGCTCAAGCCTCGGATCGCTGGGCTGCGGCCGGCGCGGAATGGGCATTGGAGACAACCAACCTCGACTGGGGATGGTACCAGGGAAGTGCTGACGGCGATCGCCTCGGTTATTCTGAATTCGTTGGAAACGCTTTCAACTCCAAAGACTTGATGATCTGCCAGAATATGGGTGACGGCCCGTGTCAAAGCACAGTGACCTGCAGCGAGGTCAACCGACCAGCTGGGTATGAACGAGGATAGATACCTCTATGTGAAATGACGCTGCGCTAATTCCCTCCAGGTTCCTGATTCTGAATTCCTTTGTTTCACTGCACGTGGTAAGTCTCTCTACAGCTCCTCAACATTCTTCTTTATACTGACTGAACTCGTTCTAGATGCACCGTAATGTCTGGGAAGGTCTCGGAAGCGCCATGAACGAGATGCAAAACTCCATGAGTCTTTTCCAGCAGACCTTTTCGCCAGCTGCGACACCACCTAAGTCTTCCGGATGGCTCTCGGATCTCATCACCGTCTTCCAGTTCGCCGTCGGCATTGGGTCCGCATACATATGGAATATCGGTGAGTGTCCCCGAGACGAGGAATCAGTAGCCCTAACAATTCCAATCAGCCATCAAGGAGGCCCAACTTATTTCAAATGCCGGCTATCATGCAGTTGCCCAAGAATCTGCAAACGGTGCCATCGGCATGGCGTTCACCATCGGAAAAAACCATCTTCCCACAGCTACGTAAGTTAATGTTGGCCGCCTGAAACACTCCATCAATCGATTCTAAGACAATACTTCAGTGCTCCAGAAATCCAGAACGACCTCACCCTCTCAATGGGAATCCTCTTCGAAGCTTGGCTGGACGCCGAGACAGACTTCTTGAATCAACTCTTCTCTGGTACTACTGAGGCTCTTGTCATTCTACAGGGTCTGGTGAAGGACGGCATCTCTCTTGAACTGACTCGACACCTCGACCTTGGTACCTTTGTTGAAGAAGCTCAGAAAATCGTCTACTCACAACTTGTCCCAATTGCCTGGAAGGCTAGTTCCAAGCAAGAAAAGAAATGGCCGTATAAGATGCAGCCGATGATCCTGTGAGTACCAACTGCACTGATGGCTTTCGTTTGTTTGCTAAGACAAATGTATAGGATGGAGCCAGCTGATTGTGTCATCTCTGGTGACGAGTTGCCCGATTACATATCCTGGGATAATGCAGCCAACATGTCAGTCTGCTACGACGGGCACACGTTCTTCCTCGGATTCCCAACCTGGAAAGGAGAAGTAGGCGACTTCTATCCTCTACCGGGTGGAACAAACGGCGAGCTTGACGGCAAGAAATGGGGCGGCCTTACTATTGAGGACATGGTCATCAGGTATGTCCTTGCTTGCAGGTCGTTGTACACCAGTACCCGTTGCCTAACTTCCATCTCAAAGCGCCTACGAAGGATGGCGTCTGAACGGCGGCAAGATGGGCTACGAAATCCCAGACAACTCCAAGGTCATCGACGGAGCGGGCACCGAGGGCGGCCTCATTCTGGAAAACGGCATTCGCACACCGAGCTTCATCAACCTGCCGATTTGCACCAGGCGGAGATCTCGGGCAGCGGTGGAAGAGTTCATAGAGAAAGATGCTATTCGCATGATTCTCCCCGGCGACGACCTTGGGGATATGCCCTGTGGGGATGGCTCCCTGATGGAGGATGAGATGGGAGATTGGGGGTTTTAGCGAAATATGGTTGAGTGATTCTGGCTCTTCTGCTACATCTAAGAAACGATGCAATCCTCCATCAAAACCCCCATATAGGCGCGTTTACGCGCCTATGAAAGGATGAAGATGCCGTGGATCAACCATTAACTCACGCAATCCCTCAGTCTCCAACTCACTCCTCAACCATACCACCTATAGCATGACCCTCCGGCCAGACCTTTGCGCCTTGGTTATCAACAAACCCACCCTTTCCTTTTCCGTTTGGCAGCCAGTCCTTTTCGGGGCGGCAGATGTTGGTCCCGCGCCACGCCCTCCCATACATTTTGTTCGTATCCGCCATGAACACCCACGCGGCGTTATCCGCACCGCACGTCTTGTTGAAGACGGCCTCGGCCGCGTTGAACTCTCCCTCGCTGCACCACTTGCTCCCTGTGTGGCTTTGCGTGTTGCAAACGAACACGGCCACCTTGCCGTGCAGGGACAGCTCGATGTGAGCCCGGTGGAAGTTATACAACGAGCAGTAGTTGAGGAGGCTCTGCTTGGAGGCCGCGTGGTCGGCGTGGTCCAGGGGGTAAGGGATCTTGTGATAGCAGCCCGTGTCAGTGATGAGTAGTGGGAGCGACGACTTGGTGTGGTGCGTGTCGAGGTTGACTTCTGATATTTTCGCTGGCGTAACGTCCTCGTCGACGACAATGTTATACTCGGCCGTGCCGCTGTGCAGACCCCTCGGGACCGGACTCCAGCGCTTGGCAATGGGATTGAAGCGGCGGACGAGAGGCTCTGTGTCGGGAGTGTCTCCGTAGGTGATGCGGTAGTCGCCATCAGGGAGATTGTGTGGTACTTGGAAGGCAGATGCCCCTGCGTAGAGCAGACAGGAGATAATAAGAGGCCGCATCTTGAATAATAGATCCCCTGTATACTTGTGTATGAAGGGGAGTTTGGTGTGTCCAGGGGAGTGTTGGTGTGTGAAGAGGAAACGCTGACGGGGAATTCTGATGCGCACACTTTTACATGAGAACCTTGAAGTACCTTGATCGATGCCCTCCAGGACTGAGCTCAAGAAGCAAGATTTTTTGGGTTTCGAAAGGCATAAATAATCCTCATCGGGGAGTGTTATCGCAGAACAGGTCAAAGAACTATAAAGGTATTTGGTCTGAAATTCACATCTAAATCGCTTTTCATCTCACCCTAAGTCAAGGTCACGTCCATGCCCCTGCCCCATCACACGTAAAGTAAACAAAAACTCCGCACATAGATCCAGCTAATCCCAGAGACGTGCTCATCGCGTAGCCGCAATGGAAGCGTCAAGGATATCCAGACCCTTGTTGATCTCCTCGTCGGTGATGGTCAGGCTGGGCACGAATCGCAGGACGTTGGTGCCGGCGGTGATGATGAGGAGGCCGCGCTCACGGGCGGCCTTGATAATGGGTGAAGGGTCCTCGGAGAGCTGAAGACCCAGGATCAGGCCACGTCCACGGGTCTCCTTGACGAGATCAGGGTACTTGGCCTGCAGCTGAGTGAAGCGCTCCTGGAAGACCTTGGACTTGGCCAGAACATCATCCTTGATGCTCTTGTCGGAGAGGCGACCGACAATGTAGTGAGCGAGGCGGCTGGCCAGGGGGTTACCGCCGAAAGTGGTGCCGTGGTCTCCAACCTTCATCTTGTCCGATACATCTTGAGTGACGATAACGGCGCCAATAGGGAATCCGTTGCCGAGAGCCTTAGCGGTGGTGAGGATGTCAGGGTGGGCCTCCTTGGGGAGGTTGCCGTGAGCCCAGAAGGTGCCAGTTCGGGACAAACCGCACTGAATCTCGTCGTAGATCAGAACGGCGCCAACCTCTCGGCATCGCTTGGCCAGGGCAACAAGGAACTCGTCAGTGGCAGCAATCAGTCCGCCCTCGCCCTGGATCGGCTCAACAATGACACCGCAGGTCTTGTCCGTTACAAGGTCGTTGATGGCAGCAACGTCGTTGTAGGTGCCGACCTTGAACCCAGGAACCATGGGCGCAAAGGGCTTCTGATACTTGGGGTTGGGAGTGGCCGACAGACTACCCATGGTGCGGCCGTGGAAGCCGTTCTGGAACGAGACAATCTCGTACTTGTCGCCTGAGGGGTCAACGATCTTACCGGCCTTTCGGGCGAACTTGATGGCGGCCTCGTTGGCCTCGGATCCAGAGTTGCAGACGAAGACGGAGGCGGCGTTGTGCATGGCGCCCGACTCGAGCGTCTTCTCAACCAGCAGCTTAGACAGAGCACCAGTCCAGGGGTTGTAGTACAGGTTGGAAGCGTGGACAAGTTCCTTGGCCTGGAGAGTATTCTCGTTAACATCACACGTATAACCGCCATCTGAGACGGGGATTTTTAAACTCACCTGCTCAGCTAGGAGCCGAGTAAACTCGGGATCGCAGTGGCCGAGGCCGTTGACGGCGATGCCCGCAGTGAAGTCGAGGTACTTGCGGTCCTCAACATCCCACAACCACGAACCCTCGCCCTTGACGAAGACCGGCGGCGGCCGCGCGTAGGTCGCGACCATGTACGGAGCATGCTCCTCGACGATGGCGGCGCTGCGGGATCCCGGCGACGGATCGGCGTTCGGCAACGAAGCAAGGCCGCGACGGGCGATTCGGGGACGGGCGATGGCGCTGGCGCTGGCCAGAGTGGCCAATCGGCATCGGAGAGGGAGTCGCAGGGCCATAGCTTCAGGAGCGTATTGTCGCGCAACGGACTTGTCCTGGTTGAGAGAGATGTGGAAGTGAGGGCGTGCGGGAGGGAGTGTTCAAGTGGGCGGGTTGCCAGCTGGAGGGGCGAGAATTATTTATTGTTATCGATAACACTCCGCTATCGCAGTTGGTGCGTCACCTAAATATACACCACGCCCTTACTTGCGCATGCACTTGCAAGAGTCACTTGTAATTGCCTCATTCAAGCCTCGTCTTCAACTAAATCAAGGGCTTTGCAAGGATTCAATTGACTCATTACCTGATAGATTTGGCGGGCAGCACATGTTGAGTCAAGCTAGGAGTCAGCTCCGCTGTCTCAACACCCCCACGTCATGCTCTTCCAACTGCATTAGGTCAAGGATGCATGTATCGCCTTTCTAAACGGGCTGAGGAGTTATCATGAGCACGAGCTACAACATTTAATAACCTCATAAACCGGCGGCCATCGCAGTGTATCTTCTCTTGCCAGCCCCTAGGACCAGTGCTGTACCCTCACATATCTCGTAGCATCTAGCAAATCTCACTTCAGCCCTCACAGGTATTGAAGCCATCAGGGACGCCCTGGCTAGCTTTGTTCTCTCACTATCCTCCCGCAGTGAGTGGCGTCGGGGCTGGGACGCCACGAGCGAATGAATCGAGAGCGACCAGCCGCCGTGGTGGTTTAAAGCAGCCTGCATGACGCCAATAACGTCCAGTGGGCCTATGAGCTTGCGAGCGCAGCTTCAAATGGGTCCGTGGTGAATAACTTGGCCAACACAGACACTGAGACTCTTCATCGGAGGACACTCATCAACTTAATTGTGTCCAATATTCAAAGTACATGCGGTAGTATACAACCAACGGCCTTGGCCAATGGTCTCCCAAAACACCTGCCGTCTAACATAGGCCCGCTTCTCTGTCAACCTTCTCGACCCAGTCCGTCAACTACCCATCACTCCAACTCGAATCTGCATCTTTTGCTCGTGGTTCGACCTCCCATGTAAGAATGGAATCAAACTGGCAGTCATATGTCAGGGTCGCGGGAGCCACAAACAATCAAATCGCACATAGTGCCCAGACCTCGAGTGCCATGGTTGATCTTGTTGCCTCATCATCTCAACCCGGAAAAATACCCAGAAAAATACCAGCTCCAAATCTCGATCAAACTGCGCTGTAGCCTCCGCGACTGCCCGTCCCCTGCACGGTGTTCAAAACTCGACGAACCCAATCCTTCAGTAGATACGGGACATCGCGAATGCTATCGCTGTGAGGTAGGAGATCCCAGCCTCGAGCTCCATAGCGGTTATAGTTCAACCAGCTAGAAAACACCAAGTAGGCAGCGATACCGAGAAACGCGCTGATCTCCTGTTAGTGTGCTGTCACCAGAAGAGTCAAAGGAAAACTTACATAATGATGAACCAAGTGAAGAAGCCCCAAGAGCCCTTCTCGCCACCATCATCGCCACTGCCATTGTCGTCTCGGCTCTCACAAGCATACTGGGTGTACCAAGTCAAGCGCAGGACATCGGCGTCCTTCTCCGCCGTGAAGCTCTCCCAAATTAGAGACGCATCCTTGTTCTTCAACTGGTGCTCCTTCTCATCGTCAGTATCGCCTTCCTTTTTGTCATCGCCATCTTTGCCATCGCCCTCCTTGCCCTTATCGTCGTCCTTCTTGTCACCATCCTCCTTCTTCTCCTCGTCGCGAAGACGGAACTTCTTCGCGTCGTACTTATCCTCCGCGTCCCACTCTCCCTCAGTGCCTGTCTTATTGCGATCGCAGATAAACTCGACAATGGCCCTCTGTTCTCGGACAGATGTGGACGGTTGTCCAATGGGGTGGTGCTTCCCGCCCTTGAGGACCAATCGTAGACCTTCTTTCTGCGAGTCGGAGGTCGAGTCGCTCGTCTTGAGTCTCGTCACGGTATAGTCGAACTGCGAGCCGCCGGCATTCTCAAGGTTTCCGGCTATCGCGTTAATGTCCTCGATGGTATCGGTGTTCTCTTTAAGAAGTCGTTTGATCGCGCACACTGGAACTCGTCAGTCTTCGCCCAACCGACGCGATGAACGGCACCCACCTCTCGTGCCAGTCGGACACTGCTCATCCTTGCTGACCTTTCCGCTCTTTTTCAGCGGCCCGCAGACATCCAGAGTATATGTGGTGTTGTAGTGCCTAGGAGGACTAGGTTGATACAAAGTCGTGACCACAGAGTGCGGCCCGCGCAGCTTTGACAGATCAAAGCTGTGGCCATCAACACGGATGTTTTCACATGTCAATGTCATTCCACCCAGCACTGGTGCGACCAGCAGGGGAAGCAAGAATGCTGATAATTGCGACGGATGCATCGAGAAGAGCTGGCGAAGTAACGATGGGAGGACAATAAGGTCGTTGGCTGTCACAGCCGGAGCAAGGAGCGAGGCGGATAAGGTGGGATCGTAGATGGAGCGCGATATTAAGAGGATCGGTCTGGCACTTCGGGAGGGCTTGTCTTGTGCCGTCAACGCGGTGCGTGATGAAATGGTCACGTTTGCCTGGGAGTGGGAGCTATCGCGGATTCGGGTGCCATGACCAAGCTCCCTGACCCTTCGGTTGTGTCATCATGCACCAGCGCCCCATCTGCGCACGTGACCCTTCACAAGCCGCCCCGTATACCTCCATGTCAACCAACACAACTCGCGAGGCACGCACTTTAGAAGCAATATATGGCAATTGGACCATGGCGATTCCTGATACGGCTTGTTCATATGATACACTTGATTCCCAGTCTGAGCCCTCAACACCATGCATGACCGTTGACGCTTCACTTCGACATTAATGACCAAAACCCAACCCCAAGCAAACGCATCCGTGAGATATCCCTGTCCTGACCCGAAAGAATTCCGCGGGGTATAAAGCAACCATGCCTAAACTCGAAAGAAACGTAAAATCACGAAAAGCTTTCGTCTCCTAAACTCCCCTGTCCGTGCCAGTTGTCTATCATTCCATCCACTCCAAGCTCACATGCCCTGGTGGCCCATCATTCCATTCATCCCTTGTTGCTGTTGCATTTGCTGCTGCATTTGCGCCTGCATCTGTTGTTGTTGCATTTGCTGTTGCTGCTGCTGTTGCATCAACATTTGCTGCTGCGCCCTACGCTGAGCCAAGTTCTGCTGGAAGAGGTGTGAAGCCTGTGTGAGCGAAGTTTGTTTAACCTTCTCCATAATTTCTTGTGGAATCCGTTCCAGCCCTCCGTGCTTAGCCGCAAGGGTTTGTAACATCTTCTGGTACAAGACACGTGCCTGGTTATGGATCTGAACTTGTACAGGGTTGACGCCCTGCTGCTGTTGCTGTTGAGGTTGCTGTTGCTGCTGGGGTTGTTGCTGCAGCTGTACTTGTTGCTGCTGCTGCTGCGCTTGTTGTTGCTGCTGCTGCGCTTGTTGCTGCTGCTGCTGCATTGCGGCCAAAGCCTGAAGGTTCATGTTATTACCATTCACCATCTGGCCGCTGACTTGGCGTTGCATAGGGTTGCCCATCTGACCGCCCATTTGATTCATTCGCGCTGCCATTTGCTGCTGTATCTGAGCTTGCATCTGGGGCGTCATCTGGCGCATTTGACTCCCTTGCATATTCTGAAGCTGCTGAGCATACTGTTGCGCGAGCTGTTGCTGCGGGTTCACGATCCCGCCTTGCTGCTGCTGCTGCTGCTGTTGTTGTTGTTGTTGTTGAAGCTGCTGTTGTTGCTGCTGTTGATGCTGCTGCTGCTGCTGCTGCTGTTGTTGTTGTATCAGCATCTGTCGTTGCATCATCTGCATCATCTGCTGCTGCTGCTGAGGTGACATGGCTTGACCATTCATATTGCCATTAGCAACGCCATTTTGCATCGCCGCCATTTGCTGTTGTTGTTGCTGCTGTGCGATAGCTCGTTGCTGAGCCGCCATTTGAGCAATGACTTGTGGGTTCGCCTGGTTCATGGCCTGGCTGTTCATCATCATTGCCTGTGCTTGTCCCATCTGCGAGTTCTGGGCCATCATATTAGGAGGCGGGCTGGCCTGGGTCATACGAGGAGTCGCTATCATTGCGGGCCGGTTAATTGGAGTGCCATGGGGTATGTTGGGAGTTGAATGTGGGATCCGCGGCGTTCCAGAAGGATGGCTTTGCTGACTTCCACGAGACGACATGTTGTGAGCCATAGGGACCGACATAGGGTGATTCTGAACCACCGAAGAAGGCCGAGGAGGACTAGCTGCCATGCCCGAGTTGGTTTGCTGCATTGGAACGCTACCCACCATAGGCGAGGACATGTTCTGAGGGGTTCCTTGTCTGGCCACGGGCGAAGAGGCAGGAGGTTGGGAGATTTGAGCCTGGAACCGCGGCTGCGCCTGGACAGGCATGCCGTTGGTCACGGGAGTAGGCGTGCCAGTTGCTCCATTTGTCATGTTGTTCGCCATTGCTCCATTCTGGGTAGGATGGGCGTGCTGTGGCTGAGCCATGGGAGGTCTCTGGATGTTCTGGTTGCTTGGTGTAGCTGCGGCCGCACGAGCTTGCCGTTGGGCTTCAGCTTGTCGCTGGGCTGCCTCTCTTGCTGCGGCCGCTTCTCGCCGAGTTCGCTCTTGGTCCGCTGCCTGTTGTCTTTGGGCTGCGAGCAGTGCCTCTTGCTGTTGTTGCTGCCTCTGTTGCTGCAACCTTCGATCATTCTCTTGCTGCTTAATCTTCTCCTGCTCCTTCTTCTCAGCATGCTCGCGTTTGATATCCGCAATGACTTTGAAGCGCTCAAATCTAGGTTCAAATGTTGCCGCGCCAGTTTGAGCATCTCCATCAGTAGCCCCACCACTTTGGGCGCCTGCTGCGCTCGATGATAAACGTTCGTCCAAAACAAGCATGTATCGCTCTTGTTCTGCGGCGGCTGCTTCATCAGCTGCCACCTCAGCAACAGTCCTCTTGCGAGTCTGGGGTTGCGGCGGTGGTTCGGAGTGCTTGGGGTGGGCCATGGCCTCAAGGAGTGCAATTGTTTCTTCTGGGGTCTTCGTAGGCTCAAGCATTAGGGGCGCGTTCGTGGCCAAAAGGATCTGGCCTTCCACTTCGTGAATATTGCTCCCATCCACTTCCATCCTTTCTCGCTTCTGGCGCTTCGCTGGTGGTGGCATGTTCGCCGTAGTTGGTGTCGGCGGGACTAGAGGTATCGGGGTCGAAGGTGGAACCAGTCCTAGGGCGTCGTTTGCTCCCCTTGGAGTCGATGCCTTGATAAGAAGATCCATCTGCAGGCTTTCGGGGGTCGGATGCAAGACAACGGTAAAAATTCTGGGCGTTGTAGAGCCCTTGCCCTTTTGGCCGTCGGAAGTGCCGGATGGTGCCGGTAGATTCTCCTTGTCCTTCTCTTCTGTACTCTTATCCTTTGGTTCCTCTTCCACTTTGACGGAACCATCCGGATTTGTCACACATTCTTTGGGAAATGGGACATAAGGGGAAGGAGTCAAGTACTGGTTGTAGTTGTGAATCGACGAAGCGACCACAGTGCTGGTTGTTGAAGCCGGCCGCGTATCCTTTATCTCGGTTGCGGACTTATGATCGTAGACTTGAACGATAAGACAGCCATCATAGAATGGCACTCCACCCTCCGTAAAGTATGCAAGAAGGTCGTGTGGAACGGTGCGACTCCTCACGTGGTCGAGGAAGAGTCTCATCGGCGACTTGTAAGGGAACATGCCGTCCTGTTTGTCGAATCTGAAGTGGGTAGCGTGCATGTGGACGATGAGGGACGGTGGGCGGCCGGCGTGTTTCTTCAAAATATAGGAATCGGTGACAACTAGGAGATATTAGACTGCTTGTTCGCAACTGAACCTCGATTCGAGGGCCATACCATATGGCGGGGGCTCCCGATAGTGCGATGACATATCGCCCACAAGAGATGCCGAGCGAAGCCCAGCGCTATTCCTCGAGTTCCTACCAAGAATCTGAGATGAGGTTTCCCGGCGTGCTCGATTGACGGGTCGCACGGTTGACGCGGTTATTGCCCGCTCGCTAGCGGAATGGGGGGGTTGCTTCGCACTCAATGGTGGCTTCTTGGCGGACATTAAGGGAGAGGGCGAGTTCTTCGCTGAGGGAGTCGCTCCATTCGTCTGGATCCCCGGGGGGATAGGGCGTTTGATCTTGTTGTTGCCATTGTGATGGACAACTGTTCCGACCGGCGCCATGATTGCGGCGTCGCGCTGCGCGGCTGGCGCAGCAACAGTGATGTTTGTTTGAGGCTCTCTATCCGCTCGATGTCAATCAAACCACCACCTCAGGACGCAAACATCGATATCAACTTCGCAATGACGCGACGCGGGGGTTGAGGTCGGGTCGAGATGGGCGTGGGTTGCTTTGGTCGCACGTCACTCGGAATGACAATGCGGAGATGGCCGAGGGGCTTCGGGTCGCGGGTCGCGGGTCGCGGGTCGCGGGTCGTTTAGCACTGCGCGGGTCGAGGAAGAAAGAAATAATACATGGACAATATCGGAATGATTGAAACGAGAGATCCTGGGTTATGAGAAGATCGCGCGATGGGCTGCGAGTTGGACGTCGTTTGATGCTGTTTGTCCATTGTCGCCGCATCACGGGTGCGGCTCCTGGCCTGCCTGAGTGCTGACGCTTTGGGCAAGATCACGTGAGCGCATCAAGGTTGTGAGACGCTCTTTGGACCTGTACCCTCCAGCTTGAGAACTGAAAATGAGTTGAGAAAAGGCTAAATAAGGCCTTTCGTGTTGTAAAAACAATCATTTCTACATTAATTGATAGCCCATCTGTGGCAGGGGTAATCATTACCACAGCGCAAGCCACTTGTTTCCTGAGATACTGCACGCGAACGGCGAGCGCTCACGAGGCGTCAGCTTCGAACCCTCAAACTATCAATTTATGCAGAGATTGGCCTCGAGGAGACAATCACGGGAGTCAAGGTCCCCGAGCGTTATAATTCGGCGACAGCACTTGCATCTTATTCACACAGACGAGTAAGAGTTGGCGCAGTCACCAGGAGGACTCCTAACTATTGAGCAAAGCAAAACCTCAGGCACCGAACCCGTATTTCCAACTGTGCTACTCATGTACGAAATATCAGCTTCATGGTATCTTCCGCCAGATTCGTCAAAGCCACGATGGCCTTCACTCCTGGCCCTGGACCCGGCGCGTCCAGTCGTCATTGACGCGCATTCCGTCCACAACAACAATCCCTCGGCCTCGGCCAACTCGTTCTGTTCGCTGCCACCATAATTCAGTCTTCGTTGCCCTCTCGGCTTCCGACTCACTATCCGCGAGACCTCCGGAACCGCCGTCAGCTCCAACAACGAGGATGACGTCATGGCGAAGCCAGGTCTGGAGGTTCGTGATGATGCTACCTTCCTCGCCAGACAGCGATTCCTGAAGGTAGATCACCTCGGGCTGGAGATGTCGAAGGATATGCACATGGCCGTTGGGAGTAGTGAAGGGAAGAACCATAGTTTCCTTCTCCACAAGGCCCAAGGCCTCAGAGTACACGGAGTTGAACAAGGGGCTCGACGATGCGCTGGAGATCGTAAGCGAAGATACTAGTCCACAGGGTCAAGGGTACTTACAGTGGGTTCTTGGACTCCTCGCCAGGTGTAACTTGATCGTGACCAATGTTAGAAAATGAAGAGCTCAGCGAAGGAGGCGGAAGGTTACTCGTAGCAGTATCCGTTGTCGTATCCTTCAGGGCTGGAGCGTAAATCAAAACAAACAACTTGATATGGGAGAAATCATTGTGACGGGGAATGTGCGACAGGATAGACTACATTGTCGCGTCAGTAAGAAACGAAAGTGGTATGTCGCTTATCAATGGCGCTTACCGCGTGCTCGTGGAATCCATCTTCATCTTCAAAAGACGATTGCGCATCGGCAGAGACAACAATGGCAACAGTCTTGCGCTTCTTGCCACCGCTGATGGCAGATGGGGATGCTGGCGCGGGCGGTTGGCGCTCCTGCTCCTCTTTCGCGTCGGCCTCTTCGGACCAAGGGTTACTCTCGCCACTGTAGGGACTCTTATCCTCCTCGCGAATTGAGGCCAGAGCTTTGCCCATGGCTGCGCTGGCTGCTGCGACACCTGCCGCGACCGTCTTGCCAGTCGAATCGAAGAACTGCTGCGGACTGGGAGTTCGTCGCAGTGCACCTCGGAAGCCCCATCCGGATCCAGCAACCTCTTCTTCTCCAGGCGCTATCCCTTGGCTTTGTCCATCTGGTCGCGGAGGCTTCTCGGGCCCAATATCTCTGGAGCCTTGAGCTCGATTATCCGCGCCATAATCCACGTTCGCGTAGTCGAGACCTGACACATGTTCGGCTTCCTCATCTTCGTCCTTTCGCTGGCTCCATACCCAAGCTGCGACACCCACGGTCGCAACCGTGAGGGTAACAGCAAGCGGAACCCAGTGGCTCCAAACTCCTCGTCGCGAACGCGACGATCCGTGGTCGGGCGACATTTACGCAACGCGCTGTCGCATCGCTATGCGGAGGGGATGGCGCCGGCGGCAGCGGGCGGCGGTAGGCGGAATGGCCTCGTCGGGTCGCCGAAATGATGAGCTGCGATTGTACCTTTGATTGCGCCTGAGTATCCGAAACAGGCTGCGTCGCTGTGTTGAGATGATAATCCTATGGCTGGACTCGGCTCGTCGTTGAGTCGCGGTGGCTGGTATCACCAACATCAACAACAAGGTGGAGCTGAGGCCCCCCCCCCAGCAACCTCGTCAGCACCCGAGGTCCGATGTCAGCTCAGGGGCTGATTGGCATGGCGGGTGGAGTATAGAATATCCGCGCCGAGGTGGAGCGCGGCCAGTAACACGTGAATGGCGAATGAGAACAAGCCGGGCTGTGGCTAGTGACATTCCTCAGCCACATGTGGGACATCTTCTTTTCCAATGTCTTGGCAGTCATTTTGTGGTGACTCTTCACATCCAAGTCTATGAAAACGACTCAACGAGTGCCTACAAGCCTGCAACCAAACCCCAGCTGTTCTGCTCAACCTTTGCGCTCCTTTCTTGCGTTCTCGAGGACTTCTACGGGCACTTACCCCGTGGGGGCTCACCTACGTCACATCCACGGTTTCGGTTTCACTCGTCGCCATGCCCCACGCTGTGTCGATGCCCTCAACCGGGCTCCAAGCCCTCATCCTTTGCGGGCCAGGCTCGTCCTTCCCGACCTTCACCTCCAATCCCGATGAGAACCCCAAGGCGCTTCTGCCGATTGCCAATCGGCCCATGGTCTGGTATCCCATCGATTTCTGCTACCGAATGGGAGTTACGAGTGAGTCAACTCCGCCAATACCCACCCTAGACCATCAGTTGGAGACCGTTCTGCTGGATTTGGGCTTTGTAATATCCCACATTTCGAACCATTGCCAATGCCACCTTTTTTTCTCGACATGATCAAGCTGGTTTGGTGGTCGGTGGGCTGGGTGCAAGCTTAGGGCGATGTAGATATCCCAGAACTAACTCCTAATAGCCATCACATTGATTTGTCCTCCGACGGCCTCAGCAGCTATCAAAACCGCACTAAACACCAACCCTTTCCTGACTGGACTGCCTTTACCCCGGCCTGATATTCTGGCACCCGCGGATCTTGATCAGAACACCGGCACCGCTGATATTCTGCGGTTACCAGAGGTCAGAGAGTTGGTTACGGGCGACTTCATCGTCCTCCCATGTGATCTAGTCTGTGAACTTGGGGGAGAGAAGCTTTTGCAGTCTTGGATGGTCAAGTCGGCCAGTCTGACAGACTTGTTGGGCACTGCCAGGTTGTCCAACGGACATCGATCCCTCCACAGCGGAGGACTTGGAGTGTGGTACAACTCAAAAGCGACTACGCCCGTCAAGAAAGAGAACACTGACTTCATTGCAACAACACCCTTACCATCATCCCCAGTCACTCCTCCGAAGGGCTCCCTCTTCCAGAACCTTTCCAAGGTAGTCTACTCCATGCCCACGGACTCCCTAAACGACCTCACGGAGGACAGGAAAGGTCTCCCTATCCGGCACAGTCTCCTAAGAGCGCACTCCCGCATCCGAATGTTCACCAACCACCGGGATGCGCACATCTATATCTTCCCTCGATGGATTTTGGACTTCGTCAAGGAGAATGATCGCCTCGAAAGCATCGGCGAGGACGTGATCGGATGGTGGGCAAAGGCTGGCTGGCAATCGGGCCTGGCCGAGAAGCTCCATATGCGAACAGTCTGCGGGCATGGCCGGGTGGAAGATGAGACGGAAACCCCTCTCGACGGAACTGTGTCACCTGGGGAACCCAGCACTGTAATCTCCTCAACGAGAGCTTTGTCCGGCGCCAGCGCGAACCAGAGCACAGAGTCGGACGCGTCAGAGGAGGCTAAGTCCTCGCCAACCAAATCATCCCAGTTTGAAGTACCGCCGATCATTGCCTATATCCACTCAGGCGAAGCTACTGCACCACTCATTCGCCGTGTCGATACGGCACAGCTGCTCCTCGCCATCTCACTGCAGCTTGCCAAACTGCCATCTCTTGAAGAGTCTGGTATCGAGGGAGCATCACCTTTCGCTCATGCAAAGAAGGTTGCTTATCCAGAAGGTGTGAAACCTCGCACTACCATTACGAAGCAAGATAGTCTCATTGCCGAGAACGTTACCGTTGAAGAGAAGACATCCATCAAGGAGTGTGTTGTGGGTGCCAACTCTCAGATCAACGAGGGTGCCAAGTTGTCCCAGTGTCTCTTGATGGAAGGTGTCACTATCGGCAAGGGTTGCAAACTGACGCGATGCATTTTGGGGAAGAGATGCGTTATCGGCGATAACTCTGTCTTGACTGATTGCGAGGTGCAAGAAAATCTCCTTGTGGAAGCCCGAAGTACGTACTCTCCTCTACTGTCTGCCTGTATATCCAACTAATCGCCTACTTCTTCCTAGCCGAGGATAAGGATAACAAACTCATGAGCTCTGAAGGGTTGGAGGCTACGGAAGCGGAGATGGACGAGGTACTCCAGGATCTAGACGACGAAGCCGCGACTGAGGAGGCAGTCATGGATTAACGTTCGACTTGAACGCATAGTATTGGTCAATCATGCTAGTTGTCTCCGAAACCACCTCACGAACGTTACAGTCTTCTCATTGCCTGGCACCGATGGCAGCTGTCGCTATAAGCGGATGCGGGCACTTGTGCTGCGATCTGATGTTGTATCGCACTTACAGCCTATCACCTCACACCACATTCTTGTCTTGTGTGGGGATCCCGGTCCAGCGGGGGTGGAGGCTGCATGGTAGACTTGCCACCGAGTTGAAAGAGCTGAGAACCCAATGCATATGCACGTTTCCGGTATCACACCACTATGTCGCTCGCCCAATCTTCCATCCCGGAGCGTTCTACTGGGCTCCTGGACCCCTCGGACGTCTGGACCGGGATGGACCACGTAGCCAGTGGATCATTCCGAACCACCATCTGAGTACGCCGTGTGAAGACCTTGTGCGACTCACCTCGATGTAACATGGATGGCGATTTCAGGAGTTAACAGGATTGATATACCTAACATTGGAGGGACCTTGTGAGATGCGGGTAATATCCAATTCTATCAAGGCTGTAAGTTAGTGGTTGACAGCGATGCCGCCTGCTGTCAAAGGGCGCACATTGACCAGACGACCCTTGCCCAGATTTCCTCCCCAATACGATAATCAGAGAACAACACATAGCAATAGTTCTTACCGAACATTGCAGACATAGACAACGTGTAAATTAATTCGCTAGATACTTCCGCATGAACACATCAACGCTGAATTATCCGAGGCGACCGAGGGTAGGGTGGGGATGCCCAAAGCCCTATGAAGTCATGCTGGAATTTCCCCCAATAGTGATAGTCCTAGAATCTCCATCTACGCACACAATCATCCCGAGATGCGCGTACACGCTAGGATGTGACAGTCGAGTGTGCCCCGTCACCGTGGGCTGGAGGTCACCGGTGTCCAGGGTTCTCCTCTCAGGTCCCGAAATTCCCTGCGGCTTCAGACCGGTCAGCAGGGATCAACCCCAAGATGAAGGGGTTTTTTACTTACACCGGTCATTTCTGCGGCTTTGGCAGGTGAGGGTCGATGATTATGTGGCTTTCGATCATGCACGTTTCCGATCTGTCTGATCGATTCGGAACAGCCATGTGCTTCTTGACCGGACAGTCGGGACCGCGATCGCAATCTATGACAAAATCTTGGTGGTCTGCCCTTCGGCAGGAGAAGTTGACTCTCCAGATGGTGCACATTCTGTAGGTCGGACGCCCGGAACAACGTGAGAATGTCAGGATTGCAGAGCAACACCTGGTTTGGGGGTCATGAACCTCCTATTGTACTTATTCGCTTTCAAGACCCTCCGCCGCCATACTAGATCATGCCAATCACAAAGACGAGCATCTACATGTAAGCTAACGCCATCGACGAGCGATGTGTAGCTGTCGCCCGAAAGCCATTTGCTCGGCATCCCGGGAGCACTGTGGGGGGGGCTTCTTCTCCTAGAAAGAGGGGGTTGTGGGTGAAGTTTCTCGAAACGCCTTGCCTGACATTGGGTGCCTTACATGCAGGTTACCTCGACGGTTCTGTACTCGACGGGGAAGTGGGTATGCTTCCGGAAGGTGATGTGACTATTCCCTGACTTTTTCTACGACCCGCGCCCCCTCCTTCGAGCGCGATGCATGGTACATTGTATGAACAATCCTACCCACGTGCCTGCAGCAAGTCAGTCGAAACATCAGAAGAGACTGGAGATGTCAAAGAATGTCCTGACTGAAAATCGTCATTTCGATGACGGGATACATGCGCGATGATGGATGGGAAATGAACAATCGTGGCATACATCCGTCGAAGCTACCCTACAGTGTATCCGGCTTGGCCCCCCCCCGAAATGGCACGAGAACGGGTCTCCATGGAAGGCTGGGGCATTGTCGTGCTCAGTAAGCGTTGACAAAGGCGTACGTCAAGTGCGTTCGGAGCTAGGCCGTTGTCCCACCCCTAGAAAAAGCTCAATTGATTTGTCCAGGTATCTGAGTTGACGCACAGTGACATTGCTCACCACGGTCACCAGAGACGCTACCAGAGACTGAAGGTGACCTGTCACTCGTTTACACTACTGGAATGGCTTCGACCAAACTTTGGCTCATATCGTAAGGTGGCGACTCATGTTACCCACAAGCGAGGGTGGCGAGGGGAAGATAGTTCATGCCCAGCTACGTCCATTTCATACATTCCGCACCGTTCGTAGTGCCTTAAGCGTGGCGTCCTACGGAACAGGAGAACCGCGACCAAGCCTGGGCCTGGTCGCTCGCAATATGTGTTGTTTCCGACCACCAACGACTTCGTAGGGACAAGTTCAATGGGAGTTCGGAAACCAAGCCCATTCGAATGTAGTGTAAACGTCAATCGTGCGTCCATTAAGAGCCTCTAATAAGCCGCGGAAGGCTCCGAGGTTCACGCACAACTGTGGTGGGAAGTCCACTTGGCTACATCCAGTAGTAAAAAAGTACCGTACACAGATGCTGCACAGCCTGGCACAGGCGTGGCCGGTATGATAGACTGGGGGCTCGGCTGCGGGACCAGGGCAGGTGGATCGGCGAACGCAAAGAGCCCATACCGGACGCAACTAGCAACTAGCCGATACGGGTGGTGCCGTGTGACGTTAGCTCCGAGTCTACTGAAGTCCATTTCGAGTATTAAATCCTGACCCAGCGGAGCCAAGAGTTATGGGTGGGGAGCCCAATTGCCGGCGGCAGTTTGGGGTAGGACATAAGGGGAAAGGAAACAATCCGTCATATCTCAACATGTCGCCGCTACAAGCCCACGGCGATAGTTGCATTGGGCGAGCGGGCAAAAGGGAGCGGGCTAGGTCGTAGCGGAATCGAACGGAAGGGCGACCCTGGAGAACGCGACTAGTCTGGTTGGATGTACCTGCTGGATTCTACTTGGACTATATGCGACGGTAGCTTGGTAAGTTTGTTGGTGCATACGCATCAAGTACAGTGGCACAAGGGTCGGATGTAGTAGGATGAATCTGGAAGGAAGGGAAGCGAGAGGAGAGCGGTATAGGGATAAGGACAGGGACAGAGAGAGAGAGGGATAGCTAGAGAGAGAGGGATAGCTAGAGAGAGAGGGATAGAGAGAGAGGGATAGAGAGAGAGGGATAGAGAGAGAGGGACAGAAAGAGGGGTAGAGAGAGGGGCAGCGAGAGAGGGAGCAACTGGGAACGAGGGAGATGGCGAGGACGAGTGACGGAGAGGGACCCCGAAGCAATAGTCTTTTACCAAGAGGGAGCTTCCCGTTCAGAGGGACTGGCGAGGGATACCGGCTGCTGAGCATGAGGCCTGAGGAGACTCAGAAAGAGATTAAGCATACTCACTCTCGCGATGCCTAAAGAAAGTCTACAAACAACTGCAACGCCTTGGTCTCGCTGATCCGTGGGACGAACAGCCCATTCAGAACCATTCAGTGGGACAGACCCGCGATGTCTGGGACTCTGGGTCAACCCCTGTCTATCACAGAGCGCTAGCGTGGCGTATTGGTGGGTGGGAAGAAGCAAATCAGGGCGTGGATGGCGCGCGCAGCTGGACACATCTGTCTGATTAGGCCCTCAACTTGGGATAGAGAGCTACTAGCGGGATGTGACAGATCACTTTGTAGAGCCGACCACCCTCGAGTCCAAGACTTGGTTCGGCAAGGTGAGAGTCCGACGACTCATCACTATGGAGATGGAGGAGGGGCGGAGGGAGAGTCCAGAGAAAATGAGAGACGCGGGGTGAGACTCGGTAGAGAAGACAGATCCATGATGAGAAGAAGCAAGACGCGAGTGAAGACCATCGGATGATGACCGTTGAACCGTGCCACACGAGACATGACCAGTTATACAGAGTCGCTCGGGGGAACTGCCCCCGAGCCTCCGCGGTTTCGGCTGCCTCCACGGCCAAACCGTTACGCGCCGGAATAACCGGGGTTGCACGGAGATGACGGAGGCGGAGGTCCGCAAAGCCGTGGCTAGGGCGACCAGCGGGCGACTAGTTAGTTCCTGATGCCCGATAGTCGAGAACCGAAAAACTGGTAATAAATTCTCGAGGATCCGCTGAACGGCCGGACCGAGCAGCTAAGTTACGAGGTTAGAGGCATGCGAGACCGAACGGCAAGTGGACTGGCCGGGTGGATGATGGTGAACGGTGGATGCGAAGTGCGAAAATAGTGGCCCGCCAAGAGCCTCCGACGGATGGCGCACTGCGCGTGGCGGATCATTAAGAACGGCAGAGGCGGCGCGCGAGATTTACACTGGGATTGCAGCGGCCTGGACACGGACTGTGCCTTGCCCTTTGCTCCGCGGCAGATGTAGTTACTAGCATCGTGATCTGCCGGCACGTGCGTTGGTGGGTTTGATGGATTTGGCGGTGCCGTGGTGGATGTGGACGCTGGGGAGTTGACGCGATTCAGGAATCACTGCCGGCACCGAGGAACTATTGCCCTCTTATCCCTCTAGCACGATCAACTACATGATATGTGGTGTAGTGCTGTAGCCCGAGTCAAATAATCCAGACGTCGCCTCGACCAAAGCAACGCAGCGTGTGGTGGATACAGTGGCGAGATCTTGTTATTGTCTTGTTCCATCTCATGTCTCATCAAAGGGGCGTGCAAAGCCGCGCAGACAGCAGAGAACCGACAACAGGTAACTGGCAACAGAGGGAGATAGACCCTTGACCATGTTCCCTCCCACTCCACGCTCCACACCCCCCGGTTCCGCCGTGGGCGCGGTCCACAGTCCCCAGATCGCCCGGGACTGGCGTTATTTGTCACCATCACCACTCTGACGAGGGGAGGCCGTCGGGTCCCACGACGCACGACTCGCGACTCGTTGGAGCCGTGTCTAATTGCTGCCACGTCGGTTACAGTAGAGCTTCGCGTTAGTGCTCGGCCAGAGGAGCAGCACACGCGCCGTGATAGTCGTGATAGTCGTCGAATAGCGCTTGCTACGAGCGTGTTGAAGGGAAGCTCGCGATTGCTAGTAATCTGCTAGGGAGGAGGGATAATGGTACGAAAGCTGGCAAAGTTTGACAGCTTCCGAAGTCAGAGGTACGTACCTTATGTACAGTGTAGCACCGTGCAGCGGTATTTTCCAGTAGAGAGCCCCAAGACTCTTATTCTCTCGTACTTAGGAGATGCAATCAACTTTGGTTCTTATTCTCCCGAAAGCTGGATTTTAGTTTACTGTTAACCCAAAGTCAACAACACATAACAATGAATAAATATTAAGAAAAAACCCCCATGAGGCCCAGATCGAACTGTGTGAGAGTCCGCACAAGGCAGGCCATTATTGGCTCAGCCCCCAAGCCACGCCCGGCCCGTGCTGCACCTACACGGTGCCCGCACGGAGTACGACGCTGAGGCTCCTTTTCTTTGATGTCCCAGCACTCTGGTCACGATCTTTGACCCACGCGCGACGCCAGATGCACACACCAAGCCACACACTATTGACAACCGGACTTTGACGCGCCAGGTTTCGGTTGGCACCATCCCATCCTGCCTCATCCTTCATCGTCCTGCACTGCGTGCTACCTCTTCTCGGCTTCGCCTGGGCCCCGGAGTGGTCTGGCCTCCGTCTTTGTCACGGAACTGGACCTGCGCAGGGGCGGTCTGGACTGTGGAGGCACGAGAGACATCACACAAACGCTGTGACAGGCACAGACGTTCTTCCCAGCTTCATCCCAGCTGCCATTATCCCGACAATCCCACGCTAGCTCAGCTCCGAGGGCCCCAGGACTAACAGCGCAGTGGCCTGTTTACGATGCCCCGTACCCTATTGTCCGGGTGCTGGTATTACGTACCGGCCGGTTGAGCAAACCGTGATCCGCAAGCCGCAAGCCGCAAGCCGCAATCCGCACGCCGCAATCCCCGAGGTCCACCGCCGAGTCCCGGGCCCAACAATGGCGTAAAAGATGACAGGACACAGACCAAGGGTTGAACCTAGCCGAGGGCGATCCCGTGCGTACCTTGGAGAGGCCCTGGATGATCTAAATTGAGCTGACAACAACTGGGAATCAATAGGATGGCGTAGTTGCATTGCCCGGCGCCGGAGGTATTGTTCTTTGTGGTTACTATCCACATCCGCACCCTGGTATATCCGGCCGGCCCCATCATGCGCGCCCGCGGTCTTCCTAGTGTTGGTCCGTGGTCAGCTTGGTAGGGTTTTCTTAGTGTCAGGCCACTGCCGTTCGTCTGTGTTTGTTTGCCACTCTGATGTCACTCAAAACCGGGCTTCATTTGTCGCAATGGCCGACAGAATCCATGTCGGCGCGTGTTCTTGGGCTAAGCGAGGAATTAACACCTGGCTTAGGAGAAACCAAGTCCGGAGCCGAAACGGCGCGACTGGCCCGTTGAAACTTGGAACCCGGGGAAACAAAACGTCATGCATACTCCTTCGAGATGGCGATGCAACGTCGACGTCTTAGAAGGCAACGGCCCTTCCTCTTTGAGCTATAGCAACTGCGCGTTCTCCCAACTAGGACGCCCGAGCTGATCGGTGATCCGGAAGACGACGAGTACAGTTTCCCACTCCTTACAGCCGACGCTTGAGAGACCAAGCGGGTCCCTCTCGTGCTCTCGCCTCGCGTTGTGTGAGACCTACATCGTATTCAAAACCTTGAGGTTTGCTTTTCCCACCAGGGCCAATACTGCAGCTCGTTCCCTTTGGAAGACCTGCACAGATCCACATCTTCACCTGTTGCGAGGGCAATACCCTTCGCACCAGCTCACTCAGCCCTTCATGGGAGTGGGATGGAGGGGGGGGACGGGAGACGGACGCGGATGAGGATGAGGATGAGGAATAGTTTGGCTCTAGGAGGGTGGAACGGTGACATCTTGACGCGCGCTAGAGGTCCCAAGACACTCGCGAACCAGACGCCGTGATATCGCCCTCTGTGACGTCGCCTATTGTGCTGTCAGCTGTGATGTCGACCGCTAGCAAACTCAACTCATCTCATCTCATCTCACCAGCGTGCACACACTCTCATCTTGCAAACTCACGCACATACGCACATTCTCATAATCGCACCATTCTCACAGCTCTCGGATCCTCTCGGCGAGATAGTCTTGTCTCACTCAAGACGGACCTTTGGGCGGAGATTTGTCCTGACGGCATTCCAGGCCCTGTCCCATTCCTTGAGTCCATTACAGCTGGGGGCTAAGGCACTAGCAGGGTCCAGGCGATCTGGCGCCCACCCGAAGCCCCATCTCCATGGCGTTCCATGGGTTCCCTGGCCGTGGAGTGAGGGTGTGGACGTGAGGCTTGGGCGGCGCCATTTGGCGTTTTTCCCAGGTGTGTGAGAGGTGTGAGGTGTGAGTTGTCAGGTGAGGCTGCGGAAGGCTGGCGTCATGCCTCGGGAGACCACCCCTTGGGGTCCCGTTCATGCAGGCACCCGATCTGGCATCTTGCTTTGGCGTGGATCATTGACCTGTGTTAGTTCTCTCGCTCGTCTCCTCGTCCCCCTCGTCCCCCTCGTTCCCTCGTCCCCTCGTCCCCTCGTCCCTAGCGTACTCCGCACCACGCCCCTCCATTATGAATCTCACATTCGCTCTGGGGCCGTAGAAGTGGCTGCGTGGTGTGGCGATATACATGGATCTGGCGCCCCGGACCTCGTCGGATACCACACCCCAGTCCCAACCGTCCTCCCCACGGACCGGACGCTACTAACGTGCTCCAACGCAGGTCAGCAAGTCTAGCCAAGCTCTTTGTTCTTTTTTCCAACTGCACGTTACTTTAGCGCCTAGCCATGCTTGAAGCCTGCCGTTTGTTTGGACCGACCGCCGGTGTGCGGATGCCGTGGCACCGGCTATCAGCTCTCGACTCTCGAAATATTGTATAAACTAGCCGTGTCTTGACCAAAACCCACGGTGTCGAGGGGTCAGCGAAACATTGAGAGACTCCCGATACCTGCTAGCTCCTCCCAAGTATCCAGTTTTGCTGTATGCGAGCCATATTAGTCCACAGTGGAGATTGCGCCTCTCCCGCCCTGCCTGATCTGGCCCCATCACGATAACCCATCGAACCCATTCCATTCTTGATCAGGGCTACACATCTGTCCCTCGGCCCCTTTCTATTAACACCACCATACTCGAGATCTGGAGGGGGGTGGTTGATCTGCGCCATTGATGTCTCAGGTGCGCCGGCGTCCTGCTGCACTGTTCATTCCGCCTCGACGGTATATCTTCAAGGGGTGTCCGTCCTCGAAAATAAAAAGCATTCCCGACAAGAACCCTCGAGCCCATTGAGTCTCTCCACGTACTCGACCTTGCAATGCTTCTTGCTTAACCTTCTTACAACCTTGTGGAACGGACCTTGAACATTATTACTCTCCTTACTCGAGGGATTCGGAAACACAACATACTCATCAAACATACTTACTCCTTTACTTCTTCATACAAACACACTCCCTCTTCCATCTCTTGATCATCACACGAGATACCATCCCTTCATTCACAATGCAGTCATTGCACTTCGAGACGGACTTACGGTTCGACATGGACGAGACCTTCAACATGTGCAGCCAGCCCATGACATGCCCCTCTACCTCGACCAGCTTCTCATCCGCCTCATCAACCTACGATCCTTTTACCCCCAACTCTCGACGATCAACACCGCATGAGCTGAGCACGCTAGAATTCGATGGAACCTACACCGGTATCCACCGAGTCGACCTGACTCCCCCAGCGACCATGAGCAAGTTCATGTTCGGTCCCGTCAAGATTGAGTCTGACCACCTGCCCTTCCCCGAAGTCCTACCTGGCACTCCCATGAAGCGAGAGCCCATGCCTTTCGACTACGACCACATGCTCGAGATGAACATGGCCCAGAACGCTTCCATGGGCTCGCTAACGCCATCCAACTCCTTCGGCATGTATGCCATCTCCCCCATCTCCCCCGAGGCCATTGGGGCCACCTCATTCATGATGACTCCCACACAAAGCCTCTCTGGCTCCGAGGCCGCAGACACCTCTTCATCATGGTCGTGCGCCAACGACAGCCCAATTTCCTTCTTCCCCAACAAGCAGCAATTGTCTGGCGAATTGGACGTCATCGACCTTGACCGACACTCCATGTCGCCCTATCACTTTCACGACCAGACCTCGCCCAACCGGATGCGAGCGGAGCGAAAGATGATGGTGCATGATATTCAACGCAAGACCCACGAGCTCCAGCGCGTCCAGGTCCGCCCAACAAGGAAGCGATTAGTCGACAAGCCTCAGGGCCCTTCCGTGGATGTGGTCCGAAGGGCCATGTGCAAGTGCGACTACCCCGGCTGCCACAAGGCGTTCCGCCGCAACGAGCATCTCAAGCGTCACAAGCAAACGTTAGTACTCCATTACCCTGACGTGGCTGTCTCACATGCTACAATCTTACGAGGCGGTGACTGACAAAATGTGACAGTTTTCATGGCGAGGGACCTAACCGGTTCTCCTGCGAGTTCTGCGGCAAGGACCAATTCAACCGCCAGGACAACCTCAACAACCACCGCAAGCTGCATGCTAGACCCAACAGCCGCAATCGTGGCGTCGAGTTCATCCCCGCAGCGGTGCCCATCATTGAGCAAGAGGAGCGGAGCCGGAAGCGTCGAGCACCCTCCAAGGCGAAGTCAGCCGACAAGCGGGGCTCCGAGTACTAGACGGAGACTACGAACATCCGGGTACCTTGCTTGACAGGCGTCGCATCTCGCCTGAAGCTCATGAAAAAAAGGTGAGGCGAGTGGGGAAAGAGATGAGACACGAAGAGACCACCCGCGCCACCCGTCTGGATATACACGCACACACATTACATACACGACCACCAGGCGGGAGCGGGGTGGGAAGAAGAAAAGAAAAAACAAATGAAGAGCGAGAGATAGGAAGAGATGCAAGCCATTGCGTCACTCAAAGACGCTGGTGATCAATGTCGGACAAGGCTCAAGCAGGCGGCCCCATTGGGAACATGAAAGACGGGCGGACGTGGGTGAGGAGGCAGAACGTGACCTTTGGTCAATTCTTGTTGCATGTTTTTTTTGGGTCACACACATCCGAGTCCATTTTCAACGGGGTTGAGGCGTTTTGTGGCTTTTGTTTTTGCATGGAGGTTCATCGTTCTATTGTTTTCTTCTCCATTCTTTCATACACGTGCCCCTTGGACAGGAGCAGGGGCTCATCTTATTTGATATCCACCGGATGGGGGACGCGAGTGAATATTGCGGAAATCATATTGTCTTTGGCAGTATCAATTATCACATTGGCTCTACATTATTTTATGGAAGGGGGATTTTGACTTGAGTGTGGGCGGGGATTGTACAGGCGGCGGGATGTGGAGGACATGCAAGGTCTGGACCGGGGAACGCGGCTGGGGAAACTGGGAAACAAGGAGGGAGGGAGCGTTATTACACATTCGGACAACATCAAACAGTATCTTATTGTATCGCAGTATCAATCTTGTAATCTAGCACTATACGATCGTGGCTTGGCTATACCCAGACGGGAAGCAGGGGGTGGGAGGAGACGAAGATAATGCGAAAAATAAAATCCAAGTCGATAGTTTTCGGACGCAGCTTATCAGGACTCGAGCATGCCATCTAATCCTGACCGTTGGTGTCCCACTGGTGCGCAAATTGGGGAATGTCTTCTCGCTCACCGTCATAGACGCCGGCGTGTCTCAGATGTCAGCGAACAGTCGTCGAGGTGCGAGTCAAGGACAGCAGTGCCTTGGCGGGATCTTGCCTTCCGCGAGACGCATCAAATCAACTTCATCTATCTGGAGAGGGGAATCTCGGCTCAAATGACGCCATTGACCATCTGTTTCGTTCTTCCCCTTCTCCTTCGATAGCGACACTCTCTTCTAATCATTGCTTAGCTGCACAGAAGCGTCGCAGCTTGCATGACGGCCAAGGGGTTGGAAAGATGACAGGTCAGTATCTTGGAGAGAAACAGGGATAGTGAACGCCTGGCGTCGAGACGGGCTCATGATTCGCGCCGCCGCAATCAGGGGCTGGTATGGGGGATCTGGCTCCCGCGAGCCCGAAGGAGGCCCATATTCGCCGAGTCTTCCACCACTTTCTCTGGGTGGGAGGGGGGGCCTTGCCACTGGTGTACGGTGGAACATGGCTGCTGGTCTAAGTGGGAATTGTTCAAAAAGGAAGCATAACCGAAATTTTGCTGGAGTGGTTGGGGGCTGGGCTTCTGGTGTACGTCGGTGGTTTTTCTTTGGCGGTGGCCGGTTGGCGGAATGGAACCTGAATGGCGAATGGCGACGCACCATGGCATTAGCCTTGGAAGAAAAACGAAGGAAAAAATAGACGAGGGCTTGCGTGAGGTTTCGGGAGCATCGCATCGAATCGATCGGACTCGTGGATTGTGTGGGGGGTGATCGATCCGATGCGACTGACGATCACTGCAAAAGGAGGTGCTAGCTGGGATCGGATGCTACGCAATCGCGAAGCGAAGGGGGCGGGTCAAACGATGTTATTCACAGTCCTGGGGGAGAAACTGGCGGTAGCAATGGGCAGGGCCGGCCGTTAGTGAAGTCGGTGATGCCCTACGATGGGTGTGGGACTTGTGAGGGGATCGACTAATAAGACGATCAAACGTGGAGAAGTCGGTGTGGACGCCCAGTGCTACCCAGCGCCACACTCAATTTGAATGTATGAATGAACCGCCACAGTGCCAGGTCATATCCGCAGCGACATGCACGCCAGCGCGACGAAAGGCACGCAGGCGCACGCACTTTGCGCGAGGAATCTTTCCTCGACTCGTTCTTTCATTCTTTCACCGCAAATGCCAGGATCATGCCGCCCCTCCCGGAGGAGGCCAGGGTGCATACCGCATGGCTCGCCACGCCGTCGATGGGGCATCCTTCCAATTGCGCGCACACGATGCGGCTGACGTGCGTCCGAGCCGTTCATCGTCCCGAGTTAGCGCGGGCGACGGACCCTTTCGCAGCCGGCATTCGGGGGGGCTAATGGCTCATTCCGCCCGCCGTAGCTTCGCTGTGGCCCGCTAAAAACCGGGAGATGGCTGCTGGGGTTGCCCCGTAGGGCTCGCTGCCCGTGAGAGGAGATCCACGGATGGGCCGGGCAGGGAGGGCCATGGGCGTCCGTCGGAAATAGCGGGCGATTGGGAGGTCATTTTAGCAGGTCGACGGGCCCGCGGCGCCCACGTCGTCTGGGGCTTGTAGTGAGCGATGACCTGGAGTGACCTGGAGTGACAGGCCACGCCATGGAGTTACAGGCCACGCTGCACCAAAATCAAGGTTCGGCTCTCGAAAACAACGCTACGAAATACTGCGCACACCTGACTGATGCCTTTGTCATCTCCGCTTCCCTCACTTCTGTCGCCCATCCACCATCCATCCACATCCACCAACAACAACGCACCCCCGCCAAATCCATCCTGATTCCTCCGTCCGCCGCCCGCGCCATTAACGCCATCGAGGCCAGACCATCTAGCTGGCTATCGTACTGTCTCTCTCTTTGGCTGTTGGGCTTGCGTCTACGCACGCCTGTCTGTCTCGCCAGTCACATTGCGAGAGAAGATGACAGCTCAACTTTGATCGGCCCCATCCCGACCACTCACGCGACGCCTCTCCCCCGGCCCAGCTGAAACCTCTCGCAGGTTGGCGTTGAGACTGCTGCTGGACGCTCAAAACGGCGAAACACTCAGCGCCGTCGCAGCTTGTTGGCGAAGTTGGTTGAGACTCGGTGCTCATTCCTTGGCTGGCGTTGTGTCACCACACTCTGCCCTTCTCGGCTCCGTGGCACACGCCGTCTTTTTGCCGCCTGATAATTGCTGGCCTTCAAAGAAGCAAACCGCCGCCTCTCCTTTGAGAGTCTTGGACGAAGGCGTCTACCCCACAAGTGCCAAGGTCTTGCCACGGTATCCTCGGTCTAGACTTGTGCTACCTATCCATCTGTCACCAAAGAACGTGGACGGTCTGAAAGCGGACAGTGCGCAACTGCAGCTGAGCCCCTCCGCCCCTCCGCCACCTCCGCCATCTTCGCTTCGTCTTTCGTCTTATTGCCTGTTTCTCGGCCTCTGTGCATCTTGGCTCTTGGTAGTAGCCTCCACCATCGTGCTCCGTGATACCCGCGAACCTAGAATCCACCACATCAGCGGCCGAGACCACTGGCATCACCCTTCTGGCCTTCCTGAAAGTAGCGGTCTCCGTGGCATCTCTTCTGTCGACATCGGCGATTCACTGGAGCATCCTTGCAACCCCTCGGTATCGCCCAAACGAGCTAAAGACAAGCCCCACGCACTGAGATAGAATGCGCTCCAGATGACTGCAGTACTCCCATCCTATCGCGAGGCGACTGCGCGTCAAGATTGGCTTCATCTCGTGGCGTCCTTTGTAGCGCTTCCAGACTACCCAGCGCTTTGCCTGGTAGATAGGCGCTTCTGGCATGTCTTTGCGCCACGCCTTTGGTTTAACGTCTTGCTGGCCGTCCGGCAAGCCGGCCTACAATCAGGGGATGGTAAGTTCAGCCACATCCAGACCCCGTGATGGCGCTCTGTCACTGGTGGACGCTGACACAAATCGTCAACCAGACTTAGCTTGGTGGTTTAACTTTGTCTTTGTTCGACTTGAACGCACCCAGCCCAAGACTCGAGCCTTAGTTCGCGTTCTCGACGCCAGGGAGTTTGCAAAGGACTCATATCATTTTGCTTCAGACCAACAAGAGCGGTCGCTAAACCAGAGTTTCAAGCGGGCGCTTACCCTCCTACCAAATCTGACTTGCATTCTCCTTGATGGCCACGCTGATTTAGACCCGGGAAACTTCCTTGTTGGCAATGATCCGGGGACACGGGATCAACGGCTTCTCATGCTGAGTATTGCCGGTTATCCATCTCCCTTGCCATCAACCTTTTTTAACTTTCCGAAATTAACCGGAGTGGTTTATCTTGACATCTCTGGCATACCTGGATCCATTTGGTCGATGATCCAACCATCTATTCTGCCGGACTTACGCATTCTCAAGATTCGCAATCGTGAGGTCGACGATGTGGCGTTCAACGCTCTGGCCCTTTGTTTCGGAGTTCGGCTCTGGAGCTTGGACATCAGTGAAAACCGCATAACGGACGCCATCATTGCACCGCTGACCACAAAATGCTTCCGCGCAAGCAACCTTCGGTCCGAAGCTTACTTTCGAGTCGAGGGAAAGCTTGGAACGGCCCGAGGGGGAACCCCTGACTACGGAACATTCATCTTTGTAGAGGAGTCGGAGTGGAGCGGTTCATTTTCCCACCCAGAACGCTATCTCGCCGATGCCCCAATGTACATGGCAGACCCAGAATCGGGACCACAGGAGTACCAATTTTTCCGGTCCGATGGGCAGGGTCGAATTAACCCAGACTCCGCTGATGACGTGCACCGAGCATTTTCCGATCAGGATCGCCATTTGTCCGTGGAGAACTATCGTGACTGTCTGGGTCTGACCCACTTGAATTTGTCCAACAACAAGATCTCGGCCTTTGGGATTGAGAAGCTGCTCAGAAATTCCAACGGCCACTTGGAGGAACTAGCCAGCAATTTTATGCCACTGGTAGTTCCCCCAAAGACTCAATCGCGGATATGGCCTAAATCAGCCATGTTGTATGGGATACTGAACGCAGCTCATGCCCTACGTCCTCTCTTCTCGTCTAATCTCCGTACCCTGAGGCTGCACCACTCTGTTGTCACTCAGATCCCCGCGCTGGAAATGGAAGGCTTGTCGAAATTGAGTCGGTTGTATATCGCCGAGACCTCAATTCTATCCCGCTCAGAGCAAGCATACGCCCAGTCCTTTGTTCCAGACATGAATCCACGATTGACTTCGTTAACCCTCACGAGCATCCCACGACGCTCATCTGGCCCACTGATCGCCAAGCTGGTCCATTTTCTCAAACTGCTATCGATTCAAGAGCGGTTGATTCACGATGCGAGCACGATATCATCATCATGGCGTGGGTCTGGTACATTAAAAGGTCTCAGACATCTTCGGCTTGAGTTTGAGTCAGATGCTAAGGAAGAGAGCACCGACATGTCCGAACATATCGATGCGGAAGAATTAATGAACACTGGGGATCAAGGATTTAGTTTCTTTAATGACGAACGTGCGACACGCCGACCAACATTGACTTCGCAGTTGTCTGGTCTGGGAGGTGTTACAAATTCAAGTGGGGCTACCCATAAGAGCTGCGACGATGAGTCGGACCGAGTAGACGGCGATTTCTTGACTCACAATGGAGAGTGGAATGGGGAGGCCTTCTCAGTGCCGGTATGGATCGGGCCCAAGGTGCCGAGCGGCAACTCCGTCATCAATGAATATCGGAGGTTGGTACTGAAGCACAATCTCCGAGACGGAGTTGGTCCGGCGACAACAAGTCAAGTGATTGCGGGTGCACCTGACAAATCATACATCTTCCACACGGCGTGGTGTATGGCGATAATGCCCGACAAGCTTGAAGCACCCCCGTGGGATAAACTTATGGCCATGAAGGACGTTTTAGAGGAGCTGAAACAATTTCGGTTGAGGGGAAGAGTCAAACACATGGATCTCAAGAAACAGACCACTGGAGGAACAAAAGTCCCTCCAGGTGAACCTCACTTTTTCTGGATGGGTAAGTTGGAAGTTTCAAAAGAAGAGCCGATGCATCGATAAAAGCCATCAAAGAATTGGAGATGAACTAAATGATATGGTTTGTCGGTTAACGCTGGTATGTAAATACATGGATATATCGTGTGTATATACTAAACGATACCCAGAGGCCCATAACAACGGCTGCTATGCTCTGGTATTCAACCCAGGCAGAGTAGTGGTCGCGAAGACCACGTTGTTGCCTGTGAAGGGCTTGGTGCCAGCACCGACAGTCTGGATCCTCTGGCCCCCGCTGACACCTTGGTTGCTGCTGAGGTAATCGACAAAGTCTATGAGGTCACCACGAAGCTGAATACTGTCATCTGAGAGTTTGTGTCTTGGTGGGCATCCCGCGAGTTGTCGGCCAGCGTGACGGTGGCGACGGAGCTGCCGGTCGCAGAGATGGGGCCTGCGCCGTCAAGCGCGTCGAGCCAGATAACGAATCCGTCTCATAGTCGCCGCCATCGGTGCAAGACGTGAAAAGATCGTCTGCGACGTTGGAAACGATGTCATCGCTAGGGTCACTACAAGCATGGTTAGGATTGCAGTGACATCCTCGTCCTTTTCGTTCCAGGGCTAATGACTTATGTCCAGGCCCACTGCGACGGGATGCTACGGATGGCCGGAAGCTCGACAGTCTGAATCTCGACAGTTAGGGTACGACTTTCCGTGGCCATCGCCGCCGCTCCAGGTCCAGTCAACAGACCACGCAACAGAATCATCATTGGTCAAGCCGCTGTTGGTCGCGCAGTGGTTGCCCAAGTCGGCTTTGGCCTGGCCCCACAAGTTGTTGTAGATGGTGTATCCGCCCGTCGCCTCTGAGTCCCCCTGCTCAGTAGGAGCCGCGATCGGCGAGCGTTCTGGTAGCCGAGCGGAACGGAGTGGCAGCGGCTAGGCCAGCTAGAGCTACGATGATGATGAACTTCATCACGGGCAAGAAGTTGGCTGCTAATTTGGGTACAAAAGCGACAGTGAGTTTAGCGTCACGAATCGTGATGATGGAGTTTGCGTTGATACGGCGATAGAGACGAATGAGACAATACGGAAGAGAAGGAATATCGACTTTTACTGCACTGTGGGCACATTGTCGAAACTTCCATCTCCTCATGCAGATCTCCAGCACATGGATATCCTATCATTCCCTGGCTTAGATGACGTTGAGATATGATTTCACTCCTATGAAGGATGGACCCGTTCCCTCGAACGACTGTGGCGATTTTGCTCTATTCGGAAGCGCGAATAGCTGGGATTGGCGGCGGGAGTACCCTGCCTGCGGGGGGACCCTGGTTACCGATTGAGGGACACAGCCCGACAGGGTATACGGCGATCCCTCTACTATACCCATGATGGGCATTTGTTTCTGGTGTGTTGCGCGGGACAATTTGGCATTGACGACGCTGAGGTGACAGCCCTGGGCATCCTGACGGTCGTTGCAGTTGGGGGTAGTGGGAGAGACCACCACATGATGCAGACCTCCTCGGCTAGGCGAACAATGGCCGCTCCTGAGGCGATGAACTAAGAACTAGGAGCCTTGGCCTCCCTTGACTATGACGGCTCGAGACAACCTACACTTCCCATTGCCCAACGAAGGACTCGGGTGGCATCATCCGACCGACCCAGCTCATCTTTCGGAAGAGCAGCCAAGACTACGGATGACCTACCAGCTCAACCGTATTGACTCGGACTACGGTATCCTCTACATGGGATGAGGTTCGAGCCCCCGCGCAGGAACGCAGGAACCTACAAACCACGCTTTTGCCATGAACTATTGACTACGCTACGGCAGCGATGTTGCACCATGCAGGCACCTTCTCGTGCCGCGAACTTGGCCTGGCCACGCGTCCGTCGCACACCGCGCGATTCCCTCGTGGGGTTCTGCACGCCCTGTTGGCTCTGTCACTTGCATATCCGGGGAGGTTTGCGTATCATGGGTGTGTGCTGCGACAAACCTTGCGGGGAATCGTGTCCTTTGGGCGATTGTCTTCCGGGCGAGCAAAATGGTATATTCCGCGCGGGAGTAGGGGTATCCCGGGTCTCGACAGCTGCAAGATCTGATAGTGTACCACGTCTTGCAGCGGCAAGGCCGATACACACCCTTCGTTGCCTGCCCCAGCCCAGCTTCTAGGTCCCCGACTGCAGGTCCCCGACTGTTGGAGTATGCATAGGAAAACCTGCAAGGCTGGTTAGCGCTGGGCGTGTGCAGTCGGCGGAAGCCTTTGGGGGATAGCTTCATAGCCGAGATGGCACGCAGTCCCAGACATATGGATTCGCGGGAACTGGGGTCCAATTAGGAAAAAGTACTTCTGGCAGCAGTGTCTCGATATTCCTGTCTCGTTGGCTACAGGAGATGTATGGCAACTGCACCCGAAAAGCCTGGTCTAGACTTGGACGGCGCTCTGGCAATCTCCGGGCATGGGAGTCGGGAGTCGGGGAACCGGTCACTTTTTTAGAAAATAACGACCTGTCAACTGGGGCTTTTCTCCATATGCGAGATTCAGCCAACGGGGTTGGAGATACGGATCGCCTCGCTGCGCTAGCGCATAGCTTCAGCGTCGCAGGGATTCCCTGCATTCGTCAGGACGGCCAACTCTCCGCGGAGGCAGGGGCCGCGTTATCGGAAACCCGGGAGGATGGGTCCAGAAGAAGCCAGAGAGGGCCACAAGGAGAGGCAGACACTAACCCGACGCCAACATTGACGCCAACATCATCAAGCTCCGTCTGGGTGAGGATGGAGACAACAGTCCGGGGGTCTCAGTTCGGTCTAGCTCATCAACTGAACCGAGGTGTGTCGCTTTATTCTCTTGGCACGCCTGGGCGGTGGCGGCGAAGCTATTCACGCCGCCTTCAACGGCATCCGGACCTGCGTCTGCGGCGGAGTGTGCGGAGCGGATACTACATCGAATCGCCTAGGCCGTGCTGCGGCTCATGGCCCAGACCCAAGACATCGAGATCCAAGCCCGCCCCGTGTAACCTGTCAGATCTCATTGTGGCTCCGCGCCTCCATTCAGTCGGTAAGACAGCCGGGCTGATGGGCGGGCGTATATACTGCACACGATTTGCGAGCTGGTCCACCGCGAGCATTCCAGACTCCAGGCCGTCTTGGCTGCAGCTCGGCCACGCAGGGCAATCAGCCAAATCACAAAAAGCAACTCTCTCCAACTCGACATGTGTGCAGCTGCAAACGAGACGCAGAACCACGGCTCGCGAAGTCGACCTTCGGCGAACCGACCTCACTGCACGAGCCGATGTCTCGGAGTGAGCATGTTTTCCCGGCTGCGTGAGACCTCCTAACCTCTGTACGATGTCTCCCGTTCCTGGAATGCGAGGGAGGAATCCCAGTTCGTCGACGGTTTGTTCGTGCTACATTGGGCTTGGCGCGGGCAAACTCCGTTGGGAGGAGGTAGGAATGGAGACAACACGGCGGGTCTGAAAGGGGCGGAACGGGGTTCATGAGAGCAATGTTTCTACGCGTTGGCCAGTATCGATCCGAGAGGAGGCGTTCGTCCGTATCCTCCCGCTAAAGCTGGCACTATTCGGAGCATGGATGTCGTGATCTCATGCAAGGAGTTGAAGAGGCAATAGCTCATGCAGCACGGCTCGTCACTTCCGTCGCAGGGCATCGGCTCTAGGCTGGGAAACTTGCTAAAAGACTGTAGCAAGATTGAGCATGTCTTCTAAACTTTGGGGGAAATTTTCAGTCTCCGTTCGTCATTCTGTCGTAGAACTCGATTATAGATTTAGGAAATATGACGAATAGCCGTAGTAAAACGGGTACCCTGCCTGAACCTGGATAAGAAACGCAGGCTCCGATCGCTATTCTAGAGTTGAACGTTCCCTAACAAAGCCAGTGAAGTCAATGCGACGGTACTGCCATCTCTCAAATCGAGTTCATCGCGCAATGCTAGGTGCGTGCTGATATTCCACTGCCTTAGTCCGGATCATGCGTGTCGGTTTACGGTCCGTAGTATCGATCAGAATGCAGTCTCTAATGACAGGCTTATTAAGGCGACAAAGCCGTTCCCATTCTGTCGACCAATTCATGATCCACCACTTGTAGCCTTCTCGTGTTGGAAATCAGCCGCCGTCATTTTAGGTGATTCTATGCTAGGGACGTCAAGCGACTTATACACTCGAAGGTTGTGAATGAGCTGTCGACCAGGCATATCTCTTTGGACACGGATTGATTGCAAACCAAGAGAGGGAGTCAGATGGATAATTTTCTGAGCACCGAGATGCTGGCCATGGCGTCGCTGTCACGAAATACGACTGAAATTTGATGCTGCAGCTTCCAACTGCCCTAGGATGAATCGTGAGAACAACTGCGCAGCCGTCTAGCCTGAAAACCTCGTTGATTAGCTCCTCTAGAGAGCGCTCCAAATGAACTAGAGCAAGCCGGTCGTCGTTGATTGCACATTTTTAGTTGAGAAGCAACTAGTTGGATGTGAGTTTGGGAGGGATCAGGTCGTTGTGTGAGCAGCGGGCAAATGAGGATCGCGACCTCCGCAACAGCTTTGGCATCTGCGATATTGATCATTCGTTTTACATCTTGGAGGTTATGTGTCGATACAGGCATCCAGGCTCCGAGTACGCTCTCGTTGAGTGGTTCAGTGGGAAGGATATCAACGAGCGCAATCCCACCACGACCAAGTCTGTAAGTGAGGCCATTTGACCTATAGGTCGGAGGCCAAGGTCTTCGTATATGATAGCCAGCGACTTGACACCGCTCAAGTTCAAGTCTTGGAAGTCTGCACAGAGGAAGTCTGGGCCCCAATAGGAAACGTAGACTTTATATCGGGATTGACAAAACGGGTGTAGTTGCGGTGTCTTTGTTGACATTCACGTATGCCTTTCGAGCGACCGATCGAGACTCCGAGCATACGTACAAGAGCGCAGGGGATTGCTTCAATTACTTCCGCTGTGTCTGGCCTTCTTCAAAAAGATGCACTGGTACGAAGGTGACGACTCTGGGGTAGTCCAAAGCCATCTCCCACATTTCGGTTCGAATCTCGAGGGGAGGCATGGGAATTTAGGGAAGCCGGTTTCCCCAGCACATTCGATCTCGGTAGGGATAGCCATGGGATAGAAATCTCTTAATACCTGTGGTCGAATGATTCTATCCTTGTTGACTAATTCCTGATTGTCCGTCTAGTCGGACTTACGCTGCGTTCTCAATAGCACAAACAACACCCGTCACCAAGACGTGCGTCTTTAGATACGAGAAACTAGAGAAGTTACGCCTGTCGTGTGCCCCGTTCTCACTGGCCACGCGAAATTCGGGATGGACGGTTCGTTGAGGGATACAGACTCAACTCTTCTGGATACGGGACGAATGAAATCAAGAGAGATGAAAGCGCGGTCCCGCCAGGCGAGATGTTGTGTCTGCCAGTGAATCACGGCGAGCCGCATTGGTTGGTGTATCTACGGATCAGACAAACAGAACAAAAGGCATTGACTCGGTCTAGTATGATCGTCGCTACCGGCCAAATTCGATCAAAGAGCACAACTTCATCTCCAGCTGCTGATCTCGTTTGTCGCCAAGTTACCACCCGCTCCGAGTGACCCTGCACATATAATCCCATTGTGCCTCCCATGGCGACCCTGGGTAACTTGTGTAGAAGTCAGGTCCACCCAACAAGTTACCCAGACTCTCGTTTGCAGTATTTTGCTGTTCTCAAGATGAGATACTCATTTAAGCGCCACATATATGCAATACCTTGTCTCTCATGCGTCCATCACTCACAACCCTCGAGCCGAAGAATGGCGTTGCTGATGGCACACTGAACACTTTCCCAAGCTAAGCAAGGTGGTTCTTTTGGTGATTAATGTCGTTAGCAAGCTACTTCTGCTTTTCTTTTCTTTCTAGGTCGTGCCATCAATTGTATCTCATCTTGGTGAGGTTTCCTCTCTGGAAGCAGGGAACAGGCAACTCGGTATCTTGTGACCAAACGCGCTTCATATTGGGATACCCTTCTTTGAGTGTGCGAAATTATAAATCCAGGTATAAAGCTACGGAGTTACAACATGTGATGACATCGTTCTTGAGGGGCCAAAGGTACCACCAAGCTGCCACGGGTTGCTGCAAACGGGGAGAAGTATGCACACCGGAGCCAGCGTATTGGATTCTCTTGTTGATAACCCCGGAATCGAGAGCATCTCACCCCGTCATTATATCACACATATGTCAAGGCCAATGACAAATCTCTCGTCAGACAACTTGCAATCAGATGGTTAGGTCAGGTAACACAAGAGAAACCCAATCGCCATCTTGCAGCAAAAACGCCTCCTTCTCAACGACGGACAGAAGCGTCTCCGCGGCGGCCCGCAGATGAGGTGAGCTTCTCCAACACGGTTCTGCGGGGAAATCCGGGCTACGCAGATTGGCGCCATTTCGCTTATATCGACGACAGCGATTAATCAATTACTCCTGGCATGACGTCGAAATACTCATGATCGATTCTTTACATACGGCTCTCAGCTGTCATCCACGTCCCCTCGCCCCGCAACAGGGCACAAGGGGACTCTGCAGATCCAGCTGCAGCTGCGGATCCGAGGCAGATCCGTGGCAGACGGGGATAGCCTGGGTTTGATTCAATCGTTCCCCCGACCTCCGGCGGGTCCGTAGCATCGTAATCGTGCGGGGAAATGGTCAGTTGTTGGTCTGTTGTTAGCGCGCGCTGGCCAACTTGAGCCCACAGCAAAGTCCGGGGATGCGGAACTTGAGGCTGGCAGTGAGGTTTCTTCCAGGATTTGCTAGGGGGAGGTTCGGAGATTCAGAGATAACATGAGTCGCTGCTGGCTTCAGTATATGTGCTCTTCTAACGCCCATGCATGCAGGCACAGATCTCATGAGCAGTTCAGGTGCATCACATCCAGCACGTGTTGGAAGCCAGGTTTATGCCTGTCTTGTAGGGCTCAATAGTGGTCATATACCCCATAGTAACACACATATCACTCAACCCTGGATCCAACATGTCCGCAGCTCAAAGTCCAATGTCCGGAAGGCCCGGCTTGTGACCAAGGTGAGTCTGTGACTGAATATTTTCAAAAAGGATGGCATCACAGACAGAGAGCATGGTCGACTCAAAAGTTCCCAGATATACACTTCAATTTTTTCTCCACATGTAAATCCTACATTAGCCATCGACAACTGGCCGATAATCAAAAGAACCTCTTCCTCGCTCGTCGCGTTCGAGATTCTGACAAAAGCCACCAGACCCAACCGTTGACTGGTACAACGCCTTCAACAACGCCCTTGAAACTACCCTGACGGTGGAACTACACTCAGGTCTCCTTCTCCTGAATAATCTTTACTTAATCTCGGCGAGCCTTGTCGCTCTTGCCCTTGATAACGCTCGAGAGGTCACCAACGGGGATCTGGACGGGGAAATCGACGACGGCAAGCATGATGGCAATCAGGATGTACCAGCCAGAAAGGCAGCAAACAAATCCACAAGCACCTCCACCCTATTTCAGAAGGTTAGACACGTTCCTGAATTGTCTTGCGGGATGAGACTTACAATGATGAGCTTGTTGGCCAGGTTGGCGTTGCCAACGTTGTCCCGAGCGAGAGCCCAGAAACCAGCGGTCAACAAGTAGAAGCAGATCTGCAAGCTGAAGAAGATGACGACAAAGGCGACGTTGGTTCGGAGCGAGCAGACGAAGAAGATGGTGGTTAGAACACCCATGAAGAGGAGCCAGAAACCTGGACGCGGTTAGCATTCCAGTTCGACTCAGAATGTCGGCGTTTTCTTTTCTTGGACTCACCAAAGCTAGCGTTGAAGCCCGTCGTGGACAAGCCCTCAGCGGCAGACTCGGCACCTGCGGGAGCGTATGAAGCGTAGGCGGCAAAGGAAGGGATGAGAGTGGCGCCGTAGGAGAACCAAAAGCCGCCGAAGCTGCAGAAGACGACGGCGGGGAAGCTGTTTCCGAGAACCCATTCGAGGAGACCACCAACAAGCATGAGAAGACCGCCCATGAAGACGTAGGCGCCGCTAAGAAGATGACGTTAGTATCGATCGCGTGGTTGTCGAGGTCAATGGGCGTGAGACATACTTGGAAGCAGCACCGCTACCACCCGCACCGCGCCATCCCATGAGGTCGCAGGACAGAGGAGTGAAGGCGAGGAGGAAACCAACGAGGGCACTATTGAACATGTGTCAGCCATGATGCGAAGTTGATTTTGGGTCGAGATCTAGATCCGAGGGGCGGCGACATACATGGGAGTCGGGTTACCAAAAGTCTTTCGCAGATCTCCCTTGACCTCGTTCATGGGCGAGAGGTAGAGCTTCTCGAAGAGCTCCGGGCTCATGGACACGCTGGCGGCGGAGCGGAACTGCTTGAGGGCCTCCATGCGGTTGGACTCGGGGTCGTAGTTGCCGTTGCCGTTGCCAATGCCATTGTGCTTGGCATTGAGCTCAGAGTGCTCGGAGGTGGCCATGGCGAAGGAGGTGAAGGGAGGTGACGAAGAGGCGACGTGGTATTCGCCAAGGGTTGACGTGTGGTGGACGTGTGGTTGACGAGGAGGATGGAAGGCAAGGAAGCAAGAGATGGAAAGATGAACCGGCTTTTGGCAACGAGATAGGGTATCTTTGGGTGCTTGTATGAGGAACCGGCCAATGCAAAACCCAGCTCGAAACAAGATCCGGACGGGGCAGACTTATATCAGGCCATCGTGAGCTCGAGGGCTTAGCTCGCCCAGCACGGAAGTACGACGTCGGCGCCACCCTTTGCTCCGGCCCCATGCAGCGTTTTCCCTTTTGCTGACTCTCTCCCCCATCCCCCAGTTGATGAGAAAAACTTCCCCAGACGCAGACGAGATCTCCACCACTAGGGCCAGGGGAGGAGAAGTCTGGGGGGGGAGGGGAGAGATCGCCCCAGCGCCGGCTGTCCGTAGGGGGTGCGGGGGGCGTGCATTGGTGCGGAGCGTCCGTAACGAGTCAAGGCCAGTGTCTAGGATTCATCAAGGGCGCCTAGGGCCAAGGAGCGTGCGCTCGGCGTTGGATGGGATGGAGTAGAGTAGCAACTGACTGTAGCAAGGCAACGGCTCTGGATATTGGAAACGAGCAGCGGTCCACCACCAACACCACCACCATCACCACCATCACCACCATCTCCTCCACTGCGGGACTGGATCCACCCCCCTGGCGCCCTCTAGCTCGAGCTTCCCCGTCGTTCTTGTTGCGGGGGACGAACTAGCTCCGTTAGTCAAAGTTGGAGTCCCCCAGAATCTCCACACCCTCCCTTCGCCCGGCGAGGAAAGGATGCGCGCCGTCGCAGTGGGTGCGGAGACGGTGATGCTGGAAGGACGGTGATACGGCCATGTGCGCTTCGTACAGACGGCAACTCTAATTGGAGCCATGGGGGCTCCCAGGAATGGGCGTCGTTGTTGGGGATCGTGGAGGGCACCAGGGACGCCAAGGGACAGCCCAAGCAAGCCCTGGTGACGCCCGAAGAAGCCAAGGGGGCGTTCTGGACGGGTTGGCCGGTTGGCCGGAGAATGGGGCCTTTGCAGCGGGTGGAGGAAGTAGTAGACGTGGAGGAGCAGACGTGGAGGAGTAGACGTGCTAACTAGACGTCAACAAGCGGGTTTGGTTTGTTGGTGAGGGGAACATTTGGCGGAGGAGCTGCTCCAGGCGTCCCGGGAGTTGCTCCAGCGGCACCTGACCTAACTGATCTGCAAACGTGACTCTGGATGACAGGCCACGCGAAAGGACCAAAGGCAGGTTTCTCTTGGTCAACGGCACATTGAAGCCAAGGATCCGCGGACTTCGGGACAAGCTAATTGTCCGTAATGCGAGCCAACTACAGAGCCCGCAGGACGGTTGTGCAACTCGCAGTTCCCAGAAGCAAACCTTCGGATCCGCTTCTGGTTACGGCGAGGGGTTGAAGAGGAAGCCCAGTTCAACGCTTCAACCACAGAGCGAGCGCCGCGACGTGGCAGCGTGCGAAATGCTGGGGAAAGTTGATGGTGTGTTTGCGTGGGAGTGCAGGACTTGGTATGGCCGCGCATTGGACGGGTGAATGTCTGCGTCCATGTACGTGACGGCAGGTGGCAGCCGGGAAATACAACGGAGCGAAGCATTCACGCAAGCTTCTCCAACTTCTAGCTCCATGCCAATCCCTCGCAAACACTTTCGCTCTCGCTTTGTACGGTTACGCTTTCGCAGTCTGTCCAGTTAGCTAGCTATTTACACGACGCTTTCTCCCATTCCTCGTAAATCACATCTCAAATGGGAAATGGGCAATGCACCTCAACAATTGCGTTGCGTCCGATGACCGCCATCTTCGCCAGCGACCAACGTCTTCCCTCCCTCTTCTTTTCCTCCTCTCACACCCCACCCGCTTCCGGCCATGTTATTGCTTGACTCATTGGGCGTGCTACTGCTGCTAGCCTGCTGTACGAAGTACCGTACACGGCGTCCAGGCCTAGAAGCCCGCGAGACAGACACCTGAGACCCTGAGCCGCCTCAGAACGTCCCCAAAAAAGCCCCCCTTCCCTCCCCCCGGTGCAGGTGCGCCAACCAGGGCCGCCAGAAGCGAGAGCGCCAGAGACGGGCCGCCCAAAGAGAAGCCCAGATGAGCCAGATGAGGGGAACGAAACGACGGGCAGACGTCGTGGCTGCGGCTCCGAGGCAGCCGCTAATGAGGTAGTATCCGCAAATCGCGGCTCCGCAACTTTGGCCCTGTCACTTGGTGCACCAAGGGCAGCCAGTGCACCAAGTGGCATTCATCAGCCTCCAATCAAAGCAAACATATCGAACCATCTTTCGGTACTTGGCTTTTGGGGTTGAAAGGAATTTCGGGGGAAGATAAGTCCGCGCGAATCCCGACCACCCCTACATCACGTGAAACAGTAGGTACGTACCACCCCCAGTTCGCAGTCGGGCACTTCGTGTACTCAGGGGGTACGTACCTCTCAACTCCCTCCACCACTACGATGCGGATGGATGGACGTAAGCCTGAGTCTGCGCATCTCTTCTACACCATCAATCCAATCTAGTTTAATTGTCCATTCATGCTGTCCTGGTCCCTGTAGCTTCCGGGTGTATTTTTTTGTTTTTAATCACCGTGCTCAGCATAGTCCGCGTTATAATAACTTACACAGACCGTTCAACCTAGCGTTATCTTCATGAGAAGCGACAACCAGATCGTCATCACCAATAATTCATCAAGTACCAAATCCAAATATATTTGGGAATACAGTGGAAATAGCTGAACTTTTTTCAACATGGTGGGTATTTCTAGACATTTAATTGCCTGTAACTGCGGCACTGTCAGCTGTCAACTGGCACCAATATCCCCCAGCAATGCCATATTCATTGCAGGCACTCCCCCTTCTTTACGATATCATCCCTCTAAACTCCAAAGCGGCCCTTTCAGGAGTTATCCAAAGGTCCCCCCGTCGCCGCGCTGGCAAAGTACAAAGAAGATCCAGGCGGTGAAGACGAACAAGTCAGTGCCCTCTTTCGCCTCGAGCTGATCGTCTCTGTGGTGAAGTGAAGCGCGAATCCCGACCACCACACCAAAATCAAAGAGGCAGTTGGTGCGTGAGTCGGCGCGGTAGCTGCGAACTGCCGAGCCTCCGGTGGAGCAAACCACGAGCCTGGCGTGACGCCAGTCGCCTTCAATGTGTTGAGAGACTGGGTCGGCTTGTCCGGCATTGGATCGCCGGAAGCCAACAGACAAAGATACCAGCACATGCAAGCGGCCAACAATGACGACTGGACACTGGCGAAGCAAGGATTTCCAAAGTGTGGCCACCCGTATTTCCGGGGACCGCCAGGGCACTGGTCGAGACTCCTCCTGGTCAGACACTTGGGATCGAGCTGGAGAGCAAAAGGCGTCCAAGAAAGGAGATTAGAAGCACAGTCACTGAAGTTGGTGCTCATCTTCAGGGGCTTTTGCAATCCTAATGTCATTAGCAGCCACGCCAAAAGCCCTCAGACAGGAAGCCTGAGGGGGGCGTTTCAGCTCATCGTCGTGATGCCTACGAGCTGAACAGCCGTTCTACTGCGTAGTAGGCGGAATTTTCAACATGAGGGCCTCAACAACGCCGTCAACGTAATCTCCCCGTCCAGGGATCCTGAAATAGGACGCCCCGTGAAACAAAGCAAGAAGCCTGCCCGACTTGGGCCTCCTTCGAGACCGTCTTGAGTTAGTCGGCGGTTCTGAGGGGCTCACTAACCACCTACCAGCCATGGTTTCTCACCAGACATGGAGGCCAATCTCCCATCCTGGCGCCACAATGGATCAGACTCAGCTCAAGCTTGGTGGTGAGGTCATGACATTCTTCTAGCTTCTATGTCCAAATGTGTCAAGCGACTAGGTACTTGGCGTCGGTCTATCTACACTGAAAAGGCAAACTCAAGGAAATATGTCAACAGATTGCGCGATATGCGCCTCGCCAATCTCCTATGTCTTGGTTGTTATGTGCTCTGTTGTGCGCTCGGGGAGACTTCCATGTCTCCGGCGCGGTACCCCAGGATTCAGTCCCGTTGTCCGTCGCGGAGTGCAGTAGTGCGCATGCGGATCCTGTTGACCAGCCCCCTTTACTCCAGCGGGACAAACACAGTGCTTCTCCACTTCACTGCTTTGCAGGTCACACTTCCCAAGGCACGGTGTTTCGTCGGCGCGTGAACCACCATTTCCCCGGATAGACTTGTTCTACACTCTGTGGGTACGTCCAAAATACCAGCACGGTAATGGTTTTGTACAGGATCCGTTGGCCCAGGGTTAGTTCAGGTCGATGGCGACGCCAGAGCTTGTACTCGCACACAAGTATCATGTTGCCAAGGACGTTGAGAAGACGGAACCACCTTCTCAGTCAGTATACAGCGCGTCAGCGGAGGGTCAGGAGTTGTGAAACTTACATGTTTAGGGCGACGAAGAACAGAGTCGCAACAACAGCTTTCGAGAATCCGGCTGACGATGCGTTTGCGTCCTTGATGATGGTATACAAGGGAGCCACCCAAAGTCCCAGGGCACTCAACTCCAGGAACAATGTGAAGTGGTAAGTCCTCAGTTCCTCGTTTCTTATCAACGTCAAGCAAAAGACCCAAATTGCCAGGAAGAAGTTTACCTAACACAGTCAGTTATTAATCTCTTCCACTCACTGGCCGAGATGGAGGACTCACAGTCGTCGGTGCCAGCACTATCGTCTCCTTGCGATAAAAACTCCAACACAACGCCGATCCCACGATAATAGCAACCCACTGCGCACATCCCACCAGGAAAAAGTAGAACAAGACCTTGTGAAACCTCCTGTAGCAGCGGTGATGGAACTCGGGTTGATTCCACGCGCCATCATACGAAATAGGGTACCCGCACCACCGACACACCCACACATACGTAAAATCGCCCAGCGTGATTTTATGGCCAACCATGAATCCCCTTCCCTTGGCGACGCAGTCGAGGCATTCGCTGGCGAAGGGATAGCGCTCATTCGTCTCCTCGGGCCTCACAAGACGCCCCCGGAGCGGGTCGTAGCAGAGGCACTGGTAGCAAGTCGAAAGCAGCTCGTACTTGAGGCTGGGAAAGAGCTCGCGGATCATCGGTTTTGTGATGTTATCGCGGAAAAAGTGGCAGGTTCGGCGCAGGCGCTCGAGGTCACCAAAGTTGAGGAAGCGCAGGATGATGAATTGCAGCTCCATGGGAAGCTCGAGGATGCGACCGAGCGCATTGTTGATGTTTCCAAGGCGGTCATGGCGAGTCGAGAGCGCAATCAACGTAGTCAAGCCTTGGACGCTGCAATCCTCGACTCCAGGCTGCTTCCCACCGTTCACACGAAGCTGCATGCCGGTATCGCGATGCTCGCTGGCGGCCCTCGTTGGCGTGATGCCCTCATCGTTTGTGGGCCCCGCGGTTTCACCCAACACCCGCTGCTGCAGCAACCGTCTCATCCTATCCGCCGCCATCTTCTTCTCTCGGGCGCCTTCAAATACGGGCTGAGCGTTCAGGATTTGCGATGTGGGACCAGCCGTCACAGGCGTCCGTACTCAATTTCGCCGGCCCGTAGGCATCTTCAGCAGCCGGTTACTGGGTCATGCGAGACTCTGAAGTGAGACTCCAAAACCCAAGATCCCTGAGACGAAATCTCAGTCTTGCTGTCGACAAGGCGAGCGCTGAGGCAACGGGCGGCGATGGGTTGAATACAGTCAGACGATGAGCTGATGAACCAGCATCCAATGAGGCTGAGGCGCTGATGTCGCGAGACGTATTATCAGTCGAACAGGGAGCCTAGCGCTGATGACAGTGAACAAAATACCCCGCCGAGGATCATGTGAAAGTCGAAATCAACGTGACGTAACCCAGCACGCCGCTCGTATTGACCAGGCAATTGACGCAGAGGACAGAGGATAGAGCGAAATAGTGGCGAGCTGTTGGATAAAATGGAGAAGTTGGGGCTCTTCGATCCGACAAGATAAACGTGAACACGAGGCCGCGGGTCAAGGATGATGCTAGTGCGAGAGATGCACGTAGGGTCTAGACTGGTCGATGGATGTGTTGGCGAGCTGCGAGGCTGACTGCGATGTACTGTGGAAGATATAGGGTAGCTGGAGCTGGTGAAACACGGCAACGAGCCACTCAAATGCAACCTCGAATGGCATTGATTGCAGTCGAAGGATGGGCATTGGGCATTCGAAGGGTTTGTTTTGTAGGGATTATATAAATATTACATATTATTGTATGAATGTATTGCACCTGATTGCGTAAAGACGTCCTAGACTGAGACCATGGTCCTATGGCGTCGTCTTTTGTCCTCCACACTTTACTCTCCCCAAATGCATAGTCCTACAGTTAAACTTCAGAGACTGGGAGCAGGCAGCGACATGACTATACGAACCACCGTTCCTGCTACATAACAGAATGGGGTAATACATGTTGCGCTCATAACGGGTCACCTCCTCACCACCGTCATGGTTCTGCCAGACCCTCCTCCCCTTACTCCCACATATCCGCCCGAGCCTACCTCCACATCATTCATCAACAAGTTGAACTCTTTGACCAGACAGCACGCTGCCACCACCCGGAAGCTGCGAAGCTCACATGAGCCGTGATACGAGGGGGGCGATGCGCCGGCTTCGCTGATACAGCCGATTGCCAAACAAGCCCAGCATAGCTCAACCACAGCCTCGCTCCCCTCAGGGGCCCTGGGCGCCATTGTCTCTGCATCGTTGCCCGTCTCCCGATTCCGCATTAACTTGACGATCCATGTCATTACTCGATCAATCTCTTCCTTGAGTTTTATTGACGAGTCGCGTTGCCTTCGAGTCTGCCCGCCTCTCTTGTTTAGGATGAAGCCGCAGAACACCTCCACCTCTGTCAGGCTTGACCGTGGGTTATCTGAGTAATCGAACATGAGATTTTCTACCGCAGAGTCGTAACTGTAATTGGGTTAGAGGGATATCCGCAAGTTTTCGCCCGACTTACTTGTTACGAATCTTCCACGCCTCCTGCGACTTGCGCTCCCAGTCAATATTAAAGCCGCGCTGACTTAGCTTGACCCCCACCAATCCAAGCAGCTGTTCCCAGACCGACGGACCTGCAGTGTTGACTTTTCTATGGATGTCCTCGTCCCAAATCTTCTCCTCGTCAATATCGCGGAACAATTTGCCCAACATCTTTTCGGACTTGTAGAATTTGTGCTTCGGTGCCACCATGACATCGCCGTCGCCGCCGTCTTCTGGGTCTTTATTGTAGCTAATCTGACCAAGATCATGGAGTTCCAGAGGCGGTGCCCTGGCAAGGCTTAAGGGATTCATTAGTATGCTTCCAACTCATTATGGCTCGAAGACTTACAAGTCAGGTCGATATTGAGGAGCCCGGGGCAATTCGGAAAACTCGACTGGGATTCCGGTCTTTGAGAAGTCCACAGCAGTGGAATGAAGGTTCGCTAGGCGGACGCATTCTGGGGCGACTGTTCCTTCTGCCTTCGCATCGGCCAGGATCACATGCCGTGTTGCAATCATCCCAAGCAGGTCAGTTTTCATGAAATTGATGAAGAAATCGGCAATATCATCACGAGTCACCGGTCGATCGAGAGAAATTGGAGTGACCCGTGGATAGTCCGCTGGTGGGAACATCCTCTTGGGGGTCGCGTCTCTGTCCCAAATGATGTTGTAGATATCACCGTCAAGATCCCCTCCACTTAACATGCTTGGAAGATCTCGAGTGCCTTTTTGACTGAAGACGATGCAATTTTCGAGGTCCCGAAGCGGGTGCCCTCTGGGAGGGGTCACCATTTGAACCCACCGGACGTCTCCTGGATGGAGAGCCGGCGAGCGAGTAACGATAATCGAGCCATCCTTAAGGGTTTCAGGGATGCGGGCGCCAGACCCACTCCATCTCTTGTCATAAGTCACATACACCTCGCCGTCTTCTAGAAATCCGGTTTCGTCCATGATGCCGAACAACGTCACCCCATGCTCAACCGGTATTCGAGCCTTGTGCTTCAACAATCGCAGCTCTTGGAGGACAACGTGTTCAACGGCCGACTTCATGAACTCGTCACGACGATAGTCGATGCGCATTCTGTCCAGGTCTGTCACAAGCTTCGAAAACCCTGCGTTGACACCGATGGCTTGGTGCCTTAAGAACTTGCTCGTATTCTGTGCGTTGGCTGTGACGGTGCGAAATATATTCAACGCCTTTTGCTGCATTTTGAAGAACCATTGTTCCTCGGTCCCCATGTCCTCCATGATTTTGATCAGCTGACGATTGAGCACGAGTCGGAGGGGCCTGGAAGACGTGTCGCAAATCCCTAGCTCTGTGAGGTCATTACTCGGGAATTTCATCATCGACTCTTTTCGCAAACAGAGCATCTTGCCCCTCAGTCTTGAATCCAAAGAAACCATTCCCTTGTATCCACCCAGACGGATCTGGAGGCAGGTTGGTGGTGCGGATCGCGCGGATAGGGCGGGCCAAATCTCTTGCAGAGCTTCCATGGAAATCGTCCCCACCCCATCACTAAACACTCGAGAACCATCGGCTGACTTGACATCGGGTATATCGACGATTCCGATGCCACAATTGGCGAGAGTAATGGCATACGGAGTCTCTGAGAACGCCTGCCCTATTCGGGCTGCACACTTCGCTGGGACTCGAATGTCGCTAAAGTCGCCCAAAGACGATAGGATCGTGGTGTAAGTGTTTTGGTTGAAGGGAGCCACGAACCAAACAGAATGGGCACGAAGCGAAGAGTGGGAGAACCCGAGGAATGAAAATGATCTGCCCGCGACTTCGATGCCATCGCGTAGCACAGATCTGTATCGGCGGAAGATTTCTTCGTTGGAAACCCTTGGGCTGAAATCTAGGTCCTGCCCATCTTCATCGCAGAACGTGACACGGAGAAAGAAGTCGTTGTGGTCTGGAAACATCCGCAAGACCCTGTTCCTGCTCTCGGCGTCTGGGCCATTGAGGAGGACTCGGGTTGGCGTAACCGTGGCTTTGAATACCCAAGCTTGGTGGCGTGATACTCTTGCTCCATAGATTGGGTCTCTGTGGGGATCCTCGACCCGGGCATAATGCTCGGCCTGCCTAACCTTTTCCATGATTTGGAGAGCGTCAAGCTCGTCAGGGTCTGTCCCTGGACAAGGATAAGGAATGCTCAACGAAAGTTGCTTCAAGGTATCAGTAGTGACCGGAAAGGCAACATTATCCTGCATGGAATCCAAAGCAAATTCTTTCAGAATATTGAGTAGATGAATCCCACTCGATGGCCGTAAGTAGTTGTTGCGCACCAAAGCTTCAACTTGGAAAAGAAGGGCGAACGGGACAAGCCCTGAAGACATCATTTGTCTATTCCTAGCATCGAATTGCTGTCTGTAGTCTGGAATCTGGTAGCTCTGCATGATCGGAAGGTGATGGCGGGTGATTTCCAAGAATGGGCGACGCTTGAGAAAGGTGGCAATCTCTGCGAGACCCCGTGCATTGGCGAGTGTGATTCGGTATACCAAATTGGTGGCTACATGGGGTTCATGCGAATTCCACCATGATATGCTTCGAACTCTCCGCCACTTCATTTGAGCGTCTAGGGAGGATCCAGGTATGAACATCCTTGGCGGCTCTGTGAGAACGAGTGTGAGCGAGTAACCGCCAGTCTCCGCGACGAGATCCTGAATGGTGTGGTTGTGGAATTCTAGGCGAGCTCCATCTTCGAGTATCTGACTGATCGAAACAGATATGAGCCTTGAATTAAACCTCACACTTGCGTTGTTCATTTTAGGAATGCTGGTTTCCTCCACGAATGTCAAGGTACCATTGGCATCGAAGACATTTCGACCACACGCGATGCCAATGACCCGGAACAATGGAGTCGGCTCCTCCAGGTCATGTTTGGATGGCTGTGCCTGCTTCTCACGATTGTGTTGCAGATGGGACATCTTGTGCTTGTCGATTGGACGGTCACTCCTTTGAACAAAAACCGGCGTCGCCAGAATCACTAGTTGGGCGATATCTTGGTGATTTTTTCGGGACTTGGATGGCTGAGTTGGGACGGCATTTTGGGGCGCCTGTCGCTTCACCGACATATGTCGCTGGAGGAATTTGTTCCCGTCAGAAGCATGAAGTAAACTTACCCAGGCAATGCCTTTTTTGCGGGGTTTCTCGCACATCCAGTCCACGATCCCGAGAGCGTTCATGAAATGGCAAAGCTCGGTTTGCAGGGAATCGTTGGTCATGTGTTGGGGTAGGTTGTTTAGAAAGACCTCCATTTCTGCGTCGGGAGGCTGTTCAGACAGCGAGGTTCAATAGCATGTCCGACTTGCTGATTAGAACGTGGTAGCGGTGTTGAAATCCCAACGAGTTACACGCATTGGAGAATTATTAAAAGGGAGGGTGACAATTGATTATCTGGATGTGGCAGATTGAATAGCCCTTGAGACAGTTTGATCACCTGACGTGGCACCTGCAGCTGCCAATAAGCAAACATAAGTGTTGGCAGGCACGTCGCGGCAAACCACATAGCCCGATGCCTACTAGCTGAAGCCGCCTATCTGAGCTGAAGCCGACTAGGTACCTAACTGAGACGGCCCAGCTGAAGCTGGCCGCGTGACGGCGGATCATCTCGGGAGCTGCTATTCACGTAGTCTTGATAATTAAAAGCTTTTTTTGTATTACCAACCAAAAATGTATCGTTTCTTGTGGTAGAGGTATCAACATAATGCTCTGTAGATGACGAGATGTTTACGTGCTTGCATAATCTCGGGAAGCCAGAATGGTGTTGAGGTGAGGGCCTCACCTCAAGGTGAGGCTCGGTGAGCTGCGGGGTAAATGTTTAAACACTTGCCGTCCACATCCCGATTGCATTTGCCGAGCCGAATCGCGTCGCTGCCATGGACGGTTCCACCCGCTACCATGTAAATCTCTCTTCCGGGCGCTCGGCGCGAAGTCTCTTATAGTTCTGTTGCCCGTAAGGCATTCCCTCTGTTCTTCCCGAGTTCATCCAAGATCCTCCCCGGTGCTCCTAGCTTACCCCGCCATCAACACCAACGGCTACATCATCGTCATGTCGACTCCTGGGATGCTGTACGTGACCATGCAACCCCAGCCTGGGTTGTCTCTGGATCAATTTCACGAGTGGTACAACAACGAGCACGGCCCGACCCGCCTGCGCCTACCTGAGATCTTCACCAACGGTCTACGATACAAGGCGACCGACGGCCTGGAGCCGACTTTCCTCGCCGCCTACGACGTGACGTCCATGTCGCACCTCGAGACCGAGACATATCTTACTCTGCGCGCGAACCGATCTCCCAGAGAGGCGGAGACAATTGGCCAGGTGGACGTGAAGCGCTTCTTCTTTGACTTGGTCCACACCAAGGAGGCGTCGCAGTTTGTCCCGCTCGAGAAGCTCACGGACGAGGAGGCCGAGGGTATCCAGACCACTGCGGTTGATATAGAGCTGAAGGACGTCGAGGGAGCTGGAGAGCAGTACCAAAAGTGGCTGCTTGAGGAACACATTCCGATGCTTGCCAAGGTGCCCGGCTGGCTGCGCTCGCGCGTCTTCAAGACGTCGTACCTCGAAGGTGTGGCTAAGACGACTTACTATGCGCTCCACGATTATGCCAAGGAAAATGGCCAGGGCGGACCAGAGCATAAGGCATCCATGGATACTCCTTGGCGCACCGAGATCTTCGACAAGTACGTCGCTGGCAAGGGCCGACGAACATACTCCCTCTTCTACGTCTTTGGGCCCGCGCCTCGAGAGTTGTCTTCTCTGTCAAGACTGCCTTCAACTGCCGGTTTCACCTCTGCCGACGCGAAGAACACTACCATCCCTGGTTCCAACGCTGCTGTTATCTCATACGTCACTGCTGCGGATTCTCTCTCCATCCCGTACCGTCTCGAGGGCAACTCTGAGCCTGGCGCTCCCACCGTTGCTTTCAGTAATTCCCTGCTGACGTCCTTGAACATGTGGGATTCGTTTGTGGAAATTCTCAAGCGAGAACGCCCTGATTTGCGAATCCTGAGATACGACACCCGTGGACGTCATGCAGTGCCTCAGCCACCAGTTGCAGCTACCCTCGACACACTGGCTGCGGACCTTCGAACCGTCCTCGATGCCCTGCGAATCACCAAACTACATGCCCTGATTGGAGTTTCTATGGGTGGCGCAACCACCCTCAATTTTGCCCTCACATACCCGGATCGTCTGGAGAAGTTCATTGCCTGTGATTTCAACACAACCTCCAGCCCTGCAAACACACAGGCATGGAAAGATCGAACAGCTATTGCTGAAGAGGATGGTGGAAAGGGAATCGCAAAACTTGCAGGCCAAACGGTCCCGCGTTGGTTCCACCCCATTACCATGGAGCAGAAGACTGATACCGTCAACTGGATGACGGACATGGTCGCTGCCAATAGTGTAGAAGGCTTCAAATACAGCTGCACTGCGCTGTGGGACTACGACTTGAAGCCCAAGATGGGCGACTGCGCGGTACCTGGGCTATTGGTTGTCGGAGATGGCGATGCAAAGGGCGCTCTCGTCAAGGCCATGGATGGATTCAAGAGCCTGTTGGGTAGCAACGGTGCGGAGCTCAGGATTGTTCCCAACGCTGGTCATTTGCCCATGTGTGAGGATCCCCAGGCTTTCTGGGAGGCTGTTCGAGACTTTGTGTAGATTTCCCCAATAGAAGTTACAATGCCATTTGATCATGATCAGATGCACTGCTCGCGATAGATTATGGACTATAGTAGAAATATATTGTTCGCGGAAGGGTTGCCGGGATGAAATGTGCTTCCTCAATCCCACGTCTCTGCGAGTAGGGACAACGTTTCGTCAAATCCGTAACCAGAGCTCTTAGTCGGTCTGGAATTCCGGGGACGTGGTAACGCAGCCCGTCAAGGTTTTTAGGACATGCTCAACTAGAATCAGCGATACTCGCTCTGTTGATATTTGCGCACGACCGGAGGGTTACTCCTGCAGCGAGCTCGCAGCGGCCTCAATACCCGATATTTCAATGATGAGGCTTTGCGCAAGCTGTGGTGCGCCTTGCACATTGCTCGCTAGAGTGTGTAGGAATGCGGTGATCTTGACTCCGGCCGCCAGGAGCCCAACGATGCAGGCTGCGAAGGATAATGGGTCCACTCTGATGGAATATTCTTGGATATTTCATTACTTCAAGTAAACCGAGGAGTAGAGATAGCAGATGGAAAAATATTGAGAGAGATGTGAAAAAGCTGGTCGCCTTAGGCCGTTGGAATGATTGTGCGGTAGTGTGTGAATAGGCTGGATTTTGGTGCATTGCATGGATGTCTCGCCGCCTTGCCCAAGTTGGTTGCACACTGCCCCCGCCACTGAGGCAGAGTCTCTTGCGCATTTCCATCATCGCTAGAAAAATACCCAACATGAGAATGCAATCGGACTGAAAGGTGACAGACTGGTGAACGACTGTATCGGATCGGGGAATCAGCAGGGATTATGACGTTTCGCCCCCAAACTGGATGATACGCTGGGGCGCAGCACGCTTCAAATTTACCTCGTCAACAACATGAATGAATACGTGGTCTCTGAAGGCATCGCGAAACCCAGTCTTTCAACGTCGTTCTAGCTGCGGTTGATTGATTATATTACACCCGGTACTGCTGAGATTTCCAGGCGGTTACGAACAGTGTCGGGTCTGCGGTACTGTAACGAACACGTTACGACACTGAACATGATCGACCCCATCGGCCTTCTGGGCACGCTCATTGCCATCGTCCAGGTCTGCAACAAGGTTGTTTCTGTTTGCTACGAATACCGTGGCGCTATCAAAGACGCCCCTCATGACATCGCTCGGGTCCTGGACGAGGTGGCAAACGTCAGGAACATCGCTGAGCGCTTGATCAGAATTGCGGAAGTGGGCCAGACCGTATCGCTTGAGTCCGTCGATGGGCCTAACAGCCCCTTGCGACAATATCTGCTCGAGCTGATTGATCTGAAGAAGTCTCTCAAAGTTGAGAAGAAGCAGGGATTAAGGTCAACTCTATTGTGGCCTTTGCGGCGATCCGACGTGGAGAAACGACTGGTCGTGATTCAACGAATCAAGGCTACATTTCAACTAGCGCTCTCTGCCGACAATGCGTAAGTCCCTAGATTAACACTGGTATTTCTCATAACTCACCAACATCAAGTCACAACATTGTTGAGGTTCTGAATAACACTCGTTCGCTGCCCCTCATCAAAGACGAGGTGAAGAAGATTAGCGAGCACATCGACCAGAAAAAAGAAGGTATTCCCGCAAATTCGACTCCAGATTAGTAGTAGGCCAAGAATTGACATTAGCAGATGAATCCAAAGCGCATTTCCTTCACCAGCTTAGTGGGAATGATCAATCCCCCAAGCACCGCGATGAGTACAAGAAATGTGTTGAAGGAACCGGCGATTGGCTTCTCCAGCATGACACCTTTCTAGATTGGAAGGTCAACCCTGGCAAACTCCTCTGGCTAAACGGACATGGTAGGTTTCATCTCTTTATGTGGCCTTGGGAAGAAGCTGACCATTCTATTTAGCTGGCTGCGGGAAAACCGTCTTATGGTATGCATCTGCTATAGCAAAACCCCAGAGTGCAGGGTGCCTTTCTGCTGTACCGAATTTTGTTAACATTGCGGTAGTGCAAACGTCATCGAAAACCTTGCAATTGACCGCAACAACAACGAAAACATTGGGCTCGCCTATTTCTACATCGACGGGTCTGGCCAGAAATCTCTTGACTCTGATTCCTTATACAGCTCTCTCACATCGCAACTCATTAGCCAAAGAGGATCAACACTAGATTACTTCCAAGGAAATAGGCATCACTTCCAAAGACGCGAGAGAACTGGCTGGCATATTCCAACCCGCGTCTGGGTGAGGATGCTTCGGGAAGCAATCGAACTATTTGACAGCGTCTATATCGTTCTCGACGCACTGGACGAATCAGAAGAATCAATCGGCGTTGAGGGAGTTATGGACTTCATCAACACCATATTTGAGAGGTCACGAAGCCAGGTACATATGATTGCGTTTAGTCGAGATCTCGAGAGTATTCGAAACAGATTCAAGGAATTGAGAGCTGTATCTATCGCGGTGTCTGGACGAGACCTCGACCATGATTTGAAGACGGCTCTCCACACCCAGCTGTTGTACCAACGCAAATTTTCCCGATGGCCCAAATCACTCAAGAAGACAATAGAAGAGTCACTGCTTGCTCAAGCTAACGGATCGTGAGTACACTCTCCAGATGCTGCTATTGGTACTAATCATGGGAAGATTTCGCTGGCTTGATTGCCAATTACAGATTTTGAAGACATGCGCCACACCCTTGGCTGTGAAGAAAGTTCTCAACGACTTGCCCAAATCACTCGAGGTTTACTACACCCGCATCTTGGAAGCTATAGACGAAAGCAACCAGCAGCCAGTCCAGAACCTTCTGCGATGGATTGCCTTTGCGTTCAGGCCGGTATGTACCCAACATGACTATGCATTACTCTTGCTAATAAATTGTGATAGATCTCTGTTAACGATGTTGCCAATGCAATCGCAATGAATGACGAAGGTGTTGGTTTTCCATTCTTCGACGAGCACCTGGAGCTTCTCGATGTTGAAGGTTTCATGGATTCCTGCTCCAGCCTTGTTTCGACGTACAGTGCTATTTCGGACAAAGACGGAAACCAAGAGGTCTATGTGAAGCTGGCACACTTTTCTGTGAGAGAGTTTCTCGTCTCAGACTCCATCCGGAGCGGACCTTGTTCGCATTTTGCGATGGAGAAGAGCCTAGTGCATTCATACCTCGCAAAGTCGTGTTTGGCATACTTTCACTACTCTATCAGTAATCCAGACGACATTTCGGATCTAGGCACTCTTGTCAGCTATTGCGGTCATTTTTGGCTCAAGCACAAAGAAACCTCGGGTCGGAATTGGGCCTCCGAACCACTCGACGCTCTTCTCTTGGACATGTACGATGAGAGCCAACCCTACTTCAAAAAATGGATGCAGGTGGCAAGTATCGATAAGCCTTGGTTGGACGAAGATTCTCAAGAGGTATTGGATTATTCGCCTCTTTATTGCGCTGCTTATTCTGGCCTTCCCCAAGTAACGAGGGTGCTTCTTGACCGAGGCGCTCCCACCAACGACCGCAGCGGAATATACGGCCATCCCCTGCAAGCCGCCGCGTTCAAGGGCTCTCTGGAAACTGTCACGATTCTCATTGATGCCAAGGCTGATGTCGAGACGGAACGTGCCAGCTATAAGTCTGCGCTTGCTGCTGCTGCTGCCAACGGCCACACCCAAGTAGCCAGAGCCCTTCTCAACGCAGGCGCCTCCGTTAACGGCACTGAGAAGTACTTTGACCACCAATATACCCCATTGTTCCTTGCGGCTAGTAATGGGCACCTGGAGATGGTTGAGTTGCTGTTGGAGCATGGGGCCAAAGACGGCTTCCGTATGAAAGCCACCCCTGGGAGTGCCCTTCATGCCGCGGCAATGAGCGGCAGACTCGATATTGTCAAATCTTTGTTGAAGTACCAGCATATCAAGGACACCAATGATCGCTTTTACTCTGGAATTGTCAGACCCCATGCCAGTGGCTTCGCCGCTAGCCAGTACGCTGCAGCTGCTGTTGGCCACATCGACATTCTTCACGAGCTCCTTAAGCACGGTATTAGCAAGGAAGAGACTCTTCGGTATGCAGCTAGGGCCGGAGACAAAGCCTTAGTGATGAATCTCCTAGACCAGGGTGTTCCGATTGATGCTCCCGGATCTGTTTCAGACCACCCTATGGCACTTCAATCGGCGGCCCGAGGCGGCCACGTTGCCATCGTTCGGGAACTTCTCTCTCGCGGAGCCGACCCCAACGATAATTCGGAATGGTCATCGCCTCTACTCAGAGCTATAGCCGGCGGTAGTGTGGAAATACTTCAGGTGTTGATCGATGCCGGCGCTGAAGTAAATACCAAGTACCCGTACCCGCTTGACCACGCGATTTCGGCGGACCGAGATGATATGGCCGAGATATTAGTGAAACACGGAGCAAATGCGCATAAAGGAGTGCGAAGAGCCGCTATCCGCGGCGATTTCAAGGCGTTCATTCTCCTTGTGAAGCTAGGAGGCGACATTCGAGCAGAACTGAGTGATTACACCCACATCGTTCAAGCAGCAGCTCGGGGAGGCTCGGTCCGCATCATGAGGCATTTGCTAGATAACGGCATGGAGGCTGAACCAAACATCGCTGGCCACACAACACCTCTCATGGAGGCCCTCCGGAGTGATCATTCGAAGGTGGCAGAGCTGCTCCTTGACCGCGGCGCCAACGTCAAGGCACCACCGCCAGCCTGTCTTGATAACCCTGCTCCTCAAGGAGAATCATACTACAATGGTCATGTTTGGCCACCTCCTCCAGCTGATGAGACGCCGTTGACGACAGCAATCGCGAAAAACTACAAAGACATTGCACGCAGAATAATGAGCCTTGAAGGGTCAGTCACGCCCGATACACCCGACACAACAGGCACGCCACTCCTCTATGCAGCATGGGAACAATGCTCCGACATTGTCAGTGATCTCCTTGGGAGAGGTGCAGACCCAAACCAGAGGGGGACAGTTTTGAAAAGAGAGAAGCCGACATTCCCACTCCTCCTCGCCATCGAGAAAGGAAACGTCGACATTATCAACCAGCTCATCAACGCAGGCGCTAAGGTTGACGATCAGGACACCGAAGGGTTTAGCCCCCTGCACGTCGCCGCTGCAAACAAAAACCCCGAGGTTCTAAGGATTCTCATCCAGGATCACCATGCGAGCATCACTCCAACGCTGCTAAACGGAAGCCAGCCCATTCATTCGGCGGCCTCGAGAGGCACGGCCGAACACGTCAAGATCCTGCTCGACAATGGAGCAGCCGTCGATTGCAAGAACAACGAAGGCAGAACACCTCTGCACTGGGCGGCGAACGGAGCCTGCTGGGACTCTGTGGAGCTGCTTTTGGACCGAGGCGCAGACGCGAGCGTCAAGAGTGACGAGAGCGGTCCTAACACGGCGCTGGATCTTGCTCATCTGGCGAGAGAGAAGCCTGACTGGCAGAAGCGAGACGATATAGTGAAAAACTGGGACGGTGAGAGAGTAGAAAAGCTGTTGCAAAGATTGAAGTAGGCCATGATAGGGTAGAGTATCTAGGCTGGAAGGTTGCGAGTCAGTCTGGAGAGTGCGGCCTCCATCTAAGCCTGAGAAATATTGACCTCTTAACCCAACCAATGACATATCCACCCTCAGCTCCAACATTACTTTTTACGTATTGCTGCATCACGGCGCGTGCCTAAACAGTTGCGGGATTCGGCTTTAAATGCCTCCGAATGATACACAAGACGCACCGACGGGGCGGACATTGCACCGACGCCCGCCCAGAATGCATCCCGTGTATGCCTCCGACGATGAACCTGGCTTGGGTCGGAAGATAAATCTAGATGAATAGATTCCTGGAGAGTTTCAGTTCGTCGTATCGTGCCACTATCAGCCCTATGTGATTGTCTTCTGGCTGAAGCGCAAACCCGGTCCAATCCCGGACCAGGTGGCATCCCTGGTCAGCCTTAACCGTGTGCATCTCAGACAAAGAGTGGGAATAGGGCGGTGATCTCATCCCTGCGCTTCAAAATCCTCCGTGTGGTTCAACTGCAGGCCCATGGGTGACGCAGCCGAAAAAAAAAGCATCCGAGGAGTCAGCATGCCTAACGTCGTAAGCTCGTCAACGTAACCCCTAATTCTCATTCGATTCGTGTTATATATCTCACTGTTAGACAAGTAATGGATCTTCTATTCTTTTGTTCAAGCGACACAGCCTTCGACCGCCTTTCAATTCTTGCTCATGGCTCTAACACCGCATCCTGACGGCTCCACGCCACCCAAGGAGACCCTTTCGGAGGTCCAAACTAGTCCAGCAACCGATTCTCTAGACTCCAACGCCCCGCTTGGGGATAGAACTGAGAATGAGACGGACAGTCCTTCAACGGAAAAGGCAAAGAAACCCGCCTTCAATCGAGACTGGCGCTTCTGGATGATCATGGTGACGCTCGTCATATCGACTCTCCTCTCGTCCCTCGAATCTACCGTCGTCATCACCTCTCTCCCCACAATCGTAGGCGACCTCAAAATCGGAAGCGACTACATCTGGATAACCAATGTCTACTTTCTAACCAGGTGAGTCCCCCGCAGCTATGTCTGCAGTGCTACTTGCTAACACGCCACAGCGCATGCCTACAGCCGCTGTTCGGCCAGCTCTGCAACCTCTTTGGGCGGAGAAATGTCATGGTTAGCATCTTTGCGATATATACCTTGGGCAGCGGCATCTGCGGCGGGGCCAATGGCGCGGCCATGCTGATTGCTGGTCGGGCAATCCAAGGCATCGGAGCCGGGGGAGTCGCTGTAGCTGGCGATGTCATCATGTCAGACCTCGTTCCCTTGCGGTACAGAGGCAATTATATCGCCATTCTTCTTCTTGTTGCAACAGTTGGGTTCGCCGTCGGCCCGTTCATCGGAGGCCTTATTGTGGAGAGGACAACCTGGAGATGGGTGAGTCGTTAAACCGGACGCGAGGATATATTCGCTAACCAGGCCTGACTTAGATATTTTATCTTAATCTCCCCCTCGGAGGAGTAGGTATGGTGATTGCTTACATGTTCCTCAACCTCCAATGGGATCGAGAGGAGTCCACAATGTCCAAACTTCGTCGCATCGACTACGGGGGCAACGCCATTCTCTTTGCCGCGAGCGTCTCAATTCTCATCGCCCTGACCTGGGCCGGCCCCATCTACCCGTGGGCCGACGCGCGAATCCTCGTGCCGCTCTTTTTAGGAGTCGCAGGCCTCGTCGGGTTCGTGCTCTATGAAGGATCTGGCATTCCGATCGACCCTGTCATGCCCATCCGGCTCTTCCCCCACCGCACAGCACGCATCGTCTACTTTCAGACGTTTCTCAACTCGGTTCTCATCATGTGGTGCTATTACTTCCTCCCGCTTTACTTCCAAGGAGTCATGATGTCGTCGCCATCGAGATCGGGCGTGCAGATGCTTCCTATCGCTCTGATTGCAATCCCAGGAGCCGCAGTATCGTCGCTGATGCTCTCTAAATGGGGCAAATACAAGCTATTACACATGATTGGCTTCTTCCTCCTCAGTCTGGGCGGAGGAATGCTCGCCCTCCTCAGCGACGACAGCCCTGACGCTGCCTGGGTCCTCATTCAATTCCTTCCCGCCATCGGCTCTGGCTTCTTGCTCAGCACCCTGTTGCCGGCCTTCCAAGCCTCAACCGAGGAGATCGACCAAGCTGCAGCAACCGGGACGTGGTCATTCATCCGCACCTTTGGCATGGTTTGGGGAGTCGCCGTGGCGGGGACAATCTTCAACACCTATACCAAGCAGTATGCGCACCAGATTGACAACGAGATGGCGCGAGAGCACCTGTCCTCGGGCGACGCCTACGCGAGTGCGACGAGGGACTTTCTCCTTCAGTTTGAGCAGCCCGTCCGGGACCAGATCCGCCACGTCTTCATGTTGTCGCTGCGAAAGGTATACGCCATCTCTGTTGCCTTTGGGGGATTGGCATTTTTCCTGGGGTTTTTTGAAAAGGATGTCCCGTTGCGAAAGGAGCTTGAGACGCAGTACGGGTTGGAGGAGAGAGAAGGACAAGGAGCAGGTCTGATCTAGAGAGACCAAGTCATGACGGCTCAATTAATTCCGCCACCTGGACTTTGCATAGAATAGAAACTGTACACATTAGATTAATTACATCAAAACAGCCATCTCCCTCTGTAATACCAATTGCATCACTTGTACATGGATCGGAATCCTCGACAACCACCCGCAAGTCGGCACCCAAAGAAGCCTCCGAAGAGCCCCACAAAATCCTCCGAACGGACCCAGCTCCGACCCCACCACGAACACGGCGCTGTGGTCTCACCCACCGGAGGCATCCGCATTGCGCAACGCTTCCATCAACTTGATTCTCCTACTCTCCTCCTCTCTCGCGATTGAGTCGTCACCAAGGCCTCTCCTCAGAATGCGCTCTCAATCGCCCACCCCGCATCCCAACCAAGTCCGGTCCGCCTGCGAGCGCTGCCGCCGCCAGAAACTCCGCTGCTCGCGTCCGGCCGCCGCCTCGGCCTCTTGCGCGCGATGCGCCCGGCTCAGCCTACCGTGCCAGCCGGGCCCGCAGCGTCGCATCGGCCGGCCTCTGAAGAAGGACCTGGTGCTGCGGAAAGCCTCCGGTTCTTCTGACACGGCCGTCAGCCTGGATGTGCTGGCCGACAGTTGCCCGGGCGGCGAGATACAGTTCCTCGAAGGCCTTCTCGATGATACTGTGCCCGCCACCGAGTGGACCACGGCGTTTAACTCACAGTTTGGCTCCGGCTGCTCTGAGACGGTCGGCTTTCCGTTGGAGATCTGGTCTCCCATCCAAGAACTGGAGCTGCCGTCCTACGAGCACCAGCTGATCCTGCCAACCAACACCCACTTCGAGGCACTGTCGCGGCTGAACGTGGACATTCGCAAGGGCTTGGAAAACATAACGCGCTTCGCAGTCCAGCCAACCTTTGAAGACTTCATTTGCACGCCTCACACCGACATGGACGGCTACAAGAATGTCCAGTTGCTCATGACGAATGGCCAAGCATTCTTAGACATCATCATGGCTCTCCACCGACAGCTCGGCACCCGGTCCGTGCCGAGGCAAACGCGTCCCCCATCTCCGAATCCCTTCGCTTTGGCGCTGGACTCTTGTTTCACCACGCCAGCGAAGCCTTCATCAACTGAAACCACCCCTGATGATGATCTGCCCGAGTCCACCACACACGACGCCCCAACCATGCTCCTCGTCATCTCCTGCTACGTCCAGCTCATCAAGCACATCGAGATACTCCTGGATATCGTATACGCATCCATCAACGACCCGAAATCAAGCCCCATCGGCCGCGCCCCCATGAGTTACGCCGATGTGCCCATTGTTCAGCCGTCATCCCAGTTCATCCTCTTCTGCGAGCTGGTCTGCCATGTTGTTGCGCAGATCAACCTCGTCCTAGGGCTCCCGAGCGCATGGTCTGGTCGAAGCGCCTGGACCGGTTTGTTGCGCCCTCAGAGGTATCGGAACCTGGTGAATGCCGAGTTGGGTGCCGTGGATGGATCATGGACAACACGTCCAGCAAAGGTGTTGGAGAAGACGAAGATGACAAAGGAAATGTTTGTCGAGCTTGCCATGATGGGGCTTGATGCATGATCTGGCATCCCCCCGTCAAACAATCTCCAAGCAAAGGTTAGTGATAGGAAGCAAGTTTTGTCATGCCAGGCTGAAGGAATGAGGCCTAATAGCCGATTCAGGCCGGGTTCTAATCATGGAACACAGTACACATTGCGACAAAATACAGAGATTAGCAAAAGAAGTACTCTGGCTATAACTAGAGACAATTACTCGAAGCATCAAGAATTGAATCAGCGCCAGGTCAATTTGGTGGGCGTAAGTATAACTCTACTCTAACGCATTCTAAAACGCATAATGATAATACCACCGAAACCTCAACCCCCTTTTACAAAAGAAATCATGTCTGGCCGTCTCATCGTAGTAGTGTACATCCATAGAACCTTCCAACGTCATCCCTAAACTCCAAGCGGGAAATCCAGAACTCAAACTAATCATCGTAGAGGTGCTGTAAAGGTGAACTCATACTCATTTCCTTCTGAAACACCAAACACGAACGGGAAAGTAGCCTTCAACTCAGTTGGGGCATTTCCTATCGTCAGAGCCGATGTTATTTGAGGAGAATGCCGGCTCCTCCAAGTAGGGTGCTCTTCGCAAAAGGCTCGCTTGTTGCGACCCTTCTTGATCGGTGTAGTTGGTGCCTTCCTCATCTCTGTACGGCGTCCAACAGTCCACTCGCAGGCTAGTACTCCGAACTTGACCTTTTCTGGGTTTTTGTGACAACTGAGCTTGCTTGTCTTTGCGTACTTGACGTACCGATCCTGCAGCCACGACGTTGTCTCAAAAACCTTGGATTTAACAGTCCACTCTTGGTCATCAACTTCGAAGTATGTCCTGTTTCCACCCTCGAACTTGCCCGGTGTCCTCTTGCCTAGATCTCAAGTCAGCTTTACTTCAACTAAAGTCAAGGGGGGACTCCACAAACCCTTAATTTTAGTCCCGGCCGCAGCTCCTGCACAACTGCTTTCTTGCCCATCTTCACTCATGGACTTGCGCAGAATGAGATAGTCGACAAAGTAAAAGTGCTCGAGGTTTGGCAAATATCGTGCGAGGAGCTGATAAAGGTGCTTCGGATACGCGACTCTATCGGGTGTGTTGTGTATCTGCCCACAAACCGAGCAACGGGTAGGCGAATGCTGTTCATGCCACTTGTGACAGTAGCGAACGGCAACTTTGCGGATTCTCTCAAGTCCTGGGCATTGAATAGTCTTTGTGAACTGGAAGCCATCTTCGAAAACATCCTGGGGGACGTATTCCAGAGATACAATGTCCGAGGAGATGTCAAGGCTGATCATCCGGCCACCACCCAGCTTGAGAGTGGTTGGTCGAGTCATCAGATGCTTGACGACATTCGCCGCCTCGTTACAAGTAACGGACAGCTTGGTGATTTCCTGGTTGAGTGTCGTGTAGTACGAAATGTCCGCTTCCGGGCTTGGATATAGTGGCACCAAGCTCGCACAGTGAGATACGGTCGGGTGCACTTCACGCCTGACCTCCAGGGCGATGTCGTCGTTTTCCTTATCCTCGTCGCTGCTATCCTCGGAGTCGGTATGAAGAGGGTCCATGCTCTTGGTCCACCACCTCCCACTGATTTCGGCGGACTGGATCTTGAGGAAGTGCATGCCAGGTGTCGAGAGCGTACATTCCCAAATCTGATGGCGGATCTCGGCGGGGAGACGGGCAAACGGCGAGAAGTCGCGACAGTCGTCGGGGATCTCGAACTTGATTTCTGAGTCCATCGTCGGGGACAAACGAAGGTCAAACTCCTCGCTAGGAGCGTCTCGGCGTTGGACCATGGCGCCAGTCTGGTTGTCGACAGCAAAGTCGAGCGAGTTCATGGCTGGAATGCCGTGTCTGGGGCGAACTGGCAGCTCGGGACCAGGACGCAGGCAGGCAGGCCGGGGACAGACTGAGACCCGAGACTCAGGTGGAAAGGAGAGTGAGGATACAGAGTATCGGTGCTGGTGAAGTTATGATAAAGGAATGAGGTTGAGAAGGAGAGCCGCATCACGGGGTCGTTGTTCAGGCAGCTGAGGTGGGGTATCGAAGCCCAGTAGGCAGGCGCCTGTCACGGTCCAGTCACGGTGCTGTTATTAAGCGACACTATGCCGTTGAATCGCACAAACGGCTGAAAGTGGCTGTTAGGGTAAGAATGTTTGCACGAAATTGACTGGTTGCTGTTCCAATTAGTGAATTTTAGGGGAAATAGCGGTGGTTTAGCAACATCGCTTCCAGTGAATCAATCACTACTGCCCTCCGTACCCATGTAGTGAGGTGTTGCTGCCTTGCGCATTGGGCTACGCATCCACCCGATTGGCGTCCAATTCACGCGGTTTCCGTCCGTCAAACTCGGAAACACCACCATGACGCGACATGGCGGTAATGGGGACATTAAATCATGCACTGCATTAAATTAGTCCAGAAACCTGCGGCTCTGTGCTGCGGAGAGTGAGCGTGATGCACAGCCCCATGTCTGGACCGTGGCGTCCTCAGCCAGCATACCGGGCTGAGACGAACGTCGATGGCGCAGCAACCCAACCCTCAGAGAGCCTCGCCAACTAATGCAATCGACATCAGCTAAGGAATACTCGCCTCTAATCCAATAGGAACTCTCCGTTTTTCGAACAGCTGGCGGCCACGAGAACTCCTCTCTCTATCCATCACTCTCCGATTGGCGCTTGTGCCAAACCTTGCGTGTCTCTGCCGCCATCACCACAAAACGTGTCACCCTCACAATCTCAGTTACACCAGGCAGGGGCTCAGCACGAGGGCGGCGGCGCCATCGCCGTCATTGTCGCAAAGCCAACGGAAGAAACTCGGGTTCCTAAACAACACGTCATTTGCACCATACCGACTGCTGGGCCTCCTCGACTCCTCGAGAGGCGAAGGCAACCATGCCGCTGGCGGGACTGAGAGACGGGCGACGCAATGATGCCATCGTCGACCAGCCTAGATCCCCCACTCTATAAGGCGCCCGGGGCGACGTCGATCATCAAACCATTCTGACGTCCATGTTCCACGTGCCCGTACAATCCTACCTCCCGGGGGCGTGTGTCGTTGATAGTCCTAGGCAATTAGCCTACCCTCAAGACATAGTTTGCACATCCATCCGTCTCCTGGCGGCATCCGTTTGCCTCTACCGGTCGTCGGGGTAGTGGAGTAGGCCCCTCCTCACCCCCGGTAAAGCCCCCGAAGATAGGGAGCTTGAGGGGCGAAGAGGATTGGGGGACAAGAGACAACATCGTAGTCGCATGGACACGCGGCCCCACTGACGGCCAAAAAAGACGTCATCTCATCCGGATGTTTCTTCAGCAAAATGTAAAAAATCTGGAAAAGAAAAAAAAAGGCGACCCGTCCTGGGCAAATGGTGTCATGTTGGAGTCTTGTTGAGGTCCAGACGGGCCTTTCTATGCGACCCCGGTTCTATGTGCCAGCGGCGGGGAGGGAGGGACCCCTATTATGACATCATGTGGGGCGCAATCGATAAGCTCATGCTTACCCTCCTGACGGGACCAAGGGTTCGGGCATGGAAAGGCCAACCGCCACGCTATGAGATTTTGGGGTAGCTGTTGAGAAATCTTTCGTGCTTCGGCTTCTCGTGTGCTACCCCCATTGACTATAGATTCTGGGAAAGATCCTTCGTCGCATGCATCAACTAGTACAATGATCCGCGGCTGCACATTGTGAAGGGGCACCAGAAGCTATCATGACACCTGGGAGCTTGGGAGGAGCTTGGCAAGCTTTGGCTTCATCCTCGGTCACATCTACCCCTCCCTCGCCGCGTCCCCAGCGTCAACAGGAGGAGAGGAAAATAGCTCAAATCAATCATCGCAGTCGAGCTCACCTAGCTAAGTGATCTACATCGCCACCCAAGCGCCAACGCTCTGCCTCGCGGTGAGTGTGGTGAGTGGCCCGAGTTGCCTCACGGCAGGAGACAAGGGTCCGGAAGGCAACCGAACTACCCCGGGACTAAGTTTTGCGTGGACTCTCATTCACTCCCTGTATTAGTGAGCGAAAAGAAGTGAGTCGCGAACCACGCGGCTTCGGCCTTGTTCCCTCAAGCCCACGGAAAATCGAGATTGGTGCCACAACGGCGGAGCACTGCCATGCGTGGCCACGCGCAGGCGTTGAGGTCATCGGCGATTGCTCTCATGTCAAAGTCGAGACCGCCCACCCCCCCCCCCCCCCCCCCGGGAGGACCCACTATCTGTCGTCATATCTTTAGAAATTGATGGGGGAAAAAGGCATGTTCCGGCCGGCCTCGACCCATTCATCTGGCTCGCATGGCTTGGGTGGTTCCCTGAGCTGAGGCGTTGCCTTCGGTGCAGCGTCCATCTGCTTGACCCTGGACGGGTTGGGTGGTGGCAGGGAGGGGACCGCAAAGCGTGGAATCCCCCCGAGCCCCCGAGCCCCCTTCACACATAAAAACCTGCTTGTGCCCACACTTGGCTGCTTGGATCTGCGGCTGTCTCACTATCACAATCGAAACAATCTCGCAGCTGCTATCCTTGGCTTCCCCCAGGGTTGGCCCTTCCTCGTCCCTCTCGAGCCTGAGGTGGTGTCGTTAGTGCAGAAGCTCCATGTAAGGCGATCCAGTCGGGTCTGACCCTTATGATGCAATTCCCGACGCTGCGGTTCCGCTACCCAGCTGTGCTCGCGCTCAGCTAGGGGCTCTTCAGCGCTCTCTTCCAGGCCTCATCCGCTAACAGCCCTACTAGATTAGCGATCTTGGCTTCAGCCCTACGCACCTGGGCGCCCGCATTCTCCACCAGCACCAGCGCCCATCATCCCCTCACGTCGCTACGAACGGCCCTGAGCACGCTCGAATTAATTGCTCGAATCCAGCCACCCGATGACCAGGCCCTTATGGACGGCGTATCATCCACCGGCGCGGTGCGCTACATAAATCTTCTTGAGTGCGGGCTCACCACATCCCAGTCCCCGTTACTTGTTCTGGCGATGAGGACCAGACCAGGCGCGTGTAATACCGTGCACTGGGCCGGGCTTCGTGCAGTCGCCGAAACAATAAACAACTTCCCATCCAATGCCTCTGGGAGAAGTCGAGAACTAATGCAGTGATGTTCCGCCCGTTTCAGAGCTGAATCCGGCGCGGACAACCAAGCCCAGCCTCCCAACCCCGCCTCTGACAATCCCAACCATATCCTCGTGTGCGTCCCTGTAGATCGCCAGTACAGCGTCAGTCGCTACACTCAGCCCAGCGACTATCTAGCTTTGGGCCATTCCGACCGCAGCCTCCGTGCTCCCCCAGGGCTTGCTCCGCCACAGACTAGGCGGGAGAGCATTCAGCGCATGAGTGAGATTCTCGGTGCCCTCGAGGGCCAACTTCAGTCCTCTTCTGCATGATTTGATGGCGGAGGGGGACTGCTATCGAGTAAAGATTTACTAGTGAGTTAGCTCCGGCTACCGCCATATCTCCATCCCCAACTCACCTTGCGTCTAGGTAGTCTCTTCACTGCGTGGGTATTGTTGTCGCGTGCTGCATGAGAAGGATGAGCGAGATGCTAAACGGCCCGTTCGTCATCCAGCCAAAATTTGTTTGCCTGATGACATGGCGATGCCAGACTTGATTAATTGCCCCAATAGATGGATTGCATGTACACTACGCCGCGTTCATCCACCCGCTCCTTGTTCACCATGTGCTTGATCTCCCATGCCAGCCACGTCGCGCTCGAGCCAGCCACGGCGAACGTATCGCCCGGAATCACCAAGATTTAGTAGTCCACATACCGCCTTTGTCGGCGCAAACATTTTACACTTCCTTGGAGTTTGAAATCAATGATGAGTTGCACACAAACCCCTAACATCTCTCATCGACAGACTACCCACCCGCAGGCCCACATCTGTATCAAAATAAATTGGCAGCTTTCAAATTCCCATCTTACGCGACGAGATCCGGATGCGCCGGAGTCGTAATGCACATGTATTGTGGACGGCACAGTTCTGGCCACGATGCCGACCAACTGCATCGCTCATTTAGCTACGGACTGGCGGCCTAGTGTGTTGCCCGGATGGAAGGGGGAGTTTCTGGCAGCAACTTGAAGTAAATAAGGTCCCGATAATCGAGATAGATTTGGATGTATTTTTCTGCTTCATTTAGGGACGTCATGCTTATTGCATGTATTCCGGACGTAAATATGTGCCGGTGGGAGTCTCAAAATCGCCGGTCACAGTTGGGTACCAGCCCTGACTTCTGTCCAACGCTTGGAATTCACGAGGAGAATGCTCAATGGAAAGTAAGCCTGGAAAACCACTGTAAATTAACGCGCATAACGGCAAACCCACAGTATCTTCACCCGGGCTCCCATTGCACCACACCCGTCTAAGTCCTGCTACAGGCATGGCACCGCAGAACTTGGAAGCATGGGCAGTACGAGGTGCTGTCCAGATGTTTCAGCCTTGGGCACGCTCATGTAAAGAGCCTGATACGTCTTGGCCCATGGCTGAGCCGTTCGGGTTGGTGTTACATTGGGCGCCGTGGGATCCCTGACCCGCGATAACCAAGGTAGCCACGACCGAAGACACGTCAGACACGCCATGGGCCTACTGAAGCCTCTAGTACAATGCGATCATGCTCTGCCGCCGGGTGGGATCCATTAGCAACAGGATGTTCGATCCATCTGCATCGTTTCCGCCGGAGCATGCGGCCCCCGGGACAGGGGACAACTTCGTACCAATTGCTGGCTGCCCGTTTCCAATTCGTCCTCGGCGCCTGTTCTGTGACTCGGCTCACATTGGCATCCCATCATGAGGTGGCAGTGCCAGCTGCAGCGCTCGGCCCAGCGCGGTGTGCGGTGAAAGACCCCAGTCGATCAAGTTACCGGCGCATCTCAACCGTCAATAGCCAGCTAAAGTGAGTACTCGACAGCCACGCCTCCAAACATCTCCTTTCATTTGACAAGGTAGTCTACGCCACATACCCGTCCCTTGACAAATTGGAAATACACGAACGCACTCTTCCTTGTGGAATTGTTGAGAACGTTGTCCACGTCACCGCAACACCCTGGCCGGGTTGATTTCTCATTGCTTTGTTTCTTGCCTCGGTGGAGGGGGAATTGACTGCTGGCAAAGCAAACACAAATTGTGGCGGCGCCTCCTTGGAGCGTCCGATAGAACTACACGTTTGGACGGTTTTTCCACTTGGAACCTTCAGAACTAGCCGGTAAGTGGCAGCCTTGATTGGCCGGTCATTGCTGGAACTGGCAGATCAGCCAGGGTCGTCAGAGAGCTCATGCATGTGTGGGGCCTATGGCCAAGCGTGCCCAGTAGGGAGCCAGAGGGCGCATAATCAATGAAGGTCGGCATCTTGCAGATGGCTACCGGCGGGATACACTAAGAATGGGCGTGCCACTAAAGTCAGCCAGCCGAGAAAGCATTGCAGCCGTCGAGCTTAACCTAATGCGCCAAATCCCGCCCTTTCTCCAGTAGTATTTTCTATCATCAGGATGTTGATTGGATACGCAGTATGCAGTACACCGAATTCAATGCCGCTGATGATACAGTACATCAGTATGTCGGCTACGTGCAGGATTATGAAGTAGAATATCGGTACCTATGCAGGAGATTGGCGTGCATGCGACATGGTATCCTGGACGCCACATGCACTTGCGGGGACATCAAGTATGTAGTTCATCTCAGCATTCACCTTCCACGTCCCTCAGCAGTCAAAGGCCATTTCCTACCGCTCCAACTGCCGCGCCGATGAGCCCATTGGTTCGCAATGTGCCCTAAACGACGATGATATGAATGGCTCTTGGTATAAAGATAGCTGGGAAACCCAGCCAAAAACCTGGACCCAGCCTCAAGGCCATCAGAGCACCTTCTACTTCTCCACGAGGGCCTTATATCAACGGATCCTACCAAACCCCACCCATCCAATCATTCAAAAAAAGCACCTCCCTCCCTCCCTCACTTACCTGTGTTTATGATGTCGACACCCATTCAATCGTAAGACCAATTCCCCTTCCGCCATACTTCCACCACATCCACTGCTCTACACTCCCTCAGACAGCCCTCACGATTTTTCCTCCGCCGTTGCTGATGCTCATTACCGAAGCAGTCCAGGGCGTGTGACCTTTACGTCGGTCCCAATTGACCCCACCTTCTCCCTCCGGAAATCCCTGGCCCAAGTCGTCGATCCTCACCACCGTCCACCACCAGGATTTCGGCCGCCGCTCACTGTCTCGGCTTCAAAAAGGCGGATGGAGAAGATAATAAAAGAGTTAGATGGGCCATTAAGGTGACAAAGATTTGATAGCCTATATGCAGTAATGCTAAGGAGAGCCAAAGGACCAAAGCACTTTTGAAAGCTGGGTTCGGTGTGTTTAGTCTCTCGTCCAGCTCACGGAGACAAAAGTCGGTTTCGTCTGATCCCAATCCAATTCCAGCCATATTTTCACGTCACCTGTCTGGTTGTCTCAATTGATTACGCTGTCCGACGGTGCTGCCTTGGGATAGACTATACCGCGTTTGTCGTCAAAGTGCACTTGTCGACACAGCGCATCCACACAGACCTGAGTATCCCATGCCACACCTCGCGGCTAAAGCGACCTGTGTTTTGTGTAACGTGTAACACCGAGGTGACGAGGTGAAAAATTTCACGTTCTTAGCTTTGCATAATGTAAATTCCACACGGTTGAAAGCTGCAACAGACCCGAATTGGATGATGGAGAGAGACTGGGGAGCCGGCTGGCACACAACGCAGTGTATTTCACAGGCTGATTGGATTCCTCATCATTATCTATGATGCTGGATTACGGTGGTGACACAGGCCCCAAGGAAAGGAGACGGGTCCCGGGAGTAAGGAAGCAAACGGGACGGCGCGGTAGCCACTCGGCACTCCTCCGCCGTGCTGACGGCCTCGAGGGTCCGAGGTGCGCGGACTAAATCATAAATCATATTTAGTATTACAATTCTCGGGCGAGGCAACCAAGGCCAGGGCCGAGCGCGAACACGAAGCAAGGACACTAACAGGAGGCATCCAAGGCTAGGGGGGGACGCAAGCTGACCCGGCTGCATTTGCATTCCCCAACGAATCAACAGGCCCTCGAGCATACAAGCCTGGCGAGAAGCACCGAATCTGGATGTGCTCCTTGTGATTTGAATGTGCCGTCGCCTGATATCCGAATTGCTGGCCGAGCTACGCGGCGCAATGTAGATAATCAGCTACGGGATGACATTACACGAGACCGCCCACACAAGCAACTACACATTGACTCATGTCTCACTTCTGGCACCCACGCCACGTCTACATCTCCGTACAGTTTACATCTCAATCCAACAATTGCGTGGAGACCCCATCTTTCGGCGATAATGGCCAGCTGGTTCATTATTCAGCGGGCCCCGCCGTCGCATCCACTTCTACGGGGAAGATTGGCGGCCACGCTTCTGATTATCTCCGAGATCGTCCCGCCAAAGCTTCTTTTTGGCCCCACAAATCCGGGGTTGGCTGACGCCAGCCATCGTCTCAGTGATGGGATGGCATCATTATCCAAAGCAGCAAGGCAGGGGCGAAGCCGGGAATGTTTATACGATACGAGTTCAATCAGGACGGACATATATAAGACATGTCAAATCCCTTGAATAAATAGAACTGCAAGCATCCTCCAAACGTCCTCTGCACACTATCAACTATCACCATGTCCAAGTACAACGCCAAAACCTCCATCCACGAGCTCGTCTCCGACTACACCCAAATCATCAAGGGCAAAACCATCCTCACCACTGGCGTGACTCCCAACAGCCTCGGCCACATCTTCGCCTCCGCAGTCGCGGCCGCCTCCCCCGCGCTGCTCATTCTCGCCGGCCGCAACCCCGCCAAGCTCCAGCAAACGGCCGCCGCCATCGCCACCGCGCACCCGGGTGCCCAGACGCGGAATCTCGTCGTCGACCTGTGTTCGTTGGCGTCTGTGCGTAAGGCGGCGGAGGAGGTCAACGCGTGGACCGATGTGCCGAGTGTCGATGTCGTCGTGAACAATGCAGGTGTCATGGCCGTCGACTTCGCCCTCACGCCAGATGGTTTCGAGACGCAATTTGCCGCGAGTCACATCGGCCACTTCCTCCTCACCAACCTCATCATGGACAAGATCCTGGCTTCAGAATCCCCCCGCGTAGTCAACGTCTCCAGCGACGGCCACCGCCTCGGTCCCATGAGGTGGGCAGACCCTCACTTCAGTGTAAGTCATCTCCCCGCCCCCAACCCAACTACAGTCAGAACGCTGACCGTCTTAGAATGGGGAAACTTACAACAAGTGGTACGCGTATGGCCAGGCCAAGACTGCCAACAACCTCTTTGCCCTCTCTCTTGCCGACAAGCTTAGCAAGCGCGGCCTTCACGCCTATAGCCTACACCCAGGTGTCATCATGACGACCAGTCTAGGAAACCACGTGGACGATGGGTTTGAATCCCTCGGTAAGCATCCCTCGAATAAGCTAGACCTAAAAGTCCTGACCCTCTTTAGTCACCACAGATCGGCTCCTGGGCAACAAGGAAGGCTTTCAGGGCGAGTTTGATGTCGTTCCGGTCGAGGTCGGCACCGCGACGCACGCGTTTGCTGCCTTCGATCCCAGCATCTTGGATCAGAATGGTGCTTACTTGATAAAATGCCGAGTCGCAGATCCCTACGTTGATACGCTCAAGCCATGGGCCACGAGTTCCATCGAGGCCGACAAACTTTGGGAACTGAGCGAGAAACTTGTTGGTCAGGAGTTCAAGTATTGAGCTGAAGGAGAAAGGCACCCTTATGTATCACTGTAGCTCGCAATACCATGTCATCATCTGGCAATCCCACCATCTCCAACGTAACTTTCGCCTCAACCGCGCCAAGAACCACGATAACCTTACACTCCACTCCATCGACGCTAGAAACCGTTTGAGGGTCTCAATTAACAAAGAGTTTATTTCTTCCCGCAAGCCACATTCCCATCCCAGGAATACGGGTCGGTCCCTAGCCGCATATTTGTCTCACTGAGCGGTGTAAGTTGATAGGTGCCCGTGCCAAGACCACATTCCAAACACGATGCAGGTCATAATAAGCTCATCAGGTCCCACTCGCCTTGGAGAGGCTCAAAGCTCACATGCAACGTGAATTTCGGGTCTCGGTTGGTGATTGGGTTTCGAATGGTAAGCGAACCGCGGGGCGATGTTACGCTGCTTCCGCGTACAACAGGGACCCAGGGATGCAACAATGTGAGACAAGCATCGAGACATGGTTCAGAGCTCGGTGGATGGGTAGTATTGGTGTCGCGGGTACAAGGCTTATGTTAAACTGAATCGGCAGAAAATCTTGTCAAGATACCGGACTCGTATTTGGGCTGTTGACCTCAAAACATCTCTATACGCAAGGAGAGGGCTTGGCGAAATAGCATGAAACCCAACCAGCACCATCCTCCCATTGCGTTGTCCCCAACGCCTCTATCGCGCTCTCATAAGCCAGCGCATATATATAAACAAAATCAATCGCCTGTGGAGGCTTTTCCCATTCCAAGACGCCGTTAAATCACGCTTCATATCCACAACGTCATCATCGTCATCAGCAGTTGACCCTCGCCACCGGCCCCCATTCTTGTAGCACACTCGGCTCTTGCACCGCCATGCCCTTGCCGCTCAACCACGCACGGCATGCTTCAAAGTGCGCATACTCCTTAGGGTTGTATCCCCGCGATCCGCGCATCTTGACGTCGGTCACCTGAAGCATACCGCGTCCCGCCGCGTCTCGCGCGTGCACGTTAGCGCCATGCTGCACAAGCGTCCGCATCGCCAGCTTGCGACCGCACCGCACTGCGATATGTAGTGCCGTCTCGCCCGCGCGGTTGCGGGCGTTGACCTCGGCACCCGCAGCGATCAGACGGGACAAAATCTCCGGTCCAGTCTTGTAGTCTTCGTCCTCGGGGAGCTGGGCGGCAAAGGCCATAAGCGGGGTGTTGCCTTCGCTGTCGTAATGGTTGGGGTCGACACCAGCCTGAAGAAGTCCATCGAGGAGTTGGAGACGGAGATTCATCTTCTCAGTAGATGAGTCTAAGTCTCGGGGCTCCTGGTTCTTCTTGCGCTTCCTATCAGCACCGTCGAATCCATACCTCTTCACTATGCTCGAGTAGCTGAGCGTTGCAGCGGCAAGACAGTGCAAGCCATTCCGCCCATCCGCATACTCCTCACCGGGCTTCACGGTAGCGGAGCGAACAAACGCGACAAGCTCTGACTCTTTTGCGACAGCGGCATCAGCGTACATTTCTGGCGTAAACGTGAACTGAGAATCGGACGGCGGTGGATCAAGGTCCATCCTCTGGGTGTAAATTCGGTTGAATCCCATCATCGGCTCCAGCTCGGGTCGGGGGGTCACGTTGAATGCGTCGCGTTTCATGTATTTGGCCAAGTCGTAGCTCGGCGCAATCTGGTTGAACGTACTGCGAGGGGCGTCGTCCGCAAGTAGAATGTGGAATATGGTTCGTCCGTAGTGATCCCGGGCATTGATGTCGACGCCCTTCAGGGTCACCAGGATGAGCAGCTGGGAGAGCATGATGGGGTCCAGGAAGCAAGAGCTATGCAAGACATGAAGAAACGTCTGGCCAGCCGTGTTCCTCGCATTGAGGATGGGTCCGCATCGGTCAGAGTTGATGACCTCCACGAGATGCTGGGTTGCTCCTCGGGCGGCTAGGAAATGAAGAATCGAATTGTCGAAGCCATCTACAACACCCAAATCAACACCATCAGTGCCGCTCATGAGAAGCCGTACAGCATCGGGGTTCAGGCCATTCGCAGTGGTAAAAGGCGAGTCCATGATCTCGGTCTGGGCGAAGCATAGGCAGGATCTTTTGTGGTGTTGCTCAGCCTCTTGGAAACACGGGGGCTGCTGCCCGACAAGGTAATCGAGATTCAAGAAATCGCCAGGTAAAAAGTACGGTCTGTTGGGCAAAGTCGGGGGCGCATCATCGTCGCTGAGCCAGGAGCTGTAAGCGGCCCCAACGTCTGAAACGGGCGACATACTCTCTGCGCGGTGGTTGATCGGGGCCGTGAATCTCTTGACGAGTAGCTTAACAGTCCGAATGTAAGGCTCCGAGTAATCCGCTAGCACGCGCTGGAGGGAGCCCGTCGTTCCTTGCGTGCCCTGGGTCGACGAGGACATAAAGGTCGTCCGGCGAAGAAATCGGCTCAAGGGGCTGTTGGAATCCTGGTCATTCGATCGATGCGCCTGTCTCGAGTTCTGTCTCGAGGCCTGCCTTTGAGCGACGTAAGGTGCCGCCGGAGAGGGTGTAACGGGAGGAGGGAATTGGTGAAAGGGCGGGACCTCGAGAGTGGTCGGGCTCGTGCCGGTCTCTCTCTTCATTGACGAGTTCGGGTCCGGGTTGAGGAGTGGCGGATCGGAGGCGGCGTGGGGCCGTGCGGATGTTGAACCGCGACTCGAGAGCGATCGGGTCGGTGAAAGGGCGAGTTCATTCAATCGGCGGCCCATGTCGCTTTCGCTTCGAGGGTGTAGCCATCGAGGCTCTTTGTCGAGGAGGCCGTTGATTTTCTTGTTGGCCGATTCCTTCCTACAAACACGCAGTGCATCGGTCAGCGGGGAGCTTCTCATGGATGCGGGGATTGAAATGCGCGGCAGCATTTGGCCGGGAGTCATTTGAGGGGCACGTACCCAGGAGCGGCTTCGGGAGACCTAACATGCACGACCTCGATGATCTTCTGGAGGGGCAGTGTGGTGTAGAGATAGAGGCGCGAAACCTTGCGCTGCGACGAGTTGTTCCACAGCGGCGGGCGGCCGGTGTTGGTATTGTTAGAGCCGGAGGGCGAGGCGGACGAGAATGGAATCCTCAGCGCCGAGGGCGAGGACGAGCCGCCGCCGTTCATGCCGGGCGACGATGAAGAGTCCAGCGTGGGTTGGCGATGGTGGCAAGGGCGATGTTTCGACGTATTGGCGATTGGTTAATCAGCCAGATGCACCGTCCCGATGACTTGTAAATGCAGGACAAGCGCCATCACGAATGGGAGTGGGCGACGGGGCTGGACAGGTTATAAGGCGCATGGCGCCAGTTGCAAGGCGACGGGAGGAAGGTAGGGCAAGGTGGTAGCTAGCAGGTGGGACGGTGGCAGGTGCCATGCGGGAGGTGGCAGGCGGCAGGTGGCAGGCGGGAGGAAGGAGCAGAAAATCCACATCCGGCAAAGCTGGCCGCGGACCACGGTCGCATGGAGGCAGTGAGACAGGACGGGCAGGCAGAGTGGTGAGCACCGGGAGGGGAGGGGGATGCGACTGGGACGAGTGAGACGTTGGGTGTAAGACCTGTGTGACCGCGTGCCAGGTGAATGGCCTATGACGCTATGCACAATCATGGCCCCCAATTCCTTGGATCCAGCCACTGGTGGCCTCCCGTTTGCTGCAGTTGGGTGGCATAACTAGGGCGCTGGGCGCGACCTCCAGAGGGAACCTACAGCGGGCATCAGGGCGAACGGTGGAGGAGGCCTGGACGGTGGATAACGGCCTCCAGGAATCGGGCCTGGGAGGGTTCCCGAAGTAGAGAACCGCTCGGTCTGACCCGACGCCAGACCTAATCGCCTCCAGCATCTGAGCCGCCGTCAAGCATGGAAATGCACAGCACAGTCACGCTTCCCCTCATTGCACTCATACCCTCGTGTTTGTTTTCCTCCGTTTTTGCACTTCCACACAAAATCCGCCCGGAGACGTTGCTGCGCCTCCCCTACCAGATCGCAGCCGGGAGGCCTGGCTGCGCCGTTTGCCTAACCAGATGTTCGCCACATCTCGTCCCCCTCCTCTTTGCCTTGGCTGCGCTTGTGTGCCAATGCCGTGTTTCCCGGGGCCGAGAGCTAATGCCAACGCACAGGTTTGGCATGGCAGTCGAGGCAATTCCGAGCTCCCATTCGGCACACTTTAATCGTGCATATCGAGGCTATTTCGGTAGTGACACTGTTCGTCTGGCGGCTCCAGAGTGCAGATTCAAACGCCACGACCTGCAGGTAAGCGCCAACCTACCATCTGAGATCTAACGTCACACTCAGAAAAGGCCTCCCCACCTCCACAACCCCCCGAAACTAAACATTCAATTAATCAGATCGTCAATCACATAGCCCCATTTACGAACATCAACATCTTAAACTGGTGGCCTCCAGGTTTCACCAACGTTCTGATCGATCGAGAGGGAATAACAGAGGCGCAGGATATCTCCGCGTGGCTGTACGGCGTGTGGCGCATTACTCCGACTCCAGTCGAGCCAGCACACCTGGGCCGGCCATGTTTGCACAGCCACGCAAGGCGTCCAACCAGGCATCCACCACATTTCACCTCCCATTCACCTGGTCACCCATCCATCTTTGCGGCATCGCCTAGTGTCCCCGTTCAGTCATTGTCCTCGCTAGCTGCCCACTCCCATTGTGCTGGACTTCATGCGGGCCATAAGGCAGAGTGAGTCGTTAACCTATCACAACAATGACCGGCTACCCATGAAGAAGACAACGCATGCAATCTCCGATTATCTCTTACCATCCAACGATATCGAGCCATCTCATTTGACAAGGAAAACGTACCCCATGTCCGTAGCAGACCCAGGTCTAATCGCAAGAAATCAACAGTCTCCCAATAGCGTCTCCACTCTGCCTTTCCACCTCGAGTTAAAGACTCGATAAAAAAGTGAAACCAGGCTATTTCCATTTGGGTAGCCTCTGCTGGGGCATGACCTCAATTCTTCCCAAAGATGATACAGGCGAAAGTATAGGTTTTCCTCATGACGGCATTCTTGAAAGTCATAGCCTGAATTACGACTCTTGACCGCAGGTATTTCGATACCCACCTCATTGCGAGGTGTACAGTAGATCATTGGAAGAGCAAGGAGGCACGTACCGACAGATTATGTCATCACCCGGTGTCAATCCTAAGTCATGACCCTCAAGATCGAACGACAATGCACTTTACTTGGCAAATAGCCCGATCCCTTCGATTCATATCGAGCAAAGTTATCGATCAAACAGTTTCATGGTCGAGATAACGGCGCTTACACCACGTGGAATTTTTACCATCGTCGGAGAATTTTGACTTCCCGACCCACGACCCGGGAATGTGGGAGAATCATTGACGCGCCAACGAGCCTACCGTAAGACATAGAATGTGCAGCATTGAGACAGCAGGGTGGAAAGAATCAGATCCAGGAACAGGTTTCAATAGCAAACGGTCTTCTTCATAGAGGAGAGGTAATGAGTTACCAAAACAGATTAACCAAATTCATATCTATCGAACATATGAGATTATCACAAGCCGCGTAAGAGTACGAAATTCTCTCCCAAAAAAAAAACTCATAACCATTCTCCTCTTGGCCAAGCCAAAGTCGTCTAATTCGTACTATGTACATAGTGAAGCTTATTATATGTTTTAAAAATCAGTCAAAGGAAATAATCCACCCAGATCCATTTACAGGAGGACGGCAACGATACCGGCCGCGGCAGCGACCATCTCGAAGCCACCGACCATGCGGGCAGCGGCGCCAGTGACATAAGTCGGGGCGGCAGTGCCAGTGGCCTCGGAGCCAGAGCCGGTGGTGATGGTGGCAGCAGGGTTGCTGGGAGCAGCGTACTCGCCACCAGTCTTGGAGGGAGCGGCGTACTCAGAGTCGCTGCCAGAGACAGCAGCGGCGGAGGGAGCCTCGTAGCCGGCAGAGGTAACAACCACGACCGTGGAGTGCTTGGGGATGTAGGTCGTACCGGTGGGGTAGACGGTGGTGGTGACACTGCCGTAGGGGCAGTTGTGGACATCAGCAGGGCAGGTAGTGATAGTGTAGGTCTGGGTGGTGTAGAGGGTGGAAGTGATGTGACCCTCGGGGATGAAGGGAACATTGGTGGCCTTGTAGCCACCCTCAGTGACGGGGCAAACCGTGGTAGAAACAGCAATCGTCTCAGTGGTAACGCTGCCAACGGGGCAGTCAGTGACATAAGACGGGCACTTGGTGATAGTGTAGGTCTTGGTGCTGTAGATGGTAGAAGTGGTGTACTTCTCGCCACCATAAGAGGGAGGGTTGGTGGGCTTGGCGTGCTCCTCGGTGACGGGGCAGATGGTGGTGGAGATGGCAATAGTCTCAGTGGTGACATGGCCGACAGGGCAGTCGGTCACGTAAGAGGGGCACTTGGTGATGGTGTAGGTCTTAGTGGCGTACACAGTGGAAGTGGTGAACTTCTCGGTCACGGGGCAAACCGTGGTGGAAACGGCAACGGTCTCAGTGGTAACGCTGCCGACAGGGCAGTTGGTGACGTAGGACGGGCACTTGGTGATGGTACGAGTGGTGGTCTCGTAGAAGGTGGAAGTGGTCATCTCCTCAGTGGTGGTGGTGGTAGCATGTCCTCCAGAGCCGCTGCTGGTAGTCTCGCCAGAGGTGGTGGTGGTCTCGGTAGCGGTGGTCTCAGTGCCAGAGGCGGTAGAAGCAGACTCAGTAGCGGTAGTAGACTCAGACTCGGAACCAGTGGTGGTGGTCTCGGAACCGGTGGCGGTGGTGGTCTCAGTCTCAGAACCAGTGGCAGTGGTGGTCTCAGTCTCGGAACCAGTGGAGGTGGTCTCAGAGCCGGTTGCGGTGGTAGTCTCAGTCTCAGAGCCGGTGGCAGTGGTGGTCTCAGACTCGGTACCAGTGGTGGTAGCAGTCTCGGTGCTGGTGGTGTCCTGGCCGCCGGGAGTGGTGGTAGTGGTGTCCTGACCACCGGGGGTGGAGGTGGTAGTAGCAGTCTCGGTGCTGGTGGTGTCCTGGCCACCGGGAGTGGAGGTGGTGGTAGCGGTCTCAGTGCTGGTAGTGTCCTGGCCACCGGGAGTTGAGGTGGTAGTAGCAGTCTCAGTGCTGGTAGTGTCCTGGCCGCCAGGGGTGGTGGTAGTGGTATCTTGACCAGCAGGAGTCGTGGTGGTGGTAGCAGTCTCGGTGCTAGTGGTGTCCTGACCACCGGGAGTGGTGGTAGTGGTGTCCTGACCTCCGGGAGTGGTGGTAGTGGTGTCCTGGCCGCTGGGGGTGGTGGTGGTAGTTTCTTGACCAGCGGGAGTAGTAGTAGTGGTGTCCTGACCACCGGGAGTGGTGGTAGTGGTGTCCTGACCTCCGGGAGTGGTGGTGGTGGTTTCTTGACCAGCGGGAGTGGTGGTAGTGGTGTCCTGACCTCCGGGAGTGGTGGTAGTGGTGTCCTGGCCGCCGGGGGTGGTGGTGGTAGTTTCTTGACCAGCGGGAGTAGTAGTAGTGGTGTCCTGACCACCGGGAGTGGTGGTTGTGGTGTCCTGGCCGCCGGGAGTAGTCGTGGTGGTGTCCTGGCCGCCGGGAGTTGTGGTCGTAGTATCCTGGCCACCAGGGGTAGTGGTGGTAGTGTCTTGACCAGCAGGAGTGGTAGTGGTATCCTGACCGCCGGGAGTAGTAGTGGTGTCCTGACCACCAGGAGTAGTGGTAGTATCTTGGCCGGCGGGAGTTGTGGTCGTAGTATCCTGGCCACCAGGGGTAGTGGTGGTAGTGTCTTGACCAGCAGGAGTGGTGGTAGTATCCTGACCACCGGGAGTGGTGGTAGTATCCTGACCACCGGGAGTGGTGGTAGTATCCTGGCCACTGGGGGTGGTAGTGGTGGTGTCTTGGCCGGCAGGAGTAGTAGTCGTAGTATCCTGGCCACCGGGAGTGGTGGTAGGAGTAGACTCAGGAGTCGTTGTCGTGTCTTGACCAGCGGGGGTGGTGGTAGTAGACTCGGCAGTGGTGGTGGTGCTATCACAATCATCATCATCGGGAGTTGTCGTGGGAGTGGTCTCAGATGTGGTTGTGCTGTCACAGTCCTCATCATCGGGGGTTGTGGTAGGAGTAGCCTCGGTAGTGGTTGAATCGCAGTCCTCGTCACCGGGAGTAGTGGTAGGAGTGGTTCCGGGAGTAGGGGTCTCATCACAATCCTCCTCGTCGGGAGTGCAGTCGCAAGCCGAGAGGGCGTAATCCTTGGTGCCGCAGTATGAGAGAGCCGTCAACTCGGCTGAACGGCCGCACTCAGATGACTGCAGCTCCGGGCAGATGGTCTCCGAAGAGTGGACATAGTTGTAGCAATCGTCAATAACGCACGCATCCCCGGTGTAGATTCCGCGAGGGGCCGAGGCCGAAACCAGGCCGACGGCGAAGGCGCCGACAATGAAAGCGCTCTTCATTTTTGAGTGAGTGTCGTAAAAAGAGCAAATAACGAATGGACTGCGGGTAGTGACTCAGAGGTAGCTGAGAAACTGATACTCCGCGATTAGGAACGAATGTATTAATGAAGGTGGTGGGAAGAAACAGAAGAGAGGGAAGAAGGACAAATGGTCGGACGACGTTCCTTAAATGGATATGACGGCCAGCACCTGCATTCGACTACCGATTCGGTGCATGGGGCGGCGTGGGCATCTCTCCTGTCCCTCTCCCCATCTTCCTCGCCGTTGTCAGCCAGCAAGTGAGGAAGAAGCCCTGGCGTGTGCCTGCGGGTGCGTTAGCCTGGGCCGCTATCGAAGCAGCAAGAAGGCGTACCAGGGTGCGGATGGAGTTCCTAGCCCAGATCGGGATGATACGAGCAAGCGTAAATGACCCGCCGGTGCCGTGAGGCCGGATGCCCAGGCTGGTGGGGCCTCAGCCCAGTGTGGACGGAATCCTGGTGCATGCTGGGTTGAGGAGATGAAGTTGGTTGTGAGAGGGAAGCACAGCGTTGTGCGCGCCTACGCCGTGCGAGGAGAAAAAGAAAGGTGGGACCGCGCCATTGGACCCGCCCAATGGCGCCTAGTGGCTGTGTGGCTGGCGCCGTTGTCTGATCTCAGCCAACCCCTGCCCCGACCCCTGACTAACAGCAAGGGCCCGTTGCCGCCGTGTCCGAATTAGGGCATAGCATTCGCGCCCTAGGGCAGCTAAACTAGACGGCTGCAGGCACAAACCGTGGCGTTTTTCAGCGTCGTCCCAGTTGTGCACAGCAGATTAACGGGTTTTTAGCGCTCATTCGGGGCGTCGCTAGAACGTCACTGATGGAGCGCCGGAGGGGGGGAGGCGTTCTATAGTGCCTTGTGGTGCTCCTGGCAGGCGCCATGGCAATGAAGGAGGCAAAAGCTCTCTGTCAACCGGCAGCTCACTCGGGCTTGGAATCGTAGGTTGTGTGCAGGCGGTCAGGCCAAAATTTGCCAAGAAAATAACACAAGAACAACATCCTTGTAACCTCGAGCCATGATGCCAACACTTGCTCGTACTTGCTCTTGGCTTTTTCTGCATATGCCCGCCCTGTGTGTGTGTGTGTGGTGCAGTGTTGACAGTCGGGCGTTCTCTGCGGCTCGCCTCGCACCTAAACACGCGGACATGCGCCAGCCGGCAGCCGCAAAAAAGCCCCCGTGTGTGTGTTCATCTCCCGGCGCCCGTCAGCTCAGAGATAAACCCCCCTGCACAAGTTCTTCCTTCGCCCTTTCCGTTATTTTTAGGCCTCTCCCTCTCGGAGCATTGTGAGGACGGGTCCCGGGAGATGAAAGGTGAGATCGGTGCAGATTAGCCTGCGCCTTGCTTCGAAGGGCTGATGGTATCTTGAAGAATGATACCGAATAGAGGATGCCGAGACGAGCACGTCGGGATGGGACCCCGACGCCTCTCAGCCGCTTTCAAAACTGCCGATCCCTTCTGGTCACAACACTACTACGTAGTCCTACACACAATCTTCAACTCTAACCGTCATCGGTCGGGGCTCGGCAGCGAAAATAGATATTCGCAAAGAGGCGGTTCTCTTATCGCCTCCCCCCCTCATTGTGCCCATCTGCCCACCTCGCAGCGTCACCGGATCGACGATCAGTTCGATGCTTCAACGCGAGCACTGTGTAGGTGGAAGCTCTTCGTGTTTGTCCCCACGGCTCCTGCAGAAACTTCCCTACCCAAGCCGAATTTTCACTACCTGTTTTCGTATCTCGTAAGCTGTAAACCTCTCGATTCTTGCCCGACCACTTAGATGCGTATGACGCCTTGTCACCTTCCCACTAGCATCCGTCGGGCTTCATCAGGGTCCTTGCTAGCCGGAACTGATATCATGCCCAGTACCGGTGTGACTCGCCTCTATTGACACATCAACAACTGCCCGACTCTGCCTTGGCATCTCTGATGGCAAGGCTTCATTCGGTCAGGAATCAGCCCAATGCAACTGGGCGCTCCGTATCTGGCAAACGACCAGAAAGCCACGACGGATTTGAAAACAGCTATGGTAGCTCAGGAGAAGGCCGTAAGGCGGAGTAACAGCAAGCCGCGATGGCGTTTGTTGGCGCCGACTGGCGCCGGGTGGGTAGCGCCACCGGCAACACACATTCAGTTAAGTCACACACCAGCGGTTAGAAGACAGCGGTTGGCGTTATGCACATTGTCGGCATAGCAATGTATATAATATGGCGTGCATAACATGCAGTAGCTTGAGGGGATCAACACTGGTCGAATACATACCTACCTGTAAGCGCTTTAAGTGCCAATTGGAGAGCGCCAGCCCTACGAAAATAAATGTGATAGATGTAGTATCAACACCCATGATAATATCACTCATCTGCCGAATCTAACAAGGGAGTAAGCATTCGCCATCAATGTCAAACAGTGACAGCCAAATCCCCGCGGCAGTGCTCCAGATGCCATCAGCGGGCTCTCACAGGCACGAGCTCTGTGCCTGGAGGTGCCAATGCAATCCCCTGACCTGAGAGTACGGGCCGTCTCTGATTGGCTACCAGAATGGCCCTCATCCCTTCTTATCCGTCCTCCCCCCCTGGTCTCGCTTCCTGTTCCCTGTTGCCCACGCAGACAGGGGTATGACCGCGGAATTCTTGACACCCGAAAAGCCTTTTGGGGCTGACAAGTGAAAAGCCCGTGGCGTCGGCTTTCCCATGGCAAAATGGTTCGACAACGCCATGCAGCAGTCGTCCCTGCAGAGTCCTACGCGTGGGCGGCGCAGAATACGACCCTTTTGGGTAGTTGACTCAGTGAGCCTCTCCCGCTCTGAGATGAAACAATGAAACGGATCAGTGCGGGCGAGACTTGTACTCAACGTGGTTTGGTTCGGGAGCGACGGCCCACACCGACATGCAGGTCCCGGAGCATTTTCTGCAGTGCTGAGCTTTCCGTCACGCACTACTACCTAGGTACGTACTCCGTAGGTACGTACAGTAGTAAAAACCCCCTATTGTTGATTGTTTTTCATTGCCAGCAAGCTAGTGGTGCCCGGTGCTGGGTGTCATTTCCCCATTGCAACCTCACCGTCGCCGGACACCCTAGCGCGGGGTCCAGCTGCCGATAGTGCACCAGGGATTATTCGACCCCCGAGAGCCCACCAACACTCGCCCAATCGCCCACTCGCCCACACTGGCCCAGGCTCCAGCGCACTGGCTGCTACGCGGCGGCAACGCGTCCAGTCTGTCATCCATCCCCCTGGAGGCTGGATTATTAGTTTGCTCATATCTTAGTAATTGGATCAATGGCGGCCGCACTCGTGCATTTCCTGGGTTCCTTCTTACGCGAGATGCGCAAGCCGGCAATCACAAAATGTTTCACTCTCGTAAGCCTGGCGTTGCCAAGTTCCGGCTCCACGTCTTGTGCAGCCTTGTTTGGGTCTCATCCCATGTCTCGCCCAGTGTCTCGCCCAATGTCTCGTCCAGTGTCTCGTCCAATGTCTCAGTCGAAAAATACAAGACGGAGCAACAACATGCTCAGGTTAAAGCAAACAGGTCAAAAGTACCAGATTAAAAGCAGACGGGTTGCTACCTATGTTCATAATCCGTATCCATTCTCAGTATTAGTCTGCATATCTATGGTGTGAATGCACAAATCCGATTGTCCTTTTTTAACCTTTTACGGGGCCAAATTAATACCTCGCCATATGCACCATCCTCGTCTACCGGACAGTTTTCCGGGCATCTTAACGAGAAAATACAGGGAATCCCCCCTGCGCCCCGTGGGGGAGCTCTAATCCTCCAAACATCAGCCCATCCAGGCAGGACTTGGTACTTTGGGTTATGTGTTGGCCTCGCTCGTTATCTACTATGAACGCCTGGCGTATGTACTGCCCATCCTGGCTAACAGCTCAGGGTCGCGGCCTCGCCACAACTGGTAGGCTGGTCCTGGCCCATCTAGCCAAGGACTAGCCAGAAACTTGGTCAGCCTCTCAGCCAGCCTCTCAGCCGCAGCGGCGTGGTGATTTCTTCTCTAGGTTGATGTCCATGCCTTCCTGGTCATCCTTGGCATCCTTGCCATGCTTCCCGGTTCACTCACGTATCCCTGCTCGGGAACTCAACTCGCCAAGCTCCGAGGCCACGAGCGACAAGGGTCCAGAGGAACGGACTGCAACCCCGGTACGTACTATTGCTCGGCTGGTGACGAATGGCGTGCAAGATATGCCCGGTTCGTCAATGGGCCTTGATGGAGCCTAGCTGGGTCGAGACCAAGCTGAATGCAGGGGCCAGGGACATGGTCGACAAGCGCACTGCATTCGGGTCTATTGGGCCCCTCTATTGAGCTTCTCGGCGATAGCCTCTTTGGTGGCCTCCTGGTATCAATGGATCTACAAGCGTTGGCAAACTATCGATTTCGCTGTTCGGAGCAATCCCATTTGGGTCTTCACGCAGCCAGGACACGAACTGACCATGCGATTCTGGGCAATGGCATGTCACGATGGTTGATGCCAATCTGCAAGAATAATGGATTCAAAAACTACATAATATGATAATAGTCCCCTGTTCGGTTGCCCAGGAGCCATCTCGAAAAATCGCCATTGCTGACCCATGCTGTCATTCAAATCGTCATCTATTTCCAAGCCCCCTCAAACTCTACCGCTTATCGAAATTGTACTTTTGTCTGTTGTTACATGGGAACTGTGATGAGGGATGCGGATACGGGGAAGGAAATGGGCTGAACACCACAGGATCACTCCCCCAGGACTCTGAAGGACCAGGAACAGCCCGGACCATGCAAACACAAAATCCTTTTTCCGTGACCCGATCTTCCAGTCGCTCACTCGTTGGTCAAGACGTAGCGGAACCGGGGCTTCCCCGCCTCCATGTCCAGGATCGCCTGGTTGGCCTCAGTCATGGGCCGCAGCTCAACCCACGGCTCGATCTGCTTCTCGGCGGCAAGCTGGAAGAGCTCCTCGATCTCCTTTGGGCTGCCGATCAGCGACCCGACCAGTCGCCGGCGCTGAGGAACCAACGCCCACGCGCTGAGGGGGACGGGTTCTTCGGGGATGCCCACCAGCACGAGTGTGCCGTTGAGGGCGAGCAGGTCAAAGTACTCCTGCAAGGGCATCTGCAAGCCAGAATTAGAGGGGAACGTTGGTCAGCCACGGCGGTCTCGGGAAGCGCAACCCGAGGGGCAGTGGAGTGATAGGAGTGATAGGGAAGAGGGGGATCTGCAGGACCAGACCGAGGGGCGGAAATCCCGGCATCGTACAGCGTAAGCACCGCGCAGGTCGGAGGAATACAGCCTTCATGCAGGGACAAGCCAGCATATATCGGTGATCACATGGGGTTCCAGCCAGTGCTGCGAGTCAGACGTACCTTTGGTGACGATACAGTGCAGATGAGAAGGTCGAGCGAGCTTGCGTGCTTCTTGGACCAGTTCTCGTCGTCGTCGGTCGCAATATACTCGTCCGCGCCGAGCGCCAGCGCCTCGTCCCGCTTACACGCCCGTCGCGAGATGCCCACCACACGGTCGGCGCCCATGGCCTTGGCGATGAGCACGGCAAAGTGGCCCAGGCCGCCGACGCCGACGACGCCGATCCGCTTCCCGGGCCCGGCGCCGAAGACCTTGAGCGGGGAGTACACGGTGACGCCGCCGCAGAGCATCGGCGCCGCGTGCTCGGGCTTCAGGCCGTCGGGGATCTTGATGACAAAGTGCGACGGGCTGCGGTGGTAGACGGCGTATCCCCCGTAAGCCTTGCCGCCGCCGCGGTACGTCGTGTTATATGTTAGATGCATGTCCGAGCAGTAGTTCTCTTCGTCGTGCTCGCATGCGTCGCAGGGGCCGTCGCGGGATCGGCACGAGTCCGTCTGGGCGCCGACTCCCACCCTGTCTCCAACCTTGATATCCCCTTCCGCCTCGGATCCGACCCGGACCGCGATGCCGACAATCTCATGCCCGACCACGCACGGGAAGTCGGTTGGGCCCTGCCAAGTGTCAGCCGTCTATCGACTTCCGATGATGCTCCAAATCCAAGTCGTGCAACATACCCATCCGGCTCGCAGTGTGTGGATGTCGGAACCGCAGATGCCCGAGTGTGTAATTTTGATGTCAACGTCCGTCTCTTCCCATGGCTTTGGCTCGTATTCTTTCCAGACCATGTTTCCCTCTGCAGCTGAAGGGTCTTCACCCATCCAGCCCTCAAAGGTGTAGCCAGTGCCCATCTTGGTGACTCGTGAGTATTCAAGGCAATGATGCCGTCTCTATTTTAAATCAGGAAGTATTCGAATTATTGCTCTCGAGATGATGATGTCCACCTAATGGAACCTTCTTCATCGGTGGGATTCAACTTACTTTATATCACAGCCGTGATCCCGTTCTATTTCAGGCCCAGGTCAGAACAGGCCACCGGCTTCATGCCATACCACGACCAGTCGCCATATCACCAAACTCACACCTTGCTACCAAAACGATGCCCAACCGGCCCCGTCCCGGCCTCCCTAGCATGATCCTGATGAACCGCTCCTTATCTCCACCTGTTCTCGTCGCCGGTCTGCCCTTCATTCATCGTTCACCTTACAACACGCCATGTGGAACCACCGCCCGGCAGAACGCCCGACCACATCGCCCAGGACAGCCGACGCGAGCCCACTATCGTGGGAAATGTCAAGGTGAGATAACGTCACCGTATTCAAGACGCTCGGTGAGTGCGTGGGGGTTTGATGGGATTGGTGGGTTGTCGACCCTTTGTCGACCGGTAAATGTCGGGATGGCGAAAGGACGACGAAAATGAACCGGAACAGACACAGACCTGGTATTCTCCCGTGCTTCTGGAACATGGTCTGTGTTGGGGATGGTCCAAGAGCCGCATGGTGGAGGATGGAGTTGAAGAATTCGCCGTCTCTCCCGACGCTATTACAGCCTACAGGCAGCGTCCTGCCATTTCATATTTGGCAGTATCAAGAAGAAGAATATGAAAGGGACTAATAAACGGGAAGGCTGATGGGATAGAGAATATGCGATGAAGCATCCTCAAGTTGTACACTCACCTTGCATACAGCCAACAGTTAAACACGGTTACTCTCGGAACTCTCCCCTCCCCTTGATGCCCCGGTTGCATTGTCTCCACGTAAATCGACTTTTGGAGAACCCGTAAACGAGAGCAAACCCCGGTGAATGCAGTCCATGAACTTGGGGCAAGACCTGGGTCAAGGTCTGGATCTGGGCGGTGGTGAGGCCATGCCTCGACTCTACACCTTGCTGCGGACGAGTAGGGTGCCATTACCGCAGACCGTGATAACTAGGTCAGTCGACCGGCGCGGTGTGTCCCGTGATTTCTCAAATGTCAGTGGTGCCTCACCGATGTTTTCGGCCATGCCGCGAAGCAGGAGTCTGGTGATGGTGGATCCAGCCCTATCAGACCCAAACAAGGGGACGCGGAACTTGTCGTAAACATTTGCAGCAACGCCCGGCATAATGTTGAGCATGCGAGATGATCAGTTGCAGATAACACGTCCAAACGAGGTGGAGTTTTCGTGTAAGAGCCCTCACTGCCCCCTTTTCGCGATTGGGCAGGTCTGGCTGCCCCTTGCAGATAAAGGGGAAGTTGCGTGATGAAGTTCATGTTTAGGGTCCAGGGTAAACGGGACGTGGATACTCGAGCCTAACTCTCTTTGTTCATCTAGCATAACACAGCAAACTACAAATCCGGGTTTAATTGAGTTGTGGTTACTATTCTTTGGACATTAGTATTTGGTTTCCGATTTTTTGGTTAGATAATATCCAATGATCATATCTTGTCAATCTAGCTGGAAATAATGTGATGTGTTTTAATCCTTGCCTACACTCTCAATTCTATGTGAGGTCCGTGAAGCAAATACAAAGGTTCTACATAATAGCTTCCCTGCTTAGGCTGGCGCATTAACTGATTAATATAGCGGTGACTATTTATCTCATGATTCCCCGATTAAATCAAGAATACAACACGGAAGTTGACCGAGGGGATCGGTGCGTTGATATTGGAGGTGGTAGACCCAGGGTAAGGAGGCGAGGGAGGATGGACCCCAGCCACCTCCACTCTCTCTTGAACGCGCACCATCACCCGTTGTCCGCCCTCACGTCGCGTCAGATCTCAGGCCACGACATACTAAAACACCCCAACTCGTGGTAGTATAAGACTGACCAACAACAGTGACGGTGTTCGAAGCAATGTTGCTTACTCCCCATTCCCAGATGTGGAAGCCGTCGCTCCTCCATGTCGACGATGAGCGCCTGAACGCGTCTCACTACACTAGTGGTTTTTCGTCCTGCTTGAGTTGCCTTGGGTTTCCGCCGAGTTCACCACATCCTTATTATCCACAATATTCTCTGAGCGAGAATAGATTCCGGAGCTTGATGGTTCGCATCACGACCCTGGTGAAGTTCACATCGGTTGTCGACCCTCGAACACGCAGCCTTCCCCCGCCATCTGCATTTTATTCTGTCCGAGCTCTAGTAGAATGTCGACAGCAAAAAACCGTCCTGGGATTGATCGACAGATATCACCATGGAACCCCATGCCAGCACTGTTGCCAACAATATCAATTCGGAGGATCTTAGTGTAGTTATCACCGCCGACGAACGGGCCAAGCAGCTGGTCGTAAAGTAGAGTGGCTTGATTTCGATGTGTGTTCGTGGAAGCTACATAGTAGCGTCTGGTCGAGCTTCGCCTTTCTTCGATATCCCGTGTTATTGTTCATCGCCATTCTCAGAACACGCGAAAGAACGCGCGAACGAAAGTAGGCACCGCACATTTCATAACTATGAGCAGCGTTTCAGTACATATCCTTCGAGCTATACAACGGCCCGGGCGCGTACTAGTAAAATAGCGTATATGATCATACAACTCCGTAAAAAAATAAACGTCATAGGACGTTCAATATAAAGGCGAACGAAACGCGTAAATGGTACCAAGTTTTGTCGAACTTGTTCACCTGCCCTCATATGGCCGGAACAATACCGGGTTTAAACTGCCTATACACGGGATGATATCTCGAAGAATAAACCCCGTGCTTCGGGTCCCCTATCACCTTGTTAGGGAATTCCTTTGCCAGGGGATCATCCAATGAAAGCAAGGGAACACGCCCGCTCCGCTGTGTACGGTCCGTACCTGATGTTGGCTGGTGTCATCTAAAACAGCTGTTAGGGCCTTGACAAATTACCAGTCGCCGTCTTTTCGTATAAGAAGCGCTGGACAAATAGCATAGTGGTAAATTTCTCTTTCTGGATAATGTCAGTGTGGTTTGGGGCCAGTTCGACGTTCCTCCTCCATTCCATATGACCACATTAGAGACTTTCGCCAGTAGCCAATTCACACTACCCACTCTCCTGCGAACCCATTGAATCTTCCCTCCTCGAGATGAGGGGGTTCCATAACCGAAGCTCTCACAACATGCCGATAACAGGCAAGGAATGCCACGCGGATTGCCATCATGTACGAGCATATGGACCCTGACAACTCATATCTTCAGCACATACGACCACAAGCGCTAGAAAATACGGGATCCCGTCCGCTCTCCCTTAGTCAAACTGGCGACCGCTGGAGTAGTAGTCGGGTCGGTGACGACCGGCGAATGCCCGGTGTTGTATGTTTTTTTGTCGTTCTTTTTGCTTCCCGGGTGAATTGGAGGCATATAACGTCAGGTAAAAGGGGAAGAGTCGTGATAACAACATCTGGCTAACCAGGATATTACCCTTTTTGGTATCTCTCGGTCTATTCGCTCCGTTATATGTAGTCTTGAGTCTGATACACCACCTTTTTGAAAACCACAACTACCCATTAAGTGCCGTTCCTCCGTCTTCCTCCACGTGTACTTCTCTCCACATGCCCTCTAAGCACCTTTCTTGTCTCGACCAGACTCCTCTTCTGCTTGCTCTTGGCCTTACCGAGCGTCATGAGGAAGTTCTTCTTGCGCTGCTTCTCTCGGTTGCTTGTGCTCTTGCCCGAAGCCTGAAGCTTGGACTTGTTGATTGCCTGCGTGCTCTTGTGTTCGCCACGATCCGGTCGGCCGTCCTTGGCCAGCTCCACTCTCTCCTCCTTGGTGAGCTTGCGCAGGCGGGATGGGGCCTCGATCTGCTCTGCTGTCAGGCCGTCGTCACGGTGTCGGTCCTCTAGCTCCTTCTGGCGCCTGCGGTGTGTGCCCAGTTTCTTCTCGACCGAAGAAGACATCCGCAGCTCTTGAAGCTTGGCCAGATCCGCTGGAGTCAAAATGGTCGTGGTGGCCAGCTTCGAGATGCGCTCAAGCTCCGCTGCCGCCTCCTCCTCGTCAGTCTTTTCATCTCCAGTCTTTTGCTTCTTTGATGAAGGGCCGTCTTCGTCGTCGGAATGGTCAACGTTGATCCATTCACCAGAATCGCTGCTGTCATCATCAGAGTCCATCTCCCATTCGTCGGATTTAAATCCATCGTCCTCTTCCTCATCACTGCCAGCATTCTCCGGGAGACCCTGGGCAAGTCGCTTCTTCTTCCTCTCATCCTCCTTCCACCTTGCCAAGAGCTCCAGACCCTCGATGCCCCCTTCGTCCTCCTCACCGAACTTGCGTTGATGCTGGAGGCCACTCTTTAGGTTGATAGTGGCATTCTTTCCACGGTCTCGCTTCTTCAGCAGCTCCGCGCCAACCTCTCGGTACAAGGACAACAGACCCTTGGCGGCCATCATGACACCCTTATCCTTACTCTTTCGGTATTGGACTAGATCTTGTAGCAGAGTTTCAGTCATGGTGAGGGGCTGTCGAGCGCAGATCTCGCGGATCGAATTGAGACCAGCGGACGCAACCTCAGACGCAGAGCCTTCGGACACAAACTCGTTGGCGATTTTCTGGACCAAGGGCTCGAGGACATCCGGGGGAACCAGGTTGTGGACGGCCTGGGCCAGCGAAGCCAGGAATGACGTGACGTTTTGTTGGCGGGGAGTGAGGAATTTGATGAACCATGAGTAGAGCGAAACAATAATCAGCTTGTGCAGGCCGACGAGTCGGGTAACCAGCTGGAGCACCAGTAGCTTCGAGTCCAAAGACAGCTTTGCCTTAGTGTTTTGCAGATGCTTAGAAAACAGCTGCTCCGCAAAGTCCTGAGGGTCGTGGAGGAGGTGCAGGGCAGAGAAGTTGAGCGGATGCGGCTTGGTCTTCTTGCGCTCCATTCGCTTGACCTTCTCGACCGCCTTTTCGTAAGCCTTCTTTTGCTTATTTGTCTTCTTGTTGATGCCAATCTGGTGCTTGATCTTGCTGAGATCGACCTCCTCATCACTACTCTCATCCTCCAGGTCCTCTCGCTCTTGGTCTCCACCGAGGAAGAAGCGCACCGCGCCGATGACGACCTTCTCGTTGTCAGACAGACACGCCTCCTTCATAACATCGACGGGCTTCGAATCGGTCCATAGCTGGCGCTTCCACATCTCGCGGGTCAACTTGATGGCCCAGATGGCCCGGGGCGATGTGCGGTCGGCCGTGACGAGGTTGAAGAGGACAGTCTGGATAGTGCGGTTGAGGGGGTGGTTGATGGTCTTGGTGTTGGAGTTTCGCATGTCACTTAGGATCTTCTGGAACAGAGTCGCTCGCAGGGACTTGCTGGGCGATGACACAAGGATGGGGAAGAGTGTGGTTAGAGCCGTGGTCGAATCAATAATATCCTTGCGCCTCAGCAGCATTATACTCGCGGCAATCTTTTCCCGCAGGTCAGGGTGGAGAGAGGCATGATGCTGCGTGAGGATGGTGCTGAGATCATTCGCGAATGACTGTGTCTCCTCCTTGTAGCATTCGGCGACGTGGGCGATCAGGTCGATGATGTTGTGGAAGGACTCGATCGAGTCGGCCGTGGCGGTCGACGGAGACACCAAGAAGATCTCGCGCTGGGACTCATACTGCTCCCACTGCTTCAGGAACTCTTCTTTGTACGATCTAGGCCAGGTTAGCAATGCCTTCCTTGCGGAGCGAGCGCGGCAACGTACCTGGGATCGCGACGGATTTTCTGCTGGAGACTCGCGCTGCAGAGATGTCAGTCAGGGTTGTCCTCTGAAGAAAAAAAAAGGGCACAGTAGGGACGCACAAGTCAGCATCCAGCTTCTCGAGAGCGGCGACCTTGCGTTTAACCATGGCGACGTCGCAGATGCTGCAATTGAATATGGTTGTCGGTCGGTGTTCTTATTCGGCGGCTGGGTGGTGGGGGACCGACAGAAAGAAATTTTGAGAAGTTGCAATCCGATAAGATAAGCAACCTTATCGCGAGGCAACGCGGAATGCAGCCGCACCACGGTTCAGGGAATCAACAGCGTATGTTCTGCTTTTTCATAAGAAAAGTATAACGAGGTATAGCCTTCGGAGACATGGGAATCTAGGTGTCTTATAATACCGTGGAATTGGAAGTTTTTAGTTGGAATAAAGAGTCCCAATTAAGCAATTGAGTGTTCGCCATTTGAATGCAAATAGTACATGGACTTGGTATGTTCGCACACCGTAAAACCATGTACCTACATCTAGCATGCACCATTCAGGGCAGCCAGGATTGGGTAACTTATGAACGCAAGTCGACGCGTTATGCGGAAATAAACAATAAAATATAAACATATAGTGCAATATAGCTGTATTAAGAAATACAAAGTGTCTTCATCTCTATATTCCTTTGTTTTCGTTAGTGATATTGTAATTCATTGATAAATTTCCGAGCTGTGCGTGCCAATACTGGTAGAAATTACAGAGTTCTGCGTCTCCAAAACGACGGGAGTCCATTTCACGCCTCTTATTAGTACTCTTTCTCAAACCTCCTTCCTCTTGCCCTTTATTCATTCACATTCATACTCTCTATACTCTCTTTATCGAAGTCCAATGATCAACGGGTTTCGCAAATCACATGTTTAATCCCACGAGCTCATCACCGCACTTTCGCTGTTGCTGTTTAAACTATTTTCTATGTGAGCTCCTGCCTATCATTGTTGAGTCGCAGCCGTATTGCCGACAGTGTATGGGCGAAATTGATTTCTGGTTTGAAAATGCGTGAAGTAACCGTATCAACAACACGAAAGATCGTACCGCCGCCGAGATTCAAGCCTGGCGAAGATCCTTCGATGTCTAGCATGTGACGACCGACTCCTCTAGACAACACACCAAATCGGAAATTTATCCTTACTCTTATTACTTCATGTGCATCTACTCGCGTTGCTAACTCGGAGGCGTCTTGGTTTCACTGGATGGGCCTCTACCCCGCGCAGCACATGTCACATTCTTCCCAACGGGCCTGTACCGTATGTACAATTTAAATGCTGGGAGCAATGTCTACGAGGTTTTCACAGGAAAATGGATCACCAGCTGCTTGTACTGCCTAACATGGACTAGTTGGAAGTCAGCCACTTTCCATTGGCTTAGCTAAACTTGAGGTGTCGAACGACAAGCTTAGAAGCTATCGAAACGAGCCCAACCGCTCACTCGACCAAGGGCCTGGAACAGGTGAGACAGGGGTGATGAGTAGGCAGCAACCTTAACAAGTGTGCGGGCCTGTGAAGCGTGGAACGCCGGATGCCATAAGAAAAGGTTACATGGCATGGCATGGCAGACGAGAGCAGGTCATGCATGGGTACAGGAGCTTGAGCCGACGACGCTAGAGCAAGGCTGTAGACGGGAAGAGGAAAATGAGGGGCATAAAATAAAGCCAGAGAATTATTTCGTTGGTGGGTGTACGAATGCTCAATATTCTTAGTAGACGTCTTGGTCGGCACATCGGGTGTGTGTGCCGGCAAAAGAAAGCATTTGGTGACCTTCAAGTTGAGTCGCAAGACTAGGTGACCAAAGGCCAATCCAATTGAGCTGAATTGGTCATGAGGATGGAAGAGTTTCGCAGTGATATGGTGGTAGGTAGGAGTTGCATTGGGTTACGGCTGTCACGGCGTTCGCAACTCCTCATATGCAGTCTTCACTCCGAGAAGCGAGGGGTCTTGTGGTGCGGCATCGGGTCTCGATGCGACATGCGACGGGCGTCCAGATTTCTCACCACCACCACGAGCGATGGACGGCGTGTCTCGGTGGGCACTCAGGTGAAGAGTCAGCTACATTGCCATTGGCCAATTGCTTTCAGAGTCGCCAGTGTTAAGTGGCCACGGATGGGCCGGATCTGGAAGCCCGAAGCCGAAGGTCTGGGACACGCCCACGCCTGGATGCAGCCCCTGGTCCACTGCCAGGGATAGCCAAGCCTGTGCCGCATCTACTATGTTGACTCCCCCATATGCCGGACGACGACAGCAACGACAATGGAAGACAATCAAAAAGACGGGTTGGGGAGACAGGACAAGCAGGCTGCCTGGGAGTTGTGAGCAAGACTTTGTTGAGAAACCTTGCGACACACACTAGCCCCTATCCCGCGCTTCCGTCAGCGGGAGGCACAGGCACGAGAACCCGGCGCGGGATGGAGGTCTGACAAAACAGCCAACCCCCGGCCAAGCTTTTTTTTCTCGAGGTCATCTGAACAATCGCGAATTTGGTGTACCCGCCGCTGCGCGCAAGGCAACGCAGGGGCGAGGACAACGACGCAGCGCCACCTCGTCTCATCTCACGATGGTTGCAGACACGATAGACGTGGATGGATTGAGGAAAGCCGGCCGGAGGTGAGCGGAGCGACAGCGGTGAGGGTGCGATTTGTGGAGAGCCCGACGGCTGGCGGGGTGGTGGTGGTGGTGCGGATGCAGCTTTCGTGGTGGTGGGCGATCAGTGTCAATCGTGAGTCGTGCGCGTCAAGGAGCTGGAGCTGCAGCCTCTGAGGGTTCTGGATTAGCCCGGGATTTTCATAGCTCGCCAGACATCCCACGGTGGGTGCTGCGACTCAACAAGTTATGTCGGGAGGATGCGAGACATTGGTGAGAGAGAGTCGGGTTGGTGGTACCTGGGGGTGGTGGTGTTGTCGATGCGGGAGAGAGGATGGGGTGAATGGGGTAGAGAGGAGCTTCTCTGTGCTCCGTTCTCCGTTCTCCGTAATCCGGAGAGGGAAATAAAAGACAAGGGTCTCGTTTCTTTTTCCTGTTGCTCTCTGGCTATGGAAACCCCGTGATAGGCGTTGCTGTTTTTCTGACGCGACAGGTGAGAGGTCATCTGGGCAGTTGCTTGTTGCCCCCTCTATCAACATGTCTCCATGTCACCATGTTGCTCAGGCATCTTCGGTGAAGCCGCTCCTCTCGTATTGTCAGATCACATCCTCTCTACCCCTCCCCCCTCCTAAACCGCCGGGAAAATCCATTCCTAATGCTTAGCTTTCCCTTAGATCTATACCCCATAGGTAGGGGAGATCATGACAGATCCCGACGGTTGCAAGCCTACAAGGTGCTTGTCTATGAATGAACTAGCTTCATTGGGCTCTGATAGTCTTCCTCCTACTCCATATCCTTGCATTCGATGGAGACGATTGGCATCGGTCAACAAGCTCTAGGCAGCAGGATTCTGGGAGAAACAGCACCGGTCTAAGCCAAGCGCCTTCGCTTCTCGCCGAGTCTTGGATGCTAGCGGTGGGGGGGGGGGGACAAGATCAACGCAATGTCGGAGATATGGAGTCTTGGGTGCAACACCACCAGCAACAGCGGAATTCTCACGGGTCTCTAGGATCCCTCGAGACGAGCCCACTGAGTCCCCCATGAGCCCCCCAATGAGCCCCTAAAAGGTAGGCCGCCTCAGTGGATCCAGGGGCGATTTAGCGTCGCCGAAGAGCAGGTCCTCGCCACCCCCTCCATCTTTATCACGCTCCATCTTTATCACGAGCTTCTAGAGCTCTGTCTGTCTTGTCTTCCCAGTTTCCAGCCTTGGAGTCTGGAGATGCCCATCAAATCTACTGCCACGCCCCCTCCCTTGTCTTAGCCGCCCTCCTTCCGAGCCCCGTGCCCCGTGCCCCGTGCCCATGCAATGCCCCGCCAAAATAGTGGATTTGGTGGGGGTCGCATGCGATGGCAAACGGCATCTGCTAAGCTCCTGCATGGGCTTTGGTAGCTCCGTCGCGATGTCGATGCTAAACTTGGCCGTGGCGTGTGCATCTGTACGTAGTAGACTGTCTCTTCATATCTGCATTGCTGCAAATCTTGGGCCTTTTCTCTCTTCTCTCCCGCCCTCCCACTTGCTTTTCCCCTCACGAATTGCAGCGCACTCCGAAAGCCTCGCACCCCCCTCACACCTGGGACTCCCACCATCGCGGGGTGACACCCTCCTCTGCGTCTTCTTCCTCTTTCGGAATCACCTCGACGAATCTAGAGGTACATAGTTTCGGCAATAAAAGTATCGACTATTCTGTACGCCACCAGATTAGCCGCCATGTACTCGTACAATAAGCCTATTAAGGCTATGGAGTGAGTCTTGCCTTTTTACCCTCCGTCACCCCTCCGTCTTCACTCTCCGTCTTTCACCTCTTCACTCCGTTTCCTGCTCCGTTCATCTACCTAGAATTAAACTGACAAGCCGTTTCTTTTTGCAATGGACAGGCCCCAGAACGTCTTGGTATGTCATCCCGATCCTCTGGCCCTCCGCCGCCCTCCAATTCCTCGAGCCACAATCGCCGTTGGAAATGTGGCGGCGGCAGGCAGAGAGCTTCGAGCCTTCATTGACTGATCATTTCCTTCTGTACAGGACTACTACATCGGTGTTGATGTTGGCACCGGCTCTGCCCGCGCCTGTATCATCGACGAGACGGGCGACATCAAGGCTTTGGCCTCGGAGAACATCAAGCTATGGCAGCCCGAGAATGGCTACTATGTGCGTCTCTTCACTTCAATATCACAGGGCCTCGCTGACCTTTCCTCTCCAGGAGCAATCCACTACAGACATCTGGCAATGCATCTGCGAATGTGTTCGTCGTGTCGTGAGCGAGTCGGCCGTTGACCCCAACATAATCAAGGGCATTGGCTTCGACGCCACATGCTCCCTTGCTGTCTTCACCCATGACACCGACGAGCCCATGCCCGTGACTGGCCCCGACTTCGCAAACGATGGCAATGACCGCAACGTCATCCTGTGGCTCGATCACCGACCTGTCAACGAGACCGAGAAGATCAACGCCACCGAGCACAAGCTGCTCAAGTATGTCGGTGGCAAGATGAGCATTGAGATGGAGATCCCCAAGGTTCTCTGGCTCAAGAACAACATGCCTCCCGACGTCTTTGACCGATGCAAGTTCTACGATCTTGCCGATGCCCTGACTCACCTGGCGACGGGCAATGAGACCCGCAGTTACTGCAGCGTCGTCTGCAAACAGGGCTACGTCCCTGTTGGCGTCGACGGCAGCGTCAAGGGCTGGCAGGATGACTTTTACGATGAGATTGGCCTCAGCGACCTGAAGAAGGATGAATTCAAGCGCATGGGTGGCGTCGACGGGGTGGTGAGCCTATTTTCTTCCCTCTCATTCAGCGCATGCCTCTTTCCCGCACGCGTTCGTTAGGAACTGATGAAGCTAACAATTATCTCTTCCAGAACGGAGCCTACGTCAGTGCTGGTGAGCCCGTTGGCACCCTGAGCCGACAGGCTGCTTATCAGCTCGGTCTTCCCATGGGCATTCCCGTCGGAAGTGGTGTCATTGATGCGTATGCTGGCTGGATCGGAACCGTTGGCGCTAAGGTCGACCTCGGTGATGATGAGCTCAACGCCAATGTGCCTCACAACGATTTGTCCCAGGCCTTCACCCGTCTGGCTGCCGTTGCCGGTACCTCTACCTGCCACCTGGCCCTCTCCAAGGAGCCCGTCTTTGTGCCGGGCGTCTGGGGCCCTTACCGAGATGTCTTGCTGCCCGAATACTGGATGGCTGAAGGTGGCCAGTCAGCCACCGGTGAGCTGTTGAGGCACATGCTGGACATCCACCCTGCCTACACCGAGACTTGCGCTCTAGCCAAGGCTGAAGATAAGCACATCTACGACTTCCTCAACGCCCACTTGGAGGGCATGGCCGAGAACAACAATGCACCTTCCGTCTCGTACTTGGGTCGTCATCTCTTCTTCTATGGCGACTTGTGGGGCAACCGCTCTCCCATTGCCGACCCCAACATGAAGGGTTGCATGATTGGAATCGATAGCGACAAGAGCACCGACAACATGGCCCTTTGGTACTATGCTACCATGGAGTTCATTGCCATGCAGACGCGCCAAATCATTGAGCAGATGAACAATGCTGGCCATGAAATTTCCTCCATCTTCATGTCCGGTTCTCAATGCCAGAACGCGGTCTTGATGGCCCTCCTAGCCACCACCTGTGGCATGCCTGTACTCATTCCCCGTTATGTCAACGCCGCCGTTGTCCACGGCGCCGCCATGCTCGGCGCCAAGGCTGCGAGCCACCACAAGGAGGACGGAAGTGAGCCTGAGACGCTTTGGAACATCATGGACCGGATGAGCAAGCGCGGTCGCTTGGTTGAGCCCAATGACGACCCCGGTGAGAAGTCGCTGCTCGATGCAAAGTACGAGGTGTTCTTGGACATGTGCAAGACGCAGCAGCAGTACAGGAGCAAGGTGGACAAGGCCATTGCCACTTGGGGTGCTGAGTTTGGCGCGTAAATGGATTACCCGAACGCAGGTGGGACAAAGGATCTGGCAATTGGGGCCAGGTCTTGGTATATAATCGTAATGAGTGCATGTGTCGTGACTAAGCGAGTCGGTAAAAATAGAGGGAGTTTTTGATTCAATTCTGGAGTCGAATTGCTCGCTTTCGTCTTCATGTGATGAATTACCTGGTCATGAGTGGTCATGAGTCTGGATCGATGTGAATGGTGATGATGGTGCTGGTTGGTGGAGACGCGGAGTTGTGCCTGGCGTTGCCTGGCAGCATCTCGCGGTGCTGATTGGTTCAAGCTCCCAACCCAAACATGCAGCCTTGCAATCGTCCCAAAATTCTGGACAAAGCGCGACCATCGAACTCGTCCACCGACTTCTCTTCCTCTCTTGCGCGAGCAGTCAGGATTCCGTCGGCACCGCAATTCGCTCTCTCGCCGCTTGCTCGCTTGGTTTCGCGGCCTCTACGCGCAATCACTCGCACTCACCATGTCTCTCTTCGGCCAGGCGGCTGGCAACACGTCCGGCGGCCTTGGAGGCTCGCTGTTCGGCGGACCGACCCAGAATCAACAGGCCGGCGCTACAGGAGGAGGGCTCTTTGGCCAGTCGACGACACAGAATCAACAGCAGGCGGGTACCACGGGCGGAGGACTGTTTGGCGGGCTCGGTGCGAACAAGCCTGCCACGGGTGGGTTGTTCGGCCAGCAACAGCAGCAGGCCCAGCCTCAGACCGGTACGACAGGCGGATTATTCGGACAGTCGACGACGCAGCAGCCCGCAACGACGGGAATGGGGCTCTTCGGCCAGCCCGCCCAGGGCACTCCGACGCCGACCACAGGCGGCTTGTTCGGCAACCAGCAGCAGCAACAGACACAGCAGAAGCCATCTCTCTTTGGCGCCTCGATGGCCCAACCCGCCGCGACCGGATTTTCGACCGCAAAGCCCTCCCTATTCGGCGCCACGAACACTACACAGCAGCAGCCTCAGATGAACTCAGCCTTGGGAGGAAGCACTATGGTGCCCGGAGGGAGCTTGTTCGCAAGCCAGGGCGCAGGCTTAATGGGAGGGAGTCTGTTTGCTGGTCCGACCTCTGGTGGCCAATCGCAGGCCCAGTCACAGCCTGCCGGCGCCTACTTCGACAGTCTTTTCGCCAAGAGCCAGAAGGCGGAGGGCAAAACCAACACAGAGGATCTCCCCAGCCTTGAGCTGGGCCTGGGCGACTTGCGCCATCGGCTGAGGAAGCTGCAGGCCAAGCCCAACGAGAAGCCCTTGGACGGCAAGGCCCATTACCTTCTTGCCGCCTCTGGAGTCGACCCCGGAAATGCTGCCAAGGATCTCGGCATGCTCGATGTCCAGGGTGGACGAGTTGAGCAAGCAACCCGAGGCTACGCCCCCAACGAGGTCGACGTCGAGACCTACCTATCAAACCTCCAAACGAAGACAACTCTCAGCATGATTGCTGACGGACTTGACCGATCGGTTCGTGACTTCGACAATTTCCTCGAGGATAACGTCACCATGGAGTGGGAGGCGCAGCGAAAGCGTATCTACCAGCACTTTGGCATCAAACCCCGCGAGGAGACGACGGCGCCTGGCCGTGAGGCCCAGAGCGGGTTTGGTCGCTCGAAGAGGAGCAAGGCTCAGGGCTCCACACCGCGATCTGGCAAGGCCAGCGTGTTGGGCAGGTCGACGATGCAGCGCTCCGTCATTGGCAACCCCAGCCGAATCGGTGCGCATCAGTCAGACTTTTCCGACGTCGACCGATCCTCTGAGTCCTCCGGAATGCTTGACGGCCGTGTCTCTTCCGATGACCGGGTTCTCCGCGAGAGGCAAGGACGGTTGTCTGAGAAGATCCGCACTCTCAACACAGCCCGTCTGCTGAAGCGACCCTATCCCATCCTCTCAGAGTTGGCGGCCGTGGAGCGAAAGTCCCACGACCCCCATGCTCCCCATGTCGTGGAGGCGTACTTGGCGGTCATGGAGATTGTTGGCGAGAACCCTGAGGCCGAAACGACGCTCGGCAATGCGACGGCCAAGGAACGTGAATTCGCCCCCATATATCTGGACGAGAACCCCAACTCGTCAAACTCGGTTGAGATGAGAAAGCGAATCCTCACGGGTGCAAACAAGTTCCTCGAGAAGCAGTTCCTTCGTGAAGTTGAGTCTCTCATTGCCAAGCACCCGCACGAAGCGAAGCTGGGTGGTCTCCCCGACATCGTCAGCAAGATCAAGGCGTACATCCGGTTGCGATCTGCGCGCAAGGACTTGGTACCTGACAACACGGAGCTGCAACAGACTCCTTCCGGCGAGTACGTGTGGGCTATTGTCTTCTACCTACTCCGCTCAGGACATATCAACGAGGCGGCCAAGTATGTCAACGACAACCAGCAACCGTTCAAGAGCATCGACCGGACGTTCCCAACCTACCTAAACAACTACGCAGCCAGCGAGGACCGACGAATCAGCGGCAGGAAGATGATCGACCGTTGCACAAACGAGTATATCCAGCGATCACGAAACGCTCCTGATAACACCATCGACCCCTTCCGCATGGCATGCTACAAGGTGATTGGACGTATCGAACTGAGCAACCGCAACCTCGAGGGACTGAACACAGACATCAACGACTGGATCTGGCTACAGTTCAATCTGGCAAGAGAGGGCGATAAAACAATCGAGATGGCCGGCGAGTCGTACGGTCTGGCGGAGCTGCAATCGAGCATCCGAGAGATTGGCCTGAAACACTTCCCCAAGGCCAACTCGGAGGACTCTAATGGCAGCTTCGGTATGTTCTTTTACCTTCAGATCCTATCGGGTATGTTTGAAGATGCCATCGCCTACCTGTATCCCTTCTCCTACGTCGACGCCGTGCATTTCGGTCTCGCGCTCGCCTTCTATGGCCTGCTGCGACCTAGCGACGCCGTTTCTCCATCCAACGACCTACGCAGCTACAGCACCAAGAACCTGCCTCAGATCAACTTTGGCCGGATGATTGGCTACTACACCCGTGATTTCAGAGCTGCGGATGTGGTATCGGCGGTGGACTACCTGACCCTGATCTGCCTAAACCAGGACCTTGGTGGTGAGGCCGGTCAGCGACACGGCAGCCTCTGTCACGAGGCGCTCCGGGAGCTGGTTTTGGAGACGAGAGAGTTTAGCAAATTGATCGGCGACATTCGACCAGATGGGCGACGGATCCGCGGCATCATCGAAGAGCGTGGCTCTCTTATGGGTCTCGATGCTGAAGATGACTTTGTCAACACTGTGACGCTGCAAGCAGCTAGCTTTGCGGACGAGAACGGGCGAACAACGGACTCTGTGCTGCTGTACCATCTGGCGGGTGAGTACGACACAGTTGTAGCCATTGTCAGCCGGGCTCTGAGCGAGGCCATCTCGCTGGAGATTGGAGAGGACCCTATGCGTCTGATGCCAGTCAAGCCGCGGGCGGGCGGGCAGGAGGCTGAGGCGGGCAGCAGCCTCAGCCTGGCAGCCATTGACGACCCCGTGGAGCTGGCCAAGACGATGATGTCCATGTACGAGCGGGACGCCATGTTCTACAGAAGGATCCAGGACCAAAACAAGGTGGCGTGCCGAGTGCTGCTGGAGATGAGCAGCATCAAGAGTCTGGTAGAGGTTGGCCAATGGGCGCAGTGCCTCGACGTAAGTCATAACCCTGATTAGACTCAGTCATACAGACATGGATTGCTAACGGTTGACCTAGAAAATCCGAGGCCTCGAGATCCTTCCCCTGGATGCCGTGGGCGATGCCAGCCTGATCCGAGCCTATGCGTCCAAGTTCTCTGGGCTGTCGCAGCCCGTGTCGATCAACGTGCCAAACCTGCTGATGTGGACAATTATCTGCTGTGTGCGACAGAAGGAGCAGCTCACCAACGGGCAGTTTAGTGGCAACGAGGGCACCCGACGAATGATGGTGGAGCAGCTGAAGCAGATGACTCTGGACTTGACGACGTATACAAGCCAGCTGCGGTACCGGTTCCCACCGCATCTACACGAAGCTCTGGCGAGGGCTTCGGCGGAATAAGCCGTTCCTCGAGCTGGGAAATGACAAGTGGTTTTGTACGTACGTTGGTTAGGACTTGCATGTGTGAGTTGATTGGCTGGGGATAGTGGCGCCGAGATGGCTCGGGGCTGAGACAGGAAACGAGGGACCGCGACGAGACAAGTCTGGAAAAGGCATGGAAGCGGCCGGGCAGGCAATACTTGGGACGATGAGCGAAGGGAGGACGGTGGAAGTGTACTGGAATACGTAGATCAAAGATGCCAAGAGTGGATTCAAATAATTGGAACATATCAAGATGGATACCGGATGCAGGATCGAGCATTCGGAAAAGATGCCGGGTCGAGACGTGAGACACGTGGCGCCAATCCCTGGCACATGCAGGGTTGCAATTAGGAGTAGCTTAGTGAAGAATGATTTCCTTTTAGGTTTCTGGGTCGGCGAGACTGGAATGTTTGGCGTGATCCTGGGAGGGCATTCGGGGGGCTGATATTGCATGGGAGAGTGGCATGGGAGGATGGACGAGGTTCTGGATTGAGCGAGGGCGCGCGTCGAGACCTGGATCGGGCCTGGACCCATGGATGCATATTAATAGCATCGGTGGCTGCAGGAGAAGGGCATTGTCGGTTTATGAGTCGTCAACGCGAGGGTTGGATCGCGGGATACTTTGTACATACATATATCATGCGTCTACGTGACTCGGTACTTGGTGTCGCATCGCATCGGCAGTGAATCGAATCACCTGACTGGGTGGGTAGCAGCAGCAACAGCAGCGACTCGCGCATGCCTGTTCTGTCTCCGTCGCTGGCCGTCTCTGGCCAAGGAACGTGGAAGGTGGAAGGTGGGAACAGCCCTCCCCACAAGAGAAGGAGCCACCCACTGTCTCCATGACTCGGTCACGACCTGGCACCAGCGGGCTTTATGAGTCAACGCTCCCCCTCCCATAGGCTCGCATCGTCCTTGTCCACTTTTCGCCAAATCGCATCCTGGATTTTCTGGTTCCCGCGCTGGTCTCTTCGGGGGGACTCTGGCAGACTGGCTCTGGACGGACGAGTTTTCGTACGACCCAAACGACCGACGCCGAACCGCACACTACGCTTGACCGGTTGAGCGACCGCCCACACCCCACAGGCCTGCGGCAGCGAGCGGACAGCACCAGCAGAGCGCAGCGCAGGAGAGGATCCCGCTGGAGGAGGAGGGGAGGAAGCGGAACGAGCTAGAACGAGGCGCTGGACAGGCCGAGCTGAGAGAGACAAGGGGGCAACCAGCCTAGCAGCAATCTGGACGGTGGACGCACGACACCCACACACTCACTCCCACACGCGCGCAACAGAGGCCCACCCAACCACGGCCGACGCGCCGCCCGTACTCTCACCCACCCTCTCTCCACCCTCTCCGGCCTCCGGGCAGCAGCCCGCCCCGTCGCCGATGAGCACCGGAGCCGACTCTCCCGCGGCCGCTGCCTTCGGGGCGGACGACGGCGGCGCGGGCTCCAGCATGGTCGACAGCCCTGCCCCGCCCACTCCCGGCGGCGGCTACGACGACACGGCCTCGCGCTCCGGCACCAAGCGCGATGCCACGGATGCGCCCACCCCCGGCGGCGACGACTCCGCCGGGGGAGGAGCCCGCAAGAAGAAGAAGACGGGCCCGGGCAGTCGCGGCGTTGCGAACTTGACCCCCGAGCAGCTGGCCAAGAAGCGGGCTAACGGTATGTGCTCCCCTTTTTGCTCTCTCTTTTGCTCCTCCTGTGCCTCCCCCGAATGGTATGGCAGGCAGTCTTGTTATCTATCAAAATCTAAGTCTTGCTATTTGGATCCTCTTCTTCCTTTTTTTTTCTCCCCACGATTTCTGTCATCTATCATGCATGACATGGGGCCTTATGGTGGAGATGGGCTTGGTCATATATCACGGACAACTACGCCTCACAAAGACATCCTTGTCGTCTTGATATGCTGTGGTGGGCTTGCTAGTTCTTGGTTCGGCTTGATTTGATGACTTTGTCTCGTCCCTCCTTGGCATATTTGTCACACCTCGCATTCCTTCCTTGCTCTATCATCGCTCTCTCCAACAGCCTGCCTGCCCTTGTCTGCCATTAGCTGCCCGTATTAAACCTCTGCCTACTCCGCCCCTATCGGCCTACACAAAGCAACAACCCTCGGACTACAAAACACTCATCACTGACTGACACTCCCCAGACCGCGAGGCCCAGCGCGCCATCCGCGAACGCACTAAGAACCAAATCGAGGCTCTTGAGCGCCGCATCCACGAGCTCACGAGCCAGCAGCCCTACCAGGAACTGCAGGCCATCCTTCGTGCCAAGGAGGCCGTCGAGCAGGAAAATGCCGATATCAAACGCCGCCTCGCTGGCATTGTCGCCATGCTCCAGCCCCTCATTGGACAAGGTGAGTCCAGTTTATTATCCGCCATGACATTTCGTAGTTAATCAAGGAACCACAGCCGCCATTGAGCAAGCATACATCTCGCCAGGCCAGACATATGCTCCTCCCGTACATAATAATCAAGGCCCCCTAGGCGTCCACGGCAACCATAACAACGGTGCCGTCTCAACGCCCGGCAGCGTCCCCTCGCCTCCAGGCCATGACCCTTCCTCTCATCTACACCAGCAGCAGCACTGGCAACCACAGCACCCTGGTGCCGGAAACGGTGTAGGTCCCGATGCTCAAGTAAATACACAGTTGGTCCAGCAAAGGAACGACCTGCGTCATGGACTAGATCTCGGACCGGAACGTCTGGGCCTGGACTTTTTGCTTGACCCCACGCAGCGTGTCAACCGGATCCAGAACGGACTCAACAGTGCCCAAGATACGCCGTCGTTTCACCACATGCCAATGAAGCATGACTGGACGGGCGTCTCATCCGAACGCGCCTTGCATAATCGGTCCGCTAGCTGGGAATCTCAGGGGAGGCCCTTTCAGCAAGGATCTGAGCAGCTCCAACCTCAACAACATCAAAATCACCACCAACAACACCAATACGCTCAGAACCAACAGAATACTCTTCCTACCGGCCCCGAAAGCGTGTGCTCCGGCCCGAGCCCGGGGCCAAGTGTCTGTACTCCCGGCGGCCCCATCTCTACTCCCGGCCCCATGCCGCCCCGGCCTGACCTTGGCATGACCGACTATTCGGCCCCGATCAAGAACTGCGCGCCAACGTGCCCGCTTGATTCCCTCCTCCTCGACTTCCTTAGTGAACGCCGCCAGCGTGCTGCCGATGGTCTGTCCGTCCATGAAGTCGTTGGGCCACGCTATCCCTCGGTGTCCTCCCTCCTCAACCCTGCTCAGAGCGTCTTCAGTCACCCGCTCTCCAAGGTCTTCACCGACATCCTCTCCACATTTCCAGATATATCAAACCTACCCGAGCGGGTTGCCGTCCTCTATATCATGTTTCTCATCATGCGCTGGCAAATATCGCCAACCCAAGACAACTATGAGCGCCTGCCCGAGTGGGTCGCACCATCTCCCGCACAGCTCAACACGCCTCATCCAGCTTGGGTTGATCATGTACCGTTCCCTCGCATGCGTGAGCGTATCGTCCGCGAGTATAATCCGGCGGTCTACCCGTTCGATAACTTCTTCATTCCTTTCACAACTACTCTAACTCTGTCGTGGCCATACGAAGACACCGACACGCTGCTGCAGAATCCAGACGGCGACGAGCTCATGATCAATCCAGTCTTTGAGCGTCACCTACGCAACCTCGACAACTGGAAGCTCGGAAATGCCTTCGCCAAGGCCTTTCCCACACTGCTCGATACCTTTAACCTGGACTCTCGGCCCCCAGCGTCAGCGCCAGGGTCGGTGGGTAGCCGGTAACATGGGTTCTAATTTTGTATTTCCTTTGCGGCCATTCATAAACAGGGCTGTTCATGAATCTTGCATTTCCAAGGCTTTTGGACAAAATCAACGAGGGGGTGTATGGGATCATACGGCGTCATATGGATAGTACGGGCGTTAAAGGAGGGATAGCCGGCCCGCTTCACCAATTTGTCTTTTTAACAATTAACAACGGGCTCATCGGGTGGGAGGTTTGCATCTTTAGCAGGGAGGTTCACCTGATACCAGCGATCATTCATAGATAAATGCCATTTTGGGCATAGATACTCTATACTTTATGCTGTGTCATCCTACTCGTTGCTTCATAGTGAGCCACAGGTAACCATTTCTCGAGTGAGGTGCCGCATGTGTACATCGTGTTTTACAAGGGACTCTCGGTGCCAAACAATAGCGCCGCCTTTAATATCTTATACAGCGCCATGTCGAATATGACGGATTGATGCTTTCTGGGACGATCCGTATTTGTCCCTTAAACATATAAACATATAAATATCTGGCAGACGATGACAGACACGAAGACTGCATGCCGATTGATTCAAGACCAATATGTATAATGGCTTCAGAAATTTGTATTCGGCTTTTAAATACTGTCAAGGGTGTGTGGTCGCTCACACATCCCCTTCCTCTTCGCCCTACCGAGTCAATCGTACGGACCTTTGGTGACCTCTTTAAAGTAGAGATATGGTTGTAACAGCTAGGCAAAGTATTCTCAAAAAATCTTATTATCATAATGCCTTTCATAAATTCGTTACATATGCAAGTGTAAGAGCGTTCTGATTGCCAAACCAACATCTCCTCCTTTTGTCGGGGTATCTTCATCACCAAGTCCATGACTTCTAAACAATCAAATCCATCCCAGTTCAGGCTTCATCCTCCAAATCAGCAGCGCCAAATGAAAACTTGCGCAATGATGGCCCCTCGCCAACAAACAGGCTCGGTAGTCGCTCGCGTGGCATCGTCTGGAACATAAGCGCCTTGAGGGGTGTGTTTGAGCGCAGAGAATCCACCGCCGGATTCTGTAGCCGGCGGCCGGAGCTGAGGGAGAAGAGTCGAACAATCCCGTTATCCTGGGCGGCAGCCACGACACCGAGGCGAGGATTCACGTCCCAGCCAATGTGGAAGTGGGCTTCGTTCCGGTGGTCCGGGAATGTGAGCAGCGGTAGAGCGCCGTTAGGTCGGCGGTTAAGGAACCTCATGTCATATAAAGCCATAGAGTTTTGCAGGCCCGCAACAAGGACGTGGTTGGGATTAACGCTGCGCAGGTGGGCGACAGAGCTAGCGTGCTTGGTGAATGACCACTGTGCTTCTGGAGCGCGGAGATCAGAGACCCAGAGGCGCGGTTGGCGTCCGCCAGCCAGCAGAATGTTATGATTGCCTTCCTGAAAATCTTGGGCGAATATCTCCTGCGGGACGTGCATGCCCTTTGGCGTATTCTGGGGCGCTATCCACGACATAGTCTCGTTGGACCGCACCTGCAGGAGGCCGCTATTGGTGCCAATAACACAGACGAGATCCGACGATGGAGGTGCGGGCGTGCTACCATGCACTAGCCACTCGTCACGTCGTCCGTGGCGGATGGATAATCTCTGGTAATGGTTTGCTTCGTAGAGTTAGCGATGCATTCCGGAGGCTGTGCTTTCAGTGACAACATACTCTCTCCGAGCTGCCAGTTTGGTTTGCTTAGGTCCTCTGGGTCCGATAGGGGAGGCGAGAAGAAGTACAACCCGCAGCTATCGTCAGGCTCGCGAGACGTCAAGAGAATTTTGTGCGAAGGGCTGTGGTACTTGATGGAGGACACCTGTGGACACCGCACCATCTCTGTGCGGAAAGACAAGACCCTCCCGGATGCAATGGGGGCATCTCGAGAGAAGTGAATGCTTGGAATAGTTAGTGAAGGGTTAATCCAGCGTTCATAAAATGCTGTAAACATACTTGTCGTTTTCGTCCGTGGGGATATGGCTTCCAACCAGAGTCTCTTCATCCAAGGCTAAAGACAAGGCAGTCGGTCAGTTCAAGTCCATCTCATCGCGGAGAGTTGCATCCTGCACTCACTAGCATATGCTACCCCCAGTCCCGTCTTTGTATCCTCTCCATTAACATAGAAGCACGGCATGTTTGGATATCTCGCTCTTGCAAAACTCGGCGCGAACGATACACTTCCCTTGGCCACCACGCCGCGGGCCCATGCCTCGGCTTTGAGATCTCCATTCTCGGCTCGGCCTCGTCCGCGTTCCGCCACACGGCCTAGCCCAAACTCCCTAGCAAGGAGTCCTCCGTGCACAGCATCACGATTGATGAGATGCCGCTTGATGTGGTTCCTCACCAGGTGCGCCCGCTTCTTTGCCGCCTGAAGTGTTTTGTCCTGGATCTTGCGCCGCTTGACAGCATCTGAAGAATACACCGCGTTGGCGGGGGCCGCATGTGACTTCTGGATCTTGAAATACTTCTTCTTCTCCGAGTCTTTTCTATCGTTAGACCGTCCATGAGCAACGCCAACCCAAGATTCATACCGTAATAGTAACCTGGAATTTCAGGATTCATTGTGAGACCGCAACAGCGCCCGGCTAGGGACAAATAAATTAGAGTCGAGAGAAAGATGTGCAAGCTAAATCAGCCATGAACCTCAGTAACTTGGTACGTAATCAGTGATTACTTTTCCCATGGTTCTTCTCGTCACCCTTGTAAGGTTCAGCAGCAGCCAGCAAGCAATCATGATTTGACATCGAGTTGGAAATGGCACATGGCACGTGACATGAAAACTTTACGCCTCAACTCCAGGAAGCAACATGCTTGAGCACCAAGAAAGTACACAATAGCATGGCGATTTCTCATGAGTGCGTCAAGTACATCATCGTGGGAATTTAATTAGTTCGACATCACATCGGGAACATTCAACAATCACAGTTATTATCGCAACTAGTGTATTTTATTTTACTTTATTCATTAGTCTAGAAGACGATATCTAGGGGTATGAAAAGCTTCCTCCTCATCCACTCCAGAAGTGTCGGTACGCGGGTATGAGCAGTACAGTGCAAATTTAGAACAAGCGAAGGTGAAAAGTCCGGCCGATGGTTTTCCGGATATATGCCATCTTTATTTACTGAGACTTCTCGTGCTGGGTAGAGACGCGCTGGAGAGAGACAACTGCAAAGATTGTTAGTCGGTTGAATGGTGTCAGAAAGAATGAAGAGTAACTTACCGAAGTCCTCGAGGGATCGCTGCTTCTGGTCCTTCTTGGCGGACTTGCCGTGCATCAGGTTGTCGAAGCCGGTGCTGCCCTGCATGAAGTAGTAGAGACCACCCATGATAGAGAAGATACCGAAGGAGAAGATCCAGATACGGACAACGGCGACAATGCTGGTGCGCTGGCCGTGCATGAACCATCCGAAGATACAGAACAGGGTAGCGAGGATATCGACCAAGAGAATGGCACCAGTGAGCTGCCACGAGGGGATGGAAGACCAGAAAGGACCGTTGGCACGAGTGATGAAGATGAGCCAGTTCTCAGTGAGGGAGATCTCGAGGAAGAGAACCTCATCGATGTTACCGAAGTTCTGGACGATACCGCCGTCCTCAGAACCGACGTACATGGTGGTGAGAGCAATCCAGGTACCGATAGCCAGGACAACACCGAGGCAGACGGACATTCCCCAGAGCTTGGGCAGGTTCCACTTGACGGGGGTCTGAGAGTAAGGAGCGTTATCGTAGGCAATGGCCAAGGTGGCGACATCGGCGAAAATAGCAATGAAGACGACCAGCTCAATGTTCAAGCTTCGGTTGAGGATAGCGATCCAGAGACCAAGGAAGATCTCCATGTGGAGGGACAGAGCGATACGGTAGACGACGTAGGCGTACATGCGGTGGAAAATCTGGCGAGAAGTCTTGAGGGCATCGATGATGGCACCGAGACCGGGAGCAAGGAAGACGATATCGGCGGCAGAGCGGGCGGCATCGGAAGCACCCTCGACAGCAATACCAGTATCGGACTTCTTCAGAGAGGGAGCATCGTTGACACCGTCACCGGTCATGGCAACAAGGTAACCACGCTGCTGGAGAATCTCGACGACGTTGTACTTGTGCTGGGGGAAAACCTCGGCGAAACCATCGGCAGCCTCAACGAAATCGTAAACCTCAGAACCGGGCATGTCACCACCGCCACCAAGACCGAGGCGCTCAGCGTTGTAGACGTTGGTACCGAGACCGAGCTGGCGAGAGGTCTCACGGGCAATGCCGACGGCATCACCAGTAAGCATCTTGATGGACAAACCGAGAGTCTTGGCCTCGTTGATAGTGCGGGCAGTGTCGTGGCGGGGGGGATCAGAGCAGGGCATGATACCGAGAATCTCCCAGGCACCCTCACCACGCTTGCGGGCAACACCAAGGGATCGGAAACCACGGGTAGCAAACTCAGCGACGCAGTTCTTGTAGTCACGGTCGACATCCTCAGGGATGGGGTGGTCTTCCTCGACAGTCTTGAGAACGAAAAGAGGGGCACCCTTGACACAGGTGATGCGCTCACCCTGGGGAGACTCAACGAGGGCCTGGACCTTCTTGGAGACGGGATCGAAAGGCTGGAAGTCGATGACCTTGTACTTGGACAGAACGCTCTTGGCACGGGGGTAGAACTTGAGGGACTTGAGGAAAGCCTTGTCGATAGCGTCGATACCCTTCTTGTTGCGAGAAGCAGCCAGGCAGGCAGTGAGCATCAGGTCATCGGGCTCAACACCGGCGACAGTGTAGGGCTCAGCGAGAGACAGCTTGTTCTTGGTCAGGGTACCGGTCTTGTCAGAGCAGAGAATCTCAACACCAGCGAGGGACTCAATGGCGGAGAGCTTCTGGACGATAGCCTGCTTCTTGGCGAGATAGGCAGCACCGACAGCCATGGTGGTGGTGACGACAGCGGGAAGACCGACGGGGACACCGACAATGGTGATAGCGAGGGTGAATCGCAGAATGTCGACAATGCCGTTGGAGCGGTAGAAAGAAGAGACCCAGACAATCAGGAGAGTGGCAATGACAAGGACGAGCAGAATCGTACCAATGCCGTTGAGAACCTCGGTGAAGTGACCAGTACCACCAGCGGACTGGGAGACGAGGGCAGCAGCGCGACCGACGAAGGTGTTGTCACCAGTAGAGGTAACGACGACGAAGGCCTCACCACGCTTGACGGCGGAGGAAGCGTAGCAAGAGTCACCCTTGTGCTTGTCGACAGCGAGGGACTCACCGGTGATGGCGGACTGATCAACCTGGAGGAAAGCATCCTCAGTGACGATGCGACCATCAGCGGGGATAATGGTACCCTCGTCGACCTGGAGAATATCACCGGGAACGACCTCGGGGGCCTCAATCTCCTTCAGGGTACCGTCACGGAGAACAACAGCCTTGAGAGCAAGAGTCTTCTTGAGCTCCTCGACGATGGAACCAGCCTGATACTCCTGGATGAAACCGACACAGGCGTTGAGCAGGAGCAGAGCGCAAATGACACCGAAATCGACCCAATCCTCGAGACCAGCAGCCAGGACGGCAGCACCCTATGACACAATCGAGTTAGCTTATCTGTCCGAAAAAGAGGTCCAATTTCCGGTACATGGTTGCGAGCGTTCGAAGGTTTGCAGCCAGGGGACGCGATGGGACGCGATGAGGAGCCAGGGTTTCGAAACAGTGGGGCATCGCTAGAGCCGACTGGATCGCAGGCTCCACATCACGACAATCCCAATGCGACGACAGCGCAGCGCGGAAGCGATACGGTGCCGACCGTCATCGATTGCGCGAGGATGATGTGAATGAGCTGGGATGGGAATGGGCATGGGATGTGGGGGGCGAGGATTAGTGGGTGGAGCCACCCACACCACCCCGAGCTTGTGTGGAACTCAGGTGGGTCTGCCAATCTGCGCCAAAAACGCGCAAAGAAAAAATTGGACAATGGTATGCCGGTCCTGAGCGGGCAATCAAAACATGGCGCCGTGTAAGCCCCAGACGGAGCAGGCGATGCCGAGCCATTGAGAGCCGCACCAGGGGCCAGATACCATTGGGCGGGTGAAAGTTGATGTGATGGGATGTGACGGGGAAGCGAAGGCCGTTGCGAGCAAGCGAGCGGCCAATTGCTTGCGTGGGCATGGGGGAAAAGGGAATGTGGAGCTGGGGCTGCTAGCTGGGCGTTTGTATCAACTTACCTCCATGACGAACTGGATAGGACCGATGAAGAAACCGAGGAACTTGAGAATAAGGTTCTCCTTCTCCTCCTTCATCTGGTTGAGACCGTACTTGCGGCGACGGGCAACAACCTCGGACTCGGTCAGACCAACGCGGCTGTCGGTCTGGAGCATGTCCTCGGGGACAACACGTCCACCTCCGGGCTGAACCTCCTCCTCTTCATCGTCTTGATGACCATCCTCAGACTCGAGGTCCTCGATCAAGGCATCAATATCCTCTTCCTCGTCATCGTCGGCGGGGGCGGGGGCCTTGGCCGGAGGAGGAGCCTGTCCTCGCTTCTCGTCGAAGCCGCCGGTCTCAATGTTGGTCGTCAGCGCCGGGGCGCCGGCAACCTTCTCTTCCGCCATTGTTGGTAGGGAGGAGAGGGAGATGACGCAAAGGCGTTGTAGGTAAAAGAGACGAAGTCTTTAGGGGACCCGCGGGCGTGTGCAGCAGTAAGAGTATACAAGTGGTGGTTTTGCTGCAAAGAGAAGAAAGGACAAGACGATTGAGGTTGAGTGGAGAGGGGGGAAGTGTCGAGCACCGCACGAAGGTAGGACGCTTATAGTTGAAGCATTCGTGGGTGAGGAGAAAGGAAAGAAGAAAGAGGTTCCTGAGATGGGCGAGAGCTTCTATTTCAATGGCGCGCACTGAAGCCTACCTTACAGGCGACCTTGCCGGACATGCCCCGTGCGAACCCTCGTCGGCCCTGGATGGACAGGCGGGTCCTCCTCAGGCCGCTCGCAGTCGCTGACTGGCCCACCCACTCACTCACTTTGCTCTCTCACTCTCATCACTCAGGACTCATGGACACCTCCAAGTGGATACTCCGTGGACCCGTTTGTCCCCATGCCATGCCCCCCAGGTCCCAGGTCCCAATTGTCCCAAGGTACGGCCGGGAAGGGTGAAGGTACGAGGGTGTACGAGCGAGTGCGGCTACTGTACGAATTGGGTTGGCCCCACGGCCCTGCCGGTTGCGAGCAAGTCACTCACTCACTCGCTGGCTCCGTTTGTCACTCTCTCATTCCCTTCCTTGCTCGCCCGTTCGCACGCAACGCCCATGCCATGCCCTCGCCGCTCGCCGCTCTCTCTCTCGCTCTCGCGCCCTTTTGCTCCCGGTCTTGGTCGAGCGCAATCTTGGCCGTTGCCGACCACAGCATCGCAGCACTGTGCAACAAACACCTCACCCACTTTGATGGTCAATGCAGAAACACCCCGTCGCCAGCAGCCTGTCACCCCCCCAACTACATGCGCAGAAAAACCAAACAAGTGACTGACAGCAGTACGCCCTCGACGCACAGCAGATGCTTCTCTGAGACCGTGGAAAACCAAAGTCAACCAAAGGTCAACTCAAAGTTGAACCAAGTGACTAGCCCACCCGGGAACCACAGACACTCGTAGCCAGCCCCGAACCAAGGCGCCCGCGATGCTGCAGTGGCGGCGACACTACCGTAAGTCGCCGCAAGTCGCCGCAACGAAGACGAGCTCCTCGACGACCACCGTCACCAAAACAACAAATAACAACAGGAAACCGCATCCAACGGCAGTATCAGCGACCAGCCTACCGCCTACCCGCGCCCAGTAGCGTCGGCTGGACCACGGTCCACGCACGGGTGCTGTGGGCAATCGGCATGGGCGTGGGCGTGCCAGTCGCAGTTGGTCTGGCGTGGTCTTAGGAACCGTCGGTCGCTGCATCTGCAATAGGCCCGGCCTGCGACCCATCCATCGCCCTTGCCCCATGTCCGCGATGCCCACCATGTCCACACTTTTCCTCGGCCAGGTCCTTCCATGCAGGTGCAGGCGCACATTGCACAGTGCGTGGCGCCGCCCAGCGTGGGGAATGGAAACAAGACGGTAATCTCGCAACTGGTGTAAACACAGTGGACACAGGGCAGCTTGGAGCGGGCGACAAGTGAACAACACACCAGCGACGGCCAAGACTCGCAGCAACGAGGGGGACCCATCTGCAAACCCTTACTCCACCAAAACCCGGCCGAGGGTGTCTTTCTTGACCGTGTACCACCCTACAGTACTTCGTCGTCGTGGCTGATGGCTGACGAAGATGTCTATCTTTGCCGTCTCAAAAGTTCGCAGAAGCGACCAATGCCCCTGTCGCTCACTGCCTCTATCTGTTGTCCATTGCACTGCCAAGGCCGAGTTGGAGAAACAATGAAAAAAAAACATTCGCTCTGTCCTTCGCCCGTCGGTCGGTGATACCTCGCTGGCTTGGCTGGTCGTCACTTCAAACCCGCTATGAATATTGCTGATACAAGACAGTCCCGATTCATCCAATTGGGTCCCTCAAAGACACTCGTCATTCGTCCAAGGTCGTACCACACTGTGCATCTCCCGAATCCCGTCGTCTCCCGCCCTTGCAAATCGAGGAGCTTGGCCCTAACTTGGTGCTTCAAGCCTTGCTCTTTGTCTGTCCGTCCGCCTCTCCTGTCTACGTACCAAACAGCGCCCCACTGTTCCCGTGCCCTGTACGGAGTAGCCCTGGTACTTTGCTGTACGTCAGTGCTGCTGGTACAAGGGCCCTCGTCGGCGCTGAGGGATTTTCGGCCATGGCGCCCCCCAAGCTCCCACCCCAACTAATCCATGCTTCTATCTCTCAGGATGGTCGCGACTGGCGATAGGATGACGACACTGGGCGCCCAGGCTGGGCGGTCAGCAGGATTGCGACTGGCTGGCTGACCGGGACGGCGCTGTGGCGGCCACGTAGAGGGAACAAAGCCGGTACGTACAAGGACGAGGACGAAGACGGAGGCTTGTCAACTGGAAACGGTTCGTGGACGAGGCGAGCAGCGGACTTGGTTCGCCGAAAAGTCAGTCGCTCGGTATTGGCATGGACGCGGTCTCGACGCTTATCCACCGTATCCCAACAGTCACGCATGTACGTACAGAGACTCGACGGCAATGTTTCCGTCAACAATGCGAGCTATTTCCGACCAACGCCTCTAAATCGTTAATGAGCCACCTACGATCGGCAGCCTACCTGAATCAATTTCCCCCACGGGCCCGGGCAGGTCCTAGCCGATAACTTAGTGATAGCTTCAGTTTTTACAGGAGCTGATCGACACATTTCATTCAGCGCCCTCGGGACGAACGCGTGCGAGTACGACGATCAGACAGGCCAATTGGTTCCGTACTGAGTACAACAACTCTAAGGTTAATTTGATGTAAGTTATCTAGGTCGTAGACACGACCATAGCCGGGGAGCTGTGTCTCAATGCCGCGGACATCATCATTTCAGCCGCGATAGCAGCCTCTTTTCCTCGCCTGTATTTTTATCCCTCGCTACCTGGCTCTCCCTCGCCCGATGGCCTGTTATGACGAAGGGATTGTCGGAGGGTCCCAGAGGGTCAAAGGGTCTCATCGGTACCTGTCGTGCCTGCGGAGCCTTGACCGGATGCAGATTCGAAGTGTTAACTGGCTCTGAAGGTGCTGTCGATGGACCTGTCCAATCGCCTTATCGGCACCTGTTTCAACCATGCCAGCCTTGGCAGTCAAATCACGGTGTGGCACACAGTACAGCCGTGTCCTCCGGCGAGGTTGCAGTCTTGAATTTGCCTCGTCCTTTGATCTTTGCCCAGCATGGCCTGGCCTAGACCGTGCTGGCTTGTTTTGGGGTATCGGGGGTCCCTTGGGGGCTTTGGGGCTATCGAGGTGACACCGGCCGAGGGAACTCCAGGTCTCCATCCAACTCCTGGCGCATGAAGCGCCACGCTAGCGCCCTCGATCCAACCTGCGGGAGAATGCGGACGGTTGGAGAAATCAACAAACCCCCGGTTGGCGGCGCCAACACCAGCAGCGGCCTCGCCTGGCACTTAGCAAGTACGGTATTACACTCGTAAAGGGTTGTTGCACTAAATCGTGCTCAACCGTATCAGGGCCAGCGCCAAACGCCAGCTGCGACGCCAGGTTCAAGGCCAACTGCTACCAGGCGCGAGCTACTCCGTATGATGCGCCGCATTTGTGGATGGAGTGGGCACCGCCGCTGCACCAGTGCATGCAATTAGTCGCCGCGGTACGGGGAGACCACCTGGAATTCTTCTGGAAGCCGGTCGACTACAGTCGCCTCGCATCGCCGCGTCCACGCCGATTGCATGCCATGTAGGTGCCCGCCTTGCCGCTCCAAATTCCCCGTCTGTTGGCCCCCGATGGCGGCATCACGATGGCAATTGTCGCCTCCCACAGCGGTCAAGGCGCTCCAGGACCCCAGTCGCACAGCTTGACGAGCTCAAGCGGCCGAGGACAACCCTGTCGTGCCCCAGAGTCACCGGCGACGAGCACCAACAGGGCCTTGCTCGCCCTACGTCATTTGAATGGCCACTACGATCCTCCCCAACCCCCCGAAAGTTGCAGAGGTCCCAGCGTCCAAAGGTGAGACATGGGCCAATGACGGCGCTTGACCGTCCGATCCGCCTCGCCAACCGACCCTCGCCTCTGTGTCACATCGGGCTGGCCGTGGGGGGCTTGCTCGGTCTGGGCTCAAGTGGTGAAGAGGTTTTCTTGGCCCGCGGAGGCGAGTGACCGATGACGAGTGACAGCCATTCGTGGTTTGGTCCCCGCGTGTACTTCGGTGTGTCAACAGGCAAACCTAGGTAGACAAGCCCGGTCAGAGATTTTTTCCTCCGAGCTACCGGGTTCTAGTTTAGGTTGTCGATGGTCAAGCTGACGGAGGCAAGGCAAGTCCCTGAGTCGCTGGCTCGCCCCAAGTCGGACCTCGCGCAACCAACGACCGGCGACGGTAACCGGCGAAAGCGACCGCGACCGGCGACCGGCGACCGGCATTAGTGAACTCCGCGGCTTTGCGATACCCGTTGGACTTTTCCGTTGGTCTGTTTCTTGCCGCGCCTGTCGTTCAGTTGGCCTTGCTTTAGATCCCCATCCCGCAATTACTCGTGCCCATGCCCATGTCCCCAATCCAATCCCGCATTTTGCCCTGTTGTACGTACTGCGTACTGCGTACTGCAAAGGTGGTGAGTGGTCATGGCTGTGGACACAATGCCAGCACCTACACCTACGCCTGCGCTTACTTACATGCACACCCATGCCTTTATTTCACTCATCATGAATCCGACCTTCGCCGCGGCCGAACTTGGGCGATTCGGCACCGATGCTCACTTTCCGCTCTCGAGGCCGTAACGCTGATGGTAAGGGGGACGCAAAAAAAGACTCGCAATCTGTCGTGCCCACTCTTTGACCGACAGAACCGGGTCATCTGAGCTCAAGGGATATTTGCATGATGCACCAATATCAGGTGTATCGTGGAGCCTCTCGCCCCAGCTCTATGCACGGTGCTGGTCCTGTATCCACCGCACGGTTACTGTTCCCGACTGTGGATTGCCCTGCCGGTACGTTTATCTCACTTGTAGAATAGCTAGTACACTGATGCTGCTACTGCCACCATGTCATTGGGACAGCACCGCACTTACATGCGGCAGAGTGGGCGAGGCATTTCTTCAGCTCTTGCGTTGCGTTTTCCCCATCAATAACCCGGCGGCGGATCCGGGGTCGCCCGGGAGGCGCTGGTGCTAAGGGCCGGGGGGACGCACTGGTCGGTTGTGGAATTGGAATTGGCAACGGGGATTGGACATTGAAGTGCGGGAATTGGCGGCACTCTAGCCTCTTGATGCAGCAGCATGTACGTATAGCATCCATTCCTAGCATCGTGAGCATCAAGTGTGCATCCAACGACGACATGGATGACTTGACTCGTCTCTTGTCGCTGCACGAGCGCCATTGCGGGGGGGTTACAGTTGCAGTTGCCGCTGCAGTTACCAGTGGCACCCGCATTCGCACTTGCCAGCCCGCGACCTGCTCGTTGCTTGACACAGGCATGCCGGCCCTGGCGACTTCCTTCTACGGCAAACAGCTCGATGGGCCTTGACTTTCCAGGGATCTGCAGCTGGGGCTAGGCTGCAGCCGCCAATCCCTCATCCTAATTTTACCAATTTGACAGTCTCCAACTCAACTCGACTAGCAGCGAACGGAGCCACCATCGCGACGATTGCACTCCAGACCTTCTTGGCATGAGGCGCGATTGGATTGTCTTTGCAGGGGGTTTGTCATGACTGGTAAGGATCCCCAAGGGACGTGTCTGCCTTCCTTCTTGGTCCTGCGCTCCTGCGCCCCTGCGCTACCCACCGGTTGTCTAATAAGAATTTCCAAGAGTCTGGGCGTCGTGTTGCTCACTGCGCCATGAAAGCTTCGCCATCGCTCTTGGCTTGGCGTCGCCGGCGACAAGTGCGGTCGACATCAGGGGAGCAGAGTCATCTGAGTCAATAATTGAGGCTATGGTTAGAGGAGACGACGACGACAGCGACGACAGGGACAATGGCGAGCGAGTAATACGCGAGCGAGTATAACGTCATCTCCCGGGATATTCAAGCTCCGTCCTAAACAGCGATCCTCATAACAAACATGCTTCATCGCTGGCAAGCTGGCACCTGGCTACACATTTCACCGTCCGTGTGGCAATGTCGCTACACACTGATACATGCAGTATCCAAGTTGAAAGCTGTCATTTATCCCCTCACTCCAACTCCAAGCTTCCTTCAACCCCAACGAGCTCCAACAAGGCGCAAATCGAAATGCAGGGATTTGCAACCACCAACGCAGAGACCCGCCTAGCACCGATCTGAGCGATTTGGCTTGCACGCGACCACTCGGCACTCGTGGATTCTCCTTCCTGCGTGCTTGGGGCCTTGACCAAATCCACTTGATCACTCCAGGCGGAGCCGCGAAGACGGCCGCCCCTTGGATGGATCTTGCCGCTGCTGCTGTTGCTGTCCACTTTGGGACATGGGGCGACTTTGCTTGACATGCTCATGTCGCTGACCCTGCTGTCGAGCTTGACTGGAGTCGTCAACATCCTTCGCGTGAACCGGCGCTCTGGCCACAAGATGGGACGGCCGTCGTCTTGCCGGTCGGCCCAAAAGCAGGCTCCGTTTACGATGTCCACTTCAGTTTCGGTTTTTTTTTTTTTTTTTTTTTTTTTCTAGCTCACGAACTTGCCGCCACTGGCCGGTCCCTGTTGGTGCTCGCGACTCGAGGTTTCCACCACCGTCCAGGCCTCGGTCTACCACGTTAGGACCCGCGCCCCATCGTATCGCTTCTCGGACATTACATCCCCCAGGCAATAAACCGGCCCCAGACCGGCTCCAGGCGCGCCTTTTGTTTTCTTTTACGTGTCCATTGGATTATGATTACAACCCACTCGTTATCACTTGTCAATCAAACCATCTGTGTCTGGTCGCTTAGTTGCACCATTATGATCCATCTGCAAGCCGGTAATGATGCCTCCCATGATGCTCATTCCCCGTCACCCATCCTATCTATCCGGATGTGCCGTCATTCCCGAAACACTCGGTTTCTCGCTCCAAGCCACTGGCAGATGATGTCACAACCGGAGTGGGCTGGCGCTTGAGGCGTTGAATTGACAAAGATGGCTGCCGTGACATCGGCATGTTATGTCCGTACCTGAAACAAAGTGCATCGGCTTCGGCACCGTGGGCTCCAGGCCCATTGGTTGTCTAGACCCTCAATGTTGCTGATATCGTCTACTTGGGTTGCCTTTTTGGGCATTGCGCGCTTTTGCCCATCCGTCAACGTCTCTACCTGCTCTCTGGCTCTCGGTTTCATCGTCACTCTGTCCGGTTCAGCGTCTCTCCCGACAACCGGCGCATCATCTGGCTTGAGAAACTAGGGATTTTTCCCCCGGAGCGCGGGTAACCCTCGCATTGCAAGGCAATTGTGCCAAGGTGTTATTTTGCCGCCCTGACTCGAGTGGTTGGACGCCACGTCCTGGGCGTGGACGACGGTGTACCTGGACTTGGAAGGTACGGAGTACGAATTACGCGGATTAATGAAAAGACGGCCCTTTGGCGGTCAGTTAACGTTGCGGGTTTGGAAGGCTCTAGATAGGAGCCAAGCTCCCAAAACGTTGGACCCTGGGCCGGGTGCGAAATTTGGGTCCCGGACATGGGACATCCGACCGTGTAAGAGGACCCTGCATCCAAACAGGTAATTCACTCATACAAAACTGACGGGGGTCGGCGAACAGTGGATTCAATGGATTGGCGGCTGGGCAGGTCTCCCCGCTGTAAGCTACGTGTGTCCAGCTGTCCACGGTACCTGGCTCACAAAGGCCTCACTCGTCCAGGCTGTCCAGCCGCCGTAGCGGTCAGCTCCTACTCTGCTGAATCGGCTATCTCGGTATGCCAACGTATGCCTCCAAGCGGTCAAGACCAGGCATGAGATGACATGAATCAGGTCAGCCATTGACTATCATGCGGCTGGGTTTTGATGGAGAATAAACGCCAATTTACGTATGGAAAATGCACCCCAGCCCAGCAGCTCTCATCGCCGCAAGCCCGTCGCCACCCTCGTCGACCTTCTTGTCCTACCCCAGGTCTTGGCCGCAGTGCTATCCCCTGCCCCCCAGATGGAGAATCATGGAGACGACCAAGAGTGTCCAGGTTGCCAGCTTTCCGCGCCCGCCGCCACCCCAATGCCCAGACTGCGATTGTGACGGTGAGAGCGCCAGTCTCGGCTTCCGTCCCTCCGGTCACGCCAAGAGCTGTGAAGCGAGGAACGACCGGTTGATGAAACATCTTTGCCTCGGTCGTGAACAACCACACAGACGCAACCCTCGCTCCCAGCCTGCAGCGAGCCACATGAGCCATCATCGCCATCCGGTCGATGCAGCCTGCGGGCGTCATGCCACGAGGCACAACCCCAGCCCAGTTGCATGAGAGGTCTTGTGCAGCTTGCCGGACGACCGGCGGGCCGCCTATCGTCCTGTGGGGTTGCCGCCCTATAGCGCGCGCGGGTTGGGTGAGCGAGTGAACGATCGAGTTTTTGCCTCCGTTGGTCTCGATTCTGACAGACTTGATGGCGACAAGTGAGTGTAGCAGACAGCTCTCCGATATCCAGGGTGGTTGGGGCGGCTGGATGCGGATAGAAGGGCCTGTGGAGGACGCAATGCGCCCCTGCTTACCTCGCCTTGCTTGGCCGTCAGTTGCTACACTTTGCTTTACCTCCTCTTTTCTCTATGCCCTTATCTCGGGGGCGTCCTTCTGCCATTGTCCTCGCGTGGCAAACCTTCCACTCTGTCCCCTGGCGGCGTAATCTGCCATACCTTCGATTCAGAGCTTGTGTTTGTGTTGCGCCGTGCGATGTAACGGTCCCCGGATTCAACGTCTCAGCCCCCTTTCGTGTCGATGGTACGCGACTGTCTCCCTGCCATCCGTTTCGGCCTACCTAGCTAGTTTGATCGCCTGTAACCCCGTTTGTGCATATCAAAAACTTGTTGCTATATTCCACGATACGGATTGCGGCCGCAAGTTTTCTTTGTTTCTTTTGTTGGACGTGGCACGAGCATCAGACTTACACAAGCTACGTCGTCGTCGCTAATTGTCTCTCATGCGTCTTGGCAGCATGAGAGAGCCACTATCCTCTCGTCGACGGGGCGTTCCGATGGCCTGCACCCAGGGTCCCTCTTCGGTCTCCCACGTTGCACGCGCCTTGGCGATATCGTCTCGTTCGAGGCCCGTGGGCGTTTTATCTGTTGCAGGGTCTCTGCGTCGCCCAGTCCACCTATCCATCCAGCTCGGCCGCCCAGCCCCCCAGGTACAATTCATCTACCGTGCGGTCTTTGTTTGCTACGCGCTCTGTGCTCGTTGCCGGAGCAAAAAGGACGAAGCATTGAGAGAGGGGGACATCTCGATACATCCGGCAGGATCGAGTGGTTCACGTTCGCCAGGGAGACCCAGCCCACACACGGCCGTCCAGGTGCCGGTCCGCGGTGATGAAAGTGACGCATCTGTTCATATAAGCTATGCACACATGGTATTACCAGTGTGGGTGTCGGGCCCGTTCTCTCGCGTGTGCGTTTCGTCCGCCCTGCGCGGCGCTGTGCTGCGCGGCCAGTTGTTCCCGTCCAGATCAGGACTCATCAGTCCACTTTTCCGTCGCCTTTGCGCCGAGGGCGGGCCCGCAGCTGTACTGGACTCTTTCACGCGCTGGCTCACCCGGGTGCGACAGGAAATTGGTGCCTGCGAGTGTCTTATTCCGTCTTCTTTCCAGCTGTGTGGATGAGCTGAGTCGGCGGGTTCCGGGGGTGAGAGTCGTCCCAGAAGGTGTTGCCTACTGCCCTCTTTGGCTCGCGTGTGGTTATGCAGAGTGAGGTTTCAGAAAGTTCCCTCTTAGCGGGACGTCGGTTGGTCGTGTGTCCTGTGAGCAAAGAGACAAGCACCAGTACCGAGCGCCTTTTTTGGGCTTGTTCATCGTGAAGTTATCGTGTAGTGGAGCGGGATCTGTCTTCGTCTGTGTGGGAGGGCGGGTGATGCTGTTTCAGCTTTCGGGTCGAGACGGAGATCGAGACGCAGAGGAATGGGCTCTGTGTCTCGTGAGCGTTAAGCTTATTCCATGTGGTTGTCCTGGGGAGAAACATTCCAACGACGGTCTTACATGTTTGGGCTTGTCTTGTGAGATTATGGCCTTTACCATTCGGCCTCCTAGGCTTATTGCGTAGCGAGGTATGTTCTCTAGAGATTGTTGCCATGGTGAGCCTTCAGTATCTATCTTCTCGGGCATGCATTCGTAAGACCGTCTCGTGCCCATTCCAGTTGTCCCCGAACTCAATGACAGGTCTACGTTTGCAGCAGTGACAAGATCACCAAAGTTTCTCAAGCAAGTCACCACCCGTAACAACTTGATGACCGCTCATGGAAAACATAGTTAATAAATATATAATGCGTGTCTCTTTTAATCTCCCACTCTCCCCGTTTTACTGGAAACATTATGTATGTTGGTCATTGAGGTAATCTTTGCAGATGTGTCCATGGGGCTCTAGGGTAGATCGTCGTCACTTGAAGATCACGAATGAAGTTGAGATTGAGTCTATCAAAGCTAATTATTGAAACGAGTTATCCGTGTGATTTGGCATAGTGTAGAGTTCGCGTGTTTTGGCAAGATAGAGGGTCAATAGCGCTTGATTGAATAATTACTACAATGTTTGCCCAGCTGCACCAATCTAACTCTTAAGCTTCATCGTGATAGGAACCCATCACTACAAACCCCTAAACTCTTCACATTAGTTACCTGTAAGACACATTCACTGTTCGAGTAACTCCACGTAATCGATAATAGTTATTTTAGTAAAGCACTAGCCAATAATTCAGGCATGTCTAATGTACTGTCCCCTTGCCCTCGCGGATGGTCACGTATTGTACCCTCGAGGCTCCGTAGCTATGAACGCTTCACTGGTCGTAATTCACTAGATTCGAGACCCAACCTCCAAACTTTTATAGCATGAGAACATGCGAATCGTGCCGCCAACGCCCCTCGATCAAAGTAAAAGTAAAAAAATGCAGAAAAAGGCCGCCCTATCCGTTCCGTTCGGGTATCATCAAGCTGTCTCTCTCTCTCCATCCCCTAGTTGCCTGCGCTCGGGTCAGGGAACGAAAAGCCCGCAGGGAAGTTGGGCATGCCGTTGGGTAAGGTACCGATGCCGAAGGGGAACCCGGCCATCATGTTCTGCTGATGCTGGACGCCCATGTTGATGTCGTCACGGCGGTCGTCGCGGTGGTCTTCGCCACGGCGATGATGATGGCCGTTGACACCGTTGCCGCCGCCATGACCGTTGCTACCATTGTTGTCGCGGCCTCCTCGTCGCCAGCGAGAAAGATCATCGTCGCGGTTGCGAGTCGACTTGGGTCCGTTGCTGCCGCCCTTGTCGGTCTGCATTCGCCGGCTGATTGCCTTTGAGGAAACTCCGGCACCAATCTCAATGTCGGGCTCCTCAACACACATACCGGCCTCGATGGGACGGCCGCCGCTACCGCCGAAAGGGGCGGTCAGCATCCACTTGCGATCGGCTTCGGTGAGCTTGTGGATAGGAATGACGCTGACACCAGTCGAATAGTCGCTGCAGTCTCTAGGACCGAAGCCGACACCCCAGCGAGTCTTTGTAACGATCAGCTATCACTTCATCAAAGAGTGCAAAATATTGGCAACTTACACGAAGGGGCACTTCTAGGTTTCGAGTATCCTCGGTGCCGTCCTTGGCAGTGACGGCATCCTTGCGGGTGAGCATCTTGACGAAAGCATGTCGCTTGTCCTTGTTGACGATGCAGGTCTGTACAGTACCAAAGCGGCTGAAAATGTTGCGCAGTTCGTTCTCGGAGCATCTGAATTGGGGTTAGCATCGCCAGGATTGGCAAGATTGGGGTCACAGTTGGAGACAAGGCTGTACTCACGTTACCCCTCCTACGAAGAGGGTTCGGCTCAAGACCTTGATTGAGCCCGGAGGCAGGTTGGGATCGAATTCAATCCACTTGTCGCCCTGCTGAGGCTCCTGTGGTGGGCTGGGACTCCGGCCACGGCGTCCGGGCGGGCTACGCTGGCGATAGTCACCTCCGCGGCGCTCATCGTGGCGACCACGATTCGGCGAGTTACGGCCATGGTCCATCCGGTCACGTCCATTTCGGGGCGATCCACGGGCTCCCCAACCTCTGTCGGGAGACCGCGATCGCGATCGGCCGTGATATCTTGGAGGAGATCTTGTACGGTCTTGGTAGTCCCTATCACGTGATTCACCGGGCTGCATCAACGGGCCTCCCCATGCTGGTTGACCAGCCGCATATGGATTCTGCGGCGTCGGCGCGGGAGGTTGAGGGGTTGGTACAGCCCCCGCTCCTCCGCTGCCCATCCCTTGGATCAAAGCCGGGATCTTGTCAAATGGAACGCCCTGATCGGCAAGTGCCTTGATCAGCAAGATCTGCTGCTGGACGTTCGGATCTAGCCCGCCTCCCGTGGCCCCGCCGCCGGGAAGAGCGACGGGGAATGGGTTGGGCGCATTACTCGGGTTGTTCGGGATAGCACCTGGAAGAGCATTCTGGCCCGGCATCTGAGGCAGAGCAAAGGGCAGAGACGGCACATTTACAGGCTGCGAGGTCGGGGGGTAGGATACGGGCATCTGGGCCTGCGGCAGAGCCGACGACACTGGTAGCGGCAATCCCGTGGCAGGCAAATTATACGACGCAGTCGGAGCCGGGAGGACTGAGGGAGCCGGAGGCATACTGGTGTTTTGGCGCGCAATATTGGCGAGAGCCTCCAAGATGGAGGAGCCGTTGGGGGCTGTAAGTCCTGCGGGGGCCCCGGACTTGCCCTGCAGCGAAGCCATCAGGTTGGGCGGAGGACTACCAGGAGGTGTTGTGGAGGTTGCTACAGTATACGGGTTAGAATTTGAGTGTTTCCCCAAGGTTGGGAACATGAACCCAGCGTGTGGATTATTGTCCGAGGACGACGTACTTGGTGGTGGAGGGGCATTGAGCTTCTCCTTGAAGGACTCGATCATTAGCGTGGGAAAGGTTTGGCCCTTCTCCCAGATGTCAAGGAGTTTCTTAATCTTTTCCTGCACGTCGGGTGTTATGTGAGTTACAATCCAAATGATACGAGACGTGATGATGAGCAGAATCATGGGTTTTGGCAGGTCGCGGCGCCAACCTGCCTTGATTATGCGTCGTGACACACATCCCACACGGACAGCTACACAAGGGAAATATTGCGAGTACAAAGATGCGTACCTTTTGCTCCTCTGGGGCGGTTTGCAGGATGTCATTCATCAAAACGGGCATGAGTTCCGTCACTCTGTGGACGCCAGCGGCGTAGGTTCCATCCTGGGCAGAGCTGTTTATTGCCTGTGCCTGGGCCTTTGCCTGCTCCAGCCATTTTCGGGTTACAGAGTCTACGACGTAGAGTACTCCCAACTTGTGTGTTCCAGGTGCCTTCTTGAAGTGGGTGTAGATCTTCTGGATGAGAACAGACTCGGACTGTCGGATAATGGGTCAGCAACTGCGGGACAAATGAAGACGACTTTGTCCGTGGAAAGCATACCTGGATGTTGGAGACACAGAGCGATGTGAGACTGGTGATGCGAGATCCGGAAACTCCTGGGGGCTTCAAATTCAGCATGGCCTGGAGGCCAGCTTCTAGGTCTGCTACTGCGGAAGCCATGGCGGGCAGAAGGAATCCTCGGACTACACGGGATGCCGCAAAGGAACAGTCCTAGATATAGACGATAACCCGGAACGGACGCGGTCGGGAAATGTCAAAACGTGTGGTGAGGATCTGAAGCACGCGAGAAGAGAGAAAAGTGAAAATTTCCCGGGTGCGGATTTTTTGCCGCGTCTGTCAGGTACGAAGGCCGGGGGCCCGTTTACGCAGTCGCGACTGACGGTGTATACGAGAAGACTCAGGATCGCTATGTCGCGAATACAAAGAAGGCAGGCCTCAGGAGTACGGGATGGTATGGTACGTGTTGTGCCAGAAACGCTCTTCTACTGTGGTGCCAGGACTCTCGACGTTACAGAGCCTAGAAGCAGCTGCGGAAAGCGCCAAACGGGTCCGTCTAGAAGTCGTCGACACTACGGGGTGTCGAGGAGAGTACAGGTGGTTGAAGGAGAATAGCAGCCCGTTTCGTCTGGATGGGCGCGATGGCGATGGTCGAGATGGTCGTCGTCGTGTGACGATGGAGTGATGTGAACGGAGGAAAAGAGGGAGGCGAAGAGGGTGCCTGGTGGAGTCAGTTTTGGGTCACATGGAATGCGAAACGCGAAAGAGGGCGCGGCGCAATTTGCCGGTGTTTAAGCGGCAGAGAGATAACGGGCAGTGAAAAGCTTGCAGGTGGACCCAAACATGGCAGCCCGACAGTGATGTCATGTGCATATTCAGTCATGTGTAATCACACGTGACATGCGTCATTGCGGTGATTATTCTTCCTCTTCCGGAATACTTGCGGCTGCAGAGCGGTTGGATGGCTATGGATGGATATTCCGGTTACGTTAGGTAGTTCGTCCTGTAAGGAAGCGGTAGCTTATCCCGACCCTCTCTCTATCTTATAAGCCGTACTCGCATTGAGCTGTTTTGAACGCCCCGTCATCGGCGGTCGGTCACGAACAAAACGACCACCCCAGGATGAGCAGGACCACATGGCGCACCGTGAGATGTACAGGTGACAGCGTGGCGGCATTAATAATGCTGGGTTTGCCAAGGGCTCAGGTCCCGAGGCCTATCTACAGGGCACGGCAATGCAGGTTATTTTTTTTTCTCTTGGTGATGGCGAAAATGCCAGCAGTTACCCTGGAGGCGGCATCATGGGGGCACGGAGGTTGGAATAGCCGACGACAGCTGCGCCAAGCGCGTCACAGAACTGAGCTGGTCGGTCGATCGGATGCTATGCAACTACTTTAGCAGCCCAGATTGGGAGGAGACTTGGCGGGTACATACGTTTATTCCGTGTCTGCGCAAGCTGTCAGAGATTCGGAGAGGAGGGGTGAGGGGAGCTTTCTCCTCACGGCTCCTCCAAGCACAACACGGACAGCCAAAAAAAAAAAAAAAAAAAAGAGATCAGTTGGCGCCGGATGGAGGGGGCTTCGGCAGTCCGAGCATGCGCCGCTGGGAAGGGTTTGGAGGGCCGGTGGCGGCGGCAATGGGGCACGGGAGATCCGGGCGCCCACGCTGGAGCAGCCCTGGGCCCCTCCTTGAGAGAATCTCAGCTGGAGCTAGAGCAAGAACAGGCAGGCCAGATCCGGGCTACGGAGGACTGGCAAGCATGGAGCATGGAGCATGGAGGGCATGGAGGGCATGGGAGGGGCACTAATCCTACGTTAGCAGGAACCCATCTGACGTCAAGGATACCTGGAAGGCCAGCGTGTGGCCGAGGTCCCCCGAGCAAACCAGACGTGGGCACCTCCACTATTCGGTAGCATTTGGCTCCAAAAGAAGCGCTGTGCAGTGGATTCTAGAGCAGACAACACTGTCCAGCACTGTCGGGGCGGTTGGCCCGAGTAAGGGGCTGCTGCGTTGTTTCTGTGGATGAGCTGTGGATGAGCGGCGCCCACGGGGGCACGACACCCTCGCCTCTCACCTCAAACTCATGTACCTCGGGCAACTGGGACGTAATTGGGACAGCATTCGTCGAGCAACGCAGCTAGTTGAAGCCCAACTGTGCAATTGGACTGGTGGCGTAGTGCGTACAGTAACGCCCGGAGCTGGGCCCAGCAACGGGATGGTGGAGGAGGAGGAGGGCGGATAGTGGGAGGTACTTGGTTGGGGGGATGTCACTCCCAGGTTCCTCCCTCCTCCGTGTGAATGGCGGCGGACGGAACGAACACCTCTATTTCCGAGCATCCCGTCCGTCCAGATCCTGCATCCGACACGAAAAACAATACCCTCACTTCACATGCTGACGAACGGCGTTGGGCGGCGACACCAGGACAGGATTGGAGTGGCTTGGACACGCATACTCATGGGTTTGATCACTTGCTCTCTCTCTCACACACACACACACCTCAAATTTTAAAAATCCAATTGACGCTGGATGGCTGCCGTGGCGGCACGAACTCCTACTCCAGTGGCTGCAAGCCCTTCTCTTCCTTCCTTTTTCCTCCCCGGGCCAAGCAACCCCAGACGGATGTAGGCAGGCTGGCGGGCCAGCTGTTGGGGGGCCAGGCTCTGAGCGACGTCGAATTGGAGGCTGCATCGTCGGTTCGACCAGGGTTACGGCGATGGATGGGAGTTTTTTTGGGGCTTGCAGGTTGGGGGTGGTACCTCAGTCCCTCACAGGTTACCGGGCCCCCAGGAGCCTCCCCCAGCGGCGCCCCCAGCTCCCCAGAAGGCGCGCACTGTCCCCTGTAAAACCCTGCAACAAACGGCCCCCCCTGTAGATGCGCCCCGTAACTTGGCGCTGCGACACTGCAACTGCAACACTGCGACAACCGACGACGTATCCGTGGATTGTACCTTCTGGAGCTGGAGGCACGCATCCGTGGCCACTGCCTCCCCAGCTCCACTGTCCCACACCCCCCGTCTCCGTCCCCGTCTCCGAGCAGGTCACGGCCGGCCTATTTTTTCTACCTGCGCCTTTTTTACTTGGACTCTTCCTCTTTTCCATCCTCTCATCTCTCCCGGCCTCTCCGCCACTCTGTTCATTCTTCCTCCTGCACCGTCTCGTCCTTGCATCATCCCGCTGTTCATCATGGCCTCTGTCACCCGTCTCAGCAACGCTGCCCTGCGGGCTTCCCTCCGCACCTCCGTTAACGGCTCCGCCTTCAACGCCGTCCGATGCTACTCGGCTAAGACCCAGGTATGTACGGAGAGCTCTCGACGAGCTCAATTCCTCGGCTATGGTTCATCATCACTAACACCCGGCGCAGACCCTCAAGGAGCGATTCGCCGAGCTGCTGCCCGAGAAGATCGAGCAGGTCAAGGCCCTCCGCAAGTTAGTCGCCCTCCCCACCACCGATGGCCAACATTCCCGCCGACGTTTGGTCGTCGTGTCGCGGACATTGGCCATTGGCCGTTGACATTTGCCGCGCCTTTGATATACATGCTGACATTCAATGGCAGGGAGCATGGCTCCAAGGTCATCGACACCGTCACCCTCGACCAGGTCTATGGCGGTGCCCGTGGCATCAAGTCCCTTGTCTGGGAGGGTTCCGTCCTCGATGCTGAGGAGGGTATCCGATTCCGTGGCAAGACCATCCCCGAGTGCCAGGAGCTTCTCCCCAAGGCCCCCGGTGGCAAGGAGCCTCTCCCCGAGGGTAAGTTCCAGGATTCACGATTTGCGACCCCGCGCGCATTGGTCGTGGGTGCGCTTTGCGGCATGTGCTGACCCCCGCTCCCACAGGTCTTTTCTGGCTTCTCCTGACCGGCGAGGTCCCTACCGAGCAGCAGGTCCGTGACCTCTCTGCCGAGTGGGCTGCCCGATCCGATCTCCCCAAGTTCGTCGAGGAGCTCATCGACCACTGCCCGACCGACCTCCACCCCATGGCTCAATTCTCCCTGGCCGTGACTGCTCTCGAGCACACCTCCAGCTTCGCCAAGGCCTACGCCAAGGGCATCAACAAGAAGGAGTACTGGGGCTACACCTTTGAGGATTCCATGGACCTCATTGCCAAGCTCCCCAACATTGCCTCGCGCATCTACCAGAACGTCTTCAAGGGCGGCAAGGTTGCCCCCATCCAGAAGGACAAGGATTACTCCTTCAACTTCGCCAACCAGCTCGGATTCGGCGAGAACAAGGACTTTGTTGAGCTCATGCGTCTGTACCTGACCATCCACACCGACCACGAGGGTGGTAACGTCAGCGCCCACACCACCCACCTGGTCGGCAGCGCCCTCAGCTCCCCCTTCCTGTCTCTCGCCGCCGGTCTCAACGGTCTGGCCGGTCCCCTGCACGGCCTGGCCAACCAGGAGGTGCTCAACTGGCTCACTGAGATGAAGAAGGTTGTTGGCGATGACCTCAGCGACAAGGCCATTACCGATTACCTCTGGTCTACCCTGAACGCTGGACGTGTCGTCCCCGGTTACGGCCACGCTGTTCTCCGCAAGACTGACCCCCGTTACACCGCTCAGCGCACTTTCGCCCAAGGTACGTAGTCGACCCGGTCGCACATTTCATTTTTATTTTTAGCTTGAACAGAGATGCTAACAACGCCACAGCCAACATGCCCGACGACCCCATGTTCAAGCTCGTCAGCCAGGTCTACAAGATCGCCCCCGGTGTCCTGACTGAGCACGGCAAGACCAAGAACCCCTACCCCAACGTCGACGCCCACTCTGGTGTCCTTCTCCAGTACTATGGCTTGAACGAGGCCAGCTACTACACCGTCCTCTTCGGTGTTTCGCGAGCCATTGGTGTCCTCCCCCAGCTGATCATCGACCGTGCTTACGGCGCCCCCATCGAGCGCCCCAAGTCCTTCTCCACCGAGAAGTGGATCGAGATCACCAACAAGCTGTAAATGGGATTACGAAGCAGTGGATGAATAAGAATGGAAACGGACAGACGACGGAACGAGGACAACGAGTTGTTCACTACGAGGAGGGACGCCAGGCGGATGGGAAGCAAGGATTTGCCAACACCAATGGCGCTTGTACAATACAACGGGACTGTTTTCGTTTGGTAATGAGCCACACAGGTCGTCGCGAAGCGGGCCTGAATGATTTTTTACAATTAAGATTATGCATGGTCTGCACGCAGGGCACATGCAAGAATGCGCAAACGTGATTGTGTTGGTGGTGACGGTGATGCCGATTGGACCCTTGTCGTGATGTTTCTGTGGGTTTGGAGATTGTTGATGCTGACGTCGATATCGGAGGCCAGATTTCGAATGCCGTGTTGCGTCAGCGCCGATCTGACATTTTTTCTTTTCCATGTTTTCTAAACTCGGGTGTTGACCCCAAAGAAAAATACCCATGCATCAAAATGTGTCATGGCAACAAGGGTCCAAAGCTCGAGTGCCAGGCGCCACAGGAGCTCTGATCCGGGCCGCGACCGGGGAGCTTGGGTGGGCGTTTCCGAGTACTCCCAGCGAGTCCCAGGGGCTCAACAATCGGCGTTGGGAGTTGAGAGAGGCGCTGGGCAGGGCTGTTGAGAGCAGTAAAGGGCGGCCCTAATTTGCCAACAGCGCGCCACAGGGGCCAGATGCGGACTGTGAGTGGCCAGACTGGGGACTCCTGGGATGCGGGAGGCTGGACGAGGCCAACTATTGAATAACTGAATGGGAGTGTGAGAGGTGACAGGCAGGGATTGGGAGTAACTAGAGAGAGGTAAGATGTTTTAGGCGGTCTGAGTAGCAACCCGCCCTTGCTGAGGCGTCCCAAGTTACGTTAATGCTGCGGTTGTGCTCCTGTACTGCTTGTTGCTGCTTGTTACTGCTGTGTGCTCTTGTACTTGGCAGCCAACCACGCGTGGACTTTGATGTCCGTGGCGGTGGATCGGCCGCCGCCCGTGCTCGGCCGGGTTTAGACAGGGAGCAAGTCGGAGAATGGGGATTCTCGGGTTCATTTTGTTGTGCGGTTGGCTGGCTGGGCCAATGATTTCTGTTTCTCTTTTTTCTGGCTTTTTGGCTTTTGGCTTTTGGCTTTTTTTTCTTCTGGGTCATGGGTTGGTTCTCTCCATCCAGCTCCTCTCGGCACGCCAACGAAGAATTAGCTCCGCCCGTCTTTTCCTCGTTGGTGTGTCTCAGCTCAGTCTCACAGGCTTTGCCTTTCGTTGCAGCTCAGGCCGAGCTTCAGGGTCCGCCGCCCCACGGAAGGACGCCTCCGAATGTGCGCTGGTTCGCACCCCTCACCTCACCTCCATTCCGTTCCCCTCCCGCCCCGGATTTCACATGGCATCCATCCATCTTATCTTGGCTGCTCCCTTTTCTGGCGCCGGCTCGGCTTGTCGTGGCATGGCGTCTTGTCCAACCAGCATTTGGGGCGCAGTGCGTCGGTCAAGACTTAGGTGAGGAGGCATGTACCTCGGGCTGTATGTAGAAGAGATAGACAGACGGATACGGGCTGTGCTAAGCTGAGGTGTGCTGGGCTAGCAGCTTCTCTTGGGTTTTGTTGTGTGAGCATTTAATAGCAATCTGTCATCCTCTCGACTGTGCACTTGTGCCTTCCCCTTCCTTCTTCACTCATCACCGTCTCAGGTATAACAAGCATCGTACCGTATCTCTCTCCGTAAGTCGCCTCCCTCTCTTGAATTGAAAATCCAACCCTGGGGAGCCTACATACGTGCGTTGCAAGACCCGATCTAAGCCACGCATTCCCGCCTCCCTGTCTGTCTGCCCCTGCGCGAGCCCCAAATTACAAAGCCTCGCCAGAAACTGGTCAACGGACAGAGCAACAATTACCAGAAACACGTGCTAAAACCGGACCCCTCCAGCGAACCAGAAACACAAAAAGCCCGGGCTACTCCAGCGGATTCCTCCCGAACCGCCCTCTCCCTCAACCTCGGCTTTCCCTCCGCAAAACCCTCGCTCCCAGCAAATCCGCAATCCTCACTGCTCTCAGTCTTCGCCGCATCTGACTCAGCAAGCCTTCCCCCACGCTTGCTTCCCTGAAATCGCTCCCTGCTACGCACCTGCTGCACCGCAAGCTCCCGCGTCCACCTATTTTTCCCACTCCCCCTCTCTCCCCAACTCGCGACGAAGCTCCCTCTTCCCTTGGTCAGGGCCCCTTATTCTGCGACATCACCAAGTCATGGCTGCTACTACCACCGCCGTCTCCGGCCCCGCCGCGGGCAACAAGCTGGAGAAGAAGCCCGTCAAGTTCTCCAACTTGCTCCTGGGCGCCAGCTTGAACCTGTTTGAGGTGACGACGCTCGGCCAGCCGCTGGAGGTCGTCAAGACCACCATGGCTGCCAACCGTGGCGACGGCTTCTCCCAGGCTCTGGGACGTGTCTGGGCCCGAGGTGGTCCCCTTGGCTGTGAGTAAACCCGTCTTTCCCAATCTCTCAGATCTCCAAAACCATCGCAATTGGTCCAAACCCACCTGCTGACCATGTACCTCTCATCGCGCAGTCTACCAAGGCCTCATCCCCTGGGCCTGGATTGAAGCCTCCACCAAGGGTGCCGTCCTCCTCTTCGTCGCCTCCGAGGCCGAATTCTACGCCCGCAGCTACGGCGCCTCCGAGTTTGGCGGTGGCATCATCGGTGGTATCACCGGCGGTGTCGCCCAGGCCTACGCCACCATGGGCTTCTGCACTTGCATGAAGACGGTCGAGATCACCCAACACAAGATGGCTGCCACCGGTGTCAAGCCTCAGTCTACCTTTCAGACCTTCATGGGCATCTACAACAAGGAGGGCATCCGCGGCATCAACAAGGGTGTCAACGCCGTTGCCATCCGTCAGATGACCAACTGGGGTAGCCGTTTCGGTCTCAGCCGTCTTGCCGAGGGCTGGATCCGCAGCGCCACTGGTAAGAGGGATGGCGAGAAGCTCGGTGTCTGGGAGAAGATCCTCGCCAGTGGTATTGGTGGTGGTCTCAGTGCATGGAACCAGCCCATTGAGGTTATCCGTGTCGAGATGCAGAGCAAGAAGGAGGATCCCAACCGTCCCAAGAAGATGACGGTCGGCAACACTTTCAAGTACATTTACGATTCCAACGGTATCAGGGGTCTTTACCGTGGTGTCGCCCCCCGTATTGGTTTGGGCATTTGGCAGACGGTTTGCATGGTTGCGTTTGGTGACATGTGAGTTATTCCATCCCTTGAGCCCCAGGTCAGAGAACCTTTGCTAACCATGTTTCAACTACAGGGCTAAGGCTTATGTTGAGAAGCTGACCGGCGATTCGGTTACTGCTAAGCATTAAGAGGCGTTCATGGGAAGCGGCGAAGATAATCGCTCAAAGGGTAATACCCAATGCGTTTTTATGTTTCTTGGATTACTTGGGTTTTTCTCTGATAGGTGCCACGGAGATCGTGGATATGATCTGGTCAGGGGAAGCGGTCGCCGCCTTATGCATGTGTTTCTTTTTTGACACTATCTATTGTAGACATGGTTCCGGGTCTGTGAGGGAACGGGCTTATACGAAATAGACGAAAATCATCATTGTTTCTGATAAACATTTGTTTCTTGTTATGCGTGCTTGTCTTGCTTGGTCGTAGATGTCCCCTACTGGTGAAGTTGTCCGTATCTTTCTGTTTGGCAATATCACAGGCTCTCAAGTCTATCGGAACTCCTCCACCGTCCAGTGTCCGACCTGGGCAGATCCGTACCTACGTCGTCGGTTCTATCCGACTCGGCTCGAATCGCCATCATGAACCCGGACACACATGTCCGCGACCGTCGTTCCACGCTCTCCCAACCCCGACTACCCCTCCTCGCCGCCCAATTCTCCGATGAAGAAACTCATTCCCCCTCTCATCCACCGTGATAAAACATGTCCGGAGCTCGGTCGCCGACCGTTTGTCGCCAGGTCGGCCGAGATTGTGAGCTCTTTTTCACAATATCCCTCGGAATACGACCCGGTGTCGGGGACGCCCGGTAGGGGAGCCGAGGCTCGGGGTTGACATGCGGTAGCTACCCTACACGTTTTGCTTTAAAATCGTCTCAGGGCTATTTAAAGGGTCAAAGGGGAATGTTGGGGGCTTCCGGACGGTGTGATACGGGTCGTAGTGCTATTTTTACTTGTATAGCTACGTATTGGGTGGATGTATTATCTATGTGATGCTGATATATCTCAGTCGAGCTGATTTAAGGTCGGGAGATTCTGATGTATATGCAAGGTACTTCAGAATTGGGGGTTTGGACAAGGGAGACAAAACGCAGCCAGGGCTACATGTACATATGGACTGATTTATTAACATTTCCCCACGTTATGCCGCCTCCTTCCCCGGAATCGGCATTGCATTACAGCTGGGGGTCTATGTACCCATGACACGATGGGCCAAGCTACTCGTACCTGCGTGGAGGTGACGGGGACCTGGGCGTCTCCTCATACTCATACCCCCAATCCTCCTCGGGGTTTAATACCGCCCCAGCCTCCCTCAGCTGCGCCAAGCTCCACACCGGCATGTCCATCACCGCAAGGTCCTGCTTCTCGTTCTCGTAGTGCGCGTTTAGGAGCCGCTCATTCGGAGAGCCAGGTGCTCTGAGGCGGCGTACGGAGCGGCGCCGGCCGCCGCGACTTGCAGCGGTGCTCACGAGTTGATTTCGCTCAAAGTCGGCGAGGAGGGGCAGGGCCGGGTCGCTGTTGAGGTGGGCCTCCCGGCGGAAGAGGCCCGTCGCGGCGTACTTTGGGCCTTGGACTGCGCCGATGACAGGATTGCGGTTCAGAGTGAGCTGCTGGGACTCGAGGTAAGTGTTGCGTGAGTACACGGCAATGTCGGATTCCGAGTCGTCTTCATCCGCGTCCATCGTATCATCATCTTCAACCACGGCGTCCCGGTCGGCATCTGGAGGAGGAGGCTCTGGGTGTGGTATCAACGGCTTCGATCTTCGGACACGTTGGCTTGACCCGGGCAACGCGATAAAGTGCGATTCTGGCACATCTCTCTCATCAACAGAAAATATAAAGATACGACCAGTGGCGTCACCGACCGCCAGCTTCCTGCGGTCCGGAGAAAAGGTGCCAAATGAGATGGGGCCCGGGGCTTCGAGCAGGTCGCGCACCAGCGGCTTACGCCTGTTGCGCACATTCCAGACCTTGACTTTCCCATCGCTGGAACCCGTGTAGAAGCGGTCGGCTGACGATCCCCACGCTGTAAACTTGACGCCCGTGTCCTCCCTCTCGCGGTCCTCGTAGAACTCGTCCAAGGGGTACCCGTGCTTTAAAATGTGGATCGGCTTGTCGCCCTGTGCAGTGTCCCAGACGTAGACGTTGCCATCGGTGCACGCCGCCGTGATATACGCATGCCGAACCGAGTTTGGCCTAAAAGTCAGTTCGTTGATGTCTGATGCAAAGCAATCGAGAGCCTGAAACTGGCTGTAGGCCCCATCTTGGCGCTCCCTATCTCGCCGGAAGATGTGTATCTGGGTTCTGACATTGTGGTCGATCGTAAAAGTGCATAGTGTTGTCGCAACGATAAAACATGCAACCTTTGGGTGCCATGCCACTTCAAAGACATTGGCCGTCGACGCGGTCATGACAGGCAGACGACGGCCCTCTGCGGCATCCCACAGGGTAATCTCGCCCGAGTTCCTTTTGTCCTCTGGAATATCGAGGTCTTCGCCGCTTGTGCTCCGTGGCGAATACCCAATTAGAAGCAAGTGTTGGGTTCCTGGTGCTCGTCCCCACTGCAGAGTCGCGGGGAAATACGCCCACTTATCGGAGCCATCTGCATCGGTTCGCGTGCACGAGAGGCTCTGGACTGAGCTCTCAGCAACATTGTCCGGATTGACAGTATAGACTCGTACAGCCTCGCTAGGCGAGTCGGCAGCTGTGGCAACGCGGCCAGATCCATCCTTGGCTGCGATAACGAAGTTGACGATGCTCGTGTGTTGCCATGTTGCAAGAGCCTCTATAGACCGACCAGTCGGATCGACCTTCCATACCTTTACCGTCTTGTCGAAACTGGACGTAAAAGCTAAATCAAAGTCCTCATCGTAGTCGGAGGATACGACCGATGAGTAGAGCCACGGGTCCTGACTGCGACGCATGGCCTCTGTGGAGTTCTCGCCCTTTTCTACTCGAGGCCTGGGTATTCGGTGGTCGGGAAATGATCGGAGTGTGCCTTCGGTGGTGGAGCAAAGAAGCAAGTTGCCGGGCTTATTATACTGTTGGTTGTGAGTATCTGAATGTGCCGTGGTTCCGCATATTAGGTTGTCGCTAGAAACCCAAGATCCGGTCGTGATGTCTCCGGCGCAGTTGGTGAACTCAGCCACGACCTGCAGATCATCCTCTCGAGCCTTTGTCAATTCATTTTGAAAGTTGACAAGCTGTCTCGTTCGCCCGAAGCCAATGTTGCCCTCCATCTCTCGGGCCAGGAGCAACGACGTAACACGGCTTGCTCGTGCGGCCTCGGCTCGTTGGTTGTTGACATCGCGGCTCATGGATAGCATGCAGCCGTCAGATAGCGGAGTAGCCTGCCCTGCTAGCAAATCCGAGCAGAAATTCCGTATGTCCTCGCTCATCCGGCCCTTGAGTTTGCCTTGCACTGTCTTGGGAATATCGTAGATGTGGCATCGTTCGGCGAGGGCCTCCACAGTGGCAGGGACCGCCTCTGACTCGTATTCGGAGACACACTCGGCGATCTTGGCGATCTCGTCTGAGGTAAAGTCCACATGGTAGACTGTAGGTTGCGATGGTACACGGTATCGTGGTTGGAGGGGATGCAATGCCCCTTTAGCAATTGCATCGCGGCTCGCTGCCGTTTGATAGGGGCGATTGTCGAGGTGAAAGTATGGATTATTTGATTTTGGCTCGGTGCGTTTCGTCCGTAGCCTATACGGCAGGCGGTCGAAGTTACCTAGATCGTGGGGTTCTTCGTTCGTCGTTGGTTGTGAGGGACGTGGAGGCTTATGTATTTGTTTGGGGGCAACCTCCGATCCCGGCCCTAAAGGGTTCGTGGTACGTATCAACGACTCGATCAGCGGTGATTCAATGGGGATTCGATATTCCTTCGCCAAGTTAGCTTCTAGACCGTATGCCAGCTCTTGACACACGTACTGGTAGTTTTGTGAGCCTCGCGATTTCGTGTCGTGCCCGCACCGCAATGACGGCCTCGTCCTGGGGGGTTAAGTACCCATTCGTCTCGTCGAGTCGCGTCCGGAACCTCGCGGTTCTAGCGAGAGCAGTTACAGCCTGGAGAAACGGTCCGCGTTAGCCCTCGCACTCAAGCGTTTGTTAGACCTCTCCCCATACCTGAACGGCGAGGTTGTTAACGTAATAAACACCTTCAGGTAGCGACCTCACCACCTGGCTGACGTGTGGTAAAACTTGCTCCTGCAAGCACTCCTTAAGTCCGCGCCGACGCGTGAGGGCATTGTCGACGCGCCTCCGTTTGACGGGAGGCTCGTCATGGGGTATCGGTAGTAGCTGTACCGGCGCGACAGGAAACTGCAGCGTAGGTGTCGGAGGGCGATGCGTCTCATCCGTGAGGTCAATGTACGCCCTAGTCGCAGTCGCGGTAAGCCCTAAGCTCATGGGGACGACGGCACCGAGGGAAGAGGACGTAATAGAGAGCTTTTGAGAGCGTTCTTTGTGCGTGAAGAAGGGTGAGTATCATAAGGAGCCAATACTTACCACATGGCTCCGTGATCTGCTGCCGGAGTGGTTATAGGTTCTAGAAGGGGTTTAGCAGGCGCTACTAAGCTTAGAACCCGGAAAAACGTTGTTTAGGCCGGTATAGCCACTCATAGCTATTTTAGGTATTAGGAGGTTTGCTTACTACTGTTTTTCAAGAATATGAATAAAGAGCCTAAATAATTTGGACCCCCGTTTTTATGCTTAGTCATCACAAAATAGCTATTTATTTAGCTTAAAACAGTTAGCCTAACTTTAGGCTATTGGATTTTGCATCACCTAAAGCTAACATTCTTTCTTCCACTATTATCTGTCTTCTTTTTATTAAAGCAAAGAGCTTCTTAACATATTTAAATTCTTAAAAAGTGGCTGCTATTGTCACTTGAGGAACAAAGAAATGCGCACGAATTACTTTCATATGCTATCAATGATAAACACCTGATGGCTTGCATCATCTCAGGTTGTAAACCCACACACCAGTCTTTGACTCCAACGCCGATATCGATATGCCTTATCTTTAACAAGCCTTAGTCTTACAGCTTAGCTTACAGCTTGGCCTTGCTGGATTCTTCAGCAGCAAGCTCCTCATACATGCGGTCGATATGCCCCCGGAACGCCTTGGCTGTCTGAGGTCGCTTGAGCTTGAGTCTATTAACTCTGTTAGTCTATAATCACTTCAAAAAGTTGTAGAATCGTAATTATACGTACGTAGGTGTAAACAGTCCGTTGTCAATAGTGAAAGGATCCACCTCCAGATGGACATGGCGCACTTTTTCGAAGCTGTTAAACTTGTGCTTGCGAGCGATAGTGTCTAGCTGCTTGAGGAACTTCTCCTTGACCTTAGGATGGTTCGCGGCAGTTTTGACAGCGGACACATCGCTGGCAGTGATACTCTCTTGTAGGATCTTGCTGGCAAATGGAGCAAAGTGCTCCACATCAATGCCAAAAACACCTACAAGAGAGGATTGGGTACCATCACCGTGGACATATGCCATGTTCACAAGATTGGTAGCTCCCAAGTAGACATTCTCGATGCGCTCAGGAGAGATATACTCGCCCTGTGATAGCTTGAGAACATTCTTCTTGCGATCAACAATCTTGAAACGACCCATCTTGTCAACTTCGGCGATATCACCGCTGTGGAACCATCCGTCGGCATCAAGACTCTTTTTAGTCTCCTCTTCATTCTTGTAATACTCGCGGAAAATGGCGGGGCCACGAAGTAAGAGCTCGCCACGGGGGTTAGGCTTGTCATGTACCGTGTACTCGAACTCGGGGCACGACTCAAGGCAGACCTCCATACAAGCCATTGGGGGACCGATGTTGCCAAGGCTGAAGTCACCACGAGCCTGAATCGTTCCAACGGCATACGACTCGGTCATGCCAAAGCCCTGAGCAAAGTGGTTGGCAAAGGCAGCACGGAGGAAGTCCTGGACATCGGGGTCAAGCTGGGCGCTTCCGCTAACCATGCTGTGGGCTCTCTCAAGGCCCACAGCGGCCTTGACCTTGGGAGTCCAGATCCTATCGTACAAAAAGTGCGAGTTGGAGGCCTTGCCCGGTGCGGCTCGCATGTTGGCCTTTTTGGTGTTGATGATGTGCCTCGAGAGCGCACCTCGAGTACCGTCTGCCTTGATGGTGGCAGTCTGAATGGCCGAGCTGAAGCGGTTGAAGAGGCGAGGGACGGAGATGAAGCCGGTGGGCCGAAGGATCTTCATGTCATCTACCAAGCCAAGGATGTCTCCCCGGAAGAAGCCAACAGCAGCACCCTCGGTCAGGGCAATTTGATCGATGAGACGGCCGTAGATGTGGGCCAATGGGAGATAGGATATGTGGACATCCTTAGGGCCAACGTTGCCGTTAACTCGGCCAGCCGAAATGGCAGCAACTGCGTTTCGGTGTGTGATGAGGACACCCTTGGGGGGGCCTGTGGTGCCGGAGGTGTAGTTGATGGTGGTGACGTCCTCAGCGGTCGGGGCCCTTGGGGCACGTCCTGACCGGGCACCAATCTCCTCGACCTGGGCCATGGAGTAAATCTGGATGCCATGGTTCGAGGCGATTTCGTTCAAGACAGAGGCTTTGGTGTGGGAAGCCAGCTCGCCGTGGTCGAGAGGGTCGACGGAAACGATGAGCTTGAGACTAGGCAGGCGCGGCGACATTTTAAGGAGGACCGGGATATGGGGCAGCGAGCAGACGACGCAGGCAACTTCAGCATGATTGATGATGTATTCGGTGGCATCGGGACCAAGGGTTTCGTAGAGGGAGACTGAGTAGAGCGCTTGTGAAGCTAGGCCGAGATCTGTAGATGGTGACGACCTGGTTAGCTTACGGAACTGGTTGAGACGGATTGGCTTACATACCGGTGATCTGCCATTCGGCGCGGTTTGGGGACCAGAGACCGACACCATACTTGTCAGGGGTGTAATTGATGCGCTGGTGAATCTCGACGATACCAGCACCAAAGTTCTTCCTCCGGACGTCGACCTCGGCGTAGCTCAACCAGTCGTACTTGTCCTCCCAAGCCTGGGTGGCGGGGTTCCAGTGACGGGTGCCGAGACACCTGGCACTGGGCCACTTCTTGGAGCTCTTGTCAAAGAGATCATGGGTGGTCTGGGTCTCGGGGTCGATTGAGGTCAGCAAGGGCTCATCGCGGACAGCCCAGTGACGGTAGACGGCGCTGCGATTGGGACGCTCTGAGCCTGGGATGGGGAGGCCGTAGGGGGTGCCCGGTGGAGGTGGAGTGGACAGTTTCTTGTAGTAGGCTACGGGGTCTCTTTCGGGCGCCATGATGCCAGTGGTCTTGGAAAGTCTAGAGGTCTAGGAGTGGCAGGCGAAAGATGGTGATGATGCAGTTTGGTCAGACAGGACGCCGGGGGGAGGTCGCTTGGAGTCCCGATTCGCTGGGAGTGGACGCGAGTTGGCAGGGTAAACACAGATTACACGGGGGCGATCTGGCGAAAAGGGATAAAAGACCCAAGAATGAAGATGGGATGCACAGGGAACCTCGAGCCTCGTGCCTTCCTTTTGAGGATGGGCGGGAGGATTGGAGCTGCAGCGGAGTACGGAAGGAGCGACCGAGGGGGGACGACTCTGACGAGGGGCGACGAGTAGTGACGAGAGAATTGTTAAGGCAGCGCGAAACGGAAAAGAGGCGGCGCGTGGATTGGTTTTTGACTTGGCTCATCTTGGAAGGCTTGGTAAGGTTGACATGGGCAGCGCGACAACACCAGGACCGAGGCGGCCCCGTGCCTCGGCAGCCCCAGATTTGTTGGCGTCAGTAGCGTCACTGCCGCACGCCTGGGGCCTCTGGGGGCTGCCACATGGGGGGAGTTGGGCGAGATGGAGTGCTGCGGATTGGCTGCAGGCGCATTGGAGGCCGGAACGGGGTCCCTATTCAGTGGCCGTGAGCCGAGGCCGCGATGCCACAGACGACGGAAGCTGGGGTAGCGAACAAGGCATGGCCTTCACAGGTCGGGGGTCATCATCTGAAGCTGCTTCTGCTCCGAAGCACAGGAGGAGATGAGGAGATGGGCCGAGGAGAGACCCACCGGGGGTTGAGAGGGATCACCTGTGGAGGACGTGCTGTGGCGATCTTCTGGCGGACGGGCCTAGCTTTTTTGCTTCTGTGGTTGCACGGGCGCGTTATAGGCCTGGAGGGCACCTGGAAAATGCGAGAAGCTGAAAAGGAATCTTGGAAGGTGGCCAGCCAACTCAGCACATGGCGTCCATAGATTTGATGTTGCGAGGTGAGAAACATGCAAGCCAAGATCAAGGGAGATGGATGCGGGGTCAGCCCCTGCTCTTCTGTGCCCCAGGCCTTTGATCTTAGTTGCTCCAGAGTCCAGTGCTTGTGTGGTTCGGTGCTCCGAAGCAAAATATGACCTGGAGAATCAGTGAGTCCCCCTGTGGATCATCCTGCACCCGCACAGCAACTCTTGGAGAACCTCCACATGGGAGCAAAACAAGGTCAACAGCCATCCAACCGTGTTTCCCATGTGCCATGTCACATCCTGCGCCTCTTTGCCTCTGTTCCGACGTGAGGTCATTCAAACAATGGGCGCTAGTGCCTGCAGCAGCCCCGGAGTGGAGCGTGGAAGCTCCCCCAGATATCGCCGAGCCCCAATCCCATCCCGCGATATCCGATTTTAAGGATCTGACCAACCCATTCTGAGCGTTTTCTCGGTCTGTTCCCCATCCATCAATCACACGCGCCTCGCTGAGTCGCGGGTTTCGGGTGCCCTTCGGTTGCATGTGAAGATGGCTTACCATGGGCTGTGTCTGCTTGGCTGCTGCTTTTCTAGCCTAGGAAGATAGGTCCTCAACTACGTAAGTTACTTACTACGACCTGCGCCTCGGACGGACAGCAGCTGACCACACGCTCGGGTTTGACTGCTGACCCCTTCTGCCCGGATATCGCCAACATACGACGTCATCCAGATTCTACATGGTACTTCTTCTTTGGTGTACCTGGTCGTATTATCGCCATCATCACGGGCGCATCCACATCCATCACACTCATTTCGCCATCCGTCCAACATGCTGATACACGACACATTAGCTTTCGGTCATCACGGACTTCTAAACCTCCGGACATGGGAATACCCCTTTCCACCTCCGGCTTTCTTTCGTCTCTAATTGCTTACTGTGTGCTTTCTCGTTAGATCCAGTCTCTTGATTCAGTTCCATCGATCTTCAAGATACCCGTGGCCGCCCCCCTGCCCGCTGGCCGATACACATTCTTTTCGCAGATTCCCAATTTCCTGTACCTCTCACAATCAACGCCACGTTACACTTCGTACCGCCACTCTGTGATACATCCAATGCACGAAATCAACGAGGTCACAGATTGAACGCCGGCACTCTGTCTCTGTGCAACATGGACTTTTCTTATTTCTTCGCCGAGCAAACCTTTTCTTGACCCTGCTTGCGGAGCTATGCGATGTGACCGCCCTCCATGGCCGGGGTAGTGGCAAGGCCGCAATGTCACTGGAATCGATTGATACGCGAGGTTGGATGAAGCAAAACGAAACACTACGAAGTATTCACTCACTCTTTCATTTCGCCTCTACCAGTCAGTGACGCCAGGGGAGAAAATGTTTGCCAGTGCAAACCATTCAAATCAGCCCAGGCTGGCCGACTTTCCATCGGCAGGCGAGCCATCCGCTCCGCCGTCTCTCTCACTTTGTCGGTGATCATCTCTCAGGCACTCTGATCGGCCAGTGGCTGCCCAACAACGGCCAATTCGTCTCTTACATAGTGCGTGTTCGGGACTAAAGGCAGCCACGCTGAGTGCAGATCACCGCGAAATTGCCTTGGAAGGCTCAGCGGGCGATCTTTTTGACAATGCATCAGCGCCAACCACCAAAGGAAAAGACTCTAGACACCAACGGCTACCTACCTACCCGGCTCTGTTCTGGCTCTTTGTCGCCGTTGAAATGCGAGCATGCCAGATGCCTCCCTCTGGCTGATGGTATGCGCACCATTATTGGCTCAACAGGAACTGGCTTTCCAGGCGTGTTGGCCGCGAGCGAGTGAGTCTCAACCAGCTCCACCGTCATGCTGACCGCATTCCGATTGTTCCTCCCGAACCCCATCAATCTCCCGCCGCTCACAGCGTACAAGGATGGGTGGGATCCTGAATTGGGTCGATGAATCAATGGATCAATAAGGACCCATAGTTGATGCGCGGGAATGAGGGGCACGGCCCAGATCCAAACCACTGGCCAACGACCGACGGCCGGTTCGCAAACTCACCCACACCAGGTCACGGCGCGCGGACACAACGGGGATGCCCTCGTCAAGATGCCGTCACTCGTTCGTAAAACAAAAACAAAATCACGCTCTACCGCACGGATCCCACCCGCTTCTTTTCCTGCTCGTGCGCCGTGCACCGCGTGATCGTGTGCCAAATGAGCGCACCCTGAAGAATCCCATTCCTTGCCTGCCCAGTCGTCGCATCTTCGGCACTGATGCGGCTCGTTCGGTGTGTCCACGGCATTGGCCCGGCCCTGGCGCCCGTGTGAGGCGTTCGATGCATGGCGCACAACCACAACCCACAGCCCGCAACCCGCAACCTGCATCCGCAGCCCAATAACATCGTCGGCCTAGTTCGCGAATCCTCGGTGCCTTGCAGCAACGTGGCCCGCGTCGGAGAAATGCCATGGAGGCGAGAAGAGGCCCTGCGCAACTGTCGGCCCGAGAGCCCACTTCCCACCTGGAATCCCACCTTGAAGCCCACAACACCCAGAAACGGCCCGCGCATTGACAGAGGCCCGCCCCTGGAACAGGGCCGTTTCACTTTGAGGTCCCGTCTCAGGCGGAACTCGACAGTCGAGACACGACACGCCGGCGTTCGTGTCAGAGTAATCCCCCAAATTGGCCCGTCGCCCCCTCCAAGGAAAATCAAGGGAAAATCCGACGAGAAAACCGTCATGCTCTGCCCCTGCCCTTGAGCGGGCCCATCCATGCCCATCCGTGATCGACGTTCCTCTGTTCCTAAAAACGGCATCAATTTGACTCCCTGACCCGCTAGTCTTTCTTATTTTCCTTGTCTTTCTTGCCCATTGCTGCTCTCTCCCCCTTGGATGCGCCCGCCGTACTTCAGACAAGCCTGCATGCCCACAAGAGTACAAGAGCAGTACACCCCCACATCGCCCGGGACTTGTCTTGCCCGCCAGCCCTGGGAATTGTTATATACATTCCCTCCCACGTTTCCACTTCTCCCGAGATCTTTCCTTTCTTTCTGGGGCTAAACGCTGATTTTATCCCTTGGACCGTTCACCTTGCTTTCCTCTCCTTACCCGCCACTTGCCTCTCGCCGCCGCGTGATTTGGTTTCTTTCGGGTTTCATCTAACAACTTCCCGTGCCATCTGCCCATTTGCCCACCATGGCCAAATTCGCCGCTGTTCCTATCCTACGAGGGTTGCAGCTCGCCATGGCTCTGACGAGTCTTGGCCTCAGCGCAAAAGGTATGTCGTCGCAATCTCTTGCTCCCCAAGTCCTGCGTAACTGTAGTCTTTGGGCTTCGGAAATACGTGTGAGGACTGCCGCGGGGGGGGGGGACTCGTCTCTAACTGGATGTTCGTTCACCTTACTGACCATGGGGTCTGTAGTTGTCAACTGGTACATGATGGGAAGCCGAACCTCATCGCCAGAGGCATTCGTCTTCCTCATCTTCACCTCTCTCTTCTCCCTTTTCTCTCTCGTCTACCTCGTGGTGGTACCTCGATTCGCCCCTCGATTCGCCCAGCCCTATGCCTCGATCGCGGTGGACATGACCAACACGGCCTTGTACTTTGCTGGATTCATTGCGCTGGCCGTCTTCATGACCAACCTTACCTTCTGCCGCGGTACCGTCTGTGCCGTGGGTCGAGCCGACGCCGTCTTCGCTGCTGCGCAGTTCACGGTCTGGATCGCCTCGACCATCCTTATGGCCAAGGACTTGTTTGTGAACAGCAGCAGGGTGCCCAAGGATATCAACCACGAGGATAGCAACCACGAAGATAGCAACCACGAGATGTCGCAAGCGTAACGGACGATGAACGAACCGAGATACGAGACTAGCTGCAGTATACGTGAAACTTTGGAATGGGAAACGATTTTAGGATTGTTGACCATGGGTTGGTTGGCTGGGCGGATAGTCCAGGACAGGACATGACGGGACAGGATGGGATGGGATGGGATAAAGGGAGGGAATAATTCGATGACGGCGTTTTGGTGGGGTTGACGGTGGAAACAGGTCCCATCTAGATGATGGAAGTTGCTATATCAACCCCGACTTTTTGATTTGGAGCGAATATCATTTTGGGATCCGGGCGTTTATTGACGGACGCGACCTGAGTAACCTAACTAGTCCGTAGAGGAAGTTGGCGTAATTGAGCTCGAGGTTGAAATGCCATTGGGAAATGGGGTTACCACGATGACGACACGACGCAACCGTCCGATGCAAAGTTTTAGCGCGCACGAATCGAAAGAGGTCATCGAGAGCGGCCATGTCGTACGAGAACATGTGCCCAGGCACCTTGTCCCATGGGTGTGCCTCGCTCCAAGCTCCAAGCCGTGGCGTCATAGGGGTCGTGCCAGAACGTAGCTATCTCTCTATGGAACCCTACCTATCTCTCTAGGGAACCAACGTATGAGTGAGCTTAGACTTATCCAGTCCCCAACTCTCCGTTCCTGGACGGCATGCCAGCAAAGCCAATTGCACCATTACGCCCAGTCATTGGGTAATGCTCTCGACCGGACGAACTCACTCCTGGGATCATGCCCGCCTGACGATCGCTCCCCACGCTTGTGTGATGCGGGATGCTTCCCACCCATCTCCTCTAGCCCGAGCCATTGCCTGCTTGCCTGCTTCGCGTAACTATTCCCATCCATGCACCACACCCTCTCCGTTTTCGGTCCCTCGTGTTCCCTGCTCCAGCCCCTCCCAAAGCTCCCATTGTCTGCCCCGCAGGTGTAAGCAAGGGGAAACCCAAAAAGAAAAGTGAGCCTCTCGTGCCGTCCCGGGACCAACAGCAAGCCGGGATCGGCCAAGGGCACGTAACGAGAACATCAAAGAAAACACACCCGCAGAGCACATCATGCGGACGTCGGTGTCCTGGCGCTGAGACACCCCCGGCAGCCGACGAGGCATTTAGGCGGGCTGGGCAGCAGCACCGGCTACCGGAGCAGGCGTGATTTGCACCCGCAACGAAGGATGAAGCCATTCCTCCCCTCCCCGCCAGAGAACTAAGAAGCTCGCGGTGCGCCAGCGAATAGGGCGCCCTCGCACCGTGAGTTGTCGCCGATGGCGTGCTCCGCGGCCTTCCCCACAGGCTTGCCCAATGTGGCTTGGGACGGGCTGGTTCGTGGGGCAGTGATGCCACTGAGCAGATGGTGGGCGACAGGTTGACTGCGCCGTGATGTGTGTGGGCGTGGACGTGGGCGTGGGCGTGGGCGTGGGCGTGCTTGAGATGGGTAATAGAAAGGTATAAAGGATCAATGGCGCGATCAGCTGGCTGCTGCCGCGGTTCTCACTCCTCTTCCTTCTCCGTCTCCTCCTTTCCGTCTCACTCGGATTTGCGTTGAAAACAAACAGTTTCCAGCCTTGTTGTTTTCCAGTTCCCATCATCCACCATGGCCGACCAGAGCAAGAACTTCGAGACGCTGCAGCTCCACGCGGGGTACGTTGTGTCCCTTCCCACCACCTCCTTATGGCGGGGCACAAGTCCCCTCCTCTCGCACGCCGATCATGACTACCTACTACCTACCCGACGAGAAGATTGAAATTCAACTGACATTTTTCTCTCGTCTTTTAGAGCTCAGCCAGATCCCACCACAAACTCTCGAGCTGTCCCAATTTACGCGACTACGGTGCGTCCATTCCGTCGCTATTGAGAGCAACCATTTTTCTCGCCCGCCATTCACCACCACAACCCCCCCACGATTGTTCACGAGCTAACAAGAGCCCCAATAATAGTCCTACACCTTCAATGACTCGGCTCACGGCGCTAGGCTGTTTGGCCTCAAGGAGTTCGGCAACATCTACAGCCGTATTATGAACGTGGGTTTGCGACATAAGCTTATGGGAACCCTCAGACGACTAACACGCTCTAGCCAACTGTCGATGTCTTCGAGAAGCGGATAGCTGCCCTGGAGGGTGGTGTTGCTGGCCTCGCCGCCTCTTCCGGCCAGGCGGCCCAGTTCATCACCATCAATGCCCTCGCCCACGCCGGCGACAACATCGTGTCCACCTCCAACCTCTACGGCGGCACCTACAACCAGTTCAAGGTCTTCCTGCCCCGCCTGGGCATTGAGACCAAGTTTGTCAACGGCGACAAGCCCGAGGACATTGGTGCTGCCATTGACGACAAGACTAAGGCTGTCTACGTCGAGAGCATTGGTAACCCCAAGTACAACATCCCTGACCTCGAGGCCATTGCCAAGATTGCTCACGAGAAGGGTGTTCCTCTGGTTGTAAGTTGAATCATCACCGTCATCTGTCAGCTGCGTTTACCCGACCTGAACTAATCCTTTGACGCATTAGGTCGACAACACCTTTGGTGCTGGTGGCTACTTCATCCGACCCATCGACCACGGTGCTGACATCGTCGTCCACTCCGCCACCAAATGGATTGGCGGCCACGGCACTACCATTGGCGGTGTCATCGTCGACTCCGGCAAGTTCGACTGGGGCAAGCACGCTGCCCGCTTCCCCCAGATGAACGAGCCCTCCGACGGCTACCACGGCCTCAAGTTCTGGGACACCTTTGGCCCCATCACCTTCATCATCCGTGCCCGTGTCGAGATTCTCCGTGATATGGGCGCCGCTCTCAACCCCTTTGCCGCCCAGCAGCTCCTTCTCGGAACGGAGACCTTGAGCCTCCGCGCTGAGCGCCATGCCCAGAACGCCCTGGCTCTAGCCAAGTGGCTCGAGAACAGCTCCCATGTCAGCTGGGTCTCGTATCCCGGTCTCGAGAGCCACCCCTACCACGAGACGGCCAAGAAGTACCTCAAGCGCGGTTTCGGCGGTGTCCTCAGCTTCGGAGTCAAGGGCGACGCTGCAGCTGGCAGCACAGTTGTCGATGGCTTCAAGCTTATCTCTAACCTTGCCAACGTCGGTGATGCCAAGACCTTGGCTATCCAGTAAGTTGCAACCCGTTTGATGAAATGCGTTCAGATACTGACTTTGAAAGCCCCTGGACTACCACCCACGAGCAGCTCTCTGATGAAGAGAAGCTTAGCTCTGGTGTGACTGAGGTAAGCTGACCTGACCTGACTTTGCAGTAGCCTCCCGAGACCACGCTAACCCAAGCTTCCGCAGGACCTTATCCGGATCTCGGTCGGCATTGAGCACATTGACGATATCATCGCCGACTTTGAGCAGTCCTTCAAGGCTGCGGCCGGCTCTACCGAGGAGCAGAACGTTGTTGCCGCCTAAGCGTGGTGGATTGCAAGGCGCTGTCGAGACGGAGAGGAGTGACCGGATTCTCTTGATGAATGAATACCCCGCTGGGAAAACCCTTGTAGTTCAATTGAAAGCGTGTTTGTTTCCCATTAATTTCTCCGTCGTAAATATTTGTGATTTAGGTCTACGGCTTCTGCTGGCGTATATAATAATCATCTGTGCTGCTTGTTCATGACTTTGAATGCTGTGTTATTGAAGATGCATGTGAATGTGGGCCTTGCCTTGCCGTATGGGGAAGCAGATGAGGCTGAAGGCGTTCAAGCCTGGGGCTCCAGCCACGCCCGTAAAGCCGCCTTGATTGGCCCACTTGGTCTTCTACGAAATCCCCACCACAGATTGTGGCAACCTCACCACATCGCTTCAAGCCAACGGAACAACCATCGTCACCACTCTCCATCGACTCGCCGCCCTCCGTGTGTATTTCTCCTCCACCACAAACCCGCACACAATGCGCGTCACCACCCCCGCAGACGCCCTGCTGGGCCTCCTCACGCTCCTCCTGCTCCCCGCCGCCGCATCCGCCGCCTCGCTGACGCTGTACCTCCCCGCGAAGCCGAACCCCTTCTCGCTGCCGGCGACGACGCACGCAACGCTGAGCTCCCTGGGCTCGCAGTTCTCGGCGCCGCTGTCCGCCGCCAACACGTTCGTCTTCCACAACGTCACCGCCGGCTCGTACCTCGTCGACGTGCACTGCCAGACGGACGCGTTCCACCCGCTGCGCATCGACGTTGCCACCGACGACAAGGCCCCCATCCAGGCTTGGGAGACGTACCGCGGGAACGACTGGGCGAACAAGGGCGAGGTTGTGGCGGTGCGCGAGGGGAGTGCGGGGAGGGGCGTTGAGGTTCGAGCGCTGGGATCCAAGTCTTACTTCATGGAGAGGCCAACCTGTGAGTTTGAATCGGTGGGGGCTCTGGGCCTTGCCGGGCTGCTACATGGCGGCATTGCGATGCGACGACCCTTGGCCCTCAATGCGGATTACTTGGAAATTATACTGACAATCTGCTAGTCTCCGTCCTTACTATCCTTAAGAACCCCATGATCCTCATGGGTCTCGTTAGCATGGGTATCTTCATCGGCATGCCCTATCTGATGGAGAACAGTACGCCTAATATTTCCACTTCCCCATCTTCCGTTCTATCAAGCTAACCATGGCCAGTGGACCCCGAGATGCGCGCCGAATTCGAAGCCCAACAGAAGTCGGGCCCCATGAGCACCATGATGGGCGGCGGCCAGGGTGGCGCCGACAACAACCCGCTTGGCAACTTCGACATGGCCGCTTACCTGGCCGGGTCGGGCAAGAAGGACACCGGGAGCGGGAGTGGAAGCGCCAGCGCCAGCACCGGAAAGGGCCAGGGTGTGAGGAGGTGATGTTATGTTTCATCAGAAATAATGAGGTGCTCGAACATTTGTGCGGGTATGAGGGTATATGCATGCATAGAGCTGCGGGCCTCATGATACGTCGTTGTATAGATGTTGAGCTTTAGGAGTTGGCTTTAGCAAGCCACCCTTATATGAGTATATTGAAATGGAACCTGCTCCTTCTACGGGACAAGGAGCAACTCATCCAATTGGTTCTACGAAAACCGCAGTCATCTCGTTATTGACACTCTATCCAAGAGCTCCCGATGCTTGAATCCAGCGTGTACTATCTCCGACCACACAATCTCTCCGATGCATTACTTATCGGCCGTAACATTGAACAGGATTAACCCGACCAAACCCAGCTCTCTCGTCAAGTATATACGATAGTGAACGACATCACCTCTATTCTCATGCTCGCTTCAACTTTATTGAGAACTGAGAAATTACTCGCCGCCGTCAAAGTCACCACCGCCACCATCATCTGGCAGGCATGTTAGCAAGCTGTTGCATCCGCATATGGACATGGGGATGTCGACTTACCGTATCCTTCCTGATACGCTTCCTGTTCATTGTCGTTCATGGCATCCGCGATCAGGACACCACCGAGGACACCGGCACCCAGACCGAGGGCGGCACCTCCGGCCATGCCCATTCCACCGCCACCCTGCTTCTGTGGCCTGCCATATTGCTGTTGGCCGTAGCCGCCATACTGCTGTTGGCCATATTGAGGTTGACCGTATTGCGGTTGGCCGTACTGGCCGTATTGAGGTTGACCATACTGAGGCTGGCCGCCGTAGCCCATCGGGGGACCTTGTCCGGGATAGCCTTGTTGCTGTTGATAGTACTGCTGTTGTTGCTGGGGTGGGTAGCCGCCGTAGCCACCACCGCCGTAGCCACCACCATGTGAGCCTCCTTGAGATGAGGCCATTTGCTTGCCCTTGCCGAGCAGCTTGCCAAGGAAGCCGCCGCCACTCTTGCCTCGATCCCTGGGAGGAAGCTCTGCGGGATAAGAGCCTTGAGCGGGGCTACTTGAGCCGTAGCCGGGAGGGACTTGGGGTCCACCGGGACCGGCTCGGGCGCGAGCATCTTCCTCGGCCTGAAGCCTGGCAGCAAATTTGGCATCCTCATCCTCAGTGTTTGAAGAGCCGCCGCCGGATCTGTTGACTGGGTCGTCGTAGGGGTTGATCTTGACATCGGACGGCGCGGGGCTGTCACTATGTACGTACCCAGGAGGAGGGCCATCTGGGGCGCCGTTACCAGCTGGGTACGCAGGAGCAGTAGGCTTATCCCATTGGGACTGCTTGGTGTGAATGTTTACGTAGAACCTAGAGGGACAAGAGGAAGTCAGCGATGCGATCGATGGGATGCGATACGAGGCGCACGAAAAGGAGCGCGGGCAAATAATCAGATGAGTGAGGGGAAGGATGCAAGGCAAAAACTGACCATTCCTTGTACTGATCATTCCATCGCGCAGTCCATCCCTCGGGAACCACAGGTGCCTTGGGAGGCGGGGGACCGCTTGGAGGAGCGAAATCGTCCATAGATGAGGGGTCGAGAGCGCTGGAGGCTTCGGTTTGCGACGGATGGGTGTCGAATACTGGCGCGACGGGTCGAGATGTCGCAGTAAAGATGAGAGTTGAGGAGAGGCGTCTGCGATTGAAACGAGACGGCTTTAAGGTTGTTGAGAAGAAAGAGGGGTTTCGTGGAGGAGGAGGAGGGACGAGGATAGACAGATGCCGCTTGTCCCGCCGACTAAGGTATTTATTAAGGCCTTTGGGGGGGAAGCGTCGTCACTCGGGCAGTGTTCCTCCCTTGGCGGCCTTCCACCGGGCCACTTGCCACAGCTTGCCATTGCACCTGCCTCGCCCATCCATTGCGTACCCAGGTAGGTAGGTACCCACCGGGAACGGCGCTCCGGGAAGGAGGTCGCTCTGATGCGGCCATGGAGGGTTCAGTTGCCCCTCCCCCAAACCACCACTGACAGCTTGGTACAACGTCAGTGGCACGCTGCGAGCACAGCCCCATGCGTAGCCCACTTTGCCCCTCTTCACTCGATGCCAAGCTCATGATGCGAATACCTGGTTGCAGTGGCCTGGGACTGTAAAGCCACTCATCGATTGGGGTCTGGCAATGCCAAGATCATTCTCGCATGGACACATTCGACCCTTTTTGCAGGAGCCTGCTGCACCTCAATCGCTCACTGCGGACCCGACCCCGCCATTTGTAAAAACCCCAGCCCTGTTCGGCCACTGCTGGATTGCCCGATGCGCGCCGCCCAACGAGTCCCATGCAACTGCCATGGTGCGATGCCCGCTCGGACAGCTTGGATAGTCGGGTTTGAGCAGTGGGCTGCCTCACAATCTGTCTCAGGAATCCCGTCATTCGCTATCGCCACACGGAAGCCGGGAGATCCGCGCCGAAACCAAATGACTCCCCTGGTCTTGTTGGGGGTTCATGCGCCACACTGGACGCGAGTGCGACGGCCGGGAACCCGAACACGCCTAATCGAATTGATTCCATTCTTCTCTTTCAACGGCTGCCGTCGCTTCCATTGTGGCGGTGCATCCTCATGACTCTGCAACAAACGGCACAGCACCGAGTATGGCTACGCTAGAAGTCGCGAGAAGGCCCAGATGATGCCTCTTAGTAGTCGAGGCGCTACTGGATCACATGCGTCACTTCAGCTTGGCAAGGTGCTTAATCAATCTTGGCACAGGCAACTCGGTATTAACAGCCGCCTCATATTAACGTCCGTAGCGAGTAACTACCCAACTACAGTAGCGGGTCGGCGGAATCAGTCCTCTCCCTCTCAGCTCGTCCAAACACCGAAGTAATTGACCCAAGAACAATCATTGACCAAATCTTCTGACTTTAAAATGCAAACAAGGGTATTCGTCTAGTAGCCTGACCTTTTTACTCACACCCTTAGCTCTTTCTATTTCTCATAGCTCCGGAATTACCTGGCTGTCCCCTTCAAGCTTTCGCCTTATCCGTGCAGAGGGGCCTCGGTATCGTCGTCAACTGGAGGATGTCGGTTATTCCAAGGCTCAAACACGCCCGACGTCCGGGAGAGTCCACCGACCGTCTCCCAAACCAACAGGAAGGCAAAGAGACCCATGATGACGAGCATAAGTTGCTCTGCGTTGAGGTGGTCATGTGTCTCGGGGAGGACTATGAGGATGATGGCAACTACCAACCGCATGGCGATCCTTGGAATCTGAGACAGTACCAAGCCGTTTTCGCCATCGACACGGTACAACATGCCATAAATCCACAGGCAGAACATGCCAACTCCCAGGCCTCCACCAAGCAGCCATCGCTGTCCGTCCTCAAGCTGATACTCTCCCGCGGCCACAGCCGCAATGTGGCCTCCGATCAGGAAGGATGCGGAAAGAGGCAGATGCAACAAGAAAAAGCCAAACGCGGTCCACGCGGATCGTCGAATGGGATGAGTGGCTTGGACGCTGCCATCGCCGCTGGCATAGATCCAATTGAGACTGAATGCGATGATGAGGGTGCAGACTGCCTTGACATAGCCTGACGTCAGACCGATCCCCGTCTTCTTGCCGACGATGATGCTGTACACGAATTCGCCGAGGATGATAATGAAGAAAGCAGCCATGCGATCAACTTCGTGCGCGATATCGACGGCCGTGCTGTAGGTGAGCTTGAGCTTTCGCTTAATCCATGGACTGAGCGTCAAGGCCCATGTAATTTCTTGGTAAAAGATGGCGATGGCCACGATAGCGATCTTGGCCCGGAGACTGACGCTTTCGAAAAACAAGGGGATGGTGATCAACAGCCCGACGAACATGAAGCCAGCCAAGAGACGAGCCTGGGTACGGTGCTGGTACGCGGTGATGGATGTGACGAGGAAGGTGCACATGGTGGTGAATCTGGCGACAACGTAGGCGCCAACGGTGGTACGGAGGGCCTCGATATCCTCGTCGGCGGAGTTCGCGTTGTTGGCGTACAGCACCAGGAGGGCCATGACCCAGAGGATGACGAGGCGCTGGAGCAGGTCGTCGGTATAGTACGAGTTCATGATCTCGCGCAGGTCGACCCAGATGTGCCACGCTGGCGCGAAAATGAGCAGGTATTTGACGAGGTGGTCCCCGTCGGGGTGTTCGGCGAGCTCATCACTGAAGTTGGCGACGATGGCGACGTCTTTGGAGGGTGTGTTAGCTGCGATTCCGGGTAATTGGCCCGTCTCAAGGGAGAAGAGAGCTTGGAGAGATTGGGGGAAGAGATAAACTCACAGAGAAGGTCGAGGAACAGCTCAAAGCGACCGGCCTGGCGCTCCTCCTCGCTCTCCTTGCAGAGCTGGTCCTTGTAGAACCATTGCAGAGCTCGGGGCTTCTTGACGACGTAGCAGGCCGGCTTGGCGTGTTCCTGGAGTTCGTTGCAGTTCATCTTGGCGATGCCTTGGGCGCTTGGGACAGAGACCTCAGACGGATGCGCGCACTTGGCAATGGGCTTGGCCGAGCCAGAGAGAGATGCAAGCGCAAACTTGGCGAACTTGGCGCGGAGGAGGGGGAGGGAGAGGCCAGCATTTGAGCTCTCGGAGCACGTCGGTCTAGACGGAGCTGGATGTTGTGTTTTTGCATTTCCACCCGCCTTAGCTCGCGTCCCCCAGCTCCAGCTCCTGAGCTACGGCGGCGCTGGTGGCTGACTGGCCATTACCAACCGATGCGATTCTCTTATGCCCATACGAGTAAGCGAGAAAATCCCCATCGGTGGCCAATCCATGCCGCATCTAGATGGTTTGAGACGCGCTGCTCCAGCCCTGCAACCCACTTCCACCAGCCTAATCGGAGCCGCCATCGCCGCCAGCGGGTCGATTACGTAGGGCCCTGAGACTGTGAGTCCCTGGACCCTCGCTCCGCCGCCCATTTTCCCACCGAGATGCTCCTGCAAGTGTCGATGCAATCATGCTTAACCCCTAAGGTTTTCTCCTAGCCCGTCTTTGTCGTTCCCACCCCGTCGGCCGCCCTGGCTTGGCAGAGGCCGAGCTGTGTTGGTGGCTCTCCACTTACTTACTGGCAGTGACGATTTTGGTAGTCCCCCGCCGAGTCAGCATTATTAAGGCCCCGGTTACCCACCACCACCGCACGAAATGGGCTTCGCGCCGAGAAGTCGCTGGTATTACCGGAGTGATTCTCCGGAGGGCAGCCTGGACGTCGGCAGGTAATCGTCGTTTGTCCGGCATGCTTTACTCCGTAGTCTGTCGCTATTTGGCATAACGAGGACATGATTCAAATATGACTACGAGTCTTTGGCTTGGAGCGAACTCTAACTGGATCTTTCGGCAGAACTCACTTACAAAGCATCTCGTCAAGGCTCCCATCATCAACAAATCCGGCATTCCACCATAGCTCGTACAATGGAATTTCCATTAATGCCGGTCGGAGCTAAAATAACAAGATGGAGCTGGTGCCCCCCGGCATTGAGCTCTCGAATCGCGATTCTGCGAGGTAGCATCGACAATACTCCATACCGAAAGCGACTATGACGCACATGGGTCTACTATTCCTTGACCTCCCCCAATAGTTTGGCTCGGTAACCTGAAGGTGATAGTTGTTGAACCAGAACTAGGATTGAGCAGGCAACCAACGACGCATCCCGACACCTACACCGCTCCAAAACGCACAAGGTCGGAATCTGATAATATGACATACTGCTCCCGCCATTATGATGTGCGAGACTGGTTGTGGCCGCCAGCATGGCCATATTGAGTCCGCGCATACAACCCTCGGTGTCTCAATATGGATAGATGCAATGTTGTGGATATCTTCGAGCAAGTCACCTCGCACGAACATTGCACGTGCGTAAGCGTAGTACATCGGAGGCTAGGGCGTTTCCGCGCAATATCAACTAAACATGGCCTCCTAACCTGAATAACTGAGAGATCGACGTCCATGATCCTCCCGTTCCGTGCCGCCACACCCGGGTTCCCAGAGGTGGTGCAGCGACGGTGCAGGGAAGGTTGCCTATAAAGGTACCCGACCCTGATTCATAACTCAGTGTGAACGAGCATACAAACTTTTTAGATATTCAATACCTGCCCTCTACAAAATGAGGCCCGCCGCACTTTTCCTGTTTGCTGCTGTCGCGGCTTGCTCGCCAACTGTCTATTTGATTCGTCACGGCGAAAAGCCGGACGATGATGATATTACTGGACTGAGCACCGAAGGAAAGGAGCGAGCGCAGTGTCTTCGAAGCGTGTTTGGCGCAAGCTCTTCGTACAATATCGGGTACATCATGGCTCAGGCATACAAATCTGGTAAGGAGTTCTTGGCTTGTCCCAATACTGCCGTGTCTAACGAGACTAGATGGGTCGAGGCAACGCCCTTACGATACTATCCTGCCTCTTGCTAAGGATCTCGGTCTCACCGTCGACACATCTTGCGATCGGGACGACAGCGACTGTGTTGTAGATGCCGTGAACGACTACTCCGGAAGTGGCAACATTCTGATTTGGTATGTTCAAGTCGTCGAGTCGATGGGCCTTTAGCTAATCATTACTTTCAGCTGGGAACATAAGCGCCTGAACAACATTGCGGAGGAACTGGGTGCCGACGATGTGGATAACTACCCCAGTGGCAGATTTGATATTATCTGGACAGATCCATATCCTTACGCGGAGGTTACATCGACCACCTCAGAGAATTGCCCTGGTCTGGATAATTAGACGGAACATGAGTCTCAATTAGGGGATAAAATCATTGATGGTTGTATATACTGAGCTTCATTATTCGCACGAACTTGTTCAACTTAGACATGTCCTGGTACTCAATCACCGATTTTTCGATATGTTAAGTTGTACCAACGGTCCGACAGAGATAGTGCGGATACAAATCATCACTGTTAGCATGCTCCATCCCGAGAATAGAGAGACGTGCGTACCAATGTCAAGTGCCAAGAAAGGGGACGCAACTGCCCTCATCATACTCTGTCCACGACCGTGACCTAATTACACAGCCTATTCTCCCCAACAGTCCTGAATAAGGTAATTAATCACTTGTGGAAAATGCTAACGAATGTGGGAGTCTAGACCCTGTTGAATTCGTCCTTTAGTGCCGTTATTTAGTAAGTGAGTCGTATCTACCCCATAGCGTGTGAGTAGAACACAGTGCACGCTTGATATAATACAACAATAACTACACATATAAAATTTAAACAAAAATAAACAAGTTTTATTAAGAATTTTATTAATAGATTTAAACCGCTACTTCATATAATTCGCAACATATTGGGAACCGTGAGGTTGACCAAGTCAGTTACGGATGGGGCACAAATTTAGGTCAACCCACTACGTAAAAAGAGACCCAAAAACACCAAAAAAAACATACAACAGCAGGGATTCGCTGGTCGTCACCGACCCAACTACTAGTCCGCCGGTCGCCAGCTTATCTAGGGGAGAGCGGACGGGATCCCGAGTTTTCTAGCGCCTATGGTCGTATGTGCTGGTTTGGTCCGCAACGTGCAACTTTATTCCTGTGGTGTTCCTAACGTATCTTCATGCCAATGGGATAACCCAAGACAGAACATCCTATTTACTTGTGAAATTAAAGACTAGTAGGACAGGAGGTCCAACAACTGAATCCGCCCCTTAACTTGAGGGCCTAGGGTATAGTACTTTCCACTCACTTTTATATACACAATCGTATACTCAAAATCACCCCAATCAAAAGAAACACACTGTTATCAAATTATCGAAGGACTTGGAGAAATAGATTCTAAGAAGTTGGGCGCTATATGGATTGCCGTCTATTGAGCCAGGCTATCAAGATAAGTCGTCCTCTAGGCCAACCATCTCTAAGCTCCCTTTCCATAGCCTCTGCTCTGTAGGGGGGTCAAATGCTGCTTCCGAGTGACCCGGGCATACAGAACACTCTACACTGCTGCACGTCTCAGAAGCTTTGAGCTAGTACCGGAATGTGCGGCACTTGCTCCTGGAATATGCCGTTGTTGTCCCAAGCTCAGTCAATATGCGGATGCAATTTACATCCGCTTTGTGACCAAGCGGGGGATTACGAACGCCCCCCCAAAAAACATCCGCTATGGCTGATGTAAACTACAAGCGGGGTATTTGATGTGGATCCATTGTGTGATACGAAGTTATATAAATGGGAAGTTCGTCGGACTTCTTCAAATCCTTCTGTCAGACACAGTCCACACCATCATTCTACTATCACGAGAACAAGAAACCGACAAAATGAGCGCCATAAACAAAGTTGTACTTATCGGGGTGAGTTGAGCTCGCAATATTATAAGTGGCTATCACTAATTACCATCTTGCCATGCAGAAAGGATTCCTCGGATCTGCAATCCTCGAGCAGCTCATCGACGGAGGCTTTGCCGTAACCGTTTTCACTCGTGATAAAAAGTCAATCCAAGGAGTTCCAGCCGGGGCTGAAGTTGCCGAGGTCGACTATGCTTCTGCTGCCAGCCTTGAGAATGCTCTTCGTGGCCAGGATGTCGCCATTTCCACCGTGGCTGGACATGCCTTGGGTGGCCAAAAGCTGATCATCGACGCATGCATCAAAGCCGGAGTCAAGCGATATATCCCGTGTGATTGGGGTTCGCTCTCCACCGATCCCGTAGCCAAACAACTTGCTGTGTATGCTCCGCAAGTGGCAACTCAGGAGTACCTGAGAGAAAAGGCTGAATTAGGCGAATTGGAGTACACCATCATCGCCACTGGTGTTTTCCTCGATCTCGTCTTCATGACACCCACGCTTGTTGACTTCGAAGCCCACACCGCCCTCATTTATGACAACGGGATACACCCGTTCAGCACAAGCAGCTTGGCTAGCATTGGCAAAGCGGTTGTGGGAGCTTTGAAGAAGGCGAAAGACACGAAGAATTCTGTGTTGTATATTCACGACACCGTGCTGACCCAGGCCAAATTCATGGCTTTGCTCAAGAAGCACTCACCCAAGGGAGTCGAGTGGACCGAGACTGCAGTCGACGCCGAAGCCGAGCTCCAGAGGTCAACCAAAGCTATCCAAGAGTCGGGAATGGATATGTTCAATATGATAGGGCAGCTCAAGGCCGCCTTTCTTGGAGGCAAATACGGTGCGGCTTACAAGCGTGTTGACAATGAGCTTCTTGGTCTCGGACTCCTTGACGACGAAGGCTTGGAGGCGAAAGTCATTGCCAAGCTTGGGAACTGATGGGCAAATTCGTGATTGAGGGTTGAATGCTAGACTCAATTAGGACAATTATATCAGCATCATTCCGTCTGCAGCTTGTGTAATTTCTTTTGAAGGAGTCAAACTCTACGGCAATGTGTTTGAGTGCGGATACAAATTGCATCCGCAAAACTAGAGAAAAGCGGTCAGTCCACTTCTAGCCAAGCGAACCAATCATCATCAACACCACTTCAAAGTTAGCTGGATTAGAACGTCAGATTAGTCAGTTTGGAATCAACTAATAAGAATGTCCCACCCCAATAAGTGCCTTCAATAACGACGGAGCGTTTCTGGCGCTGCCTAACATCACATCCAACTTTGCTTGTAGCCATTTTCGCGAGATGCCGAAAGAGCCAGGTTCAGCTAATAAACGCATTTCAAATGTCAGTCCCTCACCCGAATTGTACAATCTCCCTTACGGCGGAGATGATCAAAGGGGCGTGTACACTGACAGCAGCAGGCATGTCTCCCCTGCCAAAAGCGAAGGATTCGATGTGATGGCGGCAAACCCACTTGTTTGTCGTGCGTGACTCGCAAGGCTACATGCCAGTATAGTGTTCGGAAAACACGTGGTCCGGGAAGGACGTAAGTGGTAGAGACGATCTTGGCCGAGCTCGGCGAACACTGACACCGTTTTGCAGCAAAGAATACATCCGAATGCTGGAGAAGAGGCTCCAGAGACTAGAGTCATCAGTTAAACCTGCAGATGAACCTTGCGAGCCTAGCGGATCCCATGTTGATTCTCCGAGTATGTCTGAAACGTTGATTTACACACGGCTTCCCACCCCTGACAACGGATCTAGATAAGCCAGATGTGCCTGAAGAAGGCTCTACTGTCTCCCCCCCAGAGATCGAGATCCCAGCCCCCACCCCACAAACTAGTAGCCTCGAGCCGGCTGTAGAGAAGACAGGGTGTACTGCTCAAAGTGCCCCACCCTTGCCACTCTTGGCTTTTATGTCCAAAGCCACAAGGCTACTCGAACTTGTGAAGGAGTTGATCAACAATGTAAACCCAGAAGGATTCAAAAAGACCATGTTTACTCAGCTCTTCTCAGATCCAAAGGTTTTTAAACTGGTAGGGTTGGTCATTGAAGATATCAACCAAATGTATCCGTTGTTGACTGAAACAACATTACTGGAGCTCCTCGATCAGCAGCACGCATCTGGCTTCGAAGACTCCACGGAAAACCCGAGTCGGTGGGCTGTTTTGAATTCATATCTTGCGATGACCATGCAATGGAAGGCAGATAACAATGGCTTCAGAGACTTTTCGTCTCTCGCATGGGCCTTTTTCAAGAACTCGTTCTCTGTCTTCCCTGAACTGATCATAAGAGGGAACGATGTTTTGGCCTGTCAAGGGCTGCTGTTCATGACAGTGTTTCTGCACGGAAGCGCAGACATGCGAACCGCTTCCCAAATACTTTCTGCAGCAGCTCGACTATCGCAGATCATTGGGTTGAACCGGAAATCATTCCACTCCACCGTCCAACCTTCTGAGAAGGATGCATATTTACAAACTTTCTGGAATATATACATCCTCGACGCCAATGAAGCGATGAAGTCTGGGTTATCTCCCTCCATCGACCACAATGATGTCTGCTTACCGCTCCCAAGTGCGAGGTCACCAGAAGAGCTTGGTGCTGTGAGCTTGTCCGAGACGGGGGAGAAAATAAACGCAACTAGGTACAGAGCAGAACTCGCAATCATCCAATCAAAAATCCAGAGCAAATTGTTCTCTGAAACTGCGCTTCAGTGGGATGTCACAAAGCTCTCCAGCGCTGTGAGAGAGCTCACTAGCGACTTGCAAGCTTGGATAACGAGTTTGCCGTTGGAATTTCGACCGTCTGTTGACATGATTCCATCAACACAGCTGGAATTACCGATCATTATATTGCACTTTGCATACTACAACTGTATCGGGAAAATTGGAGCTATTGCGAGGCGCCTCCAAAATAGCAATGCGCCGAGGTGTTCACCGTCCTCCGTCGTGGATCCTTCGGGGACTCGCTCGAACTTAACCTCACCGCCGAGGATTTGTGCAGCAGCAGCTCGAGCAACAATTCGTTTGCTGCGATCAATGGAATCCCAGCCCTTCACATGTATTTGGTAGCACATCCACGATTCCCTATATGGATCCTCGGCTAACGTGTTAGGCGAATAATATGCTATCCGCTTGCTGCTTCGATCACTCTGCTCGCCGATGTGCTCTCAGATCCAATGGGCCGGAATGCTCATCTTGACCTTGAACTCATCTCTGAGTTTGTTCAGCTGCTAGAAAGACTGCAGGTGACTGAGGTGTGCGATGTCAACGAACTTTTAGCAGGGTGCTCAAAATTCCGTGACATTGCACAGACCTTTGTCCTCCCAAAGGGCAATGTCCCGCCTTTCGAAGAGGTAGCTCATCCAGAGAGCAACAGCACTGTGCCAATGGAGCAAGTAGAGGTATGTATGCATATCATTCTGGGAAATTTATCGTTATTAATTCTTTGCCATAGTCCATGAGAGAGAAATTGAGCCTTCACCATGACCACATGCTACTTGCTCAGGGGCTGATAGGCAATATGCCTCTCCTTTGTGCAGAAGCTTCACATGTCTTTTCGGATATTCTAGACATCCCCCAAGGCTCGAATAGCGAATTTGGACTCTTCGTCCCGAGGCTGCTACAGCCTCAAATGTATAACTTTCAGTTTAGCTAATAGAAGAGAGGCTGTGACGAATGGACTAAGTTAGCTGTGTATTTTGCTTGGTTTATTATCCGAATCTTTGTGCTTTTTGATCAAGATTATGCGGAATTGCTATTTTGTACTTGTGAAAATGGGAACAATCTATGTACATTTACTTCATTCCTTCCTCTATTACTGTAACATAGTATCCTTAGAGCCTAAAGGTCTGCTTCTGTGGAGCTTCCTCTGAAGGCCCGCTAGACCAGCTCACCATCTCTCTCTCTCCAACCACGGTCCCACTCTTGCTGAGAATTTTGCGACGTCCAGCAGTGCTCAATGGGGGGTCGTCATCTGTTTCTCGAATGTAGTAACCCAAGTCTGCGGTTGGGTCAAGTTCGGTTCTCGAGTATCCATTACCCAACCAGGAGAACCGGTTGCCAGCGTATTTGATCTCCAGATCGTCATAACGGACATCGCGTAGGCACTCAATGTAGTGAAGGGTTGACCCAGGCCAGAGAGCCAGAATTGGGCCATCAGGGCGGCTCTTATACCAGGACCGGCAAGAGTCTGCCCAAACAGTCTGCTTCATAAACCAATTTTTGTACTGAATGAAGTCTTCAACAGACTCTTTCTTCGGTGAGAACTGTGCGATATTGGTGGTCTGGAAACGGTCAATGACCTTGCACATCCAGTCAACCTGGGCTTCGATGGCAGAAAGGACAGGGCCGTTTCCAATGGGGCAATTGGGCCCTAGAGTGAAGAGATAATTCGGAAAATCCACAGCAGCGACACCGAAGTAAGATTCGGGATCACCAGCCCACTTCTCTTGCAAGTTGTCGCCCTGAGGGTTGATGACAGGGAAACGAGGCTTGAATGTGGTGTCGAATCCAGTGGCGCAGATTAGAACATCAACAGGATACTCCTTCCCGTTGTCGCAGAGCGGACCTCTTTCTGTGATTGAGTTGATTTCTCCGTAAACCACCTCGACGTTTGGTTTGGTCAAAGACTCGAGGTAGTTGACTCCCGGTGTCAGTCTGCGGCAACCAACACTCCACTGGGGAACCAACTTCTCCTCGAGGTATGCGTCGCCAATCTTTTCCTTCATCTGCTGCAGCATGTAGGTATGGGTATCCTGGTTCACTTGGTTGTCCTTGAGGAAAATTCCGAACTGCGCATTTAGACCAGTCTCAATGCCCTTGCGATACTTAGTGAGTGACCCCGGTTTGTTGACAAACTCATCACGCTCCTCTTGCGTGAACAGGTGCTGTTCCAAACCCTGAACGGGGGAGACCCAGGTGGGTTCTCGGATGAAAGTCGTCACTTTGGCGCACTTCTCGCGGATGGCGGGGAGAACCTGGATACCGGAAGATCTTGGACATATTAGCATGGTTCATGTCATTGCGCGCAGAGAGAGAAAGGCGTACCCATTACCGATGAGACCGACATGCTTTCCTTCCAAGGAGACTGACTCATCCCAGTTCGCAGTGTGGAGTAACGTTCCCTTGTAATTGTCCAGCCCGGGGATTGCAGGCCACTTCCAGTTGTTGAGGATGCCGCCGGCATTGACTAAGATGTCGCAATGGTCACTAGTAACTTTGCCGCTGACAAGATCTTTGACCTTGACATCATAGCCTCCTTTGCTGTTGTTCCAGTAGGCGCCAACAACCTGGTGCTGAGTCTTGATGAACCGCTTCAGATCGTATTTATTTGCAAAACCGTCGAAGTATTCGAAGATCTCTTTCGCGGGGGGGTAGACAGCCGACCAGTCTAGCTTTGGCTCAAAGCTCCAGGTGTAGTTGTGTGAGGGGACGTCGCAGGCACAACTTTGGATCGTTAGTCTTGGTATATGTGACGAACAACTATCAGAACAACAGAAGACTTACCCTGGGTATTTATTCTCATACCAAGTTCCAGAGACTTCGGGATTCTTCTCGTATAATTGAAGACTGAAGTTCTCGAAGTGTTTTTGGATCTTGTATGCCATCAAGAGACCCGATGCGCCAGCACCAACGCAAATGATGCGCACGTGCCTTTCTGCATGGATAGGATTGACAAGTCGTCGACTGGCGTCAAGCTCGCCAGCATTAGCGGCGCCGGAGAGTGGTGATTGCGACATAGTGGTCGAGTCCAAGACCTGAATGAGGGTTCCAATGTATGTGGCTCCAATGTAGTGAGAGTGAAACCCGAGAGACGATTTCGGACAAGGGGTATTTGTCGTGAGCTTGGAGAGGAAGAACGGAAATGGGAGGAGGCAATGGGAAAGGGCTTCTTAATAAATACACCCCAGAGCTAGCTTGCATCAGCGCTGATCAGCCGGGTATACAACTTCCACAGGGCAAACGGCACACACTGTCGAACCGGGCAAACCCACGGCTATCTTCCCTTTCCCTGCAGTCTGCTCAATCACCCCGGAACTAATGCTGCCCCCGGCTGGAATCCAGCGAAACAGACCTGGTCATGTCAATGAGCTTCTGCATGCGGAGCGGAGCAGCTGGCTGGGCGCGAGTCAGGAGCTGGGCTGGCGGGAGGGTGTCCATGACTCGGATTGACACGAGAATAAGGTAATTCACGAGTCTACGGCCAGCCGCCTTGCCAGGTTTCGTCATGTATCCCCTCGTGACAGATGGCGCGGAGTCGCTTAGACGCTTGATATTGGGGAAGTGTGGGGTGTGGGGATGGAGGCGGGGAAGAACTCGACTAGCAAGGGGATCGGGAAACCTCAGCCGTGTTGTCGGTACCTCATTCCTGAGCCAGGACTAGGACTATTCGAGGTCTCTCCGACCTGGTGTGTGGTGTCCAAATAAACAGGGGCCCAAAATGGAATCCTGCTGGGTGAAATTTCCCGGTGGACATTTCCGGGTGTTCCCAGCTCCCAGCTGTGTGACATCAGCCTCAACTGGGCGCCCTTTCATCAGCTTTAGTAGAGTGTAGAATTGAGCACCCATTAATACCAATTCGACATACCTATGGATGTCTATTGATACCATTTAGTAAAGAGTTTGTTTATTAGTAAATTAAATAAGCATTTAAAAGCAATCTTTTTATAACCATGTATTTATTTATTTTACTATATTCTTAGTTTACACCATGACACCTGTTGACATACTCTTGCCACCCCCTAAGCCACTCCTCGACTGTATATCCATTGTCATCGTTTCCTTCATTGCCGTTGTCGACATCGTCGTCGTCACGACTCGCACCCCGTAAAAAATTCAGGGGCTTGAGCAGCACCTGATATTGCCGCTGCGCAGATTAACGCCCATTAATCAGGTCGACTGTCAAGAAATCGGATAAGGTTGTTGATTTTAGAAGCACGCTCGGGTTGACCAGAGTAATGCCCCAACAACCTTCGGAACTTGTCATCAATAACCAAGTTGTCACCAATGATGCCGTAGTTACGGGGGAAACTAGGAAAGCTTGTGTTGACGAATGTTTTTTCTTTGTGTCAGCTGCTAACACGTGAGGCGTTTGGGGGAAAATTTGCAACTCACCACAGTGGTTAGAGAAGGTAATAATTCATCAACTCAGTGCTCCCAAGTGTGAATGTAAAGAATGCTGACTCGCTTACCCTCTTAATTATGACATATGCAACAGACCCAACCAAATATATCTACCGGGTTCGAGGGAGGGAAAACGATTGCGCTACAAGCCGGCAAAGCCGGAGTTGATCGTTGCTCGAGGTCGTTACTCGAGGTTGAGTGGTCTTCGCGGCGACTGCCGATGGTAAGCCCAGTCTTGTTCCGTGTTGGATGCCCAGCGAGGGCATCGGGTTGCCGCGTGTATCTGAGCTACAAGGATTGAAGACACTGCCTAGAATGATATTTAGGGTCGTGTAACGATTGGGCTGAGTTACAGCCCATTCTGCCACAAAACTCGCGAAGGTGTCCATTTCCTGGCTGCTGAGGTTAACAGGTTGCGAGGTAAGCTAAGTAAAGTGTTGTTGGCGTGGGATCGAACCCGGGAAGAAGCTCCTAGTGAGCTCCGGCATTGTGCTTGAGAATAAAGTCAACGATGGTCAGATGACGAAGGGGCCATGATAGACAGGAGGTGTGAGAGAAAGAGATGTCTTCGCCACAAAAAGTAACTGAGCAGAGTCAAAATAATTTTTTTAAACCAAATTATCGTTTACATTCAAACAATGAAGCCTAATAGATATGTATACGAATAGCTATATTCCAGTATTTTCGATTTATCCTATATACTATTCCTGAAGCAACAGAAGCAAACGGTTTGGGCTAGTTATTATCAAATTGTACGTTATTTTAAGAGTATTGCGCTTGGCACACGAGAACACTGCAATTCGCACACAGGTATATGTTAAATAGAATTGATGGACGTTATCTCAAGCCATCCCAAAGTCCAATTGGTCCAATATTTGATATCTCTGCTGGATCCTCACGTCTCGTCTTTTTCAATAACCCCCTCAACTTAGTCTTAGAGCCTAGAAAGCCGTCCCGCCGATAACCTAGCCGCGCCGTCAACTGCTATATCGACGCCGTTTCTTGTGAAATGTTAGCAATCAGGCACTCCATCTTAGATTTCAATCAAGCTTACACATAACCACCTGCACGGGAGCAGAGAAACACGGCAACCCCGGCAATATCCTCTGCCTCACCCAAACGTCCCACTGGGTTATCCTTGCTGAGCTCTTCAATTCCACCTAAATTGTTGATGAGGCCCTGGGCCAGCTTCGAAGGGAAGAAACCTGGTGCAATGATGTTGGTGGTGATGTTGCGAGGACCCAGCTCAACGGCTAGATTGCGACCAAGGTGCTAATGGGTTGGTCAATACATGTCGCCCACGGTATTAACGTTCTGACTTACATTTACCGCAGCCTTCGAAGTCGAGTACATGATAGTTCCATGTTCACCTACATGCGGCACATTGGTACCCGCTGTTGAGCTGATGATTAGAACTCTTGCTGGGTTCTGTTTAGTTGCGGAGGTCTCCATAAGCGGCACAGATCTGGAATTGGATTAGCCAATAGATTCAATCTAAATGGAGGCGGGCGGTGTATTCACTTTTGCACTAGTTCGAAGACACCTCGAACATTTAGGTCCAAGATTTTAATGCTGCTCGAGGAGGGCGCTTCGAGGAATGGGGATCCCCAAGCCGCACCTGCATTGCAAACCAAAATGCCGAGGCCCCTATTTCCAACGAGAGTTTTCACTTCGCTGGTAAGACGCAGGATATCCTCTGTGTTTGCCACATTGGCTGCAATGCCCACGGCCTTGCCTTCAATGCCGGGTAGTTTGTTGAGCTTGTCGACTGCTTGGTCAATGCCCTGCTCTCCCTCTCGCTTCCTAGCCGTTATGATGACGAGGGAGCAGCCAGATCGCAGAAATGCCGTGGCCATGTGCAGCCCAAGGCCTCTGGAGCCGCCAGTGACGAGGGCGGTCTTGCCTTCAAGGGAGAAGAGGGTGTCGAAATCCTTGAGCTGTGACATGATGACGAATTGAAGGGACTGAAAATGAGTTGGCGACGACGAAGTTCCCCAAGGCGGCTACTCGAGAGTATTTCGACGTTCTGGCACGTATCAGACTTCATTTCGCAGTGGCGCTGACACGACATATAGCCGTGGCTAGTTCCTGCCTGAACTAGCCGCGGGCCCGGCGAATTCTGCGGGGCACGGAGGAACCGGGTGCGGGCCCCCGGTTACCCCGCCCCGGCTGAGCGACCCTGACGATTAGAGCGAAATGACCTGGAATTCGCGTTCCAGACAGCGGCCCATTCGTAGATTACAGAGCCTAACTTACGGCTAGTCCGCTATGGGCTATTTTGGCGGTATACTGCCGAGAGCTCCCTCGGGGCCTCGGGCTGTGGCGGCCAGGACCAGGGTCCACAGAGCACCTAGCTTATAGCTTTACGAGGGAACAAGCGTGGCTTCAACCTTTTCACCATCTTTTGTCGTGTGTTTATAGATTTCAATTGTTGCGTAGAGACTCCTTTGTTGTTCATTACCGGGTTCTGCAAGCACTCGCCCCCCTCGGCCGTCACCATGCCTGTCACATCGCCGTACCCTGTCCTCGACATCCCCCAGAAAAACGTCCTCAGCTACCTGTTTGGAGATGCGCCGGCGTCAGAGGAGCCATTGTGGCTGGACAGCAAAACTCCCGACGAGAAGAATCTCTCCCCTAAGCAGCTCCTCCAATGGGTGAGACGGCTCGGCTACGGCCTCGAACGTTTGGGGATTCAGAGAGGAGATGTCGTCATGATTTGCTCGCCCAATTCCATATTTGTCCCGGTCGCATTTCTGGGAATCGTTGGCGCAGGTTACATTTTCAGTGGCGCTAACCCGGCGTACACGGTCCCAGGCACGTCGCTTCACTCTTCAAGCTCCAATCAGACATGACTCTAACAATGATCAGAACTCGTTCACCAAATGAAGAATACAACAGCCAAGGCAATTTTGGTTCACCCCAAGGTGCTTGAGCCCATCTTGGAAGCTGCATCCCAGGCTGGTCTCTCGAAGGACCGCATCTTTCAGTTCTCCGACTCCGAGGCACCTGTTCGACACGGCATTCCCGACTGGCGAGCCATGATGGGGACTCCTGAGCAGGGAGATGCCTGGCTGTGGCCTGAAATGAGCCCTCGGGATTCGGCCAACACCGTCGCAACGATTAATTACAGCTCGGGAACCACAGGCCTTCCCAAGGGCGTCTGCGTCTCTCACTACAACCTCATCGCCAATGTCGAACAGACTGTCTTCATGCGCTACGCCCACAAGCCGTATAAATTCGAATCTAGACCAAGGGAGCGCTGGATTGGGTTTTTGCCATTGTACCATGCTTATGGCCAGATGTACACCATTCTGATGGCCATCAAACTCAACGTTCCGATATATATCATGACCGAGTTTCGATATGAAGATTTCCTCTTCGTCATCGGAAAGTACCGAATCACTAGTCTTCAAATCGCACCGCCCATCCTTGTCATGCTGTCAAAGCGACCCGAGACCGCAAGGTACGACATCTCCAGCGTCAAAGATGTGCTGTGCGGTGCGGCCCCGTTGTCCCGGGAGCTCCAGAATGAGTGTCAAAAACGCTTCCAAATACAGATCAACCAGGGTTGGGGTATGACCGAGGTCACATGTGGCGCGTTGCATGTACCCGGAGGCATTCAAGATGACACAGGGTCGGTTGGCAAGCTCGATCCCAACTGCGAATGCAAACTCGTTGATGATGATGGACGGGAAGTTGCTGTCGGACAACCGGGAGAGATTTACATCAGGGGACCCAACATTTGCATGAAGTACTGGAAGAATGACGCGGCCACCAAAGAAAGCTTTGACGGCGATGGCTATCTAAAAACAGGGGACATCGCTGTCCGGAACGAAGATGGATTCTTTTGGATCGTTGATCGCAAGAAGGTTCGTTCGATCAATCAATTACTTGCACTTGGTACTAATACTACCCTAGGAGCTCATCAAAGTCAACGCACTCCAGGTAGCCCCTGCAGAGTTGGAGTCGATTCTCTTGGAGAACGAGGACATCGCCGATGCAGCAGTGGTTGGAATTACCATGTAAGAATCCCTCCCCATCTATTGACTCTTTTCAATCTGGTTACTAACACCCTGAATAGAAAGGGAGAGGAATGGCCGAGAGCCTATGTGGTCATCCAGGAATCTTCACAGGGAAAGGTGACTCCTCAAGATGTCCAGGACTGGATCGCCAAGCGGGTTGCTAAGCACAAACGGCTGGTGGGAGGCGTGGTCTTTATCGACGAGGTGCCTAAACTCGCAAGTGGCAAAATACAACGCAAAGTCATGAAGGAGTGGTCGAAGAGAGATGCGATTGAGATTGAGAACGGAGCCGGAACAGAAAGGGCAAGACTGTAGTATACTTAGAATCGATCTATTTGAGCTGTTTATTTTTAACAAAGTACGTAATAGAAGTAAATATGAAGCAACGGCAAGGTTGGTACGTGGCCACATAGTGGCTGTAGAAGAATCTCGACGTGAACGCTACCTTTACCAACAATCTACTACCTAATTATAGTATATGGCTACTTTGGTACGAATGTTTTCGACCATGAGTCGTTCGCATATCATCTAGTGATTCATGGTATTTGTATCTGCTTGTTTCCGAGTTAAGTCACATTCACTGAGGACTTTGAGAGTTAGTGGTTAGACAACCCCAGTCGGGTCACTTAAGTCACCATATTTCTTTCAAGGCCAAGTATCATTATCTCATCCTAGTCCCCTTAGGGTGTCATGCTGCAATTACGAGAACACCACACCGGTGCGAGTGCGATTCCTGCCCTCCTGCATCTCCTTGACCATCTCTGGGAGGGCCTCAAGCCCGCCTCGTACATCTACCACAGGCATAATTCCGTGCTTCTCTGTGAATTCGACCGCCTTGCCCATTCTCTGTGGAATGCTCGTGTTGTCCGACTTGATCCTGAATCGCCCCATCACAATATCCATGTAACTGACGCTGAGTTGCTCCTTGGGAATACCGATGACCATCAAAGTTCCCCCCAACTTGATTATCGATGGCACTGCCTGATAGGCACGATGGCTGTTGGTATACACCGCCACGGCGCTACATCCTCCCCCTGTAAGCTTCTGGATCTCCTCAACATAGTTTGGGTTGTCCTTTGAGTTGAAGACAGCATCCGCGCCTTGTTTCCGAGTCTCCTCGAGGTTCCCATCTTGAATGTCAACACCAATGACACGCAAACCCATAGCCTTGGCATACTGGGTTGCAATCTGTCCGAGTCCGCCGCACCCGACGACTCCGAACCAATCTCCAGGTTGGAGTTCGCAGCTATCGATGGAATGGTACGCTGTGATGCCAGCGCAGAAGATGGCACAGCCGGAGTCCATGTTCCACAGTTTCTCGTTCAACTTGGCGGCGTTGTGGTAATCAACGATGGCATACTCGGAGAAGAAGCCGTCGGTTGTGAAACCTTGGAGCTTCTGTTTGCCGGTTTCGCAGAAGAGGTTGTGGATCATACAGCCGCTGCACTCAAAGCAACAGCCCAAGATGTAGAGGAAACCAACGGCATCGCCAACTTGAAACCCCTTGCCTTCTGATGACGGATGCATTGAAACAATGTGCCCAAGGCCCTCGTGACCAAGAGTTACAGTCTCCTTATTGTCATTGATAGCCATCATATCACTGTGACAGAGGGACGCAGACCGCATCTTGACAAGGAACTCGTTGGGGCCAGGCTGTGGGACAGGGACATTGTTGACGACAACCTTCTGTTGGTCCTGATTTACGAGTGTAAGTTGATATTCTCCAAAACCATGGGAATTGAATAGAGCATACCACGTCCCACTGGCCCGCCTTCATAGTGGACGGCAGATTGGCAATGACGGTCATTTTGGATAATGTGCGCTTGAATAATGCTGGCTGTCTCGGAGCTGCACTGTCATAACGGCTTGATATGCGTGGACCGCCCATGTATTTTATCACCACACCAAGCCCCCCGCAGGCTATGATACGTACACCTTCCAGAGCATCCAAACGAATCTCTCACAGCCAGCAACTACCGAGGCACGGGTGTCCACTTCCTGAAGTCCATGTCACAGGTCTCGTTGCGGGGAAATCCACTTCCCCGCAAATGCATACCCACCAATTGCGCCAAGACCATCGCTTGAGGGCATCCGAGTCAAACTTGGAGTACCCTGCGTCACTACACGACTCATGCGGAAATGAATATCCTAACGCCGCTGGGAAGGATGGATTCATGGCTGGCACTGGAGTGCGAGGAGCTCTGGCACCCCGCCGCTCCGTGGACCGTGTCTGCAGCTCTATAAGTTAAAGTGTGGCGACAGAACGCCGGTTTCCTGCTTGCTGGGACATCTGCATACCTGTTTAATCCTTTTCCCCATATTTCCATCATGACTTCACTCGGCGCCTCTTTGACGGTGAAGCCTGCGAATGAGGCACTGAAGATTCCACACAGTCGGGACCAGTTGCCCAAGCTGCTTTTCATCAACAATGAGGTAAAGACGCCGCATCCCCGCAGAACGTCCATTTCTAACATTGAATCACGCAGTATGTCGAGTCAAAGAACAGCAAGAAGCTCGAAGTGCACAACCCCAGGGATGATAGCCTGGTAGCAAACGATGTCGCCCTTGCTGGTGAGGAAGACGTCAACATCGCAGTGGCTGCTGCGGCGACGGCCTTCAAGAGCTGGCGAAACACCCCTGCTAAGACGCGGCGCGACTGCATGCTTAAACTCGCCGATTTGATCGAAGCCAATGGAAATACCTTTGCGGAATTGACTCGAATTACCCTGGGCGCACCCTTTGGGTCATTCGGTTCTTTCGAGATCAACCTCGCATGTAAGCTTGCCCCACATTCTGAGGCACATTGATCGACAGCTAACAGAGTAAAACACAGGTGAAGGATTCCGCTATTTCGCTGGGTATACAGACAAATTTCCAGGAGAGACGTTTCCCGCCGATGACGGGTTCCTTAAGATTGTAACAAATGAGCCTCTTGGCGTCACCTGTGGCATCGTGCCGTGGAACGGGCCCTTGGGTAATATTGGTGAGTTGTATTGAACGCCTTTCTTGTCCGCCATTGTGAAAGACCATTGGCAGCGAGATTGACACATCTTCTTCTATCAAAACCAAGCTAACATGTTTCAGGGATGAAGGCTGGACCTGCTCTTGCCACTGGAAATACCTTCATTCTGAAGCCCTCGGAAAAGACCCCATTTGCGGCCCTGGCTCTTGGAACTCTCATCAAGGAGGCCGGTTTCCCTCCTGGTGTCTTCCAGATCTTGTCCGGTGACGGAAGCACTGGGGCACTTCTCGCCAGCCACATGAAGGTCAACAAGGTCAGCTTTACTGGTTCAACAACCACGGGACGCAAAATCCAAGAGATGTCGGCAAGAAGCAACCTCAAGAGAGTTACGCTGGAACTTGGTGGCAAGAGTCCAGCTGTGGTTTTTGATGATTGTGACTTTGAGAACGCTGTGGCTTGGTGCGCCAATGCCATCACTGCCAACACCGGTCAGGTGTGTTTTGCAGCTAGCAGAGTGTACGTTCAAGAAGGTATCTACGACAAATTTGTAGCGGCGTACAAGGCTGCCATGGAGGACAAGGCCAGGGGAGCCGGAGATCCCGATGCGGAGACAACCACTCTTGGCCCTCTGGTTGACAAAGCTCAATACGATCGAGTCACAGGCTTTATTGAGCGTGGCAGAAGTCAGGGCACCTTGATTGCTGGTGGCGGCCGCATTGGTACTGAGGTACGTGATTCCCAGTCAACGTTGCCGTATGTTCAACCACTAACTCTTTTCCAGGGCTTCTTCATTCAACCAACCGTCTTTGAAGGCGTTGATGCGGATGCCGAGATTTGCCGCAACGAAATCTTTGGGCCCGTTGCGGTCCTGAACAAGTTCAAGACCGAGGATGAAATTATCGCCAGGGCCAACGATACCGAGTTTGGCTTGATGGCTGGAGTCTTTAGTCAGGATATCAACAAAGCCCTCCGAGTGGCCGCTGACTTTGAGTCAGGCATGGTGGGCGTAAATTGTATAAGTCTCTGCTTCCTCAATGCCCCATTCGGCGGTACGAAGAGTTCTGGAATCGGAAGAGAGAACGGCATCGAGGCCATGCGCGCCTATACTGAGAGGAAGACTATTATGGTCAACATGGCGAAACTTTGATTGCTCCAGGTAGAAATAGAGCGTATTGATTCTCCCAAGGGTAACTCTTGTGGTATAAAATATTCAAAGTTAATCCTCTGGGTTCCGGGTAGCGACTAATTAAGAACTGAAACGGGAGGCAGAGCCTGTATGTCTCTGCCTAGATTCTCCAGTTAATATCCAAATAGCTTCTCCTTCCTTGTATGTAAATTTGGTCAAGTGACATCTCTGTATCGGTCCCGCCTGTAGCCCGGAATCTCGGGGATCCATCTTGTTTTGAGATGAGAATTGCGGTCTCTCTTCATGGCCTTACCGGTCTCCATTAGTTATACTGGCACGTCCAGTGTGCTAATGTTGGTTACAAGTTTGGATGCAGTCATCACGGATTCCCAAGGAGTCGGGGTCGATACCGCGAAATTCTTGAACAAATTCGACAAGGAGCCCAGAAAAATCAAGACAACTAAAGGTTCGTAGTAATTTGTGGAATTCTGTGCCTTTAAATATGCGAGAGCTCTAGTGTGGCTGTGCGGAAGATCGACGAATTGAAAATGAACGGCCAAGACTTGGGCACCCACATGAATTAGGTAGTGAAAAAGGTTCCAGTAATTCTTAATGATATTCAGATCTACATCTGCGGCCTACAACCATGCCGTGACTACTATTGCCACGAGTTCCTCTGCGTCAACCATTATCAACCGGGACAATGCAGGACGGAAGTCAATCTAGAGCTCCCACACATCTAATGGGTCATCCGTTTAACCATGTGACTATAGACCGGTCGTCGGCGTACCACATCCACTACGATACACTGCTGGAACCGCGTATTTTTCTTGAATTCCAAGGGCGGGAAGCGCACCAATCAAACAGATATTTGGCCCAGGGATGTGCCAGTCGTTTGTTCAAGTCATGAAAGTGCCATTTACTTGGAATTGATCGCTGAAAAGATGCAGTAGAATGTCACTTTGACGGCCAGCTCGACGGTTACAACAAAGGCGGGCCTGAAGCCGGCGGGTTGACCATCAAAAGTGCCGTATAGCTACGCTAATAATAATTAGTGGATGACAAACCCCGTTGGCGGTCACAAGATAAGACTCCCTGAATGCACAATTTGCCCCACGTCACATTATCGCTACCTCCTTCATAAGCTGGAATTATATGGAAGGCCATGTACCTTGAGGCTTTTTGTCCTTTAATTGGCCCTGATCCTTGCCATTTCAAACTTGAAACCTTACTACGCAGTACACCCACGAGAGGAATATGTGAGAAGATCAACCCACTATTGTGGATAATATATGTTTTATTACGTCATGCTTAGGGCGGAGGGGCCGATCACGATTAGGCAGCCGAATAACTTGCAGGACTAGTATTCCATGGATGCAACTAGTTCAATGAGCCTCGTAAAACAACTAGTCAGAAAGGTCGGGTTGAGCTCAATGCTTCGGAGTCCCGGACAGGGCCATAGCACCGAACTGGCCTCGTGAGTGGCCGGGCATGTTGTTCAACACTTGTGTCACCTTTTAGTCGTCAGACAACATTTCCCGTTCGAGTTCATTCTACTCAGATTCCACCCCGACGTCGGACCGATGCACCAGTGGTCACATCACCAGGATTAAAAGAGGGTACGGCAGACCATGATACGACAGGGAAGGATGAGGGTTGTTGGCCCCACGGCTGATCCTAACACTTGCCCCAGCGCGGGGTGAGTCTGGGGTTGATATCTCTCCGCAAGAGCGGAGTATAAAGGCTCGGCAGCCAAGACGGAATGAACTGTGAGATGTTGCAGATCACCTCTCCTCGTTGCGTCTTTGATTCTCTAAAGCTCTCGGAACACTCCTAGCTATCATGATTAAAGATTCGTCGGCAGACATTGCCCAATCTTCTCACGATGAGAAGAATGGGGTTGAGGCTCTGAAGCCTGAGTTTGAAGATGCAGCTGGTCACCACAAATCGGCTGCTCTCAACATTGTTGAGAACCCCCTGAAGGTAAGCTTCACAACGTCTTGCCCTCCACAATCTCCCCCAATAATATCTGGCATTGACGCTGATTCTCTTGCCTACCACAGCGCAGCTCTCCGGAGCAGACCGTCGCTAATGCTCGTGCTTTTGCCGAGGCTCACGGCATGCCAGAGCACGCTTCTCTCTTCGGCCGGGCTGCTCTCGTCGCCCGTGACCCGGCACGATTTGAGAATCTCGCCGAAATTGATGAGCATGAACGCGGTGCACTCATATACGAGAGGGACCACAAATGGCACGGTCCCGTCATGCTTTGGTACTCAATTGGCCTTTGTGCCGTCGGAGCCGCCACGCAAGGATGGGATCAGACTGGATCCAACGGAGCCAACTTGTCCTTCCCCAAAGAATTCGGTATTGATGGCAAAGGCAAAGATGAATGGATTGTTGGAATCGTCAATGCCATCATTTTCTTGACAGCCGGTCTCATGTGAGTATACCACAGGCGCTGATGCCTCTCCTCCTGGCTGACCTAGTGCATAGTGGTGCTTTCATCGTCGATCCGCTCAACCATTACTTTGGTCGACGAGGCGAGATTTTTATTACCGCTTGCTGTCTCACTGCCACCCCAATTGGTTCTGCTTTCGCACAATCATGGGAAGGGCTTTTCGCTGCCCGATTCGTCATGGGTATCGGCATCGGCGCAAAGAACGCCACGGTCCCCATCTACTCTGCTGAGATGGCCCCGGCTCGGACTCGAGGTGCCCTCGTCATGTTCTGGCAACTTTGGGTTGTGGCTGGTGAGCTACTTTGATCGATTCTTCCAAGACCTTAGCTGACTGTCGCTTTAGGCATCTTCCTGGGATTCTGTGCGAATGTCATCGTCAAAGACACTGGCGACATTGCTTGGCGCCTCCAGCTCGGTTCGGCGTTCATCCCATCTCTAATCCTCGGCGTTGGTATCTTCTTTTGCCCCGAGTCCCCGCGTTGGCTCATGAAGCACGGCAAGCACGGCAAGGGATTCCAATCAATGTGCCGCCTGCGAGCTCACCCCATCATTGCCGCGAGGGACTTTTACTACTCGTGGGTTATCTACGAGGAGGAACTCAAGCAGGCTCGTGGCGCGGGTTATTTCTCCCGCATGTGGGATTGCTTCGCCGTGCCTAGGATCAGGCGTGCCAACTACGGTGCTTCGACTGTCATGCTTGCTCAACAGATGTGCGGTATCAACAGTAAGTCACCTCTTTCTCGTACAAAGGTCCAGTCCTAATACGTTGCAGTCATCTCTTTCTACAGCTCGACTATTTTCGAAAATGTTGGCTACACACCTACCCAAGCCCTGTATGCGTCACTCGGCTATGGTGCTATCCAAGTCGTGGCTACAATCCCTACCCTGTTCCTCATCGACACCAAAGGCCGAAGAACCTTGACTTTGATAGTAAGTCGCTTGCTGCAAGTATATTCTCTGGAGATGGCTGATCATTCTATATAGACGTTCCCCCTCATGTGTATTTTCCTGTTAGCCGCAGGTCTATCTTTGTTGAATGATTCCGGTAGCCGTGGTGCAAAGATTGGGCCAGTTGTCTTGTAAGCTGGCCGGCGTTATTGAATGTTGGGCTTGACTAACTTACATCTCCTAGGTTTGTCTACCTATTCACTATCGCCTACTCTTTGGGTGAAGGGCCAGTCGCTTTCCAATACTCTGCGGAGGTGTTCCCTACCATTCAGCGAGAGCAAGGAATGGCCTGGGCCGTTTGCATCAACAACACTTTCGGTGAGCAATGCAGAACTTGACTCACGGAGACCTCACTCACAAAATCTTCTTTAGCTGGTATCCTCAGTTTGACGTTCCCTCGAATGAAAACCGTCATGACACCAACTGGAGCTTGTTCGTTGACCCCTGCTGGAATTTCTGGCGGCCCATTTTGCTGACATTAGCTCTAGTCGGCTTCTATGCTGGACTCAACCTTATTGCCTGGTTTATGATCTTCTGTTTTGTCCGAGAGACCAAGCAGCTTACTCTAGAAGAGTTGGACCGTAAGTGAATCTCGCTCGACTCATCTGATATCATGCTAATATCTATCATAGAGGTCTTCTCGGTCCCAACGAAAGATTTCATTTCTTATGAAACAAAGGTGTGGCTTCCTTACTTTGTCAAGCGACACATCTTCCGACAGAACATCGAAAAGCCACCACCAATCATTGAGAAGGCCGATGACGCCCAAGACTCGCCTTAAGAGGGCATAGGTGGAGGAACACAGCTTTGTCTGAACCCACGTTCTCGGGGAATCTGGAGTGTCCAAGCACCCGCATGTGCTATGAAGCACTAATGTCAAGCTTAACCTGGCCTGATCTTTTTACTTTTGAACTTTATTCAACGTCGTCAAGAACAATACCCCAAGATAGATTAAATAAAGCGTTCAGATTAAAAATGAGATTTTGGCGTGTCGATATGTATAAAATTACGAACTAAGCAGTAGCAACGTAGACGGGAACGCAGCTGTTTATGGCTAATATATCTCCTTTTTCAAATGAGGATTTACATTAGGCATGAGAAGATAGCATATTTTAGTGACTAAGATAAAAGGTTCCTATGTCCACACTCCGGTCTTTACAGTCTCGCAAGTAATGGCTACATATTACAGAGTATCTTCTGGCATCATTCTGAACTTCTCGCCACTAAGTTCTGCAAACTTCTTGGCCTTTCGGTTGTATTCTTGGTGTCTCTCCGTGACCTCCTTACCCTTCTTCATCTCCTCCCGCCCAACTTGGTGCCTGTGAGCCGCGTCTATAAATGTCAGCAATTATGCATGTATAGCGAGCAATGAAGTAACTTACCGGGTCCATCAGCTACACGAACAAATCTGGCATATGTCCAGAGCTGGGGAAGGGGCGTGTGCTGAGTAAGTCCTTGTCCGGCCCATATTTGCATCACCTCGTCGATGATCTCAGTGACCTTGTGAGGGACAAGAACCTTGCACATGGCGATGCATCGTTTGCCTTCTTTGTTTCCTACTTTGTCCATGGTGTCGGCAGCACTGCATACGATGAGGCGCATAGAGTCGATTTCGAGTCGCATCTGTGCAATTCTCTCGATATTCGAGTCGAATTCGCCAATCAACTTGCCTCTAGGCTTCTTCTTGGGGTCATTGCACCTCATAAGAGCAAGCTCGTACGCCCTCTCTGCTTGTCCAATCAACCTATAGCAGTATTAGAGAGCATCTGAATAAGTCATGCGCAGACTGGACGTACCGCATGCAATGATGGATTCTTCCACCACCAAGTCGACCTTGAGCAATCATGAAAGCCTTTCCAGGGGAAACGATGACATTCTTGGCAGGGACTCGGCAGTTCTCGTAGATGTATTCACCATGGCCGTCGGGGGCCCAGTCATAGCCCATGATTGACAGGTTTCGGACCTGAGTAATGCCAGGGGTGTCGCAAGGAACAATGATCATGGTGTGGCGGTTCCACTTGTTGGGGTCTTCGGGATCGGTTAGACCCATCAAGATGTAAAAAGAGAGGTCTTTGTTCCAGAGGCAGTTTGAGTAGAGCTTTCTGCCGTTGATAACGTACTCGTCGCCATCACGGGTAATGCGAATTCCGATGTTAGTCGCATCGGAGGCGGCAACGTCGGGCTCGGTCATGCTGTAAGCGGATGACGCAGTTCCCTCCATCAGGGGCTTCAGCCACTGTTCCTTTTGTTCCTTGTTGCAGTACTTGGCGAGCAGTTCGATGTTTCCGGTCTCGGGAGCGTGGCAGTTCATAGTCTTGGATCATTAGCCGTGGAATTCCCTTGGTTGAGTAGGAACGGATGGATAGCTCACCTGGGCGGCCCAGTAACAGCGACCCATAATCTCAGCACAACACGAATACTCAAGATTGGTAAGGCCGGGGCTCTCCTCGAAGTGGTCGGATAAGAAGAGGTTGAAGAGACCAAGCGCTTTGGCTCGATCACGGAGCTCATGCATCAAGGGCGGTGTTGCCCACCTCTTGGCGTCAACCTGTGCAGCCATCACGGGCTCCCGCGGGATGCACTCATTTTCCACCCAGTCATAGACAGCCTGGATCTTCTCAATGGCAATCGGCCGAAGTTTGGTTTTTACCCATTGAGGGAGGTGGCTAAACGCCGGGCCATCGAGGGCGGGATTGTCAACGCTGGAACTGGGCGACATGACGAGGAGCGGGAGAAGTCGACTGAGTATATGGAGGATGTTCGCGCGCAAGATAGAAAATATGATGAAGGGAGTGATGGTTGGTGTTTACAAGATGTTGATTGCGAACGTGGATAAGAAAGAGCAGAGTAGAGCAGTGCGGAATGATGGTTAAGGGTATCCAGTACCCAGGACATTTTCTTTTAGCGGTTTTAGGGACCATTTACAGCCCCGGGCCATACTGATGGCACCGAGGCTACAGGCACTGCGGCTGTGGAGAATTAGCCGGGGCAAAACTGGGGCAAATGCCGGGTACCTTTTGCGGGGGGAGCGTCGACGCAGATGCGGGGAGACGAAATAATGGCAGATCAAGACGGGCTTGATTTGTTATTCCATTTGGTGTTGCCTTTCTTACACGGGATTAATGTCTAAATTAATTCACTCGCGCGCTATAGTCGATCGTCTCGGAGAACCATTGACCGCCAAAGGCTCTGATGGTCGACGTGGGGAGAGCCAAGCCGAAGTTCATCAAATCATCCGGCTACAGTGTCATGGGAAATTTATACCATTGTGGTGCTAAATACATGATATATTAAACGATTCTGTAAACTGTACTCGTCTATGGAATAATCTTAGCCTTGCGGAACCGATCAAACGCCGTCCACCATGCTGCCTTTGTGTCCACCTCCTCCTTGGCCTCTCCCCACATCTCGTGTACCTGCGACATATCGAGGTGCCTATCAAAGTTGAACATGGTCATAATGAAGTATGGAAATCCACCAAAGCTTCGCTCGTTTCCTACACGGCCAGTCACCAGGCCGTACTTCTTCTCCACCTCCTTCCACTGGTCAATGTGGTCCGCCAAGTACTGGGTCGGTTGCGGGCCAGACCCGCCCGCAGGTGGCGCGACACCCTTAAGACCAAAGTATTCGCAGATAACAGGCCACTTCTTGCTCCAAGACGAGGCTTTGGAACTGTCTGCTGCATTGTATCGCTTCCCGCTAGACTTTTCTGGGTGCAGAGAGGCGTAAATGGCAACCTTTGCCACGATATCTTGACTGCTGTCATTGCTAAGGATCTTCCAAGACTCTTCAGTGCCTGGGAATTGGACCTCGCTGCCCTTGCCATTGATCTCGGCATAGAGGGAAAGGTAAAGACTAAGGGCCTGCGCTAGGCAGTAGATGTTGTTGTTGGGAACAAAGCCAACAATCACATCGGGTATCACGTCGCACCACGTCCAAGCCTTGCCTTTCGACAGAGCAGCCAGCTCATCGCACTGGTTGTAGTAGAACATTTGGGAGGCGTGTGGCTCGGGGATTCTAGGCAGGGACTCCTTCAGAGGAAGGTCGTTCTTGAATGGGAATTCGTCGATGAGATGTACGCCGTATGCTTTCGTGCCGGTGGGGAGAACGACGAACTTGAGGTTGGGTGCCAGCCTTTCCACAGCTCGGATGGCCCTCGACAGGAGGTCGACGTTGGTGGAAATCTCCTTGGCTGGATCCGCATCCATGATATATGCTGTTATCTGGTGAATAATTTCTCCGGGAAAGCAAATCTGATTGTCGCATACCAAAGAAGTAGACATGGGTAACTTTGCTCATGTGCGTCACCTTAGACTTCAACTCTTCCTCCAACCCCGATTGTCCCTTGGGCGTCAGAATGTCGATGCCGCTAACAATTTGGAGTTTGGAAGAAGAAGGCCATTGTGCTGCCTTCGCTGCCAGAGGTCGGTTGGTGAGCGCTGTGACGGATTCAAAGGTGTCCGGAGTGGGGTATCCGTTGAGAATGAGGTTAGTAATGGCCCAGCCAGTGATTCCACTGGCGCCTGTAGAAATATTAGCCTAATTAAGGCATCTGGGGATAAGGAAGGCATACCAAACACCAAAGCGTGGTTAGAAGACATGATTTCAGCGTGCAATTTCAGTACCGGGTTGCAGGTGTTTGGGCGGGATCGCGAAGTAGTGGAAGGAGTTCAGCGGCGCAGCTGGGCGATGGGGATGGATGACAGATGAGAGTCATTAGTACTGTCATGATGGACCCGAACCCCGCATTCTTAGCTTCTCAAGGGTCCAGAGCTAGCTTTACACTTCCGAAAATCACGGAAATCGTCATGCTGGAGGGCTACAGCCGGGAGGTGGGCGGCGGGAGGCGCCTGAGCTTTGCACCGGGGACGTGGAATGGGGTATCTTAGTGACCTCCTGTGTTGAGTTAGTGCGCCGAAGACCTATTAGGGCTGGGACTTGATGGCATTGGGGTAGGATGTTGTCATGCTGGTGCTTCGACCCAGAGTCTAGCTCGGCAGTCATCACTCTACTGCAATAACACCCACTGGAGACGTGTGGATGGAAGAGTTGGAGTTGATGGGGCACAGCCCAATCGTCCAGAGTACCAGACACCTTACCCCACAGAGCCCCCTCCCCCCACGCGGAAGACCATGACGACAAGCAGGAAAAGGGGAACCGGTGCCGTGTTCAACCAGGAACCCGTTGCCCGTGGCGTAGCCATCCAACCCTCTGACGAGATTTCGTACTGGGAGGCATCTAGAATGATTCTGCAGAGTCTGGTGCTCCACATGCTGGAGTTGGTGGTGCTGTTTGGCACCGATTTACGAATCTGAGAATAAACATCGCCAACCAACAGGTGACCAGGTTGGTGCCATTGAGTTTTTTGCTGACTATCAAGGCCGTTTGTAGCACCTAATATGGGGATGAGTCTCTAGATATGATCTCTTGCGACTTGAGACAGCTCGACACCGTCACCAACAATGTCAGCTGAACCCAGCACCTTGGCATTCTCTCCAACCATACTTCGAAGCGGAGGTAGGTATTTCGACGAATAAAACCTTTATATCTAGCAACTGAAAGCAGTGAAGTACGTTTAAAGCACGTTGATGGGAGCAGTAAGTGTTTGACCTGCGTTGTAGAGGAAATTCCGCACCAATGCATTTTACCACCACGTCTTGTTGCCCACTCCTGGAAACCTTACATGGACGAGCAGCTGACTGCCGTGAATTCACCTCCCCCGCACAAGCTAGTTAGATGGTGATACCCCTAAAATTTGAAATGCGGAGTATGTACAAGAAGAGTTAAAGAAATGGCGGTTGGGGCCCTCCCCCGTCTTGACTGACTAAGACGGCATCAATGATGAATCAGATGGAGGAGGGTGCATACTACAACACTGTAGGGGTGTACGATTTTATTACTGAGGTCATCAAAATTCTAACCTGACGAGGACTCCAATGCATATCGACGTGTGTTGGGCTGTTGAAGATGTCAACCAAGGACCCCATGACATTAACTCGTGACGTTTTGTGTGCAATGGAGCTACAAGGCTTGAATTTGTACATGCGTAAGACAAGCCCAGGCAGAAAGAGCCCAAACATTCTGCTTTTTGTTACACTAGCATGTGTCATGCGTCGATTTGAGCATACCCGAGAGAGCAATGATGAACGTTTGTGCTCTGGAGACTACAGCGCCAAGGCTAGAAGACTGCCTGCGTCACGGCAATTGATACGAGTCCCGACTTCGATGAACACCCTAAACATCCTTAAGCGCTGGCCCCGGCGGCGTCCGAGACGAACCGACCAATATGGGCGGATTTCCACTGCCACCCACGGTGAATCATCGCGAGATTGTAGCCATATTGCCAAGTCGGTAAATCTTACCCGCGTGTTATCGCAGTCTAGAGCCACGCCTGGGCCACCCCCATATGTTCCCCCGCACCGTGCCGTGCAGGCCCTGTAGCGCGCCATGGCCCTCTAAACAAGAAGGCCAGGAAATGTGTATCCCACTCCAAGATCTCCAGAGCACACGACCCGAGCTTCAGACGTCTCGGGTACCAACATGCTCTCTTGCTCCAGGAGGTCTCACTAGCCAGCTTAGCCATCGCTTCTAATTCCGAGACATGCCATTGATCATGCCATCGCTGGTGTCGTGGCCCCCGACTCCACTTTCGCTCCCCTCAGCCTAACCATCTCATCGTCTCTAGTGTTTCTATATGTACCTACGTTTTCCGCTATCCCAAGAGAAGACCTGTTTAACCTTACTTCTCATTGCTAATTACTCCTCCAAATCAATTTCCGGTTCATCATCGACGGTGTATCAGAATGGCGCCGCATGCAGCTGAATATGTGCCCGCTGGTGTCACCAGCGCCAAGATGATGACCAACGGCTATGCTGTCCACAAGGAGTTCACAGGCCCCGTCCACGATTTTCACTATCCTCCAGTCGTTTCCCCCGATATTGCTTACAAAGTCCTCGACCAATATCACTCCAAGCCCTCCAAGCTACGAGTAGCATGCATCGGAGCTGGCGCCTCTGGCCTTTGCCTGGGGTACAAGATGGGAAAGCAAATGGTACCAGACAGCTGGGAGTTGACTCTCTTCGAGAAGAACCACCACTTTGGTGGGACATGGTTAGAAAATACTTATCCGGGTGTTGCTTGCGATGTATGTCCCAAGGTCTATTGGTTGAAATCATGGTCTAACTGTCTAGATCCCCTCCCACCTTTACACCTTCAGTTGGGATCCCAAACCCGATTGGGCCAACTACTTTGCCTATGGCGACGAGATCCAACGATACTTTGAAGAATTTGCCGAGAAGAACGATTTGAAGAAATTCATGAAGCTCAACACAAAGGTTGTGGAGGCACGGTGGGATGAGGAGAAGGGCCTCTGGAGCCTGACTCTGGAGGACCAGGTCACCAAAGGAACCTGGCAAGACTGGTGCCACGTCTTGGTCAACGGCACCGGAATTCTCAACAACTGGGCGTGGCCAGAGATCGAAGGTCTACACGACTTTGCCGGCCCAAAAATGCATTCGGCGTCCTGGGATCACTCAGTGGACTTCAAGGACAAGAGCATTGGCGTCATTGGCACTGGATCATCCAGCGTGCAGATTGTACCAGCCCTACAACCAGAGGTCAAGGACATGAAGGTATTTATGCGATCGTCTACCTGGATTTCGCCCCCGTTCGGAAATACGACGCTCGAGTCTTTGAAAGATGACCCTACCGACCAGCCGGGGAAGCGTCAGTATACCTTTACCGAAGAGGAAAAGCAACGGTTCCGCGATGACCCCGAGTACCACCTCAAGTTCAGAAAGGGCATTGAGGCCGAAATCAACTCGCTATTTGCCATGTTCTTCCAGGGCTCAGAAACATCTGAGATGTTCCGAAAGGTTATCACTGAGGAGATGCATCGCCGCATCGGCCCTGGCAATGAGGAGCTTAAGAAATTCATCATTCCCACGTGGGCGCCGGGTTGCCGACGCATCTCACCAGGCGATGGCTATTTGGAAGCTCTGGCAAAGCCCAACGTCGAACCTGTCTTTGGTGGAATCAAGAAAATTGTCCCCGAGGGTGTAGTGACGGAGGATGGAAAGACACACAAGCTCGACATCCTCGTGTGCGCGACTGGGTTCAAGGTGGCCTTCCGCCCCGCCTTTAAGCTCATCAACGGCAACGGAAAGTCTCTGGATGAGGACTGGGGTGACTCTGTCAACCTGTACATGGGTGTCTCTGCGCCAAGATTCCCTAATTACTTTACCATTGTGGTAAGTCTATGTGTCCTCACATTTTGTCTCTGGCCGACTTGCTGACACTTCACAACAGGGTCCTGGAGCTACTTGGTCATCGGGAACACTCCTGCCATCCATCGAGACGACGATCGAATACAGCATCAAAGTGATGAAGAAGATTCAGCACGACCACATCCGCTCAATCAGCGTGAAGCAGGATGCTCTTGATGATATTTACGCCCACTTCGATGAGTTCCACAAGAAAACCGTGTTCCAAGAAGAGTGTCGTAGTTGGTTCAAGGACGGGAAGCAGAAGAACCGAATCTATCTATGGCCAGGCTGCGTAGGTGTCAATCCAAGTGACTTCATTGCCGCCATGCTAATGCACTCCGCAGACAATTCACTTCCTCAAAACGATCAAGGATCCCCGCTTCGAGGACTACGACATCAGATATCGGTTCAACAATAGATTTGCATTCCTTGGCAATGGTCAGGTGAAGGCCAACACGACCAAGAGCGTCGAGGGGCTAAGCACGTACGTCCGAAACGGGGATCACGACTGGAACGTCGACTGAGCGCTGGACATGAGGGGAATATGAGACGGACATAGACGGGTCGCGGCGGGGGGAGGCGGACGAGTGATGACATCTCTGTCTGCGGGAAGTTGCCGGCGGGGAGTGTCGGCGTGCCGGGGCACGAGGGGCTGTTGCGCGCCAAGCTGTATACCACCCAAGCCTTCCCTATGACCCCATGCTTTGGGTATAGACGGCGGGGCTTTCCTTGATTGCTGCGAATCGTCATAGAAAATCAAGTCTTTTCAAGCCGCACTTGGGCAATTGGGCTTGCCGGTCTGTGACCTTGCATGTGCCTCCCTGAGCCTTGCAAACCAATGGCAAGCACGGCCACGCGGCGGGTGAAGGTGATAGCGTCCGGTTAGCTCGAGCCTGGCATCAGATGTGGAGAGGACTGGGAATGCCCTTGTCGCGCGGAACTCAGCCAGCTGGGCCAGGCACACTGGGGCGCATTCCTAGCCTCCTACATGAGTCAGTCGGCCGGGGAAGCCTGATTCAGGTGAGATGCGGGGTAGCCGGGCACGACGCTTATTGGCGAGCCGCTAACCTTGTTTGCTTGGTGATGGGAAACCTCGTCGTCTGGGGGTGGCACGCTCCATGTTTCGGGAAAACTTTGTCGAATGACGAGCTCTCTGTTGGAAGAATGCATATTGAACTTGCCGCGCCTCAGCTCATGTGTTCAAGCCTCAAGAGATATCACACATACACAACAGCGGCAAGGTGTCCTTTCGTCCGAGCTTGGGCTTGCTTGTCCAACACGGATCCGGTGTCGAGTGGGAACTCAACGAAGTCGGTTGGGATTCTGGGGTACGTGGGACAGAGGTACCTAAATACCTGATATCTCGGGAATTTCCCAATCACAACGATGATGATGGTTATCTTAGATACTGGCATGCTGATGCTGGGGCCAGGTAGCCAAGTGGACTCGGTCGGCAACATTGCCCGGCCGGACGGGGCCACTCGCATCAAGTGGGGCTTCCGGGTGGAGAAGGACTCAGCATTGACTTGCCGGCAACTTGGCCGTCGTTGTGATGGAACAAGCCGCATCACCAACAGAAGCAGTGGGAATTACCTGGGTATAAATTGAGAGTTGTATAATACATCTCGCGATGGTAGCAATCGGCTGCAGGGTGTGATTTAGCCTGTGTTCAGATACTACCATTCCCAGCAGTTGCTGGTACGTGCCAACCTGCAAAAGCTTCTAAAAACAACAGGGGTGGGCAATACGAGCACTCTAGAGCTTGGGAGCTGGATATTCGCTTTCGCTCCACGAATTCTGATGAGCACGGAGGCCATGTCTTTGACGATCAATGCCAGCAGAAGCTCTGATCAACCCCGAATTGACATGCTCAACCCCAACCTGACCCCCGCGAGTCTGACGTAGGGCTTTTTGAGCTCCGATAATTGGGAGCTGCGACGGATAGGATCATTTGGTACTGACATTGAATCGCACTTGGCGCAGGGAAAAACCGCGACACTTGGGTGAATGGGAGAGGAGGCGTGACCTTTTCTCTCAACAACATGTTGATTGTGGTCGGTTGCGATGGTCGGCAAACTACTGACCCCCACGAGACGAGCCCATCAGTTTCCGGAGGTACCATGGACATTTCTCGGAACCACTGAAGATGACAGGTCCGGCATTGCCGTCGGACTGGTTTCCTGGGACCGACAGCCCAGGTACAGTACATGGGAACCACGTTCAGACCCCTGCTGAAGATATGGACTGGCGGGCGTGCGGGGCTGCCTGACCCCGCACCCCTTGGATCTGAATTTGCCGGGGCAAAGTTCGGATAGCGTTGAGATGCCGGACGCTGAGAGGAGAGAAGGGCGAGGAGACAGTAGACTCGAGAGGAGGATAATTGACGGCTCCAGTGGGCGGCGACCCACTAGCCGAACAAGGCAATCGGCCCCAGTCTGATGGCACCCACTCCAAGAGAACAGGTGCCGGGGGGCCAAACGCCACGGCTCACCCTTGCGACTCGACGAGGCAGAGCGCCCAGTATTATCGCTCCTTCGCTAGCCCGCTGCCCGCCAAGTCGACAAACAACCAGCTAGCGATTGTCGGCGTTTGCCTGCCTCGTCTCGCGTCCTAGTCCTATTCCCGGGGCCCTGGGGGGTGGAGTCGATGCAGTCGCATTGCATTGGACCCTCTACAGAGACCATTCGCATTGGGCCCAGCGTCCATCCGTCGCTGGCTCTTTCCCCGGAAAGTCGTCGTTGAGCGCCCCGTCACCCCGTGGGGAAGCCGCTTGGCCCCAGCTTTGCTTCTCCGCTCCGTCCTCCATCTTCGTCTTCTCAAACCTGTCTCCGTCAACAATGTTCTGCTGTGTCCTATGCCTCTGGGCTTGATGAGAGCGTGTGAACCGAGCTTCTGATTTCCCACGGCCAGCTCCCCGCTGTCAACTCCCACTCCAACAGACACGCACACCATGGCTCCATCCGTCGACTCCAAGAAAGTCTCGGCCACAGCTTCGCCCGACATCGCCAACCAGGAGAACGTCTCTCCAAAGGGCCAGGCCGGCCAGAAGCCTAGTAAACAACAACAAGTCCGCCATAGAGCTTCCGTCGCTTGTGCTTCATGTCGCGATCGCAGAATCCGATGCGTCGTCCCCAAGAACCACTCCATCTGCACCGCCTGCCAACGAACAGGCGCAGACTGCATCATCAAAAACGACGACGAGCGGAGACGGTACGCATCATTCCCGCAAGCTCCAAATTGCGCGTCGCACTAACAGTTCCTACTTGCAGACCCATCTCCAAGGCTTACATGTCCTCTCTCTCTGATCGAATCTCAATGCTCGAAGGCATGCTCCGGGACAAAGGCGTTGTGCCACCTCCTGCTGCCCACCCGCCCAAGACGAGGCATGATGCCACGTCCAAAGCACAGGAAGATGGCGAATCAGTGTCGAGCCTTCCGAAGCAGCAGCAAAACCCCGACGGCGTTTCTCCCACTTGCGACGTCCCTTCTCCTCCAGACTCGCGCAATGATGACTTCCCTATCCCTGAAAGTGAACATGGCGAGGTAAACATATCCAACAACCAAGTCCTCCAACCATTAGCCAAAGAAGACTCGCCATTCCGAATGCTTGACCCCAAGCAAGAGGACATTATCCACCGTCTACTCTCCACAAAAGGCAACCTCTCGTTTGATCAGCTCTCCGGTAGACTCAGGTTCTTTGGCCCCACTGCCAACAGTCATGTCTACGCCGAGACTTCGGATCAGTTCGACTCTCAAGAGCCGCCTGAGCAAGTCCGTCGTGCTGAGAGAATTATCCGTTCTTTCAGCGTCGAGACCCACGACTACCTCGTCAACCAGTTCTTCGCCTTCTACAATTCCGTCTTGCAGATAATTGACCGCGCCGCCTTCGAGGCCGATCGCGATTCGCAAGAAAATTCTCCCAAGTTCTACTCCTCCTTCTTACACATCGCCATCCTCGCCATGGGCTACCGTGTGGCCGACATGGACCGCGATGACATGCGCAAGATAACACTGGCTCCCAGAGAGAGCACATTACATCGAGAAGCCAAGTACATGTTGGACATCGAGCTTGAACGTCCCGGTGGGATACCAAGTGTCCAAGCGCTACTTCTTCTAGGAGATCTAGAGTGTGGAGTCGGCCGAGACAACACGGGTTGGATGTATTCAGGTGAGTCAGACCAAATATTTTAAGATTGCGTGGCATGTGCTAATATGGATTGATGGTGCAGGCATGGCAAACCGGCTCGCCTTCGATATTGGCCTTCATCTAGATTGCAGAAGCAACGAAATGCCAGAGCAAGAAAGCCGCATTCGAAACATGGCCATGAGGGCTTGCATTATCTACGACAAGTACTGGGGTCTCTTCCTCGGGCGACCGTTGGCAATCAAAAGCCAGGACGTCGACCTTTTATCCAACCGGCTCTCGCGACTCACCTGGACTGGTTTAGAAGCCCCCAAACGCGACTTAGTTTCCGAGATTTACGAGCAGCTCACCGAGTTGATGGAGCTGGCCGGCCGGATTGTGGAAACCCGCGACAACACCGTGTCTAATAACGCTTCCGAGCAGTACAATCTGTTCGCCAGCGGGGAGGCAGAAGACAATGCCTACCTCCATGTCATCAACCTGGACAGACAACTCCAGAATTGGTATCGACGCCTCCCCGACCACCTCGCATGGAAGCCCAGCAACATCAAGATGGCACCATACAGCTTCTTCCTTTTACATCAGCAGTATCACGTCACCATGATACTTCTGCATAGGCCCTGGGCTAAATACGGCTCCATCACAGGAGACGGTTCCAGCACCGGATCGCACCCGAGCCCAGATGGCAGCCACATGCCTGTTGCGCCAGAAGCTGCTGGACAACGCTCAATGTCGGCAACTGAGAATCATTCGCTGGGTATGGGAGATCCACACATCGCCGTCCATGATAGTCGGACCTCCCTCTCCCGCAGCATCTGCACACAACAGGCGATTCGCGTCGCCCGCATCTTCTGGCAGCACCGTCAGAGGTACGATGGACGCAAGATCTTCGTTACTGGCATCCAGCATGCTGGTACGGCCGCCATTGCATTGATTGCAGCTCTTGCATACCAACGCAGTGAGGCGGATCGACGAACATACGTCGGTTACCTCGAGATCCTGTCCGATGCTGTTGGCGACATGAGCCACACCTATCACCCAGCAAGCAGAATGGATGACTTGCTCAAGGCCGTACTAGAACAGATCCGCAGCAGCATGGGAGAGCCTCCCCGACCTCGCAGTGGCAGTACAAGCTACAATGGGTTCACGTTCAATGGAGTTCCTACAAGCGTACCAAGTGGCGTGTCACTCAACAGTGACGGCTCTTCGTCCATGATCCCTCTGAGGCGTGAGGCTGCCGATCCGGAGTTTGTGCAGCCATTCAAGAAGAGGCGGCCAGAAGCAAGTCGAAGGGCGTCCGAGTTCAATCGCCCGAGGCCGGTTTTCTTTCCTCCTCACGCGCAACCCACACCTCCAAGCTCTTGCAAGAGCCAGCTTGGTAGTAGCCTAAACCCTCAGAATCACTCGCCACTTGATTCAATCCTGTTCTCAATGGGAGTCGGCGATACTTCTGGACAGTTGAACATGGATTTCATGGGTAGCACTGCCATTGACATGGATCAACACGAGGATGTGCATGAGGGTGTGATGGGTAGGGTGGAAGGCATGGATCTGGTCATCCCTTCATCCGAAACGTGGGGTCTAGACGGCATCCAAGATCATCACCTCAATGGATCAGTACCTTTCGATCCTCCCACAATTGATTGGACACCGGGCCCTGCAGGCCTCAGTGCAAGTTCAGTACTGGGTCAGAGCGCTGCAATTTCTTCCGGCATCATGTCGAGTGCACCGAACTTTGGTGTAGGCAAGGATGTCATTGACCTCGAGGACAAGGCTGCCAGTAACAACATTGATGGTAAAGATTTGGTGAATTCTGCAAAGATGGAGGGAAACGGAGTAGAATGGATGGATGGTGACAATAATATTGGGGTGAGTCCCGCGAGCTTGAGTGGCTTAGTGCAAGGCACAGATAATGCGTCGAGCGGGGATGATGGATCAACTGGAGGGACCAGGAATCACTCATTGGATTTCTTTAGCTTCTCGTGAGATGTGGCATGAAGCGCCAGTTTAATATCTCGAATAGTTTTGATTGCGTGGAGTCCAAGGTGTCTTCTGTATGGATAGCGTGAACGATATTGCCTTCGTCCCCTTTTCTTTGGGCAATTCTTCAACTTTTCATTACACTTGCTCTTAATATCATATCGAGTGGTAATAATTTCTTACAGAATTAGTAGAAGCAATTGATTTCAAAGACGGTAAAAATCAAAAGTTTTTACAAGTGGCTATTATAAATGACACAAACTGGACATGGATTCATGTCAAAGCCTCGTCAGTCCGATGATGTATTTAGTGAATTATACGGCCGTTGTGCAATTATGATGTACAAATTCGTGATTGTGATGACCACCTGGCGCCGGGTCCATTCCAGGTTACACCGTAAAGGACTCAGGCTAACTTCAGGCCTCAGTTGGTAGTAAATCCTCCGTCAACGATCATGCTGGCACCTTGCATGAAGCTGCTCATGGGAGAAGCCATAAGAACGATGCTATCGGCGATCTCATCCATCCCGGCCAACCGGTTCAAAGGCGTGCGAGCAAGATCCTTTGCCAAAGGAGAATCCGGGTCGGTGGCCATGATTTTTACAAGTAAGGGGGTGCCGACGTATCCTGGGCATATTGCGTTGATGCGAATGCCAAGGCTGCCGTACGAGTTGGCATCAGCCTTTGTCAGTCCAATGACTCCTGGTATATGTAGTTAGTCTCTGTTTAGATGTTCCGTTGGTTGATGTCCTACCATGCTTTGAGGTGGCGTAGGCCGTGTGGTGCTGGCTGTTGCAAGGAGCAACAACTCCTAGCATGCTTGCCACGTTGATGATCCTGCCACGGCCTTCTCTAGGGCCAAGATCTCTGTTTCGGTATCAGCAGAGAACTATGGTTGTTTTGGAGGTGTGAGCATACTCCTGGTTGACCATGATTCCAAGTTCCTCCTTCTGACACCGATAGACACCCTGCAAATTCACATCCACGACCCGAATCCACTCCTCGTCCTCAATCTCGTGGGTCCGTCGGCCGCTGCCACCAATGCCGGCATTATTGACTGCGATATCGAGGCGGCCAAACGCAGCGGCGGCTTTGGCGATGCCCTCCTTGACCTGAGCAGCGTCGCGCACGTCCATGTGCAGGGAGAGGATCTCGACATCGGGGAAGCGCTGCTTCAGGGCGGCGTTGGATTCTTCCAGGGCCTTGAGGTTGACGTCGGCCAGGGCCAGCTTGGTGACGCCATGCTGTGCGAATGCGATGGCCGTGTATTGCCCAATGCCTGTGTGAAGAAAGGATCAATTAGCAAGTGATTATGAGGTAGGGGGGATCAAAATGTGGGTTGTGGCGAGAGGAGCCTTGATCGGCTGATCGGCGGGGTAGCACGGATAACGAACGGCGCAAGTGCGGCCCGGAACGCGGGGCCCCGAGTTTGGACGCGGCGGGGTACGGAGGAGACAGCCGCACTTACCGGAGGCAGCGCCGGTGATGAAGGCAGATCCTCGGAGTAGGGTCGTCATGTTGGCAGGCGCGGGAACGGGCGAGTTCGATAGGGTTGAGCGGAAATCTCTGGGGCGGCAACGGGGCTTGGTCAGTTGGTCTTAAGCAAAACACACCCCCGGAAGTGCATCGGCCCATGCCAGGATAACGTTAGGAGAGGCCAATACTGCCCGGCCACCTGTTGGCTGTTGGTGGCTCCACCAATGCCCGGGGCTCGCGTCGAGTAGACTACTAGACTTGCCCAGGGTCAACTCGGGTATCCACATGACGCTTTCGAGGTGTGAGCCTCACTGCTCGGGGTTTGGACGGGAGAGCGTCTCCGGCAGGGTATGGTTGATCCGTGAGGGGTTCCGGGCTCTCGGGATCCCCTCCACCAAGGCCCAGAAGCTTGGGAGGTCTTTGGCGGGTGGGATAGCTGCATACCCCTCGACAACTATCCCTGTAATTCTATGCACGTCCCCGATATCATACCAGTCGGACATTCAGCGGAGGTTTGCTTGTCGCAGCATCTAAGACAGAAAGCGTGGTGTGGACAAGCCGTCCTGGGAGACGGAAGGGTAGATGGGGACCACAGCATGCATTACCAATACGAAAACCTCAAATGGTGAGCCACCTCATATTTTCCCTGGAGCATGAAATTCAAACCCAGTATCGAGGAGGCGCCAAGTATCTAGTGTTGACAAGTCCCGGTAGGCCTTGTTACAGTCGAAAGCTAGGACTGTCAAACGCAGATGATATCTTCAATGGCTATCCTAGCACCTCATCGCGTTTACTAGTTCCCCGTCTCCTTCGTCCGTTTCTCTTGTGCTGGGCATGGCAATAAGTCATCCCACTTCCTGGAGAGGCTTCTAATCATAACGGGCGATCTCATTACACTTCGGCAATCTTATCTTGCCATCTGATCTGGTATCGCTGAGATAAGATCGGTACGATGGTGGGTCTCGTGATGGCTGTCGAATATATGCGCTAGGATAATTGCCGCTGGGAGCAGTGGGTCAGTCCAGAGGCAGGACCACCGCAATCTTCATGAACCATTGCCTGTTCCCGTATTCAAGGCGACGTTTGAGATGTGTGCTAACGGCTGTCACCTCAATTGTCTTGTCCTTCGGTCGTCTTCTTCGCGCTTCGTTTTCTTGATGACATGGGATCGGCGGTCATGCCAAGTGGAGACGTGGCAAGGGGCTGAGAACGGATGTTGACGGCGATGGGTAGAGAAGGAGGGCAGACGGGCACGGTCAGGTGATGAGGGTTGAACATTTGTCGGATGGCACATCGAAGGACCTTCCGATCGGACGTCGGCGTGAATAAGAGAAAGGGTGAATTTCATAGAAAGTGGAAGGCAAGGGAGCTTAAATCTGAGACCAGATTAGTCGAGCGAGTGATATGAAAGGTTGCAAGAGGGAGGGCCAAATAAGTGGCAAAACAAAAAGGCATTTATCAGACATGTGCACTCAGTAGAGGTGGTCCACCACGAAATTGCAATGACATGTTGGCAGTGGCCTGGGCCGTCACTGATGGAAACGTCTGCAGGAGACCATAATGTTGTCACTTGATAGATGCGGAGGTCCCAGCGAGGTAGAGAGGAAAGAAGGTGATTGTAACAGTGAATTTATTTGTAAGCGAGAATCGGCATCTTGGTCGACTCTGCAGCTCTACCGCAATGTACATGAAGGGCACAACAGCAGCCCAGGTATGACGAAAGAAATGACCTAGGATGAACCTGATGGCCCAGATTTAGATTCGGGAGTCATCTTTGTGATGCCACTCCGAATACCCTTCTCCATTGATTTGGCCATCTTCTCGAGGGGAAGGCGTTCATCGATACGCTGGACCATCTTGGCCACTGGAGGTTCGATACGTTGAACGCCGCGCTCAACAGGAGAGGTAAAGTAGTTGATGTTGCGTTCCCATCGTGGTGCCCACTTGTTGGTCTGGTTGGAGAGGCGCTCCTCTGCACCAGGCATGAACATGTAGAGGGGAGTCAGAACACCAACACCGGCGGCGCCGAAGGTGAAGATCTCGGAGCGCCTGGCCTGAGGGAGACGTGGGACGCGGACAGGCATGATGTGTGTATGTTTGTAGGAGGAGCGAGGTTGTTGGGTGTTCTGTAGATGAAGTCAGTATGATGTGCTGGTTGGCCACTGATGCCCAAGGGGAAAGAGACAACAAGGGAGAGTGACTGGAAAGAGGGGAAACGGTGAGTTGAAGGAGGAGAGGGACTCACTGTTGTTGACTAATCGAAACGGCGGTGGCTCGATTCGAATGGATGGATGCAGAAAGGGGTGAGACGGGAGAATGGTTGGAGGATGGTTGGAGGATGGTTGGAGGATGGTTGGAGGATGAAGAGGGAGAAGAGGTGGATGGATGGATAAATGCGAGATGGATGGATGAGTGATGGATGACTGGCTTGTGATGACGGAGGGAGGAAGGAGGCACACACAGAGGGAAATGACTAGACGGGTACGAGAGGAATTGTTTATATACCTTCTCCGTGTGAGCTCGCCAGCCTCTTACAGCATCGAGCGGGGTAAGTGCGCGTGAGCAAGTGGTTGCGTCCGGGTATATGTGAGAGACCAAGACGAGTGCGAGGAGTCGACGCTGTCAGAGAGACACACACTGTACGGTGTCCACAGGGGGCGCTCAAGGGGCGTTCAAGGTGCGCTGGGGCATGCGAGGACGTGGAATTCCGTCCAATCTCGAAGCCTCCCGCACCGCCATCGCACAGTCATCGCATCGCTGATTCGCCGTGCCGCGTCCTCTATTGGGTCGTCCTTGGGGCCCCATGGCGCTTCCCCGGACGGAGCCTACGTCTTGAGAACAGTGCGACGCTGCGACGCTGCGACGCTGCGGACGGTGGCGCTGGCACGCGAGAGAGCGAGGGAACGCCAGCGGCGAGGACACGCACCGACTGATCAATCCGCCACGCATTGGGCGTGTGGGAATCCGCGCCGTCTCTGCGCGTCCCTCCACGTCTCCGTCTCATCCTCTTCAACATGGTCCGAGTCTCACGGCGTTTCGCCCACAGGCAGCGTCGCGCTGAGCCGGCAGACCCCGCCGGCAGATGCCACGGTGGCGTGGTGTCGACGTCGAAGTGGTTCCCGGTCGCCAGACGGCATCGGGAAAAAATCCACGTCGCGGTGGATGAATGATACGTCAACGGGGGATGCACCTGGCCAATTGCTCCCCGTCGCCCGGGCCGCAGCGCTGGGCGGACAGCCGTGGGCGTGAGGATGCCTCATGTTGCATCTAATTTCAAATCCTCGACACGCCCGAATCGCCCGGAAGCCAGCGGTGGTCGTTCAGGCGGCAGCCTCTGAATGCTCTCCCTGTCGTTGCCCGCCCCGGGCCCCTGAGTACCCACTCGCCACTGGACGACCCACTACCCCAGACGGCACTTGGGGCACTAAAAACGGCGCCCCATTGAGGCCCATCCGAGTTCCCCATAAGCCCCATAAGCCCCACTGCTTCGGGCCTTGACGACCACTGATGCGAGCGAGAGTTCACTGAGCGGGCGCTGAGGCTCAGGCCTGCGAACCACTAAGATGGCCCTTATTGATTGCTTGACAATCAGCGGTTCGAGTGTCCGCCTGTTGCTAGTCGCCTTTGTCAGGACCAAGATGACCAGGGCATTTTGAATCTATTGATCTGTGATATCTTGACCTTTCTAAATTCCCATGGTTCCTCCCTCTTACTCGGCCACAATTACCCTGAGCAGCAATTTCACATTGATGCCACCAAAGCAAGTATCCTACCGCCGTCGCGTGATCACCTACCCCGCCTCGGAAGCAGCAGAGGTGACTTGTCATCATCATTCCTCACCAAACCTCCCACTACCGCCGCAAGCTACGCAAAGTTCCCAAGTTCACAAGTTCATCCAAACCTAATGCCTTAGCCCACGCGCCGTCTCTCCAGCGCGCATTCCATCTCAGGCTCCCTCGCCTGAACCGCCTCTAGGCTAGGCCTCACGACTGAGCCGCATCATCCGTGGCGCGGGACCAGCCCCTCTCTGGATTATGGTGCACAGGCGATCCTCGGTGCCACAATAAGTGGAGTGATGCGGGCATGGACCGCTTGCGCTTCTTGTTGTCCTGGTCACAGACAACCATGGTCTGGCCATTTTCCACTTCCGGGGAAATAGTGCCCTCGCCATTGCTCAAATTGGCAGAAAGCTATAAATTCCGATGCTGCAAGCGGATGCTAACACTCGTTTCATTTACGCATTGAGCTGGAGTTGCCATTGGTCGCTGTGGTGTAACTGTCTTGTCAGCTTGTCTAGTTGCCCGGACGGCCCAAGGTTGGCTGAGATTGGACTTTCAATGGCGCATCATGATGGACGCGTCATTGAGCAATACAGTATCAATGTATTTATGAAAAATGCAGTTACAGTGACTTGAGGAAACTGTAGATTTAGGGTCATACAATGTACAAAATCGCACAAATTCACCATTCAAGCACAGTGGCGCCTGGGGGCACTGTCACCGCGCACCCCGGCATCGTTTCAAACCTCGGGGAGCATGCCATTTCATGTACGAAGTATAGCGACTCGTAACATGCCATCTCACGATAATTCCCTTATCCTTTCTCGATTTGAAGCAAAAGACATCACTAGGTAAATTCTGACACGCCAAGACTAGCCAACCTCAGCGTAAACTTCCAATCATTCGCAGCATGTTCTTGTGCGTATTCCGCAACAGAATCAAAATCACCGCCGCAATTATTAAGCAAACACCAATTCCGACACCAATTCTCGCCAACGCCCCAGTGAATAAGCCCGATGACATCTGCGGCGGCTAGACTTCTTCCGATGCCACTACTTTTGTCTCTATTTGTGACGTGGCTGTCAGATTCGCCGTTTTCAGACTTGTGGTTGTCGGGCTCATCCCGGCCAATCTTGTGGTTGACTCCCCCGAACTCGGGGCTTCCATTGTCAGCTCCCATTTCCGCAACCTTATTCTAGCCAAAATGTCTTTCTCCCAGCTTCGTTTGATATCTGCTGAATTAATTTCTACAACTAAGAATTTAGTATACACAGGATTCTAACCAAGTCTAGAGCCTAGGCATTGCTATCGACTCATCCGGCTCTTGTTTTATTGGATCTAGTGAGATTCTTTCAACTACACAGCGCACGCAACACTATGTCGCCCAAGGACTTCTCACTTGTCTCACCAATCTTCTGCATAACTCTTCCAAGGAACATGTAATGGGATTAATTGAACGGATAAGCTGTTCGCGCCGACAGAATGGATCTTAGTCCACAAGGATTGAATGCCGCATTTATAGCAATTGCCATTCAGTCAAAGTGCTAATAGTGCAAGTTTCACAAGAGCCTTATCTCCCTAACTTGTGCACTAATTATTGTGGTCCCAATCCTCGTACCCAGTATATTCTAATACCGGGGCATTCAGTGGCGTCGGATTTGGCGTGAGCCAAAGTGCTAAGCGTGTACGCGGCGCGTCCCTTTATCTCCTGTCGAATTCTGTTCTCAGCTCCTCGAGCAAGACAGCAATGGTGCTGTCGACGATACCTAGGAAATACACGTATGCGCTGCTGGCAGGCATCGCGTTGATTGTGTTTCTGTTTGGCCACTACTCATTCCAAAACCCCGCACACTGTTCGTCCAGGACCCTTGCAACTCCCTATCATTTCCTCGCCTGTTTGATCGAGCATGGCAAGCTAACCCAATACCGTCCAGCAAGCATCATCCCCCAAGCACCGTCACCAGCGTCCCCGACTACACAAGATTCCAAACCTCCGCAAGATCCCGAGCAAACACAAGATCCTGAACCAACACAAGACTCCAAGCCAACACAAGACCCCGATCCGATACAAGACTCCGCGCCAAACATCCCAGAGTCGCAATCCCTTGCCGCGCAACCTTTCCCCCTAAAGATTTGGCAGAGCTGGAAGGACGACGCAGAAGACCCAACAGACCGAACCATCGGCTTCCCCCATCAATGGCGGGCAGTTAATCCTACATGGCGGTATGAGCGTATCACAGATGCCAATAATGACGTCTATGTTCGGGACCACTTCGATCCGGCTATCTGGGGTGTCTTTAAAAGCTTGAAGGATCCAATTCTCAAGGCTGACTTCTTGCGATACCTCATTCTGTTTGGGGAAGGCGGTGTATGGGCCGATATTGATGTCTTTCCGCTCCAGCCCGTTTCAAAATGGATTCCGGAAGAGTATCAAGGCAATGTAAGCCTGGTTATTGGGATCGAGAATGACCACCACAAAGAGCCAATTTGGCCCGGCTCTCCATATTCCGTTCAGCTGTGCCAATACACCGTCCTAGCCAAGCCAGGACACCCGGCTCTTAAGGTCCTTGTCGACCAGGTGGCCGCAGACCTTGAGCAATTGGTCAAATCCAAGCAGCCGGGAGACGACACTACCTTTGAGGAGGTTATGGCCACTACTGGACCGTTTGCCTTCACCAAAGTGATGATGGATTACTTTACCAACATGACGAGTGTGGATCACACTGGTGATGAGTTTGATGACCTTCAAGAGCCCCGACTGATTGGCGACGTGCTGGTTCTGCCCAAGGATAGCTTTGGCTGGTTGCCACAAGAGCATACACATGAAAAGGGCGATGCCATGATCCTTGTCGAGCACCTATTTATCGGGTCTTGGCGGGATGGCCATCCTGGCTGAGGGTGCACTTTTCTCTGGAACACTTAGAAACGACCGTGAAGACGTTCTGTAAAAGAATAATACCGAAACCTAACCCGGAAGCGCGTGTGCTTTCTCTGAAGGAAGACATGAATTTGTCTCAATTGCCGGACACGCCAGTACCAAAAATGTCTGCAAGGTGAAACCCTTGCCACTGTGGCGAATAGGAATGGTCGTATCAGTGGACTTTGGGCAGGTCAGGGTGTTATTTTTTCCCACGCTGCTGCAGTGCTGTCCCACCATCGAAATTTTTGTCCAAGACCCAATCCGCCACTCTCTAACCAATGGAGATACCCATGTGGCCTAAGTTATGGCCAGGTCTGCTCGCAGCGTACACGTTGCGCGATGCTGCATTGCCTCTTGACCCAAAGGATTACGGCATGAGTGGCGTCCGTGTCCACGAACGGCCCGCTTTTCACTGAGCGACGGCTCCGGAGGAGACAAGCTCCGTTTCCGACGATGGAGTGACTCCATCGTTCGCGACTCGCTTGCTCTTCCTGCACCAACCCACGCCGTTTGGTTCATGAATGGCTCGCCGCGCTCTGCATCTAACTGTGGTGGAACTTGACGGAACTTGGGATCCCTAACCTTTGCTGCGTGAGTGTCGTTGCGCCAGACCTTCCCGCCTCGAGCAACAGACCCGACAACCATGGCCGACTACCTCCCCGACCTCGCCGGCAGCCCGGGCAGCCAGCATAGCAGACGTCAGGCCGAAATCCTCGATCGCCACCTCCCCGACGGCTACTCGGCCGAGCCCGACGTCAGTCTCCTCGGGCCTGGCCAAACCCTGGCCCCGTCGGCCTCTGGCCTGAGCCTCGACCAAGCCTCCAACACCGACTCGATCGAATCGTCCCTCCGGCTCCAGGGCGGCGACATGCACCGCGACATGTTCAAAATCAAGGCCCGCGCAAACTCCCTCCGCCGCTCCGCGACCTTTTCCCACCATGCGTCTCCGCGTCTGAGCCACCCCGGCGACATGAGGGAGCCGGGCGGCTTTCGACGGCATCATTTGCGGCGCCGGGCGCGCCAGAGACCCGTGAGCGGCTACACGGCCGTGGCGAGGAATTTCGTGGACTTTCTCGACCTCTATGGTGGCTTTGCTGGCGAGAACCTCGACGATGAAGATAGTGAGGATGAATCTGCTATCGATGACGGCATTGGGAGCGTTGACCCAGAAGAACCGCCTGAGCTTAGGCCCCTGCTAGGCCATACTAGGAGCCATAGGCGGCCGCGTAGGGAAGGCGATGCGTCAACCCTCAAGACGTTCTTCACACTCATCAAGGCCTTCATCGGAACGGGCATTCTCCTCCTGCCCAAGGCTTTCCGCAACGGCGGTATTCTTTTCTCCTCCATCACCCTGGTTGTCCTTTCTCTCGTCAACTGCCTCTGCTTCCGCCTGCTGCTGGACTGCCGAGAAAAGTATGGTGGTGGCTATGGTGAACTCGGTGCCGCTATTGTCGGCCCCCGATTCCGCAACCTCATTCTAGCCTCAATTGCCATCTCTCAACTCGGCTTTGTATGCGCGGGGTTAATTTTCACGGCTTCTAACTTGAAGTCGTTCCTTGATGCTGTAACTCAAGGCGACCGCAGCTTCGGGGTGGGCGTCCCAACACTCATTGCCATCCAGCTTATTTTGTTGATACCACTGGCCTTGATTCGAAACATTTCCAAGCTAGGACCCGTGGCCCTGCTGGCTGATGCTTTCATCTTGATCGGACTCTCCTACATTTGGTACTTTGACATCTTGGCGTTGGCCAGGAATGGTCTTGAGCCCTCTGTCAGGCTCTTCAATCCCTCCGACTACACGCTGACCATCGGCTCGGCCATTTTCACATTCGAAGGAATCGGATTGATTTTGCCCATTCAATCCAGCATGAAGAAACCGGAGCATTTCAGCAATCTTCTCTACTTTGTCATGTTTCTCATCACCATCATCTTCACCTCGGTGGGTGCTCTGTGTTACGCAACTTTTGGCGAGAACACCAAGATCCAGATCATGTCCAACTTCCCGCAGGACTCGCCCATCGTCAACGCGGTGCAGTTCCTCTACTCGATGGCCGTCCTCGCCGGCGACCCGGTCCAGCTGTTCCCTGCCGCCCGCATCATCGAGACTTCGATCTTCGGAGAACTGGCGACGGGCAAGAAGAGCGCTGCCATCAAGTGGAAAAAGAACGCTCTCAGGACGGCTATCGTGGGACTCTGCGCAGCGGTCAGCATGGTCGGGGCCAGTGATCTAGACAAGTTTGTTGCATTGATTGGTAGTTTTGCATGTGTTCCTCTGGTTTACATATATCCGGCGTATCTGCATTACAAGGGCGCAGCGGAAAAGACGTGGGTCAAGATGCTAGACATTGCGCTCATGGTTATCGGGTTCATCGGCATGGTCTACACGACTATGGTCTGTATGTCTCAGTGGGTTCAAGATTCGTGATGCTATTCATCACGCCCTCATGGGCATTGCATATAGGAAAAGAGAGGGAAGGGGGAAAAGGGGTGACAGACGTGGGAGTTGGTTGGTTTGTATTGAGCACCTGGTTTTGCGTACTCGGAGTTTTTGCCGATCCATAGGATAATACAATGTTTTCTGGAGATGCTGTGATCTAGACCCCCATGGGCCCAGTACATCTGATTGAAGGAGACCGAGAGCGGAACTAGCCAAACATGGAGGCCGGAATACGCCTTTTGGCCTAATGTGAGATCCACGTAGGAACTCGCCAAGTCGACCAACCGTCAGCCCCAATTGAGTCGGGTGCAGTTGTCACCGCCTGGGCGCGTCCACCTCCCTGACTCAAATTAACAAAGGTGCAGGCAGCTTCCTGACTCTGCAAGGTCGTGGGTGAGACTCACGGCTCCTGAGCGACGCGGAGCAGCATCGCAAGCTTTGAAAGCGTGAGCAGCTAACCTGCATAGCGAAGGCAAGCAAAACCAGATGCGGGTGGAGACGCGGCAAGATTGGGGGGACAGTTCTGCAGCCCAGAGCTCAGGTGAGCATGCAAAGCACCCAGGACAAAACACCAAAAGAGATATCCCGGGCCCAGACGTCGGAGCCAAGCGCACCGACACCGCAAGCACAAGCGGAGCTGTCGCCCAGGATGCTTCGAGACTGGCGTGGCAACTGGGGCATGAACATGAACCACGACGACGTCTTCGGGATTTCCTAAAATGGACTAAACAAGGCACGTTACCAAATCTCGCCCGGCTCGGGGAGATACGGCCCACCCGCGTACATATGCACGCCGAGCAGTCGAGCCTCTTCGTCCGTCGGCCCCGAAAGCAGCGGCGCGGCGAATGAAGCGGAAAATATGAAGGGAAGGGGAGTTCTTGTTGTCTCGTTGTGCCAAGCCGCCGCACACCCAAACTGCCATGCGCCTCTCGGCATGCAACGATGCCAGATACTGTAGGCTCTTATCCATCTTGGACCCGGACGACACCAAGCAAGCCCGGCCGTGCCGATCGCTGCCAGAGCGACGCCAATCTCCCAGCGTGCCGGGAGCGATGAGAGTATCTCGCGAGTCCCGGGCAGGGAATCGAGCATCTGGCAAAGTCGAGAGGCTGCATCCTTGTTTCAACTACATGTGCAAGACCATCGTCTACACTGGATGCATCATGCAATTGCCCGGGAATAGTCTCGGTTCACGGGAAGTGTGTAGTCCAAATCCCAAGTGAAATGTAAACCCTCCGCAACTTCAACCTCTCCACGCAAGCCGTCAATCAGCTCATATCAAGCAAGCTCATCTGGTGCATGCTCGGCCGGGACTCGCCGCAACGCTCACGGCTCGGCTTAGAACCCCACTCGCAGCACCGAGCAGCTCACGGGATTCTCCTTTTTGATACATCTCATGATATCTGTCGTACTCGGCCATTATCTCGACCCCTCCCGATGGTAAGCTCCAGCCCGCATGCTTAGTGTCCCGGAGGATGTGCTCCCACTTAGACGCTCTCTTCCAGGTACTCCGTAGCGGTTGATCTTTCACAAGGCAATTGCAGCCGCCTGGGCAGTTATTAGAATAGATGGATCGATGCAGCAGGCTCAAATTGCCCTCGCTCAACAAAAATAAACTCCCCCCGGCCAGTCTAGACATCTCCATCTCCGGATCTAGTCCTCCCCGGTGGAGCTCACAACCTCTGCCATGTCGCATCGTGACAATGCGGCATCACCAAAAACCCCATCATCCTCGGTCTTTTGCCCTTTGCTCTGGCTTGTGTCGGTTAGCAGAACGTCCACAAACCTTGGCTTCGACGCTAAGGCGCCACGACCCCAAACTCCACATGCCGGCCATTCCAAATCCAGAGCTAGGGGGTGAGGAAGAGAGGATGGGGAATGGAGGCTTCGTTCGTTATTGGGGGGGCAATTGCATGGGCGTGCATGTCGAGGACACGCCTTGCAGCGAGCACCCTGGTCCTGTTTCCGCGTGCTGTGTCCCCGTCTCCACAGCCCAAGGCGCGAGCGACGATGGCCTCACAGAAGGGCCCTCCTTCCCAAGCGGCTCATCCGAGGTCATGGGATGCTCTGGAAACCCAAAGCAAAGCAACGATCCATAGGCGGCACGACGCGAGGCCTGCGGGAGCAAAGCCGTACGGGAGGCGTCTAGGGGCACAGCTCAAGGCTAATTGAGTCTCCATCTAGGCCAAGCCGCGGGGGTCTGTGGTTGGGCTTCTTTTGGTCCGGGGTGGCTGACGTCGATCGCACCCCCGTCGCGGCCCTGAGTTTAACTGTTGCAGGAAATCCGAGCCTCCGCCGGCATCTTCGATATCGTCCTAGTGCTGGCTTCGTTGCAACCTCCTCCTCCTCCACATTTGCGTTGTCGCCGCCGCCCGCTGCTTCGTGCCCAGAGCCACCCTCCTCGTGACGCTGGTTGAGGGTGGTTGATGTGCCCAAAGCCACAGAACACTCTCGATTCTGACCACGATGCCCCCCCACGGATAGCCCAAACTTGTGCGGGCTGTCACCCGCAACCTTCGTGTGTATAAGAAAGCTTCTTCCTCGCCTTAAGCTTGGAAGTGTGTGCCAGAACATCTTGCAATCAGTCCATCCATTCCATTCATCCCACCCCATCCCTAGACACCTACACCATCGCAACAATCGCAGCAGTTGCAGCAATCGTAGCACCATGTCCCAAACCAACGCCACCGTCGAGACGCTCACCGAAGCTCTGCCTACCGTCAAGGTAGCAGCTCAGCAAAACCCCATCCCCATCCATACTCTGCAGACCAGCTCTGCTTCTGACAATGCTGCTCTCGGCCAGCGCCACCTATTGCCCGAATTCAGCCTCAAGGACAAGGTCATCGTTGTCTCTGGTGGCGCACGAGGCTTGGGCTTGGTCCAGATCGAGGCCTTGCTCGAGGCCGGCGCCAAAGGTGAGATTCCCAATCGTAAAGGCGACATTCGACAACTTTGCTGACAGTAACTCAGTCTGGGCCATCGATCGATTGGAGTCCCCGGAATCCGACCCGACCTCAGATTTCGCGAAGATCTCCAAACGGGCACGCGAGGAGCTTGGCACCTCTTTGGCATATCGTCAAGTTGACGTAAGAAACTCTGCAGAGCTGAACAAGATCTTCGAGGACGTGGCCGAGCAGACCGGTCGTCTGGATGGCTTGATCGCCGCTGCGGGCATCAACCAGGAGACGCCGGCCCTTGAGTATACAGCCGAGGATGCTGATCGAATGATGAGCATCAACTTTACCGGTTGCTTCATGACTGCCCAGGCGGCAGCTCGCCAAATGGTTCGCCTCAAGACGCCTGGAAGCATCTGCCTCATCGCCAGCATGAGCGGTTCAATTGCCAACAGGGGCATGATCGCCCCGTATGTAGTCACTTGCCAGGTGCCCTCCCATCCACAATCGCATCGCCACTAACGCAGACCAGGGTATACAATCCATCCAAGGCCGCCGTCGTCCAACTAGGTCGCAGCTTGGCTTCCGAATGGGGCCAGTACGGAATCCGAGTCAACACCCTCTCCCCCGGCTATATTCTGACCCAGATGCTCCAAAACCTCTTCGACGACTACCCCGAGCGCCAGACTAAGTGGGCAGGCGAGAACATGCTCGGCCGCATCAGCAGCCCCCAGGAGTTCCGCGGCGCCGCCGTCTTCCTCCTCAGCGATGCCAGCAGCTTCATGACGGGTAGCGATCTTCGCATTGACGGAGGCCACACGGCTTGGTAGAATGGTTTGGCAAAAAGAAAGAGAGAGAATAGGTGGTGCCCTGGCCGCATTTGTCGCATACGGGTATGTCGGCCAGGTTGAACTCGACAGTTTTGCATTCGGGCGTCTTGTAGTATTTCTGGGAGCGAGGAGAACGGGTTCTGTATAAATCCTCATGTTCGCGTTGTCACTCCTCCATTTTCATAATAGGTAGAACAACGATTGACTTGTTTGAAATTTCGCATTGTCTTCAACTGGGACTCGTCACATGTGAGAGAACACCTTGAGGACCGAGCCTCTCTAACAGACCGGGGCGAATTCTGAGCCTTGCCTCGATATCCTTATCCGCAAGGCCATGGCCGCGCAATTTAATTGCATCCACCATCGTTCGCATGTCGAGGAACCGCCTTCCCTGGGTGTTTGCGAGTCCCATGGACTCAAAGTCCTCCTCGGCTTCTTGTTGTAGTCGTTGTCGGGCCGAGAGCGCGGAGAGGGTCGGGTTGCTTCTGCTAGGGGGGAACGACGGTCCCATGTTGTATTGAGGCCCAAGATTATATGCGGCGGTAGAGGAAGGAGAGTAGGTCGGGTTGGGGTCGGCAATGCCCATCTGCTGCAGGCGGCGGGAGAAGTCGCCATTAAAGTCGGGATCCATGGAGTCGGCGCGGATAGCTGTGGTTGCGAGTCAGCGCCCCAGCTTCATTCACTCAGTGATTCAATTATTCTACCGTCATCCTTTGCGCCATCTCCCAACGGTTCAGCTTTGGTCTTGGTGATCGGTTGGCGTCGCGGCGTCGCAGCAGGGACCGCGGATCCCGGAGCGCGAGTGGGATACTTTCTCGTGGCGCCGCGGGCGACCTTTGATGATGAGGAGCCCATTGCGCAGTGTCGGGTCGGATCAGAAAAAACAATGTGAAATTGCCAAAGCTCGAGTATGAGGTTTCCAGGTGGAGATCAGAGCATGGCGAGCTAAGTTGGTCGACCAAAGACGGACGTCTTTGCGATGACCATCTTTTTTTCTGGGTCGGGACGCAATTCTTCCGGGATGGCTACACAGGATGTTTCAGCCACCCTAGACTTCACGGATCAATCCTCACGAATAACAACTATTCGGCATCTGGCAAATTGTGAAAGACGTTCCAATTTCTTTGTACAAGGTTTGTTTTATAGAAAGAGTATTTTTTTTTCTGCGAGAGCCCAAGACCATCCTCCTTCAACTTTGAGACAACCAGCCATCAACAGCTCACACTGCATCAGGATGGAATATCGGCAACATGGTTCGTAACCAAGCATGTCCAGACATCGCTGCCGTAGTAAATGGTGTTTCCATCGTTGTGGCTCTGTCCAGTACTAATAGTGTCGCCAAGCTGCCAAAAGGCATCTCCTGCCATTCCATCCGCTGCCAAAGAGGTGTCTTGCCACACGCTCTCGATAGCGCACTGGTCATATGTCATTCCATCTGGATCCGACGTGTTAGCCTTTGGTCACTCTATATCTCGTCGCAAAAACTTACATTCTTCGAAGAAACACGGCATTCCAGCCTTAGCACAGAGTGCAGCGTGAGCCTTAATCCAGCCGTTGCCCCAGTCGGTGGACACGCCCCCTAGTAAAGAGTCGCCATCAGTCCAATGTCCAAATTCAGCAAATCATATTGAAAACTCACAAGAGGTGGGGTACAGGTGGAAAGTGGCAAAGTCGAGTGTGTCGATGGTGAGCGCCTTCTCCCAGTCCACTCCTTCGTTGTAAGTGTAAGGATAGCTGCCGTCTCCTGGGAGACCGAAACCCTCGTCACCGAGCGTCACTAGATGGTTGGGATCCAGGGACTTGATATACTGGGAAATCTCCGTAGCCCACTTGTGGATTACGCCAGTATCACAACCTGGGCAACGGGGCTCGTTGGCCAGCTCCCATGCAAAGAGGGCGCTTGAGCTGCTGTATCGGCTGATGACGGCCTGGATGTACTTGCGGTACTGTGCCTGCGCTTGCGTGTTCGTGTACCAGCCAGCATGGTCGCCTCCGAAAGCGTTGATATATGCCTTCATGCCACCATAGTCGTCCCAGTTGTTGACAAAGTTGATGATGAGTTTGATGCCGTGGTTTTCGGCAGCCTCGACGATCCAATCCAGACGCTGGAGACCATTGGCGCCAGTGTTAATCTCCGAACCCGACGAAGAAAGGTATTGGAACCACACAGTGCTGTCACTGGGCTTGGTGTTCACGTCATTGAAGCCCCAGATTCGCAGAATCTTCAGGCCAGCCTGCTCCAAATGGGACATGACCGACTCCGCATCACTCTTGAGGGGGAGGAAGCTACACCAGTAGCAATTAGAACCGGGGAAGTACTTTGTGACACCATCGATGGTGAAATGAGTTCCACTCGTGGTTGGAAAGCCAGTCCCTGTTGGGGGCTTGGAAGTCGAGGTAGCGGTCTTCGTCGCAGAGGTTGTAGTTGTCGTTCTGAGAGTCGTCGAACTGGACACTGAGCCTGTGCCTAACATCGGTGTGAACTTAGGAACACCGCATTCAGATCAGTTGTCATCGATAGGAACTTACCAGGGATACATTGAGAATAGTAGTCATTGTAAAACTGGCAAACAGAGCCGGAGACGCAGGTCGTTGCGCCAGTCCATGTCTTTCCACCGCACTGGCCGTACAATGGCGACTGCGCCAGGGCGGAGTGGACGAGGGAAGCGATTGCCACAGTGGTCAACTTCATCTTGATGATTGACAGACAATGTCTGATAGTGATGCACTGGTTAAACAATCCATATGAGGGCTTAATAGACTGCTTTTATACCCAACCGTATTCTGAACGGGCACGGAACATGGTGATCCGCGGGCAATGACATGTCGATCGTTTTGGGAAACCGCATCAACCACCACCGCATGGAGGCTTCACCGAGGGAGTATTACACCGTCGTCGGCACCGCCTACGGTAGCTATCCCGAGCTTCCCTGGAAACTTAATTGCTTGAACGACCTTTAGCCTCGCGAGAGAAGAGCTCCGTGCCTTACTTGGATGGTCGGCCAATCGTGTCAACCAACACTCACATGCCCCACGATCAGCTCACATGAACACGGAACGTAGCGTCCCGCGATCGTTAATTGCAGTGGGGAACCTGCACAAAGCTCGGTGTGGTGCTATGTCATTTGGTCCAATTTACCTATATGGGTTGAACATACGGCCAAGGTCCAGGTTCCCATTGTCGGATCTCGAGACGCCCGTCACAACCTGCTTGCAGTACGCAGTTCGTGCCATCGGGCCGCCCTCCCGCCATAGATTACACAACTCCTAGCTCGATCGACTGCGCGTCTTTCACGGAACTATTGAGCTTTGTTCACTTGTTTTTTTCTTTTGCATAGATTTGACCTTCGGCCCAGCTTCCCGTCGACCGCTTCATGGTCTGACTTAGTGGGACAGGCGAACAAAGACACCGAAGTCACTGTACAGTGGCGACCAAACTTGCGCATAACATTTCCTGTTCCATATTCTATATTCGTGGTCTACTGCGGATGCAAGGGCAATTTGATCCACTCATTCCCTGATTACCTTTACCCCTCAACATCCAATCCATTCAACCAACCAATATGAAGAGACATTACCAAGACGAGAAAGCATAAGTATACATATGGTGTGCGAGACCTCCGAACGGACGGCGTGTGCGTATCAAGCTCTTGCGAACGACATACGCCATATCGCCTTGTCATCATCTGGTAGGAGGGAAATTCCACCCGCCTAAAACCACATCGGATCCTGTCCGTTTCGCAGAGCCGATTTGAAATCAGGCTCAGGGCACAAGATAGCCTCTCGGTCGGGAGAAACGAGTTGAATCTGGGGTTGGATGATACCCCCATTATCGTCAGCAAAGCCAAGGAATGCACCACCCGGGCCAGCAACTGGCTTTCCACATAGTGTTTGTGCGGATTTGTTGTTGTTCTGGGGGTGAATCCGTCCACCGGTGAACATGTTCCGCCAGAAGTATCCGGTGTCTGGGTTGTAGACGCGGCTGGCAATCTTGAGAATCTTTCCCGTGATGCGGTTGATGTCGCAGAGGAAGTCTCCAATCTCAAACGGTCCCGCATGGCCATTCTGGGCAAGATGTCGCGCCATCCGGATCTGCCATCGGAGGCACCCGTTCTCCTTGATGATCTGAGAGGCAGATGGGGGCGCCGGTGGAATGGCGGCCTTTTCCCAGTTAGTTGGCGAGACGGGCTCGCGAAGGTTCTGCTGATTCTGGAGAGCGGCAAAAGTCGCTGCGTCTATCTGTGACGGGTTGCTCAAGGGACTAGTGTTGGGGAAGGGCTTAGGCCGAGTAGTCTTGGTGACCTTGGAGGGTCGGTGAGAGGCGAGTGGATTGGGAGAGCGCTTCGCGCTCTCTGTTCTATTGAGGGCACGTCGATCAGTTCGTCGAAGAAACCCTTCGGTGAACTGAGCCCTAGGCACTGTGGCCGAGCTGCGCACCCGCTTGGGAGCCTCGGGGGGCCTGATCTGTCCCGGCTGGGGAACCGGGGCGATTCCATAGCGTGGCAGGCCATTGCTAGGAAGTGGAATGCTCGGAGAGGACTGTGGATAGTAGAATCCAGCACCGGGGATCGAAGGAGAAGTCTTGGTGGACGTGGTTGGGGTTGGCAAGGTCGAAACACCACCTATTGATCACATTAGTGCCTTGCTGGATAAATTGGAGGTTGAGGGAATCATACTCTACGGCGTATCGTTTCCCGCTTTGGGTGTTCCACTCTCATACTTCTGGATCTTGGCCTTCTTGAATCCACTATTAGCTGAGGGCGAGACATGTAGGTGAATGTGACGATGGCTCACCACCGGAAGAGGAGTTTGGGTGTGAACTTCATTGCGAAGGGCCGGTTCACTGCTCCCCGAGCATGTGATAGCCGGAGGCTGCGCCGACATGACCGCCATGTTTCCCTTGGAAAGGGCCTCGAGTGATTTGGTCATCGACATCACCATGATCGCGTTTGTTGGTAGCGGAACAAAGTCGAATTGTGGTTGCGATCGGGCCATTGAAAGACCAAAAGTTTAGAGAAGAAGGTGAAAGATGAAGAATCAGATTCTTGAGAAATTTCTGGGCGATGGAGATTAAATACGAGGTTGAGCCATGTTCAACTCACCTTTCGCTCATTTACTTCTCAGGTGGTGGCAGAAATCTGAGGCCAGGGGCTGTCGGCTCAGCCACCCACACACATGTCAAGGCCATGCCCCACGAAAACAAGCGGGCGGAAGTAAAGGTGAGAAATGCTTGGTCTCAGTTTGGCATTTGTTTTTTCTGCGCATATTGAGCGCCTGGCATTGGAGAGAACCAGGCGCTGATCCAGAGCTATGAGTATAGTTCACGTAACAGGCAACAAGGCGAGCAAAGGTTGACAGAGACCGGCAGTACCTAAGAACACGGCTATTTCTGTTTCGTTACTCAGCGCTGGGTACCTAGGGACGATGAGATTACTCTCTCACACGTGACTATCAACAGCACTCATCACGTCTGTTCATCGCTTTCACAAGCTTGAGCAAATTCATCACGTTCAACACAGGCATCACAGCGAGTGACAGAGACAAGGGGTATTTGGTTGGGGCCATATTCTATTAAGTCATTAACATCGTTTCGTTAACATACGCCTCTATGTGTATAGATGGCTAGGTGATGAGCCTGGCATTCTCTCGCTGATGTCCGGCGGAGCGCCTTCGTCAAACTCGTTGTCCCAAGGGAACTGGAAGCCATAGGTCGTGACTGCGTCAGGGAACCTCCACTAGAACGTGGCGACGGTTAAAGTCGTCGTCACCCCAGAGGCGATGTCCCGGTTATCAGTGCGGACCCATGACTAACTGGAAGAGATGGAGGCATCGCATGGTTTCGCTCGCCATCCAGGCAGGCAAACGTGGCCTCAGGCCAACAATGAACGGCGTGCGTTCATGCTGGCCGAAGGGACCAATCAGCAGGAACCCGCACTGATTCTGCAAGCTCTTGGTCTGAATAAGACTCCGTTTCCAGAGCAGCAGTCAGCCACAGCATTGCCGAAGTTTTGCTCCGTCCCATCCTACCGCCTCATGCCCGCGAGGGACTTCGCCGTTGCACAGGCGGATGCCATCATACGACTGCACCAGCGCCATCGGCATACATAAGCGAAATGTCACTACCATATGCAATAATGGCAGCTCACATCTGGCCCAACGCATAGCGTCGGGCCTAGAGAGATGGTAGCAGAGTGACGATCGGGCTCGTTTGGTTGTTCAGTTGGCCCGCAACAACATGGATCGAAGGTGCAAACAACCCTTTTCAGTCCATCGAGATCCTCCGTCGCTTGCTGGGTCGATCAGCCTTGCGTCCCTCCTCTTCATCATTATCAGACTGGGGTTGGGGCACTTTGGGCTGGGCCTCAGGCTCCTCCTCCTCATCAGAGCCACCGATTGATATGACATCATCGGCATTGCTCTCAGCCTCACTCCCTCCGTCGACTGTAGCGCCGAAGGAAGGTTTCCTGGACCTCGCCTCCTCCGTGTCACTGCCAAATCCTTCGAAGACTTCCTCCGACTCCTCCTCTGACTCGTCATCCTCCTTCAGAGTAGCTGCGCTGGCTTCCAGTTGCAGCTGTGCCTCGGCGGCCTCGTCGGGGTCCTCAACCGTCTCCTCAGTCTTTCGCTTTCTGGGCATTTCTCCGAGTCTGCCTTCACGACCTCCAACCTTCTTATCATCCTCGTCGTCTTCCGCAGCGGGAGCAGGGGTGAACCAAGGGATCTTTCCTCTCATGAAGTCATTCAGGACCATCTTGGCCACTCCGTCCAGATCGGGCTCGCCGCCCTTGAGGAGACGGCCACCCTTTCGGGCAAGGAGCTCCAAAAACTCGGTAGAGTTGGTCCATCCCGTGAGCTCATAGGTCTTCTCCATATGACGCTGCTTCACCTTGCCCAAGAGAGCAGTGATGTATTGCTCAGGGTGCTCAACCTTCTCCACTCGCACAACACCGCGAAGAACCAGGTCGGTCGGGGTATCTGTGCTGGATGGGGGTACGACACCGGGGCAATCGATGAGGTAAATGCGCTTCATCAAGGCAACATATTGCCACACCTTGGTCTCACCAGGAATGGGGGCCACAGTGCAGACCTTCTTCTTGAGGAGAGTGTTGATAATGGACGACTTGCCGGTGTTGGGACCACCGATCAGACCGACAGAGATCTGCTTTCGATCCGAGTGCAGGGAAGAGAATTGGCGTAGAAGTTGGATGAGAGAACCCTTTCCAAAGGAGTTGTTAATGCTAGCGTGGAATGCTAGAGTTGGGTACTCTTTAGAGAGACGACGAACCCAAGCAGCCTATGATAAATTAGTATTCAACTCCATCAAATTGTCGATGAATGCGAGTGCAATGTCGAAAGTATGTATGTGTCATCACTAAGAAATATACAATCGATGCCCCATTTGTTGGCATAGGTACATTTCAACTCAATCTGACACGCAGCCTTTCTCATGACGGTAACCAAAACGGAACACATCAGTTGACAACCAAGGTTGCCAACAGTCGAGAATGGCAGTTCATCTCCCAATGTTATAACAGACCAACGTCATTGGAAGGAAAAAGACGAGATCCTGACTAAGAACATTGGGGTCAAGTGGGAAGGGGATGGCGAAATAGAAGGAAAACTGGTATCAAAACTTACCGCGACGCTCGTAGGGACCAAGTCACACTTGTTCAGAACAAAGATCAAGTGCTTGTGGGGGGCTTCCTCCTTCAAGTACTTCTCGACACTCAAGCATCTGGTGCCGAGGGGGTCTCGAGCATCAAGCACATGGATGACGACGTCAGAAGAGTCCATGACCTTGTAAAGTTCGTTCCAGATTCGCTTGCTCTGACCCTTGTCAAAGACGGGCTCGATGGCCATGGTGAGGGGCTTGTCGTTGTCATCAACATCGGCGTCGCCAGAAGTACCACTCAGCAACCTGGCTTGCTCGAGGCGATCTTGGTAGGTGTCCATGCTCTTCTCAGTGTCATCGGCCAGGTCGGTAAGACTGCTGACACCAAGCTTGACACGCTTCCGCTGTGCCTTCGGGCCGAAGACATCTGAAAAGGGCGCGGTCTCGACAGTCATCTTGGCCTGGTGCTGCTTGACGCCGTTCTGGGTGTCCTTGCCACCGTCTCGAATCAAGCTCATGGGCAGCTTGTTGGACTTGAGAAGAACCTGGTACGGGTCCTTGGCCTTCTCATCCATCGCTTCACGGAACGCCTTGAGGGTATCCTGGGAAACCACTCGGGTGTTGGTAAACCACTTGCGGTTCGGCTCGATCCGGGCGTTGGGGACGTCTCTCGACTGGTAGGTAGCAGCAACGGTGATATCACCATTGGCATTCCTCTGCGCCCTTCCCTCCTTGTACATGCTCAGGGTCTTGACCTTCTTCGCATCGCTGTCGTGGTTGGTTAGCAAAGCGCATTCGGCAAGCAAAGAACATGCTGGGCGGTTGGCTCGACTTACCGATAGAAGTTCTCGCCCTTGGTCCGAACATTGTTAAGGCCATCGCCGCCTTTGCCCTGGCGCGCGCGCCTAGAAGCCTCCTTTTTCCCAGTACCCATTGTGAAAAGTTGGTTGGGTAGACTGAGTGTGAGGAATGGTAGAGGAAGAAGGCGGTCCCAGGAATTTATCCTCCAACTTTTTTTTTCTTGGGACAGACAAAAGGCCCCACCAAGGTGGCCGGTGGTTGGTGGCGGGGGCCGCTAGCGCAGCCGGCTCACAATGCGCAGGGGTGTTTCGGAGCAGGTTAATCCGGTAAATTTGGTGCGGCATCGATTTTCTTCGTCCATCGCACGAGACGCCGAACAGCTCAGCTCCGGCCTCGACGACCATTGCGATCCCGCGACCCCTCTTACGAGCCTCCACTGCGCTGCAATTGGCGCCGGCTCTATCAATCATGGCGTTCCTTCTTGGCACAGCCTGTCCTAGGGCCACCGCTCGCGAGCTCTCGGTCGTCTCGCGCAGCTTCTCGACAACCCACACTGCTCTCCGCCATGTCCCCCCCGAATCACCGTCCTATATCCGCCTCCCTACACCACCTCAATCCGAAGAGAAGAAGCTCCCCCGCGTTCGAGGGCATCTCCCCGTGCCTCGCGAGATCTTCCCGCGTGAAGAGGGCAAGCGCAAGATTCAGCGCTCCTATGTTCAAGAAACAGCCCCAAAGCGAAAGCCCGAGAACTATGGACCCACGAAGAGCCAGGCCGACATATGGAAGAGGAAGATGGCTGCCAATCGCCGTCATAATCTAGGCGTTGGTCTGAAGGTGCTTTGGAACCGCCGGAAGAACCTTGATGCCGCTCGCGACGCTCGTGTGAGCAAGAAGTTCGAGGAACACAATGCCGCGGCCTCTGCTCCGGAGAGGGAGGACGATCGTCTCACTCGCAGCACCGTGCTGGATTCAATTATGGACACCACCGTATACCCAGACCCCAAGCGCTTCGCCAACAGCGACCGGAGCAAGAGCAAGGTTCTGGCTCTTGAGCAGTCCAAACGCGAGGCTCGTCGTGATGCCCTCATGGAACTCTACATCAACGCCTCCAACTTTATTGTCAGCGAAGCTGAGCTCAAGGCGGAGATAGATACACTTTTCTCTGAAGACTTCTTCAAGAAGCAAGGCCAGGCTGTGGGCCGTTACGGCAATGCTGAGAACACCTGGGACATCTGGGGCAAGCCGCCAACCATTGCCAACATGCTCGAGACGACAACAGGGACGTCCACCAAGATCATGGACTTTTACGAGTCAGAGTATGACCGCTCCGTCAAGCGACAGAAGAGAATCGCTGAGGAGTTTACGGGTGGAAAGATGGAGTAAGGTCGATGTCGCCCGAACTTGTAAAACAGTGTTTTCACCTACATGTATCAATGCAATACGGCCCACGGCAACATTTACCAACCCAAGCCCTCAAATCACGCATAGCAGTGCATCATCGCCAGCAAATGGCACTCGCAGACTATGGTCTGACCATGGAATTCGGAGTCTAGTAAATATTCTTGTAATACCATAAGCTCGACCAAGACAAATCCAAGAAAAGTGTAAGATAATACCCACACCAGTCATACCCAACGCCTACAATGAATATAGAAAAGAGACTCCCCTAGTACGGCGTGTTCTGATAGAAGTTTCACAACAATGTCCCTACACCTACATCTCGCGCTCGTCTATACACAGGGGCGCATCGAGCGCCTCATCCCAAAGTCTATCGCTTCTCGACAAGTAGAATGTGCATCGCTGCGTAGGACAAGACGATGAAAACTGCGGCGAATACGCCAAGGTTTCGGATATCCGACCAAAGGGCATCATTGTTGAAGCCGAATGAGCTCAGAATAGCCGCACCAGGGACAATGATGTCCAGTCCATACTTGCTATCAACCAGGGTAAGCTGGAGCACCTCGTTCACAATAAGTGACTCGAAGCCATAGTGGAAGATTGATAGCGTTTGGAGCCAGAGAGCGCCCTTCGGGGTGGCGTCGTGGTTCAGGAGGAATCCGGCGAACAATAGACTGAAGAGCATCACCAAGCTTCCAATCAGATTTGCTACGCCGCCATCCTTACAGACGATGCCAATGAACAGACACACGGCAGCTGCAGCCATATTGAATAGAACGAGAACCGTGATAAAGTTGAGGAAGTGCGTCGAGTCTGCCACAAGTCCGGTCATGGGGTAAATAATAGAGCCCATGAGAATTGGCGGGATGATCCGAAGAGGAACAATATCAAACAGGACCTTCGCGGCGAAGTATGTAGCCGGCGAATAGTACCCATTGGCACGTTCGCGGACGAACAAAAGGCGCTCTGTGGCAAAGACAGTGAGGCTGGTAAGTGTGCTGAAGCCGAACAGAGCGAGGAGGAAGAAGAATAGACCAAGGCGGTTCTGGAAGCCGGGGATATCGTCCGTAAGGCCGTAGAAAAGGTATCCCGAAAACACGGCCAGAATGATTGCAATGGCATAGTGCGTGAGCATCAACATCGGGTTTCGGTAGAGGTTCTTCCAAGTCCTCTGGGACAGGATGATAAACTGACGCAGGTAACCAACGCGAGCATAACCTTTTCCAACGGCGCTGATGTTTATGTTCCCATCACCGTAGCCATTAGAGTTCGGCCCGTTGGCATTCTCTGCAGCGGCAATGACTTGTTTGATCTCCTCGCGAGTCGATGTTGCAATCTCCGACTGAGCAAAAGATCGTGTCATAATATCTAGATCGGTTCCAGTCGAAGCCGCGGGGGGGAGGTCGTGGGGGTCATCGAGAAGGGGAGTGGTCAAGGAGTCTGCAGGGTTCTGCTGAAGGGGGTAAGAGCTGGGGTCTTCGCCACCGGCGTCTGACAGGACAGTGATATCCGCTGGGTTCTTTCTGCGTGTGAAGAGCTCGCGGTCCTGGCGAATCTTGACCGAGTCCCGTCGCCAAGTTCGGGGACGGCTTGAAGTTGGATCACTCTCCTCTCCCGTACTGGTACCAGAAATGCTTGCAATCGACTTGATTGCTCTGGTGCTGCTAGGTCCAACACTCCCGGTATCAGGCACGATTGTTCCGTCATCAACAGATTGGCTACTTCCAGCGTGCATGGTGAGATCAACGAGATAGTCCGCAATGTTGAATCCAGGGGGGCATTCGTAGCCGATCTGGTCAAAGTATGCTTGACATTGGTTAAAGGGACCTGAATAGACTGTTCTTCCTTGGGCCAGGAGAATCAATCTGTCGAAGAGGGCGACAATGTTGGATCGCGGCTGGTGGATAGTGAAGATGACGGTTCGCTGGTAGTTCTTGGCGAGGGTTACCAGGCATTCGATGACGTTGTAAGCATTGTAGGCGTCCAGACCGCTGGTGGGCTCATCCAGGAACAGGATGGAGGGACTTGTCACGAGTTCGCAAGCAATTCCCACACGTCTCTTCTCGCCTCCAGAGATACCACGGCCCTTTCCTTCTTCGGAACCAATCAAGGAGTCACGGATGTGATGAATGCCTAGCTCTTTCTCGACTTCGAGAACACGCTGTTCCTTTGCAGCACGACCCATGTCGCGAGGAAGTCGCAGTAGGGCGCTGTTCAGAATTGTCTCATGAACGGTCAATGTCGGCAGCATAGTATCCTCTTGGTCGACGAATCCAACAACATTCTTGTAGTCAGAATCCGTAACCTTCTCGCCATTGACATAAAAGTCTCCGTTGACTTGTCCACGCTTATTCTTGCGGGCCAAAATATCCAGGAAGGTTGTCTTGCCTGCGCCAGAGGCACCCATGATGGCGGTCACCTCTCCAGGGTTGGAGATGCCTTGGATTCCTGTCAGGATCTGCTTTCCGTTGAGCGAGTACGCAACGTTTTCAAAGTACAATCCCGCGGGCTTGTGATCGGCCATGAGCTTGGTGCTCTCGTCGTCGGACTCGTCCAGATGAATTGCGCCATAGTCCAGCTTGCGTCGAGACAAGTACCAGGTAATTATGATGACAGCAACGAGGAAGAGAGAGCAACCAGCAATAACGCCGGCAATGAGTGGCGTATTGATCTTCTTCACGGGGCGGTGGTATCCTGGGACCTCTGTCTTGTAGAGACATTCGCCAGCATTACAGTCAAGGAGAATGCTCGAGTCGCCAATCAAGGCGAGAATGAGGGCGTCCATCTCCGGTTCTCTAAATGCACAATCGTGAGCACCGCCGTTCTTCTGGGTGCACTCAAACCGACCGGGGCCTTTGATGGCTTCGTCGAGGAAATCGGTCAAGTCAATGGATCCGTCCTTTCCACATAGCATGCGGTCAGGTATGCAACTACACTTGATTTTGTCGCATTTGTACGCCGTAGTGTTCTTGGACTCGTGGAACTCGGCACCCGATTCGCATTCGGACAAGTGGCAGTAAAACGACTCGACGGCATCGACCCAAACTAGAAGAAAACGTCAGCAACCAAGTTCCATGGGAGGTGGGTGGTATCGCATACATTGGAAATCGCAGGCGGAATCTTCCTCCGTGCAGGTAAACGTCACCTCGGGACGCTGCTTTCCAAGCAACCCTGTGATCTTCTCGTTGGTAACAGCGCACATTTGGTAGTTGTGATTGACGACCTCGCCATTTTGGTAGCAGACGCCACCTTCACCCGCCTCCATCAATGCGTCGCAGGCCTTGTCGCTGGTGCAGACGTTGCAGTTGATTCCGTCCCAGCCTTCATCACAATTACAATTTCCCTTGCCGCGCATCGGACGGTCCTTGCCACGGGCGAGAGATCCGCATACTGTTGAGGCAGTCAGCGATTGTTATCAAATGCCGTTCGAAGGAGTGTATTATTGTACGTGGTTGGAGACAGTCATCGCCACCAAATCCCTCGGGACAATCGCATTTGCCGTTGAACTCGTTGCAGCCGGCGTACTGGGCGCAGGTATGGGCCGGAAGGAGACAGTTGAAGCTGCAGCAAGGTCAGAATCGTCATCATGAGGCTCCTGGGGGATGCTAAAGACGTCGAGCGTACCATGGAGGGCATCCATCGGGGCGAATGTCGAGCAAGGCCGCCTCCGCCCGCATCATGTCAGACGGTGAGTAGCTCGCGTTCAGAAAGCCCATGGCGAGAACGGGCAAGGTGGCTACAGCTCCGACAAGGATGCTCCTCAAGCCGGGAGGAGCCATGGCTGCGGCGATGCAGATGTAGATGCAGAAGCGAACGCGACGGCAATAGGTACTGCAAGCCTTCGATGAAACAATGTTGTTGAGAAGAGGAGATAGTGATGTCGTTGAATGACGAGTGACGGAAGGCTACCAGGATAAGCTGCTCGGTCCGTGTGGCGCCCCGCAGCGCGCAGAAGGCTAGGCACCTTAGGCAGGTACCTCCACGGCCTCGCCTTCCGCGGATGCGGGATAGGCTGCTGCAACTGGCTACCACTGGTTGCAGCTGGTGAAGATGGTTGGCACAGCCACTGGGGGTGGGTCCCATGACTTGGGGGATGGAGCCATTTACCCACCCCCAACCACCCACGGGCGATTGCATCTGACTCGCCATGAACCCGTGAACCAGCCAATGTTGCAGTTCGAACACTTTTGGCGGGCTGAGGCAAAGAGATGTGGCTGGTGGATTTATCACTCCATCTTCGCCTTGCTGCATGTCGTCGTTTCCCGTAATACCCCTACGGTCCATGTTCTTCGCAGACAAACACCGAATCTTGTCGCCTACTCATGCACAGAATGAAACCTGAGACTTTAAGGATACTGGCGCATGAATAAAACAGTCTTTGATGATCCTATGCAATATTGAACGATTATTCGTACTCACACTTCCAATTCATTACATTTCAAACCGCTTCTGTGGGATTCAGAAACACCATCGCTGCTTATCATGCCACCTATCCACACCGCCGAACCTACCCTAGAGCTACCGACAAAACAGGCGTTCACCACTCTCGCGGAAATCTTACAGTACTTCAGTGATCTAACTAAGCCCTAATATCGTGATGCACTTGTGAGAATTTGACACTTAATGACTGCTTCCCGTAGGAGTCAAGTGTCAGGATGAGTGTTGAGCACCTACTGGAGATGTTACCGTATCGACTCGATAAATTGGCATTGTTTTAATGGACTAAAGCTAAGCTATATAAGGCTTATATTTCCTAAATTGATTTTATTATCATTAGGCATGAAAAAGCCCGAAGGCAACAAGTGGGGGAAGGATTCAGGGCCAATTTACCGAGTCGATACGGTAATTTCATCATCAATGCTGGGGCGCATCCGGGTTTGGTACGTACGTCCCTGGAGAAAATGGAACACTGAGTGTCACATTATCCCCCTCCTTCGAAGACAAATGTTTCAGAATAAGTTGGGAACAGCGCCCCCAAATCTCACGATGTTTGCCGTGCACTAGGATACTGCCGTCCCCGAAACAAATAACAAGACATCCAGGTAGCTGTCTTGTCTTTCAAAAGGTGAAAAAAAAAAACACGCCTGTTAACTAGACCACGAGCGGACAAGATATTGGCCCTTGTTGCCCTAGTGATATACTGTCACACCTGTACATGATTGGGAGAAGTAGAAACACGACTGTAAAGAACTGTGGAGGACAACACGCAAACACAAAACCACCATTATATCAGAACAATTGACATACTTTGGTTATTTTCCTTAGCGGATCGCGAGCTCTGCTCTGACCCGTCCGAAAGACAACCATTCTCGAATATGACTGTATAGATGGAGCTGCCCTTGTCGTGGTGTCACACCGAAACAATGTTCCCGCTCGATAAGTCTTGGCAGAAGAGAAGCCCGGTGGTCTACTTCTTGGGAGTCATACTGATCAGAAAGCACCGGCCATTATACGCTCCGATGGATGCTGGCTAGCCCCTGGCAGAGTGCACGTAATGCGCTTTGCTGGGTGCCAACGATCACTACTGTCGAACAACCGCACAACTACCATATGTTATGATTATGGCTATGGCATCGGGGGGGGATAGTTTAATTGAGGAGTTGCCAAGAGTTGTTCTGAAAGTGGAGAGATAGATGTCGTGGATGCGCGTCACTAATAATGCCTTGTCACTTTGGACCCGACAAGGAGCGTCGAAGAATAATCACACTGACAATCAGAAGTGAACAAAAGAAGACCCAGTGAACAGATGCCATGGACGGATCTAACACTGAAATAGGTATCATGCAAAATTGAAGATTACTAGAGGTCGAAGAAAGATGCGTTACCTCTGATATCATGTCTATACTTATTCGACGAGAGATCCTGCAGGTTCATGGTTGGACTGACGTAGACAAACTATTCACGACAATGCCCAAGTTGCCAGAATTGGGTTACCAAGCTGCATTCCCTCAATCAGATAAATAAATTATACGATCTGATGATGCCCATTCGTGAACGAGGCGACGACGAACTCCCCGCGCGTCTCTGGGCGGATACTGATAAGGTTTCGCAACCACCGGGTTCTCCTCAGAACGCTACGCTCTGTTTGGCCAGCGCGTCAACGAAGTGAGAGTGTGGGGTAAGATGCGACCCCAATCCATCCAGAGCGCACCTTCATCTCAGTGTGTAACATAGTCGTTGATACTATAGCCCGCATTGCATATCCAGGCCTCTTGGGAAGACTGCAGAAACCGTCGGTTGTTGCTGACTCGAGAAACTCACCAAGAACTGGAACAATATAGTTTCCACCGGAATCGTACCATGGTGCAGATCAAGCCGTTCAAGGTCGAACAATGGATGGACCGGTTCGAGACGACTCCGGGCGTTCTGAACATTGCTGAGACGTGCGCTGCATCGGTTTCCATCGACGACCTGGTCCGCATGTGCAATGACCCCGCAGCTCCAGGTCCTCTTGACACCAGCATCAAACTCACATATGGCCCAATTCTGGGATCGCAAGCTTTGCGGGGGCGGGTCGCCGCTCACTGCAGTCTAGATGGGGAGCAGCTCTCTGCCGACAACGTGATCATCACTCAGGGAGCTATTGGAGCAAACTTCCTGGCTCTCTACACTCTACTGGGGCCCGGCGACCATGTGGTTTGCGTGTATCCGATTTACCAGCAGCTCTATGAGGTGCCCAGAAGCCTGGGAGCTGAAGTCTCGTTGTGGAAGCTGCAAGCGGAGGACGGCTTTGTGCCTAACGTGGACGTTTTGAAGAGCCTGATCAAGGAGAACACAAAGGTGGTTGCGCTCCGGGACTCAATTGCTTGGCGACGAACCAGCTAACAAGACGTCTGGCAGATGATCATTATCAACAACCCCAACAACCCCACAGGAGTCCCCATCCCGACCAGCATCCTGCAGCGCATTGCGCAGGTGGCTGAGGCTAACGGCATCATCCTCTTCTCAGATGAGGTCTACCGTCCGCTGTTCCACGGCGGAGCTGCGGGGCAATGTGAAGTGCCGGCACCAGCAACAACCCTCGGGTATGAGAGGACGGTTGTCACTGGGTCGATGTCGAAAGGATTTGCTCTAGCTGGCATACGCGTCGGCTGGGTGGCAACCAAAGATGAGGCCATCTTATCGGCCATGGCTTCGGCCCGTGACTACAACACTATCAGTGTGTCCCAGATGGATGACCAGATAGCGAGCTATGCCCTGTCTCCGGCGGTGCGAGAGCCCCTGGTTACGCGGAATATGACGCTGGCTAGGACCAATGCGAAGTTGCTCAAGCGGTTCGTGGACGACCACGGCTCGGTCTGTTCGTGGGTGGAGCCCAGAGCCGGGACAACGGCATTCATCCGATTCAAGAGCCACGGAGAGCCCGTCGACGACGTTGGCTTTTGCATGGATCTGCTCGAGAAGACCAACGTTTTTTTCTGCCCAGGGTCGCACTGTTTTGGCGACGACAAGGACTTTGCAGGCTACGTGCGGATGGGATATGTGTGCGAGACGGAGGTGTTGGAGGCAGGGCTGAAGAAGCTCGAGGGATACGTCCAGAGATATCTATCGTGAATAGAAACCGCAACCGCGCAGCATACGGTGACATGCCCTGAACTGCACCCTGGACTGTGCCCGCGCCGAGAGCGCATTGTCGCACATGAAACATTGGCAGCGCGTCAGAGAAAATTGGATGGATGCGGAGCGTCGTGAAAGGCGCGGATCGACGGCACAGACGTAGAGCTCTCGGCCGAGGCGTCGTCAGCCTGGTGGAGGTCGAAGGAAATTATTGGGTCGAGACCCAAGGACGTGGCGCAATTAACGCTGCCTCGTCTTGTGACTGGTGGGCGGCGACAGGCCTGGGCTTGCTGGGACCACCCAATCTGACGCTCCGGGAGGATCAACTCTTGGCGACTCACAAGCCAACAGTGACGGAAGTAGGGAAGTACGGACCTACAGGTTGTCTGTTGGAGGCTGTGAGGGCGATCCATACCAACCAAACCCTCGAAACTCGGAAGGATTCGATCGCGAAAGACAATCGTCTTGGCCAACTCCACCCGTGCATTGTTGGACGGACCAACATGTTAAGCAGTGGCAAGGCTGGTGGGCGGTGATGCTCTCCGCGCTGACCGAGGCCGTACAGGGCCGTGTGTGCCCCGGACATCAGGTCTTGAAGCGATGGAAGTTCGCGCCGATATCAGCACCACATCAATAACTCCAGCGCCAGTTCTTCTAGTGCAATCGTTGCACACGTACTACGTAGCACAACCATATCTGGCCTTGCCTCGCCCGCCCTTGCCTCCGGGACACACTCATGCCGGCGACCCTATTAGACAGACTGGCGCGGAAATCGACCCCTACTAAACGCCCGACTCGCCCCCCCGGCGTCGGCACTGGCGATGACGACGCAGCGCAACCCCTCCGCTCTCCAGGGGCCCACGCGGGCTCTTGGGCGCTAGCAGCGTAAAAGTACACGGCATGGTGTCCTCGGGAGGTGGGAGCTGCACTGAATTGGCTTGCGTACGTATGTACCCTCCTCTGGCGGCTGCGTTTCTGTCGTCACCAGCGGGAACTGCTTGCGCGGCCTTCCATCCATCCTTCCATCCCAGCCCGTCCCGTCATCTCCTGTTCTTTGCTCTCTCGTCGAACCGTTTTTTCTTCCCCTGCGGATGCTGCAGGCTCCTATTCTGTACTTTTGTATTCTGCATTTCCGGTTCCCTTGAATTCGTCTCTCATGCTCCACCGTCGTCCTCCCGTTGGGTTTTCTTTCCCACACCTCCCACTTCCCTGTCCTGTTCTGAGACATCCTTCAGAACCTACTGCATCTCACTTCAGGTAACTATTGCAAGCGTCACGCCTGGGTTTTTGAATCAACTAAACCGCCAACTAGTAACACAAACTTTTTGGTATATATTGTTTTATGGCGAAATAAGGGTGGCTTTGACTTCCTCAACGATTTCTTGAACTGCCCAGCAACGCTGGTCGCTAGTTCGGTGCCATGAAGGCCTGGCTTTTCAGCGCTTCATTGGTCTCGATTTGGCCCGTGGCGCAGGCCCAGGTCATTCAATGGGACATCGAACATCGCCAGCTCGACCACGACCTAGTTCGTCGATCTTCAACCTTGGAGGAGGTCATTGCGAACAAGAGGACGAAGGGAGGTTACTTTGCAACCGTCGAAATCGGCACTCCAGCTCAAAATTTCACTTTGTTATTGGACACCGGGAGTAGTGACATCTGGGTCCCGTATTCCAACGCCTCTATTTGCCAAAACTCAGGGTGCACTCTCGGAAGCTGTATGTAAACCCCCCACATCCCGTATTTTACCATTTCGCTGACCCGCTGTCTAGTTGATCCGGATGAGTCCAGCTCTTTCGAAGAAGTCGGTGCCAACCTATTCTCCATCTCCTATCTCGACAATAGTTATGCGAAAGGTGATTATTTTGCAGATGACTTCGATATCGGAGGAGCATCAATTAGCAACCTAACGATGGGCCTGGGCATGAAGACAAACATCGCGTTTGGATTGATCGGTGTTGGATATGCTATCAACGAGGTATCGGTGGACACCGCCAACCAAGCGTACCCCAATTTGCCCATCGCCATGCACCAAGCAGGCCATATCAACACCGTCGCCTACAGCCTGTGGCTCAACGATCTCAATGCCAATACTGGAAGCATCCTCTTTGGTGGAATCGATACGAAAAAATACACCGGCAACTTGACCCGACTCGACGTCCAGCCCGACCACAATGTCTACACCCATTTCACCGTGGCCATGACTTCCATAGTCGCCTCCAGCTCAAGTGGTACCGACACTCTTACATCCAGCGAACTTCCGATCGATGCAGTCCTTGATTCTGGGACCACGCTGAGTTACCTCCCCGATAACCTGGCATCTCAGTTGTGGAACGAGGTTGGAGCATACTATGACGGAAATTATGCTATGGCAGTATTGCCTTGCTCCTATGCAACACACGAGGGCAACTTCACCTTTGGATTTGGTGGTTCGGATGGCCCTGAGATCGTCGTCTCAATGGATGAGTTGGTTGTTGACCTCACCAATGGATACCAGCCGGAATTTTCGTCCGGGATATACAAAGGCGAGCTTGTCTGCGAGTTTGGTATCCAGAACTACTCTAGCGACGTATATCTGTTAGGCAACACCTTTCTTCGCTCCGCCTATGTCGTGTATGACTTGGTGAACAACGAGATTGGTTTGGCCCAGACGGATTTCAACGCCACTGAGAGCAACATCGTTGCATTCAAAAGCAAGGGTGCCACCATACCGTCATCCACAGCGGCACCGAACCAGAACAAAACAACCAAGGGTTCTTCGGCCACCAGCACCGACCTGTCCGCAGCCGATGGATTCCAGACGGATACCAACAGCGATAGCGACAGCGCTGCATCATCTCTGATAGCATGTGGCTCGAGCCTGACGGTTGTGGCTATTACTATAGCATTCATGCTCGTGGGAGGCGGCGCCTTCTCGAGCAACTTGGCGTAATGGCTTCGAGGGAGATTCATTGTATCATTTCTGCATTCACGGAGCGGGAGCATTTGGCGCTTGACGGGGATTGATTAACATGGGCTGATCTTTTGGCGGGGCGCATTCATGGATCGGGGCGTTGGCACAAAACGGCAATTGGATGTGTTTGCCGTGAAAATACCAATGACGATACGACGAGTTAGACACAGCCTGTTTCCGAGAGGAGAGGAGTTAGATACCTATTGAAAAAGACACGGGACCGTGCTGAACATTACCTAAATCTATCAAATATTGCAACGCTGAACTATACTCGAAGCCTTCTCATTTCGTGACAGGGGATGGATGGGGGCGTTGGAGGGATAAATTGGGTGTTAGCCCAGCGCTTTCTAGGGGACGCGGATGCACGTGCGGGCGCGACTCCTGCTAATCCCGAATGGAAGAAAAAAGTTTCCCAATGGGCCACAGAGAATTAGCAACCATCTCCCGCATCTTCCTTGTCGGAGTCCAATACTGCACAATGAGGGCATCTGGGGTCGCCAGATGGCTCAATTGCCGTCTGCTGTCAGGCGCCCAGCAGATCAGCTGTGGCAGCCGCCAACTTAATGTCTCTATTACTGTTCCCGCCTTGGAATCCCGCCGAGCCTTCAGCCAGACGATGCTGCGTCCCACCAGCGCCGCCCAGGAAGCGTATGCGGATCCCAATGCGCTCCAATCGATATGCTACGTTGCTAACTTCGTCTTCCGCAGTCTGAAGAAGGCCCAGGAAGATGCTGCCGGCTTGACTATCGAGTCTGTCGCCGCCAACATGAACCCCGAGGAGGCCAAGCGACTGTCCCGAGTCCGCAACATCGGTATTGCTGTACCGTCTCCCAAACCGCGCAACGTCGCCATCCACTGACCTAAAGCGACAGGCACACATCGACAGTGGCAAGACGACTGTCACTGAGCGAGTTCTGTTCTACACCGGCCGAATCAATGCGATCCACGAGGTTCGAGGCAAGGATGCGGTCGGAGCCAAGATGGATTCTATGGACCTCGAAAGGGAAAAGGGTATCACCATTCAGTCCGCAGCCACTTTCTGCGACTGGAAGAAGGTGGAAGACGGCAAAGAGGAAACCTACCATTTCAACTTGATTGATACGCCCGGTCACATTGACTTCACCATTGAGGTCGAGCGAGCTCTGCGAGTTCTCGATGGTGCCGTTATGATTTTGTGCGCCGTTAGCGGTGTGCAGTCTCAGACCATCACCGTGGACCGACAGATGAAGCGATACAATGTCCCCCGCCTCTCCTTTATCAACAAGATGGACCGAATGGGTGCCAACCCCTGGAAGGCCGTCGAGCAGATCAACTCCAAGCTCAAGTTCCCCGCCGCCGCTATCCAGATCCCCATTGGTGCCGAGGACGAGTTCCAGGGTGTCGTTGATCTGATTAACATGCAGTCTATGTACTTTGAAGGTCCTCGCGGTACCAAGGTTCGCGTTTCCGATCAGATTCCCGGCCCCCTCCAGGAATTCGCCAAGGAAAAGCGACAGGAACTCATTGAGAAGCTCGCCGATGTCGATGATGAGATGGCCGAGCTCTTCCTTGAGGAACAGGAGCCCACCAACCAGCAGATCAAGGATGCCATTCGCCGCTCTACCGTCGCTCGAAAGTTCACCGCCGTCATGATGGGCTCTGCCCTCGCCGACAAGGGTGTGCAGCCGATGCTCGACGCTGTTTGCGACTATCTCCCGAACCCCTCTCAGATTGAAAACATGGCCCTCGACAAGTCTCAGAACGAGAAGTCTGTCCAACTGGTTCCCTACAACTCCCTGCCCTTCGTCGGACTTGCCTTCAAACTTGAGGAGAACAACTACGGACAGCTCACCTACATCCGCGTTTACCAGGGCAAGCTGTCCAAGGGAACCTACCTGTTCAACTCCCGAACCGACAAGAAGGTCCGAATCCCCCGTATTGTTCGCATGCACTCCAATGAGATGGAGGATGTCGCCGAGGTTGGTGCTGGCGAGATCTGCGCCGTCTTTGGTGTCGACTGTGCTTCCGGTGATACCTTCACTGACGGTGGTCTCCCTTACACCATGTCTTCCATGTTCGTTCCCGATGCCGTCATGTCACTTTCAATCAAGCCCAAGCGAAGCGGCGACGCCGACAACTTCAGTAAGGCCATGAACCGATTCCAGCGCGAGGATCCCACCTTCCGCGTTCACGTTGACGCTGAGAGTGAAGAGACCATCATATCTGGCATGGGTGAATTGCATCTCGAGGTCTACGTCGAGCGTTTGAGGCGAGAGTACAAGACGGACTGCTCCACTGGTCAGCCCCGTGTTGCCTACCGTGAGACCATCTCCCGACGCGCCGAGTACGACTACCTCTTCAAGCGACAGAGTGGTGGTCCTGGTGATTTCGCCCGCGTTGCTGGTTGGATCGAGCCCAACGACAAGCCCGACGAGAACCACTACGAGAGCCAGGTTGTTGGTGGCCATATCCCTGACAAGTTCCTCACTGCCTGCGCCAAGGGTTTCGAGGCCGTTACCGACAAGGGTCCTCTTCTGGGACACCGAGTTATTGGAGCCAAGATGATTGTCAACGACGGTGCCACTCACGTCACTGATTCTTCCGATTACTCTTTCAACCTGGCCACTCAGATGGCGTTCCGCAAGGCGTTCCCCGAAGCTGGTGGCCAGGTCCTGGAGCCCCTCATGAAGACAACCATCACGGCTCCCAACGAGTTCCAGGGCAATATCCTGATGCTCATGAACAAGCGAAACGCGACCATCCACGACACTGATGTCGGAAGCGAGGATTTTTCTCTCATCTGTGACTGCAGTTTGAACGCCATGTTTGGCTTCAGCTCGCAGCTTCGTGCCGCTACTCAGGGCAAGGGCGAGTTCAGCATGGAATTCAGCCACTACGCCCCGGCCCCTCCTCATCTGCAGTACGTTCTCCCCCACCGGATTAATGATTGAAACAAGATGATTGACCAGTTCTATAGAAAGGAGTTGGTTGCCAAGTACCAGGCTGAGCTTGAGGCTAAGCGAACTAAGTAAGGTGTTGAAGGCGTAGAAGGGAAAATGGCCCCTGGCACAGAGTGATGCGAAGGCGAGAAGAGACACTCTTCAGACGGCGTCATGTTGTAAAATACGCACGAGATGATGAACGACTTTGTACCATATTGCCATCTAGTCACTAGACGGTGGCATCAAGATGTTTGACGACACAATAGACGGGGTCAGAATGGAGAAAAACCAGGAAGCCCGGTAATGATGGCACAAGGAAAAGAGATGGATAAAAGAATCCGACATGTATAAATTATACAATCTCCTCTAGAATCAATTCCCCGATTTTTGATAACCTATCCAATTTTCCTTTTTACTTGCTACAGACCATGAGTCCAATTACTCCAGAGACAATTTACAGTCTTCGGAGAATGTCCTCGACAACCTGCTCGGTAGTGGCAGTGCCGCCCAGATCGGGGCTCAGCAGCTTGCCCTCCTCGAGGTTAGCATCGATAGCGGCGTACATCTTGGCAGCGGCGGCCTCCTCGTTGAGGAACTCGAGCATCAGGGCGGTGCTTCGGAGAGTGGCGATGGGGTTGGCAATGTTCTGGCCCTGGATGTCGGGGGCGCTGCCGTGGCAGGGCTCACCGATGGCAAAGCCTTCGCCAACGTTGGCGCTGGGGACGAGACCCAGGCTGCCGACGAGGGCAGCGGCGCCGTCAGAGAGGATGTCACCGTACAGGTTGGGGGCGACGATGACGTCGTAGTCCTCGGGCTGACGGAAGAGCTTGTAGACCATGGAGTCGACAATCTGCTCCTCAATGTTGATGGAGGCGTATTTGGGGTCGGCGAGGGCACGCTTGGAGGTGGCGCGGAATAGGCCGTCGGTCTGGGACAGGACGTTGGACTTGTGGGTGATGGTGACGAGGGGGGACTGGTGGATGCTAGCGGAGCCGGCTTCGCGGATCTTCTGGCGGCGCAGGGCGATGTCGCCAGCCATGGCGGCGATGCGGAACGAGGCCTTCTCGGAGATGCGCTTGATGGCCTCGGCAACCTTGCCCTCGGGAGTGTCGCGGGTGGTCTCCTCCTTGACGTAGAGGTCCTCGGTGTTCTCACGGACAATGACCATGTCGATGGGCTTGGCGGCGGTCATGACGGACTTGACGGGGCGCACGTTGGCGTAGAGGTCGAGCTTCTTGCGGAGGGCAACGATGGGCGACGAGTAGCCCTTGACGGCCTGGGTGGGCGAGCTGACGGCGCCGAAGAGGGCACCATCGCACTCATTCTTGAGCACCTCGACGGTCTTGTCGGGCAGGGCGGCGCCGGTCTGCTCAAAGGTCTCGAAGCCGGCCTTGAGGTCGACGAAGTCGAACTTGAGGTTGAACGAAGCGGGGAGGGCCTCGAGGATGCGGCGGCCAGCGGGGATGACCTCCTTGCCGATACCGTCGCCGGGAATGAGACCTAGAGGGGGGAGTTAGCTCAATGCTATGCCGGAGCGGGGTAAAGCAGTTACAAACCGATTCTGAGGGTTCGGATAGACATGGTGGGCGCAATTGATGTGGTTGACGGTTGCAGAAGTTTTGTATGGGCCGAGGACCGGAGCTGAGCTTTGGAGTCGTGTGTCGGCAGGTTTGGCGGGCGGGTGGGGGTATTTCCGGGGTTGGCCAATTTTTTTTTTTTTTTTCGCTAACTCAACTCGGTTGGGTTTGTGACTGGCGGAACATAGGATCAAACTTCAGCATCACGGCGCCGTTGTGTTTCGAGCATACTACACGGCGGCTTCACTTGAATGCGCGATACACTATGATGTAATACGCAGGGATTGTCCGGTAACTTTTTCTAGAATCATTATTGTTCTTCTAGCTCGTCCAGGGCGGACGGACGTGGACTCCGGACTCATGATTTGAGTTATACACAGGTCGGGAAATGACCCGAGCTCCGTCACACTCAAGCTTCACCTACCATTTCACACCACTTTCCCTCACCCGATTTCGCACCCGTGATTTCGTCATCCTATTCTTCGGCGGTGATCAAAACGGTACACCGTAGTCAGGTACCTCGAAGGCCTCGTTTAGGCCATCACGCTTGCGCTGTCAGGCCATCTAATTTCGTTAGTGGGCAATAGTCACGACTTGGCCTGACCTGGTCTTCAACCAAGAACTTGCCCCAATCAGCCGTCATTCAACGGGTTCTCGCAAATGATTCATAGCAAGGACTTTGGCCGGTCCGTTGCCCATGCTCCACACGTACGATCTTGAACTCAGATCCAGAGAACAGATCGGTCTCATTGACTCGAAACCGCAGGGTGTCCAGCTGAAGTCAAACGAAACATGTCTGACGTAGGCCAGAGCGCAGTGCACTCGCACGTGTGACATCTTGCGGCCCAACCTGGAGCTGATGGGGAGGGGGCAGACGAATGGCGCGGAATAATGAGAGAGATGAGATAATTAACTTGGGAGGGAGTATCGCGTAAAGCGAAGACCGTAATCTAGACGCCTGGACGGAATCCCCAGACTTGAGAGGGTGTGGTGACCAAGACGGTGATGGAACAGCACATTTGATTGGCCTAGAACCCGTCGAATTGACGATTCGAAACCTAGGCATTCATAGGTGTTCGGTCTTTGAGACATAAAACGCGCCGTTGCACTACTACGTAGTACGTAGGCCTGCTGAAGAATCCCGTTGCTACAGGCGGTGGGTGGATGCAGCATGTCCGGGAAAGGGGGGGCGATTAACCGGGTGACGCTTGCTGGAGATGAGAGGATCTCGGAACCCAGGGCGGATGAACCAGCCCCGTCGGCTTGATCTACGCACACACGTTGAAGTGAGAATGTCCCTGGCCAGTTTGATGCATCCATGTCCGACATTTAGGCCTATTTGGTCGTCCAGCGCGTCCTTTCGTACATAAGTAAGCACAGGTCTGGAGGTCCGAGGACTAATGCAGATAGGGGTCCTTATTTTGGATATGCATCATGCATGATCCTTTTCAAAAGGGGGGCTTCTTGGTTCTCAAACGTGCCCGAGATGGACTTGACGTTTGGACCCAATTGCTTCAGGCTGAGGCGCCAGCCAGACAGCAGCTAACAAGGCGTCTCAGACTCGCTCTCTCCGTCTCAGCATGGCATTTCCTTACCCGCATGCTCGGTCATCAGCGATACCTGGTCGCTCGGCTCTGCTGGCTGACTGGCCGACTGGCCGACGCCATTGCAGCGGCGGTGGGATTTCCTCATGATAATTAAATGGCTAGACTTAGACGGGCGGGATCCATCCTGGGCCTCATTTCGAATGATCTCGTTCAGAGCAGCCCAGCCCAGCGCGAGCCAATGGGCCACGACTTGCACGCTTGAACCATTGCATACCGGCAGCCCCTCTGGCCCCATCTATCGTCATTACATTTGACCCAGGCTTGTCGAAGGCTTGTCGAGGGCTTGTCGAGGTACTTGGCCCTGCTGGAGTAATATGCCCGGACACGAGGTACCGTCCCGCCGCCCCGCAGCCTGGCCGGCCGTCGCCTGCCTCGATTCCGAGGCCAACGGCTAATATGGCTTGTCTGCTTTGGGTACAATGGGCCCTGGAGAATGGGAGCATCTCATTTACCTGGGTAGACTGGGCCGCTGTCCATCATCACTTGGTTCCCGAGTCCAAGCCGGGTTAGCTACAGGTACATGTCACTTTCTGGTCAAGTCCGCTGCCCGCCGCCCCCTTGAAGATGCCTGGCTTGTATGGAGTACGTAAAGTAGGTACAGCTACCTACTGTGCACGAAGTACGGGAAGACGTACAGAACAATCAACGCAACTCGGTACGCACGCGCTGTGCAGAGCGCCCCCGTTCATGTCATCCAGTAGAATGCGCAATGAATCCTCGTCTTCGTCAGCTGTGCTTCTACACGACGTCCTGGGCGCATCTCGTCTCAAGCAAGATACGTGGCATTGTTGGCTTCCACAGCCATTTCGTCCCGTGCGCGTGCCCCCTGCGCCAACTTTCTTTGCTGTCCGCTCCGCATCAGGTTGCACGGGTCCACCAGGTACCTGGGGGTGCCCGCCAAAGACCCAAAGCTCCCCCCCCTACAACCTCCCCCCTAGAGGGGCCCCCTTATTTTTCTGGAACAACACTACAGTGCAGCAGGTTCCCTTCCGCGACCCATTACCACCGCACCTGAAGTGCAGAGTGCTGCTAGGCCTGCACTACAGGGCCTCCACTGCAAAGTACCCCGTGGACGCTAGGTACCTGGATCCCCGGTAGCCCTGGGCCCTGGGACTCACTGGCGGACTGGTTGGCCTTATCCCACCCGTGGACGACTCCACGGCGGCATGTGCCTCCTGTGGCTCTCCGCCAGCGCCGCCTGAAGCTCATAACCAGGCGTCTCAACCCATCCTCAATCCCTCCACCATCACCACCACCACCAGATCTGCCCTCACTCTCTTGCTTTGCTGCTGGGCGCGACCTCTGCGGATCCCACGGCCGCCAGCCTCCAGGTCTTCCCTCCGACTGAACCTTCTCCCCTCCTCCATTCAGTTGTCGTTCCTGGATCCTCAGCCACCATGAGTCAAGTCAGGAACCTACGTGCCATGTTCGAGAACAAAGGCGACACCAGCCCTCCCGACCGAGGACGTTCGTCTGGCGCGTCTACTCCCACTCCCACTCCAGGTACGACCAACCCGCTGTTCAAGCCATCGCTCGCCGTGTCGCGCCTGCCTCTCGCGACGCGTGCACCGTCGATGCTTTTTCCGTCCTCATGACCTCGTGTCTCCTGCAAGGGGGTGCACACCGTCTCCTCCTCCCGTCTGTCTTGTTCCTCGAATACTAATCTCTCAACCTTTGTCCTACACAGGCGCCAACGGAACCGAGTCCCCGAGACCCCTCTCCAAAGTCCGCACCAACTTCGTTGCCATTGAAAAGGACGGCAGGATAGGCCTGCGACGGGATCCCAGCCACGAGTCCACCGTCTCGAGGCAGAGTTTAAGCATGGATACGGATGCCGATTCCACCACGAGCGGCCCTGATCGGCCTCTGGTGACTGCAGATGAAGTGCCCAGGGCAACCAAGCTATTCGTCCAGGAGACAATCCCCGAGTCGCCTCGTCAACCGCCAGTCACCAAACCCGCAGCCGAAGACGATGCCTCCGTCTTTGACAAACGCAGCGTCAGTCCAGCTAAGGATGCTGGGTCTCTCTTTGGCAAGCGCAGCGCAAGCCCGGTTAAAGAAGCTGGTGCGGTCTCTGACAAGCGCAACCCCAGTCCAGCCAAAGAAGCCGGTTCTGTCTTTCCCAAGCGCAGCGTTAGCCCAGCCAAGAAGGTCGACCAAGTGAAGCCGGTGGCTCCCGTGGCGGCCCCGTTGCCCGTTGAACCCGCTGCGAAGTCAATTGCAACCGCCACGAAGCCAATTGAACCCGCCCCGAAGTCGCCAACAAAGGTGCCGAAATCGACACCAGCCCACACGCCTGTGAATGGCAAAGTCAAGACCGAAAAACCGAAAGAAGTTGCCAAAGAAACTCCCTCAACAGCACCAGCGAAGACGGCTGGTGCCAAAAAGCCTACGACTCGCCCTGCTGCAATCTCGACTAAGCCTTCCTCCACTAGGCCACCAGCAAAGTCTCCTTCTGTAGCCAAGACCCCCACAAGTGCGACGTCGAAGCCCGGCTCCAATGCGGCCCCCAAGGCTCATGTCAAGCCTGCCGCAAAGAAGGAGCCGATGACATCCAGGACCGGTTCTTCTGTCGCTCGGCCTACTGCTAGCACTGCTACTAAGAAGCCGCAACCATTGAAGCCCTCAACCAGCGAAACTGGCTTCGTCAAACCTAAACCCAAGTCTCCTACAAAGCCTGTCCACCTCCCGGCCTCGCTCACGGCTCCCACCGCATCATCGGTCTCCAAGGGAGCGTCCTCACGACAGACACAATTGCGCCCGTCCAGCAGCGTCGGCAATCTCAACCCCCCGGCACGCTCCCCCAGCAGGGCAAGCGTCTCAACCACGACAAGCACAGGTGGCAAAACCGTCAAGCGCAAGAACTCGACCATCGGCCGCTCAAGACCTAGCCTAGGTCCACCTCCAAAGAAGGGAAACTCTGATACTTACCCCCCTAAGAAGGATGCACCCGTTGACGAAAGTTTCCTGGCGCGCATGATGCGACCCACGCAGTCCTCATCATCCAAGACGACGGAAAAAGCTCCAGTTACTCCTCCGAGAAAATCGTCGAATCGCCCATCACTCTCGGGATCTGACCAACAGCGAGAGACCCACTCGAGACTAGGAAGTGCTAAGAAACCTTCGAGAAGGCAAGCCGAGTCATCTGTGCCATCGGATTACGCTCCGTCCAAGGAGATGAGCCTTTCGCCAGTTATCAGAGTTTCCGCCGCCCCTGCGCCGGAGCCCATCGCAGAGGCAGCCCTTGAGCAGGTCCCTGAGCCTACGGAAGCCGGCAGCACCGAAGAGCCAACCGAGGAGGCTGATCTGAACCCAAGGCCGGATCTGAAAGAGACTACCGAGAACGCTGCGGCTGTTGAAGATATTGTGGAAGAGACTGCCAATGATGAAACTGTCGAAGAAGCCGTCGAGCCTATGCAACATGAGGATGTCCAAGCCGAGGTCAAAGTCGAGGGACCGGTCGTGGAGGTTGAACAAGACGAGCCGGCAGCAGAAGAGCCGAAGGTGGAAGACAACGCTGTGGAGGCCACTGAAGTTGAAGCTGTGACCGAGACTGTGATTGGCGCCAAGACTGAAGAGTCAACTGCATTTGCCGAGCCCGAGCCTACGGTTCAAGAATCAAAGAAGACCGAGGATACTCCCGTGCTCGAAGATGAGCCCGTTATCGCCGAGCTGGCTCCTCCCGCAGTGACCGAAACTGTCGAGGAACAGCCTAACGACACCGAAATCAAAGTCGAGGCTGTCACTGTTAATGGATCCCCGATCCCCGATGCCGGAAAAGAGGTGGATATCATTGTGAAGGGAACCAATGAGGAAGCTAAAAAGGAAGATGCAGAGAGCGTCTCCAAGGAGGACTCGGCTGCATGATAGATTTGTGGCAGATTGATACTAACTAACAAAGCCATGCAGGCGGTGGATATTTTTTTTTTTAAGTTATTTGTATAAGATACCTGTTAAAGCGAAGGCGAATGGTGAATTTAACTACCTTAGACTGGGAACCTGATAACCACATTATCAAGTGCAATAAGTTCGGTGACCAACATCTATTCATGTTGAGATATTTTACATAATTGCCCTTGCCAGGGCAGCTCCTAGTTGTACAGGCTCCAATAGTATCGTGTCGCACTAAAGCATTCTATCATCTACAACCAGTCCCGCTCGGCAGACCAGATTCCTTTACTCATGACACACGGCACATCAGGACGCCACCAGTTTTCCTAGCCACAGCTTCTCGAGCCTCCAGAACACCTCGCGAAGTAGCGACGAACATACATTCGCCCAAATTCAACCCAGGAACCACACCGCCCTTGAGCTTGGTCGGGAAGCCCCGCGTCAACCGGCCGAGCTCCTGGATGTCGGCAGTCATGACACGCTTGGGGGTGCTGATGGCCCTAGCGTTGGAGAGGACAGGCTTGCCATCCCAGTACTTGAGGCCGAGCCATAGGCGCATGGTGGCGACATTTGCGTTGGTGACGACCTCGGGGACGGCCGAGACCATCTGCTCGGGGGTCGGGGGGTTGGGGCCCGCGCGATAAACGGAGGAGAAGAAGCCGGATCGGTGCAGGGCGAGGGCGAGATGCAGGTTGAACTTGCAGTTCTTGACCGAGGTGATGCCTAGGCGTGCCTTGGAGGCGTTCTGCAGATGCGAACACATGTTCGCGACGTTGAGGATGGACGGCATGATGGGCGGCGGGGTGGGTGTTCGGGGTAGCGGTGTTCGGGGTTGCGGTATTCGATTAAGAGGGGTTGAAGAGATATTCAGCGACGGCGTTAGGGAACCCGATTCGATAACATAGATAGCTCGTCCTGTCGGATTGCTTAAGATGTATGTTAGCAATACTTCCACGTATGGAGATCGCGAGGGCTCCTAGCCCAGCGCATGTTGCTCACCTTTGTGTATATCCTGCAAGCCGCCCCAGAACCTTCAGCCCTATATAAGGTCAATTGGTCAGAGGCAGGGCTCTGGCCGTGCGGGGAGTGTCGACGGAGTTTGAATCGCCTGGGATATCGCAACGGGGGGTCGTCGATGCGTGGTACGTCGAAGCCGTCACCAAAATTTCAGAGCTTTCGATGCGGGATGACTAAGCGGGTCGGCACAACACTTGCATATGCGACTAATGCTGCTTTGATGCATAAGGCCTACTGGGTGCTCATCACTGCTTAAATTGGTTCACTTAAGTCTATTGTTTGAGACTATATTTTTTATAGATAATTATAACTTCCTTGTTGAGTTGAGAATTATGTCTGCATCCTATTTCGGATACCTTTTGAAAATCGGGAAGTTGCGGAACCACTGCCACTCAACCTCGATTGCGTTATCACCCGGAAGATGGTACGAGCAGACCTGATTAATATGTGAACTTAACCCAGCAAGGTAATCCTGGGCTGGTACTCCATTGTGCATGAAAATTTTGTGATTGATCGTGCAAGAGGTGATCCCCGTTCCGTTTACCCAGGGTGGTTGATCATTTCAGTTGTGCGATGACCAAAATGCGCCCCCCCCCCCCCCTATTGTACAATGTGACTGCTGTGAGGAGGGCTAGCTTATCCGTCAAACATGATTCAATATGCAGTTCAAATTTCCAATCAATCTAGCGCAAGAAGCATGGAAATTGACACTCTCTGACTTTCGCTAGGGGTGACCATCTGCCAACGTTCGCAGGGCGTGAAGGACGTTGCCAAGTGATCGCCGGTACTTGTAACCGAGGAGAGCCGCCGTGACTGCAAAGGGGCTTGCTACCAGTGCAAAGAAGGTCCGCACAAGCGTCCTGCCCTGGGCGTCGCTCTTGCGAATGACATCAAAATATCCTTCGTTGCTGAAGCTGACTCTCGAGTACTTGGTTTGCCATCCAAGGGTGGGGAAGTGGACGCTCATGAACTCTTCAAGGAACTTCCGCAATCGATACCGGGTGGAAAGAACGGATGAGCGCATCTCAACGTAGTTCTGCAGCGCGAGGTCATTGATGGCGTGGGCGTCGGCTGGTCGGAGAGCGGAATACTCGGCGAGTGCGAGAGATCGTTGGAAGGCAGGCGTCGCTGAGGTAGTCGCCTCGCTGGCCGGGTCATTGGTCTCGTCCATCTGGGCATGCTTATCGAGAATCGAGAACAAGATCCGCACATCCTCCATCCCGGCATTCATGCCTTGTCCATAGAACGGGACCATGGCGTGGGCCGCATCTCCGACAACAACGCAGGAGGAGCCATAATGATATGGCTTGCACTTCAGGCTGACGAGTGGGAGATGAGGGTTTGTGTTGAAGGACTGGATAAGCTCTTCAGCCGGAATCAGGCTGGTGACGCCAGGGAAATGCTGGTCGAAGAATGTAGGTAAATTGGACGGGTTGTTCTCAAGATCCGAAAAGTCTTTGCTGGGCATGAAGAGTGTGCAAGTAAAGGATCCGTCCTTGGATGAGGGTTAGTGGCGCAATGTGATGCGTGAATAAAGCGTGACTTACATCACTTGGAATTGCGATGAACATAAAATCCTTGCCCGGCCAGATGTGTAAGTGGTTGGGAGAGATCTTGAATTTCGAGAGAGGATCGGCCGATTCATCCGTGGGAACGGGTTTAAGCTGAAATTCGCACCACAGGGTGTCAATGTACTCCTGCTGGTAGTTCATTCGTGTGAACTTCATCAAATGATAACGGACGGCGGAATGAGCGCCATCAGCTCCAATCATTAGGTCGAAAGGAATGTCAATCTCCTTGTCACGGGATTCATTGTCCGAGTTGTTGTCGTGAACCTCAAACCAGGCCCTGCAGGTGCGATAGTCGGCACCTGTAAGTTTGTGGTTGAAGAATAATTTGACATTGGGCATGTCATCCAAAATGTCAAGGACTCGCTTATTAAGACCTGCTCTGTCGATAGCATGAATAGCCTAAGTTGGTTGTGTCAGCATAAACATCACCACCAAAGCGCTGAGGCAATTAATTATTCTTACCCTGCCCTTGGCGTCATAGTCTTGAGATTGTTCGAACAACGTCCCATTTGGTCGCCGTCCGTGAATCATACGTCCTCTCATCGGAATAGTGGTAGCCATGACGTGCTCCAAGAGACCTGGTTGGCCGGCATGGCGCATGGCGTTGATTCCGCGCTCTGAAATCGCGAGGTTGATAGACCTAGTGAAGTTGAGGGGGATAGTGCCAGGATCCCGGAGGTCTTGGAACTAATTAGTAACTGAACCAATTCTCACTTGGAATAATGTTCGGAGCGTATGGAACATATGGAAAAACTTTTTCTGGGTATTAACGTCGTCCTCAAGCCCCGGGCACTTGCTCTGGCACCAATTGAGTCAACCACGAAGAGTCGAGAGAGTCGCAGGTCGGTTGGTTGAGTCAGAGCTCGTAGAGACTAGGAACCAGACTTACCAGGTCGTAACTCATAGACCTCAACGTCATGGCCCCTCTGTGCAGCATACAAAGCCGCCAACGACCCGACGGGTCCTGCACCGACGACGACAATCTTCTGAGGTTTTCCCATGGTTGATCGGATGTTGTAAAGGACGAACGGAAACAAAACCTTTCGAACGACAGTCACATTTGCGCTTGCGACATGGACGCCACGGACTTGAACGGACTTGGATTGGGGCGGTTAGCGCTCCGATAAGATAAGAACCGGGCGAACGGTGGCCCCGGTAAGAAAGCCGACCCCATCTTGGCGGCTTAAAGCCTCGATTGATGCATGTTTGTCTTCGGCTAACTCGGTAGTGGCGGCCCCGAGAAACCCCACCATGCCCACCATGCACCCACGCCCTTCAGACGATCTTTTGCTCCCAAAAGTTGCACCACAAAGTTTCAAAGCTCGGCTACACACATACGGTAGCTTAACGAAGGTCCAACTTTGTCAAAGGGAACGTCTATTGTACTGAAATAGGGTCGTTCCTCTCCCATTCTTTACTATTCCGCACAAACCCCCACGCATTCATCCCCCACGATCTTCCTCGACGATTCTACCCCTCCACCAGCAACTACCGACAAGATGGCCTCCGAACCGCCTGCGAAGAAGAAGTGTCTGGGCTCGGACTGCGACAACGATGCCGGAACTCTGCAGTGCCCAACCTGCCTGAAGCTCGGGGTTAAGGACAGCTATTTCTGCTCCCAGGAGTGTTTCAAGAGGAACTGGGTATGTAGTTGCAACTTTACATCACGAAGAACTTCTTCCTGACCGGTTTCGCAGGGCATCCACAAGACGATGCACAAGTCGCAAAGTAGTATTCTCCACCACCTTCTTCCTCCGAAAGCAATCTCACCAGATCCAGCTACCGGCGCCTACAACCCGTTCCCCAACTTCCCCTACAGCGGAACCCTGCGACCGGTCTATCCTCTCTCCCCGCACCGAACGCTCCCCAAGTCGATCCCTCACCCTGTCTGGTGGCAGGACGGTAACCCCAAATACAACCGCTCACTCACCAGTCGCAACAAGATTGAGATTCTCGACAAGGCGGGCCAAGACGCCATGCGCAAGAGCTGCCGACTTGCGCGAGAGGTGCTCGACCTTGCGGCGGCTGCGGCCGTGCCGGGCGTTACGACCGACTACATTGATGAGATTGTTCACAAGGCTTGTATCGAGCGAAACGTACGTATTACGTCTTTCTTTGGTTTACTTTTCACATCCCAGGTACCTAGAGGCTGGAAACTGACATAAGGCGTAGTCTTACCCATCGCCCCTGAACTACAACCACTTCCCCAAGTCATGCTGCACATCTGTTAACGAAGTCATCTGCCACGGTATCCCGGATCAGCGTGTCCTTGTCGACGGCGACATCTTGAATATCGATGTGTCTCTCTACCACGAGGGATACCACGCGGATCTGAACGAGACCTACTACATCGGCGACAAAGCCAAGGCCGACCTCGATACCGTCCGTGTTGTTGAGACGGCCCGAGAGTGCTTGGAGGAGTCTATCAAGGCCGTGAAGCCTGGAGTTTTGATTCGAGAGTTTGGAAACATCATCGAGAGGCACTCCAAGAAGCAAAACTGCAGCGTCATCCGAACTTACTGTGGTCATGGCGTCGGAAAGCTCTTCCACTGCCCTCCCAATGTCCCCCACTACGCCAAAAACAAGACTGTCGGTGAATGCAAGCCCGGCATGACATTTACCATTGAGCCCATGATTGCGCTGGGCAAGTACCGAGACATTACCTGGCCCGACAACTGGACGAGCACGACCATTGACGGCAAGCTGACAGCCCAGTTTGGTAAGGAGACCCTATAGAAAGCCTGAGTGGTGAACAGTGCTAACTAACTTTTACGCAGAGCATACTCTGCTCGTTACCGAAGATGGCGTCGAAGTCTTGACGGCGAGACATGAGAACTCTCCCGGAGGCCCAATTGCCAGGCCCGGCACCGAGGGCGAGGCCTCCTAAGTCGACCTGAATGAGAGACTGTACTAAAATTTCACAAATTTCACAACGCATCTATGCAGCTCTGGGGGAGTTTGGGGTTAGCGAGGAGCATGAGTGATAATTGTATCGTATCATGAGAGGCATGTAGTGGAGTTGGGATGCTGGTGATTGGCGGTAGAACAAAGTACACCGAGAGGAATGTAGACATGTAATATTCAGCTCCCGTAATCAGCTCTAGAAGGCTTCTAGATTGCGAGAATGGATCAAATTCGACGTGATATCAAAAAACAAAAAAGCAGATTCGAGATGGTATCCGCGGATGGAGGCGTGGGGCGCCGGATGCAGCCATGTCGTGTGACGCAAATGGCAGAAACTACAAGAGCAGATCCATGTCTTAGATGCGACTCATGCGAGCAGTCGGAAAAAACAACTCCAACCCATGTGCATATCTGCATAGGCCGCGCCCCCAGCCACATTTACCGTCTCTAGCCAGATTCAACCATGTGCAGGGGGGCGCCACCCGCCACCCGCCACTGAGCCACGGGCTTGGGCAGTTTTACTGCTTGACTGGCTACTGGACTACTAACGAGGCTTGCCGGGCAAGGCTTGAAAGCAGAACAGCCGGCAACGAGCCTCTTCCATCATCGCCGCTAGCGCTTCCATCCAGGCAAGGCCACAACCACTGGCGCACCTGCACCTGCTTTCCTCCACCTTCTGCCTACCTCTCCACTTGTAGTCCTGCACCAAAACTCACCACCACCACCACACCATCCGTCGCCCGCCACCATATTTCTCTCTCCTCCCCACCCTCGGTTCCCGCCTTTGGACACCACAGCCCGGCACCACGCACTCGCCCTTGATCTCGCAGCAAGGCCACGTCTTTCTCCCTCACCTGTGCATCTTTGTACGCCCTTTTTAACCAGCCGATCCCCCCCGTCGACCCTTGCCCGCGCGCAGATAGGAGCTTGTCACTGAGCTCCCCGAACAGCTGTCCTCGACTGAGATAGCCCGACCTTCGCACCCTTACCGCTCCCCCCGCAAAATCCGTCACCATGATGTCCGGAGAAGCATGGCTGTTCCTGCTGTCGGTGTTGATCAACGCCGTCAACCTCTTCTTGCAGGTTTTCTTCACCATCATGTACAGCGATCTCGAGTGGTACGTCGCAACCCTGCCCTTCCGTCTCGGCGCCAAAATCTGCGCCCGAGGGAAGGATGCGCACTCTCCACGCCGACAACTCGACGCCGGCTCGGCCCTATGGACTCATGAGCTGATATTATTCTCTACAGCGATTACATCAACCCCATTGATCTCTGCAACCGACTCAACACCTACATCATCCCCGAGGCCGCCGTTCACGGTTTCCTGACCTTCCTCTTCCTCATCAACGGATACTGGGTCCCTCTGATCCTCAACCTGCCTCTCCTGGCCTGGAACGTCAAGAAGTACGTTTGCGATTCGTTTGCTATATCGGCGCCGGACTAACAGGATCGTAGGATCGTCGACAACACTCACCTGCTCGACGCCACCGAGATCTTCCGCAAGCTCAACGTTCACAAGAAGGTACGCAATAATAGCCCCACCAAGTTGCTCTTCTCTAACCGCATTACAGGAGTCTTTCTTCAAGCTGGGCTTCCACCTCATCATGTTCTTCTTCTATCTCTACAGCATGATTGTGGCTCTCATCCGGGACGAGTCCTCTTAAGCGCCCTCGACCGAATCTCGAACCGGTACCTGATTCGCAACAGAGACCATCTCTGGCCGGCAGGGCGGATTAGGAGTGCTTTTTAGCGTGCAAATCAACCTCAAGCAGCGCTGACTGGGCAAGTCGCGCGGCGAGGAGAGGGGAGGAGTCTGTCTGCTGATGCAGTACATAACGAGTGGAAGATGGCATAGATTGATGACATTTCTAAAGAGACGGGCTTGGCGTATATAAGTGCTATCATGCCGGATGGCGCTGTGGATTGATTATTTCCTGACGGCTAGGCTGTGCTACGAGCCGGTTTGTGCGAGCTAGGAGCTTTAGTTGCCTCCTCGCCATTTGTTCGGTCAACGTCCTGGCATGATAATTGAGTAATGATCAAACTAAGAAATCGCATGCGAGAATACTCAATACCAGTTGTCCGTTCCTATTTGCTACGCAGCCCATTGCCTTTGCGTTGGTTCATCTCGGCGCATTTCGAGTAGTTTTGTGTCACGTGATCGCCCGTTTTTCAAGCTTCAGTCGCCCTGTCGCGATCGCTGGTCTGTGGACCCCCGTAGACTTGTGACGTCGCGCGCTCGAGAAAACTTGAACATCAACTTTCCACCTCATTGACAATGGCAGACTTCGGGGGATACCCGCCAAATATGGCGCCGCAAGATGCGCTCATAGTTCGAGAGCAAGAGGGACCTAACCACGCTGTGGTACCCTACACGGCTGAAGATCTGTCGCGTCCCCAACTCGGTCCCTCGAACCCATTCAAGGACGACTCAAACGTGCTGAAGCGCAAGAATATCCTTACCGGCCATGCAGAGGAGACATTCGTCAGCGAGCACACATTTCGAAGCAAGCATCGAGCAGTCGAACGGAAAGGAGGCCCACAAAGAGAGTACCAGACCAGCGCAGAGAGCAAGGCAGAGGCTGCCAGGATACGTGCCGGGAGGGAAAAGAAAGGCGACGCAACCATTGCCGAAGGCCCCGGGGCTTACGTTGGGCCATGGGCCAGGTACAAGCGGCCCGAGTACGAGGTGGTGGGAGAGGACGAGGAGCTCGCCAGCGACGAAGAATACGAGATCGTGGAGGAGGAGGAGGATGTCGTCGAGAGCGGAACGGTGGTTCAGGCACCGGCTGGAGCCTTGGCGCGACGAAAGGAAATCGAAGAGATTGGTGACGAAACGACGACGTTCCACGGTTCCGCCGAATTCGATTACCAAGGCCGGTCGTATATGCACGTTCCTCAAGACCTGGATATCGATCTACGAAAGGAGATTGGAAGCGTCACCAACTATATCCCCAAGAAGCAGGTTCACTCTTGGAAGCACCACACCAAAGCCGTTACTGCGCTACGCTTCTTCCCCAACTCTGCCCACCTACTACTTTCAGCCAGCGCCGACACCACTGTCAAGATCTTCGATGTCTTTCACGATCGCGAGCTGCTGCGCACGTACTCTGGTCACTCCAAGGCGATTTCCGATATTACCTTCAACGCCTCAGGCACTCAGTTCATATCTTGTTCATATGATCGCATGATGAAGCTTTGGGACACTGAGAAGGGTGTGTGTATCAGCAAGTTCACGACTGGCAAGACACCTCACGTGGTCAAGTTCAATCCAGATCCTGAGCACTCCAACGAATTCCTGGCTGGCATGTCAGACAAGAAGATTGTTCAGTTTGATATCCGAACCCCCAACGAGGTGGTGCAGGAGTACGACCATCATTTGGCAGCCATCAACACCATCACCTTTGTTGATGATAACCGCCGTTTCATGACTACATCCGACGATAAGTCACTTCGAGCCTGGGACTACAACATTCCCGTCCCTATCAAGTACATCGCAGAGCCTGACATGTACCCCATGACGCGCGCTGCTCCCCACCCTAGCGGCAAATACGTCGCCTATCAGAGCTCCGATAACCAGATCCTGATATTTGGCGCCAACGACAAGTTTCGCCAGAACCGAAAGAAGAGCTATCGCGGACACAATAATGCGGGCTTGGCTATTGACCTGGACTGCAGTCCGGATGGTCAGTTCCTGGCTTCGGGTGACTCGGCCGGCTACGTGTGCTTTTGGGACTGGAAGACATGCAAGATGTACCATAAGCTGAAGGCGGGCCACCAGGCCATCACCTGCGTCAAGTGGAACCCACAGGAAACTAGCAAGGTGGCGACGGCAGGCCTAGAGGGTGAAATCAAGTACTGGGATTAAACAAGGGTTATACAGAACTTCTAGGCGTAGGAGAGGGAGCATGGCACGGCGTTTAGGAATATGATGTTAATAGATGAAATGTGCAAATTGGTATATTACTCCGTATTTGTGCTTCCTTGCTGTGCATGTCTTGAAAGCCATTGTCCATGATACTCTGGTATTGGTCCATAAAAACCCCCTTCTTCTTTCTGACAGGGTTGCCGTCTTCGTCCCAATCATCATAATATCCGCCGTCACCGCCATTGTATCCCTCGTTACTATCACGGTTGAACGCATGTCTGTCAGCTTGCCAATGTCGGTATCCCTCTCCATCGTCCAAGGTTGCGCCAATATCCTCGATGTCGAACGGTCCCCGTCGCAGACCCGAAGCCATACGGGAACCATTTCATCGCCGCCACCTTCTTCGATTTCTTTTCCCGCTTAAAGTCGCCTGGTTCCATGGGGGCTTCTCCCTCACCCGTACTCTATTGGTTCCCGGAAGTGAGCCCATTGTGGTACATCCAGGGAGTTGATTGGGCTTTCAACAAGTCTTTCTTTGCCTCCTCGGAGCCCATATCCAAATGAATGACGTAGCAAGGTATGATTGCGCAGTCGTACTCCAGACCGCCATCAAAGTGTGCGTCGTACCCTTTACCAGGGGTCCATTGATCAAGTACTTACCATCCTGGTTGTGGTATGTTCGTCCTATGATGGTAGCACAGACAATCAGCCGCCTGCAGGATAACATCCCTACTGAAGTCGTCTGACTTCCCTCAATGGCGAAACCAAGCGCAAAGGATGGGGATTGAGAGAGAAGAGTAGATACCATGGTCAAGTGCGATGCCTGATCCAGTGGGCGCAATAGCTTCAGAACCAACCACTTGACCTTGTAGCTTGAAGCCATGGCGAACGATGGAGGCCACTGATTTGACCTGAGTGCCGTAGAAAGTAATTCGGGGTGCCAGCATGTTGTCGATGACATCTTGGTGAGAGAGGGTCGAAAGCACGCGACCCTCGAGCTTTGAATGGGGAGGCAGCTTGTTGCTGAGCTGACCCGTCGCTGTCGTGATAGTCTCTCGCAACGACTGTTTGTACGCCCAGAACCTCTTGACGAGATCAGGGTGCAGTAAAGACTCCATATGGAGGATTCGCCACGATTTAAGGATATCACTGACGATTTCCTCGGGGGTCTTGCCTAAGATGTCAAACGCTGTATCCTTGATGGTCGAGACATTGAGACCAAGGGGGTTGTTCAAAACATCATTCCAGTCTGAAATCTCGCCCGCCGACCATCCCTTGTCAGCTTTGGCACTGGGGTTTGCTTCCTGCTCGAACTCGGCCATGAGCTCGTGAGTTTGCAGGATGGCAACCTCGAGGTCAAATTGCTTCACCATGGGAGAAGCAATAAATATGTCATGAATGATTTGCCGAACATCCTTACGAAGTACATCGAGTTTTGGTCTCGGTAATCGCCCTTGGAGGTCTTTGATCTGGCACGAGGTCAGGTGTTGGTGGTTTGCTGAGAGTCGGAGCTCGAGAGCGAGTTGGGAGAAGTTGAACAGGCAAATGTCGTCCATGGTGATTAGATCTTGTTCGCAGGACCAACTAACCACCCGCTTGGGGCTATTGGTTTCGAGCAGGTCATACCAATTCTTAAAAGACATCGCGAAGGTCTCGTCGCAAAACAAAGTTGGATGATGAGGAGATAGATGGACGGTGCGCCAACAGTAGGTCTGCCGGGTATCAGTTTTTTGAGTCAGTTGACCTTTGATCTGTTCGCTAAACGATTACAAGAAACACGGGAACTTCTGGGGGGGTTTTATAATAAGTTTCTTAATCAGCTCTTGTTGGTGTTGATCCATAGATCTATAATGTGTAGAGGCGCACAGCAGATTGCAATGGCCACCCGGAAGGATTGGCTACGTCCCCGGACTGGTTCACCGGACGAGCCTCCAACGTCAGCCATGACCCCACCGGCATATTTTTAACCAGGGAGGTCATTTTATTTGCTGCTGGGTCTGGAGAGAGCGTGCGGGTGTCCTTTCACTGCGGATGTTGAGTCAAATCGGAGAGAAGCAGATGGCAGCCTCCATGCAGTCAGATTAGCCTAGAGAATAAAATATATATTCGATGAAGACAAGAGCTAGATGAAATAGCTCTTAAAAGGATTGTATTCCGGGGATTTTGCCTTTTTTTCGCCATGGTTCCACGAGACGTATTACTCTGAAAGCGCAATGTTTGAATTGCGAGTCATTCCGGCTTACCCTAGACTCTGGCCGTGGAACACGCAATTGTTCAGTGGTGTGCGACATGTGGTATTGGGAATTTATAAACCTCGCCATTGAACACCAGTAAGGGTTAATAGGATAAAAGCAAGGTTATTGGAAATGTGGCTTAGGTGTCATGTGTGGTTGGGGATCGGACGGGTGATTTCAGCCCAGTTGAGATGTGTTTCCGGTTGCAATTAATTAGATGTTCTGTCGATTTGCGGATGGCTACGTGAGAGCTGTTTGTGTTAATTAGTCGGGGATGAGGCGTGACTAAGCCGGAAAAGAAACGACTGATGTTCCCGGCTTGCGTCATTCATTGGAGAGTCAGGCGTGGGGTTGTGTTTAAGGCTTTTGGTCATGGGCAGCTGCATGCCATTCTTCATCTGTCGGTAGTGTCGGGGGGGACGGACAGGGCGCAGGGGAATCATAATTACTTCATCTGCCGGTAGTGTCGGACACGGGTACAAGGGCACAGATATGGATGGGAAGAGGAACCCAAGAGGAATCCGCTAATGACTCAGTAGCCGCGGGTCAGCACGCAGAACCCCGCGTTTTGCAGCCGTCTTGGGCGTGTCATGGGCGGAAGTTTAGCTTGGCCCGCGGTAAACCATAGCCGTTCAGGGACGGCGCCGGGAACTCCCCGCACGACGCTTGACTCAGGTGGCTGCATGTCGTCGTCTTTTCTGACTCTTTCTGACTCTCACCCGTTCCTGGGCGTGCGAGCTGGCCCTTAGCTAGGCAACTAAAGAATCCTCCTGACATGACATTGGGGAGGATGATTACCCCATACCCCACACTTCTTCGCTCTGCAGGCCAACTCCACAGAGCTGCACACCCCGCATTCATAATTCATACAACTTCGATAGCGTGAAGTCGAGTAAGTAACTTACGGAGTACCGGTATGCCCCTTTGCGGGAGAGGATACTACCTAGTAGTAATTGTATTCAGACAGAACCGTGTCATATCTCCTCGTGCCTTCCTCGACAAGGGTGCCTTCCCGCTACCCACCCATACCCGCCTTACTCCAACTTTTCCCAAGCCGCCTCTCTCCCCCTCCTACTTTTTTTCCTCCTCCTCCCTCTTCCAGCACTGTCATGGTCGCGTCTTCAACCCAAATCTGCTAAGACGACATCACAAAGACCACCAGCATGGCTACAGCAATGGCTACTACAGCAATGGCCACTACCATGACTTCGACCGAAACACAGGCAATGGGCCAGCGACCAAAGGCTACAGCTAAGATCCGCAAGCGAGCCCCCAAGGCGTGCCTCTCATGTCGAGCCCGCAAGGTCCGCTGTGATGTCTCCCAGAGAGGTCGCCCGTGTATGAACTGCTACCTCGACAGTGAGGCCTGTGTCGTGACGGGGAGAGCATCTAGATTGTATGTCGTCACCTAATCTCAGCTGTCGAGTCCAATATAAACTTACACCTCCCGCTCTTAGCAGGCGACCTCCAAGAGACGTTGCCGAGAATGCTGTTGAAGCTTCTCACCCACCCTACACTCCTACTGAGCCACATGAGTGCGAATCACATTCTGCTGAAGCCGTAGTCCAGTCCAGATTGAATGGGATGCCAGAGAAACCTGCTCCGTTGACCAAGGAAGAACACAGCTTGAACCAAGACCGACCCGAGTCTGTCAACAGTTACGGATCCCATGATGGTGATCGAAGAGACAGCGTCATGACTGAGCCAGCGAACCCAACACCTCAATCTCATCAACACCCAACCCGACAGGCCCGAGGTAAGCATGCGCATTCACGCTGTGACCTATTTCGAATGACGTCGACTAACCTTTGACATAGCTTCATATAGCGCACCTCAAACCAACCACGCGACTTTGTTGAATCACTTCCCCAGCGGTAATAACAACACTTGGTCCCACGAACCCCAAATCGGCATGACATCCGATGTTGTCTATTCCTACTATCCTTTTCTCACAATGGGAAACCTCCCCAACATTCCTCCTCAAGACGTCAACTTTCTTGAGCTTCAAGGCTGTCTGCGTGTACCCACTCGAACCATGCTCGATGAGTTCCTCCAACAGTACTTCCTTCACGTCCATCCATTATTGCCGCTCATAAATGAGGGCGACTTTTGGGATCTTTATTGTCACAGTCCCGGTTCCGGAATGCCCACAGAACGTATGTCCTTACTGCTATTCCAGGCGATCCTGTTCGCCTCGTGCAACTTTGTCTCTCGCACCACCATCAAGGCTCTTGGGTTTCCCAGCATTCGTGTTGCAAGAGCTACATTTTACCGACGCGCCAAGCTTCTATACGACTTTGAATCCGAGTCATCGCCCCTCTCTATCGCCCAGACCGCGCTCCTGCTCTCCTTCTGGGCTCCCTCATCGACCCGCAACCCGAATACGTCGTGGCTCAGTCTCGCGATCCAGCAGGCAAAGAGCGCCGAAGCGCATCACTATGCCGCTATGCCCGTATTCTCTGCCATTACACACCCGATGCAACACCGAAAGCAAAATATTCTCAAGAAGGTCTGGTGGTGTTGCGTCATTCGAGACCGGACCCTAGGCTTGTTGATGAGGCGACCCATCCAGATCACAAAAGGCCACTTCGATTTCGACTCTAATCCTGTACTGGGATTTGCGGACCTCGAAAACGAGTTTACGAGATCACGAGTGTACAACCCCGGGACAAAGAAGACTCTCGCAGAGATCTTGGCACAGCTGGTCGAACTCTACGTCGTCTTGACCGACATCCTCATACTGGTCTTCCCTCTAGACGACGCCCCTGGTTGGGGAAGACAACTGAGGCCAGAGGACGAGGGCAGGATTAAAGAATGCAAAACCTCTCTGAGACGTTGGTACAGGTCAGCAACGTCACGGTTCCCTCTGTTCGGTGGGAGTCCCCTCTCCCGAGGCGGTACCGACAGCAGAAAGGAGTTCCAACACGACTCCGTCATTCTATATACCAACCTCATGTATATGTACTATCACTCTTCACGTGTTGTGCTATCCCACCATGAGATTCTCCAACTGGCTATCCTCCAGGCGATACCGAATGGCAACAACGCTATGACAACAACTAGAGGCCTATCTACGATCAACGAGAATCGCCATGAGCTTCAGGATGCTGCTTCAGGCGTAACAGAGTGTCTTAAGGAGCTTGTTCACTTGAAGCTTGCCCGTTGGCTTCCGATATCCGCTGTGGCCTGTACTGCCCTCCCTCTGATCCTTAACATTCTGGACGTCAAGCTCTCGGCGCCTGCAAAAGACCCCAGTCTCGACTCAAACGCAGCATCAGCCTTGAAGCAGCACCGACTCAACATTCTAATTGAGGCGATGAAGACGTATCAGCCCCAATACGACGGTGTGGACTGGGTCAGCGAGATTGTGCGGCACGTTGTCAACCTTGCGCAGTTGGACAACACAAACGCCCAGGGAAACCAAAACTCCAATATCACAGACTGGACCGACATTCTTGCCCTTCAACCAAGTTCGTATCTGCGTCTGGCGTTGGCATTGGACGTAAGCCTTAGCAAAGGCCGGCTGCCAGAAGATGGAGATTTTCCAGTGAGCCTCCGCGGTCTCTTTGTGGGCGGCTTCAGTCCCCTCAAGGCTCTCATCGAAGCCAATCGAACGACCCACCCGTCTAATGGCTTTGGGCCCAGGCTAGGGGTGCCCATCAATGGAGATTCGGGCGCCATGCGATCTGTAAATTCTGACTCTGATTCAACCTCGCCGCTCTCCCAAACAGACTCCCATATGTCCAACATGGAGGATGCTGCGAATATCGAAGCTCTGCGTGACCAAGTTAGATCTCAGATGGCGGCGAATGGGCCGACAAACACGAATGCTCCCCCCTCGGAGGGAATCCATGGCCTCGGCAACTACGGGGTATTTCAAGTAGAAGACGAGTCACCGAGCGGTACAAGCGAATTCGAGGGCATGTATTTGGATGGACCAATGCCAGACGTCTCTGCTGAATGGATAGAGACTCTGTGGGATGAAATGGGTAACACGGATGATAAAGCGGATAGAGACATTGCGCGGATGCTACTGGGAGCGCTAAAAGAGGGTGATGTCGGCGAGACCATGGTATAGAGCTCGAGAAATGATAATACATGTTAACTTTTTGGCCAAATATTGACTGTATCTATAACTTTTGTTTCCTTGCGCCAACTTGATTCCATTTAGGAAAATAATTTCTTCAAGGAATACCTTCCGCAAGTGAGATGCCTGCTATCGCAAGGGGTATGCAGTGGTTTCTAGTCCATCTAGACGGTGAAGATGTCAAGAAATGGCTGGAACCAAGTTAGCATTAGAATGAAGAGCAGCAGTGGTGACATCTCGTACTTATCCGTAGCCCATCTCCAACCAACCCAGGACACCATTACCAAAACCAAAGCGTCCCTTTTCAAATGAGATCTCATCCCCTAAGCCAAACCTTAGAACGCCAAAACCCAATACGTCGCCATGATTTGCATTCGCTGACCGCCGGTGATCAGACCCCCAGGTGCGTTCATTTGTTCCGATGGCGAATTTTCAGAGTGGAGAAATGAGCCAGTTCCAGTTTGTTCTTTGCTGGCACACAAGCGCTGAGCAATGTACTTCCAAATTCCGTGATATCCCCCCAAAAAGCACACGAAGAGGCCTACCACGCGACCAATTTGGTGGTTTCGACCAAGCCAGGGCACGCACCACAGCGACACCGAAAACCGTAGCGCATAAAGAGGTCCATCGGTGTGCGTTTGGTTCCGTACGTAATAGTCAACTCTTCGCCGGCTGCGATTCTGTCTGCCTTGACAATCATTTCGAGACAATCATGGATGTGGTCAAACGTGTACTCGATGTTGTCCTTTGGATAACAGGAGTGATTGAAGCGAGAGGCAATTGGGAATAGCCCTGCATTGTCCCTCTTCCCTGTTGCGAAGCTGGGCCCGTGTTAGCAAAACCCTGTCATAATTTGATTCAGTCGCGAAAGTTGTCAATCTGACATTGTGTCAAAGCGCGTTGCCGCGGAAGCTTCGGAATGCTCAAGAGTGGAATGAGACTTGGGAGCACCTCTCAATCTCTTCCATGGGCCTCAGGCGGACCACAATTCACTCGTGAGAGACGTGTCCGGGCAGAAAATTGAAGAAACACGAGAATGGAGAATCTCACCAATTAGTCGTCCAGATGGCCTGGAGCTTCGGCGTGCCCGGCTTGCACATGTCGTTCGCGTGGAGCGCCAGGGCAACCTCCTGCTCGACCCGGTTCAGTCTGTCGAATTCTTTGAACAGCGACGACGAGTCAGCCGTGAACAACGGTTTCTCGATCAGAATTCGGTCTCCATACTTGAGATCCTTGGTGGCGAAGGCGCCCCATCCGGCAATCGTTGATTCAGAGACCGCGAAGAAGTCGTTTTGGAAGATGACATTGGTGGGCCATTCCAGCCCTGGCGTAATCGGGTGCTGGACTACTTCGCACTGCACATGGTGTGATTCCGAGTCGAGCGCCGTGGGCCCATCACTCCTCTCTTCAACTGTCTCGAGAGGCTTGAAGGAGAGGCGTCTCGGCAGGGATGGACACAAGCTGTTGGTTGAATCCAAGGGTCGGGGGCCGTGGCTTGTGAGGCATAGAACAGACCTGGTGAATTGTAAGCATGTGATTTGGTATTGTCACGTATCACCTACTCATCGCTGTCACCCTCTTCATTGTCGGACCACGAATCCGACTCCTCCGTCAGGTCATCCTCAGACCCAGAGGTGCAAGCGTACTCTGAGTGAATACTATCAGAGGAAGTCCAGTGGTGAAGCATATATAAAATGTCCTTGCAAAGCAAGGGTCTCTCGGTGCGTGAGACTGAGGTGTTGATTGCAAGTTTCGGGATTTCCTGGCCTCGTTAGTGACTTTGGTGATACAGAGTCGTAGTTTTGATTGTGGGAGATGATGGATATGACGGTGAGTGAAGCTATGAAGTCGACAGTGTAACTGTAAATATTCTGAACTTACCTCTGAGTCCTCACTCTTGATATCATTCTGAGAATGCACTGTTGTCTCCAGCTGGATGCTCAGCCGATCTTCAAGCTGAAGATCCAGGTCAGAAACCTCAGAAGCTTCCGGAAGAATATCCATGATGGCGAATATAGGCCGTTCGCGGGTACAGTCGACCCGGAACGGGAGGTTGATTGGTTCTGGACCTATGTTGATACGAAGAAATCAAGGCGTGGTGAACGAAGTTCGATGTACTAAAGATGAGGAGTGCTTGGCCCGGAAGACCCAGGAGTCTTAAAGGGCCTAAAGGTGGAGATGAAATAGATTATGTGAATAGGGAGTGGTAAAGTGCAGTGAATAGGCAGCCAAGTAAGAGTGAGCGCACGGGTCAGTGTGAATAAGGATCAAGCTCGGCGTCGGCCAATAGGCAGGGATGGCGAAGTGAGATGTCAAGGGAGACGAGCCGAACAAGGGGCCAAATAAATACGAAGCAAGGCGAAATTCTAAGATGAGGGCATTGGATTTAGGGACAAGAGAAAAAAAAAGGAAAGAAAAAAAAAAGCTGGGCCATGTGGTGTAGCAAAGGGAGGCGAGGAGCTGATGTGCAATCACGCTGTCAACTCCACCATCAAACTGCATCGACCGAGCTGTGCTGAGCCTGCTGGTTTCTACGCGGTACCTCTGCAGACCTGCAGACCTGGGATGGATTGCCGGGAGGCGCACCATGTGACCAAGCAAGCCAGGCACGGCGCAGAAAGAGAACAATGGAATCAAATAAAAAGTTGCTCGTCCGCACCACGTAGCACGATGGCGACCAGGAACCACGTGAGGTCAGGTGATAGCCATGCCGTTCGCCTCCGGGACCGGATCGAGTGCAGGACTCGCCTCTTCCAGTGTGCACACTTTGTCTTTTTCTTCATGACTCTCTCTGTGAACGAACGGTGTATTAAATTTTACTTGGCACCCTAGCATCTGCGGTATAAGATTGCATGTGTGCTGCCTTTGTCTTCCCCGTCTCGAATATCATGATTCATAACATAACCAGGGCCGACCACTCTGGAACCGTGAGGCTTCCAGATCTATACACTTAAGCGCCCCGAATGAACAAACCAAAAATCCTCCCAGAGTCACATCTAAAATCCCACGAAATATTTCCGATTCCCATAAACGCCCTGCCGTGAATTTCCATTTTCCCTGGACCCCTGAAGCCCGGGGTAGTTCGAAACCGCTTCCGCTCGCCACGCGAAGGGCTAGAGCTATAGCCCGCGGGTTATAGCCTCTGATATGTGAACGCAATCTGGCCCGGATCTCGAAACATCAATGCCGCGCTGTAGCGTGTCATTTCGATGGTTCTGCGCACCCGCGGTGGAGCTTTGACGAGGTGCCAAGTGCCATGCCCCTGGGGCTTTTCGTCGTCGTCCCCCTGACCTGTTCGTGCTGCCATGATGCATGCAAATAACAAGCCGGCCGATACCACGTGAAGCGATTGGTGTCGTGTATGTCACGAAACGGCCGTGCAGCCCAATCACCATTTTCGCTTTGGTCGTAGTGGACAGCTTCCTCCACAGTCCAGACACTTCAAGCATCCCGGCTTCTGCCAGACCTTCCTGCAACGACACACCCAGAGGTCCTGACCCGTCCTCGTCGTTAAGCAGTCAGAAGGCCCATGGATGCCGAACTTGACCCCACACTCGATACAGAACCGCCGAAGCGGAACGAGTCGGTCGTCGAGGCCTGGGGCGCGATCCGAAACGACTCGCCCGTGAATGTCGACGTAGGCTGACTGCGGTTGGAGGGCGTCAAAGTGCTCGGGCATCCGCACGCGGAAGCAGATGTAGCACTCAAAGTTACCCGGCTGGTGGTCTTGGCCCTTCTCGCTGGGCCGGTGCTGCGGGAAGTCCTTGGCTGCCCTCATGACGAACTGGAACTTGTCCAAAGGGTCGGCCATTTCTTGAGGTTTGATGGTTCGGTGAAAGTGTCGGTTCATGGTAGAGAGGAAGATGAGGGACTGATAGTCCAAGTTGGAGAAGACGAGCCGCTGGAGCTCGCTGGGCAGACGTTCTATCAGTGACGGCATGGGGGGCTTGCATTGTTTGGAAAAAGAGAAGCTGACGGGTCGAGCTGGCGAGGGAATGGGGGTGGAATATATGGGAGGGAGCCTGAGGTCTAGGCCCGGCGGCTGGCGAGGAAGGACAATCATGGTTGAGGATGGACGACAACAGACGACAAGACGCCAGGTGACAAGACGGCAGAAGACGGTATTATAATAGAGAAAGGGGGAGGGGTGCGGCGATCTCGATGATCTAATGCGAGAGCGACGAGGGCTCTATAAGGTTCAAGAGGAGCCGGGACAAGCATCATATACCTAATAAGGACGGACTGCGGGCGAGTGGACAAGTGTGCAAGCTGGCAGGTCGGCAATAACAAACAAGGTGGATTGCGGTGCAATGCGGACGCAGGGCAATGCAGCAACGCCGTGCTGCCTCCCTCTCAAGACGGAAATGGCGAAAATGGGGACATGGGCAAGTGGGCAAACGGGGGCATGGGGCGAATAGGACACGGGACATGGGAGAGACGAGGGAGGAGAGACGGGGGGCATGTTTCTGGACGTGGTTGTTGGTTGTGTTTCGGGGGGGCTGAGACAGGCAGATCAGGCAGGTCTTGTTTCCTCTCTCTCTCGCTTGAGGATGTGGATGTGGACCAACCGACCTGTTGGACGTGAGGCGAGATGGGGCGCATTTGGCGATTGTCGAGTGGGTGTGTTGGAGCTGCACCGGCGATTGGGTTTTGGTCGGCCGTTTGCGCTCCGCTTGTAACGCCGCCTGCGACGCCGCAGGGCAGAGCCCGGGGCACGATTTAACGCCCCGGATGTGCGGATGTGCGGATGATTTCTTTTTTGGAGTGGCCGGGGTTGGTTTGGGTCGTTCTTTTTGACATGTTGTTGGGCGGCCAGGAGTAGGAGGAGACGTGAAAGACATGGATGGAGCTGGGATGATGGACTTTGAAGAAGCCCCACCAACACCAGTGGAGGAAGGACCACTCAGACCGTTCCTCCCGTCCATCCCTGGACTCAATTCTCGGTCGTTGATATCCCTAGCACGATGATGATATGTATTCATCTCATCCCTGGCTAGTCTGTCTGGTATGTCTGGCCTGGCTGCTCGCCGGCGCGGTCCTCTGCCGGAGAGCACTAAGCAGCACTAAGTAGCAAACATCTTCCTCGGCCGGGCCGGGGGGTTGACTTGTTGTTGGCTCCGTCAGTGAACATGGATCCAATGCGGAGGTGCTTGCAGCGGGCTAGCAGCATGCGACCGGCTTGCACCCTCCAAACCCCTGCCTCCATCAATCAATCAATCAATCAATGACCGTTTTCTTCTTCCACTGCAGAAGCGTCCCCCCGGAAAGCCTCCCCGGCCGCCACCTCTCTGTCATGTGAACAAGAGGCTGCTGTGGCCGCTGCTCCGAATCACAGTCTTGAACCGCGCCCTCGGGTCGTCCGCCGCCCAGCTTCAGGTGCACCAGTGCCACCGCCTGCTTCCAGCCCTGCCCGGCTGCACACGAGTTCGACACACCAACAGCTCTCCCAATTTCACCTCCCTCCTCGCATGCTGTGATTTAATTTCACCCAGCCAAAGATACCGCCCTGCGTCCGCTGTTTGACAATCCGTCCCCATTCCAGAGAGGGTTCCATCGGGGAGCTCTCCATGGGTTGGAAACAAACCCCCCACTTGTTTGGTCCCGCAGGAAACGACGATCAGCACTCTCGCCCTTCAACGGCGTGTCCGGTTGGGGCCTCTGCCGGGGCTAAGCACGAGGAGCTAATGACTGGGATGTTCATCAAGGGTGGGCTGGCCTCGGCGCGTTTTATGCCTGTGCATCACGTCGGCAGTTGCTCTCAAGCGTCGTTCGCCGTCGAATGAATCGCCCCAAGCTCGTGTAACCGACACTGTTTCTGGTGTTTCCTTTGACCGATCCCAATCCCAATCCAAATCACCCCTTTCCCCAGAATGCCTGCGCAGCTTGCAGGGGTGCTTAACACCGGACTCTAGCACCTATGCCCTACTACGTAGTATGTAGGTAGCATCGTATCTGTGCACCGCAGGGAGATGGCTAGTATCGTACTCCTTCCAGCACCAAATGATTCGACATTACTCGCCATCGTCCGCATCATCATTGACATCATCTCTCCAGCAAACGGAGTTAACATCCAGCTGAGAGTCACCCATCGGAGTAAGCCGCTCCTCATCTCAAACCCAGACACCGTCTCGGCTAACGAAAGCAAACCAAACTGTCCCTGCTGCAAGGATCAGCCATGTCTCTCAAAAGCCATGCAGATGAAGCTACGACGTTGCGACATGCTTGAAACATCATTGACGATACGAAGCCACCAACCTCGAGCTGATGGCATGGAGCATGGAGGCGTCCACTAATGCCCCTGCGATATGCTATAAGCCTCCCGCATAAACCTCCTGCACTTGAGAGCAAACATTGTGACATGTGGTGCTCTTTTCTTTTTTCTCTTTGGCTAATCATGAGGGCCAATTTGGTTACAACCAAGATCAATAAGTGCCGCTCCAGTGAGATGCAAAGTATGTTTATCCTGCATCGCCTCGGCTGCTTAATACAGCTAGCGCGTTTTCCCGCTTCATTAACTTAAAAGGCAGCACAAAATTATAACAATAGTTATATTTAACCTGAAAAATATAAATAGAGTACAAACTAAGTTAAACATTGAAGAAAGTATTTTTCTTCAATGTCGAGTAAACCTTTGCTCCATGCCTAATCCTAGCCCTTAAGATAGCAATGTGCTACATCCTAATTTACATTAGCGGCACCAATGCTCTTCAATCAGGTCATGTCTTGTCTCCGTCTCTCGGGACCTCGCAACCTTGTGGCCTCCATTCCTTGGATCTCAACCGCAGCATGTGGCTTTTAAAATTACCCAACCGCTTACAAAGTTTAGATAGAGGCGACGGCATGCTAAGATCCCTGGCTTGATGTGAGATATGATATCCTCGCTACCCTCACGCAAGACCTCCAATCCCAGGCAAGGGTTTGGGCTACGAGAAGGGCTTGTTGGAGTCTATGGCACACAACTGGACACGGCAGGCACTTGAAATCTCTGCATTAGAAAGCTCTTTGTTAGCAACCAAACAATCCTGACGCGGATCTACAGAGCTGACTGTGACACAAATGCGGATGATCTCTATTGTATCTACCGTTGTTGGCACCAATGGCCTCCATGACTCATAACCCTTTTGAGTACAGGAGCGGCCCACCGTCCTCAAATGACTCCAAGTGCTTCCCGTAGCGCCCCTATGCCAAATAGCATTGATAGTCTCGTTACAATTCGCTCAAGGCTTGCAGCGGCCGAAGTAGCGGGGATACAGGCAACAGTCGCGGACTGTGTGCTGCTTGCACAGCCAAGCGAGGAAGCGCTCGAATCCGAGACCGTAGCCACCGTGGGGAGAGCTACCATACCTAGAGAATTATGTTAGCCATGAAATTTGCCGAAGGGATGTGTCTTCTGTTGCTTACTTCCTCTGGTCAGTGTACCAGTAATAGGCCTCGGGATCAATGCCCTCGCGTTGGAAGGCCGCCATAAGATCCTCGTAGTTATCCATCCTCATCGAGCCACCAACGATCTCACCAACACCAGGCATCAAGCAGTCCACACTCTCCGTGACACGGGCATCATCCTTGTCCTTCTGCATGTAGAAGGCCTTGATCGCTGTGGGAAAGTGAGTCAGGAAGATGGGCTTGTTAATGATGTCGGTCATCCGGCGCTCGGCAGCCTCGGCGATGTCGTCGCCGAACTCGTGAGGCTTGCCATCCTCGTTGAGGATCTCGTGCTCCTGCAGCCATGTGATAGCATCGGAGTACTTCATGCGCATAAAGGGACGCTCCGGCATCTTGAAATCAGGGTTCATGTCCTTGACCTTCTCGGCAATGAAAGGGTCGGCCATGGTGAGCTCAAGCACACGGCACATGATGTGCTCAATGTGCTCCAGGAGGTCCTCAAAGGAAATGAAGTCCAATTCGGCCTCGATGTGGGTGAACTCAGACAAGTGGCGTCGGGTGAGCGACTTCTCTGCGCGGAAGGACTTCTCGATGCAGTACACATCACCCATCGAGGGCAGGCAGGTCTCAAGGTAGAGCTGCGATGACTGGGTAAGGAATGCCTCCTCGCGGTAGTAATCAAACTTGAACAGCGTTGCGCCACCTTCGACCTGCGTCTGGACGAGGGCAGGAGGGCTGACCTTGCGGATCTTGAACTCCCGGTAGGCTTGGTTGAAGGCGAACTCGACAGCGTCACGCACAAGCATGACCGACGAGGCGACGTCACCACGGATGGTGAGATGACGCATGTCTAGCAACATGGCGTGCTCCGCATCGGCTTGGACCTTGTTGGTGATGGCATCTTCGCCACCAGCAGCCTTCCAGTGGCTGGGAATCTTGTAAAAGTCGGCGTGGAGCTCGCGGTTGAGGGGGGCTCGGGCGCCGGGGGGGACCTCGCGCATCTCGCCGAAGATCTCCATGGATGTCTCTCGAGTGAGGGTGAGAGCATCATAAGTCTTTGCCAGCTTGCCAGAAATGACAACCTGCATTTGGCCGTAGCCATCCCTGAGAGTGATGAAGAGGACGTCCTTTTGCTTACGCTCGCGATGCACACGGCCGACGACGCGCACCCGGGTACCCTTGCTTTCAGGGTCTTGAGTGTCACGCAGCTTGATGTGGTCACCAACATCACCCAGCTTGATCTTGATGGGTGCGGGAAGGCTGGCGTCCTCCTCGAGCACAATGGCCTTGGCCTCCTCCAACACCTTTTGTCGCACCTCCTCCTCCTTCTTGCGGCGGATAGCGAGTTCCTCCTCGCGGGCAGCCTTCTTCTTGTGCTGCTCGAAGAGGTTGACAGCCTTCTTCAGGGCCGACTTGGCAGCAGGCTTCCACTCCTTGGCGGCCTCATCGTCGGCATTCTCAGACTTGCGGATAAGGTATTGTCCTTCGGCGGGGCGCTGGATGTACGCGAATTGAAGAGTCTTATAGGGCGATTGCTCGGTGCCAAGCTGGGTAGTCTCGTCCTTGCCGACGTCCTCGTCGATATAGATGGTCGCCATGCTTGGGGAGCTCGGGTCGGCCGTTGGCGTGACAGATTAGTTTGTGGTTGTAGTCGAGTGCTTGTGGTGGATGCGGGGCCTTTTTGTCGTTGTTCAGTTGAGTCACAGAGATATGAATGTGGATGTCTGATATGGATGGAGGGGTAAAACCTCGACCCCTTATCTTATCGGGACTTTCTCTTCGCACCCGGAAGCGTTACTATTCACACCATGGTACAAGCCCTTCTCCCAAAGACGCAGCTAAAGCAACGTACCTACCATGTGCAAAATCGAGGGACATTGTTAGACTTGCAGCTTGCCTTTCTTGTTCAATCCGACCCAATACATGATTTGTTACTGTATTATTAGGAGCCATGAATACTAAGAGTCAGTCTTACTAAACAATGCATGTCCTAAATGCTTTCTTCGATGCATTGTTGATAATCACAGGAAGGTACGGTCAAGACATGTAGTAATGTGTGCGAATCAATGCTCACCTTATCAGCCATTGGGTTTTGGAGCTGCCGCCAGCCCGTCCTGCTCTTTCTTTGTCGGCGCCCATGTTAATCCGAAACAGGAAATCCATTGCCCCATACTACTACGGGATTCCAGTGATCTGCAAGGGACTAGGGCTCATTTGGCCTTGGTTTTCAAGAAACATGGCATGGTCGCAAATTAATGATCTCCCGCTGAGTGAGTCAATGGGTGCGCCTATGGGTGGTAAGACCGTAAGCACGCCCAAGTTTGCACCTAGACAGAGAGCGATCCTAGACGTGATTGAGTGTGACCGATTGAGCGTGACTTGAAGCGTGACTTGGGACCCAAAAATGGAGACAAATGCAACAAAGAGACAATGCGACAATGCGACGACGGCTGACAGGCGATCTTGGTGTTTGTTGCCGGGATGCACCACAAGTGGTTTATGCGCTGGCAGGATTCTAGTACACAGCCTCCAATGCCAACTTGCGCTGCCATCCAGTGACTCCGCCGCCGCGAGGCAGATCCGGACAAAGACCTGTTTCAGGGAGCCAGGGGTCCGCGCTTAGCACAACGTCATGGTTTATACGAGGCCTTGACCCGTCTCAGCGTCTGCCCCGGAATGCAGATGCCCTCAAACCTCCTTCATTCATACATCCTGCCCCGCCAATCCGGCTGTTCGCTTTCTTTTGTTGTCTTTACTATACCCACCATGGCCTTCATCGACGCGGCCAACTGCACAGCGGATGGCGATGCTGCCACTCCCAGCGACGCTGGCGTTGCTGGCACTGGTGTAAGATTTTGCCATGCGCCCGCCGCCAACGAACCCAACTGGATGCTGACGTGCGGCGACAGATCCTACTATCCTTCATGATCACGGCCCTCCTGGCCATCATTCTCTCGAGCAGCGTCATTTTCGGCGAATTTCGCGACAGGGATTCCATCATTCGACGGAAGCTTCTCAACAGCTACAGCGACTCTCAGATTATGCAGGGAATCGGAATCCAAAGTCGGTCGAACCTGTCGAAACACAATACCCGATTATAGCTAACATGTCGAAGGCGTCGGACTCGCAAAGATGAACACCCTCGTGCCGTACCACTTCTTCCTCATCTGGATGCTGTCCCTCCTGTCCATGGCCACTCACAACGCCACGCTACTGGCTCTCGTTCACGATTATCGCCGCGACTGGGTGATCCGATGGATGCGCCAGTTCCTTATGTTTGTCAACCTGGCGCTATCATGCGTCTCGGGAGTCTTCGTGCTTGAGGCCGTCTCCAAGGGCTTGGATGACAAGACATTACCCATTGCTTGCGTGTGGCAGGTTAAGGGAAATGGTGCGCCCTCGACGGCTGGGTTATCCTTTGTCGGTACCATTGCCGTCATCGCCGGCAACGTTATCATTTTCGCCCTTGCCACTTGGTATCTCCACAATCGTAACCAGAAGTTCTACAAGCTCATCCAGATTACTGGCTTGGTGCTGATGACGGCCATTGCCATCGGTGCCGCGATCCGCATCATCTTGCTATCTCAAGCCTTCGGAAACCCGTCCGTTGAACTCAGCGACCAGAATGAGAAATCGTGGGGCTTTGGGCAACTTCTATCGATACTGCTTCTCATCATGCCTCTGGTGTCGGTCATCGAAATCTACCGTGGCGAAATCCAGGTCGCCTCACCAGTCAAGGACAATCAAACTCGCGTGTACGACGGAGAGTTGCAGGAGGACCCGCAAGGGTCGCGAACGAATCTCTTCAAAAAATGATCCAAGATTCTCAATTGTTGAAAATGTCAGCACGAAGCGAAAATGTTAGTGATCGGAGTTTATGGGGCAAGGGAACCAAGCAAGTCGAGTTGGGATCTATGTTAATGAGCGTGCCACTTGGAGCAATACCCGTTTTATTGGAGCATCAACGGAGTTTTAGAGTAGGAGAATCAATACATCGAGGAGAGAGGAGACAGCCATTTACAGCTGAGCTATTATAGCGTGCGCTCGCCATGACGTAGCACACGCAATGTACCACACTCCAATCAGGTGCGACACTAACAGGAACCTCTAAGATCACTCTCCGTCTCAGCTATCTTGTTCACAGGTGCAGCAGGTCATTCATTCATTTGTGGTTTGATAATCGATCAACATGTATTTGGTATTTAATTAGGTGCAATCCTGCTCGTTTATTGGACAGTGCATTTCGCAGGAAGACCACAGGGACCCTCCTTGGGTTCTTTTTGTTCTTTCACACCCGAACCATTCTGCTTCTTGGCCTCGACGGGCTTCTCCGCAGGCGCGGACTTGCCACCGGTCTCGGCCTTGGTCTCGCTGCCATGCAGTCAACCAGTGTACTTGGCGACGGTCTCGAAAAAAGCCTCGCCCTGGATGGTGGCGAGCTCGAGCTCGCGGGGAGTGGGCTGGCGGGAGCCGTCGGCGGCGGCGAAGGTGCCGGCACCCCACGGGCTGCCACCGTGGACCTCGCTGAGGTCGGCCATCAGGGGGAAGGCCTTGGCGTAACCGAAGGGAACGTAGATGATTCCGTGGTGGGCGAAGGTGGACATGGCGGCAATGGCAGTCGACTCCTGGCCACCGCCGAGGGTGCCAGTGGAGATGAAGAGGCCAGCCATCTTGCCCCAGTAGCCACCGGTGGACCACTGCTTACCAGTCTGGTCCCAGAAGGCCTGTCATTGCAGACATGTTAGTTCTCTTGCTGCTTTACATGGATTCAGAAGCAAGAAATCTTACCTTCCACTGGCCGGGGAAGTTTCCGTATCGGGTGGGGATACCCAGGAGGAAAGCATCGTAGCTCTCGAGGGTGGCAGGGTCGGAGAGGACGGTGACGTCGGTGGGCTTGGGAGGAGCGTGCATCTTGGCGAGAACCTCCTCGGGGAGGGTCTCGGGGATCTGGAAGAGGTCGGCAGTGCCTCCAGCCTTCTCAATGCCAGCCTTCTCGGCCTCGGCCAACTGCTTGATGTGGCCGTACATCGAGTACTGTGAGAGGCATGTTTGTTAGCGCCAAGCTGGATCAATGAAGGGGTGGTGTGAGGTATTGCGATTGCGAAAGTTGTACACTGGAGCTAGACAGCACTCCATGTGAGACATCATTGGGGATTGGAGAGGGAGGGCAAGCCAGAGGTGGCAGCGAGGGTCATGGTGATGGGTAGGGTTTGAGGGGGTCAACCACATACGTAAACGATGGCGATCTTGGGAGCCATTTTGATTAGATTGTATCGGGTATCGAGCTTGAGAGTGAAGAAAGAGTCGAAAGGCTGAGAGTGTGAGTGATGAAGTGAGGGCAGAAGGGGACGGAGAGAGGGGAGCTCCGAAGAGTCTTATACCTTAGTCCTCTCTCGTCTCCCGCAGCTCGGCTACACTTCCGCGTATGCCCACGCCCACGCCGCCCACGTCTACAGCCGATGGACGGATCCATGTGTTTGCAGCAATAGCATCACTGTAGGAACTGCACCCTCAGATGTGATGAGATCATTGGCCCCGTTCTTTCACACCCTCCCTGTGTCTCTAGCTAGACATCGCATGCACTGTACCAACCTAAATCGCATCGCACCTTGCTGGCAAAGCTATCTCCCTCCAGCTAGCGACCAACCGAAATCTACGAGGTGGTTGGTTTCGGGAGATTGAGATACGCCCGGCGTGTCATTCGACGTCCCTGGATATGGAATTATTTCAATGCATTTCTAAGCAATTCTAATGTTATCTGACGTGTGATGCTGCTGCTCGGGGGTGAGAGAGAGTGGAGGGGGGGGTTGAGGCTGGAGCATGGCCATGGCCGCCGCCGAATCGGCCGAGCCCAATGCCGAGTCAAGCTCGCTTTGGTCACTCCCTCACCGGCCTCAAGCTGTAAGAACGTTCCATTGCGTCAATTGCATGGCGTCCTCCTCTCAGAGCGAGACTTGGAATGTTTAGCTCGGCCTGTCACTGTCGCGGATGCCAGCCACGACGGCCATGGTAACCCCATGGTGCAAGCCTTTCCCTTCTGGGGGCGTATGCCAAGCAAAAACACACAAGACACCCATCCATCTTCCGTACTTCTCCACCCTGCGTTGGCTCCCCCAGCCCTCTCCCCCAGGGGTTCTCTCACATAATAGTGTTTTGCCTTGTTGCTACTGAGTGCTGAGTCAAAGCTGATGAAGGCGCATTGCTTGGTCAAGCTTACATGCTAACAGATACCGGCAAATCCCCCCACCGCGGCGGGGCTGCACACCAAGCTCTCCACTAGGCTGGCCTATTACACCATCCTGACAAACCCCCGCATATCAACTTTGCCCTCCTTAGCAATCCAGCTCGCGCGCGGCTCCGTGTCAAGCTTAGCTAACGCTTTGATAAGCTACGAGATATTACTGAGAGCTTGTCTGATTCTGTGCGAGGATTGGCTCTGCTGGTTTGAGGCCCCACCAGCAAGCAGCACATGCGATGCTCAACCAGGAATACCCTCTCCCCTGATCCGTCGACACCGTCTTTTCCCCACAGCTCATCTGAGATTCAAGATGCATCATGATTCGATTGCTTTATCATCGTTGCACCTCCCGCGCGGCTGGTACGCTGGGCCGACCCGAAAATGCACATTGATTAGTGAGCACAGAACAAGTTCTCAAACTCCGTCTCGCTCTCCTCCCCTCTCTTCTCCTCTCTCCTCTCCTCTCCTCTCCAATCTCCATCCCCCATTTACATCGCCAACCTGCCAAGCCGAACCAACAACTTCTCAACACAAACGGAAGCTAACACTAGCTCTGGTGGATCGCCTAGGTAAAAGCTCATCCCTTCAACCACGTGTCTCGCCACCCCTCGCACATGCCCTGTCTTCACTTGGACAAACAAGTCGTCAATCGCGAAACACATGCAAGATTCATCATATGAGATGCTGCTGCTCCCACAAGAATTTCTAGCCTAGCCCTCGGTCGATCGAGCTAAACCGTTGGTCCCAGCCGCCAGCGCTGCAGCCATGCAATGAGTTGCAATCCCACGTTATCATCACTTGCCGAGTAGTTGTCATCGATTTGAGGATACCATAGTCAAGAGTCAACTCACGATAGCGATGCATTTCCAGACTTTGCAAAGTACAAAACAGGTTATCTTGAAGCGCCACAAAGCAAGAGAATTCATCAGGTAAATTTCAGATACATCGGTCAGTCTCTAATGTACAACGCCCACGACGAAACCGCCGGGACTACTGCCGCTGTCATATGTGTCCCATCTAATACACTATCTTCTTTTCCAAACCTTGCCTAACATATATGCAAGTCCAAATCCAGACCATGCCAACACAGATCACATCCCATGCTGCTGTACTGGCTCAATTCGTACCAGGTTGAGGAGTCTCTCCAATACGTAACCTTCATTATACCCCAGGACCAAACTCCATGCTTCCGTGAATAAAACACGTAGTCGATGAAAGAAAGAGGAACAAGAAAACAACTCCAACAAGAAAAATCATTCAAAGTGAGGTTTCATGGCGATCATCTCGAGGGTGAGCACTCGACGGCTCAATGACAATCTCGGGAAGCCGTGAGATCCTCAAGCTGGGAAGCTGGGGCACACCGCCCACTCCGCGGCCCAAGGACTGGGTGAGAGTTTCGGGCTTCGGCTCCACCGCTTCGTCTGAGCGGACCGTAGCAGTAAGACTGCGCTGCGTCCTCTGGGATGCTGAGCGGTATGGGCCGGGGTAGTCTGGCGGGGGTTCATGCAGTGGCGTTGTCGATCGGTTCTCCTCGGACAGAGATACATCATGATATTCTGGCGGGGGCATCGCGGTATCACCCAAATCGGTCTCTGTAAGATCGGCGCTCGACCCTGTTCTTGCCTCTCCGTTTGGCACCCAAGGCCCTCCTGACTGAGAGTCTCCCCGGGTGTGTGTCGGGGTGAGAGACATGAAGTCTGTGTCGGCGCTCGCAGCGGAGCTTGCGCTGCGTCCTCGGTTATGTCCAAGACTTATGCTCCCGGCGTCGGCAAGTAGTCCCACACGTTCGCTCTCAGTGCTGTTGGCCCGGATCCTCGTCCCATCATGGCGAGCGATCCCCACGTCTGCGTATGACACACTCGACACTGACCGGTTACGAGTGTCCTTGATTTGGTCGACAGTGGTTCGAAGATCGGCAATGGTAGTGTCCTCGTTGGCGGCGCGTGTTCGGGCGCGGATATCCTCCAGGGCGGCTGAATCGTTGAGTCTCCGTGCCTCGCGACGTTGTTCTCTCCGCTCTTCCCGCTCCGCTATAAGTTGCCGCCTCGTGGTCCGAATCTGGTACATCGTTTCCATCTCTCGATCGCGTAGCTCTTCCTCCTCCTCCTGATTCGGAAGGTCTACGATAACGTCGACTCCGTCACGTTCTCCCTCTCGACCTAGAACTTGTTCGCCGGTTGCCGCCATCTGGCGGTATGCGGGCAGGGTCATGATGGACCTGACGGAGGTATTGCGATCAACAGTCGCCGTGGCCGTATTGCCTCGATTCGCGGCGGACTGCGCGGTATTGCGCCGGCCCCCGGTCGAGTTGAGCTGATGTGACTGATCAGTATCATGGCCCGATGTTTGCTCGTATTGGCCGCCACGGAGGCGACCAGTTATTCGTCCGAAGAAGCCTTTTTTCTTTTGGTCGTCAGTCTGTTCCACATTGCCTGATTTCCGGGTCTTTCGAGAACGGCAGACCCAGACTACAGCGATGAGGAGGACAAAGACGACGGCGGCAACGACCTGTAGCAATCATGACGGATTAGTTTCCCTTCTGGTTCGCAGCGCTTGGTGTTGAGATGCGACGTGGTTGCATGCTAACTTACAACAAGAACAATGGTAGTTGTCGAGCTATCCCCGCCAGAGTTCTTATCTTTGGATGGTTCTGCCCGCGGATGACCATCGCGGACATCCCACACATGGGGTTCCGCAAAGCTCAGGTACATCTTGGACTCAGCTGCAGCATGCAGACCAAGACGCCGGGTCAGGACAAGTCCAGCAGAAGGGTCGATTGGGAGCGTCAGTGGCGAGCGTGGCTGTCGCTACCGTGATGCCTGGTGAAGGCAGTGATTCGGGTGGTTTGTTTAGGAGCGAGGTGGTGTTGAAGCGAGGCACGGAGCATCCGGCTTGTGTGCCTTTGAATCTGGGTCTGGGTCTGGGTGCGGGCGAGGCACCTTTTTCCAGGCACAGCCGCCGTGTCGGTCGCGAGGTTGGTTGGCTGGTGGGCTTGGCTTGGCTTAGGTCGAATCGACTGGGATCGTGGTCCAGGCCCGCTTCTGCTCGGGTCCGGGGGGGCCTATGCTGGGCCTCTGCTGGGCCTCTGCTGGGGGCTTCCGCCAGGGACTTTTTGATTATCGCTTTCGCTTTCTCTAGGGCTGATGCTGGTAGAGACGAACATCCAGCCCATCCAAAGAGCCAAACGAAAGGCAAATAAGAGCACACGATAGAATGGTGGGCAAGTGAGACACGAGATCGAGGTTGACGTAGTAGCCAAGTGAATGCGAGGGGAACCAACCCCGTCACAGCCGTTGCCAGCAAGCAGGCGTCACAAGTGGTGAGTGGGCCGGGTTTGGCCGTCAGAGGAGGCCGGCGCTACCGATGCTCCGCAGTGAGCGATCGACGCTGGGTGACATCAGGCGGTCGTGACCCTGGCTTGTTGGGTGCTTCCGAAGTACTATGGAAACAGCTTCTTGCGTTCTCCCAGCGCGCTGGCGCAGTCGGAAGGCAGTGGTGGGTGGGTGCTTGGGGGCAATGCAACGCGACGCTGTCGCTGGGAAGGCGGGGATGAGGATCAGGATGGTGGACGCAACTGGGATGGAGTGACGGAGGCTGAGATGAGATGAGATCAGACGGCCACACCAACAAGAACGGCTGAATTGGTGAATTGGTAAATGGACTCGTCTGTGTGTTGCCACCCGTGTTGGCTGCCTGTGGCTGGTGTCCTCCATCCCCAAGACCTTCTCTGTCCACCCGTCCCGCGCTACAGGAACCGTAATAATATTGACAATTCGCTTGGCTGAGCTGTGCAGTTGTCGCACCAAGGCATGTGGGAGGACCGCGTTCCGTACCGGCGTCCAAAATACCCAGCGCAGTTACGCAGTTACGCAATCAACCCAGATCCACGGGTCCCTAGTCTCCAGTGCTCCACGTTCCGCCAGGGCTCGGAGGTTCCACCTCCAGCTAGGTACCCAGGGCCCAAGTCCCGCCCGGCTTAATGCTAATAAACGCGCAATGAGTGTAGTGCGTGGAGGTTACCTGCTCCTCAACGCAGGCGTTGCCCACGGCCGGTGGCTTAGCACCTTGGCCGCCCTAAGTGGTGCAGTTGGTGAGTGTGGGATCCTGCTCGTCACATCAGCATCCCGTCTCCATCACGTGGAGCGGTCATGGAGACTTTCCTCTCGATACATTCTGGCATTTCCATTCAATTTGAGACTTGGGATCTCAAAATACATGCCTAGGTACCTTCTACTTCATTCAGGCACTAACCCCTCGTATTACAGTGGCACAGCACTTGACTGAGGCGCTCCTCCATACGTAACCCCCCTGCCTGGAGTGGCAACTCAAATTCTCCTTTTACACGGATCTCGCTGATGACTTGTTCCAGTTTGATAAGACCCGGACCAAATGACAACAATGCTACTATCCAATACCGCAGACCTCATGCCCGATGGCTATCAACTTCTCCCAGAGTAGATGGATTTAAGTTCAACTCCAATTAACCTGTCCAGGAAGTGGCTCACGCCCTAGCCTGATGAAGGAATCAGCCATCGAATACCTGAAAGAGTCTCCCCGTATCTCAACTACTTGCCAGTGATGAACTAAGACCACTCACATTTTCCCAACTGCACTTGAGAGCGCGGTACACTTGGGTAGTATGTATTGTTAACGCCTATCGATCATTCTTGCTGGTTTACGCATCTCGCCGTCGAGGAGCGGACGAGTACTTACTGCGAGTACTTGGGAGCAATTTCTCGGCAGTTGTTCAAATTATAGCCGCGCTACTCTCCAGGCCAACCCGGTCAAAACGAGCAAATAGGCCCGTTGTTGGAGGAATATCACGCCCTCCAACATCCCCATGTAGATCAAATGACATGGTTGGCTGAACGCCAGTCTTAAAAAGCAGCGGCTCTTCAACGCCTCCTCGCGAATTGCAACCAGTACGGAGGGCTCTTTCAAAAGTCTTGTCCAAGCGCTAGTAACATCATATCCATTTATCCCTATCGGTTACCTGAGATACATGAAGCTGTCACAGTCTCGTTAAACGGCCGCTGTACTTCAGGAGTAGTACGCTGCTGATCAGGATATAGCGGTTGTTGTATGCTGTAGCCTGCTATCCTTTAGGGCCTATAGAAATCAGGAAGTACTTAGTGTACTTATTATCTAATCTAATAATTAGGACTTACTTCTTATGGATAAGACTTTTGAAAGGGCCCTCCGTACAGGTATTAGAGATCCCACGCCATTGCGTGCGGAAGGCGCTGTGGGGCTACGTGTGGCTGCAGGAGGCGCAGTGGCCGAGACCACGCACTACTTTCAGCACCGCCCGCCTGCTGATATTCAGAAGCAAGGTGAGGATCGCGGGAAGATAGATCAGCCTTTCGCCGTGCATGGGAAGAGGATGCGAGGGTGACAAGATGCGATACGTCTGACCCGGACATTCCGTACGAAGGACAATGATACCGCCATTTGCCGATGTCATGCCATAAGTAGTGTGGCTTGACAGTGGATATCCGTCACACGATTCCACGACTTCTATCCACGCCTGTGCAGAAAGCGGCCAGAAATAGTCTCAAGCATCATCCCGTAGGGCACCACAGATAACAGTCCATACTACAATTACTACGTCAAGACCTGAGTGGGCGCAATGGGCTTCTTCCTCCAAATAATGCTCGCATTGATCCCCTTGGAAAAAGACCGGCTGGATTGCGCCCCTCACCATCCGTTTTCACACAAATGCAGCACTTGCAATGCGCAAATAACTCACGCAACAATCGCTGGCACGAGCTCCCACGGCCACGGCTTTCACAGTGGTGGGTTCTGCTAGACTCTCGCTCAACACTCCCCAGGAAAAATTCATCCAGCTCGCATTAATTAAGCAATTACGAAATTAGGTTGGGACAGGAATCACCCAACACATGCTACAGAAGAGGAACTTGCAACCTCCTGCTCCTCTCGGCCGCCCAGCAGCCACTTCCCCATCGTGCCGCTTATCCAAACTTCTTCTCAAACTTCTTCAGCATCCCAGATACTCCGCGTTCCAGCCGTCCCGCATTCTCCTCGAGCTTGCCCCTGGGTTCCTTGTTCTGCGAGTAAGGATGCAACTCTGAGTCGCTCATCTCTTTCTGTGTCGGTCGATACACTTGCTGGTGGATACTGTAATCTTGGGCTCCAGGCTGGGCCTGTGGGGGCTGCTGATGAGCGTATGAGTACTGCGAGAAACCACCCGGCGGAGGCGGAGGGAGCGCGGGGTTGGCTGCGGGCGGTGTTGGGTGCCCTGGAGGTTGGATAATGGCCTGCTGCAGCGGCGGTTGCGATGCCGGCGGGCCAGGAAACGTCGAGCCGTAGGGGCTACCGAGACCGCTTTGGACAGGCATCGTCGCGGCCCGGTGAAGGCTAGGATGCTGCGGTATAGCACCGAACTGGGGCGGGGGCAACCCGGGACTTTTCAGCGGGAATTGCGACGGGGGCGGCATTCCAGGAGTGAATGGTTGCTTATGGTAGTCATATGCAACGGCCACCGCCAACGGGTTGAGCGGATCCTCATCTGGCGGGGGTGTCTTCTCCCGATGCTGTATCGTCTCCGGCGCAGCAGGAGCCGCGGGGTTGTAAGCCATGGGCACAAAGGTAGCTGGCGCTGCTTCGGTTGATGGGGGGGGCGCCTTCGGGGGCGGCGCGAAGCCATGTGAGATGGGCTGCGAGGGTGCTTTCGCTGCTCCGTACTGTGGATCAGAGATGGCCATATTCTCTAGGTTTTGAACCACGGAGCTCATTGGAGCTGGCTGAGGAGGGGGGCCAGGTTCGTCGAGAACTTCTACCTGCGATGGTTGAATGACCATTCTCACGCCATTGACGAACTGGAGCGCATCTTGTTGTGTCCAGAAGTAGATATCCAGCGAGTGGAGCTTGTAGTGGTATTTGTTCTCATTTCGCGGGTCGTAGGTCGGTAGGTGCCATTCCCCTTGGTCAACGTTGTCGGCTACGGTAAGTGATACCTTGCAGTGTTGTTTGTAAGAGTATCGAAGGTGGGTCTGGTCAAGGACTATCCGCGGGAGATGGTTAGTGCCCATCCCCTCATATATGGCGCAGTTCCTTACATCCGTCAAAGGCGTCTTGATCGTCGCTTCCAGGGTTGTTGGCGACTTCAATGCGACACCGCCTCTCGTTTGCGTTCTCAAACAGGTAGACATAGGAGCCCTTGTCGAATCGATGGTGGCGTGGCTTTACTTCTGGGGGCCCATAGAAGTAGTGGATATCTGCAAAGCTGTGGGCGTGGTGAGTCAAAGTCCAAAGTCTTCCGTGTTCCCACGTCGCAGACTTACAGCGTCGCGACGTTCTCCTCTCCCGGCCGCACTGCCATCGTGTGGGGTTTAAGAAGCTTAAGGCGTGGCCAACAGCGACGTCAAGTAAGATCCAATAAGAATGAGGGGCAACTCGGAGACAGTCGTCGTCGTCGTCGTCGCGAGAAGCAACAAGACCAGAGGGCAGAGATTGCAGAAATAGAAGAGGGGAAATGCAACCCAAGCTCAGCAACTTGCGGGCAGCTTGGGTTTTGTACTCGTGTGCGCCACTTAGCAGCTCGGCGGCAACAGAGCTGATCTGCATCTGTTCCAACGGCCGACATTGATGTGCAGCCCTGTGATGGCTTTCGATGTCGGCGCTTAAACGCCTGTTTTTGGCTGTTCTAGGAGAGGGGGAACTGGCCCGCTGGCCAATGACGGTGGAAAGACCCTTGGTGTCGTCAACGTGTCCCACGACGACCCCACATCGTCATCACAGTAGAATCGGCATGATCGACACACGTGACTTCGTGTTCTGCCTAGAGCGCGTTAAGCCTCAGAGGGGCAAGGATCACGTCTCAGCTCTTCCGTCATACCTCCCGACGCGACGCCTACGGAAGCGGCTCTCAGGCTTTGCTTCATGATGTTTCTGCGATATCTGAGAGTGTCACCCTCCCATATCTCAAAGTTCTTAGTCTTCCCTTCGCGATGACCTCTCCAGAGCCTCAACCGCCAGAGGAGTCGCCACCCTCCAACGTTGCCCCAGCGGAAGAGATCGACGACCTCAAGACCCTCAAGTACCATCTACTTGGGCCTTCACTCACCAAGGCCGGCCTGGATAAAGTGGACCAAGGCAAGGTACATAATTCTCCATGTCGTTTTGACAAGCCTTGCTAAGAAAGTGTTCATCAGGTCTCGGAGATCATCTACAACGCCTCTAAAGGCTCCAAGTTCTTCGACCGCGAAGAAGTTCGTGACAAAGTCCTGACCCACAAGATCGAGCAAATAATATCCAGGAAGTCACACCTCGAAAAGCAAGATTTGACCCGAGAACTCCGGAATGCCGATCGATTGATCTCAGAGTTTGAGGTCTCCAGAGACTTGACCCAGCACATTGTTCACGTCGATTGCGATGCCTTCTACGCAGCTGTGGAGCTGCTGGATCGACCAGAGCTGAAAGATCTACCGTTTGCTGTGGGAGGTGGGGTTTTAACGACCTGCAACTACGTGGCTCGTCAATATGGCTGTCGATCTGGCATGGCCTCCTTCGTGGCCAAGAAATTATGCCCGGAACTCATTTTCATCAAACTCAACTTTGACAAGTACAATGCCAAGGCGCAAGAAGTGAGAGAAGTTTTTGTCAATTATGACCCCCGGTTTGAGAGTGCTAGCATCGACGAAGCCTATCTCAACATTACAGAATACTGTCAAGAAAAGGACATCGATCCTGCCGAAGCGGTGGAGCAAATGAGAAGAGAAGTCCATGAAAGGGCCAAAATCACGGTGTCGGCTGGCATCGCGGCGAATGCCAAGTTGGCAAAAATCTGTTCCAATATGAATAAGCCCAATGGGCAGTATGTACTACCCAGCGATCGTGGTGCGATCATGACCTTCATGAGGGATCTGCCCACCCGCAAGGTAAACGGCATCGGTAGAGTTCTCGAACGGGAGCTGTTGGAGATTGGAATCAAGACATGCGGCGACATCTACGAGCAGAGACAGTTCTTGAACCGGCTCTTCGGCGAAAAGACTTCCACATTCCTGTTCCGTTGCTACCTTGGCCTCGGCCGCACTAAAATCCAACCCGCTGAGGAGTACGAACGTAAGAGCGTCGGCACTGAAAGCACCTTCCGGGAGATGTCCGAACCCGCCAAGTTCAGAGAAAAGCTTCGCTGGACCGCCGATGAACTCGAGAAAGACCTGAAGCGTGCAGAGTGCAAGGGTCGCACCCTCTGCCTCAAAGTGAAGCTACATACATTTGAAGTTTTCACCCGCCAGGTCGTTGTTCCTCGAGCCATCCACCTCTCGGATGACTTATACAACTATGCCCTACCCATTCTCACGAAGCTCGAGCAAGACATGCCAGGTCTGAAACTGCGGCTCATGGGCCTCCGGCTCACGCACCTCGTCAGCACAAAAAAGCCAGACACCATGAAGTTCTTCGGGTTCAGAAGTCAAAAAAACGAGTCTGGGGATCAATCGGATAGCAGTCTCAAGAGAAAGGCCATTGACGATGACGGAGAGTGGGAGCAGTGGCCAGAAGATGAATTTCAGGATTATGGCCTCCCTGACGACCTACCCAGCCATCCTGAGGACATGGGCGACGGCTCTCCAAATCGTAGGCACGGCAAAGAGATCGTACCTAATCCCACAGTGGAGAACCTACCTCCGGAGGAATTGTGGGATTGTCCCATCTGCGGTCGGCCACAGGCAACCGATGAGCGACTTTTCAACGAACATATTGACCTTTGTTTATCTCGCCAGACGATCCGTGATGCAGTCCATGCTGATGGACCGTCAATATCGCGAGACCCAACACCTGAGGCGAAGAGGCCCCGGGTAGCAGAGAAGAGGAAGGGGCGTCCACGGGCTGTTGACCCGAAGCAGAAGCAGCTACAGTTTGGATAAGAATGAATATGGTGTCTACCATACGAGTAGCTTTGACTTGGATAATGAATATAAATAACATGATTGACGGCACAACATACTCGGATTGGTGCTAAATACGGGATCCTTTTAAATTTTATTCTAGCATTCAGCAGCGCCCATCTACCAAGGCTTGTGGCGATCCAAGTGATCGCCTAATAGTTGGTAGCACCTTTGGGTCTCAAACGATCAATCAAGCTGTGCAAGGACCCCGGTCTGTCTAAGAAAAAGCCACATCAGATTTACCACTACTAGCTTCACATTGCCATCCATGTTTTAATGTGGCCAAGGGAAAGAGCCTGGTGCCATGGAGGTATTCTCGGTTGAAGCCTGACAATAAATCGAACAAGATATGCCTGTCTTCTTGGGCAAAGTTCAATTATCGGTGCCCTTACTCATCCCCACGAGGACATTTACTCCACAGGGTTTGGGCGGAGAGGAAACTCCTCGAACAGCATTTCGTCAATGGAAATACAAAATTGAGACCGTTCAAACCAGACTAGAAGTTTATGGAGGTGACATAAACTTCGTTCTCAATGTTGAAATGGGATAAAGACCGAGCCCTTCCAAGTACCCTAGAGTGATATGTGGCATTATGTGAAGACTTATTAGCTGAGCAACCAATTCGGTCCGGATTTTTTATTTATTTGGTACTCTATAGTCCCACCGACCTCTGGCCCTAGGGACATGAAGTATGTGTGGAACGCGGTGCTAGGACGAGTACTTACGGGTGGACAGGGAGGACTCGTGATATGCTCATCGAAGTTATGTAGAGAATAACAATTTTGATTTCTCTCTATCGAAAGAGTGGAGCACAATGGCAACACATGAGCTGAATCTAACGTCCCTTCTGGTACATACGACCATAGCTCTTAGAAAATACGGGATCCCGTCCGCTCTCCCTTAGTCAAGCTGAGAAGCGGCGAATTAGTACTCGGGTCGGTGACGACCGGGGAATCCTCGCTGTTGTATGTTTTTTTCTTTGATTTTTATTATTCTCTCCGTCAGTTCTTTTTGTGTTGTGATATTTGGTCTCCCTTGGAGGCAATGAATATCAGCCGTGGGGTGCCCTTGACACGCGACGATTCTTCCCACAAGTTGTGTTGCGATCTTGTAAACGATCCAATGGGTCAAACTTAGGTCACTCTGTTCAGTTCAACATTACTGGCCTGGTGGCAATTTGGGAGAACCAGCATGGGTTGTAGTTGGCCATATTTATTCTGTGCTATTAACCCCGTAGATGCGTCTATATTTTACCCCCCTTCCCGTCCACGTAATTGAATTAGCGATATAAATCCTTAAAAACCCAAAACGCCACGCTTGCAGATCTACTAAAGTCTAGTAAAAAGACCCTGCCTAGTCTATATTGCCGCGGCTGGTGATTTGATCCATACTCATCGTCATGGCTCGCCTAATTCGCGAGTCCTCTTCTTCTTCCCTTTGCAACTTCAGCCCTGGCAATCTGACCGCCTTGTCTAGTGCGACGGGCAGGCCTCGATGGCGTCCTCTCAACATCACGATACACAAAACAACCTTGCTGCCAGGGTGCATACCGCCCGAAAAACTATAGTTGGCACCGGGAAGGCCTATTGAAAGGCCAACGCAGCCGTACGCAGATACAACCTCAAATAGCACGTTGAATATGCTGTATGCAAGAGGTTGGTCGAGGAAGTGATCCGTTTCGATGATCATGATAATGAGCAATGGCACGACTAGCCACCACAGATCGTGGGCAAGCTGACCTCGAATTTGCTGTCCGATGAAAGAAACAGGGGAAGTATCCCCGGAGCCTTTAGCCGGAGGGACACCGACGCCTTGAAATGTCATTGATCTCTTTACCGTCTTGCTGATTACTGCAGCAGTAGCTCTCCGTCGAAGATGTCTCTTGGCTGGATCATCGTTATTATTCGAAGGAAGTGTTGTCAAGTCGTCTTCTGGCTGTCCCTCAGCAGCCGGGTCATCATCATAGATACCAAGGGACCTTTCCTCGTAGACATTGGAGTGTCGCATTGTGATGGACACTGGATAAACGGAAATATACATCATGATCATGTACAAAAGCTGGACGGCGGGATAGAGGGCGGACATGGAGACCACGGCGAAACCGGCAGCACGAACAGCTGAATACAATGTCAGTTATTGCGACGACGCCAAGGACGAGATATTTACTTACCAATTGCTTGAAACCAGCCAGCAAAGATCCGGTCTGTCATGGGTAGTGCCTCGACGGTTGGGTTACCAATGTTCAAGACCTCAAACGCGACCCAGTCGATGGTGTTAATCAGAAGAAGTATGAGAAGTAGCCACCAGGTCGCCTGAGAAGGAAATAGCGTGGTGTAGACTCTTCGAGGGTACTTGAGGATGAACTCGACTGTCTCTTGCCATGGCCCATAGGTGGATGAGCCCTTTGCTAATTGAAGAGTTTTGAGCATCAACCATAGAATAAATCGCAGGAAGAGAGGATATGCTGTGTTCCCGGCGAGAATAAGAAGGCCAACGACGACTAAAACGAAGTAAGAGCCTTGAAAGACAGTCATACCGGCATCGATGACCGACATCCCAGCGTTGTTGAAGGCGGAGACAGATAAGAAAATCCCCGACCACCAGGGATTCGCACCGTAGTCCCTCGCAGCAGTTGGATTATTGATGGCGATCCAGGCACCCAAGGCAACGGCGCCTAGAAACTGCCACAGGAAACCATACATGGGGACGGTGACGGCGAGAATCTTCAGAGCACGGTACTCACAACCGCCGAGTGCCTCTCGCTCATCTGAAGTCAGGTCGTAAAATTGTCCCCTGCGGCTAACATTGTGATTTCCCAATATCTTTTTCCAGTGTAAGAGGAAGTCTTCTGATTGATCTGAGCCGGCGGAATCCGCAGTTGAAGGCCGTCGAGCATCTCTATTGGTTCCCTGGTTGTCGTGCTGGTAGATGGATGCGCTGCCTCTTCGCTCGGGGCGGCGCCCAAAAGACTCAGCGAATCGAATATGATCCCTTGAAGAGATATCCGCCTCAGATGCAAGCGTCGTCGTCCTGCTAGGATTCTCTTCTGTGTCTGAGGGGATGGATTCTTCGGGGCACGAGACGGTACGACGGGCATCGATGCCAACAGAGAGCAGATCATTGGGATCATCGACCGCTTCTTCGATTTTTTCTGAGACGCGTTGGCGGGTGCCTAGGCCTGGTAAGATACCTCCAGTTGCAGGGGGCGATGTCTTGAACTTGTCAAAGGTGAAGAATTGGCGGAAGGCCGGGGTCTGTTTGGCAGCGGCACGGCGTTTCCGACTCTCACGTTCTGTCTCGACAATGTCCTCGAAGCGCTTTTCAAAGGCGTGCTTACGGGCCAAGACGGTCCAGAATGAGACCCAAATGACGCTGCCGATGATGAATAGGATCCAAAGCAGGACTTGCTGCCATGTTGTCAAAGTGCTAAGATCTACCGAGTTGAGGCCCGTGTTGGTGAATGAAGAAACAACGAGGAACATGCAATCAACAAATTCGATGTTGTTACGGGTATTGCTGGAGCCCCATAGGATGACGGAGAAGAGGAGGGATCCTAGGATGAAGTAGGCGTAGTGTATGGTGATGTAGTTGATGGGCGGTACCCCGGCACGAACTGTCGAGACGAGAGACGCGAGGCGAGGATGCTCCTCGAGCAGGTCGTCCCAATGATTCTTGATTGAGCCAAACATTTTGGGGGTCAAATAACAGGGCAAGACGCGCACGCGCCAGCGCCAAGTAGGAGGTTTCGAAAGTGCGATGCGAAGCCTCGATTGGTTTGTGAAGTAAGGTGATACCGGGTTACTTGAAGAGCGAGGACATGGTGGATCGAATAAGTCGAAGGCGATGCTGATTGCGGAAGCGGTCAAGAATCGATGGTGATGGTCTGCAAAGGTGAAGCCAAACAAAGAGGCACCTACAAAGAAGATGAGGCGAGGATATGCGACAATCAGAGAGACGGAATAGAAAGGGGAGGGCCGAGTAACAAAGGGCAGGTCCGTAAGTGCAAGGAAGGAGTGGAAGACGTAATTGCGCGGAGACCGAAATGGACCGAAATGGATAACTTAGGTAGGTACGAAGCGGGAGACCTTATGGGATAAGCTGTGACACCTGGGCGTGCATGGGCTAGAGCAGGGTCGGGGCCCAAACCAGCCAGTTGCAACAGGGTCTGAGGTTTGAAGGGGACACGAAATTCAAGGGCACAAGGCGACATTGCGTGTCATATCAGGTACCACCCAGTCCCCCCACGGCTTGGCCAAAACACGGGCGTCCCTAGCGGTAAATCAGCTCTTGGCTGGCGCCCGCCCACTGATTGCTGCTCGCTGCTCGCTGACAAGGGCAGCTCTACTGTGGAGTACTGTACTACGCAAAGGGGACAACGGGACAACGATGAGGTGAGTCGCATGGATCCAATGGAGCACAGCGCATATGCTAAGACCCAGTTAACAGCCAAGAGAGAGCCAATTCGGCCAGACGGGCAACGAGAGAGACGTCGTGTTCGTCGAAACATATCCCTTGCTGCGTATTAAACATGTCCCTTGAGCTGCTCCAGCCCTGGGATCGGCCCACCGAGTTCCGCTACATAATTTACATGGATGTCGTGATGTCGCAATGCCGTGCTGTCCATCGTACAGTTTTTGCCACTGTCGAGCACCCGCCCATTGCACCCCGTCTGATTTGCACACTTGGTTGTCGCGTTAAGATTCGTCCCTTCCCCTATCATCCGCACCACCACCACCACAGTAAACTTCCGCCCCCTGGCGCGCCGCTGCTTAGCTCCCGGGGCCGCGGGCTTTTAATTAGTGGGTAACGTCATCCACTGGCTGGCATCGACGCGGGCGGGTATCAGTGGAGGTGCCGCTGCAACATTAACTTGGAACTTTGGGAGGCCAACATCGGACACGCCATGAGTCCCATCAGTTCCGTTGCATCCATGTTAACACCGTATAGATGCCCGATTCCATCGAATTTGCATCTCACGCACAGCCTTTTGGGCGTATACGGCCATCTCCAAACAATCATACGAGTATGACGAACCTTGCGGCTACACTTTGACAACGCATTTACTCTTGTGCCAGCGAGAAGTCCGAATTAACTTTTGAGTATTCAAACAAAATACGGCGTCCTCGTGCCGAGTGGCTCCCGGGGCGGGTGGCTGTCTGGTTCCGGCGGGTTCATCCTTGGCTCCGTCAGATCGGTGGTGGCGGAGCAACCTCCTCACGTCCAGCTCATATTAAGCATTTTATCGTCGCACTGTCGTTGCCCGAGTTTCAACCAGATGCCTGGATACGTGTGCGTTTCCTTGCCTCCTTTACCGCCTCGATCCGATCATAGGCTCGATCATTGTCGATTCCCTTCAATTCAGAATCTGACTTGCTCTTACTTCGTACTCACCGCTTCAATGCTCCCAAGGCACAAGACACCGAGACTCCCGTGCTTACATGTGGACACTGGCCTGAAACAGGTTACGCCCAAACCGCTGGCAAGTGGTTATCTTTAACAACTACCGGGAAATGCGGCTGGCCGGATAGAGCTTACTCTTTTCCCGAGATTAGTTATGAATATACTCTGCTATGTCACTTCCTGCTGCAGCTCTCGAAGTTGTTCAACCTAGTCCCCCGTCCTGGCACACCAAGATTTCCTCAATCAATGCAATATCGGTAATGTGTCTTTCATGGCTACGCACATATATTCCTCTCGCCATGAGAATGTGCGTTATTCGCGTGGATACCCGGGCGTTGTCCATTGTGCGTCTCTACGATGACCATTTGGACACCGGAAGGGGATCAAATGCCGGGGTTCCATGCCGGTGAATCAAATCGTCCACCGAAGTATGGACATGTCACCGAATAATTGCGATCGCCGTGGCATCTTGCACATGTCACAGACACTGGAGGACGGCCAGCACTGCCCTTGCCAGACTGTCCATATCAAGCTTTCGTTGGGGCTGCCGTACACATGGGATCAACGTAACCCATTATCATCATTTTTCTGTTCTAGGATTCTAGGATATTCATGCAACCATTGTGATCACACATATAGTCATTACAGCTCCTCGTGAGCCGCGTCGTCGGTGTCGGCGAGAATCGTCTTGACGGCCTCAGTAGCCTCGGACGCGGCGCTGACAAGCTTCTCAGCAACGCCCTCAGCTACACTCTCGGTGTCATCAGCAGCCTTCTCAGCAGGCTCGGACTCGACCGTAACGTAGTCAATCGGGTCGGGCTTCGTGACGCCATCGATGCCAAGGAGCTCCGTCTCGAAGACTGTAATTGAGGTGTTAGCTGCGATTCTCAAAAACACTGGGGTGGGTTAATCGTACTGAGAGTTGATCCAGCAGGGATAGGGCCTATGGCGCGCTGGCCGTAGCCAAACTCGGGAGGGATAGTCAGCTTCCTAGATTAGAGTCAATACGGTACACTGCGAGAAACGTGAGCGGGCAGTCGTCACTAACCTCTTCTCGCCAATGCACATGTCCAGGAGACCCTGATCCCATCTTGCGGCAATGTCAGCATGATCAGGCTCGAATCGTTGTCACGAGGCTGCAACTCACCCCTTAATGACCTGGCCGGTACCGAGCTTGAAAGAGAAGGGGACGCCACGGTCGATGCCTTGATAAGCGGTCAGCGATCAGCGGACAATCGTCGGGGGCCAATTCAAGGCGAGGCGGGACATACTGGCATCAAACTGCTTGCCGTTGGCCTGCAGCGTACCGCGGTAGTGCATGGAGACCTTGTCTCCCTTCTGGGTCTTGCGCTCGCAGTTGACGGGGACGGTCACGTCAACCTCGAGCTTCGCGGGGTCCGCGGCGACAGCACTGACGGCGACAGAGGCCAGGGCGGAAAGGAATAGGGCGGCCTTCATGGTGGCGGTTCGGGCGGGTGGAGCGTATTCTTCGGGTACGGAATTACGGGACGAGATGGAGCAGTGTCTGTCCGGTGACGTCGGAGGTGGTTTGTGTTGGTGTTTGTTTTGGAGGCGGAGTGATGGGTGATGTGGTTGTTGGACGGCTACGAGATGGTAGGCGACGTGGCCATCCCGCCGAGCTACCCCCCAGATCTCCAGGTGACCTCAGCGACCCCTAGCTGCGTCATGAAGCAGCTTCGCAGGGGAGGGACACTGGCTATTGGCCAATGGGCTCCCAAGCGCCCAGCGATTGCCCTGTCCCGTACTCCCGTGCTATCTTATCGGCGCCGGCGTCAGGCGTACCGCGTTCCAAACCGGGCGACACCTGGTGCCCACAGGGGGCGGAATGCGGAACTGATCGGGATTGCCACCCACAAATCCACTGTGCGACTTTCACTCTCTTCCAACCAGGCCCTGGACCACAGTCACGTTGGCTTCAAGTGATTGCGACAGCGCACATCCATCTCCCAACTCAGAACGTCGATCGCAGGGCGAGTAATAACAGGGCGAACTTCTCCATTTTGCTTTTTCAACTGACTCGTGACAATCAATTCCATCGCCTCGCCCGGTTATGCTTTGTTGCGCTGTCCGCGAAGCCAAATTACCAGATCAGATCTAATTATGTACGGTTTCAAGGTGCACTCTCAGGCGACACGCGGGTTGGCCAGCATCCAGCCGGGCCTCCCTCAACGTCACTGTTCTATACCTGACAAAGGTGAACGATGGCAGCCACCGTTGGCCACTAACCGCCAGCACATCGTCATCGCTTTTGTCCGACCGCTGGGTTGAAAACTCCGCCCACAATGAGTTCAACATTACGCACTGTACCTTGCCTGTAGAGGGGGGTGGTCTCCCAACGTCACCACAAGGCCTCGTGACGGCTGTCAGGACAAGTGCCAGCCCAGATTCAACCCCAATAAGAATCTCTGACCAGTGTTCAGTTCCTGCATGACGATGCAGGACCCATCCAGCCAAAGTCAAGTCGGATGGATCGACCGCCAACGCCAGACATGCGCGCCTGCAGCCAGACCCCACTAACCCTGACAGAGCCTTGAACATGCGACCCTGAAGCTTCGTTCTGTTATAGGGACCTAACATTCACGTCAAAGGGGACCAAAACAGGAAGACGTAGTCAACCCCTTTTTCCTTTTTCCCGTCGAATCGGGAGGTACTCGATCATAGGGGTTTAGGCGCGCACCCGCCACTTTGTCTTGGGCACCGATGACTCAAGGGCTCGAAGCCGGGGCGATGCCAGTTGAGACGTCAAGTTGATGGGGGCTGGGGCGTGCAACGACGACCAAAAGTAAAAAATAAAATGAGATATTACCCAGCTGCCTGAGACACGCCGGTTTGGGATTCCGGGAATTCACAAGCTTCGGAGAGTCCCAACGCGGCGGTCCACGATGGCTGGTGTGGGCTGGATTTGCGCTGGTGCCTTGTTTGGTGCCTGTATGCCTGCGCTTTCATGCAGTCACAGCACTGTCTCTCCCGGGGTGCCCCCTCACGTGTCTCGCATGGTAATCGTGAAAAAATGTCTTGTGCTGACCGAGACACCGTAGCAGTCATTGCCCCCTGGTAAAACAGGCAACAAGGGCTCTCATTCACGCTCAGGTTTCTTTTTTTGGCCGAATCCTTTTCTTCATGGTCGGCGCCATGAAGGCGCCTGGGTGGCGCACGCCCTTGGCTTGGCTTTCCCTGCCTGGCACGGGGCGACTAGATGGGTTGCCCGACCGTTCGCCTTGTGCATAGCACCAGCACCGCCCTGTAACTTGGTACACTTAAGCCCAGTGATACCGTTTAGGAGGCCCAAAAATCGCCACCGGTCCCCGGGAGGGATACCTATTGCACAGCGCCTTGAAAGGCAAGACGCCCTTAGTCTCTTGTTGATCCATCTTGACAGGTCCCCACCCCTTTGCTGCCCAATGATTTGCTTCGCCTCGTCTTTCGTGCTCTCTCCGTCGTGGATGCTCTGTCAGGGGCTCCAACCCGGATCCTTGGGTGGCCCATGCTTGGCTCTGGGCTTCCTCACCCACCCAGTTGGTATCATGAAGCTAGTGAGCCCAGAGGTTGCCTTGTGCTCTCCTTGGTAATCCCAGCTGCTCCAGGCAGTCTAGAGGTGACAATGGTGAGTGCCGTGTACGTACTCTGGCTGTCATCCCCATGGTGGTGAGGGCTCCTACAAATATGCCCTCTTTCCCTCTTCCCAAGTCCGCTCTTTTCATCCACAATCACTCAATCTTCAGACAACCTCAATCTTGTAGAGTTACCTCCTCTTTCACATACACACTCAAACCCAAGTTTTGCAACCTGCAACGCTTCTGACCTCAACCTATTCTCTACTGCATCAACACCCAAAACACAAACCAACAACCTACTCCACGCCGCCACCATGAGCAGCCCCTACTCCGTCCAGATTCACCAGAACACCAAGGAGCCTTCTATCGGAAGCGCTTACAGCCACTCCTCCGACTCCTACGCTTCGTCCGGTAGTTCAACCCCTCGCTCGGTCTCCCCTGGCACTTACCGCGAGCACGGCGCTGGTGAGTTCCCCTTGCATCTATCACCTAGACTTGCCCCACTAACAACAAGTCCAGCCAAGCACGCCTCCCACGTCTCCAGCTCCGGCCGAAACCTGGTCATTAACCACCACAAAGTTGTCTACGATGCCAACTCCCCGCAAGTTCCGTACGGAAACAGTTATCCGACCTCGCGTCCCTGAGGACTTGCCCGGCGATACATCAGATTAATGACAGAGAACACTTGCAACGAAGTTGGGCAACAGACCGGACTGGCGTTTTTGGTATAGGACTGGAATTTGGTGGGTCGCATGCACAACTGCACCCATGTATGAATAAGCGATGGATGATGGGATGGGATTTCGGGGTGTCCATGGCTGGTTCGACATTCGGGCCTGAGATTGGAATTTGGATCATTTTCTTTGTAGCTTAGCATTGTACATGTGCATTTCTTCACAGAATGCTAGGGCCTCGCGGCCCGCACTGACGTCTGGGACCCTGCTTCGGCAATCTCGTGTTTCTTCAAGATGGAGATGGGATTTCCGAGACCTCAGTCGAGACCGATAGACGAAATATCTTTTCAGAACAATCACAAAAATTTCTCTCAATCTCCGGGATCATGTGCCCCATGTCCCTCCATGTCCTCTTTTTCCATCCCCCCCCCTCTCCACAACTATTTCCTTGTTTTTTTGGGTTGTTGGTAAATTGCAAAGGCCGTGATGGTGCCATCCAATGGGTTGGGTTGGCATCTAGTGGTGATTGGGTTTTCATCGTCCGTACCTGCAGCAGCCCAACGCACAGGGGGTCTCAGTGGGAGGCCGCAGCAAGCCCTCGATCCCAGAGTGCGACGGACTCCCCGCAGCGATTTGAGATGGAGGGGGGAGCTAGTTAGGCAGTGCACCACTGTTTCCGGCATTGACATTCCACTTTTTCATGAGGGGCGTTAAATTGCGGAGACGAGACATTGTTCCTCTTTGTTAATGTTCTGTCTGATAATGACAAGTCCAATGCTCAGTTCCGTTACCAATTCCGTGAAGCGCCTTGTCTGCTGTCGTATCAAATCCCATTGCCCATTTGTTTACATGAATGTCAAGTCCAATGTGGGAGAGCCCCCTTGCCCGAAGCTTGGGTACTCTCTCCACACCATTGTGCACTTCCTCGCCGCACCAACGATAACCCATTGCTGTATTACATCATCGCCCAAGCGCCACCCTTGACGCCGGGCGTCACTCGACCTTGGTCGCCTCACTTCTTCTCGGCTGCGCGTGGATCATTGAGCAGGACACCATCCTTGATGAGCTCCTCGGGGGCGGGGCGGTGCGAGATCTTGTCGTTGAGCTTGTCTTCAAGCATGTGCTTCTGGAGCTGTAGAGGGGTGGCGGAACTCGTCAGCGGAATGGTGTGGGACACAGCGTGAACGGGGTGCGAGCCCAGTTTGACTCACCTCTTTCTGATGCGCTTGGAGGCCTGGCGCAGCTGTGGAAGCAGGGAGAATATTCTCTATTTGGGGGCCAAGAGGTCAGCTAAGGGTGTCAGATGGTCGCAGAAGGATCGTGCTCACTCTCGACGAGCTCGGCGCGCTCCGGGCGGTGGGTGAGATGGTGCTCCAGTGAGTTCTTCCGAACGTGGTTGGGAAGGATGGGGGAGATGGGGGTCTCGTCGACCGAGCGGGGATCCTGAGCCTCGACGTTGTCGGCCATGATGGAGGTTGGTGTGGAGGCTGTGGTTTTGGTGGTATGTAAGTGAGTACTGAGACAAGGTCAAGCAGAGTATTTGAGATGTTAGGGCTTGAGAGTGAAGAAAAGGTAAACAAATGACGAGAATACAGATGACGGCAGCAGTGGTGTTATGTATCCGGTCAGGCTAAGGCGTGGGAATGGGCCGTTGATGTGGCAGCCAGCCATGTTATGTTCCAGGTTGTGTTGTCTCGTCACCTGAGCGCACGCAGCATTGTCCCGCCCAGCATGCCACACCTCGCTGCTACCCCGCAACGACGGGAGTGACCTGCGTCACAGGAGCAGGGATTGCGCCACTCAACACCGCGCACTTCGTCATAGGGTGTTGCAGCCTGAGGCATGCAGGGACCGAGGGCGATGTGGGATGTTAGATCAACGGCTGGATCATTTGTGGCGGAATGGAAGCTTGTTTGACGGAGACGGGATGCAAGCCAAGGCGCTTTGATGGTGGACGTGGATGGGGTGATGTGGATGATGTGGACGATGATTCCCAGGTTCCTGAGTTCCCGCAGGCGGGCCGCTCGCAAGGTAGCACAAAGTGCTGGAAGGGAGCTCTTTGGCAGAAATAAGAGTTTGGGGTCTATTGAGATTGAGTCGATACCGAAGGAAGCTCCCATTGTTCGTAGGTTGAATATGAGTTCTGCATAATTCCATACGCATCTCAGTGTCTACGGTACGGCCCCAATACACATGAGACTTGAAGAGCCGCTGCATTGATGCACAAGGTGCAACCAATGAAACAGAAGCCATTTTGGCGGCTCGCCCTCGACGCCGGAATCTATCAGATCTGTCATCAATATTGCGGATGGCGTGGGCAGAACTCATAATGAGAGCGGCTAGCCCGCTGGTTCTGTAGGGATCAAAACCAGGCTCCTGATTTCGGGAACCCGACCGGAACCTGCGGGGAGGTGAACGGAGTTAAACTCCACAACATTGGCAAGCAAGACAAATGGGCCAATACGGAATCTTTCCATGCACCTTATTAGTTTGACAAATTAGCTGACGCTGGGTCGTGGCAGCGTTGAGGCAGGATGGTAGTTCCAGGCCAGAAGCGACACTCAGTCTCGCTACGTAGCTCAGGGATCAAGACGCTCAGACGCAACAAAACCCAACGTATTGTGCAAGGCATCAGTGGTGATGCTCAAAACAACCAACGGTGGTGATCCAGTTTCCGACGGCTTGGAAACTTGGACAGATCATCGTCGCGTGCAAATAAGACAGAAGCCGGGTGGAGTCGTTAATTATTAATAGGTCCTTTCCAGGAGCTGCCGGCCACGGCGCACGCACAATGACGACACACCTTGAGGAACTTGGAGAACGGGGGACGGACGATTCTGCCGCAGTGCGGCGCTATGCCCCTGGCATGGCTGAAGACAAGCACAAGGAGGTTTATCCTGGGAAATATAGATCAATTCAGACCTTAACGAGAAGGTTTACCGCATCTCACTGAATACCTCGCAGTTATTTTGCTCTCCTCACGTCGCATAGACGCACCCTTAATACAACTCCTCGAAAAAACGTCCCCGCCACTGGATACGTAGGCAGGGGGCTGTGCATGGCGGAAAATTGTCGGCGTTTCGTCACCTTCCCGTCAGGCACCAGATCATACTGAACACCAATCTCGACTCCAGCCACACTCCAAGCTGGCAAGACGTCCGCGCCTACGTAAAACATCGCATCCCCTTCTCCCTCTCCTCCCGCAGCGCCTTTCGCCTTTCACTCACGGCATCCGAACCCTGATGCCCGTCTAATCCCATCGTCGACGAGCGATCTACCGACCTGCTCCTCTCCTCTCGTCCCCTTCCTTCCCCCGACTCGCCCCCCATGGTAAGTCGGCCACGCCAGCCCCTCGGTGCCGCTTCATCCACTGACCAGCGCCCCCAACCTCCAGGGTATATCAAGACGTCCCAAAAATAAGGGCGCTCAGAATGCGGGTGCGTCTGGCGCCGCTGGCAGCGCGAAGCCCAAAAAGGCCACCTTCGAGACGACCAAGAAGAAGGAGATCGGCGTGTCCGATCTGACCCTCCTGAGCAAGGTGTCCAACGAGGCCATCAACGACAACCTCAAGAAGCGCTTCGAAGGCGCCGAAATCTACACCTACATCGGCCATGTGCTGGTTTCCGTTAATCCCTTTCGGGATCTGGGCATCTACACCGACCAGGTCCTCGACAGTTACAAGGGCAAGAACCGTCTCGAGATGCCCCCCCACGTCTTCGCCATCGCCGAGGCCGCGTACTACAACATGAAGGCATACCAGGAAAACCAGTGTGTCATTATTTCGGGAGAGTCTGGTGCTGGTAAGACTGAGGCTGCCAAGCGCATCATGCAATACATTGCCAATGTGTCGGGCGGCGAATCAGGCGACATCAAAGAGATCAAGGACATGGTGCTGGCAACTAATCCGCTGCTTGAGTCTTTTGGAAACGCCAAGACTCTACGAAACAACAACTCTTCGCGATTCGGCAAATACCTCCAGCTTTACTTCAACGCCTCTGGCGAGCCAATCGGTGCCGACATCACCAACTACCTCCTCGAGAAGACCCGAGTCGTGGGCCAGATCGCAAACGAGCGAAACTTCCACATCTTCTATCAGTTCACAAAGGCCGCCTCTCCGAAATACCGCGAGATGTTTGGTCTCCAAAAACCCGAAACCTACCTCTATACCAGCCGGTCAAAATGCTTTGACGTCGACGGCATTGACGATGTGGCTGAGTTCCAGGACACTCTCGACGCCATGAAAATTATTGGCCTGAGCCAACCTGAGCAAGATGAGATCTTTCGAATGCTTGCCGCCGTTCTGTGGATCGGAAACATTCAGTTCCGAGAAGACCAGGAGGGTTACGCCGAGGTCACAGATAGATCCGTGGTCGAGTTTGTCGCCTACCTCATGGAGGTCACCCCTGATCAACTCATCCACGCCATCACGATTCGTATTTTGACACCCCGAAACGGCGAGGTCATCGAGTCCCCGGCGAACCCGTCTCAGGCATTGGCCACTCGGGACGCTCTATCCAAGGCTATATATAGCAATCTCTTCGACTGGATCGTGGAGCGCATCAACAAGTCTCTCAAGTCAAGGCAATCGGCTGTCAACACCATCGGCATTTTGGATATCTACGGATTCGAGATTTTCGAGAAGAACAGTTTTGAGCAATTGTGTATCAACTACGTCAACGAGAAGCTCCAGCAAATCTTCATTCAACTCACTTTGAAGGCCGAGCAGGAGGAGTACACCAGGGAACAGATTCAGTGGACACCCATCAAGTACTTTGACAACAAGGTTGTGTGCGACTTGATTGAGCAGATCCGACCTCCTGGTGTCTTTTCCGCGATGAAGGATGCAACTAAGACCGCCCACGCGGACCCAGCCGCTTGTGACCGAACCTTTATGCAGAGCATCAACGGCATGTCACATGCCCATCTCACTCCTCGACAAGGTAACTTCATCATCAAGCACTACGCCGGTGAGGTTAGCTACACCGTCGACGGAATCACAGACAAGAACAAGGACCAGCTTCTCAAGGGCCTTCTCAATCTTTTCCAGCACAGCGGCAACCAGTTCGTGCATACTCTTTTCCCTCACCAAGTCGACCAGGATAATCGAAAGCAGCCTCCCTCTGCAGGAGACCGAATTCGAACTTCCGCGAATGCCTTGGTCGATACTCTGATGAAGTGCCAGCCCTCTTACATCCGTACCATCAAACCCAACGAGAACAAGTCGCCGACCGAGTACAACAGCCCCAACGTATTGCATCAAGTCAAGTATCTTGGTCTGCAGGAAAATGTGCGTATCCGTCGCGCTGGTTTTGCCTACCGTCAAGCCTTCGACAAGTTTGTGGACCGATTCTTCCTCCTGTCGCCTGCCACGTCGTATGCTGGTGAGTACACATGGCAGGGGTCCCAGGAGGATGCTGTTCGACAGATCCTGAAGGATACCAGCATCCCCAAGGAGGAATGGCAAATGGGAGTCACCAAGGCGTTCATCAAGGCTCCGGAAACCCTCTTTGCGCTTGAGCACATGAGAGATAGATACTGGCACAACATGGCCACCCGAATCCAGAGAATGTGGAGAGCTTACCTCGCCTACCGAGCCGAATCCGCCACTCGAATCCAGCGATTCTGGAGGAAGAAGCGGACTGGTGCCGAATATCTGCAACTCCGTGACCAGGGCCACCGAGTGCTTCAGGGCCGCAAAGAGAGGCGGCGCATGAGTTTGCTTGGCTCCCGAAGGTACCTTGGCGATTATCTCGGCATCAACGCTACCAATGGCCCTGGAGCCCAGATTCGCAGTGCTGCGAATATCGGCTCGACTGAGAAGACAATCTTCTCTTGCCGAGGTGAGATCCTGGAGGCCAAATTCGGTCGATCGAGTAAACCCGTCCCGAGAGTCATCATTGTTACGAACAGCAAGTTTTATGTCATCGCCCAGATGCTCGTCAACGGTCAACGCCAAACCAACGTCGAGAAATCGGTGCCATTGGGTGCGATCAAGTTCATTGGCACATCGACAGCTCGCGATGATTGGTTTTCTCTCGGCATCGGCTCTCCCCAAGAGCCCGATCCTCTGATGAACTGCCTTTTGAAGACGGAACTGTTCACCCAGATGCAGCGAGTGATGCCGGGTGGCTTCAACCTGAAGATTGGCGAGACTATCGAATACGCCAAGAAGCCCAACAAGATGCAGCAAGTCAAGGTCCTGAAGGATTCTCAGCAGCCAGCGGACTACTATAAGAGTGGTGCCGTCCATACGCAAGCCGGCGAACCCCCTAACTCTGGTTCGAGGCCCACACCCAAGGGCAAGCCAGTTCCGCCACGACCGATCACTCGTGGCAAGCTGATCAAGCCGGGCGGTCCTGGAGGCCGACCGTCTCGCCTTACTGGCAGCCGAACTCCTCAAGCCCGACCCGGTGCCAGTACTAGACAAGTTCCCCAACCACCTGCCGCGGTCGCCGCTGCCGCTGCCGCTGTCGCTCCAACCCCAGCCCCAAGGCCTACGCCGCCTAGCAACCCTCGTGCTGTAGTGGCCAACGCGATTGCTCCCGCCGCCCACAAACCCCTTGCTAATCACACCAGAAACCAGGGCAGCACGGGTTCCGCTACTACGCGTGTGCCTCCTCCTCCGCCTCCTGCTGCTGCTCCCTCAAAGCCCAAGATCATGGCCAAGGTATTGTACGACTTCTCTGGCCAGAAGGAGAACGAACTTTCCATTGTGGCTGGCGAGCTGGTCGAAATTGTCCAAAAAGAGAGCAACGGTGAGCAACACCCTCCCCTTCCCCATACATTATCTTCAAGTCGTTGGTGTCTTGGACTAACACCGTCATAGGTTGGTGGCTAGCAAAGAAGGGACCTGGACAAGCTTGGGTTCCGGCAGCGTACGTCGAGGAGCAAGCGCCTCCTCCTGCTCCCCGTGCGCCTCCGCCTCCGCCCGCGGCCAAGACCAAGCCGGCACCTCCGCAACCACCGGCTAAACGCCCTGCCGGATACCGCAAGCCAGCCGACCTGCAACAACGTGACTCGGGGATGAGCCTCAACGGGGCAAATGGGTCTGACGGCAGCCGCAGCAATACGCCGACGCCCAGCCTTGCGGGCAGCTTGGCAGATGCTCTGCTTGCCCGGAAGAACGCGATGCAGAAGGAGAAGGACGACGACGATGACTGGTAGATGATACGAAGTTACGCTTCACGATCTTGAGTCAACTTATGACGATTTTGTCGAATTTTTTCACACAAACACACGCGCAAGAGAAGAGAGACTTTCCATTGTATACAAGATCTGAGCTGGGCAACCGAGTTTGGGAATGCCCGGGTGGGAAGGGTCACGACTGTGTTTTTCTTGGTGCTTGGCAAGCGTATGGGCAGGATGTCTGGATGCTTGGGGAGAGCAAGCACTTGTTTATTTTCATTTTAAAAAAACCATCCTCCTAGTCCTTTTTAGAAGGTTGAATTTTGCTCCAAATTAGAAAGTCTATTGTCTTGTCCTAATCGTCTCCGTCCTTTTGCAACACCTTTCTCCTCCGTATTAGTTCAGCGAGGGGTACGTCCTCGTCTTCATTTGCAGGATTCGAGTCCTCGTCGACACCAAAGTCTCGGAGTCGGTCTCCATCGGAGTTAGTCCAGCCTGGCTTCCCATCATAGCCCTCTTCAAACAAATCTTCATCCTCGTCATTGTACATGTCATAATCGTCCACCTCTTCTAACTCGGCCAGCAACATCCTCTTCCGCCGCTCGTCCTCGGCTTGTCGTTTCTTAAAGGTGGCCTTTACTTCGTCGGGGCTCATGTCGACCGTCCGCAGCTCCTCGGCATAGTCTCTTCTCGCGGCGGGCCATCCTTTATTGGAGCGGCGAATCTTCTCTGGATCTAGAGGCGGCCATAGCCCCTCTACACGGTTGAAACCATTCTCTTCCCAGTCCCAGCCAGATCCGTGGCCGTTCTTCGCAATTTTCGGGCTGCCAGCTAGGGGCCAGAGCCAGAGAAGGACGTTGTAGGTGCCCATAGCTTGGGCCATGTTCGTGAAGAAGCCAATATCATATGGGAACTCGAGCCTCTCGAAGCGAAACTTCTCGCCATCAGGTCCGACAACATCCCACCAGTCCTTGCCCCCTCGATCGGCGATGGCCTCGTGGCGCTCTTGTTCCCAGCTTTCGATCATGGTCTGATTGAGCACCCAGCTCCTGATAGTCGTTGTGAGCATGACTATGAGGGCGAGCGAGGTGAGTAGGCAGATGAGGGATAGGATCGCCAAGGAGATTAGGCCGGCGAGGCTAGGTCCGAGGTAGGCGGGGAGTCGGCGGTGCTCCCAAAGGACGGCAAAGCGCAGCCACAGCAGGTGGGCAAGGGTCCAGAGGGAGAGATTCGTGAAGATGAGGAATCGAAGGAAATGGGGAAATGTGGTCATGGAAACGCAGTTGCGGGTCCACGGGCAGTGGTGATCCATCTTGGGGACGCAGCGAGCGCAGTGTCGACAGTGGTGGGCGCGCGGGGGCTTCGGGGCAGAGCACTTGTTGCACCAGCGACCGTTGGCCTCGAGGACGCGACCGTCGAAGACATAGCGGCCTGGGTCGACAGTGATTGCGCGGTAGTAAGTGAGCCAGAGGAGAGCGAGGAGAGAGTTGAAGATGATAGACTGCTTGCGCGTGGGCGGGCCGGGGTCGAGGGTCGAAAAGTGGAAGACCAGCTGGGAGAAATAGCCAAGAAAGGCGATGAGGAGGCAGACGGAGGGCACGGCGAGGCCCCGGATGAAGGGGACGTCGTTGATGCCGGCCATAGCGACGACAAAGGGACGGCAGTCGTGAGGTCGTGAGGTCGTGAGGCTTGGTTCAAGGAGACGGTGGCTACATGGCCGACAGTTGACGAGAAGTTGGCACGTCAAAGCTGCATCTCACGACCCGTCCATCACTGGCCGGTGTCACGGCGCCCGCGGGAGTGGATATTTTTAGCGGACAGTCCAGGGGTTCCAGTTGCTGTAATTAGCACAGGCGCCCCCCCTTACGGGCCAAGCTACGGGGGACACTACGTACCTTGGTACCTCTCGTGCTTCATGCTCCGGCAGTGACGTTTTATGGACTTACGTAACCCCGCCAGGGCCACGGCCGCGACAGCTCGCCCCTGACCACACGCCGACCTGGGCTGCACATCAAGATTTTGATCATGACTTGATGCGCCTGGCAGCTTAGCTGTTGTAGCATCTCAAGGTTTCGCCGCTTACTTGCTTGGTCTGGTTGGCTTCTTGGACCGCGATCCTTGACGACATGACGGGTTCTGCTGTGAACTTCTGAACTCTTAGCTTTTACGACAGCGTTTCCGCCTCATTGGCTGTCTTATCGTCATTGCTGTCATCATGGGTCAAAATACCGTAGTCCAATTGACTTCGATCTGGTAATACCACACATGGCATTTGACCATAGTCGAGATATTTTGTTTTCCAATGGCTAACTGATTAACCATTAGTGCCGCGCTATCGTTCTTTTACATATCCCAGTCGTTCGAGCGGCACTCTCTTACCGGTATGTCTCCAGTCCCACCATTGCTCCATCTATCTCAGTCATGAGGCCGATTTATCTAATGAGCCTTCAGAAAGCCCCCGGCTATCATCATTCCTTGTCTTCCTTCTGTCCGGCAGTATTTGCTACGGTGTCAGCTGCTTCACCAAATGGCTACCCGGCGCTGATGGAAGATTTACGGCGTCCCGGCGTGGCCACAACGCGCCTTTGCTTGATGGCGCCGGCAAAGAGTTTCATAATGGGCAAAGCCCCTATCTACCGAAGCGGCCGCGACGCCTTTCGCTTCCAGTGCTCGTGCTCTGCATTGTTCTTCGTCTTGAGATATTCCATCGTGTAAACTACCAGCAGCAATGCTCGACCCCTGGTGTCGAGGTAAAGTGGAATCCCAACGCCCTGCGTGTCCGGGAACGCATCCTTTTCTCATACTGACTCCCTACCATAGTCGTTCCTTTGCATTGTACTGCTTGCCTACGAGATCTTTGCAACTCGGCGCAAATGGGGCTTCCCCTTGGCCGATGATCCGGATGATCCGTGGCGCAGTTGCTTCGATGACATGTATGACTGGTTCAGCGGACCCAGAGTGGTCCTGACCATTGCCGCCACCAGCGCCCTCATGTTCACCATGGGCACCTACTACTCTGTCGGCCAAGGCATGCGGTCGACTTATGTGTGCTTTGGTCCTCTCGAAAGCCGCCGGACGACCCTGCTCCTGCAGTGCCTGGGGCTCCTTTTCGATGCCATCATCGTTGTCCTGCTTTGGCGGACGTTGGCGTGGTCAAGAACAACAAAACTTCGCTTAAGGACGCTTGGAACTATTTTGGTCCTGTCAGCCGTCTCCATGTCCCTTATTTGGCTCGGCCACAGGCTTTTCACTGGCTCCAGTGTCCTACACCCCGGGTTTGGTTTCCTATACGGCTTCGACATCATTGTTGATAGCTTTGCATTCGCTACTCTGATGATATCTGCAACATCTTGGGTCTGTGAGACCTCTCCCCTCACTCCATCGAGCATCATCACGTGGCTTGTCGGGACGGTAACGGCGTGCGATAACATATTCAGTTTCGGGGACTGGCTCCATACTACACGCGCGGCTGCCGTAGTTCCGCTCTACTTCATCGGCTCTGGAATGATTGTATTCACTTACTGCCAAGAACTGCGCTCTGTATTCTTCGTGCGGCGTCTCATACTGACCGCACTCATATTCGGTCTCATGGTTGGAACCACTGTCTTCATCTTGATTGAACAGCCGCAGATATTTGAGAAACGCCATCCAATTAATGATTTCGTCTTCAAGGCACGTGTCAGGCAGGACAAATGGCTCACGCATGCGACCATCAGTGGCAGTCTTCCAGTCGCAGCCAAAATTTACAAAGAGCGCCATGGGGGAAGAGACCCGCCCCCTGGCTTTTCGGATTGGTACGCGCATGCTAAGGATACTATTATCACCGACCACTTCGATCAAATTGAAAGTGATGTGCGTCCTTTCAAGGCGTTTTCGCCGAAAAACTTGCGGAAGAGGATTACTCAGGTAGCAAATTTGCCTGGCATTCAAACTATTACGATCAAGGACGGGAAAGCGTCAAGCTTTGCGTCAACAGGCAACAAAGGCTCAGAAGAGCTACAACTTCTTGTTGCCATGATCAACAAGTTCGCCCAGTCGCTGCCGGACATGATTCTACCCATCAACCTTGGCTCTACCCCCCGTATCCTTCCATCGTGGGAGGTTGCGAATGGACAGGGGCATGCTGATCTCGCCCCCATTGCCAACCTAATTTCACGAAGTTCGGAAAAGGGATTGAATGAGGCTGAAGTGTTATCCGGCGCGAGAGACACCCCAGATCTCACAGAGTTGCTGAAGCGGCCGTTGACATCTGCATCAGACTATCGACAGATGCAAATCGAAGCGTGCCCTCCAGCATCTCCGGCTCGGACCAATCCCCACTGGAACATTGGGAAATTCTGCGCCTCCTGCATCCGGCGACACTCTCGGGGCCCGTTGTTGGTAAACTGGGGTAGGGCTTTCGAGTTCTGTTCGCAGGCCGACATGAAGTATCTGCATGGCATGTACCTGGCAGCACCGCAAGCAGAGCCCATCCGAGATCTACTACCCCTTTTCGGGCCGTCGAAGACGGAGCCTTTCCAAGACATCCTAATCCCAATTCCCAAGGCACACGAAGACGTGCCCGACTTGAAATGGGAATTCCGACGACGATATGATACCCTCGTGTGGAGAGGCCAACTGCAAGACGGAGCAATCAATAGCCAGACCCTGCGAGGAAGCCCGCAGTTCCGACTACTCAACATGATTAACAATCCCAATCCAAAAGATCAGGTCAACATGGTGCTACCAGTTGATGGAAGCCCAGACAAATACAAATACGAAAAGGTATCGGCGTTTGAGGCAAACCGCGTGATTCCATTGAGCATGGGGATCAGCAATTACTCAGGATGTACAGGACCCAACTGTGAGCTTATTAAGGAGGCTTATGGTGAGCGGGAAGTACAAGAGCCACTTGAGTACCGCTATGTTATGGCAGTGGACGAAAACGACGGCCCACCGCCCGAGTTTCTACGGATGCTACGGTCTCAGAGCGTTCCGTTCTTAACGACCATGTTCCGAACATGGTACACGGAGCGACTGATGCCATGGGTTCACTTTGTGCCAATCGACCCGCGATATCAGGCACTGCACACGACTTTTTCGTACTTTACAGGCACAACGAAACGGGCCGAGGTGAACGGTCGGGACACCAAAATGACACAACGGTCCAACGATGCAAAGTGGATTGCGTTGCAAGGAAAGAAATGGGCGGAAATGGTGCTGGGGGAGAAAGATATGGAGGTGTACCTATTCAGGCTGCTCCTCGAGTGGGGGAGGCTGGTGGACGACAAGCGGGATGAGATTGGGTTCCGTACTGACAGCAAGGGGGACTATCGAAATGACAACTGGACGCAGAACCAGGAATGGTGATTTAGCTTAATTAAAACAGTACATAAAACGGTAACTTCAATTTTAGTCCCAAGTTTATATATACTGCGAGTAACCTTTTAAAGGTTGTTCCAGCCAAGAAGCCCAACTAAACAAGGGCTTTCATCAGCCTCAGTGTCATCCGGATCCATACTGGCGTTGATCTCCTCTCTTAGCGACGTTACAAAATAGATTGAACACTCATGGTTGCTTCCGTCTCCCTCTTGTTGTATGTACTGCCAGTTATCCAAACTCGTTGCCATATAGTCGCATTCGACCTCGACGAACTTTCTATCGCTGGCGTAAAATGCGTTTGTGTCGTAGCAGCTTGCATTTTCCTCAACAACAGGAGCATGTT